GCAAGACGAAGCTCGGAGCAGACCATCCTTCCACGCTGACCAGCATGAACAACCTAGCTTTTACATGGAAATCACTCGGCCGGACTGTAAAAGCTATATATCTGATGCAGCAGTGTGTACAACGGCGTGAACAAGTGCTAGGAGCTAGTCACCCGCATTACTTGTCTTCCCTGCTAGTCCTAGAGCAATGGGAAGGAGAGCAGGCAGACATGGAGTTATTTAACAGATTCAAAGACATGCGCTTGTAAGTATCTACGAATATATATCATGTAAGCAAAGTTGTGGCGACAATTATAGTCTATAATGATCGTATCTAATTTAGAGGCTGTTGGGCGCACAGAGGTCGTCTATTAGCTTGGTCCATAGCACTACACTTTTACTATAAATAGTCTTCGCACGGGCACGTGGTCTTTATTCCAGCACGTAGGGCTAACCAGTAGGAAAGCCTAGCAGCCTGTTATAATCACACAGAATGACGGCAGGAAAACAAAGACGTCTGGCGGGACAGCAGAACCCCCGGGGTTAGAGGCTGACGCATCTCCGAACACAATTGCCGGGGCTTAAACCGTACACGTCATTGTAAACCCACATTGGAAGCAACGCCGGAGCTGTCGACACTTTCATCGCCGGAGCTGCGTGAAAACTAGGTATGAGGAGCGGAAAGGTGATGGCGCGAAGAAATTCGTTGTATTCGTGCTGATGTCTCATTCGTTGCATAATATCAAGATTAGCGTACGAAAGGTAGCTACCTCGCATTTATGTCGTATTTCGTGATGATGGCGCCACAGGTCTAGGATACGTGTATAAGAACTGAAAGATTCTCGCCCTCAGGATCACACCTCAAGGCTACGCCCGAGCAATCCACAATGTCTCTCCGGTACAACAAAGTCCTCATCATCGGCGCCACGTCAGGCATCGGCCTCGCCTACGCCGAGAAAGTGATTGAAGATGGTAAACAAGCCATCATCGTCGGCAGACGAAAGGAAAACCTCGATGAGTTCGTCTCCAAGCACGGCAGCGACAAAGCTTTCCCCATCGTCTTCGACATTACCGACCTCTCATCCATTCCGAAGTTCGCGGACGACGTAACAGAAGCGCACCCTGACCTAGACTGCGTCATCATCAACTCTGGCATCCAGCGCGGCTTCAACTTCGCAAAGCCCGAAACAGTCGACCTGGGAGTGCTCCAGCTCGAATTCACCACAAACTACATTTCCTACATCCACCTCACCAAAGCATTCCTCCCCTTTCTGCAGAAACAAGACAAAGAGACCGCACTAGCCTTCATGTCCTCCGGCCTCGCTCTCGTCCCATTGATCTCGCGGCCCAACTACTCGGCCACCAAGGCGGCGCTGCACCACTTTGTGCTGTCGCTTCGCGAGCAGCTCAAGGACGGGCCTGGGCAGATCAAGGTGGTGGAGATCTTCCCGCCGGCGGTGCAGACGGAGTTGCACGACGAGAAGCACCAGCCGGATATCAAGAATGGGCGGCAGATGGGGATGCCGCTGAAGGAGTTCACGGAGGATTCGTGGGCGAAGCTGGTTAAAGGGGATGAGCAGGTTCCGGTCGGATTTGTTGAAAAGGTATTTGAGAACTTTGAGGGCAAAAGGCAGGAGGTTTTTGCGTTTATGACGAAGCAGGTGAAGGAGGGGGGCCACTGAGTGGTGATCTGTGAAAGCAGAGACGCGGTGGGGAATCTACCTAGCGTTATCAGATGATGAAGCCTTGGATGATACCGAGGTACCAATTCCTCAAGCTCGTTCTCCCGACTTGCTCGCAAGTGATGAAAGCTGTTGTGGTTGATAGGACCGATGCGAGTTGGATGGGCTGTGGTCAGCCAGCGTGGATATACTCGGGTGTACAGGCAGGCACGACATGAGGGAAGTAGAGCCGGCACCTCAGTCTAAAGCAAGCCACGTGTTTGACAAGGGCAAGACTGTGGTTGGTGTTGCGCGTAAGTCGGGAAGACGGCGCGCAAGGTCCATCGGGTCGGGTGCCAGGGCCGTAGCATAGCCCCAACGCCTTTGGAAGTGGAGCGGGCCACCAGCAGCTGCGCCCCTGCTCTCAATACGAAAGTCCGCAACAGCGAAGCATCACCCCAACCTGTCCTCGACACCCAACCACGCCGCTCGCTATCCCCACACGAACGACACTTCGCCTTCGCCGGCTCTACCTTGGCCGTGCTATCGTTGTCGCGCGCATATACCCTTCTCCGCACCTGCTTTCATAATCTCGCAAGGCTCTCCAAGATGGCCGACGGCTTCAACAATGCCATGATCAACCGCTCGCTGCGGGCGATCAAGACTGTAAGCGACCCGCAGAAGGAGCGAACGCGCGCGCACTAATCAGCACGGCAGGAGCTCGAGTTCCTCGTTGACTCCAATGTCATCAGCCAGTCGCAGTACGACACCATGATCAACCAGCTCCCCGCGAGCGCCAACGCTGCGCGCGCCACACCTGCCGCTCCTGCTGCACAACTGTCCTCCCTCTCTATCAACGCGCCCGAGCCCGAGAAGAAGAGCACCAACGGCGTTGGCTACTACTCGAACAACGTCTCGAACGCACCTCCGCCCGCATACCCAACCCCACCCGCTGCTCCCGTTGGCCCGCCCGCTCTCTGCCACGCGACTGCCATGTACCAGTACAACGCACAGGACGCCGGTGACCTCGCTCTCATGCCCAACGACAAGATTGTCGTAACAGAGTACATGAACAACGAGTGGTGGAAGGGACGCAACGAGCGCACTGGTCAGGAGGGCATCTTCCCTGCCAGCTACGTGCGCCGCGAGGAGAAGGCCGTTGTGCCCGCTGCTGTGCAGCCGAGCAACTATGGCAACATGCCGCTGGATGTGTCCAACGGCTCGAACGGCGCCGTCGCTCAGAGCACGCCCGCGGAGCCGAGCAAGTTTGAGCAGGGCGGCAAGAAGTTTGGCAAGAAGCTGGGCAACGCCGCCGTCTTTGGAGCAGGTGCGACAATCGGAAGCAAGATTGTGAACGGTATATTCTAAGTTTTTGCAGGTGCGACAATTGGAAGCAACATTGTGAACAGCATTTTCTGAGAGTGCGGGTGCGACTGTTTTTGTTGGCATTGGGCTCATGTTACCCCTTCGAGTGTACTGGCGTTCAGGATGGGATTTTCCTTTGATGGATGGTATCAGGGAAGGCTAGGCTCAGCCAAGGATGATCAGACTCGTCAGAATGATTTCTTTTTCTTCCCTTCACCTCACCGTCTGGCTTCGTGGTTTGTTATGGTCTTGATATGGTTTACCTGATGCGAGTGCACGTTGCGCCTTCCCCAGGTTCCACACTCCTTCCCCAGTGCAAGAGTTCAGCTTCCAGACGCAGACCACCTCCCCCAAGACCGACTCAAGCTCCGCTCCTACACTCACTCCTTCGCATTTCCCCTAGTGACTCAAAGGCCTTTTCTTTATGTCTCTGCTCGCGGACTCGATCGCTCGCAGCGCAGCGACTCATGCATTGTCGTACGATCGCAACTTCCTCGACTGCTCCAAGAAGCATCACAACGCGCTTCTCAGGCCCTCGCATCTCAGAGCCTCTGTTCGCATGGCGGCATCCGCACACAGTATGCGGCATAATTTGCTACGTAACTGACTTAGCATATATCCAGAACCTTCACTTTGGCCCATTGAATGGCCATCTCCTCCGGGCTGTTCACACTACCAATGCAATCGTAGGCTAGCACAAGCGTTGTCGACAACCTGATTTTGAAATTATTTCTGCGTCGACCTGCCTCACTTCTGCACGATACCACTTCCGCTTTTGCCGGCCCCCGATCTTCCAACATCCCATTTCCCTGGCGCGGAGAGCACCACGTCCAGCATGCCCAGGTCAGGCTCTTACGGCACGCATCGAAAACATACCCGATCCAGTGCAGGCCCCACCAATTCAAACTCCCAGGTTCAGCGTCCGAGAGCTTCTACGGAGGTCATCAGAAGGCAAACAGGCACGGCAGCTGCTCGAGATGAGCAATCCAACAAGGATCAAATACGCCGAGTTCTCGCATACTACGCACATGCTATTGTTACGTTCCATACCTTTGGGATCCCGTTGTCGGCTGGATTAATGCTCGAGTACTACTACAACTCGTTGCTCCTCACTACGCCGCTCAGTCAATTGTCTCTGATTGTTGGCATACAGTGGCTTGGAATATTCGCGCTAGAATCTTTGGCAGGGTGTGCCTATACGTGGAAGCACTGGCGATGGATCTACTTGGCCGCGAGCCTCGTGCTCGTGCTTTGTCATGTAGTTATAGCGCGAGGTGCAAAGCCGTGGGGCCTCTCACTGGGTATGCACGCTCTCACCGGCCTCTGCCTGGGCTTCCTACGCAGCATGACCCTGGGATGCCTTGCATCGCACTACAACGGCAATGCTGCAGAGGTTTCAACGCAAAGTGGCGCTGCTGCTCTTCTCGGCGCTCTCGTGCACTCACTTGTGGCATGGGCATTCCTTCGTATAGACAACTACAAAGGGTTGGCATGGGCTCAATTCTACATCGTCTTGTTCACGCTTGCGCCCACTCTCGCATGCCTGTTCCCGGCCAGAGAACCGGAGAGCACTGAACACGATGCCTCAAAACACGACCGCCAGATCCCCAGACTTATGCACAGGAAGTCGACGAAGGCGATACAGTCATTGCCCGGCAAGTTTGACGTACAGAGAAATTTCGGTCTCGACATCATCGGCGATTGCCTGCTAATTGCGGGCTTGTTCCTCGTCTTCGCGTATATGGCCGTATGGCCGATCGCCTTTCCGCTCCTCCTATCCAGTCGACCTCTGTACGAATTTCCCGACTTCGCAGCATACTGGCTGATGGGCACATTTGGGGCCGGCGCTCTCACTGCAGCGTTTTTTGCCCGTCCATGGCCACGCCGGGCATTAGGAGTCGTCAACACCTTCACTGCAGCAGCCATCTTTGCGGGGTCTTTGCTGATCATTACCGCCTGGGTAGTCAACTTCTGGGTTTGGGGCATCATCGGCGTTTTATATGGCCTATGTCTAGGTCCTCTCCTCGCCCTGCACAGGAAGGTTTTCGACCTGATATGTAAATACTGGACGAATATGAGGCTCTTTCCGGATGGTCTGGGTATCGTCGCCTTTGGGGGCATCAGTGTCGTCGGGCTGCTGATAGAAAACCTAGGCAATGGCTCGGTTGCATTAACGGTGTCGGGAGTGGTCATGCTCTTGGGTGGGTGCTGTATGGCTGTTGGGCGGTGGTTGAAATATCCGACCAAGTACGTTGTCATCTGAGTTTGTACTTGTGGCCTGCATTCATCATCGATGGAACAAGGCCATGTTGGTCCTGGTCCTCTCGCATAATACTGCCACTTTCTTGACCTTGGATATACTTGCGTCACACGGTACGGCTGCTACATGCTATTGGAAGTAGTCATCACTATAACACCACTTAAGCCCGTCCAGATGGGCCGAAAGCAGGCCGCTGATGTTCATCTCCGCTAGCTTCGTGCAGTCAGCCCCCCTACTAACGAAATACGCTCCGGAAAAGCATCATTTCACCGCCTCAATTACCGCGTCGCAACAGATGTACCTTTTCCGATCCCGCTTACCAACCGCTAGTTTCCCTCCCGTCCTGCCGTCTCCGCGGCGCGGCGATCTCCTGCCCCACACAATGAACATCACAAATGCAGCTAGACCCCACGTCTACCCCCAGGTCAAAATGCGCGCTCCGCCGCCCCGGATATCGACCGCTGTGCGCTCTTGGCTGCGATCCAGGTTGGTGGTATCCGCACTGCAATGGCATCCCACGATGGATACGCCATTGATCCAAAGAAAAACCATCCGTCGGCGATAGATCATGTCGCGGAGATTGTAGAGGCACAGCAGCCGTCCAGCGCGCTGGACGAAAAAGATGCGGAGATCGTTAAGGAGGCGCAGGACCAGGAAGTGAAGCAGGAGCTGCCGTTCTCAAAGGCGAGGGCGATTGCGCTTGTTATTACGGTAACAGCTGCTTCGTTTCTGAATGTGAGTTTGGAGGGCGAATTGTGAGCTGGGACGCTGACAAGTACAGACTTTGGGCGTGCAGAGCTCGGTTATCATTCTGCCGACCATCGGCAAAGCGCTCAACATCCCGGATTCGCGACAGCAGTGGATTGTATCGGCGTATAGTCTGACGTTTAGTTGTTTTCTGGTAGATTAGCCTCCCTTCCATGCATACTTGAGCACGACGTATTCTAACAAGACTGGTCTAGTTGCTCTGGGGCCGCCTCGCAGATGTCTACGGCAAGAAGATTATCTTCGTATGGGGCTCCATATGGGTGACGCTGACGTCTCTCCTCGTCCCTGTCATTCCCAACGAAATCGGCTTCGACATCTTCCGCGGGTTGCAGGGCCTCGGCGCCGCTGCTATGGTTCCCACTGCAATCGGCATCCTGGGGACGACCTTCCCGCCTGGGAAGGCGAAGAACTACGCCTTCTCATGCTACGGGGGCGGCGCGCCGCTCGGTGGTGTCTTTGGAAACATCTTTGGCGGCGTGCTGGGCCAGTATCTGGAGTGGAAATGGGTGTTTTGGATCTTTGGGATCCTCACTGCTATTGTTACTGTGGCTGCTATCTTCGTCATCCCGCCGCCGCCTGTGAAGCGCGAGCCCCAGCTCTCCAAGATGGTAGACTGGATCGGCGGCACCATCGTCACCATCGGGCTGATCATCCTGCTCTTCGCGCTGTCCGAAGGTAACGTAGTAGGCTGGTCCACGCCGTGGGTGGGCACGCTCATCGGAGTATCCATCCTCCTACTCGTCGCGTTCGGCTTCTGGCAGCACTATCTCGAGACGAAGACGGACCGCAGACCGCTGATGAAGATCTCCATCTTCAAGAACACGCGGTTCGCTGCGGCGAACATGATTATGCTGATGTTCTTCACGTCGTTCAATAACTTCCTTATCTACGCGACGTACTGGTTCCAGGACTACCAGGGCTTGTCCATCATCCAGACGACGCTGCGCTTCGTGCCCATGGGTGTGACTGGCGGTACGTCCCCGCCTCCTCTTTCTCTTTCTTCTTTCTTTCTTCCTTCCTGCATCTAGCCAGAACAAACGCTGACGATAAACAGTACTCGTAGCAATCGTAACATCCCAACTCCTCTCCCGCCTCCCAGGCTCCCTAATCCTCTCCTTCGGCACCATATGCATCTCCCTCGCCTCGCTCCTCTTCGCGCTGCCCCTCCCCACCACAACAACCTATTGGGCCTACGGGTTCCCCGCGATGATCCTTTCCGTCTTCGGCGCAGACACACTCTTCCCGACTCTGACCCTCTTCGTCGCAAAGTCGCTCCCCGCGGAGGACCAAGCGCTCGGCGGCGGGTTGGTGAATATGGTGGGGCAGTTTGGGAGAGCGTTTGGGCTCGCGATTGCGACGGCGTTGCAGACGGGTGTTATGGCGAAGGAGCGCGGTGTGGATGTGGATCAAATTGGGAGAGGTGAGGTTGGCGGTGGGAAGGGGGATGCGGCGTTGAAGACGGGAATAAGGAGTGTGGCGTGGTTTGATTTTGGGATGGGGTTGTGTGCGTTGGGGATTGTGGTTGTAGTGTTTAGGGGGGCGGGAAGGGTGGGGGGAAAGCATTGATGGAGGGGTGAAGAGAGAAGGGATAGACGGTGATGATAATGATGATGGTGGTACATAGGCACCTTCCTCAAGCAAAGTGACACCCCCATAGAGACCATGCGTAGTGCATTTTAGAATCACCCCAGCCAACACAGATAGGCTTCGAAACTCAGTTTTGGTCGAAGATCGCAGGTACAGCGGGGAGAGTATGGCGCAAGAATGAGAGTGCAATTTATACACCGCTGCCTGAGACCTCAAGCCGATCGTCATCAGACCAGACAAGGCGTTCCATTCTTCCACGGGAAAGTAAGAGCAGACAGATCCTGTCATGGGACATGTGGATGTTGAATATTAGATACAAAGCCCCACCCCACCCATCAAGTCCTTCCCCGACGAGGTTTGGACACCCAGACAAGGAAGGCATACAATCATCAGCTGTAGGTGTTCAGTTGGGACACACCAAGGTACTGTGAAGAACAGAAAGCAGGTAGATGAGGCAGTATTTATACCCCGCCTCTATCATAGGCAGGATCTCAGCGCAGTGATGGCGGCAAGCATCGTCATGAAAATGAGGGCCCACGCGGCCACGAAAGGATGTGGTGACTAGGTTGGAACTGCAGGGCACGGAGGCGGACATGGCCGCAGAGTACCAGCTCTTCTATACACCCAGGAACTGGCACATGGCCTTTGGCCATGCGGGTTTTAGTCGAGCGAACTCAGGAGGTGTGTGAAGAGCAGAATGTGGCAGGTGAGGCTGTCTTCATGCGTGCCCTCCATCCGAAGGGGTGTTTCAGGATGGATGACAACGACGATGCTCACCATATCGCGAGCTCGCATAGCCGTAAGTTGCGATGGAAATGGATGCAAGATACGCCGCACAGAAGCAGCCGTAGGGCATCTACGCACGAACTCCCAGATTCCCAGGAAGGGAAGCACATGCGACCCTTATTCGCGTCTTTTAGTCGAGCGAGCTCGAAGGAAGCGTTCAGGACAACAGAGATGGTGGGAGCCATATCTAATAGTATTCCGAGCCTGCATCAGGGACGTTGTTGGTGATGGTGCTCACCATAATATCGCACATGCACCCGTCTAAGGAAGTCTTTTGATGACGATTTTGGTCGGCCGGAACCGATCCGCCCCACGAAACAGACGCGCTGCTGTCTTTGAACACCAGAAGCACGTCAAGACGAGCCGTGGAACTTTCTTGTCGAGTAACCTCGAAGTAGTGTGAAGACCAATAGACGTTGGTGCATGGATTGATGGCGACGATGCTCATCGCGGTGATGTGCATACATATGCCTGTCTCCGCGACTTGAAATGGCGTTACTCTGGGCCGGCAGGGCAAGCCCACCATACACGAGAGTGCACTTGTCTTTGAGCCTTCCGTCATTTTGGGGCGAGCAAGATCGAGAGCACTGTGACGAGAAGGTAGAAAGCGTGAGGGAGGTCCATTCATACCTCTCATCCCTTCTAGCGCACTATCATGTTACGGCCATGCAACGATCCTCGGCACCTTCTTCCACACACGAGGTTGATACGATGTCAGATGATAAGGGAGCAAGCCTCCGCTGTCAAACTGCCGAAGGTCGTTTTGTCTTATTGGACACAAGTAGTCAGGCAGTCTCCATGATTTAGCAACCCTACACTTTAAACAGCAAAGCAGATCTCCGTGATCCGAGAGGGAAACTTGAGATCAGGGGACAAGCCCATGACTTCCCTGTACATCCACGTTTAGATAAAAGAAAACGCCCATAAGCAGGTGCCTAAGGATCTTTTAGTTGACAAAGTTGAGAGCTTGTGCCGAAACTGTGGACGGCAAAATCTGTCGTTTTCATATCCCTCCTCGTCCAACATCATATTACAAATGGTACTGATCATCACGGTCAATGCCATACCAATCGCATCAGATCAGAACGCGTTCACACGGTCGGCATGGCATCCTATTAGACACAGGCAGTCTCCCATCGATAGCGATCCTAAGCAGGCGGGTAGTCCACATGCCTTTAGGTTCGTTAACTTTTTAGGAGGAGGACAAGCCCATGTCGGGGTCCTGGATTGCTCCACAATCAAGCAAGCTTAAAGAAGTGTGCAGAACTAGATGTACGCCTTCATTGAAGCATGTATGCCTCTCTTCTTCCATAGTGCCCCAGAACTTCACAGCCCATTGACGATACACCTCACCACCATTATGCGTCCGAGGAACATCTCCAATAATGAGCAAGTCACATAACACAAAACTGCCGTGGAAAGTAGGCGATGTGGTTTTGGACACGAGGAGTCTCCCGTGGCGCTATCGTGGATTGATTTTGAGGCCGCCGACGGTCTCACATGATTTACTGGAACTGTTGTTTTTAAAGCCACAGGTTAGTCGAACAAGCTCGAAGAAGTGTGAAGAGAAAGCGTAGAGGGCGAAAGCGGCTGTTTTCATAGCGCAGCTCTTCCGCAGCCACCCGTTACGCTGGCAAGACGATGCTCGTCACCACTGTCACCTCGCTCAGAGTATATGAATAGGATTCCTTGCCTGACTGACTACGCTACCCGCCCCACGGCCTCGCATCCTAGCTGCCTGGCCCACGCATTGGACTCCTGAACCCCACCCTCCCAAACGCACCCTGCTTCTTCGGCGTCGTCAAGCCACCCGCTACCTCCTCCCCACTTATCGCGCCCCCACTAACCCCTGCACTCTCACTCCCCTTCTTCCCATGCCCATACGTCGCCTGCGCGCCCCCCGGCGCCCTAAACCCAACCTCCCTCCCGGTTGAGTAAATATCATTCAACATGCCCTCCAAAACCCCCGCATCCACAAACTCCTCATACTTCCTCCACAGCTTCAGCGCCGTCACCGCATCCTCTACACTATCATGCATACCGCCCTGGATGTCCTCTCTAAGGACACACCACGCGAGGAACTTGAGGTTGAGCTTTCGGTGTAGCTGCGGCTTGAAGAAGAGATCGACGGTGTCCACAACCTGGGCGCGGGGCACATGAATGTTGATGGTGCGGAAATCATTGGCGAGGGAGTGCCCGATGAAGGTGCAGCCGGCGTTGAGCAGGATCCAGAGTTTTTTGTAGGCGTGCTTGAGGGAGACGAGGGCGTGCGGGCTGGTCTCGCGGTTCAGATCGCCTGGCGAAATCCCGCTCCACGCGGTAAGATAGTCGACCACAGGCTCGGAGACGGCGATGTAGTCGTCGATGAAGGGGAGGCCTGCGTTTTCCCCTTCGCCACGACACACGGAGACGCGCGCCAGCCCTTTGCGGTCGGGCCGGATAGTTTCGCGTGTGCCGTCGGCTTTCATTTCGATCTCTTCGGACTGGAGGCGGATAAATTCGGCGTCGATGGCGACGGGGAAGGAGGGGCGGGGGGTTTCGCTGGCGGGGTCGAGGAGCTTGAACGAGGTTGAGGGAGGAGCCGGGTTCGCGGACCACCAACGGTAGAGGATCGAGGTGTCGAGGATATCTTTCCAGCCGTCATCGATCTTGCCGCGGGCTGTCTTGAGCTGGTATGTGAGGACGCTGGGGAGTTTCCAGCTGGGTTCGAAGCGAAGGGCTTCTTCCTTTGGGATTGGACGCACGAGGAAGTCGTTGAAGAGGTGCCACTTGTCTTCTGTGGCTTCGGTGGCCTCGCGGTTGGAGGGCGTCGTATTGATGGTTGCTACAAGATGGGGCTTCTGGTGCTCCCCGCTGTTGATGTCTGCAACCACACCGACGAGCTCGTACACGAGGATATCGAAGACGCCGCGCTGGAGGTGCAATTTCAAATCCTGGCCCTCGAAGCAGTAGAATTGGCCTTGATCTACTATGATCCCGATTTCCTGCGGAAGCCAGTTGGGTATCGACCAGAGGAGCTTAGCTTCGTGGCTTTGGATGGCCGCGTTGAGCATAAGCACGCCGGGTATCGACTGGATGGTTTTTCGCTGCACCATCTGCTGATAACGGTTGCACTTTGTGCACCATCCCTTCATCTGGTCCTGACGCTCCACGCTACTCTTCAAAATCTGGGAGAAGGTAGGCCGTGGGCCTCGAGCGTTCTTCATGACATGTTTTGCCGGATACACGAGCTCATTGACAAAGGTCCTACCACCTCTAATGGTCTCATTGCTGCATTGCGCGCATCTCATACTTGCACGTGCCTGCGTTTCTAGCACCTGGTCCATGAGCGATGATCCACCAGCACCTCCGAGCATCTGGCGAAATTCCTCGGAGATCTTGTCCAGGATAAAGCGGTTGAAGGCCTGGATCATGCTGGTGAGTGCGACGTTCGGAGCAAACTCCTCCAGTAGATTCAGCGACACTGCGTTTGACAGCCCGCTGAATGTTTTGAGAAAGTTGGATGCCTGGCAATTCAGCCCCGCGGCCTTCTCGAGCATATCAATAAGGAAGCCCAGCTCGCAAAGCAGACATGACTCGTACAGACAAGGCGAAGCAGTATGGCGGAGAGCCAGATTGCGGACTAATGGGGTGAATCGTAATAATTGCAGCAGGGGATTAGCATACGAGTTTGTGATGTGGGTCTCTAGACCAGAATAAGGGGTTTGGTTATAGTATCTGGGGATGGGATTAGCAAAGTCGATGTGCAGGCGATGGCTTACTGACGCAAAGTCGAAATCGTCGACACCGAATCTGCTGTACTTGATCTCCACGTTGCCGTACATTGCTGGCACATCCTTCCGCGTCACATCGTCAAGATGCATATCGGTCAGCGTCTCCATGGTCTCTACTGTCTTCGCCTCCATTTCACCCAACGACTGGGCCGCACGCGCTTTTTCACTCAGAAATTTAGGTGCCGTCAGAGACTCTGGCCCTCTGTCTGACTGCCGGGTATCCTCGACTTGATACCGCCGCTTCGTTTTGGGGTTCTTTGCGAAGAAGCCCATGTCTGTCCGTGTCATGCTGCTGAGAATCGCCGGATCAATTTTAGGCGGCGGCGCGCCGACCTCGAAGAGCATATGACTTGGCCAGCCAGAAAGAAGGTGTTCCTTGTAGTACGGCATGCCGACCGTATTCAGGGGCCTGTCATGGTCAGCTGGGTCGGCGCCAAGTGCGTTGGTACCTACGTTTCTAAAGACCAATCCATGGCCGGTGGCGGTACAACTGCATCCGCAAACTCGGTGGGATTACTGTACTCTGGAAAATGGACCTTGGAGGGCGATCCCCACAGATGAAGGTGAGCATTGGAGTCGGAAAGTACAAAGGCCTCGCTCGACGGCGCCATCTCCAACCCTGTGAGGTACGCGTCGTACATGTTGAGCTGGCGCAAGTTGGCCGAGTCCGGGTTCATGAGGTCGATAACCTGCATCTGGCCGGCTTGCGAAGCAATGATGGCGGTGGTCGACATGCGCGGGTGCATGCGCACGAAAGCGGCGCCGGTGTGGAATGGAATGGGGGGAAGCTGCTTGAGCGTCTTGAGAGAAAAGACATGAGTGAAAGGATCTAGCATGAAGCCAAACTGCTGTCTCGGTGACCAGCCGCATGTAGCGAGAAAGTCGCCCTTAGCGTCCATGTCGCTGATGCTGCCGGTGTGTCCATCGAAGATCTTGACGACAGAGAGCGAGCCAGAGTCTAGGATGTGTATGCCGCCGTTGTTGGTGGCAGCGCATATGTATCCGCCTGCGCGTTTCATGATGGTGTATTGGGCGTCGGCGACGAGCTGCGACTGTCAGCAGGATTCCAAGACGCTGGAGCAAGAGGTTTACCGTGTCGACAATGGTGCCCTTCTCCACGTCCACCTTGAACATCTTCTCCTGGCATCCCGCTACCAGTATCTCCCTCGTGCCCTTGGAGGTGAAGTTCATGCATCGGAGCTCCGTGAAGTCGGCGTTTCTGGCAGCATATCGTTAGCGACCCGTCCTGCTAAAAGCAGCCAGTCCCGACGTACGTCAAATGCCATTGCGTGAGGCCGCGCCGGGTGGCATAGTGCACGCTATGCTCTGAGACGGAGAGGACGCCTTTGTCGGTAAAGAGCAATTGCTTGACGGCACCGACGGTGCCTTCGGCGGGCGCATGGCCGCGGTACGAAGTGTAGCGTTCGAGGGTGGCTCCGAAGAAGGAGGTAATGCGGCCCTTTCATACATCAGCCAACGCGTTGGTGGTGCTGGGCAGGCAGCTCACGTAGTTGTTCCCGGTCCAGAGCAGCTCTTGCAACTGCGCCGCGTTCAATAAGCATGGTCCTAGCGATGCGCTGTCATGGGAGGGTCACCGTATCGAAGGCGAAGGTAGCTACGGGCGTCGCAGGCTGGTGCGGGCCGTGTGGAGGCAGCTGGACGATGGCGAGCTGCTGAATGTTAGCCGCTGCTGCATGTCGTCGAGACGGATGCAAGCCAGCCAAGGCTCCGGGAGAGTTGCAGGCGCTCACCTCGTCCCAATCGGCCTCCATGGTGACAGCGCGTTCACCGGCTCTCTATTCGCACTGCGCGACTCCAGCATGCCTCGCCCAAACGCGTCATGGCTCGTCGCGCGTGGGGTGGTGTTGGTGGATGCGGGATGCTGCCGGAGCTCAAACACGCGGAGCGGGTCGCGCTTGATTGGCGGGGCAGACAAAGCTCCGCCAGCGCGCACACTCTCCACAGAATCGACATGGCAAATGACAGCGTCTGATAGTACGACTGCGAAGGCTCTACCCTCTGTGAAGAGTAGCGCAGGACTGTACATAACACAGCTAAAGTACATAATAGATACAAGTGTCGAGACTCAGTTCAACCGGCTTTCGGTCCCCTTCAGCGCTTCAATGTCGTCGATCTCCTTGACCGCTTCCGTGGTCAATATGTAAGGAGAATCGTCATCCACGCACACGCTGTCTTCAATCCTCATGCCTATGCCCCGCGCCCAAGCTGGCCATCGCTCGTCATCTGGTACGTAGATGCCAGGCTCGACTGTCACGCACATGCCTTTCTCAAAGGCCTTTCCCCTTGTCAAGCCCGGGCTGTCATGCACATCCAAACCAACATAGTGGCCCACATGATGCGGGAACAATTTCTCGATGGCGTCGTTGGACATGTCGAAGCCGAGGTCCGTGAGTCCGTCTGCCAGCGTCCGCGATGCGATCCTGTGGAGGCGGTCTAGCGTGAGCTGAGAAGAGACGGTGCATAGCGACACGCAGCTTCTCTGCACATTCAAGAGCACCTGGTAGAGATCCTTTTGCGCGGGGTTGAACTTTCCACTGACAGGCCACGTCCGTGATATGTCCGTGATGTAACCTCCATACTCGGCACCAGCGTCCACGAGCACAAGCTCGTCGGGTTTGAGCGGCATATCGTTGGTGACGTAGTGTATCGTGTTGGCGTTGATGCCACCCGCGACCACGGGGACGTACGCTGGGCCATCACAGCCGTCCTGCTTGAACCAGTAGTCCAAAAAGGCATCAAGGTCTTTCTCCGCAGTCCACGTCTGCCGCATCGCGTCTGTGATGGCGCGCCCAGAATGCTGTCCCGCTTTCCGCATGTTCTTGAGCTCGGCCTCGCTCTTGATGACCCGCAGCTCGTTCAAGTATGCCCTAAGCGGCTTGATCTTCTTCTCTGATTCTCGGAACACAGTCACGATGCCGCCCGTCCGCGAGGGCTCTGCACCAGACAAGTATCTCGATAGCAGGTTTCTGTTTATCCGGTTGTTGGGCAGGTCTGTGTATACCTGCTCCGCGCGCTTCAGCACCTCGGGCAGGATCTTGGGCAGGTTGTTGATGTCGCCCGTGGTGTCGGCGTTGAAGACGTCTTCGGCGGCTTGTATGCCGGATCGTGACCCCTCCCATTGCTCGAGTTTGGGGTCCTTGGGACGGACGTAGAGGTGGAAGTTGTGCTCGTCGTCGTCGATCTTTTCGATAATGGCAAGGGCGTCCGGTTCGTTGAAGCCTGTCAAGTACAGGAAATCAGGATCTTGGTGGAACTTGTAGAAGACAGCGCCCGAGCGGTACTTGACGTCGGAGGCGGCGAGCACGGCAATGGAGCCCTTTGGGAGCGCCTTCGCAAGCCTGGCCCGCCGGTCGTAGTACTCTTGCGCGGTGATACCGGGGGTGACTGCATGCCTGTTAGACCTGATTCACACAGAAAGGGCGCAGCGGTCGTACTTTCCCCAGGCTTCAGCAGGTGCGGGTGCGTCTCATGAAGCGGCTGCCCGAAGCGCAACTCGGCGGCCGACACGCTCAATGGCCTCCTCAGAGATGCGCCGCGCCATCTTGACCGTGCTACAGGCCGCAGTATCCGGACCGAGCAGTTCATCTCAAGGCATGCGACGAAAGCGACAAGGAAGAGCTCCAGCCAATGCGCGCGAAGATGATCCGCGGCTTCGTTGATTGTTATCGATAGCGCAAGTGGCACCACTACGCGCTGTGGCCATCACTTGCTGTGACCGCACTTGATGCACGCGCTGATTCCTCTCGTTGAGCTACCGTAAGGTCATGTCAGAGTCTTTGCCATATCACATGTGGACCGTAGTTGATTGGCCCTGCAGTGTTCTTAGACCAAGAGTGGTGTTCTGAGGCACCTGCGGATCCGTTACACTGCAGCTGCCTCAGCAAATGATGTCTGCCTGGCAAACACGCATATATCCATACTCTTGCAAACTTCACACATCCATCCACCGTTCCAGCTCTCTATCATTGAATCGCATCTTGCACAGAATGGCTTCCTCGGCCTCCCGACCCGGCGTAGTCCCGCAACAAGACCTCGAGTCGTTCCAAGAGCACTTGAACAAGTCCACACGCATTCTCGCGCTCCTCGGCGCCGGATTGTCTGCCTCTTCAGGCCTCCCCACATTCAGAGGCGCCGGAGGACTGTGGAGGACCCATGATGCTACACAATTGGCCACTCCAGAGGCCTTCTCAGCGGACCCGGGTCTGGTATGGCAATTCTACAGCTACCGCCGACATATGGCCCTCAAGGCGAAGCCAAATCCCGCGCACTACGCCCTCGCCGAGCTGTCCAGGAAGAAGGAGAGCTTCCTCACGCTTTCCCAGAACGTAGACGGTAACCCAACACCCCCACCTTTGCCCCGCAATGACCGCTGACCTGGTCGCGCAACAGGCCTCTCCCCGCGTGCAAACCACCCCGAGGAGTCGCTGAAGCTGCTCCACGGGTCGCTGTTCGACGTCAAGTGCTCTGATTTCTTCTGCAACTACCTCGAGAAGAACAATTACACAGACCCGATAGTGCCCGCGCTCGCCATTCCCACGTCAGAGGAAGATCCCACCACCACATCCGCCCTCGCGTCGCGCGAGCTCGACATTGCTGATGAGAACGTGCCTATCCCCGAGCTGAGCTACAAGCACCTCCCCAAATGTCCGAAATGCAAGCGCGGCCTGCTGCGCCCGGGCGTGGTATGGTTCGGCGAGATGCTGCCCGAGAAGGTGCTGGATGACATTGAAGAATGGATACAAAAGAAGGACCCGATTGATCTGATCATGGTCATTGGGACAAGCGCAAAGGTGTATCCCGCGGCCGGGTTCGTCGACCGTGCAAGGGCAAAGGGCGCCCGGGTCGCCATCATCAACATGGACAAGAACGACGTACCTGCGAGCGGACTAGCCAAGGGCGATTGGTTCTTCCAGGGCGATGCGGCTCAGATATTGCCTGAGATACTGAGTAGTCTCATTGGCGAACTGAAGGAGACGCCTGATGCAGCTGCGGGAGCCGACAACGCGGTCATCGAGGCGGCAGCATAGCGCATGAGCGTATCTCGGGACGATAGAGCTGAAGATACTTCCCATGGCGACTGAAATTTAGCGACAGAGGCCTTTTCTCGAGAGCTATCACGGCGTTGTTTAGGTAATGATGATACAAAACTGCGGCACCTTAGATACTACAACAATTCAAATGCTTATCTTGAATAGGGAGCGTCCATCACAAACACATCCGTGAGCACAGCAATCGCGGATGGCAAGACACTGTATTTCATATCCACCATCCATTGCAACAGCAGAGTTCGTTTATATGTTAATTACATATCCATCCTCCGTGGACGGCTTCTGCATTCATAAGTTCGATTTTGCGAAATTCGCCCCCTTTAGGAAAGCCGTTTATGTTATTCTCAAAACACCAAAGAAGTAGCTCGGCGCCTCCGTATAACGTACGTGCGTAAGGACAAGTCAGTGCTCAATCAGGCAACCACAAGACAACCTACATGTACCGGACCATCGCCATATCGGGTATTAATAATTCAAGCGCACTGCAACATGTCTTCGACCCTCCGTCGCTCCGTCCCGCACATGACGCGCGCACTCACTTCATCTTTGCCTCCAGCTTCACCTCCAGCATCATCTCCAGGCGCCTCACCACCACAACCACAATCCCAACGCACCACCTCTCTATTTCCCTCCTTATCTCCATCCCCGCCACGACCACAACCACAAACGCAAATACAAACACAAACACCGCCACCACCCTATTCCTCGAACTCAGCACTCAGCTCAACACTCACACTCCCCTCCGGCCTTCTCCTGGGTTATGCCACGTACGGCGCTCCCACCTCCCCCCACCCTCCAATCTTCTTCTTCCACGGCTCGCCCTCGTCCCGCCTCGAAGGTTCCGAATGGGCATCCGCCGCCCTCGCCACATCGACTCGCCTCGTCGCCATCGATCGGTGGGGCCATGGTCTTTCGTCTCCGCGGCCTGGGACGAGGGTGCTCGACTGGCCCGGCGACGTGCGCGCCTTAGCAGAGCACCTCAGACTTCTCGGTAGCAACGAGGACGGGAGGTGCCAGGGATTCTACGTCGTCGGCGCCAGCGGCGGCGGACCCTATGCGCTCGCCTGCGCGCACTCGCTGCCTCCGTCCGAGCTGCTCGGCACGGGGATCGTGGGGGGCGTCGCGCCGCCGGGAGCTGGGACGCGCGGCATGGCGCTGGACCGGCGCTTCACCGTCCTCGTCAACCGCTGGGTGCCCGTTGGGGCCATGGAGAAAGTGCTCGACCTCGCAGCCGGCAACGCCGCGCGCGGGCCCGACGCCGCCTGGGCTCTCCACGCCGAGCACCTCATGCCCACACTGTCCCGAGAAGAGCAGGAGTACTACACCGACCCCCGACATGAGAAAGAGAAAGCAGCGCTGCTGGCGTGCTACCGCGAGGCGTTCCGACAGGGAGGCAGGGGACCCGCGGAAGATGCGAAGCGCGTGCTTGGAAACTGGGGGTTTGAGCTTCGGGAGGTCAAGGGGAAGGTGAAGATGTGGAACGGGGGCGCGGACGTAAACGTGCCTGTACGGACGACGCGATGGATGGCGGAAAGGATAGAGGGGGCGGAGTTGAAGGTGTTGGAGGGGGCGACGCATTTTGGTGTGCCGGTGCGGCATGCAGAGGAGATTTTGAGGGAGCTGGTGGGAGTGGGGATGAAAGGGAAAGGGGAATAAGGTGCGACGAAGGGGGACGGTGCTTGTAGGGATAAGTGCATGTGCAATCTCAGCTCTGGGGCACATTTCCTGTCACCAAATGAATCGACTTCCTTGAGCAGACAGTTGCAGAATTTAGTACACGGAGAGTCACTTGCTGTGTCAGCCGAAGATAGGAGTAGACTTGTTGGTACCAAACAACATGCAACATGACATTGAAGGCAGCTATCGAATTAAAAGACATTCACTCATTCGTGTCCATTGTTCGCCCCCACCTATTTGAGAGTGTGGCGACTTGGTTGATTCACCTTGGTAGGTATCCATTTCTCCATTCCCCTCCCCTAAACTCCGTAAATTCGCACATATCAAACGAGATCAAGCCGCATCATACTGTCGGTAAACTGCCAGAGGCGAGCGAGTGATGGGAGGCGGAACGCGATGTGCGCTCGACGCTGCGAGAGAAGGGAAAGTGCGCGCCAAGCAGAGGGGTCTCCGTCCGGTACGCCGTGCCCGCTATCTATGCATTTCATACAGTCAGGTCTCGGTTCGTTACTACGCCCGCTGCTCTTTCGGTAGCCGCTTGAGTGCGGCTTCGACGTCCTTATGATCCACGACAACGCCACTTTCTGAACAGCGCGCCTTGGCGCGGAGCTCTGAGCAGAGATTGTCGATGTCGATGGTACCGTCTTTGAAATCGGAACGACTTGACAATTTGTCCCTATTAAAGGTTAGTGGTGCATTGACGGTGATTGAAGGGCATGCTAACCAGATCTTGTGGCAGTTGAGCAGCTGTGCCGGGTCGTCACCAGGCACAACCTCGTCATCACCATCTTGTATGCGCTCAATCTCCTCAAGCGGATTCGACTTCTGCACGGCGGGAGTATCTCCAAAGTGGAACGGGCTGTTGCCGTAGTCGGCAAGCGGGAATGCGTCGTTGAAGAAGCCATTGGTGAAGTCCCCGTCGCCAACGATGGCACTTTGGGATTCTCGGTAGTCTCCAAAGAGCGTTGGGTCGAAGTTGCCGCCGTTCTGATTGGCGAAGAAATCGAAGCCGACGGCGTTGGGAGCGGTGGCAGGGCTCTGTGTCGCACCTGCAGGGGGTCTCGCGTCAGATTGTGATTTGGCGCGGGGGATAGGATTGCGAGGATTGCCACAGGCCATATTGAGCTTCTCGCAGAAGGTAACCTCACCTTCCGAATTTCCATGACACACATATCCATCAGCGATCGTATCCAAGTTCTTGGGCGAGTTGTGGCTCGGCTCAGGCGACGTGTCGCAAGACGAATTCTGCCCAATGGCCGAGGTTGATGAGGCTGAAGGTGAGTCTGAATGTGTAGACGAATTGCTGTTGAACTGGAACACGCGAGTGGACGGGTTAGAGACATCAGTAGCATTTGAGCCGTTGTTCAAGCCAAACATGCCGTTGAGGCTTCCAGTGCGAGAGTTTGTGGTTGTTGTGGGGCTGGCACCATTGTTGTCGGGCGTGGCCGCATCCCCATTTGATGTCTTTGGGCTGACACTGCGTACTGTGCCGTCTTGACGACCTCCAGCAACCGAGGAGACTGAAGAGGTCTTATTCTTGGAAAGAGGTCCGTTATCCAGTATATGCGCTCCAGGAAGTCCGCCAAAGCGAGGAAATTCGAATTGGAAACTGCCGTTCGTGGAACCACCGTTGTTCAGCATCGAGCTGAATCCACCCATGATAGGTGGGGAGCGATTGCTGACGCCGCTGCTATTAAGCGACAAGCGCTTCCTGTATTCGCGTAGCTCCATCTGCAAACGCTGGACCTGAGCGCGGAGAAGGCCGTTCTCATGGTTCGCGGAATCAGACGCTTTCTCGAGCTCGGCGACCTTGGTCTCGAGGTCCTTCAGGTGCTTCTCCTTTCGCTCTCGGAAAGCCCGCTGTGCTGCTCGGTTTTGTGCCTTGCGCTTCTGTTGCGTTGGTCAGTAATCGTACTGCTGTCGAATCTGGTGGCACGTACTGTAGTCGGCTCTGATGTCAGTGGCTTTCTACCAGGCTTCTTTGCCTCTTTGGCTTCTCCTTCTCTCCTCTTGCCGCCACCCTCTGCGTCTTCACCGTCGTCGCCGGGGCTCTTGCGCTTCTCTGAAGCCTCTCCTTCCCTGGTGGGGCTATCGCCGGGAAGCGCGCCAATCATGAGATCACTGTTGTCGGCATTGTCGAAGTCAAAGTTGGTATCGCCGTCAAGGTAGTCGCCGAAGGGGCTCTCTTCGATGCTGCCAATGTTGTTGAAGGCAGATGCCGGCGTGCTCTGCTGGGGGGAGGTGAAGAAGCTCTGGTCGATATTGTCGACGGGGAAGTTGAACTGCTGGCCGTTGGGTAGGCTGTTCATAGTCTGCTTTGCGTCCAAGCCAGTCGCGAAGATGTCGTTGTGGTTCTGGGTATTTGAAGCAAGTGCAGCCAGAAGCAGATCTTGTTGATTGGGGTCCAGGTAGAACTGGCCCGCACTCTGGAAGTCGTTCCTCGACGTCCCAGCCATGGCGCTGTCGAGGCGGGGTCAACGTCCAAGGACAAAGAATAATGCGGCGGTTGCGGTCAGTGGGGAGATGCGGCGGATAAGCTTGTCAACGGCCGCCTAGTGAACGATGTCAGGGCCGGAGCGGTCTTGGTGGGAGTGCGGGGGGCGAGGAAGGTCTGGAAGAGCGATTAGCAGACGGCAATCTGACTGCCAGCCGCCGACTTCGCCACCTGCCGGTGGAGTTGGAGCGCATACAGCAGGGATCGAATGATGCGGTGCATAGAACGGGGCGCGCAACAGCAAAAGAGAAAGCGAGGCGCAACTTGTGTCGAGTCGGATCAAAGCGGACGAGCAGGCGGTCTGGTGCGGTGTAGGGCTGAGCGTACCTGGTGCTACGAGCAAGCGAGACCGCGTGCGCGGAGCGGACAATTCTCGACTCTTCTCTGACGTAGACACAAAGGGTTACCGGAGTCAGGCAGGCAGTTGTAGGAGGCACGATCAGAGGGCGTGCAAAATGCCCATACGTAGCCTGCTTGGGTATCCGGACTAACAGGTGACCTGCGGATCTGGGACAGACGAAGGCGTCAAGGCCGGGGTGCGCGGACAAGGCAAAAGCAGCGGCCGGAAAAAGGGCGGAGCGGCAGGGCAGTGATAGGCTGTTCCAGTAGGCGAGCAGCAGGATGAGGGGCAAAACGCGCGCGCAAGAGGCGGAGTGTCACAGTGACTCTTTCTCTGCATGGCTTATCAATCAACATGCAAAAGCGGCGGGCTGCCCGAAAGAGGCATGGCGGGGTAGTAAGACGCGAATGGAGTGGGAGAGAGCACCCGTAAGAATCGCGTAGAAACCCATGTTTGACGATCAGGCACTGCCCAGAATTTCACCAGGCACCGGATCTTGTCCCCGTCGCCTGGCGGGCAGCGCGGCATTCCAAGGCCATGCCGCTCAACGGCGGCGGCCCACCGCGGGGACGTGGGATGGCAGAGCCTCAGCGAGGTGATCAGAGGCCAGACGCCAATTGGTGCTTATGCATCGACACAACCCAGAACACGGTGTCTCAGCGGCACGAAGACAACACGATGTTGGATGCTCGTTCTCATGCTTGCACTTCACGGTAGACTCTGGAAGCACGGCAGCAAGGAAAGTGCGCAGCTGGACGCCAATGGAGACTTGTGTTGATGGCCCCTTGGCGTCCAGACAGTCCTCGGAACATTTGATCCATATCGGTGCGGAAGACGTTCCATGTTGCAGTCGTGAACCATAGTTCAACACCTCGAGGGTGGAGTCGGCACCTGGTGCTATACAGACACGTGACCGTACTAGCGCGGCTCGCTCCTGCCCTTGCCGCCTCCACGCGGGCGTCATTGCCTGTCGAGTCGAGAGATACGCTATAACGTCTGCACGCGCCCGACGCTCGACTCTCCCCCCGCTCGGCCTGTCGCACCGCAGGGATCACTTCACCATGGCCCAAGACTTGCAGAAACTCAAGAACGACATCTGGTACGCCAAGCAGGCTCTCGAAAAGCAGGAAGCAAGCCATGCCGAGTGGGCAGCGCAGGTACGTAGCGTACCAATTGGTGCCTGTCTTTGCAGCCAAAAGCACGCACATGCCGCTGTTCTGCTCTTGCTGACACTGCCACAGTATGATCAGGTCCAAAAGATCCTCGAGGCGGATCCCAACAACGAAGATGTTGCCGCTATGGTCGCAGAGATCAAGGAGGCCATGTCGCAAGAGGAAGCCAAGCTGGGGCCCCTCCGCGAGCAGCTAAAGGCACTGGAGGCTCAGCTCCCCAAGGGCAATGCTGCCCCAGAGCGCAAGTACGATCCCGAGCAGCACCCGCTGCTCAAAAAGACGCTCGAGAAGGCCGAGCCAGCAAAGGCTGCCGTGTACAATACAGGCGACATAATTGAGGCGCGCTTCTTCGATGGCCTCTGGTACAAAGCTAAGATTATGACCATCCTCGGCTCTTCTTCTGCGCCCAAGTATAAAATTAACTATGTCGAGTACAACGAGGACGCAACCGTCGACCGCGATGCTATTCGCCCCATCCAAAACAAGCGCAAGCGGGAACTTGAGCCTACTACCACTTCAGCGCCGGCTGCCGCTCCTGCTCCGGTCACGTCCACGCCGCACGTCATCTCCGGTCCCGCCAGTGTCAATCCGAAGACGCAGCAGGCGAAGGCAGATACGCCAGGCGACGATGCCGAGCCCAAGAAGCGCAAGATCCCGAATAAGAAACAGCTCGAGCAGAAAGTGAATAACTGGAAAAATTGGAACAGCAAGGGCGTCGGGAAGAAGATTTCGCAGAAGGACTCCATGTTCCGCACCGGAACCAACGTGAACAGCCGGGGTGAGTTCCGAAATCAAGAGGTCCGTTGGACGTGGCTAACATATGGCAGTTGGCTTCACAGGATCTGGCAGCGGCATGACCGAGACTTCTAAGCGTGTCCGATACGATAATAAGGCTGCAGCAGATGCGGACCGAGAGCAGGATTAGGCATCCGGCCCAGACGCGAGGGGTTTCCGCTCAGAGAGGCCCTCGGGCGGATGGCCCGCTCACTCAAAAAGATCCGGTTACTGAGGCGGTCCGTATCAGCCTATGCTGCTAGACGTATGCTGACCGTTTCCAGGGTCCTGCACACTTCGCCCGCACTCTGACGGAATGCACACTGTCGGCTCATTACGATTTTGCATGTCGGCGTTATGGAATTGCATCGGTATGGCTTTCACGCTCAACCTCCGCTCAGAGCTGTCACCACTAAGCTTGCGCCTCCGCTATAGGAACGGCGCTTTATACCCACGTATTTTCACATACCCCAGCTTCACCAGCACAAATCAAAGGTAAGACTGTTTGCTTTGTCTTGTTAGCACTTTCCCCCTGGATTATGCACACACTGGACAGGAAAATGGCACACTGATATCGCGGTGGGTCTGGGAAATTACGCAGATAGAACATAAAGCAAAGCTTCGCTGAAAAAGCTAGTTGATCTGTTGGACTGCCCGCCTCATCCATGATTTTTCGTACCACACACCCTCTGAACCCCACCTCCTACATTGAAATCAAACATACTGCACCCACAGTCCTCGAAGATCATCCCCACCGCCATCAAGCCGCTCCTTCATCCCCTTGGGCTTCCCCTCTCTTGCCAGAGCCGCCAGCACAACGTCCCCATACCAAAATCCTCCGGGGCGCACTTTGGCCCCATCCTCCTCGTCTCTGGGTAGCACCAATTTGACCTTCGCGCCGCTAGGCAACTCAGGAATGGACACGAAGCGGTCCGTGCCGAAGCAGGAGTGTGACGTGTCGGCATGGGCGAGGTCGGTGAGCAGCGTCTTGTACGTGGCGCGCGTGGCATCAAGCGACGCGGTTGAGTCCACCATAACCGTCAAACTCTGCACCCCCAGCACACCCGACGGATGTTTCATTTTTTCATCCGACAGCGGCACCCTGATCTCTCTCGGCGTCGTATCATGACAAAAAAACGGCGTCAGCCCTCTCTCCCCTTGAGGGAAGGTAACGGCCCATTTTACGTCGACGCCGTCGGGGCGCTGGCGGCCGCCGTGGACAGGGGTTTTGTGGGAGGCCTCGATAGAGGCGTGGTTGGCTTCTGGGGTGAGGTCGTTGGTCAGACACCAGTCGGCCCAGCCGGGAGAAGTAGCGTAGTGAGACCACCAGTGGGCGGAGACTTTATCTGAGGGTGCGGAGGGGAGGAAGGAGATTAGCTCGAGGTAGCAGCCGTCTGCGAGGAGGATGAGTGTGTCTGGTGGTGTCAGTCGCAGTTCTTTTATGGGGAGAGGCTGTGTAAGGCTCAAGCCTTGGAGGATATAGGATACTGAGGCTTGAAAATGAACGAATTTGTCGATACGAAGACGATGTGGTGCCATCAAGTAGAACGCAAGAGTGAAAGTGCTTCAATGGATTTTGGTGGTGGATTCGGAGATGATGATTGGAAGGATTGGACGTACTCGATGTCAGGCCATCCGCGTGAACGCCGCCGGGTGTGAGCGTGAAGTTGTCGCTGATAAAGGAAGGGATTTTGGGCAAGTTGGTGTCCGGGTCGGCGGGGAGGAACAGGATGAGGTGGTCGAGGGCGTTTTTGGGGTCGTGCGATGCCATTATTTTTATGATATTTCTTACGGAAAAGTACAGTACGCGTCCGTGGTAATTTGATCACGGGGATAAGATATGGCAGACGGCCGTCCCCGATTCCAAGGACAGTTCGACAGTCAGTGTGGATAAATTTGTCGGTATCAGTTCTCTAAATACCGTCAGCAAAGATCTGAATGTCAATGAAGGGCGAATAAATGCTACTGACTCATCCCTCCATACGCCAATTCCGCTCACGATGCCCGATTATTGAGTCCTAGTTTGCATGGGCTAATCAGGGGATATATCCAGTGCTTCAAAAGTGTAGACTGGAAGAATTATTCGGTTAAATATTGAATAACAAGTTCCAAACTGGTCACTATGGTCGCGCTTACACTGATGGTTTCGTGCTTCCCGGTAGGTATGATTTTGGTTGGAGTCGAGCCAATCCTGCTCCCTACAATGCCAAGGATGAGGGGCCGTGTCCTACTACGGAGCAGTCTCCATATAGCCGTTGGCATCCGCCCACGGTTGAATGCCGCCAAAAACACGAGACGATAACTTGCTCACAGCTAGCACGCTTTCACTTCGTACATGTGCCAAGTCTCCGAAGGATCGCCCCATGCATTACAGACATGGTACCGCACAGCCTCATTCGTGTCCCTAACCAGCGCACTTGTTTCCCTAACCAGCATGTCTTGACGTCGCCACAGCCCTCTTTAGCCCAACTTCAAAGAGGCATTGTGTAGACAACAGTTCAACACAGAATCTTTTCCTACCTGCGAAGTCTACAGGATGAAGAAGCGGTCTCGTGCTTGTGAAGAATGTCATCGGTTAAAAATCAAATGCGATTTAAGCACCTCCCCTGCAGGAACGGCATGCGAGCGGTGCAGCCGCAACAACCTGGAATGCGTGCCGTCGACGCCACGTCTGCAACGGGATCGCATCAGTGAACTTGAAGCCCAGGTCGAAGAACTTAAGAGGACGCTGCGGGAACAGAGCAACAGCAGCACGCCAAGCCAGTCACCCGCGAGCCAACTGGAAGACCACAATGCATACATTCTATCCTTTTTGGACGTTCGCATTCCGCTAGGAAGACAACAAGATTTGCTCCATCTCTTCCCACAGCAGGCAGGGGCAGTGTGGCCGGTGATTCGCGTTATTACGGACCTAAACTACATACGCGAGAGATCACCGATTCTGCTGCTCTCGATACTGGTGTATACTGTCACTCACAATGTTCAAGGGACCCAGCTCGAGGTGCACGATGAGCTCGTGCGACACACCGTACACATTCTTGGTGAGGAAGTCATTGGCAGAGGGCAGAGATCCCTTGAGCTCGTCCAGGCGTTACTGGTCGCTGCATTCTGGAACAAATCGACTCGGAAAGGGGAACAGGGAAGCTGCTATCAGCTCATACAATTGGCTACCGATATGGCAATCGATATCGGTATCGCTGGACCCTCGCTACAACCATCTCCTGTGGCGTACTTTTAATCAGCATGAGGATCCTACATCACCTGAAGCACGTCGTACCTGGCTAGCCTGTTTTGTAGCCCTTGCATCATCTGCCTCCAGTTTGCGCCGGCCCATTACGGTTCCGTGGAATGCCCATCATGAAGAGTGCGTCTCAGCCCTGGAGAGCATAGGAGAACCGTCTGACATCTTTCTTTGCCAGCTCGTCCGCATCCAGCAGTTGATCCAAGATATCCACGATCAGCTTTTCCTTTCCCAAATAGCTGCCTTTGTAGACAGCAGCGAATTCGCGACTTACGCCGCAATGAGCACTCTGAAGAACAGAGTAGATGCATGGGCAGCCCAGATCCCACCCGGCCTCGCATCTTCACAGACGCTCAAAGTATGGTACCATGTAGCCATGATCTTCGTATTCGAGCCTGTACTCCACACGCCTACGAATAAGGCCGCATTTGTCGCACCGTTCATTCCAGGACGTATTCCCATCAACGACTTCCCAAAACCCACCAACATCACAATCCCTCTGAAGTTGGCGCTCGAAGGCCTCGTAAGCAATTGTCATGGTGTGATTGACACCGTCACAGAAATGGATCCCTCGGTGCTGGTCAACATCTCAACGTTCTCATTCACACCCTTGGTGCTGTATTCGCTCTACGTGCTGGTCACGGTCATGGTATCAGCCAATGATCCAGCCAATACGTACGGACAATATGTTGCGAGGGAGAGCTTCCGTATCGAGGCGTGTGGCTTGAAGCTCCGGCATTTGTCAGCTTCGATGAAAGCCTTGGATCCTACGTTCAGTTGCTATACGACCCGTATGATGGACGCGACAAATTGGCTCGAGCAGTGGTACAACGACTACACTGCCATTCTTCGGCGGTATGAAGCAAACCTTGCGAGTTAGTGTCTAACCAGAGGCGACGGTATTGCATTGGAAAATTAGCATACCTGGAAAACAGGAAATGACAAGCTAAATAACATTGCGTGCACCAATACTCCGTAACGCCATGCATCAATCATTGCACAGTGACCTCCCAAATTCTCTTTTGCAGCTAAACATGAGGGCAGGTGTACAATTCGTCGGTCAGTTTTCGCCGTTCCCGAGTCGGGCGTAAAGTAGAGTGGGGTCGGCCAGATTTCACCGTTGCTCGCGCGTAGTAATGTGCGCAGCTGATTGGCGTTGATGCCTTTCACGAGGCTAGGCAATGGCTGTGCACAGTAATGTAAATGATCCGAGCACTACACATTGTGTTTTGGGTCATAGTCAACCAAAGTATGCTGGGGGCAAGCTCAAAAAGTAGTGAGCGCTTTCCTAATGTTGTATGTTTCGTCTAAGCGCAGCGTGATCGTATGGATCCCATTCACCGGTACCCATGGCGGAGGAACAGGTTTTGGTCGTGCATGCACGATCAGTTGGTGTACCATCGATCATGAGCTGCGATGTTGAACGACATGAATGAGAGGAAACGGATGCTTGGCTGACTCCGCGGAGAGACTCTTGAGGCTGAAATTGTCTTGCAATGTATAAAGACCATGGCAAGACCTCCACGACGAGAAGCATCAACACGACACCAGCTTCGTCCGCTATCCGCTTCAAATTTCCTCATCGCTCTCCCCATCCAAGTTCCTCTCAAGAGCTCAGAAATTATCAATAATGCGAACTTCTATTTGGTCCTATGCCTTGATGGCCGCCGGCTCCTGCCTGGCTCAAGGTGATCTCGCCGGACTTCTCTCTTCCCAAGAAGACCTTAGCACGTTGCTCGAGCTGGTCAGCCTCGTGCCTGGACTTGCGGACACACTCGCCGCTGCTTCGAACATCACCATCGTAGCACCGACGAACGCAGCTTTCGACGCAGTACCGAGGAATGTTCCAGAAGGCGAGGCAATCGAACAGAAGAACGACTCTATTGCTATTGGAGCTTTGCTCGCGAACCACGTCTTCAAAGGAGTCTACCCTTCGGATATCATCACCGATGTTCCTACTTTTGCGCAGACATTGCTCAACAGCTCATATATCATTCCCCGACAGCCTTTCTCGAATTTTACTGGAGGTCAATATAATGGGCTTGTGAAGAACGGAGACGATGTGTGCATTCTATCTGGAGAGCAAACCATTTCTACCGTTACTCAAGCTGTGAGTGGTCTAGTTCCTCGCTGAGTTTTTCAATCATTCGGGGCGTACTGACTGAGCGAGCAGGACATCAAATTGGGCGACGGTATCACAATCCACAAGATCGACACAGTCCTGTCCTTTGGCCCACCCCTCCAACTCTATACCTACCGAGCTGGCTACTTAGCTATGAACGCTGCGCTCGAGGCTGCAGATCTCGGCATCGATATTGGCCTGACCGGAGCAGATGAGAAGGGTCTGAATATTTCTGACTTCACCATCTTCATTCCCAAGAATGATGCCCTTTCTTCCATCGGCTCGGTACTCGAAACCGCAGACAAGAACACCTTGCAACAGGTGCTGAAATATCACATCATCCCCAATAACGTTATCTTCTCACCATCGCTCGGAAACGTCACGATTCCCTCGCTTCAGGGTGACAACTTGACTTTCACTGTTCTGCCAGACGGTTCGGCTTGGGTCAACAACGCAAAGATCACGTTCGCCAATGCCATTCTGTACAATGGTATTGCCCATGAGATTGACGCGTAAGTGGCACACTTGAAGCTAACGCAGTTTTTTACTGACATTTTTCAGCGTGCTGAATCCCGGAGATTTCGACCGCGCCTCATTGAAGCCGTCCGCCCCCGCATCCGAACGCATCGCCTTTCCCAGTGCAGCCGCAGTCCCGATTTCTGAGCTACCCTTCAGCAGTATCGCATTCCAGGGCGACCAGGAGACGTATACCAAGACACCTGCGCTGCTCCAGACCATGATTGCTGTTCCTACTTCCACCTCTGGTGCTGCCACCACGGGCGCTGCTACCGGAACACAGTCAACCCCGACCCCAACTGGGGCAGCAGAGTTCCCCGGTGCCGCTAACAGCCTGTTCCCTCATGCTGTCATGGCATTGCCTGTTGCGATCGGTGCGGCTGCGGCTCTGTTATGAAGACTGACGCGTCCGGGAGGTCTCTATGTTGCCGGCGTAGCAGACGATGATAAAGTATGATGCTACAAGAGACAGCGCGAAGGCGAGGGCCCATGGTGATTTGATGGTGGTAGTGGTAATAGACTTTGATATTCGGTTTCTGTCGCTGAGAAAGGGCATGATCGGTGTTGGTAAGGAGTTCTGTAATATACTGATGTGGATAGCGAGTTCGAAATTGCATCAGAGATTTCTGCACACGATACCTAATGGTTACAATGAACTCCACCGTTCAACTTACAAGATGTTACATCGTCTAAGAAAGCGTAGCATGAAAGGAAGGCGATCTGACAGTGGCTCGATTATGCGATGCCGTGCGATAGAAACACGCGAACCCACAGGAACTGAAAGCTACTCCTAGGGATGATAAGCTTATCCCAGGCTTCGGAAAGGTTCAGGCGGTGCAATTACATAAAGATTCCTCAATTTTACGTTCTACGAAACGGTGAATTCTTTCCAACGGAAATCAAACAGGCACTCGCGCGAACGCGGCCAACAACACTTGCTGCGACTGACCATGAGACGGGCCACGTGCAGGGATTTCCAATATTTATTCCGCACAAGGACCGATGTTGCAGGTCTCATGGCCCTTCGGCAAGGTATCTGCAGGGATATGTCCGGCTAGAAAAACCTGTAGGGCTGAAAGCCCCTGAGCTGCGCCTTTGCTTACTTCCGGGGTCTCTCAGCACTTGATTGCTCCATTCAAGGATCCGAACATGCAACCAAGACTGGGGAAAGAATTCAATCTGACACTTCCGTGCTTCTCTAAGCATTCGACCATACGCTTCTGACCGTTCCGTGCGTTCTTGCATTATGTCGAGCCCCAAGGCTGAGCCAACCTTCTGCCCTACGAGTCTAGACAAAGCACGTTCATGACCAAGGAATCAGCTTTTGCGAGGCCAGACCGAGAACAGGTCCTGAGAGACACATGTAAAGGAGCACATCCGAAATCTTGCACCGTGAAGCGATTTTCGAGAAGCGGAAGAAGCCAAATAGTCTGAGATACGACTCTTAGCCCGCTCGACATGCATGCACCTACCTCCCAGTAAGGGATTTGCATTATAAAGGCGAGGCAATATCAGTGTTAGTCGGAAAGCCGACGCTTGAGTGGAAAGGGTCTTTTGAAGGTGTCCGCGCCTAACCAGCGGTCAGTCAGCAGTGTTTTCCTTTCGATTTGTCAGAGTTCACCCCAAGTTACGCCTTCCTTAATCATATCCACCTTGTATCGGCATGGGTTCTTGTTTCTATTCATTACGCCCGACGTCTAGGTGGCGCTGGCTCAGACCGGAATCAGACGCATCCATCAGGCACCGGGCGAAAGATTACGACACATTTCGTGGGCGACCACGATCCTCCATCGCATGAGCCGCTGAACGAAATGGCAATTCTTCTACCTTTCCAACATGTAGTGTATATAAACTCTGGTAGTTCCTCGTTGCTTGCACTTTATCAGGAGTTGTCTTCACTCGACAAAGTGTCATTCTACCGCCTGTCTTCTTCTGTCGTCATTGTTTCATTAGAGCGTGATGTATACATCTTCCGTGCTTGCATTGGCTTCATTTGCCATACCAAGCCTGGCAGCCTATCAGCCAGTGTGGAATTACAACGCGTCCAATTTTTGGGACAATTTCAACTTCATCGATGTAAGTTATTTTACCAACGATGATTGCTTCTTTCGATTAGGGCAGTGAATTTAAGATTTCCTTGGCTAATACATGTCGCAATTATCGTAGAGCGCTGACATCTTCACTCGTGGATTCGCTCAATATGTGGGAATCGATGAGGCTCTTTCGTCCGGTCTAGCCAAGATTAATAACGGCAAGGTCCGGCTAGGTGTCGACTCGAAGAATACATACAGTGCTACAAGTTCAGGGCGCAAAAGCATAAGACTCCAGAGTTGGGGTAATTTTGATAACGGTCTGCTTGTCGCAGACTTTGCCCATGTTCCTGTGCAAGGGTGCGGCATGTGGCCCGCTTTGTAAGAGACTTCCCTATTCTATCTGTGTAGACATGTGCAGCGATCACTGCTTAGACTACGTGGAGTTGAGCTGAGACGGATGTGCTAACAGAACTTAGTTGGGTCTACCAGGGCGAACGACCTATTACGCCTGGGGCCTATTCCGAGATTGACATCCTCGAAAACGTCAATGTGCACACAGCCAATACCCACTCTTTCTACACTGCGGAGAAGTGCACTATCGACATACAGAAAGGCAATCTAGTGCCCGAGAAGAGCACAAATTGTCACTGGGAATCAAATGGCCCATCCTCTCAAGGCTGTAGTTTTAATGCAGAGGATGGAACTTTCAACCAACCTTTCAATGACCAGTACAAAGTCATTGCACTGCAAGTTGAAAGTGAGCGCATGAGAATCTGGCATTTCAAGAAGAACGAGGTGCCCGCTGACCTAAATTCGGCGAACCCAAATCCAGATGCATGGACCAAAACGCCGACTGTGCACATTACGCCCAAGAGCTGTGACTTCCATAAAGCTTTTCAGCGGTTCCATATCGTAAGTTGAGCCAACACCTCTTAGACAACTCTCCCTTGTTTTCTTCCATTGGTGTTTCTGCACATCCGTCGTTCTAACAATTTCAGATTATCAACATCACCTTCTGTGGCAGCTGGGCTGGCGATGATTTCAACAACACCAACTACGCTGGGCAGTGCGCAAAACGAACCGCCACAAATGACTGCAAGTCTTGGGTCGGCAACCATCCGAGCGATTTCGCAAACACTTACTTTGAGTTCAACTCGATCAAGCTGTTCCAACGGGCGTAGGACTATCAACCCGTGTCGACCACAGAGTGTTCTCGAAAGGGGTCTTTGCATAGCCTGACGGCAACCACTTAGCTCAATGAATTAGCCTCTATCAATTTGAATTTACGCAGCCTGTTTGAACACAGGACGTTGTCTCTCCAATACAAGACCCTCGTCTAGATACCTAGGTATGTGGTCCAGCTTGCTTCACAGCTGGCATGTGCACACTCTTCGAGCGAATTATTGCTTTTTGCATGCATGTGTGCGAAGAGTTCGTAGTCTGGCATATGAGTTCACTCGATGCTTTTCTTTATCTACTTTGCAATATTTGGCCGAGAAATCACTGTGCATGTTGGGGCTCCGGAATCAATCATCCCACTGGCCATCTTAAATCCTCAGACCGACCAAGCATTCCCAACGTCACCATGCTGCACGTCTCAAAACAGGTATACGAGGCAACATTGAAGTGTTGCTGGGAAGGCAGAACGAAACACTTCAAATACTCACAGAACATGGGATTGTTGGGTCTGCATGAAAACAACAGTAGACTTTGTCGCCCTCGGTGCCTTCCCGTACTTGAAGCATATTCCTCAGGTCGACTTTACCGGTTTCGTGAAGATCCCCTCTAGGAGAATTCTTACATGGAAGGATACATGTGAGCGCAGCTACTGTGGATATCAGACATTCGACTGGGGTCAAGAATGCATACAGCTCTCGCATCAGCTTCCATCTGTGTATTTACCTCTCTCAAGGTTCATATATTTTGACGTTAACAATCACTAGAGAAAGTGCTTATATGTAGCATCGTGCGTGCCATATCTGAAGCCGCGACATTTCCGTTACAACGGGAATCGTCATGATTTCGATTACGACGATACGTACGTCCCGCCCCCCATGCCTTACCTCCCATTGTCGATTCCAGCCGTTCCCATCACCCATCCCGAGCCAAACCCCCCATCGTCGTTCCCATTGTGGCGTCATCTGTCTCTAACCTGCCCTCTGTACTGTCGCATAGACCAAAACCTCGATTTCAATTCCACCAAAAGCTCACACTAAAACTCGGCGTCAAGCTCCGTACATAATGCCACCACCCCACTGGCACATACAAACATTCTCCGGGGCCCAGCACGCCTTCTATGTAGCGTGCAGTGCGGAAGGCGGGATGCAGCTTTTCTAAATCTGCATCTTCTTCGCCATCTGCATGCCCATCTGCATGCCCACCACCCACCTCGTCTTCCTCCTCCCAGCAAGAAATTTCGTTCCAAACGCCCATAGCGACGTCCAGATCCACACAGCTCGTATTACTCATATCAATACCATCGCCCTCCATCCCGCGCGGATACATCTTCCCCGTCTCGCCCGGCGCATACAGCCGCACATACTTATACCCTACGACCTGCGCGAGGATATTGTGGTAGGGGTCGGTATGGAGTGGAGATATAGTGCCTGCGGGACCGAACCATGCGTTTAGCAGTGGCTCGTCGAGCTCTTTGACGGCTTTGACGTTGGAAAGGTTGCTGGTCGGAGCGACTGGAGAGGTGTAGCAGTAGTCTGGGATAGCGATGTCGGATCTAAGGGAGGGGATTTGGGCGAAGAGGTCGTGTTGGGCGAGGTAGCCTTTCTGGTCCTTCTTTGCTGCCGACGACGGATTTTCGGTGTGTGTCTCATCGCTTGTTGAATGGCCACTTGTGCGAGGCTCTGCGGCTGTGGGTGAGTCCGGCTCGAGCATGTACTCACTCATGAAGCCCCGGAACGTCAGGATCTTCTGCCCCCATCCTGCATCCGTGTAACTCCGCCCAATCTCGACGGGAACAAGCCGCCGCCCACTCAGCGTCTTGCGCATCAAATAACCTGGCTTCTTCCACGCGCGGGCCTCCTCGAACGCAGGCCAGTGCTGTATCGCGCCCTCAATGATATGCGGTATTTGCATCTCCGGGTCCGCTACCTTTGCTTCGAATGCGGACAAGCTGAGCTCTTGCAACCGTGGAATCGGATGCTTGAGTTGAGGCATGTGTGTGATAGTGTCCGGAAAAGTACGGGGGAACTCATCATTATCATCGTCGACTTTCCTCCTCTTGCTCGGCCTCACTCCGTCATCTGCGCATCCACCCACAACCCCCTCCAACACCTCAAACCACGCCCCCACTACCTCCTCCCTACCCACCGCCCCCGTCAATATCAACGCCATATCTAGCGTTTCGACAACCTTACCGACCCACTCATCCCCGCTCTCCTCATCTCCAATGATTTCTTCAACGATCCCGACAACCACCCACAGCGCAGCATCAACATACAATCTCCGCCAGCAGGTCTTCACCTCGCGGTATGGGACGGCGTGTAGTTGCTGGTATGCGAGGCGCAGACATGTCTGTGGATCGCGGGGGAGGAGGGCGAGGATAGCGCGGCCGGCGGGGAGGAGGTTGGAGTCCTCGAAAGGGGAAGTAAGGATGGCGCGGGTTGATGTGCATATCCCTTGCAAGGAGGAGGCCATTTCGTGTGGATGTTGAGTGTGGGCACGTGAGGGCGTTGGCGTGGCTGCACTTGCAGGTGCGAATGCAGGCGTGGGTGGAGTTGAGCCGATGAGGTAAGCGCGTCCGAACAAAGAAGTGACATTAGTGTAGGCTACAGAAGTCTACATGAACATCGAATTCAAGCTCGAAATGTGAAATGCCATGCTTCAGCGATACAGCGTCCTGCTGTATAGTGCTGCGGCCTCAACCATGGGCCCACCGGCCCGCACGGCCCCTCAAGCGAAGCACTATATTAGATCACCACCAGGGTCCATGCCAGCCCACCTCGAAATTTCTCCGAATGCAGCTGCTGCACTTTACGGGCACGTCAAAGATGTGTTGGTAATATAGATTGCATTACAAGTGCCGGCTTGACGTACGTCATGCGCGGCGCGGTGCTATATCGTACAGTGTTCCCAGAACCGGGCGCATCGAGCGTCGTGTGCCACCCACGGTACCAACGTTTCAACACCTAATGTAGACCTATGGGATGCAGCCGTCAAGACCGCAGAGGTATACCCTCTCATTATGATAGAAAGAGTTCGTGATGCATAAATCATAATCGCTCAACGCCGTGAACGAATGCCGGGATATCTCGCGCTGAATGAGGAGTGAAAAACGCAAGGAAGGTGGCTGGTCGAAGCCACGGGTATCAGGCATAAGCTAGGAAAGAAGGCCCCCAGCGTCCTGTAGGCTCGGTACGCTGGCGTAGCTGGTCGCAGTCGGGCTGCGGAGAAGAGGGGTTGGAGTGTCTCGGGCTAGGAGTGGTTGAGTTGAATGTGCGGTTGGAGCTCTGGTATTCGATGGTGAAGCGATTTCCGTTTGTGCTTCAAGCTCATCTTTTTCGGCTAACATGTTTTCTATGTCTTGCAGCTGGGGACCAGAACGTGTGCCCAACTCGTACTCCTCGGAGTGTTGAGAGAATCGCGATGTTCGTCGACCGGGTATGTAGGATCGTCCGCTTGGAGCAAGGGAGCTTCTTGACGGCCGCCGCGGCTGTGGCGCGAAGTCTTGCGCAACCACGGAATCAGTTGGTGATGGTGCTGTGACTGGTCCGGATTCCAAAAGCCCTCCAACATCAAAGAAAGACACCCGTCGACCGCCCATTGCACGTGGGCTAGGAATCGGGTCTTCGCTGTCTAGGCCTTTTAGATCGGAGTCGCCGCTATACTCAGATATCTCTGAATTTTTACTGGCTTGCCAGTTGGGGGTTGAGAATGGAGGTGGTGGTCCGCGTGGGGCTCGGGGGTTGAGCAGGTTGATGTCAACCACCTGAGCAGGCCTTGCGATGCTTGTTCGTTCGTCCATCAGCTCAGGGTTTGTCCGATAGCCCAGCGATCGAGCAAGATCCTCATCGCTTTCACAATCCTGCAAAGTTCGTCGCGTTGAGGAACGACGGTCCATGCTATCAGTGGCTGATCCAGGCTTGTACTTTGTTTTCTTGATCCCCCTGTCGCGAAGGAAAGACCCTAGAATGATGGCATTCGAGACGCCCGTTGCCGCAAGGATCTCCGAGGATGCCCACACAGTCCGATATTGCTGCAAGCCGCTCTTCCCGATGACCAACGGTATCCGGGCCGCAGTGATGATGACGAGAACGATAGACATGGAGAAGAGCGCGACCAACTGTAATTTGCGTTTGATGGACATGGATGACTTGAGGATGATTGGAATCGGAAATAGGATAAGTAGTAGGTCGGTGACGATATCGGCAGTGCCCATGGTGAGAAGATGGCCGTAACCCTGGCGACAGGTAGGTTTTGCTTCCGGAACGACCTGCCAGTTTTCTGTGAAAGGGCGGCACTCTGACAGTGTCGCGATCAGGACGGCGACGAAAGTGGCGACAAGAAATACCCGAATGCCACGCAAGCCAAGCTCATAGCCTTTCTTCCAGAATCTTTCGGTCATTCGCTTCAAGAACTCAGAGACAGTGAACTTGGCCATCCAGATGCTGCACTCACATTAGTGTGGCTAAGCGAGGAAAGAACATGCAACGTACAACATGGTGTAAAAGATCCTAGCTGCGATGACTAGTTTGGCACCGATTTCACGATGATGAATCTTGAGAGGATCTGTAAGTTTGGAGGTGTCGACATTGTTGGTGCCCCAGATGAGAACCACGTGGATGAGAGCCATGCGGGCTAGAAGTGGAACAATGCTTCCTGCCATAATCTTGTCTTCGCGGAAGAGGCGGTCATTCCGGATGTATCGGCCAGCAAGTCGGGTTCCTATGATGACAAGAGAGAAAATGGTGCACCACCAGCTGTATAGGAGCGTGGGATTGTTGGCGATACGTGTGCGGCGCTCAGGTGGCGCATCGTTGTAGAGCGAGCGTGGCAGTATCATGTTTGTGGAGGAAAGACCAAACAGACTCCCGCCTCCGCAGAGGGTGAGCTGCTCGAAAGTAGAACGCTCAGTAGGATGTCCGGGTTGATGCTATGACGGCAATACGCAGGTGCTGATCGGAGAGCGCTCTGACCATGTCTGCTACCGAGGGCGCGGGATTGAGTGGCTTGCGACGATGACTTCAGTGCACAGGTGTGCAATATAGCTGGTAGAGTTGGCGGCCCGGTTGGCGGAAGGCACCCTGGAGGATGGTGGATGCAAGATGGCAGCGAGAGGAGATGCACAAGCGAAGACGGAAGGACTGCGGGTGTGGAGTGGACGACGCTTCCTTCTAGAGGTCAAGCTGCGAGCAAGAAGCGGGTCGCGATTTGCGAGCAGTCGGGCGTGGCGTTGATAAGGCCTAGTGGCCCAGAGCAGGGTCGGCACCGGTGCGCAAGTGCCTCCGCGTTGAATGACTCGAGAACAAAGCAACGGTGAGAGTGGTGCTGGTGAAGGCGCACAGTATCAACGAGCACTATTGACAAGGCGTGGCGGTGGGCTGAGCTATTGATATGAACAGCGCCGCGTGTGATGGATTCGCGGGTCGCCAGCGGGCATCCTTGTCACCAGGGCGCGATGCATGACTGTATGTACCTCGCTTCGTTCCATGGCGTCCTTTACTCTGTGACAACGAGCGCGGAGGCGTGCCAACACTCTCCCGCGCAGCAGCTGAGTGGCCGCCTAGTCTTGACTGTCTTGTCCTGCGCTCTCGCCCTCGACGCCTGACCGCCAGACCGCCTCACCGAGTGCGCACTCTCGCAGAGCTGGCGGCTCCCCCAGCCCTCGGCTTGCCTGGTCGCACATGATACGCACCACGCCGTCTAGCCAGGCACGAATGCGAATCCCAGGGCGTCGCTGCCTGCAACTGATCACAGATAGCTGGCGGCGCTATCACGCATCCAGGCGACTGACCGGCAGGGTGTTTGGCTAGGCGCGCAGAGGCAGGCACTTGCATTTGCGCCATTTCGCAATGCCAGAGCCCCCACGATATTCCACTCGGCCGGATCACTCGCTAATCCTAGGCCCCGCCTTTGCCTTTGATAACGCATCTCACATGCCTGCGCCTCCCAGCCCGGCCAACGCCGCAGTCCTATTTGCATTCCCGCATCCCTCGCAGTCTTTAAGCATCTGCGCACCTTTGTGAACACAGCTAGGAGAATGCCGTCGCCGTGTGCCGCGTCATGAACCTCTCCTGGCCGCGATCCCAACCGTAATCCCGGTACGTACGCTGCTGATCTGTGCATGACCATTCAGTTCGCCCGCGGTTTGCTTCAGCCGCAAGGCTTTCAAACGTCGTTTGGTGAAGAGAGCACGATAGGCAGTAGACAATGCGGAAGAGACGTTTCATCATGTGCTTCTTCCTGCTGTGCGTTGAGCCTACCAATAACCTGGCTCCCGTATCTCATCTATTGGTGGAACATGAAAGCTATTTGCAGAGCATGCCCTGTTGATTGCAGTCCTTAAGACAGCGTTTGGATAGGCGTTGCAAGCAGATAGGGCCCAAGCTCTATTACGGCAAAGTCACATTATGGTTCACAAAGAGCCTCCGCTCACGACCACGCACATGGCTCGCACGTGGAGTGAACCGGTGGTTCGATCCCGCGGCTCTGGCCGTTCACTACCAAGCCACATGACACGGGTACAGTTGCCTTTGCGTGCACATCCGCTCGAGTGGCATGCGCAAGATTGCACCAAGCAGGAGATTAACACAGAACATTCTATCAACCTCTACTCATGACGTTGACCCCCTTGGAAGGACAGGTCGGTTTGGTCGAAGAGGCAAGCATCTTGTCTTGTTCGCATCACGACAAGTTAGGATGAGATAGCTCAGATTCTCCAGGCTTCCTTTGGATGAGCGATTGCCGCCCCGAGGCGTATGTAGTTTTGATTAATAAGAAGAAGCATCTGTGCTGTGTCACGAGCGATCTGTCAAGCGTCTGCCACCAGATCATTGCTTTTTAGCTCTCTTTGTGTAGCTTTTCTTTGTCGCACGCAATACACGCGACCAGAAAGTACCCAACGCCGTCTTCTATCGACTTCGATCGTGAACCCGCAGGATTACCACGTGTAATAGAGTGATTGTCATGATGTGAACGGCTGCTCGCGTGACCCAGGCAACGGATGACGTCTTGGCCATATTCACATGCTTCGCCCTAAAGTGATGTGCACGGAGCGCGAAACTGGCAAAACACCTCTGCCCGTGGGGAACAGGAAGAAACAGGCACTGCTTTCGCGCACTGCCCTACGCCGCTGAGCGCATTCTCGAGCCCGTCTGGCAAGCTGGTCATGACATAATTGTGATCGGATTTCAGTGGGGTTGGCGTGGTCTCGCAGGTTCCAGCGAAATGTTTGTGCTTGACGAGCTGCTGCGTCATTGCGGCCCTAGCTTGAGGAGCTCACACGAGCAATGCAAGAGCTCCCTGTGCACACAAAACTGCTGCCTTCTGCCTCCTCACGCCTGCAGACCACTCCATTCCCGCAGTAACTGCCCTGAACCATTTCCATAATAAACAAGTCACACGCCAACACGCAGAGTACTGCCAGAATCATGACGACCCCGAACAACCTGAACACCGACCCGCTCGTGCTCACGAACGAGGGGAACAACTTCAGCAACAGTAACGTCGCGCAGCCAAACGGCAACGGAAGTGCCAGCGGGCCGACCGTATCCGAACACGCTGTCAACGCAAAGAACAGCCTATTGAACTGTAAGGTACGTGACGCGCCCGAATCTTGGAATTCGATACCCCTCCGGGCTTGCCGAGCTGCAGCTAACCAACAAAACCAGTCTTATCGCACTGTGCCCACGCACGCAATCCGCAACACTCCCTAACAGCCTCACAGCAGCGTCTTCAGCAATGTCTGCCGTTAACAACCACCCCGCTACCCAAAACTTCAAGGACACAGTTGCCAATGGTGAGGTAAGTCAGGCCGCTATTGCCAAAAACTCGCGCGGTTACTAACGTGGTCTCGCGACACAGTGCCAAAATCCCCTCACGGTTCCCGCTTCTCGTAGCTTGAGAGCTCGAGATTTGATTATTTGCACCTGTGCTGCTCATGCAGGTTAACACGGGCTCCAACATGCCATCTCCACGTGGACAAATCTCGAGGCACTTCCTACGTTCGTGCAAAGCTGACCCATCCTAGGCCCTGTGGCACAGAAAGCGAAGGCTGAGGCATCAGCGACACAGAACGAGTTCGCAGATCTCGCAAACTCACGCCAGACGCCCGGCCAGCCCGCCGCTACCGGCCAGCCCTTGACACACTACCACAGCCTGTTCTACCGCCTACTCAGCGTGAGTACCCTATCTACAGTACAGCTGGACTGTATACTGATTGCCCCGCTTAGTGGAGGAACCCTCGCGCGACCGGCCTTACCTTCGCCGCAGTTGTCGCCTTCATCTTCGCCGCCCGCTACCTCAATGTTTTCCGATACATTCTTAAGGCTGTGTGGGTGACTCTGGGTATCACGGCTGCCGCGGAGGTTGGTGGACAACTCACCATCGGCAAGGGCCTTACGTCCCAGTTCCGCCCGCGTCAGTACTTTACCGTCCAGAAGGCCTCGCTTGAGCGTTTCACCGAAGACATCGAGCAGTTCATCAACTTCTTTGTCATCGAGTCCCAGCGCATCGTCTTCGCCGAGAATGTGTACACCACTATCGCTGTAAGTATTCAGCAGGCTCTATCCCCATCTGCTTCCTTGAACTTTTCTAACATTCTACAGGCCTTTTTTGCTTCGTTGACTACCTACTTCCTGATCAAGTTCGTCCCGCTCTGGGGTCTTGCCCTCATTGCCACCAACGTCGCGTTCCTCGGTCCTCTCATCTACATTCAGAACAAGGAGGTTATTGACGCTCAGCTCGAGAAGGGCTACCACATTGCCAACCAGCAGGCGACCCAGCTTCGTGACCTAGCCGCCGAGCACACTGGTAACGCGACTGCATCCATCAAGGGAATGACTCAGCAATACACCAACAAGGCACAAGAGACGATCAACCAGTACCGTGGCCGCTCGTCTTCTCCGGAGGTCAAGCGTGAGGATTTCCCCGCTGCACCGAAGGACGAGCCCGTGGCCGTAACCACGAAGGAGCCTATCGCACCTAAGCCTGTTGCCGAGCCTGCCCTCTAAGCAATCCATAACGCAGACTAAGATTGGGGTGGTGAATAGCGTGAATGTACGCTAGTGGACGTTGAGAAGAAGTAGTGCTACGAAGTCGATGCCTGGAACCCCTCTCACGAAGTCCCCGCAAATTGCACTTGCGTGCACAAGCATGCTTGAAGGGCCATGCAGTATTTTCTTAAAAGCTCTTGTTCGTCTCTTTTTAGCGTTTCTATCTGTTCTCTCTTCGTCTTTCCCATGGGTCTCAGTGTATGAGTTTCCTGGTCGGAGCATAAAGAATGGATGGCATGTGAAATGGTTGGCATGGGTGGGAGGAACGGTACTCTATAACGAGGTGTTGGGGATCGTCAATACATGCTTTGTTCAAAGCTTCGCTCGTCTGGTGACTGGGTGCGATCGCTGACTTCGCAAGCTAACGAGATGGTGAGATTCTTATCCCAGATACTATCGGCACGTGAAATCAGGGGTTTGGAGGTATACATTCGGGGTTTTTTTTTTCATCTTCTCTGTTTGTCACGGCTCGACGTCTTTCGCTACTGCCACGTCCGCCCGCTCTTTTCCCATCTCAAGCTCCACCTCATCCTCTTCCGCCGCACCCTGCCCATCCACGAGCGCATACTGGTGGCTCATTTTCTCTGCCGTCGACGCAACAAACACTGCGCTCGCAATAATCAGCGCTCCGCCCAGATACTTCCACACGTCGAACCCGACACCCCACACCACTCTATCTGCTACCATTGCAAACACCATCTGCGTATATACGAAGTTCAACGGGCGTTTTGCGTCGTCGGCCTGCGCTAGGGAGGCGGTCATAAGCCAGTGCATGGCGAAGCCTAGGACGCCTAACAGAAGAGTCAAACCCCATTGCATCGGGGCGGACGGAAGGTGCAGCGGCTGCCACTGGACGAGAATGAGCAGGGCGCTCAGCACCGCGGTGGTGGTGGAGAAGTAGGCAAGCGTGTGGGCGGGGTGCACGCTGTCCCCCAGCCGCGCCATCGCGACGTAGGATACGGCGCCGCCCGCGACGCCGACCACTGCTGCGAGGATGGCGAGCGCGCGGTGTCCACCTCCCACCTCGGGTTGCGTGATCCAGGGCTGCAGCACGCAGACTGCGCCGCCCATCGAGATCCCTCCTGCGGCGAGCTGTGCGAGGGAGATCCCCGAGCTCGAGGTAGAGGAGGAGGGGAGGAGGGATAACAGCAGCGCAGCGAGTGTAGGTGAAAGGAAGTTTATAATACTAGCTTCCGATAACGCGAGACTCCGCAGGGAGTAGTAGAACCCCCATATGCCGATTGCGCCTGCAATGCCGCGGATGAAGAGGAGTGGGCGCGCGGGGGGCGGACCAAGGGGAAGGGAGGGGAGCTGGAGGAAGTAGGCTGTGGGCCAGGAGAGGAAGGCGGTTGTGATCATCATGGCGAGGAGAATCTGTTGGGGTTGTCAGCCAGTGCGTAGATTGGTGGGTGCGGGTGGGTGGTGGTACTTCAGATGTGCCCATCCCATCGGTGGAGTCGCCGCCATGCCCGGTTCGTAGTATGCGCCCGATGGTAGCGAGAATCGCGGAGATGAACTGGGCAAGGAGCATGAGGAGGATGCTACCGTGGCGGTAGAGGAGGGTGGGTGGTCGCCATTTGTTGCGGGGTGGGTGTGGGAGGGACGGCGGAAACATTGAGTTGTACGCCCGTCTCGCAATAGACGACTTGTTCCAGCCCGGACAATATGAGTGACGCGGGGCACAACGATGTTTTGAACCGATGCCAACGTCTCACGCGATGCGGGGTGCGCGGTTTGGGAAGGTGGGATGTTGGAGGCAATCCTTCAAACGTTTACATCGGACATAGTGTAGAGCAGCTAAACCCTCAACTCGCTATCGAAAAGGAAGAGAAGTAGGGCGCGTCGCACATGTTGAAAGATACAATCCCGCTTAGCATTGCTCGTTGTGGTGTGCGAGCGGCCAATACGAAGGCCGCGGTATTGAGCTGAGGAGACGGGCAAATAAGCTTACGGGGAGGTGTTGTGCCGCGAGAAGTTCAATAAAGCCACAGACACGCCGGTCCATGGTAGTAGTGAAGAGATGGGAAAGAACTTGGGACAAGGAAAGGCGCTGTGAGTATGTGTGTTATATGTGCAATAAGGAAACGACGGAAACGACGGGCATGAGAGGACGGGTGGGCCGATGGAGAAGTAGGGCAGTGATGCAGTAAGTCGTAGGACTGTGTCGTAGACGCTATCACGATATCCAAATCGTCTCTGCTTGAATGAGAATGAGGCAATACTCGTGCGATCGTGCTGCGCATTGTTATCATCAAAGGACAGGATACAGAAGACAGGTTGATGACGGAAGCCAGCCATCGAGATGAGGAACACAATCTCCCCGGATTGTTCCATAAATAGATCGCGCATCGGAAGGTACGATTCACAGACTGCAAAATGTCGGACGGGCGTGAAGCGTGGACAGAACGGCAAACTCGTCCCGTGTCGACTCTTCACAAGCACAATCACCGGCACCCGCCCGAGCGCCGTCCTACACAGTTTACATGCGAACGCCCCATTCACGAGGTTTCGCTTTGCTATGAAATGTGGCCAATCATGTTCTGTGGCTCGGCAGGCGCATCCGTGCGCTAGGCAGCAGGTTGCGTCAAGCGCTTTGGTCCGGGTCCGTATCCACTGCGCCTCCTCATCCTTTAAGGCACGCCGTGTCGTCGCCCCTCTCACCGACGCCCACGCTCCTTAACCCACGACTTCTCAACACCACCCGTACGACCTTTAATAATTCTTCGACTCTGGTTTCCTTTGTTCTATCGCCAATATGATCCAACACATCACCCGTCGGGCGGTGCAGCATGTTCCGGTGTTCATCAAGCGCGCTCAGGAGGAGCCCAAGCTCGAGATGCCCCCCTGGGGCTGCGCTCTTTTGATCGGGACGTTCATTGCGTCCATGATCGCTATCACGCTGGTACGTGGTTTCCCGGTGGTCACATGCGCCCCGAGAGTGTCGCTAACAGTGACCAGGTGCAATACACGCTCACTGATGTCCTCCCTATCCTTGCTATGGTCGAGACTCCCGCCGCCGCTATCACCGTTTCCAACCATGATGAGCCCGCTTCCAAGGACGAGAAGGAGGGCCTCCTCGAGACCGGCACCGAAATCACGCTTGTCCACCAGAAGCCCATCACATCGTCGATTCGCGGCACCATCCGCCACCTCGTCTCTGAGGCCGGCAAGTTCTCGCGATGGAGGGGATTCCGCTACCAGATGATGTACGCGCTTGCGCTTGGCTGGACGAGCAGCCTGCTCGAGGCTTTCTTCCCGCGCTTCCCGCCCGTCAGCTCCATCTTCATTGCCGCCATCTCTGGCGCCGCCACCGCGAACCTCCACGCTGCATGGACCCACAAGGTCATCTCCACGCCCAGCGACGTGAGCTTCTGGAGCCGTATTCCCAGCCGCAAGGAGTGGAAGGTCCTGGCCCTCCCCGCTGCCGTTGCCGCCACCATGCCCTACGTCTCGCTCTTCCTTTCCCTGGGCTTCGTCTCATGGTTCGGCATTGCTGAGGACGCCAACCACAGCAACTTCGCCAACTTCAACGGCGGGCAATGGGCCTCGTTCATCCTCCGCTGTGTTGCCGTCCTTGCCATCTCCGTGGCCTGCACCCTCTTCCTGTGCATGCCCGCCGTCGTCACCCAAATTCGCGTTGAGGCCTCGATCCTGCCCGAGAACCAGGATGTTATCGTGCCCTTCGACCGCACCTTTGGCGGTAAGGTTGTGCCCAAGGTTCTTGGCGGCACCGGCTGCGTCAGCTTCATGGATGCCTGGAGGAGCTTCAACTGGGAGGCTCGCCGCAGGCTCATCAAGCTCTACATCAAGGGCTTCATGTGCATTGCGGCACTTGCTTTCGTTGTTGTCCACGTCTTGGCCTTTGAAGTCTTCGCTATCATGGGTCCCGAGGTTGGCAAGCTCCTGGCTGAGGCCCATAGGCAGGGCACTTTCTAGGCGTCTTCACAGATGCTGGTGCCCGACGCTTGACGGCACAATGTGTTTCGAAGTTAGCATAAATTTGGCATGTGGGCGTTGTTATCTGAATAGGGCAGACTAGGTGTATATCATACTCTCCTTGCGTCACGATTAGGATCAACTATCACATTTATCATGAATACTTTTGCAACCTGTTGTGATGTACGCATCTATCGTAAAAAAGGGTCCACACTAACCGCGCGCAGTAAGCCGTCCGTGACCCACACGGTGTGGGCCTCCCGTCTGCAGGGCGCCCACAAAAACATCCAGGTCTTTTGGAGTCAGACCAAGGCAGTAACAACTGCCGCTGGACAAGCTGTACAGGGAAGAAAGCTCCGCTTCTTCACCCTCCTCCCAATCGGCGTACAGTGCTCCGCTTACGCGGGCTTCCTGTGAAAGGGAAACTTTGCCGAAGATACACTTGCATATACATCCGCCATACCGCAATTCGCCCCAACACTGGTAAAAATGCAAACCCTTATCGGTGTATCCACATTTCAGCCCAACAGCAAGCGTTTTCACAGGCACCTGAGGTATACACATGAGAAACCATCGTGCAGAGGGGTTTAGACGCGTCTGAAGCCCAACGGGAAGACTAATAGACGCGTTAAAAACCGCAGACGGTACCAACTAGTCATCCTATGCGGGCCACGATGTATATATCTCCTCCTCACCAGGCAGTCGGGCGCTGGCTACACAAACCTCCCCACAGCCCACGATGAAACGACACCACGCCCTCCACAGTGTGCTGCACCCCCCTCGCTATGTCCTCGTCTCCATCCTCGCTGGCCTGGGCGGCTTCCTCTTCGGCCTCGACACCGGCACCATAGGCCCTGTCACGGCCATGTCGCAGTTCTCCTCCTCTTTCGGCACCCTCTCGCCCACCATCCACGGCCTCATCGTCTCCTCCATCCTCATCACCGGCGCCCTCTCCTCTTTCATGGCAGGCCATCTCGCTGACGCCGTCGGACGGCCTTTAGGTATGGCCATCGGCGCCGCGGTGTTTGGCACAGGTGCAGCACTTGAAGCCGGCGCCGTGCATATTGCTATGCTCTTCATCGGACGCCTCGTCACTGGCGCCGGCGAGGGACTTTTCCTGAGCACAACGGTGGTGTACATCTGTGAGATTGTGCCCGCGAAGGGGCGCGGGGTTATTGCGTCGGCGCCGCAGTTCTTCATTACGTTTGCGCTGGTTGTCGGGTACTTCTTCTGCTACGGGACGGTGACCATCGCGTCGAGTCTCGCGTGGAGGTTGCCGTTTGCGTTCCACGCTGTCTGCGCGTTCACCTGGGGTGCGCTCACGCTGCTTCTCCTGCCACATTCGCCACGGTGGCTGAAGGCGAAGGGGAGGACGGATGAGGTGGATGCCGCGTGGGCGGCGCTGGGCGTGCGGCCTGGGCAGGACCTTGAAGACGCAGAGGCGCGCGAGGTCGAGACGGAGGCGGGGCTAAATATGGAGCCGCTTGCGTTGAGGCTGACGCATACAAGGCAGACGGTCAGGGAGGAGGTACATATGCTGCTGCGGGTGTTCGCCAAGGACGCGAGGAAACCGACTGCGCTGGGCGTGTTCATGATGTCAATGATGCAGCTGAGTGGGATTGACGGGGTTTTATATGTGAGTCAATCCATCAGAACTCCCTTCGGATGACACAGGTGGACTGTACTAACGAGCCCCAGTACGCCCCCCTCCTCTTCCAACAAGCCGGCCTTGTCAGCGAGTCGTCCTCCTTCCTCGCCTCTGGCCTTTCCGGTGTCGTCATCTTCGCAACCACCATTCCCGCCGTGCTCCTTGCAGACCGCTGGTCGCGCCGCGCCTCAGTCATCTTCGGCGGCTTCATCCTTACCGCCGTCATGCTCGTCATCGGCTCTCTCTACGCTGCCGACGCTGTGCACAGTGACCGTGGCGCCGCCCGCTGGGTCGTCGTTGTCTTCATCTTCCTATTCACCTTCGTGTACTCTGGCTCCTGGGCCGTGACCATCAGCATCTACGCCAGCGAGGTGCAGCCTATCAAGACGCGCGCCGCGGCGAGTAGCCTGGGGAGGAGTGGAAATTGGGTTGTGAATTGGATTGTGGCGTTTACGACGCCGATTTTTCTGACCAAGTCGAGCTGTGGGGTGTACTTTTTGTTTGGGGGTTGCTGCTTTGTGACGAGCGTGGTGTGCTTCCTTTGGATGCCCGAGACGAGGGGGTTAAGTTTGGAGGAGATTGATGATATTTTTGAGAAGGGCAAGAGAAGTAAGGCAAGCTCGAGGGTTAATTCCGTGGTTAATGTCGTGTTAGGGAGGAGCGAGAAGAGCTGAAGAGGAAGTCAGCGGTTGTAGTGTTCGATGATACCCCTATAGAAAGCTATCTCGAAGAGCTGGCGTGGTAGACACTGAGCTCTGTTTTGACGATTTTCGATAATAAGAAGGCGCTGATCACGAATTCCTCGGCCAAATTCAGTGATAACGTATAGAAGCTTCGCTCTCCTAAGGTACTTCAGCCCATTAGCCCCCTCAAACCTCCACAGCAAAGTTCGCATGGTTACTACGCCTGTCAGCACATCCCTCTTCTCCCTGAGTCAGGGCATTACTTACTCCGCATTACCTACAGCCTTCACCGGGTCCTCTTTTGCAAACTGCTTGCACACATCCGGCGTATACCCATAGTCCCGGGTGTCTAGCAGATCACGGAAATGTGTCGCCTCGTGGATGAGAGTGCTGTTGCTCATCGTCAGATCCGTCTCTCCCCAATACCACACGCATAGAAGACAAGAAAGGGCATCGTCACAGGAATCAGGCAAACAAAAGACTTACCTCCACTGCGACCGAAATCCCTCGGCTGGAATGACAGCTTCGTTGAAGTACACACTACATATGGTCGTATAGCCATACGTGTTACTAGGATACGCAATAACCACGTTGCTCGTGCACCCGCACTCGTACGTAAACACGGCGTCTAGATCCGGCGCCATCTTGCGGAACGCGGCCAAAATTTTCGCATACCGCGTTTTGTCAAAGGTACCGTAGTACGCCGTCTGCAGCGCGCTGCCATTGGGGTTAGCCTCGAGGTGCTCGACAACCGCGTATGCGCGTTCTGTCGCGCGAAGTATAGCTTTTTCGATTGTGGCGGTTTGTGGGGCGGTGCAGCCTACGAAGGAAGCTGCGGTAGCGGAGCCTAGGAGTGTAAAGAGCGGGGAGAGTTTCATCGCGAACGGGTGTGAGTGGAGATGACGAGTGACTTCTCAAGGCAAGGACTGTTTCAGCGACGTGGGGGATGAGTGTTGAGGAGGGTGCGAAGGCGGGTCAGCTTTGCTTTGTATAGATAGATGCTTGGTACGGATTCCATTGCATCTCAATAGTGCTTGCATTGGGAAGGTGCGCACGGGATGTATTGCCGCTTTGGGGCGAAGGGAGTATTAGGGAACTGGGGTGGTATATAGCCGAGACTTGTAACGGTCCGTTTGCGCTTGGCAGTATGGTGATCAGTTGCTGTTACATGGTATGGGTATGGTGTCTAGATAGGCAAGTCGGAACGTTGCGTGCTTGTGAACATAGATGAAGCTGGGTGGTGGGTGGTGTTGCAACGTTTCGCGCGCTATTCAGAGTACCATAGATACTTGTCTTTGCGTCAGACTGTATGCAATAGGAAATGGCGACTACAACATGATGATTTTTTGAGCTTTGAGCAGGTACGACCATCTGACTACTACCATGGTAAGCAAGCAAGACGAAAGATCACGTATCCACTCGGGGCCTAAAGAAGTTTTCATGTTAACGATCCTGTGCACGTTTCCAGCTTCTATTCGTCTTTCCTGGTACAATGAAGTTGGTAGTTCATAGTCAGTGCTGTCCCCTGTTCTACAGTACTCCCAGTGCAAAGTTCCATTATTAAAGCCGCCAAAATACCTGACTCCGGATAACACACTGAGAGATGCAAGGTGACGTGATCACTTACCCAAAACCCCTGTTTCACGAACTGAGCGTTGAGTTGCGACATAGTGCCTGTGTTCACTAGGATTATGATCCTGAGTCCTTGAAAGAGGTACATAATTTATCTATCCTATGACAAAATCGGACACCAAAACGTTGCCTTGCAGCCTTTGTTCAAATTGATCCGGGGCTGATTCACCCATGTTGGAGGGGGACGAATGCGAGACTGGCTTCTTGGAGCCCGCCAAATATTCATCATCTTCCAGCTTTTTAGGATGCACAACATGTGAAATAGCAACTGTGTTAAATGGTGCCTTTTTAGTCGCAAGGATTCTTGGTCACTGAAGCATCAGCTTTAAATTAGCTGCAGCCTGCCTCTGAATAGATAAGAGCCTTAGATTCTCTCGTTTGATCGCACGTTCAGAGCTGAACTGTAAACCCTGCGTGATGTACGCTTCGCTAGCTAATTGGCCGTCCAACAGTCCGTACTTATTACGGAAACGCACGGGAATCATAATCTTGCCGTAGTAGCACAGTCCACATAGTAATCAATTTCGGCATAAAAAGATCGTAATATTAACCGTGCTGCAACAGTTTAAGTACGGCCCCTTTTTCTAACCGTACTAAGTACGGACTGTTGCACGCGCTGAAATTTGAAGCATGGAGTGCAAGTCACGTACACAGGAAGAAATCTACCGCGGACTCAAACCACCAAACGACTACGAGCAAAGCGACGACCCATCCACTTAGCCTGCGGGTAGACTGGGTATAAACAATGACTAGACCGCCTGCTTATCATGAGTTTCCAGCGTGATGAACAATCTGAGAGCACCTGTCCGCTAGACTGCACTTTACAAGCAAAAGGATGGAAGATGATTTCAAGTGGCCGTTCGATTTGCCGACCAAGGTGAATATATTAGAAAGCATGCACCCGCACGTATGGCAGAAGAGCTAGATGTCGACGTGGTTCCGCCTCCCACGTGACCGTAAAGGCTGAGCATACTACTATGCTTGCGAGAATTCTGTGGAAGACGCAGCGTATGAAGCGAAGTGCGCGAACCAGGCAGATGGTACATATCGCGTATCCATGACTCAGCTCCTCGATCTAATTCTTTCCCATGTAAGAACGACATGACACGTCACCACGAGAACATTACCACACCACCCACATCCACACCTTAGACCCCTGCTCCAGCCCACAGATTACCCAAGCTCTCTTCGACAACCTCTACAACTTTTACTTAATCTCAGCCTCAACCTCCTTGATCTCCTCAACAACATGTTCGTCCTTATCGCCACTCCTAACACCCTTCCACGGAGCCTCCCAAACTGGGCCCTCATACGGTGGTCTCCTCGCCTTGCTCTCCTCGATCTCCACTAGATGCGCATCACCATCTTTCGAATTTCCGCTAAACACGTATTCTCGGATCTCGCAGTTAGACCAGTTGGTGCCCAACATTGGGTCGTGGATCTGCCAGTCTTCGGTCAAGAAGTGCGCAATAGCGCCGTGGGAAACGAGCACGATATGGTCCTCGTTGCGCTGGTAGAGGGAGGCGCGCATGTCGGCAGCGCGCTGGTAGATAGCGTTTGCTTCGTAGGCGTAGTAGCCTTTCTGTACTCCTTTAACATCCTTCTTGTCTTGAAGATTGGGAGCGGGGGAGTTGGCATAACCACGTGACGGGGTGAACGTACCTTGCTGTTCCAGCCCTCCTCTACTCCACTAACATCGATCTTCTCCCAGTCAAACTTGAATTTCTTTTCGCCCTCTTTCTCCGTCTCTGTCAACCACGTCTTTAGATCTTCAGGATCGAGACCGCGGTCTGCATTGTGGCTGCCGAGTTCCTGTAATTTCGGGTCAAGTAAGAAGGGTACATCGGCACGCGCCAGAGCTGGTCCAAATGAGAAGGCTGCGGTTTGTATCTGTATGTCTGTCAGAAAGAGAGCATATTAAGGGAATCACATGACATACCGTGCGGCGAATGGGCGATGCTATTATGAGATCTACAGTGTCATGGTTCGGGTAAGTGGCGGAGAGTTGCGCGCATTGCTCGTGGCCGAGGGGTGTAAGTAGCGGATCCCGCAGGTCATAGTTGTGCTGCATCAAGTCAATTGTCTGCGCAAGAGGTGCAGCGGTGAGCGACGTTACTCACTGTGAGATTGTGGAAACCTTGTCCGTGGCTGGTACGTGATGAACATTAGCGACAGTTTGCGAGATAGGATAGTCGTGTATCCACTTACCGGACGATGGAGATCTTCTTCGGAGGCATGCTACTTTGCTGTGTTGTGTACTCTTTGCAAGGGTGCGGATACCAGTGTTTTGTCCGAGCGGTGAGTCAGGGCAGAGAAAATCGAATCCCGAAAAAGTTGCAGTATTCAATGACGTATGAGATAGTTGAAGACCTGCAAAAATTGGAAAAATCACGACGTGGAGATGGAAAAGTTTATGCAGGGTCTATCGTAAAATTGTGGCGTTGACAAACGCGTGTAATTGTCCCTGTGAATGATTGAGCGGCCCGCGGCCGCGGCGAGATTATGTGCTAGTGCGAGGTGAGGAGGCGCAGGGCCGCAGTGACCCCAACTCTCGCCTCCATGTTGGTTGGGTTAATATTAAGTCCCATTGCGAAACTAGGCGGGTTACCGAATCTGCTGTTCATGTTTTTCGCCTACGTGGGGTAGAAGACGCCGCGGCTCGGTTTACCTGCCTTCCAGGTAAACCACAGTGAACCGTCGGCTCGGCTTACCTTCCACCCCACACAAATCCTCCGACAATGACTGAGCATCAAGAGCTTTGTTGGCTGCACAAACTAAGCTGATTCACGTGTGAGTTCGAGGCCCTATACACTCGTCAACTATTTGCCGGCCGAAATTTGGATGTTTCTGGAGTGTATAACGATAGACGTACTTTTCTTCCGCGGGCTTTCTCTAATCGGGATTGCGCCTTTTAACACACTGAGCACCTGTACCAGACCGTGTAGCCGCTTGGAGCTCGTCATCAGCACTTCCTCGCCCGCGTCTTCCTCGACGTTTTCTTTCCTGCCTTTGACATTGCTCCGTTCTTTGATGCCAACCTCCACTGATTTGCGCAACGCCTTCGTAGGTTCAAGACGCAATGGTTCCATCATAGACATGAATATTTGCTCGAGAACGAGCGACACTTTGGCGTTCTCGGCAAAGCTTTGTGTCCGTGCACGATACGGAAGCAGAAGCTGCTCAAACTCGTTCTGTGTAGGCATTCTATTCGTGTAATTGATGTATTTCTCGGATGTTAGGGCGGAGAAGATGGTCACGTTGAGCGCTACTTGGTCAGCCGGGGAGAGTCGTGACGTCGTGATTAGCAAGTTCAACACGAACACCGGAAAATATCTCAGTTGTAAGGCAAGCGTATCAAAGAGACCCTCGACGGAAGTGAAGTTCTTGGGGAGTTCTCTGGCAACCTTGGAAAGCTGTACCGTGTTAGCACAATCATAGAAGCGGAGAAGACCATACCAATAACACTAGACGCTGACGAAGGTTTACGGCATCCATTCCTCCTAGTCTGTCAACAGCAGCATCGTAGGCGGGTATGGTGGCCTCCTCTAATGGGGGTAAGGCAGCATCTAGAATCTTCGAGGCATTCCTTGCTTTGCGTCCTTTTACAGTCGACCGCAGCGCGTTTTCCATGTCAACATCTTCGTCCTCACTCGCGTAGTCACCAATGTCACCTATCTCGAAATCAACGACGCCCGAGTGTCTCTTCGTGTCCGTTGTCTTTGGATCCAAGGTTTCTTTAACCCACACTTCGGCAAATTCGTTGAGTGACGGTGGATCGCCAGTAGCAAATGTTGCGCGAAGGATACGCTTCCTTGTGTTTCCGGCAAGAGGCTCTTGGCTGCAAATGTACTGCCATGCGAGGGTATCTTGCAACGGACCACCGTTCTTATTGCAGTGATCCCATTCGACCTCTAGGAAGCTCAGCATGGTGTCTAGCCAAAGTCTCCAGCGCTCCCAGCGCTTCCTGTGTTTGACGGAGCAATTGAATGCCCAGCCGACGACGTGCCAAAAGTCCTCTGCGCACCTCCAAAGGCTCTTAGCATTGGCTGCAACATCGTTGAGCTGCTCGACATCGAAGGCTCGGTTGGAGGAGGGGGTGTTGAGTGGGCTGTAAATATTGGTTCGTCGTCGTGAATCGGTGAAGGTGAAGGCGGTTCGAAGCGTCTTGAGACTCTCAGCGGACAGATCAACCGTGTCTTGCACACAGCGTAGATATTTGAGGGCAGCATCAGACCCCTTGATGGCTTCGGCGGAGCGCGCTCTGGTAGTGATGTGAGGATAGACGATGAGCGTGGAAGCGAGAGCTAATTGCGACGGTGGAGCTAGCAAACCCGCGTACGGCCTCGCGGGGACTGTAATGGAGGTGCCGGCAGCGACGAGCGAGTGCAGAAATATGTAGGCCTGCTCATCTAGCAGAGTGCGTTAGCAGCAAGCTTGTTGTGACGGCGGTGACATACAGCTTTGGTGGTCTAGATATGCCCGGACGTGGCTGGCGACCTCAAAGCTTAGCTCCTTGACAGGCCGCCGATATTGCTGCCGTGGACAGATGCTCACGGCTTCGAGGGCGCTGCTAACGCTGTTGCCGTGTGCCATGGCAGTTGCACGCGTGTTGAGGCACTACAGTTTGCGGCGGAACGCGGTATGGCTGAGCAACGCGCGACGCGTTGTCACGTTGGCTGGGGCTCGAGTTCGCATGCGTCGGCTGGCGTCGGTACCCCGCATTTAGCGCTGGTTTCGAGTCACCCAATACTTCGTTAGCACCACGTAGCCCCGCACAAATCTGTGAAAGATGACACACTGGGTTTTCACACAAGGCTGGAGGCCCATATTCTCTATATATATTCAAAATGGGCAGAGCACTCCAACGAACTCCGTTATGGTGTGTAAGTGTTGAACCTGCTCAACCTCCACCAGACAAGTTTCTAATTCTCCCCAGATCGGCTAGCATCCGTCGCTTTCATTCCCAATGTCAGCTTCCGACGAGAGCCGGGTTCGATTCCCGGTAACGGAAAATCTTCTTTTTTGCCTCAACCACTACATATTTATGTCAACACGCCGTCTTTTTGGTTTTGCCAGGTCGCCTCAGGTCGCCTGCTCCTGAACTATCATGTACAATTAAGATCTAGAGTTGTCGTATCTATAGTCCGTACCATACATGCAGATATGTGCTCATCATTCGTGCATCTAATGCACGTTATTACGCGTGAAGCACTTGTAAAGCTATATCTGCTGTTTTCCTACCATGCGTGGTCCAGACACAATAACGCACAATCTTCACTTAAGTTCGCTTTCTTAGTACCCTAATTCGTAGCTGTTGGCTTACTTTTAAAGAGTAGGTTTATCTACGATTCCTCCAATGTGAAAAAGGGAGATGGGCCTTTTACGATTTTTGGATAAAGTTTGAGTGTTTATCGTGCACCAAGAGTCGAGTTTTGGAGATTCGATGCTCAACGTGCCAGAATTACAAGGTTTTATCCGATTTCACCAAGTTACAAAAAAAAGGAACCTCTCGGTGAACGGGTCCTCGCGGGTCAAACCATGTCGTATGAGCGCGGCCAGCATGTCTGATTGTCTTTCAGTCTCAGACTGCAGCCGTTCGTCAATCAGTCGTCGGGCCGTGGCAATGACCTTGCCAATGTTTTACTCCTCTCTTTTGGATCCATAAGTCATGCAAGCGGAGGCCATTGAAAGAAGTGCAGCAGGCCACTGGCACATAGAAAGGTGAGGGAAGCCATTACCTTGTCGATCGATCCAATGTAAGAGTCTATATCGGCGTCGTTGACTAGATCTCTGAAGGCCTGTCTGAAGCCAATGTCACTGATGACGTCCAAAGTGAGGTATCGAGTCTTGCGGGCGAAGTCCATGACCTTGTGCTGTGCGGCGGTGAACAATTACCTTTGGCGGCTCAAGTAGATGTACTGGTAGATTTATCTATTAATGTCGCAGTTCAATCTACGTTACTGTCGATCCTATTCGGACCGAGTTCTCATGGACTCGTGAGGATCGCGACAATCGTTATAATTCAGCTGCTGAATCAGGAAACTCTGAATAAGCTAACTCCCATGACGATCGCCTCACTATGGCTATATAGTTTAGTTAGAATCACAGTAATACAACTTTAGTGAACCTTCAATATTTTCCATTGCACGATACCTACGGTCCTAAAATCGTCACAATTAATGATGGGTTCGAGGTACGTGTTCTCCTTGCCGGAGTAGTAATGACTTTAGCAGAATGAATGACACAAGATGATGAGGACGTACACCAGCTGCCATCTGCCGGCGACGCTTTCTATGATTCTCCTCGTAGACTTAGCTGAATATGTGGTCTCTTCAAGGTTTTATTCGAGAAGTGCGATAAGACCATGCTGCACGTGAGCACGGAGAGCGAATTGCGCCCATATACGTATCTAATTCTGGTGCGGATGTGATGAGATCACTCGGCCCAAATCTCGCGATAGAATCTAGAAGTAGCATGTCAGATACGATCAAAGGCGTACAAGCTTGATCATAAGTGTTCGCAAGACTGAGATTTGTATATACCATAGGTACTCACCATAGCGATACGTGGCTTCCTTGTACCACAGATGACACCGGTAAGTGATCATTGCCTAGATGCGTGGTAATTCGCACCAACCTTTACTGGAAGGACCTTTGAATTGGCTTAGGCCATATTTTACACGGGTCTGATTAGCAACACAGATAGGCGAACTCTTGTCAGAACATGCGCTGCTCTTGCTCGGCTGTACTTGATCTCAAATGAAGCATACAATTTACGGTTCCAAGCCGCGAACAAACCCACATCAAATCTACATAACGTACGCATACACAACAGCGTCACCTGAGATTTAGTCGGTATAGTAGAGAACTATACAATAGCCATATGCTCGAATTACACCATCTCTCTCCGAGTCTTTGTATCGCCTAGGTTCCTCTCCGGCTTGAATTCCTCCGCTCTTTTTGAAACTTGTTCACGAGCTACTTGAGCAGACAAGCAATGATACGCTGGAAACTCCCGCGTGGAGACTTGGTTCTGAAAGAGCTCGTCAATCTCCTCTAGAGATCTTCCCCGCATCTCCGGCAAAAAGAAGTAAAGAAACGCAAAGGTGATGGCATTGGATCCAGCCCAGATATACGCGACCTGGTTGTATCAGTTCAACCTCGGTGTACGTATGGCGGGGAAACTTACCTTCGCACCCCAATTGAGTTCTCTCGAGTTGATAAAGTAGGGAGTCGTGAAACTGGTAAGCCACGCACTACGATATGATCAGCATATGATTAAAACCAGCAGTGGTCTTGGCAATCTCACAAGACATAGTTTACAGCTGTTCCGCACCCAATTGTGACGACTCTCAGTCTGCTGCTGACCACTTCATTCGCAACGGGCCAACTCACCGCCCCACTGAAGCCATTATAGACAAAGTACCAACATAGCGCGCATCCTAGTATCGCCTTACCGGAAGCTGCAGAGTCACCGGGAATGGAGGCTGCGATGCCCATGCCGAGCATAAAGACAGTTGAGCCACCGTGGCCCAGTAGCATACTAAAGCGGCGACCGACAAGACGGTAGTTTAGGAAGATACTAGTGAAAACGCCCATGAGACCCATGAATGATTTTAGGATAGTCGCGAGGAATGGTCGGGTCACACCAGCTTGTTGAAAAAAGAACGTCTGGCAGGGTGAGTGGAGAGCATGACACCTAGTTGAGCACGATACCTTACCCCGTAGCCGATAATGAGCCAGATGCCCGATGACGAATGCGATAGAATGACGCCGAAGCAGATCAACGTTCTCCGTAGCTCTGTTCCCTTGAACATATCTTTCAGCACTCTCCCTTTGCTCTTCTCCAGCTCATCTGCAATACCACGCTGCATCTCAAGGAACTCTTCTTCGAGCATCTCCTCACTCCCCTCGAAGCTTGTGCCCCTTAGCCTCGTTAAACTCTGTTTCGCACATTCGTCACGACCCAGCATAAGCAACCATCTAGGACTCTCGGGTAAGAAGAAAACTAAGATCGAGAGAATGAGAGGAATGCCATAAAGCGTGGCCAGAGGAATCTGGTAGGCAAGCTTCGAAGTGTAATCCTTCGTTATGTTGTTCACTGTAGCTCCGATGATGCTGCCGATGGAGACCCAAACCCCGAATAACGACACGAGTGGGCCGCGTAAGTGCGCTGGAGATACTTCGGCAACGTAGACATTAGCGAAGGTGATGAAGAAGCCGTTTGAAACGCCCTATATCTCGTCAATCGGAATCTCCAAAGTCTTCGCCCAGAAAGTGATGGACCTACGATTAGTATACGTCCAAAGTACAATCCCACTAGTTTTTCAGTTCCAATTTGGACACCTGCTGCTACGAAGCTGATCAGGCTGGCGATCCAGATTCCGTGTCGCCTTCCGAATCTCTTGCCCCAGAGGTGTGTTAAGACCACACCAATAATTGTCCCGATATTGAGGAAGGAGGTTATGAGCTGCTGAACCGTGGTAGTAATGTTCCAGCCGATTTTTGCCTTTGGGTCATTATACCCATAGATAGCCAGGAAACCTGCCATCGCTTGGAAACCACCGATGGTAGCAGTGTCGTAGCTGGAAGCATTTAGTGCCGTTGGCACGAGAACAATTTTTGCAGCCATACCCGTATTGGAAGTTCGCCAAACTCATAGCGAGACAAATGAGTATACATTTCCAATTTCGCGCGATTCCCGTATCACGGCGCGACTGCTGTAACATCTTGTCACAGAAGTTGCAATTTGGAGCTCGGTTTACGAAAACAACACAGATTTTCGCATGAGCTCAGATGGCCGAAGTCAGTTATCAGCCAAGGGCTCGATCCAGGATACCGATTGCTCAGCTTCTATGCATCGCTCCGCATTACGGCACCCCTTATATATGCCCCCACATAGTCGGATCGGCAGGCAGCTTGTTGCGGGGAAAGATGTGGGGGATTGACATGATCACCTTGGTACTGCAGTGAACGGGAAGCGAGCCTATACCGTCAAAGGGCGGTGACAGGGTTTCGGCTTGGAATAGCCTTGGCTTAGATGATTCAAGTCGAGGGTGGAGAGAAAACAAAGAGACATTACAGGTATAAATCTGGAGAGCTTCACGTGCAAGACCGCGAATCGTACATTATCAATGTTGAAATGAGAGTGGAGCAATGCGGACGTAGTCTTCAGGTACTCCAGTGAAGTGGAACGAACAGTACCGAACGGATCTGCTGTTCTAGCTAATATCTTCGGCAGATATGTGTTTAATGCACTATATCACACTGGAAGAGCTAGAAAGTTCCCGGACTAAGAAACATGTGAGCTGTCACAGTCACGAGCTTACCACGAAGTTTGAGTGATTCTAGTGCCACGTGGGGTACAAGATCCGCGTCGGCATCGGTCCCTCCCTATTTTTCAATCGCACTGATCTACAGGCTCTTTCGACAGTTAAAAAAGGACCTTGAGCTAGTCAAGTACCATTGAATGTCTGTTGCTGCTGGACTAAACAGGAATTTTTATGACAGTCAGGTTTCTTTCGTTTGTTTCCTTGTTGCTCCAGCTGCGTTAGACTACCGACTAGGAAATGTAGTTGGCGTGAACAAATGCTCCATTCCTTTTTAAAGTCAACCTCACGGTGGTGAAAGGGTACTTAGGTTGCGATTCCACGGCACAAACAAGCGCTCCAAACTAGGTAGCCGTTAGTTGTCCGTGAAGGATGCCCAGTAAGAAGTGGACTAACAGCCCTTGTTTCAGCAACCGTCCGCGTGATAATAGTCGAAGCTGTTTTTAACAATTCCATAGTCCCAGTGGCAGCCGTTTGCTGAGAGCATCGAGCACCCAACGCTCCACAAGGATGGGGACTGGCGTGTTGCAAATGGCAATCTGCTTTGCAAACGAGAACATGAGGCGCAGTGCAATCGATCACGAGGATATGAAACATTTTTCACCTATATATACCTAGGTGCATGTTCGTCCGCTTCTCGATTACTTTACGCTAGCTATCGCCTTTTGCACGATCCAAAGCCTTTACAGTACCAGTCGATCCATCATTAATTATGTTTTTCAACGGTCTGTTACTCTTTCTACCGGGTGTCTTCATCTCCCTTGGCGGTGCTGCTTGCCCCGATGATAATCACTATTGGGAGACGGATATCAACCGCGACTGTGGTCAGGTCGAGAACGGCGCGAAGTTCCAGCAGGTCGGTGCCATGCAATGGGGCGAGCGAGATGCGAATGGAAATCTCCCCTACAACTACAACACTAAAATATGCCTCACCAAAACTCCTGGGTGTGATTGCATTCGACTCTCGAGTGCCGAGGATCACAAGGTCAATCGTTTCTACCTTGCTACTGGCTTCTTCATCGCCATCTTTAGGTACGAGCTTCGCTACCTCGGGACGCTTATGGGGTTTGTGCTGATGAACAGACAGCGACGACAACTGCAAAAAAGGCAAGGTGACGGTCGAGGGCCAGATTGGTTCGCTGTTCGGGGAGTACAAGATCCGCAGCTACACGGCCTGGAAACATTGATAGAGTTCGATGTTTCTATTGCGAAGCAAACATTTGAGAGGGCACTGGAATCATATTCAACAGGGTCATAGGGAAAGAAGATCTTGAGGTTGGAGATATGTACCCCTTGAAAGCATAATGTGAATTGATCGTTGTGCCCATCAAATGAAACCGAATTACGGTGAATTACTCTGTACGTTGTACTTTCCGATAGCTGAACTTTGCGATGAACGGTGCACGAAGAGATCCATTGTTCCCACCCAAACAGGAGATAATTCAGAATTTTGATTTGTGCGGCTTAAGGCTACTTTCCGAAGACATGGGAGACGCAATACTTTGTCCACTTATGCTTACATGCCCTGAGGTCCCGTCGTTATGTGGATGTTCATCAGAAATTGTCTAAATGCTCTCGCTCGTGCCGCTTGTCTACCATGTTCGTCAACACAATTCTCGTGGGCTTTGAAGCCTTAGTACCGTTCGTTCCTCTTGGGCCAGTTCCTTGGCTCACAGACATGCCCAATGATGGCTGGGTTTCTGTATTTCCCATATCTACTCAAAAAGTACCACTGCTTGGCCTCCCCGAACCGATAAAGGAGGCTGATCTTGGTTATAAATATGTATATGTGGCCGACGACTTGAGCTACGGCACTGCTTGTGGTTCACTGAATCAAGGTTTGAAATTAATTAACCGCATGCTGATTAGGCATACCATTGGAAGGTTCCGACGCACCTACCACAGGGATTCATCACCATGGGTATTGCTGCGTCGAAGCAAGATTTGCAAACATTTGATGAGCTTGAAGTCATGTCAGTCTCTATCATTGACCATATTCTTGCTTCATGCTTACTTGTTTGATATACGGATAATGTTCGGAGTTTGCAAATAAAGTCTTGATAACAAAGTCTGCAAACATACATATACAACGTCTGGAAGAAAACTGGTCCGTGGCACTTGAAGCGTACGCTCTCTCATCTATATATGTGTATTGTAATGCTTAGGCCTGCTGTATCAGTTCGACTGTTTGATTGCTGCCCCTAGGGCCGCCTGTTCTTTGGTTGAGTTTTCAGCTGGTCTATCGCGCGCCTTCCTTCACCTCCACGCTTGAACACTAGCGCGGTTGCACAGACCAAAGCTCTATCCCGCTCAGCTATATAGACTCGTAACCAGTCGCCAGACACCATTCTCCCAAATACATCGCATTCTCCGCTCCCTCACCTCGACCTTGGTGACCACTACCGCTTGTTTGCATTGCCCTAGAAACACGCATTTTCATAACGACTCGATTCCTTCCGTCTCCATGAAGGTGTACACCCTCTTACTCTCCTCGGTGACGCTTCTTGTAGGTGTCGCGCTGAACGTCGGCGTGATGGCGTCTCCGCCCTCTGCAGGTCCCGAAGTTCGCCGCGTCGAAGAGCGGGCGAATGAGATCGCGCGTGCACCCCGACCGATTCCTTTCATTCCGGTGAGTGGTTGCGTTCCATGATTCGCGTTCAATTATGATGTTAACCAACTGTAGAACATTGATCCCGCCACAAAGGCTCTTTTCAGGCGCGAGGACAAAGAATGGACCTTTGGCGGGTACCAGACCCAGAAGAGCTCTGGTAAGGACGTTATCATGAAGGCCGAGTTCAACGAGACTGCTGGTTCATCCTGGTGCAACGAGATCGAAGGTGTTGGCGAGGACGACAACCGTGAGAACAACATCACGAAAGCGCACGTTGATTCTCACATGGGCTACACGAACCCTGGGCCCGAGTCCCGCCCGCCGGAATATGTCTGCTTCTTCTACGAGTCCCGGTAAGTGTATTAATAACGATCTGTACACAAGTGGTTTGCTAATCCCATGAGTAGTCACAAGTGTGACCCGAAGGATGGGCACGCCGAGTACGTCGAGAGCGTCGCCGTTATCAAAGCAGACCAAGGCAACAACACCGAGTTCGACGTCACTAAGTACAAGTATATCAGCTGGGGCTGCACTTGGCACCCTCTGAACGAGAAGTGCGAACATGACGACAACGGTACTGGCCACAAGCCTGGAGAGAAGTGCAACCGTTGATCTCTCCGCCTGCCTCTCTTGTGAAGATGGGGCAGTCTTCTGTGTTTCTTTACGTAGGCGAATAATTCAGGGCATGTTTCAATGAGATCTCTCTCTGGTAGTGGTTACTATAACGCAATGCTCCTTGGAGCAGCTGTATTCATCTAAGCCTCAATGGTGGCATTTTCCGCGATGGAATGCGACAAGGTTCATCTGGACAATATGTGGAATAATTGGGCTACATTTTTTCGTTATTAAAGATTATTTGTTATACTACAAGCATTCTTTGATTCCGCAGTAAACCCTAATGCTATTCAAATCTCTCCATTGGCGCCCTGAACCTCCACGATAGCCGGGCCCGCAACAACGTCGTCATCCGTCACACTGCCTTGCTTCTTAGTGATCACCACGTAGCTCTGTCCGTGGAAGCCAACAGGCACCTCAGTTGAGAACTGGTTTCCGCTTTCAAACTTTGCCTCCACGAATGTCGGGCCTGTCACACTGATCCACGCAGCGTAGAAGTTCTCCTTGTATTCCGCAGCCACAGGCTCCTTCGTCTGCAGCGTGATTGTCTTGTTCGTAGCGATGCAGTCAGCCTCAGTGGCGACGCTCAACATCGGGAAAGCCTTGACGGGCAGCATGCCGTTGCTCTCCGGGCACGAGACGATGAATGGTGCGGCGAGAGTGTATACTTGGTCGAGCGTGAGCGGGGCGTCGAAAGCCTGCGGGAAAGGCGACTGCTTGTTTGTCTTGCGCAGGTATGAGGAGTGGCGAGCCTCTACGGTGAGAATGGAGCCCGCGGCAGTGAGATACAGCTTCTCCATGATGGAGGCTGCCGCGCCGAGGTACGCAGAGACGCCGACGCCCTCAAGGATGGAAGCGGTTGCGAGGAAGGAGTGCACATCTGTTACGCCGAAGGCGTAGGTGCATTCTGCTACTGGAGTTGCGTTGGCAGCTGTACGGGTTAGCGAGCGACAATGCGCGGTGGTCCTGATGCATACCGGTGAGTGCTTTGGTAAGGAAGGAGACGTGGGTAGTCTCGTCGTAGGATACCTCCTTGAGGTTCTTGTACAAAGCCTCGTTGAAGCCAGCCTTCTTGAAGTCCTCAAGCGTGAATTTCGCAAGACCCTCGCGGTAGAACTTGTCCTCTGTAAATGATGAGCACCAGTTGGTATGCAAGGAATAGACACGAGGACTCACCAAGATGCTCCAGTGTCAGCGCATATTGAAGGATGTCTACATCAGTGATGTTGGGTGTCGACGACGCTGTCGTACGCTTGGTAGGGTGTGCGGAGCATGTTGCCAACAAGGCAGAGGCGGCGTACATGAACTTCATTTTGAATAGAGTGCGTGGATAATGGACGTCAAGTTGAAAGAAGTAAAGCAACTGTTCTTCTGAGACTTGTCTGAAGGGTAGAAACGTTCACGATCGTTTGTCTTTATAACTCGTTCATCTTTTCCGCCAGCCCGTGTCCGCGCCAACTCGGTCGCCGTATCCCGCATCGCCTCCACCTTGTGGGAGGGCGAAGCACATACGGATGCCTTCGTTTCCGTGCGATCGCTGAACCCCTCAACTCCACAGCCGGCTCTTGCTCTGTATCATGACAATCCAAAAATGCTGTTTACAAGTCTCCGCGAACTATAACGATCCAGCTATTCCTAAAGAAGTGATCGAGCATGGATCGAGACTAGCAAGTTCTGCCGATTAGGAAACACATCTGAAAGTGGAAATGATGTTTCGAAACATGTAGTCTCGGAAGCTCTGGGATCCGGAATGACGGCTGTAAGGTTCTCCTGCCAGTGCTCCATCGGGTTGGGAAGCAATGTCATAGTCGCGTTGGGAGAGGAGAGGCCTCGCTTAGCGATCGAATTAACATGGGCGATGGCGTTCGCGGATACAGAGTGTTCCGGTCGTAGTACATCATTATTACCAACGTCGCGCTGCGGCTCGTTGGGCATAACAATAGAAACGGGGACGGAGATGTATATGGAGTTTGGCACGACCGCAAGCACTAGGGCAGTTCTGCCCAGGTACCCCCGTGGGCTTCGCATCACATGATGTAGGCTGATAAATGCGCTAGTCTCTTTGGAACATGGCGTGATGCTGAGAGTCCCTCCCTCCCAGAGTGTTTGTCTCCGATGACTTCCGACCCCAGCTTGCTTTGAGAAAACCAAAACTGTATTTTAGTAGGACTCCTGTACAAATAATACGACACTATCAGACAGACGCGAGCGGTGAGCCGCGTGCAACCAGCGCGTTTGCTTCGGTTGATGGCCCAATATGACAGACTACCACGAAAGCGATGATTGGTGAGTCCATACAGCTTTCACTGCAATTATTTATTGGTTTGTTGCGTGCGACCATGTTGAAGGCAAGATGCGGCAAGTTCATTAGCCCGGTGCAGCATCTCCGCCTCGATTACTATCATGTTGCTTTCCCTGGCATATCACCAACGGGAATGGAGTGTTGTTGCTTTCCACTGGATCCATGCATCAAGCTCCTGACAAGAAGTCGCCAACGGGGAATTGTCATGGAACCGATCAGTTCAACCTCAGGAGACTCGCCATCATTTTATCATCCTTGCCCACCTTCATACCATCGCACACTAGCGCTCCCCACGCGCACATCGAGCCTCATGGCGACGGTCGGTTACCCGAACTTAGACAGTTATACACAGAACACCTTAGCACTGGAGTTCCCGGAGCCGGGACCAGCCTCCGTTGGGATGCAGCAGAATGAGAAGAAATGCCGCTGGACACGCCTCAAGCGCGTGATGGGCCAGTCTCTAACCTCTCGCTCGACGTCTAGTGTCAAGTCTCTAAAACCGCTTTCTCCAATCAGTGAGACTGACTCAGCAATATACAGTATCCGGGCTGGACCCTCTTCCGTGACAGAAGATGCCCAAACAACTACGTGGGAGGATTCCGAATACGACAAGCAGCTGAACGAAGCCGTCAGCGGTCTCAAGAACGACTTCGTATCTGGTGCGCGGGAGATGGCTGACTCCGCTCTGTCGTCGCTTTCTTCTCTAATCGTGGTCGCGGCTGCAGCTGCGCTTAATAGAGATGAACTGTGGAATATGACAATCTCCGCGGCGAAAGAGCTGAGCAGCGCAAGACCTAGCATGAATGCAGCCATCACGTCTTGCCTTCTTGGGGCGCTCGACGACTTGTCGAAGCTATGGGACTCGCTGGATAAGAAGAGGAACAAACCGCCAGATGAACTCGCAGCTATGGCGAGCAGACAGATGGTGAGGACATTGGAAAAGAGAAAGGAAGCTGGGATGCGCTTGAGCGAAAACTTTGCTGAGCGGCTGAGGGCTTATTGCAGCCAGGTAATCCTTTCAATCCCTCAGTGTCGTTCGTAATCACTAATGGCAACAGCGCCTTAACAACACCCACACTCTCACCATCCTCACCCTCAGCAACAGCAGCACCATCCGAGCCAGTATCCTCACCACGCTTTCTACCCTGCGCTTCCTGCACCTAATCCTCCTCGTTCTCGAATCCCGCCCGCGTTTCGAAGGCGCAAGTATGGCTTCTCAGATCCTATCCGCTACCTCAGCAGAAGCTCGAGGCCGGCTAAAAATTCACATCCTCCCCGACTGCGCCGTTGCCACAGTTGCGAAAGACGCGCAGCTAGTCCTCCTAGGCGCAGATCGCATCTCGGCTTCTGGCGACGTGAGCAACAAGATTGGCAGTTTGGCAGCAGCGGTGTGCATTAAGACGCTGAACCCTAAAGCTCAGGTTGTTGTGGTCAGCGATGCGGATAAGATTGTTGCGAAGGGGGTCGAAGAGGGAGAGAAAGAAACGCATCCTGCCAGCGAGATGCTAGAGGGTTGGGGCGACGAGACGAGGAGGGACTTAGCGGCCAGGATCGTTGATGGTAGTGTGGAGGTGTTTGGTGAGTGGTTCGAGTGGGTTCCTGCAGAGTATGTGGATGGCTATGTGACTGAGAATGGCACATTGGATACGAGTGGTGTAGAGAAAGTCGCTGAAGAGATTGGGGAGCTGAGGGAGAAAATCTTTGGTTGAGGCATGATTTGATTGGCATACTGTACCAGGGTGTTTACGGGCGTGATGAGACCAAGGTGTACCTAGGCTGTCAAGGTGTCATAGTCATGCCTTGACGAAGCATGACAACAATCTGTCCATTTAAAATGAGAGCAGTTTAACTTCTGTATACTGGATAGCGCCGGCCTAATACATCGTATGAAAACATGCAACTCGCCCATTATTTTGATTCACCGAATCGAGAAAGAGCCACTAGCCTCACCGTGCAATCTCTAGGACAGTATCTTCGATACTCTCACCTATACCGCTCTCCTTTTGCCTTTGCACCCATCTCCAATGACTACTCCTTCAAAATCCTATACCCCAGACCACCATCTCGGCACCACGAACTTCAATCGGCCATGAATCCGCATTCCGTGTGTCCTTCATCCACTCCTAGACTGACGCCGGTACACTCCCGTCCGCGCACACCTGACTACGACAACAGTGAAAACCACACCCGCAACGACCGCCGTGACAGCTTGTCTCCGGCCCCTTTCGGGCCCATGCCGAAATCCACCCATGTTTGCATGCACGCACGATAGCGATGACGAAGAAAGCACCGGCCAGAAGCAGCCGGTCGTGTGCCACGATGGTCTGCCAAATCGATACCACTGAATTGGACACCCCTGAAAAACGTGTTGCCAGCACCATCGGAAGTTCCAACAGACTGGAGTTCACGTCCAGGCAACGTGGACGGCAGTCCATCACCGCCACGTTATGTCGCGCGCGTCCCTTGACTCACTACCTCTTCCGCGCTGACTTCCTTTCCCGTGGAAAGCAGTGTTGATGGCCAAAATCCCGATCGTTGTACGTGGTGGAAGAAGAGAAAGATTGAGAAGCAGGTGCGCCACAACGGGAGATCAAGGCGAGCAAGGGAAGGGTGGAAGAAACCAAACATGAGGGTTCGGAAGCCCAGCAGCACCTTGGATTCGCGGAAAAGATTCAAGAGGCGAGACCGGGATGAGGAAATAACAGCATGCGGCTCCCTACCAGGACGTTGCACTCCTACATCAATCCAAGAGACATCAGCGAACAGTACTGCCGACGTATGAAAAGTTCACGGTAGGTAAATGCATGGGCAATGCGGGAGCTAGTACCTTGGAGTCAGCACTGGAAAATAATTTTAAGGATGCGCCTCCGATACATGACGAAGCTGAGCTTGCAAGGGATCGGTAGGATTCCCGATCCGCCCTCAACGTACGACGAGGAGGTAACGGAGTCGCTCAAGGCCGCGTCCGAAGGGAAGCTTAGCTCATTTCAAGCTGGCATTCTTCACCAGCCCGAGATGCGTATGAGGCAAGGCAGGAAGTCGCGGGGGCTGGACTACCAAGGGACCCTGGGAGGTGTGGGTCACCGACAACACAGGCAATGATATTTTCGCGGAGCCGTGTGCAGCGTCGTGGTTAGGAAGAGCGCACTCGAATGTGAGGTTCCGAAGGCATCAGAAAGTTGCGAAATCAATGGAACCGATTCAGTAGACGGCGCTCAAGCGGAGCAGTGAGCGCCATCAATCGATATTGTAATTGTTCATACCAACGCCATGCCGCGCTGTGCGTCAAATCAAACATGGCAGGAAAAGCCTCCTTGCCCGGCCACACCATCGTACTCCATCCATGCCCAGCGTGTTCGTACACATCCATCTTCCCCGCACATCTTGTCCACTCCTGTCGAGCCTCATTTTCTTCCCATCCTTCCCTCTCCCGAAGTCAAGACCACTCCCCACTCAAATAAGATGCTTGCTCCTGAAATAGCTCCTCAGGTACACAACCTGCCACGCGCCCAAACTGACCAGCATGGCCATAGTCATGTATCCGAACCACTTCACGCGGTCGTTGGTGCTCTCGTTGGTATCCCGCAGCTTCTGTTCCCGCGAGCGCAGGTAGTCCATCTCCGCGACGATCTCGCCAACCACCTCCTCAATGCGACGGAGCTCCGCTTCGACGGGCTTGAGCTTCTCGCCGGCTTGGATGGCGGACCAGTCCTTCGCGTCGGCGCCGATGTCAATGTCAAGCTCGACATGGCGGGTGGGGTTGAGGTTGCCCTGGGGTGCTAGACATTCATTAGAACCTGTTTGCGCGGAGGGGAGGTGGGTGTCGTACGGCCGGTAATGATGCTCTCAAAGCACACGTCAAACGCAGAGTCAGCGTGCGATGTGAAAGCGTATCTGTTCTCTCCGTAGACGTCCTTGGGCTTGTGGTAATCGTTGCCCATCGCATCGCGAATCTATGCCCTGTCAGCCTCAATTCTCATGCTCACTCTCATCCATCCGTTCCACTCCCGAGCATATCCCAATCGCAGGCCCACGTACATGCATATTTACGGTCTGTCCATCGCCGCGGTGCCCGTCCAGAATCGCCGTCACAACCACAAGCTGTTCTTTTGCGACAAAGTTCCGGATGCAGCGCTCGTGCTTAGCCGATTCGTGGCTGTTTACCGCATGAAGGTCGAATTTGAGGGCTGCGGCGAGGGGTGCGAGGAGGAGGAGGGCCTGCAGGAGGCGGATTAACCGGTCCATGGTGTTTGTGTGTGCGTGTGCGAGCGCGAGCGCTGCAGAGTTGTGTCGTGTTCCGCGAGGGATGATGGAGGACAGATAATCCACGTCCGAGCATGAGGGTCACGCTAGGTAGGATTGATACTAGCGCTGGGGAAGGTGCGACTGGTGCCGTGGCGCGGCATCAACCACGATGAGGTGCATATTCCCTTGAGTTCTTGATATTCACACGACGTGAACTCAGAAGGTGTACTGGAACTGACACTGACTAGGAAATTCCACCAATCATGGCCTGAAACCGCGTATTCATCAGCTTTGAGGAGAGACTCAATCTTCAGCCTCATTCCACAACATTTGAATTGACGATATGGCCACCACCAGTCAGACGCAACCTCTGCATGTCATCTCGTCCAATAATCTCGGCGCATTACTACTCGCACCGAAACGATGAAGCCGACGCTGGATCACCACCTATATACTTCGAACTCAACGGGTACGCGCAAAGCCCCTGCTCCCACCTCCTCCCCTCAACTGTTCGATTCGCCGTCAAAGTCGTGGGAACCTCGCCCTCCTCTACCCACTTGACCAACTGCGCCAGAGGGTCCGTCGGCACCGCTCCCACGCCACCACGGCAATGTCCGACACCCGGCGCAGCGTAAAAACGATAGTACTCCTTCGCTCCGGGATCCGCTTCCAGTACACGCTCGTAGTAGTCCACCGTGCCGTTGTAAAATATGAGCTGATCTGCCATTCCGTGCCAGGTAATCATCTTGCCACCCGCATTCTTGAATTGAGTCAAGTCGGGGTCGGAGGTGCCTATGATGGAGGTGTACTGGTTTACCGATGCATGGAAAGCTGCATCCCATTCGGCTTGCGTCATACTGTAGGGATCAAAGTTTGGGTCCCTCTTGAGAAAAATTTGGTGCCAATCTTTGGAGATGGCAAAGGGTACTCCTATGCAGGTGCCATTCGAGGAACACGTGGTGTTGGCCAGGCCGTTGAGCGGCGTTCCTCGGGGAAATCCGTACCACTGAAACCGCCCATAAGCGTCGCGTGCTCCAGTCCAGATGGTCTGAACGATAGTTGCGGCCTCTTCTGTAACATGACTAGCCAAGTCACCACAGGTATAGGCTTTGCCTACAGCGCTTCGAGGATCGAAGTCGCAAAGCCCAATCATACCAATGATGCCATCTTCGAGGCCATCGAGTTCGTCGCACGCTTCGACGGCTGCGCTCGTGATGGCGCTAAGTTCGCACTGATTCGGGAAGTATTCCATCTCGTGCATGACACGCTGAGGCCAGAATTCCGCAACGATGAACTCGGCCCAGTTAATGGCTGGTGCCTCGGCGAGGATCCCGTCGTAGGCATCGGGATACCGCTGCGCCATCATAAGACCCTGCCTTCCTCCGGTAGAACACCCGTTCCAGTACGACCTCGAGATTGGTTTTCCGTAGTAGGCTTCCGTGAGTTGCTTACTAATGATGGTCATGTCGTTCAGGGATACGGATGCAAAGTCTTGAAGAAGATAGAGGTTGACATTTCCAGGGCTCAACATAGCCCAAGATGAAGTGTTTGTGATGGCCGTGTGTCCTCCGTTTGTTGTGGCCGCGGCGTATCCCTGGGACACTGCGCTGACCATGTCTCCGAAGTCTGCATTGGTGGTCCAACCGCCTCCCCCAACGCCCTGGAAGCGGCCGTTCCATGTGTTTGGGAGCCACAGGGAGACATTTATCCGGTCGTTCTGCCCGGGATGTGTATAGATGACCGAAACGTTGCAGAAGTCGATGCTCGAGCTTGAGATGGTTGCGCTATTGACTTGAGCAGCCTCGATAGAAAGAATCGACCCCCCAAGTAAAGTTGGAGTTGGGAGCGAGTCGGTGCGACAACTGCTCGCAGTAGCCGCGACTCTCGTAAGGAGGGCAACATCAAGAATACTTTGTAGCGACGGCCGTAACATCTTGTTGATTCGGCTCCGCCTGGCTAACCAACGTTCCGCTGTTGTCTGGAAACTTCACTCCCTGTTATAAAAAACGCCCCACCGTGTTTTCGAGGAAGGCTGTGTGCAATTGGGTCTGCTTATTACCGACCTGGCTCCGCAAGGTTACGGCGTGGTAGCACGACGTGGGTCCTAATGAGTGGCGTACCTTCCATCCTATGCATTGCGCTAGAGTGGATAACGTTACCCTCCTTTCATGGCTAGAGCAGAGTTCCACTGATCGAAACAACAGTCGCAACTACGATGGTCAAGTGCGAGGCTATCGAGGTCACGATGGGGCCGGCACCGCGTTTCGGGAAGTAGCCCCCGCAATTCGGAACCTTCATCTATAGCAGCATCCGACCGGAGATATTCCGTTAATCTTGCGCACACATTTTGGTTCGTGCACTGGGATCGAATTTTTCCATTTAGCGATATAGAGACTGTAGCTCTGGTGCTGGAATTGACTGAGAAGCTGTCAATGACGTCGTCCCACAAGAGAACCATAGCTAACTGCTTCGGGTTAGCAGTTTTGGAACATTCCACCTTGTCCCTCAGCCTTGTCACTCTGACTTTATGCTCCATCTAATCTTCACCTCTCATCATCGATGGCAATTTTCCGGGTTTCGAGCTTGCTAGTCATACCACGAGTACCGTTTCGTTCGGAGATAAAGTTTTCAGACGGACAATTAAAAAAATCTCTTTGAAGTCCACGTCGGGATGCTCTCTACAAATGATTCCACGTTCTCCTTTCCCGGATCTCAAATCTAGATTCTCATGCCAATAGCTACACGCTATGTCAACCGGTATATCTACCATAACGTGCTCTTCCTCTCTTGGTACTAACAATCCAGTCTCCGCAAATCCTTTGAGTTCCTGTTCTGACCGCCACACTTCTGCATTCGAGCCGGCGTGACCTAAACCTGGACAACCTTGTTCCCTTCGACCTCTCCAGTTTTCTTGACCAATACAGAGCATCTGAGCTTGTGTTTTTACGCGTTGTCATTAAGCTCAACCTCCAGCCCCCTATGTGCAAACGGCCCACTTGACTCTCCCCTTCCTGCTTGATCACTCAATAATCAACTCTAACACCCTCTTCGTATTCAACTGTGACTTTCCCATCCCCCTGCCTTTGCGGCGGAAAATGCTTGAAGCTAGGGACGTCCTCCAGCGTCTTGAACCAAGTCGTTGCCAGCCTACCGTTTGGAGACACGCGGCCGGTTAACACATCTGCCGCCGCATTATCACCCTCCTGTCTAGGAAAACGCGCGAGAAGCACGGCGTCAAACTCGTCAATCACTTCGCTGACATCGATTGGGTTTCCGGTGTAGAGGACCAAAATTGTCTTATTAGACGCGGCTGCTACAGCGTGCACGAGACGTGTCTGGTTCGCTAGAAGTTTGATGGATTTCAGGTCTGAATCTTCAGATTCTTACTGCGCATTGCGGCCGGCGCATATGATACTGACATTGCTCGAGCGCGCAATGCTAACAGCTTCAGCGATGGCATTATCTTCGGCGTAGGCTTCTTCGGAGGCGAGAGTCGCGGGTAGGGCATCGGCTCGCCGATACTGAGTTTTGACCGGTTTTGCATTGCGAGCTAGATCTCGTACGGTGTGTTCTCGGTGATTAGTCTTCGACGTGAACCTCGAGGAGAATGTGGTTGAAGATGAACTGCCGAACGGCACAGGCGTCGTTTTTTTCCCCAGAGACTTCTCTCTCTTTGACCTTGGCGAGTAACCGGCTTCCACGAAACACGGGAAACGGCATTTCAAAGTCCAATCTAGCAGCGATCGGCGCAACCGTGTCATAGACTGCAAACCGAGCTGATACGACAATGCCCTTGAAGCCCCTGTCCCCCCGCAGAAGCTCCTAATGGAGCTCCCCATGCTCACTACACAATTTTCCTTCGACCTTATTTTACCTGTTCGCTTGGTCCATCGGTTCTTCAAGCTGGATCAACCACTCACGCGCTCATCATTCCTTCTGAAGCACACCCGCTAAGCATATCCTACCACTCCGCAAGATACACCTCCCTCAACTCTGTCACAAAATAAAAGCGCCTCAGCGTCTTCACATCATTCGCAATAGAATGCTTCGTACACGCGCCAACACTCTCGCTCTGTATTCACCTTACAATCGCAGCCGCCAAGTTTCCCGAGATCAACGGGTCCTCGGAGAAACACTCAAGGTTGTGTTCAGCCGGCGGATTGCGGTGGCAGATGATCTTGGGACTGAGTACTGCTTGTGCGCGAGTTCCTATCCTAGGCGATAGAGGAGTGAAGTGCCCCAGGTGGTCGCGTAGCATGTTGTGCTGGGACAGACAGCGGTTGTGAGGCACGATTCGATACCATAAGGCCGAATGCCGTATATTGAGTCGGCGACCCGAACAAGTGGAATAGAAAGGCGGGTTGCACCGGCTGCGGTAGAGGATTCTTGTCGTATCAGAAGCGCTATCTTTCCTCGAGAGTCAACGAGGGGAAGAGGCTTGCAAATGAGGTTGGATATTGTTCAGACATAGCGTGCTGTGTATGTCACATTTCCTGCGTGAGCTCGATGCGGGGAAATGGCTGCCTGGCTGTGCACGTTGTACATGTTTGGCGATTTGGTCATGGTGCGCATATGCGTGGCACTAGCAATGCGGCAGTTCCGGCTGATTCGGATATCCCGACCAAGTCGTGGTAGTGCTTGATCTAGGCAGGTGAGGGAGCCAGAGAACGAATAAGACTCTCGTCAGGCGAAAGCCCGGGTTCATATCACAGTGTTTGGGCATGCGGCTCCTGCGCATGACAACACAGATCGTGACAGTGGTATTGTCTTGGGCTACGTAACATGGTGGGAGCGTAGTATCCGCGACTTACGGTTCCATTACAAAATTGTATAGCTGAAGTCCGCAGCACAGATTGTGAGACCGAAGATAAGCATGTAAATGATGCTTTCATATTTCTATCCGGGAAATTGATTCTGCAACACCAAAACCATTCACTATCTACCTCTCTCGGACTCATCATCCGCCCCAAACAAAATTCTGCTCTGCCCCTTGCATCAAAGGACGAAGTGCCATTCCATAATCGCCGGCATTTGGTGTCCTCAGAATAGTGTGAATATGGAATCTTGCGGGCTCTTTGTTCGTCAGGAACACCCCAGAATGATGATCAAACTCGACGATGATGACTGGGCTCTGTATCCGATAGTAGAATGCGTCATCGTTGTCGAATCCTCCGATCCAAGAAAACCATGTCTCATGATACCATCCCCTTGCCTGTGTAAGCCTCATCTCTCGTGCTCTCCTGGGCAAGTACAGAAGAAATTGCTCCAGGATGGCAGTGACAAGTTCCTGAGACGTGGACTCCATATCACTGACTCTTACGCCTTCGTATGGAACCACTCTGTTATCGCGGTACGCGCCGCACAGATGACGCTGGTCGTCATGATTCCAGCGACCTCGGAGCATTGCGGGATCGTGCAGGAGTTTGAAGATTTGCGCACGGGACTGCAACTGTGAAGGCAAAGATTGCATGAGTGCAACGCCTAGTCTGTCTTCCTCCCGGAGGATCTGAGTGCCGTGGTAGGGGTCATTCTCGTCGTCGAGAAGGTTTGGTTCTGCGCCAGTAAAACATGGAGACACGACGATCTGATTGCGGTACAGCAGGATGTTGAGACAAAGATGATGGCCGTAAAATGAGAAGCCCCAGGGTTTCGTAGCGGAAGGGGCCCCAAATAAGGCTAGATTGTACGAAAACTCGTTGCAGATGCGAGGGGCATTTACGAGACGCCCGAGAAACCCGTTCATACGCATAGCGCCGAGAGCTTTCTCATAGCCTTCAGGTGAGAGCGTGAGTCGGAGCAGGTTGAGCGCAGCATCGCGTGTGGGATTGGGCACCTCGTCTAGTCGGATGCCTTTGTTGCTCAGGAGAAACTCTGGGTTGGACCAGGAACGCCATTCGGGTGAGTCGATGTGGTAGATTATGCGCTCTCTTTCATACCAATCCAGTAAGGATAGTAGTTCTTCTGCAGCTGCGGCGATGCTAGTCACGGGAACACCTTCATCTCGTAAGTCGAAGAGACCCGGCTTTACTACACCGTCATTGGTGATGCCGCGGAAAGGCTCGGCGAATAATTCTCTCCAATGGAGCCATAGCGCGTGTAGCCAGGGCGGTTCTCCATCGCGCTTGAAAGATTCTGCGTACTCGTGTGCGTTTTTTTGTTGCAGAGTCGTGAATCGAGGTTGGCCTAAGTCGGGCAGGAACTGGCGGAAAGTCACGTGTGCGTTCCCGGTCATGGCTGGTCAGTGTCTTGAGTGGTCTTGTATGCTCCGGAGTAATGCGCGCACTGTTTACAGTTACCTATGTTCTGTACTAGACGTCTATATTGAGGACGATTGTAAGCTAGATTGTTCCGGAAATTCCATGCCCGATTCGCGCAGACCGGCATTTCCGCGTGCGGCGCAAGTGTAGAATTTCTTCGCGGGTATCCGCAAAGAGGACATCAAGTGATTGAACTAGGATCGTAAGACTTGCAGAAGTGTTATTCACTGCACAGTCAGACTGGCATCATAAGAAACGTTTTTCGCCTGCTCCTACACCAAAATGGCAATTCCATCTTTCACGCGGCTGGTGCGTTTCGTGCCGAAATCGGACACATCGAAGATATACATCGGAGAGCCGGAGTCAGATACCGTCGACGTAGGAGTGGCCCTGCGCGAAGGTCAGCAGGTTTCGGCCTTCCTCTGGTCCGGCAGTTCTGTGCTTTCTCCAGGCACCAAAACCGGCTACAGCGAGATTATTGGTCAATTGTTGTCGCCAGTGGCCGCTACCGAAGTGGGAACAATTCGCTGCATTGGGCTGAACGTGAGTGCCCCGGCAGAAATTGGTGAACACACTGACAACATTCAGTACGTCCAGCATGCTAAAGAATTGGCTGTCGAGCTTCCCACTGTGCCCACTGTCTTCCTGTATGTGGCCTCGTCATCCATCCCACTCTGCACAATTCTCTGAACCTTTTTAGGAAGCCAAGCACGGCACTCGGAGATCCGTGGCCGGCACGAACGGTACTGCCAGCACTTACACAAAAGTCCGATACAGGCGACTACGAGTCCGAGCTGGCGATTGTCCTTGGTAAAGACTGCAAGAACGTGTCAGAAGAGGAGGGCCTCGACTACGTGCTGGGCTACACAGCGTGTAATGATATCTCTAGTCGAGCGAGCCAGTTCGCACAGTCGCAGTGGTGTTTCTCCAAGGGATTCGACGGCTCATGTCCTATCGGTAAGTGCTCCACAGACCTCAACAAGAGCCTTTCTGAAATTCTTCCAGGTCCGACAATTGTTTCGAAATCCTTAATCCCCGACCCATCCACGCTACGTATCCGTGGTTTGAAGAACGGCGATGTGAAGCAAGACTGCGGCACCGAGTATGTCCTTCCAAACCCTGTACATGCGCACCATCATCTCTGACTGCGGATACAGCGACCTCATTTTCAGCATAGCCAAGCTGATCAGCTTCTTGTCGCAGGGTACGACTCTGCCTGCAGGCACAGTCATCATTACTGGAACGCCAGCCGGAGTGGGCGCAGGATGCACTCCAAAAGTAACCATCCGAGAAGGTGATGAGTTCGCGGTGGAAATCCTCCCACACATTGGCACCCTTTTCAATGTCTTCGAAAACGAGAGGTAGGGGTCTACAATTCGCCCAAAGAAAAGAACATAGGGTTATTCTGGTCGAAAGCGCCTAGCTGAGCCGCAATGTCAAAGTCCATGCCACTGCCGTCGATCAGGCCCAGTGGTCCCCAGTAGTGATTCAGCTGGACAGAGTGGCCTTCCACATGCGTGAAGAGCGGGGTAGGCTCGGAAGAAGCATGTCCTATGGGTTGTTCTTGATTGTATGCGGCGGCGGTTTCGGAGGATAGTCTGCTTTCCGCCTTTTCTCTTGCGCTGCGCAACAGCCGCGCAGCTTCTAGAGCAACAACGCATTCTTCCATAGTTTCGAGGATTTCCACGGCCATGTTGACTAGCTCGAAAAGAGATTGTGCTTCCTCGTGGCTGGCTGAGCCTTGCGTGATGTATAACAAAATGACCGACGCGGCAAAGACGGTATATGTGATGTTATAGAACCTAACACAAACATCAATATAATGCTTCGATAATGTCATGCCGGAGAGAAGAAAGTACCATGTCTGGAAGAAATCGTTATGCGCATAGGTCTGGTAGATTATACTGATCGTCTGCTTCGCGGAATCAAGACACTTGTGGGTGTTTTCCATGCAGCCTGGAATAGTAGCACGCTCGGACTGTGACGATCTTAAGAGTAAAGAGCCAAATAGGAGGATCCTGAGGTTGTTGTAACGTATATTTAGCACGAGTCTTTGTCGTTTAGCCCACTGCGCATCCCTGGCGCTTCTCAACGAAGGCTTTTGATGGAATTGAATCTGTGTATCAGGTCGAATAGCTGAGGGAAGGCTTTCCACCCACATTTCGAGTTCTCTTTCAATCTGGTTGGTTAAAATGATCATATCTGCTATGCTCGGGTTAGGCAGATAGATCTTCTGGCATATAGTCCTGGTGATCCTCGCTAAATCGACCGCGTAGTTGATGATGGCACAGTGCGGCGGCTCAGACATCTCAGAATCTGTGCGTTCCGTTTCCGTATCTGTCCTGACCAATGGCAGTCTTCGGTTATGATAGATATCGGCGCCCAGAGTGTCAGGCCTTCCCAGAGAGAACGAAATTTCCCTATGTCAGATTAGTGTTATTGTTCCATATCCCCCCTGAACAGACTGGGCCTACATTTCCAATGAAAATATGCCCCTATACTCAATCAGTAGTTATACATCGCTGAATGTGAATATGACAACTCACCACCAAGTTCTGGATTCCGCCTTCAGCTGAGCAGGTGATTTCCTCGTGTTTGACCCCGGGTCACGATTCACACCCATAGCTAATGCCGTTCGCACCGCAAGACCTACATACATGTAGGACCCTAGAAGAGACATAAGCTTCATAGCTGCTAACCTGCATCTCACACTTACAGTGTGGGTTAAGCTCGTTCTGACAGACTTTGGCCTGAACATAGTTAGTTGCCAGCTGATACAGACGCCACCAGACCGCGACGTACCATCATGAAAAAGCATTGAACCATTTCTAGATCTGTGACGAGACCGAGCTGGTTACAACACGTGCGAGCAATGTCGAAGAATTTCCGAGACCATTGTAGGTTGCTCAAACCGTCAATGGATTCCTCTTCGCGGACAGCAACAATCGCACCCAGTGCGAGAACGCTGTAGTATAGTGCAACAAAGCTCGAAGTTGGATGGTGGGCCGCATGGTCAGAGCTTCTTGACCATAGAGCTTCGCATTGTTGCAAAAAATCACGCTTGTCCAGGATAGGATGAATGTAGTGAATGGTGGAGAAGAAACTTTCCACAAAGCCTCTACATTGAGGATAGTGATTGGCGCAGTCAACGCCAGTCTCCATCCCATCCCCGTGGGAAGCAGTTGGTGTGGTCCGGAAGGCGGGATTGTGCAGGCTAGAAACAAGCTGAGCGCCATCTTCATCGTCCTGCCGTCTCTGGCCAGTACGCCTGATGTGAGATAGCAGAGCGAAGGAGGAAGAACTTCCGTAGAACTCGACATCACGCGTATGACGGTTGACGCCGGAGATTTCCTCTTCACCCGTCTCCCGGATCGGGACGGGGGTCTCTTCCTGTGCCATAACATTGAAATGCTGCGGTTGTATGTGGGGAGCGGATGGGCTTTGGCCAACTTGGACCATGGGCGGTGCACTAGGTGAAGCAACGGACCGTGTCGAGAGTAACTTGACCTGCTCTTCCAGCTGTTTCACGTACTCTGCGGTGTAGCGTCGTGAGTTGGGCTGCTGGCCTTGGTAAACGCAAGTAAGTTGGCGATTCTTGCAGTAAGAGCAAGGATATGATTCGTCGCATTTGTTCTTCTTCGCGCGACAAAGATCACATGCACGAGCGGCACGGGGCCGTCGAGGCCGTTGACCATTGGATCGGGATGCGGGTTCCATCAGACAGGTGTTTTGTGATTGAAGGGTACTCAATTTGATCGAGACACGGGCAGATGCAATGGCATCAATTGATGATCGTCGCGTCAAGATGGAGATTAGAAACATTAGCGTTGCGAGCTGAGTCATCATAATGCGGCTTATTAGGACTAGGGATGTCTGGATGCGGGGTAAACATTTCACTAGTGTATTTTAAACCCATTCAACCCCAGGGAATCTTGCTTTTCGCCGATTAGGCTGTAATTACATTCCGCGCAGCTCTCCACACAGCCTCGTACAATCTTTCACCCTAACAGAAGAGGTATCTGTTCCAGCAAATGCTCTACAATAGCGTCTGGTCCTCTCTCAACCTGCAGTCCAAAGGGAATCGCGTGCAACTTCACGTCACTTTTGACGGACCGTGCTGTCTGCTGGATCTCCACTACATCTTGCGCCGTCCACATGGAGGCAGAGAACTGCTTAGAAGTTACTACTGCAGATGATAGAATGTCACTCCTCCACTTACCAGCATGTCCGGCTGATACTCACGGACTTTGCTTTCGACCTCTTCTTTACCTGAAGAACCCCGTCAGCGCCCATTAAACCTTTCCGCCATATTCTGACCATACTGCTGCAATTGGCGACGTAGTCAATCGTGTACTCATCCTTCAATGCCTCCGCCACCCTGCCAATGAGCACCTTCGCTCGCTCTGGAGCATTGTTGACTGTCACCAACTTGAAAGGACCTTTTGGAGCCATGGTAAAAGACTTTGTGTGCAGCCATTATTCCCCTTAGGCGTATATATCACCCTGAGAACCATGAACAAGCTTATAATGGGAATTGCCGGTGGTGCCAGCGCCCTCCGGGAAAGCCGAGCAGCACTCCACAAAAGTTGTCCGGAAACACCGGACCCAAACTAATGGCTTGACCCAGCGCCGCTGCACGCAACATCACCGTGTGGGTGCATCATATCTTCGGAAATCCCCCAGAGAAGAAAGCCGCTCGGACTACAGGATGTGAATGCCCGAGCGTCAAAGCCGCTGCTTATACTGCCATACCAAACAATTGACTGCTCTTACCTTCCTACCAGTCCCATTCTCCACAGTTCGAATCATGGATTCCCCATCCCCCGCAAAGTTCCCCCACAAATCTCCCATCAAGCTCGACGTGATTGTGGTGGGAGCTGGCCTTGGCGGACTTGCGTCTGCCATTTCAATCGCGCAGTCCGGGCACGCAGTCACCGTCTTCGAATCCGCGAAAGAACTCGCCGAAGTAGGCGCGGGCCTCCAACTCACCCCTAACTGCACCAAGATCCTCCAGCGATACGGCCTTAGCGATTCATTCTGGGCTTCCGCTGCTGAACCCACATCCCTCACCGTACACCGATATACAGGCTCGGTACTCGCCCACGACGAGACCTTTGCCCACACAACTCGCGCTCGATATGGTGCACCGTTTCTTGACATGCATCGCTGCGACCTGCAGCAGGCGTTGTACGAGCGCGCGAAAGCTCTGGGTATCACATTCCGATTCCGTTCGAAGATAACTGATCTTGAATTGGACCAGCCGCGGCCTGCAGTCTCTACAGAAGGTGGATCCCGAACCGTCGCGGACCTGATTGTTGCGTCTGATGGATTGTGGTCACGATGTCGATCGCAGTTCCTGGGACGGGAGGATCCTCCCAAGCCTACCGGTGATTTGGCCTACCGCGTAGTGCTCGAGCTCGACCGAATTGAAGACGCGGAGCTACGGCGGTGGGTATCTGAACCGACATGCCACTTTTGGATAGGACCAGGTGCTCACGCCGTAGGCTACTCGCTGCGGGGAGGCAAGATGTACAACATTGTGCTGCTTGTACCCGATGACCTTCCAGAGGGAGTGAGTCGCCAGCCTGGTTCCATTGAGGAGATGAGGGCGCTGTTCAAAGACTGGGATCCAATTCTATCGCGTTTCTTGGACTTGGTCGATAGTGTGGATAAATGGAAACTGATGCATCGTGGGTCTGCCCCACTCCTTTTCGCTGCGATCTAGTTCTGACAATTTCTAGGAGATGAAATGAAATCTTGGGTTAATTCCGGTTCCAACTTAGTCTTCACGTAAGTCGGCTATGGCTTGAGTCAATTGGCCAGAAGATTGAGCTGAATCATCATAGGGGCGATGCGTGTCATCCGATGCTACCGTATCTAGCTCAAGGAGCAAACTCAGCAATCGAGGACGGCGCCGTTCTCGGATTACTTCTCGGACGCATAAAGTCCAGGCATAGCGTACCCCAGGCACTGAGAACTTACGAACATCTGCGAAAAGCGCGGGGTGAAGCCATCGTGCGGGAGACTTTCAAGCAGGTAAGAGTTCCCAATCTGCATGCGAAGATATCTATGAAGCTGACCTCATTACAGCGTGACGCGTTTCATATGCACGATGGACCTGAACAAGAAGCCCGTGATCAGGTGTTCCTGTCACAGCTAGGCAAGGAGCTGAAAGGTCCCTTTCCGAGTCGGTGGACCTGTCCACAGGTACAGCCATGGCTGTATGGTTATGATGCTTATGATGAAGTGGAGAGAGCTGTGGAGGCGGAGCCTTTCCAAAGCTCGTCGAACGAGAAGCGTAATCTGAGTACCGAGTCAGACTGGTTAGCTCGGCTGTACAAGTGGCTGCCCTTTTTGCACTGGGTGAAGTAGACGAGAATGAGACAATGTACAACATGGAGGGAATAGTGTGAGCATGATGTCGATTTGTGACTTTGTTCTGCGTATAGTTTGGGAGCCTGGCAATGCCGCGGCTCCAGTGAGCCACATCTCTAATAGTGGTCCTCAGTCCTAATGCGATAGAGACTGAATATGGACCAACGCCTCAGCGGGATGTGATCATGTTTGATGTTGAGTGGCGGCATTTTCAATGGTCAGATTCTCGAAGGGACAAGTGGTGAATCGCAAAGAAAGTATCTTCTGTCGAGGTTTGCTACAGAGACCTGATTTGACAGCACCGCGCTTCAACGACCTCAGCTTGCTGCGAGACAAATATGTTGCATATCGGAACAATTAAATTGGATTAAATCATAATCACGTAAACACTAGACGTATACCAGGTCAAGCCTTTCCAATGACCATCCAGCCCTCGTCATCCTACGCGGAAGCTTCCTCGCCTCGATAGCCCTCAAAAGCCCTCGCCGGCAGTCTCGCCTCGAACATGCCATCCAGCTCCTCATACGTCCTCCCCTTTGTTCCCGGCACAAAGAAGTACAGGATCGCTAAATACACGACCGCGATGCCGAAGAAAATCCAGCCCAAGTTGCCTCCCAGATTAGCCTGATCAGTGTTGTACAGATAGGGCAAGACGCTCTGCCAGAACGTCCCCGCAACACCCAAGAACCCGTTGCCCAGCGCCAGAGTCTTAGCCCTGAGTCTGGTCGCCGACACCTCGCCTGCGACCGCCATTGCCGCTCCCACAGCAGGGCCGTACGAGAGTGTCGAAAACTGGAGCGCAATGCCGACCACGGTCATGCTCTTAGTGGTCCGGGGCATGGCTCCTGCGATCCCCATCGTGAGGTACGCTAATGCGCAGATGCCTACGCCGAAGAAGATGAGAGGCCGGTGGTTGAACTTCATCATTAGGAAGAGGTTGACGATGGAGGAAAGCACGCCCATGCTGACACCGACTTGGGTGATCATGAGTACGGTGTTTGACGATAGACCCGTTTGGTTAAGGAAGTAAGGAGAGTTGGCTGACAGGACGGAGCCTATGGCTATGGACATGTAGAAGCAGGCCAATGTGATGAGGGTGCGGCGCAAATTGGTGCCTTTGAAGCATTCGATGAAGGAGCCGGCTTCTGCTTGTTGGCGGCGCTCGATAGCGACGGTGTGTTGGATTGCAATGAGACGTGCGTCGATGTCTTCGGAGGGATTGGACAAGCGGACGAGCGAAGCGCGCGCTTTCTCGGGGTTTTCCTTCATGGTGAGCCAGTAGGGCGATTCTGGAACGAAAGGGAGCCCCAGTAGTAGCGTGCCTGGGAAGACCCATGCTCCTGCAAATACCAGGCGAAAGGCGGAGGGGTCCATGATGGCGATACGGCTGAATGTTGCAGAGATGGCGATCAAGAGGCCAAGATTCTAGCGGAACAGACCGTTAGCAGCAGCTCTACGTGTTCACAAGCGGAGAAGCAAGAACGGACCAAGGCGAAAGTGTTGATCGACAACGCAATCCCACGCATAGGCAACGGCGTAATCTCAGACACGAAAGTCTGCGTTCCCACCATGGATGCTCCGAGCGCAAATCCAGTCAGGATCTTAGCACCCAAGTACATGGCTGGTGTTTCCGAGACGTAGGCGACTGCAATGCCAGCCGAAGAGACCAAGATGCAAGTCAAGAATATCGCGCGGCGCCCGAACCAGTCTTGAATGGGACCTGCCGCGACGGACCCGACGATAGTCATGACGTAGAACATAGCGTTCCAAAGCGACTGCCAGCGCGCTGGTATGAGCATGACACCGTCGATTTCTGAGGCAAAGGTCATTCTAGTCTAGTGTAAGCTTCAGATAATGACAGATGCAAATCTCTTCGTTCACTTACTGGAAAGCTGGCATTGCTAAGCAGACGGAGAGGGCGAGGTTCTCATAGCCTATCATGATGGAACCAACTGGGATGATGTTAGGAATCGAGCCCCGATGAAAGTAAGCATGTACTCACTGTTTGCCCACAGCGTCCATAGTGAGATCTTAGGGTTCGCCCGAATGCACTGCCATGCTGATTGGTGGTCTTCAGCTGGCTGAGAGAGAGCCTCAATCTTCAGTGCCTGGTTCTTGCCGTCGAAAACATCGTCGCCTACCCCTTTCAAATCGGATGAGGTCGTCATGGCGAGAGCAAGGAGGAACTAATAACAGTCACCGTCGTGATGGGGTGGGCGAAGATCTCGACAAGATAAAGCTTGATACTGTGCAGTTCCGAGAAGTGCCCTGATGAACCAAACTCAGCGCAAGGCCAGCATCGCCGAGGCTGGTTATAGATCTTCAACTCACTGACTCGGATCTGCGCCTAGACCCCAGATCTCCCGCGATTTGTGTTCGCTCGGATTTTCCGGACACGACGAGTTCTTCCCCACGGGCACCCAAGACCGATGAACACTAGTCAAATGCGGGGAAATTTCCGTTCCATGCAGACTACCACGTGGAGTAACAAGATCCCGGGACATACCATGCAGCAGATCGATCAAATTAAGCATGCAGACAGATCCGCCTGTGCAGCGAAAGTGTTCCGAAAGAAAAGCGCCGATGACGATCTAGACCTGGCCTACGTAAACGTCTTTGGTCAGGTGCGACGCGTGTACCACACGCACCCATTTCTCCGAACAGTAACACGTTGCTTAGTGTCAGCCAAACATGATCGCAGGGTGAGAGGAAGTTGGTTTCTACTTGAAAGCGCATCGTCCGCAAAAGTCGATTATTGACGTAGTTGTCTTCATTTGGTTTGTACTGAGAAGAAAGCATATATACAAAGTCGAACATCTTTCCAGGTTCATCCGTGTACTGATCGTACTTCCTTACTCGAAATGACACAACTCTACTTCTACTGCTGAATTTCGTGACCGAACTCAAAACATTCTTCATTTTCAATCGCCCCTCCCAACAACCCCTTCCAAAAACTCAAAACCCTCTCTCTGCATCTCCCAAGTCCTCGAACCAACCTTCATCTTTGCCGCAAACGTATGCTCCTCGCCCTCCACAACCACCATCCCACACCTAACCCCGCACTCCTTCAACCTCGCAAACAGCGCCTTGCTCAAGTCAACCGGAACCATCGTATCGGCTCCCCCATGCACAATAAACGTCGGTGGAAAATTCTCACTAACGTTCCTCAGCGGATCAACCTTATCCCAGTCTTTCGAAGGGAATATAGCATCTAGGACTTTCCCCCGTGCAATCCGCGTCAAGGCATACGCTTGTCTGGGGTCCTTGAAGTCCGGTGGGCCGACTGCTTGACCTTCGAGCGAGACGCCGCCGGTGATTGGGACGGGGCCGTTGAAGACGCGGTTGAGGAAGGTGTCGTCGAGGGTCGGTGGGAGCTTTGCGGCGACGTGGGGAAGGGGCGTGGTCCAGAAGGGGTCAGAGAAATTTGAGGCGCCGTACATGGAGTAGATTGCCGCTGCGGGCTTGGGGACGTCGAAGCCCTGACGCCACGTTAGTTGATCGAATGGCAATTCCAACCTCGATGTGGCTCGACTCGACTCTTTTGTAGACCGTGTAAATGACTTACCAGCGACAGCGCGAGCGTCCCTCCCGAACTCGTCCCCATAGCGTATACCCTGTCCATATCTAGTGCCGACTCTTTTCCGCTCTTCTTTAGAGCTTGCTCCAGCTTCCCTTCATATATCCACGCCAACAGGTCTCTACAGTCCTGCATCGGACCCTCCAGTAGATCCACTTGCGGACATAGCCTGTGATTAGGCGACACGACGACCCATTCCCTTGACAAGCAATCGCGAATTTGGTCTTCATTCACCATTCGCGAGGAACCAAGCATGAAGGCGCCACCATGAATGGTGATTACTGTAAGTGGTAAGGTGGGGAGCTTTCTCGCTTAGATATCAGAGTGCTGTAGGACTTACGGACTGGATTTGGGGTGGAGCTGGAAGTTGCCAGGGATGCAGGGACGTATACATCTGCATCGATCTCCAAACCATCAGAAGTGGTTTTGTACACAACGCGGAAAGGATGCAGCGGGGTGGCCATGTCTCTCTTGCAAGACCTTTAGAGATTTGAAAATTGCTGTACGAAACGTGGCAGAGTTCCAGGCCACAGTCGCATCACAAGTGCAGTGGAGGCGCCCGAAACTAGCTCACATTGTGCTGCTCGAAGCTACACTAGTGTGGCTTTTTGGTGTTCGCGGCGATCCCTCGGTTTTTCCGTATGGAGCGGGCTGGATCGCGGCTTTTCCGGATTGTGCGTCACGTTTCAAAAAACGGGCCGTAACAAGACGGCGCGACACGCGTGCGGCAGGGCCGGCATGGAAATCGGATAGCACGTTGCGGGGTGGTAAGGAAAGGGTTTCTATCCTCAATTTGAACTAGAACAGTTCCCGATTGCAATTCTCTCGTACCAGATCCATCGTCAAATCCGACTTGGTCGCTCTTTCCTTCTCCCCAGTCCACAAGCACTTTTCCATCCGTGCGAAGCACAAAACTACATACATTCAATTCACCCAACGCATACATATTCTTGAAGAATACCAACACCAAAACCGCCGTTTAGGGCGCCAGATACAGCTCCAAACAACATCCCAACCCCTGTCATTTCCCACCTTCTATCCTCTCTCAAAATGTCTCCTCTCCCCCTCTCCACAATCCCTCCACAAACCCACACTTCCTACCTCCTCGACCAATTGGCCGGCGAACGCCTCTCCATACCCGGTTCCAAAGGTGTCTTCCGGATCCTCGCCTCGTCCGCCCAAACATCCGGCGCCATCGCCGTCTTCACCTCGGGCGCCGTCCTCGCCGACGCGCCCGGCTTCCACTGGCATGAAGAAGCCCACGATGTCTTCCTCGTGACAAAAGGCTACCTCAAACTCTGGAACGGCGACAAATGCCGCGTCATGGGACCGGGCGACTTTGCCTATGTGCCGCCGAAAGTGATCCACAACCCCCTCCTCCTCGGCCCGCACACCGAAACCTACGGCCTCGTCGCCCCCGGCGACTGGATCGATTTCTTCCGGCACGTAGGCGAGTCGTACGCGGGCGTGCTGGTCCCTGAGAACGACGACCGTGATCTCAAGTCCCTGCTCATCCCTAAGCTCATGGCCGCAAAGGACCGCTTCGACGTGCACTTCCAGCGGGACCCTTCCTACCAACCACCAGAAGAGGCGCCCTGGGAGGAGAGCGAGAACCAGCTCGCGGAGCCGGGGTCGCCGTACTTTTTACGAGGGAATACGGGCCCGCGGTGGGTGCTGGGAGGCGTTATGAGCAGGCCGTTCATTCATGCTGAGCAGACGGGGGGCAAGTTTGCAATCTCGAGTATTGAGTCGTCAGAGCTGTATGGTGGCAGTGTGTTGGGGCGGTGGATGGCGTTTAAGAGTGTGGATCATTGTTTCTGCGTGCTGGAGGGGCTGTTGAAGGTGCGGCTTGGGGGGAGCGAGAGTTGGAATGAGGTGCGGGAGGGGCAGACGCTTATTGTGGCCGCGGGGGAGACGTTCACCATTGAGTTCGGGAGCCGGTACGTACGCGCGTGGTCGTTCACGAATGGAGAGGGCATTGAGGAGGTAATCCGGAAGGGTGGAGAGTCGTATGCCGGCTATGTTATTCCAGAAGCACCCCTGAACGTAGACGAGGGACGGCTAGCGAAGGCATTTGAAGAGTTAGGGGTGTCTATAGGCCAGGCGTAGACCCATCAAATGCCATTAGAAGATTGTTGATGACCTTTAGACGAGGAAATGCCAAAGAATCTGAATCGCCTCAAGGCCCACTACGCCAGCGCCAACCGCTAGATATGCTACAAGAATGTCAAAGAGTTGCGCTTACCAGGCCGTGGTACCCCCATCAATGATCACATTTGACCCAGTCTGTGTCCTGTCAGCTTTGCTGGATCAATTGCAATTAATTTCCTTACCATGTAACTGCTCGCTCGACTGAGCAGGAACAGTGCTGCTGCCTTGTACTCGTCTGGACGGCTGAGCCTGCCAAGCATGTTGTTGTTTTCCCACTCCTCCTTGCTCGCCTCGCCTCTCCTAAAGTTCTCCTCGACCATCGGCGTCATAATATGCCCAGGACTGATCGCGTTGACGCGGATGCCTCCCGAGCCATCTGGATTCATACGACCCCACTCCATCGCGAGGTTCTTGGCGAGTTGTACGACGGCTGCTTTGGAGGAGTTGTATACGGGCGCAATGAAGCCCCTGTTGGCGATGGTGCCGCTCATGGATGCGATCAGACATATCGACCCTTGTATCTTATACTTGTGCATCTGGCGTGCGCAGGCGCGGGCTGACAGAAAGACACCAGTGTAGTTGACGGATAGCATCTTTGCGATGTCGGCGGATGCGTAGTCGAGCGCAGGAGTGACTTGCTGGATTGCAGCCGCTGTCATGTTTTAGCTGCTCGTCGCTGCAGAAAGGGATGTAATCTTACCTGCGATGAGTCCATCCAAACGTTGTCTCTCTGCCCCAATGTCGGCAATCACCGTCTCGAGCGCATCGTTATCGGTCACGTCAACGCGATGGTAGATCAATTCGCCTCCGACTTCGCGTTTCAGTCGCTCTGCAGACTCACCGAACGCTGGGTCAGGCTGCTCCAGACGATCGAGACAGTGCACTTTCTCTGGTCAGTTTTTCTTCATGATGGTCGAAACTCTTCCGGGTCCACTCACCTCTTCCGCCAGCTTCGACGAGGCCCTGAGCCAAACATAGACCCAGGCCACGGCCGCCACCTGTAGCTTGTCAGCATCCATCACAAAGAAAGTCACCCCCTCTGTTCAAGAAGGCGTGCAGAATATACCTGTGACGATGAACACCTTCCCGCTGATATCAAATTGGCTGAGTGCTCTGTTGCCCACACTCTCGCTTTTCTCGTACGGTGCGCGGTCTTCTGAGTGTCTAGCGTTCGAGCTGGTGAAGCGGGACTGAAGCGGAGCGAAGATCGGGGCCAATCGCAGTGGCTCTGGTCGGACTCGTGAGACTGCCCGCCAGACTGAGGATGCGCCAGCAACGCGACGGACGAGGGTTTTGGAGGCCATTGTTCGGAAAGGATAGTATGAATTCGAGTGTCAGGAGAGCAACCGAGAACGAAGCTACCGTGGGAACAAAGAAAGGCAGTCAAGGCTGGAAGGTGCGACTCTCCCCCTCGTACCGTCCTGGGGAAGAGCTTACGGACAGCAGACATGACGCGCGCGCCGTCAGCCACGGCTGCCCAGCAAGCGCATCGTGAGTGCGAATTGGCCACGGAGCGTGCCCAGAGCCCATGGCTTCCCGAACAAGCCGGCGCCTCCGTCCCTCCCGCACGACGAGGCCGCTGTCAGGTCAGCAAGCTCACAAGACGCATCGGTTGATGTCCAGAGGCTGATCGACTTTATTGCGGGGCGCCTGCAGGGCGCCAGCCAAACTGCGGGGACACGCGGGGCTTTCTCACTCCCACCCGGCGCTCCTATTGGCCGCCGTCTGGGCTGCGCTCAGCCCTCGCTCTGCCCATGTTCTCGAACCCGCAACGTCATGCGTTCACCACTGGCTTTCTCGGTTGCAAAGTCGACATCTGACAATGCCATGGAGACCTGTGCGTCTCCCCCCTGGTAATTTGCTTCTTTTCGCCGAAACGAGTTTCAATGGGTGCGTATGCGTCATGCTTCGACTGGGTGCCACTTTTCCTATCCGCCACTTCGGTCTGGCACGTATGCCCCCTCGCTTCGCAATGAGGTACTTTGGTGTTGATGCTCTCCCGCGGATGCCGGACAGTCCCACCGTGCAGGGCTCCGGAAAGTCTCCAAATACCCGCCTGAGGTCGACGTCTTCCTCCAGAAATGTATCAATCGATTCACCAATCATGTCAAAGTACACCATGTCCAGCATCGAGGAGTCCGTCGGTCCTTCGAAGCGTCCAGTTAGCCTTGAGTTCTTCAAGCCTGGCGGTGTCTTCCAAAATTATGTCTCGGCTATTGTGCCCAACAATCCCATCGTAGGACTCAGCAAGATTGGCGTTAGCCACTGGGTCGGTCTCGATGGGGTAGTCCCTTTTGCAGACCTTGTAGCGCCAGAGGAAACAATGGATTTGGATAATGGTTGGTATTTGGCCTTCGAGGCGGATGATGCGGTTGTAGCCTTGGCCCTTAGGATCGGTGGTCCCGCGCCGAGGGATACGGTCGATAGATTTGGGTCGGCCTGGATACCCAGGGTTTATGTATATGCGATTGACTTGTGGCCCTCCCAAGGCGTTAGGTGGTAGGTTGCGCCGCGTTTTGGTTCATGCTAACCGTATCGAAAGGGAGGTTAGATCTCTGTTAGAGAGTTCTGTGCAGGTCGCAGGACGCGGATTAAAGACAGAAGTGCTGCGAAGTGCAAGACTACGAATGTCACTCGTCCGCAGGACCCGCGCTGTCAACTTTCGCTTCACCCCGGCATCACAGCATGCCTATAACTCTTTCGAGACACCCTTCATCAGCTGCGCACCAATTTCAATTCCTACTCCGACTTTCTCTCCTCAACATGCTCTACCACGTCGCCCGCCCCCTTCGCACTCAGTACTTCTTCATCATCCCTTGCAAGTCTCTCCACCGCCTTCCTCTCTCTCTTCTTCTCATCCCTCCGATACAGCCACTGACTCAACATAAAGAAAAACCAGCACCCAAATATAAACGCAATATTAACACTATACCCCTTCCGCCACTTGGGCGCCTCCACTTGTGGAAACACCACCACCGGATAAAAAGAGAAAATCGCCCACCCACTCGTCAACATAGCCCCAATAGTAATTGCCCTCGCCTCCGCATCATCCCTCAGCGCAACATTGATGAACGGCATGAGTATAGGTGTGACAGCGGCGGACACCCCGAGCAGGTAGTACGACGCGAAGTGGAGGCCTTTCGGGATGTCCCAGACGAGCAGACAGATGTTTGCGAAAAGGAAGATAGCCTGCACGACGCTGAAGACGGTCCAGAGGGGGTAGATCATGCAGAGGGAGGTGGCGAGGAGGGCGGCGAATACGGAAACGCCCTGCGCGCCGGTGGGGATGACGTTGATTTGGCCGACGGTGTAGGCGTTGTATTTTGTGGCGAGGTCTTTGAGCCAGAGGGCCATTTGGCCATGGGGGTACGAACTCGAGAGGAAGCTAGGAAAGCAAGTTAGTAACCTCGTCGTCCATCGACCGGATGAAAGGTTGGGGGGTTGTATGCGGGGAAGGAAGAACGAACAAAGTGTACGCGGCAACCCCAACGTAGAACTCCCAGCGCCTCAGCGTGCGCTTGAAGACGCTCCAGTTCAGCTTTTTGCTGTCTTCGATGCCGATATCGCGCACGCGCTTGATAGCAAGCGCGTGCTGGTCTTCCGTCAACCACCACGGCTTCTTGCTACTCGGCAGCCCTGGAAAGATGAAAAATCCCGCAATCGCAATCGGCAGGCTTATGATGCCATCAATGATAAACAGCCATCCTAACGCGTGGATATAAAGTCAGCGTGAGTCAATACCGGGAGAGCGCATACCCCGGGAACGTCTCCGCCGCGCGAGGAAAGTCGTCGTTGTCCTGCACGAAAACAGACATCCACGTCGTACCTAGAAATGCACTTACGCCATCCTGCCATGCCACCAACACCGTTCAGATTCTCGTACGCGGCTTTCTGGAGGTACCCACCGAACATCACGGCGATGTTGTTGGAGACGTACCACACGCCTGTTCGTTTGAAAACTTCCTCGGGTCGGTACCAGCTTCCCAGCACATACGTAGTCCCGCTCGCGACAGGGGTCTCGAGGAGTCCGAGCAGGAACCGCGTGCCATAGATGTCGTGCTCGTTGCGCATCTGGGACTGGCTGAATGTGACGATGGACCAGAGCACTTCCATGGTGGGGAGGTACCAGCGGGCGAGGGAGGGGCGTGAGAGGATGAGCAGGGACGGGATCTGGCACACGAGGTAGCCGACGTTGTAGAAGGTGCCGAAGAGAGAGTACTGGTTGCCGTAGAGATTGAGCTCTTCTTTCATGCCTGAGACGAAGGCGTTGTTGATGTTGGAGGAGTCGAGCCATTTGAGGAAGACTGGTACACACACAGTTGTCAGAGATGAAGACGGAGAGTGAGATGCCGCTCGGCTTGGGGATGGGAGGGCGTACACATGAACGAGCAAAAGGTGAGGAGACAGGCGTCGAGTTTCCGCAAAAGCGCGCGCTCCTCCTCAGGATAGTGCGCGGGATACCACTCCCAGAGGTACATCCATGCCTTCCACGGCGAGCGCTTCGGCGCGTCCGTCGGCGCAATGGTATTCGCGTTTCTGAAGTCGACCTCTGCGGCCTCTTCCCTCGGTGTTGTCGCCATGTCTCTTTGCACTTTACACTTCGTAACACCAACAACCTGTCATAAACGGTACCGCAGGACGTCGCGGGTGCAACCGATCCCGGTCCCACACCTCAATTTGTAGCTACCATCCCCGTGGGCGAATATCAGGGTTCGCGAATATTGCGGCCGTGCACAGGCGCGGGCATCGGGGCATTTCTCACCCGGTTCGCCAATAGTGCGGGGTGACGTCCTGGGCAATTACTCCACGAACAAACGGTGTGTGGAGGTGGGTCCGCGGTGGATTGAGTAGAGCGGCTAGGTCATGGGGTGGGAAAACCCGGTTTGTGGTGCGATGAGGAGATGGAGATCGGAAGGGTAAGAGGCTGTTCTTAGTCTCGCGCGGGATAACATCATTGTGCCGCGCGGATTCTGCATTCAGAGAAGCGTTGCATTGTTGTACATCGGAGTTCCCGGCATGGACCTGAGATAGTCCGGCGAGACGGTTGCTACACCACCGGAAAGAGATTGGCAAAGAGACTGAAGTGAAATCACGTGACGCCCTTGAGAGCTTTGTTGACACTGCTACGAACCTGTATTGGAGGCAAAACAAACAATCAATAGCTTTAAATACATGGGGTCAGGATATCCGCTACATAATTCATAGTCTTGAGCGCATCTCAACCCATATGGAACCTTGTCTCCACTTCATCCCAGGGCTGCAATCATCTTATCCAAGCTGTTCTCGATCGTCACCGGGTCGCGAACTCCATCCCAGTTGTAATTCAGCAATCCCCAGAACTCCTCAGATCCCTGAAGCGTGTTCGGTGTTCTGTTCGGTCTTGTCTGCAGGTAGAAGCTGCCGGAGATCTCCCACTGCATCCAGCTGACTTGGTAGTCTTCTACCATCTCAATCAAACACTTGTTGTACGTTGTCTGATTCCAATACGTTCCATTTTGGATGAAGCCCCACTCAGTGATTGCAACAGGGAAAAGATACTTGGTGGCAGGGTCAGATGCATTTACGGCTTGGAAGCCTTGCTTGTACCAGTTGGCTTTGAACGTAGGGCAAGGGTTTTGCGTAGCCTCAAAGTCATACTTGTGGAGTTCGAGCACAATCTTGTTTTCCCAGGCAAAGTCGCTAGGGATGAACTTGGCGGTTTTGTTCGCCGTCGCGGTTCCAGCAGTTCCGCTCAGTGTCTTGCCCAGAGGAATCGGGTCGATGAACGTATCATAGCTGAGCCCGGAGAAGAATATGAGAACACCGGGAGCAGCCTCGTGGACTGCATTGGCAGCTGCTGTCATGTGGACATACCAGGTATACCAGTCGACCGGCTCGGAAGTGCTTGCTTTGCGAAGCTCATTGCGGAGCCCCACTGATGCAAATGTGGGCCAGTTCTCTTTTGCCTATCGATGGTCAGCTAGAAACTAGACGTGGGGAAAGCGCATACATGAGCTGAGATGAACGACCATCCGCGGATCCAGTTCTCGACATCGAAGTACTTCTCCCCAAACCAACCGTTCCCATCGTTGTCGCCGCAGCACCAGAAAGCTTTGGATACATGGTTGTCAAGGTGAAGGACTACATCTTGTGCGGCGAGCTCCTTCGCTACGGCATCCCAAACCTCCAGCCTCGTTGTCTGATTCGTGAACTGCGGGTTGTGCTCCAAGATCTGTTCTAAAACCAGGGTGCCATTTTCTTTGCCCAACGCGTTGATAACGGACCTCTCAAGTGTTTGATTGGTGTTGTTACTGTAGATATCGTCGATCATCTCAATCGCAAATGTCATGCGGACTGAGTTGAGTCCGAACTTGGGGATCCAAGAGACGACATCGGCGATAGAAGCATGTTGGAGACCTTCCGGGATCATTATCTCCTGGTGGCCTGGCCAATTGGTGCCTTTGTAATGGAAAATATCCCCATTGCTATCGAAGATGTCTCTTCCTTTGGTCGTAAAAGGGAGATTAAGAGTTTCGCGCTTTTCAGCTGCTTTTGGTAGAGCAGCAACAAACGAGCTCAGTAGCAGGACACAGTTCCACAACATAACGACAAAGTTGATGTTGGATGGCCAAACGAAAGCCTAAGTCAAGCCATATACCCGCGAACCTGGTCATTATCATCTGGCCTGCTTTCCTCGGCACGTGTTTGCACAGAATCTTGTCCGTCTTTGCGGTAAGCGCTACACCCCGGTTTACAAAACTCTCTATGCGGGGTCCCGGATGTCACTGAGAAGCTAGGTCGTTTCCAGCCTCTCGGATAGCAATGACGCGATTCCCTAAGATCGACCCTCCGTCGGAGCAAGGAAGCGTTTCCAAAAGGGACTGATTCCGATATACCTCGATCACGCGAACTTTGTTTCATTTGTCTTCATCATATTGCAGGCAGCGTGGCTTTTGCCGAGCGGCGCACACTTTCTTTGGAAAACAACGGCCGGGATCGGGCATCGGGATAAAGGCGATCCCGAATTTAGCCAGCCCACTCGCGGAGAACTGCCCCGAGACTTATTGCCATTGCCCCGCAAAGTGTATTGCAGCTGTCGTATCTCTGGTATGTGTCTGAATACGAGCTGCGTCGGTCGACAATTGCTTGTGCCCGGATAAGGTGGTACTTGTGACTTTCACTTCGTACCCAGTGTGCTTCTCTTGTGAAGTTCAATTCATTGTGATACTAAACCAAGCTATCCACGACTTGCACAATGGGCGAAGCACCAAAGCCAGTAAGCGGCGCGGCGAAAGCCCTAATGTAGGTATCGGCGGTCCGCGTTAGTGACAACTATTGACATAGCCAAGGGTCAAGGGCATAGATCTTAGCCAAATCTACTCAGAGAATGTACTTGCGAAGCTTGTTCAAGTTGCGCAGAAGAGTTCCAAACTTCAAGTACGATATTTCTGTAGTCGTTGTACGAGATAACTGACGTATCCAGGCACCACTCACCGCATACCCCCATACCGTTGCCCAGAGAGGACCCGATGCAGGCCGCTATGAGTATCGAGAAGCCGATTTCTGGACCTGCGGCTTCTTTCCAGGATCTATCTACACGCTCATCGAGCGGTCGATTAAATTTCCAAGGGTAATAGATGTCCCATCCCACCCACCTTCCCAATTGAAAGACCAACTATTAAACCTTGGACGCCACTGGTCGGTCGCAATAAATCACATGTCCGGTCGAACCGATACGCATGACATGGGATTTATCGTCCAGCCTGCCTTACAAAAAGACTATGAACTGACGGGAAATACTGAGAGCCTGGAGAGTGTTGTGAAGGCGGCCTATGCGCTCGCTAGTCGCTATGATGAACGGGTCAAGGCTATTCGCAGTTGGGATGTTGCAATCAACGACCGTTATTCCATAACCGATATGGATGAGAACTTTCTTGTCATCATCGACAGCATGTGCAGTAAGTCAAACTCTTGACAAGAACCTCCAATGGGAATGCTTACCAGGTGTAGATCTTGATCTTCTCTACTGGGTTGGTCACATTCAGCAAGATCAACGACTGATACAAATCGCGACTCAGCATGCAGATACTATCATACATGAGATTCTCCGTCCTGACCACTCATCTTACCACCTTGTCAATTTTTCACCCAAGACCGGTAAAGCACAAGCTAAAATGACAAATCAAGGGCACAAAGACGATTCAACGTGGTCCCGTGGCCAAGCATGGTCGATTATGGGTTTTGCGCAAACTTACGCTTGGACCAAAGATACGAAGTACCTGTTCACAGCTATAGAGTGTGCGAAGTACTTTTTGCGAAGATGCGAAGAAGGCAACGGCAAATGGCATCATCCACGAGTGCCAGCTTGGGATTTTGATGCGCCACAGGAGGACGAACAAGAGCCGCTAAGGGATGTCTCTGCAGGAGTGATCACGGCGAACGGTTTGTTGATAATCCACCAAGCACTACAAGCGCTACCCTCAGAAGAAGCCCAAAATTTGGCAGGAGCAAATACAGATTTCCTCCAGGTGGCCCTTGCCATAGTGGACGAAACTTTGGATATGGCTCTGGATCGAGATTTTGCGTCACTTGAACCCCGAACGACTGTTAACGGGGATGGTGCTGCAAATTCCATACTAGCTGTAAAGGAAAGCAAGTTTGAGGCAATCCTGAGACATTCCACGGCCAACCACAACCAACACGCACACAAGCCGTACTGTGACCATGGGCTAGTTTACGCAGACTACTTTTTTCTGGAGTTTGGGAATAAGCTGCTCAGAGCGGGCTATTTGTAGGCGTAGTACTCATTCCTGCACATACCAGTACCTATGTATCGATGGCTATAAAATCTCTACTGTGCTCAACATGACCGCAGCACATCAGTGATAAGAACAGGGTTGTAAATGTGTGTTGGTTCGTGAACGTTACGAAAAAAAAAATGGAGCTGCTGTATTGTGCAAGCTCATGCTACAGCAGGTAATGGGCGTATTTGCAGATACAGGTGCAGGTGCAGGTGCCGATAGGAGGCAGTTAATGGCAGAGGTAGCCCCTTTTTTTTTATTTTACTGCGCTAAAGTCCGAACACTTAGTAGAGGCGAGGGGCTGATCAATGTACGTTCTTGATAGCTAATTAGAACGCCTGAATCTGCGCAGCCTTGCTCTTAGAGCGACCGTAATCTTGCAGCTAAAGCTGCAATGAGACTGTATCATCCCCGTAAGCATGCAGAACTAAGAAATTCTTTACCAATCGTGGGAAAAGGCAATGAATTGAGAAGAAGGAACCTTGTCCTTGGTCGGGTGCGAGATCTGGGGAATGTCTTCCCATCTCTCCCCAATGGAGATCTGGCTGTACTCGTCTTCAAATCCAGCCCTTCGTGCTATTGAAAGAACAGCGGTGACGAAGTCCGTGCTTGAGCCTGGCGGTACCGTTGTCGTGCTTGTAATCGTCGGAATCAAGGTTCTTTGCCAAATGAGATTGGTGTTGGAATCTGGTTTGAGTACCTCCGCTTTGGCCTGTTGAGAATTGGTTGAAATGAGAGATCTGATTCCACTAGCGCCAGCATTGGAGCATATGAGTGCACCTGTTGAACTTTCTTCTGTACCTTCCGGGAACACTGAACCATTGCCTCTCAGGAACTCTGCAGCACCTGTTCCCTTCGTATAGGATGGCAACACCCCTCCAAATTTATCTTCCCTGCCTTGAATCGCGAATCCACCTTGGACTACGTGTATATTAATCTCCTTGGTTCCCAAGTTATTGATCTTGTGCACCCGCAAGTACCAATCCGGCCATCTCGTACTTGGCGCAACAATAATCGTTTGAACTTCGATATCCGCGTCTTTCCAAGGTCTCCAAGTACTTCTGAGGGCTTGCATCTCCTCTAGTATTTGACAGCCTCTTCTCAGCCACGCAGTATCAAATCGATAATCAAGGACTTTCCATGGCACGCGCCAGGTATCTCCTTCATCCTTGCTCAGCGCAAGCGTACTATCCGGAGCTATCTGTTGGATCAATGATCCCGTAGGGACACTGAAACCAAAATGCGAGGAGTAAGCAAATTTTCCGTACTTGGCCTCGGTAGCCTTGAGTGGCCATGGGCAGAACTGGCCACTCGATAACAGAAAATGATGGTTCTCGCTGCGACATACAATCTGCATCGCTGGTGTAATATTTAATGCAATATCCTCATCTGCGGGGGGTAAGGGCTTCTCCTCGGTTCTCCAAAACGGGTGGTCTTCCCCCAAGCCAAGCACTACGAACGACTTCATCGCCCAGTAAGGCGATTGGGGAGAGTTGTAATCCTCGCTCATGTACATTTGAGGATACGCAAAACCGATTGTCAGAGTTCCATCAACATTGAATATGTCGGACTGGGTGCTCCACCATCGATAGTGTCGTTGAAGAAGGCCTTTGACTACGCCCTGATCATCTAGTGGAGCGGACAGATTGATTCCTGCGAAAGCAGCTGCGGACCAGAATCCAGCGAAAGCGAAGCGATAGGTAAGGGACCTTCCGAAGGGGATCGCAGCACCTGTTTTAAATCAATGATGTACCCATGCTGATGGAAGTGGGCGTACCAGTCTTGTCAAAATATCTCCAGAACGACGACGCGAATAAGAGTGCTCTCTCGCGGAACTTTAGACATCGGTCCGGATCAAATTGCTGGGCCATCTTCGTGTATAGTATTTGTGAAAACTGGATCGCAAAACTTCCAGAGTAGTAGTCTGCCTGGCGGCCATTTTCATTCCAAAAGCCATCGGCTGACCATCCATCGTCCAAGTAAAAGTTCTCCATCTGATCAAGGTCTTCTTTCATGTACGCCTTCACTTCATCGTATGGCACGCCGCATACCTTGACCAAAGCGAGGTTTGTCATCACTCGGAACCAGAGCCAGTTGGTGATTGGAAAATCTTTCTCATTCAGCGTCTTGAGCCACTCTCGTATGTTGGTCTGCGCCCGCTCCGTCTGCTGCTGAAACATAGCATCGGGTGCCGCCAGCAAAGCAAAAGAGATAATTTCCATCTCCACCATTCTTTGGTCTCTAACCACGACAGGCCCCCAATACTCAGCATGCTCTGGATCTGTGCCGTTTGCGAGTCCACGGATATACGGTTCAGCTAGTTCCTCGTGTTCTTGTGGAGTCAAACATGACCCATGCAAAAGCGCCCCAATGGCCCACAATGGCCGAGCAAACCCTTCAAGCTGAGCAGCGACATCGTCGAAATGCGTGCCAGTGACCAACGGCAGCCGAATGCGTGCACCACCAGGAGACTGGTAAGGTTTGAGTGCACGAAGCAGCGAAGTACAAGCATTCTTGAAATCTGCGTACGTTCGAAATTCATTGCCCGAGAATCCTGGAAGCGGAGGCATAATGCCACGTTACGCGTATACAAATTGCGCGGGTGAACTTGGAGGACATGTGATGAATTGCCAATGGCAGAGCTTGATGTATCGACTATAATGGACCCAGTGCCCCGTTCGATGGCAATATTGCCTACGCATTAGTGATATTAGGGAGAGCAAAGTTGGTAAGCGATGTACCTGCCAGAGGCGGTTAGATATCCGCAGTGACGGCTGAATGTGATTTTGCGGGGATCGCTAGCGCTGCCTCGGTACGAACGTACCTCTGGTATCCGCTCGCGGGCATCGGCTTAAGTTAGTCGAAGTGTCCACTTCTCCTACATCCATTCCACAATATTCGATTATGCGAGCTCGATGACGTCTCATTGGACAAATTATTCCATCAATGCTCGCGACGACGATGCCACGTCCTTGCAGGCTTCATCCGAGGATATACCTGCATGCACGTCGTGCAAAAAGCGAAAATTGAGGTGCTCAAGAGAGACGCCTGCTTGTTCGCATTGCTTGAGGCTATGTAGGTATGCAGGGTGTTTTGAACGATACCAAATTTAACATTGGTGTAGCCTTGGAGTGTGCTTACGCCCCTAAGCAGAAGCCAGGCCTGAAGACTGGGGCACTGGAAGGCTTGACGCGTCGCGTCGGTGCGTTCCCGTGTGGCGTCATATCCATCTATCCCTACTGATGTCCAAAGCATTTCTTGAGCAGATTCTATTGGACGAAGTTGGTCGAATTCGCCCTCAATTCGACATCGATGAAGATAGGAGTGGTCATACAGATCGAGCACAAGATGGCCTGGCCAATCGCCGCCCTGCAGACCATAGAATTAACACTGACACAACGACGCCGGGCACTATTCAGCTCGATGAGAGCATACGAGAAGCAACCGTCCAGCCACAGCCACCGGTGGAAGAACGTATACCAAATCCTCGCAAACGTAAGCTCGAAGAGCCTGTCTTTACGACAGCACTTTTGGAACTCGACAATATCGAAATTGGGGACCATCTTCCATCTCAGCCCCTTCTCGTGAAAGTTGCTGAGTTCTTTTGTACATCATTTCACCACTGGATACCTTACTTGCACAAACAAAGATTGTGCGACACCGTGACAGGAACGAGGGCCGAGTCAAGATCCGATCTCGTTCTCCATGGCCTGGTAGCAGTGACGCTCCGCCATATGGATCGTCAAGTCATATGCATGGATGAAGACGAGGTTCTGCGTCAAACGAAGATATCACATTTCATCGTCGAGACGTTGGCAATGAAAAGCATGTCAACAGAGAGCTTACAAGCTCTCATATTAATTATATTCGATTATGTAAGTACCTACTCTCACCAAATTCAACTCTAGTCATTACTGACAGGTTATAGCTTAGCGATGGTGACGGAGCAAGAGCATGGCCTTTAATCGGGTCTCTGACACGGACAGTGGACTATCTTCAGCTCACAACTGAACCAGTAGCGTGCCCAGGTGGCGCACTCATGACGCCTCTACAAACTGTTCCTCCTCTTCAGGATTGGACAGCACTGGAGGAGCGTCGTCGTCTCTTCTGGGTCATTTTCTTGCTGGACCGCTTTTGTTCGGTTTCGACAGGCTGGAACACCTCGCTCACTTCCGAAGATGTACACAGACGTCTTCCTGCAGACGGTGGGTACTTTACTCGCGAAGAACCGGTATCTACACCCTTCTTTGGCATTTGGTCCAAAGCAGCGGGCCGAATAGGCCGATCCCTTGCCAACGTTCCCGCGCAGTACAACGAAGAGGATCCGGTAACAGAGCCAGTGCAAGGCTCAACCCCAGGATCTGCAGCCGGCCTAATAGATTCTTCCAAGCTTGGTGCTTTCGCCTACTGCGTCGAGGCTACCGAGTCGCTGAGCCAGGTGACCACATTCTTCCTCCAGCAAAAAATCAATTGGCAGGACAAAGACCATGCCATCAATTGGCTAACAAGATTCAAAGAACTTGATCTGCGGCTGGTTCAATGGAAGATGTTCTTGCCACCTCGATGGAAAGACTCCGACATATCCGAGAACCGAGAAGTTGTCAATATGGATCCAAATCTCACGCTGGCGCACATCACACACAACACCTCCATGATACTTCTTCATCACTCTATCGCCTATCCACCAAAGGAATGGAGTGATTACATTGCTTTACCAAAGGACTGTAGCGCACAGACTTGCCAGCATGCTGCTGTGGAGACGGCAAACATTGTAAACAAGTTCTTAACACACACTATGATTCCGTTTGTGAATACTCAATTCGCCTTTTGCACATTCATCGCCGCAAAGGTTTTGCTCTACGAACATCAAGCCACCAGAAGAACCCTCAGGCCGGAATTTGACCGCATGAAGCGCAACCTAGAAGAGATGTCTTCGCGTTGGACCTCCGGTAAACCGCGGTCGGACTCAGGACGTGGATTGTACGGGACCTCCGAGCTGGACCAAGCAGCGCGATATGCAAATCATCTAGATTACCTCTACGACGCATGTCGCTGCAATTCATCATTTACATTCAATTTCTACGACCATTCCTGCCGACGCCCGGGAATATGGACACTCACCATGAGCACTCCCGCGCCAGTGTCAAGTCCCTCAGTAACATCAAGGGGTAAGGCACAGAGTGCTGGCGCGAGACGGAGCATCGTTTCCAATAGCGACTGCGACGCCCTAATGAGTCCAAAAACAATCGTACAGCCTACGCAAGGGTTTGCTCCAACTGATTCGAGTGCGTCACGCGTTAGACCATCTGGACAGTATCACGGTACTCAATCGGGAGAAGGATACCCACAACATTCTGCTGCCATGCCCTCCCCGTACCTTGCAACGGTATCGGAAGGGGGCTACCCAAACGCCCAGGCACTCAACAGTGAACTCCTCGCGGGACATTCACTCCAGGACCAGTCTCTTCTGAGTTTATCTGACACGCTGATGGACTCGCAATTCTTGGACATGGATCGTGTGATAACGTTCGAAGACACGAATTTCTACCTGCCGGGGGATGCGTACCGATGGCAAACTCTATCATGATTAAAACACCTTGACACCTTGTATGAACACTGTCGCTCAGACAGTTTCGTACGTTTCTCTATAGAGTGGCACATTGAACGTCGGGTTTGAGCCCAGCTAAGTAATAAGTAATAAGTCATCATCATCTCAATGCCAAGCACATAATGATACTGCTGGGCCAGAAATCTACTTTCCTGTAGGAGAAAATGTCACCAAGGCTTCAAACCATTGCTCTCCTGCAGGCTCTGGACCCGAAGTGCACTTCAGGGCGTGTTGTCAAACAAGAGTTTTGCCAATAACCATGTTCGTATGCTCTCCAAAATAAGCTCCCTCGCTGGACGACGACTGTCTTTGTCCGCTTTCCTAAAGATCTCTTCAAAAGTGCGACCGTCTTGTTTCCATGCATCGAAGTCCTCCGTTTCTTTCCAGATTTCCATAGCTTGCTCCTTGGCATGTTGCAGGATGTGAGAAAACCTGACAGACATCAATGCCGATCGAGCATGACCTCGATAGCCATTATACAGGTCGTCGAGTAAAAATTGGTGTTCTAGAGATGCGTTGGTCAAGGCAACCTCGCAGAGGTCGGTGTGTTCGACATAATTTGCTAGTGTCTTGCCATGGGGGCGAAAGACATGGAGCCATATCTCACTCGAAGGATATTCAATGCGCAAGCGTCCGAGATTGCGCTGAAAAACTAAAGCGAGAAACTCGGCTATCGTCTCGCCGTCGAACTGAACATGTGCCAATACACGTGCGCAAATTCGATTGAAAAGTCCAACGCCGGTCTCGTTTTGGTTCCATGTAATATGGTACAAGGCTTTGACCACTGATTTGTTTGGAAAACTGGTTCCTGGGAAGTGTTCAAAGAGCAACTCAAACATTGATTCTGCGTCAGGGTTGCATGAGGCGGCCATCAGCATGGCTTCTGAGACGATGAGTTTTCCTAGGGATGCCCTCAATAAGGCTTTGGCCATGGGGCCTTTAAGTTTCAGAGCTTCCTCAACCATGGCCTCCGTGATTTTCATTTCTGGACATAGAAGCGCAGCTAAGACCTTTTCTCGCTTTTCACACTCGGCATCTTCGGGATCGAATGTCTCAAGCAGTCGGAAAAGCTGAAACTCTGAGAGAACGGCCAAGTCTGAGAGTTCAGACTTGAGCTTGATTTGCGATCTAATTGGTATTTCAAGGGGTTCATGGCTTGCTAAATGGGCCATTTGGTTCCCTAGGATCTCAAAGAGTTTCTGTTTTATCCAGGAATAATTTTCTCCGGATACGTTACGGGCGGACAACATTCGTGCCGCGGATGTAACAGCCTCGTTGATTTCAAAGTCTTGTGTCTTAGTAGTCGTAGATATATGAGCTGTTATATGTTCACATAATTGCTGCAGACCTTTCTCGTCATCTAAGCCGTCCAAAAGCCGTATAATGGCTAATATGCGATGAGTTCGGGCACTCCCCGGGCTTCCGGTGGGCACTAAACCGCGATCGACTAAGGAAAGACCAAATTTTTTGGTTTCGTCAATATTTTCGTCGTGCGAAAGAATTCGGGGGCGTTCCAAGTTCCATACAAGGGCGAGCTCATGCGGATAGCTTTCGATCATTGTCAGATACGTTTCCCAAGGTATATTTTCAGATGATCTGAGCCACTGAGTTGGTTCGTCGAGCGAGTAGATGGCCGAATGCCTACCACTTTCGAGATAGACATATTTAACGTCGACCGAAACGCAGATGATCTCAAAATGATCTAAACATCTCCTTATAACTATCGGTCGCTCGGCTCCCTGTACTTGAACGACGATGTCACCTTCTTGTATCATGGGGTTACCATACACGACACAATCAAATGTCCACAAGAACGTCTCACTGGCGCCTGTATAACGATTTAGTCTGCATATGTGCTCCTCCTTGGTCACCAATTCGTGTTTGCTCGTATTGACGTTCCTGTTTACTTGACCTACTCGCCCCAGGACAAATACTCTCGCAAAAAGTAAGGTTTCGAGCCGGTGGTTCCATGTCTGAATACGAACAGTGCTTCCGAGGAGGTACCGAACAAGCTCGCAGAAGACGGAAGCCCATGGTTTCGAGTAGTCGACGACAATGTAGGGCCTTGATGCCATTTCGGCAGTGCTCATGCCTAGTAGAGCGTACACTTTGTCTTTCGGATCCGTTGCATCATGGGTATGAAACATGCTGACCATGTGCCTTAGGGGAAGAATATCCAAGCTCGACCACTGAGTGCCCGGGTGGGCGTCCCATTGGACAAGATATAGCACAGATGATATAAGTCCCCACAGCTCTTGTTCCTCTAGGCTGGTAGTCCCATCAACGAAGAAGGTTCGGTAATTGATCATCGCTTCGCAGAACACGTGATCCGCCAACCATTGCTGGCCGTACACAAAGGTGAAGGATTGTGCTGCCGCAGCTTCTTGGAGAACCTGAAACCGTGTTAGCAGAATTTTTTGTAGTGTTGTGAAAGATGACTCACCCAGATACGTTCAAACCACGGGCTCTGGAGCATGAAGGTGAAGCTGTCATTTTGGCGTAGTTGCCGGTACGTATCTACGTCTCTCAAGATGCCCCGGTCGTGGAACGCATGAAACCTCCCTTTTCTCTCCTCACGACTGAAACGTGCGAGCAATTTCAATAGCGTGAAGCAGCTTTCACCTTGGCTCGTGTCTTCTCCGAGCCACGCCACGACTCTTATTGCAGATGCATAAATGCTGACCATATAACCGACCTGATTACTTCGCTCTGCGAGATCGTCCTGATTGATACAAATCGCATCTATCCACAAGACTCTTTCCAGTACAGAATCTCTTAGATAGCGCAGCGCTGTGTGAAGGTTGGCGGTGATATCAAGATAGCTATCCTCAATGAAAATCCTTTTTCTATCATTCAAATCCCCCCATACGTAGGACAAAGCCTCGAAGTTAGAAGTTTGCTGTGCGCGCTGGAGTTTGAAGTCGAAGATTTCGCAACGAATCTCAGCATCACCACTGCCAGGCAGCAAGCGGACCAGGCGTGTGAAGCGCGGCCCGGTAGGAAGCGGGATATAGCGATATGGTCCCATAATGAATGCATATAGGAGGGATATAAATGGTAGTGTATGATCCTGAATCGTAGACTTGGATGTGGTGCATACATGTACGCTGCGCGTTATGGTATGGAAGGTACCGGTATTTCCGGTACCTCGCGAGGGGATGCGACGCTTTACTGTTTCTGGCCAGCGCCGAATTTTCAGGCTTCCACGTCTGCGCATGGCTTTGGTGGACAACATGCTTCCATTTGCTCTTCCGTCTACGATGTATAACTCTATACTTGAAGCCTTGTGACCAAATATAGTGGGATTCCCGTTGGAGCGAGGTGTGTGATACCACAGTAGGGATTGTGCTTACCATGCTCAAGTGCTCGGGTCCAACCTCTCGTTGATGTGGTCTTTTACACGTTTTATCGTTGGTACTCACATGATTTAATAAAAGTGATACTAATGAACTGTACCAACCAGCCTTAACCATTTTGTGGGTGCAGCGCAAACTTGGTACGCACTAGGACTCCTGGTACGCTACTGTTCGGGTAACAATGGATGCCTGCTCGTATTTCGTATCATTGACGCGTCGCCTCGCCATGTGAGGTGCACATAAACCACGATCACCAAATTTGCCATCGGGCATCTGCTGAATAAGATCAATCGCCATATAAAAAGTCTACCGACTCAGGTCCCTATTCTTGAGGTGCTGGCCTTACCTATGTACCCTTCTACGCCATTCAAGATCTAGACCATCTCCTCTGGGAATCGTGTCAGATACCCTACGGTAGAGCCATGAAGATCATAATTGTCGGCGCTGGCATCGCCGGTCTGTCAACCTATCTACACCTGCTTAAGCACCTGCCCAACCCCACGACGCACACTCTCACCATCTACGAATCGCACAGCCCCCAGAAAAACTCACCTCCAAACCTAACAAGCCTATCCTCGTTCTCAGAATCAACAACCATCGTCGGCGGTGGTCTCGGCATCTCCCCCAACGGCATGCGCATCCTCCGCAACCTCAACTCCGCTCTTCACGACGCAGTAACAGCCCAAGGCTTCCCAGTCTCGCATTTCGTCTTTCGCGGCGCGAATGGTTGGGTCCTAGGCTCCTCGCCTACCTCCGACGCTACCGTCAGAAACCTCCTGTCAGAGGAAGAGGAAGTGTGTGTCGCGTCGTCCCGCCACGGTCTCCGCGAAACGCTTCTCCGCTTCGTTTCCCAAGCTGGCGGAAAGATAAAGTACCACAAGATCGCCCGGGTTTCACACGACACAGCCGGTCGGCCTTATGTAGTCTTCCTCGCCCAAGACGGCGTAGAAAGGATCGACGAAGCAGATCTCATCATCGGCGCCGACGGCGTGAAAAGCATCGTCCGCAGTGCCCTCTTCCCCTCTCCAGAGCACCAGCCCATATACACCGGCCTCTCCGGCATCGGCGGCTTCATCTCCATGCCTCTCCCAATACACACCTTGAATCCTCCGTCTATGCACTTCACCTTCGGCCGCGACGGGTTCTTCGGATATTCACCTGTGTCTACGGAGCCAGCGTCGTTGATGTGGTGGTCTACGTACGAGACACCTCTGGAGCGCGCCGTTTCTCCCGTAGAGATTAAGGACTTGCTAGGTCAACGGCACCGAACTTGGAAAGATCCTGTTATACAGGATGTTGTTGCGCAGGCGGAGGTGCAGAGCGTCTACCCAACTTGGGCCCTGGGTGACCTGCCACATTGGGGCGAGCGTGGTATTGTTCTGATCGGTAAGTCAATTTCAACACACCAGTCGTGCTTTGTATCGACACTGTGCGGTAGGAGACGCAGCGCACGCGCTAGACCCGACAACCGGTCAAGGCGCTTCTCAAGCCCTCGAAGACAGCTTAACCCTTTCTCTCCTACTGTCCTCCATATCAACATCAGACTCCTCCTCAAACGTCTCCCCAGGCCCCTCCTCTCCAACCTCTTCCTCATCTGTAAGTCAACAACACCGCATCGACACAGCGATCAAACTATTCCACCAGATCCGTAGCCCGCGCGTCAACTCCATCGTCCAACGCGGGCGGAAAATGTCACGCCGCAAAAGAGACGTCGGCGTGGTAGCAGAGTACATCACGTACCTCTTTCTCTGGGCGATGACGCGTTGGCCTGCTGTAGCGCGGTGGATGCTCGGAGACGTGAACAGGGAGTTGTACACGTGGGACGCCGCCACTGAAGTGCGGAAAGCAGTTGCAAGCTGGAATAGTAAGGAGCAGTAGCCAGAACGCTCTTCGCTGAAGGGGGCTAGTGGAACCGCACCTGCGATGTGAGCAAGGGAGAAAGCCATGTAATCTAGTCATCTCATCTTTATCATTAGGTATCTCATCCTCCTTTCTTCCCTGCCCTTCCAAACCCACCCTACATGACCCCGCCCCCCTTTCCCCCACACTTCCCCTGCTCCTTCTCCAGGCTCCCCGCACCCTCTTCGCCCACCTCGCTCTCCTCGCCCTCCTCATCACTACTATCCATCCCCTCAAACAGCCTCTTAAATCGCTCATGCCCCTCTCTGACCTCCCTCTCTTGACCTTCCGGGCCGACACCATCATCAGGATCATCTTCCATTTCGCGCGTGGTTTCGAGCTCGGCTTTGCGCTGGGCGAGGCGCATTGCAAACTGGCGGCGGGCGCGGGAGGGTGGGATCTGGAGGGGGGGCGGGATTGCGGATTTCTGTTGCTGAAGGCGATTAGTGAGAGGATTGGCGGGGAGAGACAGAAGACAGAAGACAGACGAGGAAGACCGCGCGCGCAAGGACGAGACGGGATATAGACGCTAAGAGACAAAAACAGAAGAAACACTATGGGGTGAAAGATCGACACAAGGATATGGTGCTGTGGGGATAACGTTCGCAAGAGGGGGGTTGGGAGTAGCCATCCTGGACCTCTCATCCGCACACATAGGAGAGCGCGCGAGCATGTATGTGCGACCAACAATAACGTATTCCTACAGATGCATGCTCTTGCCACATACAGTCCCGCCCGCCCAGTCCTGTATATACATGCCAAGGCTTGTGGATGAAAGGTCCCGGATACCAGTCTGTCATACCCGGTGGCTGCACGTTCCTTACAACCGCCAGACGCTAAGCGAAACGAGCGAACGACACGCGACACGACACCAACACGGCTTCCCAACACACAACAGTGGTAGTGAGTAATGAGAGAAGAAAACGCACCAACGCGCGGACAGTGCAAGTGTCGTGCTGGGACCCGTGCGATGCGATTATCGGTAGTCCATCTCGACGTCTTCAAATGAGAGTTCACCCACTTGTTCCGAGTCACTCACAGGAGGCTGCCGTGGCTCGCGCTCTCTTTCTTCGCCGCCCTCGTCCATCTCCTCGTCCTCCTCGTCGCTCGAGTTCGTGAATCCGCTGAGTAAGGAACCGCCGCTAAATGTGTATCCGCCGCCGTTGTCCGGGTTAGTAAGTTCCATGCTATCAAGCCCAATGTTCCCGCTATTTGCGTTGGCGAGGGAAGAGCCTCCGTCATTGCTGAAGCCCGATTGAGCGTTAACTGCGTTGAGGACGGCTTGTCGAGGGCCGACGCTCATGTCAGGACGTACACCACCGAGAATAGCGTTATCGCGCTCTCTTGTTTCTGCCAGGGTCTGCTCCACGTAGTCTATCCATGCCTGGCTCATGACCTTCTCCAAGACCGACTGCGAGAGAAGTTCTGCTGGATGGCGCTCGGTGAACTTCAAGACCTCCTCTGCGATCAGGGTGAGATGGCCCATGTAGCCAAGACGCATGTGTGTTTCTGCTTGCGCCTTGTCGCTCGCCTGCTGACCTTCAATGATGCGCTCGGTGATGCGTCCGGTTTCGAAGAGATCGATGGCAAGGCTGCGGTTGTAGCCGCGTTCCATCTGTCCATTAAACACTTGCTGTACAACATCGTATACAACGTTGTGGAGGAAGTTGTTCCACGGGAACCGGAAGAAGAAGTCCTTCGCAACAGGTCAGCGTGACTGTCAGATCATAACGGCAAGCGAACTTACAAAGATTGTTGGTACAACCTTGTTCTCTACAAACTGGATCTTGAGCAGGTCTCCCACAACAGGCGAACCGTCCACATCGACTTCGTACTGCGGTGCGTATTGAGCTTCAATACCTCCGAAAAGGACAGATCTCGTCTCGCTACTCTCATCGATGGGCGTGACTTCCGACTCCTCGCTTTCAGCAGCACTTGTCATAAAATGGGCAGCATCTGGTTTCGGAGTCTCGGCGGTATCTGTGTCCTTGTTCTTACCAGAGAACAATGGTGCAGGTTTGTCTTCTGGATGTGGCGAGAGGTCCTTCTCCTCCGATTGATCTGTCTCCGCCTTTGTGAGCTGCTGGGTCAGAAGTGAAGGTGGCGTTGGCTTCTCCTCCCTTGCAGGTGGTTGTGATTTTTGGCTCTCCTCTGTATCGCCCATGACAGTATCATTATCGAGACCCAACCCACCAACCTTGGCGGAGAGACCGGCCGATGTAGGCGACTCTGCGTCATCTGCAACCTTACCAGGTGTGCCCGCTGCAGGCGAAGCGGTGTCCTTGGCAGGCGACGCAGCGTCCTTTACAGGGGATAAAGGCTCGTCAACGAACTCTCCCTCGGCTTCTTCAGGCTTGCCAACACCAGATTCCTTGGGTTCCGTCTTGGGTGATCGCTCCAGCGGCTCGCCAACATGTTCCTTATCGATATTAGCCTTCTCTGCGGATGGTGCTTCGGGCGCAATAACCTTCTCAAAGTCGTCCTCAGAGTTGTTCTGCACCTCGAGTCGCTTGATCTCTTCCGGCGATTCACTAGATGGCGCCCGAGCGTGGTGAAAGCCATGACTATCAACGCTCGTTGAAAAGTCGCCCGCGTTGGGGTCTCGAGCCGTCAACTTCCCTTCGGCCTTTAGCCGGTCACGCTCGGCGTCTCTTCGCTTGACCTCAGCTTCGCTGCCGCGCTCGTTTAAGAGCGCCATGTTGCTGCAGTGCAGAAGCTCTGCCATCAATTCGCAGGTCTTGAAGCGGTCAAAGCCGAGAGGCTCGATCTTCTCACCAAAAGCGGTCTTGAGCTCCCTTTTCCTAGAGGTGGTTGAGCCGTCTTTATTGGATATAGTTTGCCTAGTGGTGTGGACCAGCTCCATGAACTGGGGGATGTGGTTTGCAAACTGTCGGAGAAGGGTTCCCAAGTAGATCGGGTCGGAGGTTTTGGGCACCGGACCTATCTGGTTCTCCAGATCATAATCAGAATTGTTCTTCCGGATGACCTCAATGATGATTCCGACGCTGACGGTGAGCGGATTGCCACCGTGGAGCATGTACCCAATCATCTGCTTGATGCACGGTTCTGAAACCAGTTGGCGCGTGAGTTCGTTGGGTCCTATTACCTGGGTATCCTGGGTGGTGGCATTTGCAGAGATGGTAATGATAGCCTTGAGAAAGTCTCCGGCTGAGGTCTGGCAATTGGAGGGCTGGTCGGGCGCCAGATACGAAACCAGTTGCGAAACCAGGTTCTGCGACTGAAGCCAGTCTACAATTCCTTGGCCGCCCTCGCTCTTTTCCAAGCTAATCATCTTCAGCAGCAGGTCCATGATCATGGGGCAGTCGACGTGTTGCAGCATGTCGGTCACAACGTTGTCGATGGACTTGAAGAAATCGAGCATCTCCTCCATCTTGCGATCGAGCAGCGATTCGTTGACCTTGCTGAAGTAGCCAGCTTGCACGGGATCGAGCGGCGCTGGCTGCTTGATGTAGTTCCAGAACTGGCGCAGGCTGTCCTGGTTCTCCAGCACGGCTTCGGATATGGACCAGACCTCGGAAGACAGGATTTCGCAGGCCACATAAGCATACTTCATGCGCTGCTTCTCCTCCTTGCTCTCTTCGCCATCGCCCGGGTCGGACTTGACTGACGTCGAGCGCGCCCGGACGCGCCCAAAGAAGCCCTCGCTCTTCTGGGACTCGGACTGGGCGTCATCTTTGGGCGAGTTGAGGGGCTTCGGAGCGATCACGTAGCGCAGCAAACGCTCCAGGACCTTCTCGTCGCGGAGGTATTCGATCAGCTTCGAATTCTGCTGCTTGAGCTCTTGGATGAGGTCTGACTCGTCCAGCAGCTCCTCAACCGTCACGTCGGGCTTGTCGAGGATGCTGTCCAGCGACGACAGCTGCGCGTACCCGCCAAAGCGCCAGAACATGGTGGATGGTGGCTGGGCGGGGCAGCAAAAAGGAGGGACTCGAGGGTAGCCGCAGCCGAGCGGGTCTCATGCGCGGGGTGGAGCTATGACAACAGATAAATCATGGGGCGTGACGGTCGGAGGATGTGCGGCTAGAAGCGAGTTGCAGAGTCAGTAGAGGAAGGCACGGCGCGGGGGGAGTGAATGGCAGCGGGGCGCGTGCGCGAGGGTCAACAGGGCGGGCAGCGGGCAGCGGGCAGTGTGGGACGGTGCGGTACCTGGCGAAGAAACCTCCGAGGAGGGCGCAAGCAAGCGAGCGGTCGCACAATGGGGGCACACAGACAGCAGAGACGTCGTGGGAGGCCGTTACGAATACAGAATGCAGCGGCAAGGCGCAGAGTGGGCGGCTGTGGGGGTATATCAGAGCGGCGGTGACAGCACACACAGACGAGCACCACAGCCCGTGGCAACTGGGCCAACGCTAGGCCGAGGACGGCCGGTGAGAGGTGCTCAGGCAGGCACGCTGCAGCCCTCCGGCCTGGTGACATGTCTGGACAGTCGCCAGGAGTGCGACACCTGCAACCACGCGCTGCAGGCAAGCGTACCGGCCTGCACCAGCCCAGTGCCGTCTGATCTGGTGCGCGCTGCCTGCCGCACGTGATAGCCCGATGACGCTGGCTGCGGCGGCCCAAGCTTGACGATGCACTACGCATGAAAGTGCCCCGCGACGACACGACTCACCCCTGCACACGGCTAGGCTGCACTCTCAGGTACAACACCACACCGATCTACACCTGGGCTTCTGTAAACATGAATCGCCTGTTTGGAGCGAAGAGCACGGCGCCGAAGCCGACGCTCAACCAGGCCATTACCACGGCAGGTACCTCCCCCGGCCAGCCCCAACACCGTCTAACACGCCCCAGGTCGATACGCGTATAGAGTCTATCGATGTAAAGCTTGCAAAGCTCAACGCCGAGCTATCTGCCTACCAGCAGAAAATCGCCCGCATGCGCGACGGACCTGGCAAGACGGCGCTCAAGCAAAAGGCCCTCAAGGTCCTGCAGCAGCGCAAGATGTACGACGCCCAGCGCGACCAGCTGCAGCAGCAGTCGTGGAACATGGAGCAGGCAGGCATGATGCAGGACAACCTCAAGAACACAATGACCACCGTCGACGCCATGAAGACCACCACCAAAGAGCTCAAGAAGCAGTATGGCAAGATCAACATCGACAAGATCGAGCAGTTGCAGGACGAGATGGCGGATCTGATGGACATGGGCAACGACATACAGGAGAGCATAAGTCGAAGCTACGAGGTGCCTGAGGACGTGGACGAGGCCGAGCTGGATGCTGAGCTCGAGGCGCTCGGCGAGGAGGTAGAGTTTGAGGGCATTGGCGAGTCAAGTAGCACACCGGCCTTTCTGCTCGACGATGCTGCCCCGCCACAGTTCATCGATGAGCCGCCGGAGCACAGCAAGGTCAAGGAGGTTGCCGGTTGAGAACGGACGCCAGTACCTATTCGACCGGCCCCGAGAATGGTCGCGTCAGTCTCTCGTCTGGCGTTGTGTCTTGCTTTCCATCGACATCTCATGTTTTGGCATTTGCTCTACCATTTGCAGGCGTTCATCGATTCTCCACGGGGAAGTCTGGCGGAGAGCGGAATTTCCCACCATCCCATGATTGGCGCGGAACATTAGCGCCGCTTGGCGGCTATCACAACTTCACACGATACCCATTTGAATCCTACTGTTCACAATCGACTTCGTAACGCCTTGTTAGTTCCGTCACAAAGCGTTCATCGTTCTGCGCACAAATCTTATGTGCAGCGGCAACATGCCTATAGAGGTCCTCTCTACTTCTCGGTCGGCCACGACCTCATCTCTCCGTACCTATGGTAGCGTGCACACCAACATGAAATCGTCACTGCGCTCCCATACACAAGAGTCGAGCTTAGTTGTGATACCATCATTTTTCTGTCGCAGAAAGCGAACGGAAATCAACTCTGAACGCACCATATCAACTTTAAGCTTGGCCATGCTTTAGTATCAACATCTTTTCACCCTTCCCTCGCTTACTATTGTTTGGAGCTATCATCTGATCTTACAATCAAACGAACGCAGCTTGTCTATGTATGTATGCAAACATCGTATAGTCCTGCATAAGGACGCCCAACCTATATAGAACGAATACACTCATCTGCTTTCCGATAATCACTTTTCTAGTCTCACCGTATGAGCTGCGCGCGACAATATAGGAAACCACAGTTAAGCCTCGTACAGTAAACGTTGAGAACCAACACGAAGGGATTAGTGGCGTCAGGGATGGCTTAGTACCATGTCTCGCTTCATCGGCACCCGTGCCAGCAGTGCTTCAGACCTGCCGCGGAGCACGTTACCATGGCCTCTACAAGCAAATCTTCTCCAAGATAGTCACTCCAGGCAAAGGACTGAGATAGGCTATCGATCCAATTGAATATGCTCACGTGCTGACTGTTCGTGCAATTCAGCTATATCTGGGCGAACTTGGAAAAAGGAAACATCATCTGCTTACTCTGAGGTAACACAGTGTATCCATGCTTTTGGCTAGAGGCTAGATGGCCTCACTAAAGATTATCTATTACCCCCGTGTACACAGCCAAAAAAGCGCAAACGCCTCTAAGAAAGTCTTGAAGGACTACCCGCTACTCCCCCTCTGCCATCTTTATATATCCTACCTTCTCCCCCACTGCCCGCAGCCGCTGTTGCTAACCGTCCACCCGACATTGTTTGTACTCGTCGCCCCAAACGACGCCCCTATCACGCTCCCATCACAAGTGGCAGCACCTGTCCCTGACGTCGACCCGATGCACACCGAGCTCGAAATCCATCCCGCACCCCTGCAATTGGGGGTGTTCAAGCACGCAACGCAACATTCATATGCGGTTCTGAACTGTCCGAGCATGGCGCTACCTCCCGGAGGTCCATAGTACAGCGTATCAACGTACTGTCCATTCACGTTGGACAGGATGTTGTCGTCGGCGCAGGCGGCGTAGAAGGTCGGTGTGGGGCCGGAGAGCTCGGTGGTAGTCGAGGTGGAGGTGACGGTCGTAGTGGTCGCGGAGGTGGAGGTAGAAGGAATGGTGCTAGTTGTGAGGATGGTGATGGTGGAGCTCGCTGGCGTGGGGAGAACACTTGTTACGGTAGTAACGGTGGAGGTGCTTTTACGGACGACAGTAGAGACTGGGCGCCATACGGTGGAGGTACGAGTCTTTCTTTTCGTCTCGTAAACGGTGCGGTACTTGGTTGCGGTGCACTTCTTGATTTCACGCCAGTTGGCCTGAACATTGGGCTTGCGGTTATCACTCTGCTTGCGCTGTTCGAGGCTTCGCTTGGGCGTGCTGCCACCAGGGAAGACGGATTTGACGGGTGTGACTAAGAGTAGGGATGTCAGTTATCAGGCATTGTTCAAGCTATCATGAGTGGAGACGAGGGAGGGGAGTGGCCGAGGTCTTCACACATTGCCTCTAGGTACAGCGCCACATCAGAAGTCTGAGCACACCGTGTTGCCCTAGGGTCGAGCAAAATTTTACTCAGACCATTGACGTAGTACTGCGATCTAGCACCTGTGCTCTGGGTGTACTTACAGCCGGCGGGGGCAGGTATAGTGGAGGTTGCAGGAGCCTCGGTGATGGTTGCAGTAATGGTGTCCGTTTCAGTTTCCGTGGAAATCTCAGTCACGGTCGCAGTCGTGTACAAGACCGATGTAGTGCTGAAAACCGAAGTATCCTGGGCAAGAGTGCTGGTAGAGGTGCTGGTCTGCAGGATGACCTTGGTTGTGGTCGCTGGCCTGTGTTGCGAGGTAATTTTCTTTGTGGTCCAGACGGTGCGGGTAGAGGTCTTCGTGAAAGTACATTTGCCATTACATTCTTTGGCCCAAGCAGGGACTTCTGGTTGGTGCTGGGGCACTGAACGAAGTACTGCGCCGCCATGGGCAAGGGCGCCAAGGGGGAGGGCTGTGAGGAGAGCAAAAGAGAGATGCATATTGAAAGAAACGTAGATGGCGCCCACGAACGAGCAATCTGTGAGCAGTGGAGAAGCATTTATAGTGCGAAGCCCATCGCTGTCTTTTGAGATCGCCATCTCGACAGCGTATACAAACCAGCCCCATTGTAGATGTAATACGCGATAACGTCGCGGCGTCTCCACTCAAGTCGGAAAGGAAGCATATTGTTCAGGTCGGCGTGGCCGCGATGCTTGCAATGGGATGCGCGAATTCTCGAAGGATTCAAGCTAATGGCTCAAGCGAGTCTGGATTCGTCGCGGTGAAGGGGAAAGCGAGTCTGGATCTACCTCGCCAGTGCAGGGATATCCCCCAGTCCCAGGTACGGAAGCATCTTGCTCTACAATCGGTTTCGCCGATTCTCTTTTGAGAGTAGCATGTGGTCTAAACACCGAATTGTTACCCACTTGCACTTCCTGATTGGGACATCTTTGACGAAAGTGCGCGCGTAGCCCATGAATTCGGTGGTAGCGCCATGTCGCTCTCGTATTGCTGGAGCTATAAATCCGCGAAAGAAGTCAGGTAGCGCGGCTGCCCCAACATCACGAAGCTCTTGCCTGCGACTCCCTACACATTGACGTGAACGTCGTATAGACTGGCAATTGCGGAAAGCCGAGATTCGAGCTCCATTCAGGATTGGTTTGTTTGCTTTTATTATCTTTGGGCTCAAATGTAGTTGAAATCTAGTCTATGTCTCAATGCAGATGCAATGCTCTTTAAAACCACAACGGGGGTATCACCAACTGGCAAGTTGCTTACTCCGATCGAAGCCTCCTCTTAATTGTCTCTGCGGCTTAACAAGCTTGCCCTGCAGCACCGTGTATCTGATGATGTTCTCGCAGTCCTCGGGCCGCACCCTCGCGAGCCAGATGCACTGTGCTGCCTCGCCGTTGCCCTCTGCCTCCTGGGCCTTGTTCACGTCCAACACCACTTCGTGTCCCTTGTTATCTTCGACCTTTAACTTTTCCAATGACTCCTCGACGCCGTTGGCATGGCCATTGAGCTGGTTGGGTCGCTCGATCGCTGAGGCAGAGCGGTAGATCATTACGTTTGCCGAGAACTTGTGGCCACCAACGTGACTTATGAAGTATATTCCGACGCCGCCCGGTCGCTCGTCGTGGAGGTCGCGGTAGAGACCTAGCGGCGCAAGATGTCGCTCGAACTCTTTCCGCAGCAGAGGTGCCGACTGGCCGCAACGTGCATCACGCGTTTTCTGGCTGCACAACAATATAAGGTATTTGTGTGGGCACGGCCGCGCCTTGAGACCGGAAGATGAAATTGTGGGTGGGATCTGAGGTGCCGCCATTGCGGCTGGTTCGGGCGCAGATGCTTCTTGTGACAGCGGCGAGGGTGACGGCGGCAGCGCAGGTTGCGTCGGGTGAGGGAGCGGCGACGTATTGGTCGGACCCTTATCCACGAAGTCTCGTATGAGGTTGGGTGTATTCGCGGGTGTGACGTTGTCGATGAACTGGAACTTGGGAAGGAGGAGTACCGTGGTACTATGCTCTGAGTGTTCGGGCACAGGGATGTCGGACGCGGAGAGCATGAGTTTCTGTTTCGAGTCAGCCACATGATTCCATGAACCAGAGAGGCATATACTGACGCCGTTGCTGGGCTTCACGTCACCCTTGTCCACCGCCTCCATGATGCTGCCTTTCTCGTCTGCAACATCGCGCACCCAATCCGTCTTTCCCGTCGCGACAATCAGATGTGTGCTCCACCCCTTGACATGACCGTAAAGCTCCTCATCCTCATCGATAGTGAACTTCCTAGGGTACTTGATGGTGCAGCTGGCGCAGTCGTGCAGGCACTCGTCGCCATCAATGGTGGGGTCGGTGGTGGGGAACAGCGCGTCTGTGGTCCGCGCTTTGGTAAATTCGCCAGGGTTCTTCTGCGTCGGCAGCGACAGCGACGAAGACGTGGGCGTCAGCCTATAGTAGATGTTCTTGAGCGCCGCAGTCATCTTGTACGCGTTGATGGGCTTGTGGGTCGAGTCTTTGCCCATGGCGACCTTTTAGGGTTCCCCTAACTTTATAGCTGATGATCTGATAAGATTACGTCCGAGCCGTCACCCGCGGAACTGGGGCGCTCGATTCCGCGACGGCTGGTTCGCGTCGGCGTTATGCGCTACGGCACCGCGACGCGGCTCGATTTGGAGAGAACCTTGAGGACCGTCAAAAAGTGGAAGATTGAGAGAATACCTCCATTCAGTTCCTAGGTTATTCACTCTGTCAGCTCTCGAGGCAGCCGCGTCGGCGCCTGCCAACTTAAAGGCCGCCTGTGAATCGGGCAAGGCACGACTACGTTCGGCTCCGACGTTTTCTCCGAGCAGTTCCACGTAACACATCCTCCCGACTCGACATTACACCCTCTGCTTATTGGCTTAGTCTTCATACGCTTGCAAACGTAGGTGTTTGTCAGGGCTTATCCCGACCCGTCAGCAAGTCAACCTCTCCGTGGCCCCACCGAAACGACGCGTCACCGTGTACGATGGGCCGATGAGGCTGAAAACACTCAACGGCGCGCCTCTGCGGGCAAGCCTCGACTTCACGCCGGATGCACTGCTTGACCCGCATGAGGTAGCCCGATTCCTCCGGTCGGACTCTTTTCTCACAGAGCTGCTCCAGGAATCACCATTCAATTGGCGGCGCATCGCGCCTAGAGAGCAGCGATTGCGCTCCGACTGGTCCCAACCATATTTACCAAGCGGTGGCCTCAATGGCGACGATTTACCCCTTTCTTTCGTGGTACCAGGCGTGGGAGCTTCGTTCGATGCATATCCGGAAGATGCAACGAATCTCGAGACGATGATGACTGTGGATGGGACGTCATTCGATGACAGTCGCTTTGTACATCACTCCTTGATTTTCCACGATACGCTCCTGTCTTCTCAGATTGCTCTCGGAGGTCTAGCGGATGGCACAGGAACCTCGCAGTCGTTTGTGGGCACGTCCTTCGAAAGTGCAACAAGCATGAGTATGGGAAGCTTCCAACAGTCGAATACAGACGTACCAGTCATACAGATACCTGCTACTTTGAAGCTTACATCATTTGGCGCCTTACCCAGCGCGGCACATTTGCGAAGGATTTATCCGCAGACACCGACTCCCAACTTCCTGTGCGTTCTCGCTGCACCACCCGAGGACAGAGAAGTGTTTGTGAAGAAAGGCGGCTATAGAATGCGACTACGCGAGATCGTTGTCGCCGACGACACCAGAAGCGACTTTAAGATCACTTTCTGGCAAAGACCCAAGGGTGACGATTCTCAGAATCCACACACCCATGTCCTCCAACGCACCAAGCCTGGAGACATACTCCTCTTAAAAAACATAGCTCTTAACGCCTTTCGCGAAGATGTTTACGGGCAATCGCTGAATCCATCGATTGCCCGGGTCCAAACCTCGATTGAGATTCTCATGAGCAGCGGGGGTATCTCCAGTCGTCAGCTGGCCGCGCTTCCAGCACCTGTGGTAACGGCATTTATGCGGGTCAAGAAATGGGCCAGTGCGCATGTTGCATCCGATGTATCTGGCCGTAAGAAACGAAAGGACGACTCGCGGCGATCCACCAGGTCTGTGAAACGATATCTGAGAAGCTCCGATGTACACGATGAAACCTTGCCGCCAGACACCATGGAGTCTGTCTGAGGACGTACCGAGCACATGTCACTCGGTCACATCGAGATTGTCCTGTAGTGTCCCAAAATAGTGCACGCACGTTTGCTCAAAACAGGCATCCCAATTTGTTCCACGGTTAACAATCAGCACGTGCTGATAGACCGTCCCTGCGACCCCACACCCTACACGAAGGAGGCACTCGTGGAGACTGCAAGGGTGTTGTGACATCACCGGAAATTTCAGGCCTGCTCTGGGGATGAAAGGCTCGCGATACCCTTGCGAAATTGACAGTGGTCCGTGCTATCACCCTTCTATCTCAACTCTATCGATAGTCCCCCACACCTTGGCTCTACGTCGCACATACTTAGCATACGCGCTTCTAGGGAGCATTATTCTTGACGGGTCCTATCGCAGCTATTACCTCGTCTAAACGTCTTTTAGACGAATTGACCATCTCCAGATCAGGTCGGTGCGAATAACTGTCTACCCAAATGACTGTATAATATACATAGCCTTGTGACGAATTCAACTTGCTCACGTACCTTGTCTGTCCTTGAGTGTCTCGCGACAGTCGAAATGCGAGGCTACTACTCTTCGGTTGGTCCCGCTCAGCATGAACAAACAATTTGAAACGGCATCGATGATTGGTCGACTGACCATCCACCCAATTTATTCGAAGAAACTAAACATGTTTCGAGTGACGACTCCATGCTGTAGCGTACTCGGTACGCTTTCAATTCTTCCACGTCTGTCGATAGAACTTGTCTGCATGAGCATGCTTGTGGGACTGCCCAGGGCTTCGAACACCTACAACGAGGCAGTGCGCGCATTCGTATGCTAATCAGCTACTCGCGATTTCACTTGTATAAGTACCTTCTAGTTTGCACCATGGTATCCGTCACGGCACAGCCTCGTCCTTCCTTTCGTTGAGTCTTCGCGACTAACATTCATTACTTCCGCTCCTTTACGTTCGCTTCTTTGGGATCTAGATCGATTCCGTTCATTCTTTTTCGGCTGGCCGGTCACAATGAGATCTTTCTATTCCGCGCTCACTGGAATCACCGCCTCAATCTCTTTGCTTACTAGCACAGAAGCTGTCCTTCTCAGCAATGGAACCGCTAGCAACAGCACCGTCGGTGGGAGCTGCTCCGGCGTTCAGAAGACCGATGAAACGTCCTTCTACTCCGTTGTTGGAGTGCAAGGAACAGGAGTACACCCAAGACAGGAGCTTCGGGAGCTTGAACAAGATACAGAAACATGGAACCTTTTCATACAAGCCTTTGCGCGATTTCAAGCTATGGATCAAAGCGACAAAGCGTCGTACTTCCAGATCGCGGGTAGGTCTCTTTCAAGTACAAACCGCACACTGCTTACCGAAATAGCAATACATGGAGCTCCTTTTGTACAATGGGACGGAGTCACAGGAGCGGGACTGACGGGATATTGCCCCCACGGAAGCAATGTCTTCTTGCCTTGGCACCGCCCATATCTCGCCCTCTTTGAGCAGGTCCTCCAAAGAAAGGCGATCGAGATCGCCACCGAGTATCCTGCAGGTGATGCCCAGAAGAATGCCCTTTCGATTGCCAGCCGTGTTCGTTTGCCATACTGGGACTGGGCCCTCAACCCTGGGAATAACAGCGAAGGTGTCATGCCAACATCCCTCCGAAGCGAGTCAGCCACTGTGACTTTCCCGAATGGGACTTCCAGAGAAATTCCGAATCCGCTTTATGCGTACCGTTTCCATCCATTGAGATATGACGATTTCTCTGCGCTCGTAAGTCTATTTAACGCCATCTGCGCGTGATATTTTCGGCGAGAAGTGCTCATTGTTACAGGCCGAGTATGAATTCAAGGACTGGAATACAACAATACGTCTCCCTGAGAACGGAACTTCGCCGACAGCGACGAGCCGCAATGATGTTGCTAACGAACGCGCTACCACAGCTCAGCCTGGCAATCGTGATACGCTCTACAAACTCTTGACTACCTACCAATCCTTCAACGAATGGAGTAACGCGGCTGGTGGAAGTGAAATCGGGAATATAGAGGTGCTCCACAACAGTTTTCACAACATGTTTGGAATGGGCAGCATGGGAATCGTGGAAGCATCGGCTTATGATCCTGTGTTCTGGTTTCACCATTGGTCCGTATTGATTCTTAATGATAGGCACCGTTTTGATCAAGATCACTGACCATTTACAGTCAAATGGACCGCCTTATGGCGATCTACCAATATCGATATCCGGACACCTGGGTGGAGGCAGCGTCTCAGTACAAAGCCACGTACTACTATGAAGCGAACAGCATTCAACATGCCAATTCTCCGCTCGAACCGTTCCACATGAACGCCAACGGCGATATGTGGACATCTAACCTCGTTCGGAATTGGACTTCCTTCGGTTACACCTACCCTGAGTTGGCTGAGAACCCACTCAACACCACGCTCACTACTACCATCAACAAGCTCTACAAGCCGCATACTCAGGGCCTTGACAGCAGTAACTCTACTGGCAATTCTTCTGGCCCTGTTACCAACAGCAGCATGAAAGCGACTGACTGGAATGCTCAAGTCAAAATGCCTGCCGACATTCAGGTATCTTACTCTGTACGATGCTTCTTGGGCGAGCCAAGTTCCGATCCAACGCAGTGGCCGACAGATCCGAACTACATTGGCCAGGTGGCGACGACATCTTCTCCACGCATGAGCTCCAACATAACGTTCGCTTCTACCGTTTCCTTGACCGAGAAACTGTATAAGAAGTTCCAAGCTGGCGAGCTGACGAGCTTGGCGGACGAAGCTGTCTCAGCCTTTCTCGAGAAGAACTTTCACTGGCGTATTCAAGCGCTGGACTACACTGAGATCCCGCGGTCTTCGCCCCCCAAGGGATTGAATGTGACCGTCTTCAACGTACCTATCTCGATCCCGAAGAATGACACAGACGTACCGAAGTGGACCGGATCGAAAGAATTCAAGCCCCAAATCCACGGAAATCCGCCCAAGAGCGCAGTTGGCGCTCCGCTTGCTGGCAACACTGATGGCTGGAATGCTACCAGTGGAACATGGCATTGGAGCAATGCCGACGAGGCAGCTGAATCCAGCGCCATTCGTCAAATTGGGACCCCGACTTTTGCCGCACCCTCGAGCAGCGTGACAGCTGGTCCTGGGGAGGCTGTTGAAGTCACTACATTGCCTAATGGCCAGGTAGTGACCCACGTGGTTACGGTTGTCGTCACGGTTACAGCAGGCGCCGAGCCCGCTGAAACAAGCTCTGCGAGTTTGGCAGAAACCGAGACCGCGACGCCTGTCACTGCCGCGGTCGGTAGCGTGACACCCGTTCCTGGCGAGTCTGTGGAGATCGTGACGCTGCAATCTGGTGAGAAGATCACCAGGGTCGTCACCGTTGTTGAGGAGGTCACAGTGTTCTTGCCAGCACCGACTGCCTGAAGCATGTACTGCGTTGCCACAGCTTAGCACTTGCTCTTATGGCTATTTGTTTCGTTTTTGGTTCTCTCTTTATTATATCATCCTTGTGCGGGACGCTGCGCGGAGGAAGGATAAGGATGCGATTGCTCGCAGAATTGCTCTTTGCTGGACAAGAGCATGCCAGAACACAACACAAAAATCAGGCTGACACGATCACACGATCACAAATATCTAGATACGAATTTGTGCCCGCTTCGTGATGCACCAGCTGCCTTCCGTAATTGAATTAAGGTGTTGTTCTGCATGCATCCGGTCAGACCCTGCCTCGACTGGTGGACGCGTAATATGCACACCGTCCCATTAGAAGGTGGATTTGTCCAATCCCCGCCCCCATTGTTGCCACACTCGGGATGCGCAGACGATCGTTGAAAAAGAGGCATCTTTCATTGTTTCGGAACGTGCCGGGCCAATTGAGCGCCGATAGCATGGGGCCTATGCGCTAGCGGCAACTCAGGCTTTCGTGGAGCTCGACTTCTCGCTCAAGGAACTCACGCCCTGAGCTTGGACGATCATCTTTGAAATCGTTTCATTTGCATAGACTCAGCTCTCGGTGCTGTGTAACGTTGCAAGTGAAAGAGTACACGTGACGATTGCGGCTGTGACTAATCTGCATTAAATCTGCATTAGCGTGGTGGGTCGAACGTTCTCTCCACAGTCCACCTGCGGCCTCTAAGTCTAGACCTCCACCGCCCGCTTTCTTGTTCCTCGGCTCTCTCCGTAACCTGATTTCGATTCCTATCAGATATTTGTACTATACCTACAATATTCACTGCATGTGCCTACTGAACACGTTCGCGCAGTTTCATGGCGTCCACCTGCACGCAGCAAGAACTTGTATTCTTCCCGAAAGCAGATGCGGCTGTGCTCACTTCAAAGCCACCGCCAGACTACCCGCTCGCTGTCGGTCCGATCTTTGATCCTGACAGTGTAAACACTCCAGTCTCGCCATGGCCTGTAGACGCCGAAGAGACCCACTACCCTCCCATGAAGGACGCCGTTGCGCCAGCACCGGTACCAGACAAACAAGTCTGTGCAACGGATCGCTACCTACGCGCGCCCCTGACGAAAAATGAAAGATATCGACTGTCCATGGTCTGGTATTATACGCGCGATATCTTTGAGGAAGCTGAATTCCTGGCGGGTTTGCAGGAGAAAGTCTGTATCGCTCAGGAGTCCACTGGATGGGAATTCGCTGTCATAGGCATTCTCGATGTCAACTACTACACTCGCCTGGCCACAATCGGTCTCCCTCTCGCAATATTGCCTCGAGGCGAAACCATCTGTGCACACACGGTTGCCCAGCCTCCAGGAGTACGTGCGCAGCGCGTATGACTTATGTGATGGTCGTTAACTTGCCTTTCAGAGTGTCTTCTTGCTCCCGAACATGCTCGAGGACTGGAGATTTGCGCACTCACCGTACGTGGAGTCCGGCGGTCTTCAGGCGTATGCCGGTGCGCCGCTCCGACTGCAAAACGAGCATGGTCAGACAGCATGCCTCGGGTCTATCTGCGTAGCTTCATCCGCTCCGCAAGCTCCACTACCACGAACACTACAAGCTGCACTGGCTCGCTTAGGGGACTGGGTCGTCTCTGATATAGTGAACCTGACGAGAGCACGGCGACAGCGAGTGAGAAGCCGCATGGTCGACCTAATCGCAGCAGCACAAGCGGAGACAAAGGATGCGCTTTCCGAACAACCCGCCATGCGCGCCCTGCGAGACATCTATCCTGATGCCGTGATAAAGCTTCAGTCTTCTAAGGCCGGCCACGTCGAGGTTGAAGGGCACGGTCCGGTGCCGCTTTCTAACATCTCAACCGGTCTGTGGGAGGACATTGAGCATATTGACCGCTTCATTGCAGAGTCGAATCACCTCGAGCCTCCCACTGATCACGTCATACGGGTCATCGCCGCGCAATGCGAGACCGTCTCAGGCCAGTCATTCCTGACCGTGGGAACTAAGGATTTCCGACTGGTGTTTGATGACATAGATGCTTGGTTCGTACAGAAGTGCGCAGGCATCATCTCCGACATGTGGAACAAGCGCCTCCTTGCGGAGGTGATGCTCGCAAAGGAAAAGTTTCTGCGCGGCTTTTGCCATCAACTTCGGACACCAATCCACGGGATCCTGGGTTCTGTTGAGCTACTGGCCGAGCAGTTGAAACTGCAAAAGCTAGACGAGGCAGGATCGGAAGTCAGCTCTTTGCACACAGAAGCCGCGGCCGCCAACTCCAGCGTCATCACTGATGGCGGATCCAGCATCTATCTCGACACAATCAAATCGGCCGGTCGTGACTTGATCTCCATAATCAACAACATGATAACTCTCAACAGATGGGCTGATATTGCAAAAAAGGACCGCCAGTATGAGGATCACACTCTCTACGACCTTGAGACTCGACTCTGGAACGAGATAGTGGGAGCTAATGATGGTGATACACACTTCTCTGCCTCAGTAGTTTTCACTCATGACCTACCGCCCGATCGATGCAGTATACGTACTGACCTTGGCCTTCTATGCGACAGTGTACTTCCTCTGGTCACTAATGCGCTCCAAAATACCCTGGCTGGCAAAGTAGTCATAGAGATATCTGCTCGCCCAGATCTCAACGACCTTGTCATTGGTGTCAAAGACACAGGAAGAGGCATCCAGCCAGAGGATCAACGACGGATCTTCGAGCTGTATGAGCAAGTAGATGTGTGTACAACTGGTGCAGGACTAGGCCTCACTCTCGCATCGAATTTCGCGGCTCTACTTCATGGGTCAGTCGATCTGGTATCATCCGAGGTCGGTCGTGGCTCGCACTTCAGAGCTACATTCCATGGGGTCAACTTGACCTACTCAGATTCTCCTGATACCGGATCGGTGATTGGCAAGCTCAGAAATATACCGAAAAGCTTTCACGCTATTCAATCGAATGCGGAAGCTTCAGCGTTGTACGACGACTTCAGCAGATTTCTTAGCTGTCACGGCTTTTCATCAACCGATTGTATAGGTGATGGCCTCATCATCCTCGATGGCGTGGCGAACGGAGAAGAGCGGCACGTAGCGTTGTCGCGAGCGTATCCGGAGCAAGTTATTATCTGTCTGGTTCCACCCTCGAAAACCAAAAGTCATGTTGATGGTCGCACAAGAAACCTGATCTACATGAACGGGCCATTACTCACGTCAACAATGACTCAAGCACTCGAGGACGCGGACAACTTTCTTGCGAGCATAAACCCTAGTCAAATATATCTCAATCAGCCTACAGAGGAACCTACGCCTTGTCTCGCCGTCAGTGTGTCACCAAAGCGAGAAAGATTCGCACGCCACGACAGCAAGACTGGAAATATCGAAAGTTTTGTAGATGATCGAAAGGTGGATGAACCTTCACCCGAAGCACACGGAATGGAGGAGTTTTCGACTGTACCTGACCATCCTAAGTCACCCAACAACAAAACGGTACACCAGAACGGGGTTTCACAAGCAAAGAAACCGGCATCGGATCGATCCTGCTTCAGAAAGGCACGGTCATGTGCCCTATCTACACATCAACCTGCCTCGGACGTCGAATCTCCTAGGACCTCAATCGCACCAAACAAGCCCAACGCAGCATATCAATCAAATTCTCTAAACATCAAGGTCGTCTATGTCTTTCCTTCATCGGCAACTATCACTCACCCCACCGCTCTCCTAGTCGACGACAACGACATCAATCTCCGCATCATGCGAATGTACTGCGAAAAGCGCTCGCTTCCTTACATATGCGCCCGCGACGGCCTCGAAGCAGTCTCACTCTTTCAATCCCGTCAAGCCTCCGCTGCCACCGAATCAACAACGTCCCCAATCCAGCTTATCCTCATGGATCTGCAAATGCCGAAGTGTGACGGCGTCGAAGCTACTAGACGTATAAGGGAGCTTGAGAAGGAGAATGGTTGGGCAGAAAGCACGCTGTTTGTGGTGACTGGGCAAGACAGTTCCGCGGACAGGAAAGCGGTGGCTGAGGTAGGCGGGCAGGAGTACTTTGTGAAGCCGGTTACTATAAAGAGCTGGGATAAAGGGTTGAGTAAGTATTTTCCTTTATTCAAGGCTGGATAGGCATTCATGTCTGAGTGGTGGTGCAGTGGTGAAAAGTATTTGATTGTACGAGTATGAATGATAGCCGGACAACGACGTCACGTATGTCTCTCCTCTATATGAGCTAGTTACACGGCATCGGGAAGTTTCAACGATAAAACATGTTGCTGATGAGATTCGACTGAAGGCCTCTATTCGAAGAGGGCCTTCTACGCACTACCTCTCGGAAGTTGCTTTTCCGGAGACAGTAGGAAATCATGTTTGCAACGGAATAGCCGAAGGAATGCAAAACAGAAGGATAACGGATCAACAAAGATAACCGAGACCACCACATTCAAATACCGTTGGGCTAAGAAGCTGCTGCCATGTAGATGTAGATTGGCAAGAGCGCTTGGAGCTAATTGGCTGAACTCCGCCTCGGCCCCTCTTCTACTCGACATCCCGAGGTCATGGTACTCGCGCGCCGCCTACGGTTCGCCACCGTCATACTACATTCCCAACTCTCGGAGAGAAAAGATGCCCAATATGAGATTAGAACGCCCATTTCCAATACTCGATCTCACAGTGCCCCGCCCAACGCTCGACGACCTGGATCCCAACCCGACCCACGACCACATTCGCGCCCGCCGCCTCCCAACCATGCAAGCCATTGAAATCCGGGAATATACCCCAACACCCTCCACTCTCGTCCCAATCATGACATCAAAGCCATCCGCCAGTGTCCATGCGCCCATATTGGTGCGTGTGACGCACTGCAGCCCCCAGCACGCCGACATCCTGCACGCGCAGGGCACCCACCAGAACAACAACGAAAAGCGCGGCTGGTGCCATCCGCCTTTTACTCTGGGGTACGACTTCGCCGGCATCGTTGCGGACGTGTGTCCGGGGGCCGTCGAAGGTGATGATCACGGCCTAAAGAAGGGTGATCGCGTGTTTGGCGCGAGTATCGGCGCGTTTGCGGAGTTTACTAGTGTAAAGGCTGCGACGGTGCGGAAGGTGCCGAGGGGCGTGAGCAGTGAGGCTGCGTGCGCAATGGCGGGGCAGGCAGTGAGTTATGCGGCGGTTGTGCACGTGGCGAGGGTGAGGAAGGGGGAGACGGCGCTGATTAGTGGGGCGAGTGGGGGGTTGGGGAGTGCGTGTTGTGCGGTTGCGAAGGCGGTTGGGGCGAGGGTTGTGGCGCTCGCGGGGGATGAAAGGAAGGCGGAGGCAATGAGGAGGGATATGGGGGTTGATGTTGTTGTGATGGACGAGGAGAGGCACTGGATTGATGAGGTTAAAAGGCTTACGGACGGGAAGGGCGTGGATGTTGTGCTCGACAATACGGGGATGGTGAATCCCGCAATTCAAAGTCTGGCGTACGGGGGTAGGATTATAGTGCTGGGGTTCGCCGCGAGGAAGGGTAAGATGGAGGCCGTGAAAATGAACAGGCTGCTGCTCAAGTCTGCGACGGTGACTGGGTATAGATTTGGTGAGAGTGGAAGGCAGTCGCCGGAGAAGTTGGAAGAGATTTGGAAAGGGTATCTGGGGATGATGGAGAGTGGGGAGTTGAAGCCCATATTGTACGGAAGTTACAAGGGCCTGGAGGACATCGGTAGAGCATTGGGAGATCTGGAAGCAAGGAAAGTTTATGGGAAGATCGTTGTCAAGATCTCAGACGATGAGGAGAAGCCCAAACTATGAGCGGAGACTCGGCATGGAGAAACAGCCTGTACATACAAGATGCAATAAGAGGGAACAGATAGTGTTCCATTTTGCGTGTCTACGATACCCACTTACATCTGACACATGTTCTCAATGCGCAAATCTGAAGTCCAACCGCTTGCTTCCTTCCTGAGTAGTCGTATCCAGGTACTCCACCTTCTCTTCTGCCGTGAGCGCGTTCCATTTGCGGTCCCTTTGCTTATTGCGCCAAATATAGTACATCTTATTGAACGCATAAATAAAGATATTCAAAACACAAATCCCTACCAGAACCTTGTTCCCGCGGCGATCTACTTATGTCAACAAGAACACAGATACAAAGACAGGGCAGAGCACTCACAAAGGGGTTTATCATCATCTTGGTAGATATTGGAGTAAATGATGGCCTGGACTTGCACACTCATGTTGTACAGCGCCGCACTGACTGTTCGCGTGCGCACGGTGTTCGAATTGCGACTACACCAGCCGACCTGCATTGGGTGAGGAGAAGGGTAAGATAGCAGAACTGTGACCAGAGCGTAGCGGCTCCAGCGCGAACTACTATCCGGGATGACGGCCATCGCCACGAGGCAGGGTAGGAACCAGATCTGGACGAAAATGCCCATGAGCGAGCGCTGGTTGATCTTCTCAGAGATGTAGGTGAAAACGAGCATCTAGGTAGATGTCAGTTAAAGCAAGAGTAGTAGCGGAAGCGCATGTAGTACATTAACCGTGGTGCCAATCTGCGCCGGAATACTAAGCAAATTGGAATTGAATGTGTCGAACCCCAACTGACGCAGCGTCAAGGTGAGATACTGGTCGCTCGGCCCAGCTGGTATCCCAAACGTAATACCCAGCGCATAAATTGGCCACAAATCGAAGTCACAAAGACTCTTCCACAACAGACTAAACGTAATTGCCTGCCTGTTATGCATGTCGCCTTTGCTGGGATCGTCGCGCAGGATCCGATTCACCATGATCTTCTCCTCGCGCTCCGAAAACCAGCCTTTCGGCCGCCACCAGGCCTTGGTCTGTGTGGGAGACGGCGCCATCATGAAGATGGACCAAACGCCGATGGCCAGGGTGAGCATCCCTTCGATCAGGAAAAGCCAGCGCCAGCCTTCGTATCCGTGATAGTCACGCAGGCGCAATAGACCATAGGCGAGGAGTGGTGCGACGACGTCGGTGAGGCGATTGGCCATCCAGAAGATTGCGAGACGGAAGGGAAGTTCGGTGCTTTTGTAGAAGTACGACTGTGTTCTTGTCAGTGCGAGAACGCTGTTAGCGCACTGATAGAGGTTAGGCTTACCATGTACAATATCACATCCGGAATGAAGCCACCTTGGAGTAGGGCAAGTAGAGCACGGGTTGCGAGGAAAGACTTTCGACCGCGCAGCCAGAACTGACTTGCCGCGACTATCGACCAGAGAATCATCTGCGCTGGGATCCATCGATCCGGGCCAATCTTCTTGCTGATGAGCTGCGATGGAAGTTCGGCAAGGAGGAAGGCGGTCTTGAACACTGTGTTGCCGAGATTGTAGTCTATGGTGCCTCAGTCATGTAAATCATAGTCACCATAAGTGTAGACCAAGTGACGACCTGGTCACTCACCGTTTGTAGTCAACCCCAGATCATCCAGAAAATTGTCTGTGTTCGCTTGCGAGATGTTGGATCGATCCAGGTCAAGTGCGAAGAACGCTATGGCTGCCCAGGCTGCTACGCGCCATTCGATTTTCTTGAGAACGTTCTGAATCCTCAGCAGCTATATGTTATGAATACTGGGTACAACTTACATGTTCCTCAGCCCAAGTCCATCGCTCATTGGGATCAAAGCGATGCAAGTTCTCGTAGGTTGGCAGAGGCTGGAAGTACTTGGCTTGTTCCGGATCATCATATACGGATGGCTGAGTTGCAACAGCGTTGGGGTCTGGCTTTTGCCGACGCTTCCACAGAGAAGCGAGAGTCGGAGGTGACTCTTCAATGCGAAGTGGTGCAGCCACCACCACTAGGTCTTTTCTGGCCGTTTTCCTTCTGTCATTGCTGTCTATTGAAGCATCAGAGGCGGTCGTTTGCTCCTGCACGGTGTTCGATATGCAAAGGTCCTTCTCGAGGTCGGCCATGATGGATCAGATGTAGATACTCCGCAATATATTCCAAGAGTCACTAGGTTTCAATTTTTTTCAAATTAAGGTCAAATGCTCAGGTGCGAATCTGCACTTCAGAGTGACAATTCACTCTTTTACATTGCACAAGGGCCAAGCAACCTCAGTTTCCAATCCCTCTGCATGTTCGCTCCCTCCTGAGCAGTTATCGCATACGAAGCGAGCTATCAGGGCAGAAAATTTCTTGGCTATTACGAATGACAAGGTGACTATTCGCAATGTTCTTGCGAGTATGACATTGCCTCATCGCACGTCCGCTTCAGGAATCGATCCGCGCATCTTTCGTTTTCCGTTACCGCCCACTGCATGGTCCGCGGAAAGGAGACTTCAAATCTACCGTGATACTAGGCTCTTGGGTGGCGATGACGATCTGTGGGATGGAATGGCGATTTTTTGGCGTTGATTTGCGTGCCTGCGGGGTTGATATGTCGTGCTCACACCAGCAGCAACGTGCAGTGCCGAGCCGGAGCTATTGGCATGTCTCCATTAGTATTATAAAGCTGCCGACTATATATGAGTTCAAGAGAGTTGAGATTATCGAATATTCGTGTCAATAATACAACTCAAGATGGCAACGGTTACCCAAGTGCAGGAAGCGACGAACGCTGACGGTCAGCCAATCAAGTTGGCTGTCGCATACAGCGATGAGGTACATAATCAGGTATGATTTCGTACTCCGTCTCCAATCGTGTCCGCATCTACGGCATCTCATACCAACAAATAATATTGCTGATTCCCTGCCAGGCAAAATACGCAGCCTACCTACCTGTATACGACACCACGACTAAGTTTCCGCCAACGCCACTGTTCGATCATGATGACCGAGGCCGACATGCCGACCCTGCGAAGCCAAATTTGTTATCGAAAGAAAACCCGCAAATCAAGGTTAACAAGCTGACACCCCGCGTTGGCACCGAGATCACGGGACTTCAACTCTCTGAACTAACTGACATTCAAAAAGATGAGCTTGCGTTGCTCATAGCCGAAAGAGGTGTCGTTGTATTCCGTGACCAAGACTTTAAAGACATCGGGCCTGAGAAACAGAAGGAGTTTGGCGAGTACTTTGGCAGAGTCCATGTCCACCCCGTTGGCGCCCACGTCAAAAATCATATCGAGTTCCATTCTATCTACTTGGGCAAGGATAATCTTTACCGACTTGGTCGCTCCAGCTCTAAGCTCACAACGACTGGGTACCACTCGGACGTTTCATACGAGCACCAACCGCCCGGCATCACATTGCTCACTCTCCTCCAAGTACCCTCAACTGGTGGCGACACAGGATGGACATCGCAGGCCGCGGCTTACGAAAGGCTGTCTGAGCCTTTGAAGCATTTCCTCGAGGGATTACGTGCTGAGCACAGTGGGTTTCCACAAGCTGACCGTGCCGCCCGCGACGGGCATTTTGTTAGACGTGATCCTGTCAAGAGCTACCATCCCATCGTGAGAGTACATCCCGTTACCGGACAGAAAGTTCTTTTCGTAAATCCTGGATTCACCAAGCGCATTGTCGGACTGAAGGATGAGGAGTCCGATGCTATACTGAAGCTTCTTTTCAAGGCGAGTTCCCCCTGTGGCTAACAGTTGAGAGCAGACATAGGGACTGACGTATAAATAGCACATCGCCCAGAGCCAGGATATCCAAGCAAGAGTGAAATGGGATGACCGTACCGTGGCGCTGTGGGACAACAGAGTGACTGCCCACACTGCCATCAGCGACTACGATGTAAGCGACGAAGCAGAAGGGCTAAGGCAAGGATTCCGCATCACGACTCTGGGAGAGGTACCGGTTGGGGTCAATGGTTTGAAATCGGAGTGGGACTAAACAGTAGAACAGACGTATATGAGAAAGTGAATTCATTGATATCCCGTTGTTTTTTCAAGCCTTGTTCTTGTGCTTTTCGCCTGGGATTTGTTTAAAGCGCCTCAAGATGCCAACTTCTGTCGGGCCTCTCTGGGAAGGCTGTAAATCAAGATCGGCATCGTGGAATTCTTCCAGAGGCCGACATCCTCACCGGCAAAGGAATCTTGCCTGATAGTGAGGACAAGGAAAGGCAGGCTCAGGACGAGGAGTAGCAGTGGAAACGTGAGCCACGCCCATTGCACCTGAACGCGGACTTCTTTGGCATAGCCATCAACAAGAGCTGACTCAGTCCCTGAAGATGATCGTATCAAGTTGGTCAATGCCGTAGCCAGCTGTTCAATATGCTGCGTAATATTGCTGGAAAGTGCCCATGGGTTAATGCCAGGTCTTATCTCTATGTTCCCCTCGCGCCATCACTGCATCGGAACGAGAATATCCTGCGACACGGTTCGGCGGATGCTGTAGGGCATATTGATGCTGCGATCTAGTACCATAATGGTTTCCGAACGTCAAATGTGCTCGACGCAGGGCGCGAGAGACGCCACTGTTAGGCTTTGGTAAAGAAACACAACGGTGACAGGTACTACCGGTAGTGTCCCGCTAAACTAAAATCAACGGCTGCTGCCTGTACTTCTCACTTCGTGCCGTCTCTTGGTCGAGATTGAAATAGAAGCCCAGTACAATCAGTCAGAACGTCGAGGATGGATGTAGACTGGTTGCTGTGAAAGATTCCAAGTCAATATTATACAGCATCGCTGACGCCTGTGTACCTGCCAAGCCACGGATAATGATCATGCCCAAAGCGAGTGTTGGTTGCCTGCATGGCTTGCTATGGATACTGCAGTGCAACGAAACAGCAGTGAACGTCGATTCTGCGTGATTACTATATAGGGCTTTCCTAGAGGTAGTTCCGATCAGGTGCTCGCGCTAACAAATCTGCCACAACGGTACTTATTCCTTTTATGATATTTTTTGGTTGACTGGAACACGTGTCCCGTAAAATAATAGTCAAAATATATGAAATATACTTACCCCTCTACAGGGGAAATCGAAACGACTTATGGCTGTGGGACGTTCAATGTAGAAATTAAAGCACCATAGTAAATTTTGTATTGTAGGCACTACTCCTCATCGAAATCGAAACAACGTAGAATCGTAAAATATTATTGCTTGATTCGCTATGCTACCAAGCTCCTGTATCGAGAATCCATCACTCGTTCATCATGTCGCATTCATTCCTGGGCTTTCCAAAACGCCGTTGACTCCTGCTTTCGCATGAAGCTATTACCACCCGGCTATAGCACGGTACCAAAACCGAATGTGGTCTTAATACTCCGGACGTAGTACTCGCCCCAGTTACCCTTCGTCGGCTCTTCTTGACCGATGGGTACACCCTTCCACTCCACTCGCATGACGGTGACGGCGTCAACATCGTTCTGATCGAACCAGATGGACAGAGTGGAATAGTGACCGGCCGGCCACTGCGCGAGACGCCATTTCTGGACGATGTGTGTAGGCTTTTCGAGCTCTGTGAACTCGCCCGACACGTTTCCGCCGAACAGCTCGAAAGTGCTTCCAGGCTTAGCGCCAGTCCAATTCTTGGGTGGTGATCGGGTGAAGGCAGCTATTCTGTCAGGTTCGGTGAAGGTTTTGAAAAGTTCTTCGGCTGTAGTGCGGAACTCGGTGCTGTCATTGATCGTGGTAGTGTTGACCAATGATCCTCCAGTCTTCTGTGTGGTAGACGCTGCCGACTTCGATTCTGACTTGTTTATGCCAGAGTTGGAGTAGGTCTTGGGCGTCGAGAAACCGCTCGAAGGGTTGGACCCAGGCGCGTGCTGGATATCCTTGCCGTGCTCGGTGATCAGGGCCGGCCCAAGCTTTGCGAAACTCTTGCGCAGCTGCGGCACGATCTTCGATCGGACGAGGTCTTTGACGGGTTGTTTGCTCTTCTCTTCCGAGTAAATATCTATCTCAAACTGGTGATGGTTAGTCTGCGGTTGTGACTATGGAGGGACGTAATGACAGCTGGGAGCGAAGGGAACATACGACATACTCGTCTTCCTCCGTGTCGTGAGCCACTTCGGGTACAGTGATGGTGCCGCTGGCCTCTTCGCCTTCCTTGTTCTTGCCTGCCGACTAGGTCAGCCGCCGAACTTCCCGCTATGCAAAGGCGAACGTACCTTTGTATTCAAGCTTGACCTTGACGTCGAATATTGTGATGACCTTGCCCTTGCGCTGGCTCACGTCCACGTCGCCATCCATGCTCATGAGGCTGTCCACCTTCACACTGACACCATCCTCTTCGGCAGAGATCTGGAGCACCTCCTTGGTGAGGTAGTCCTTCGCCCATGGGCTGACATCCTTGTTCACCCAGTGCCAGTTGTTTGGGTTGTGGAGGACCATTGTGTCGCGCGGGGTATCGGAGTTTGTGCGCAGATCTGATATGCATAAATTAGATTGATCCCGACGAGCAAAAAAACACGCATATAGGAAGATTATTTGAGATCAGGACAAGGAGCGATGCTCCCGCAAAGCGTTATCCGCAGCAAAAGAGTACAAGTCTTCTAGGACTGGTGCCAGCTGTGGTTTCATCATACGAGTAGAGGAGAGGTCGACGAGCTGCTATACGTACCAAATAGATATTATGAGAATCGCGAGAGATTTACAGTGCTACTCTGAGCTGCGGCAACGAAAGACGCGAAAGGGTGTTGTTGGGCGAAACTCAAATAGTGGGAGAAAAGGATGTTAGAAACTTCGAGAACTCTGAAGGTCAAGCTGCTTCGCCAAGAGATCCACGTCGGGCCGAGTCGTCCGGCGCTAAAAACAGCCTCGGAGGTTCACCTCTCTCAATTCTCCCATCGAACATTGTGGTCTGATTAATATCCTGTCATAGACAATTGTTATTTCTTGCGTCTGCTGGGCGGTGTGGTACTGCAAAAGTGGCCATGGTCCGATCATGTTTCTGTTCGCGCGTCTCTGCGGCTGCTCTAATAGGACAATGACGATCCAGCTCGAAGTACATGTGTACGTACTCAGCCAATGCGCTACGATGTATGCAGGGCGTTCTACTCCTACGTACGCTGCGTTCATAATGTACTTGTAAGAAACTTGCGCCAGCAGCTCAAACTACGAAGTTATATCAACTCACTCACATCCAAAGCCCTAGTCTCTCGCTACAAAACTTAGGACGTGTAGAGTCTTCGACGGTGTTGAAGCTTTGCACAGCATTGAACAGCGTAGCCTAGGGAGACTAAGGTCAGGATTGGATTGATGGCCTATGGCCGAGATCCCCGAGGACTCTGGTGCCAGTTATCAAGGCTGGGCTGGATGCCTTGGATTCTATCGCACAAGTGGAGAGCACACTGACTCTATCGAGGTCAAGGCATGAAGCAGCGGCACATGCTATCACTTGTGCACTTTCTCTCACTTACAGATCTGAATCACAGAAAAAGCAGGCAAAGGTACAATCTAGCGCTGAAATTAGCGAGGAAGCAGGCTAATCTGGACTACTAGGAAGCGCATTGCACGTTGCAAAAAAGGCACACTTCAATGCCCTGGTGTGTCACCGGACAGAAGGACCTTATCCAGCTGTCAAGAGATCCGTCCAATCCGCTCTCGAAAAGACAGTCAAGAACGTCGAGAGCAATTTGGCCACAAGATGCGGTGCAGTCCTTGACGCAATCCTGCGCGACTTTGACAGAGTATGTCCTGACAGCGAGGACAAGGGTGTGCTGACACTTCAGCAATGAGAGATCTTGGGACGCAAGGCACAAGAGTCAGAGATGAGAATAGAGAGCGAACCCAAGGGCCACCTACCGCAATGTGAGGTCCTTTTTGACTGAGCCTGGCCCAGACAATTGCTTTTATTGCACTAAAGACGATGGAAACGCATTTACTAGATATGACCATCACGAAATGGTAGCGGGAGCTCCGTACCGACTTTCTCGATTGCATACCCGATAATCGGTCGAATGCACGACACTGTAGCATGAATTTTTGTGTCGTCTGGTAAGGCCACACAGGCAATCTCGAGCGACATGTTGAAAAATATTTCCTGAACATACCAAGTAACGAGTATACGCCCACGCCACAAATGCCACTATTTAGTACGAATGTGTTGCTGACCAATAAGCCATCTTTCGACTGGTGCCTAAGCGAAGGCAAGATTCGAGCTGGACTCACCGGTCGCCTCACTCACATTCCGTGCATCTTCAGCATCCGTGCACACAGCTGACGTCTCCAGTCCTTCCAGAAGACGCACGGGTGTGAGTTGGCATTCAATTCTTCCGTTCCGCAGAGCCTCATCTCCCGGTTGGAGCTCTGAGTTAGCGGCATTGGTGACGAAGCAATTGACAGTAAGAAGTTCAGCAAGCGGTAACGTTCTACTTGATGCTCGTCGGTTACTCACCATTTTTCAAACTCTACTAACTTGTGTAAACTTTACCCAGTAACTATAGAAGTTTACAAGCACACTGAGACAATCGCTCTAATGCCCAATCGGGCTTGCGTCAGTATATAGGAGGGATACGCTTCTTCTTAAAGCGGGATAGCCTCGGAGGCTTGGCCAATCGCTTCTCAGATCGTTAGTTCACGAGGACAAGGCAACAGGATTTTACGTTGGGGAAGGCTGAGGCCCTAGGGTTCAGCCACGCTATGACCACCTGCGATACGGATCTGCGCCTCGATATGTCGTTGGTTCTAATAGTCGCCAGGCCCATGACCATTTCTCGAGTCCTGTCCCTCTTATAGTCATTTCTAGTATCCTTCTGTTCTCGCGGTAATTCATCTGGCTTCGTCTCATTTGTACATTCTATACCCGAGACGTCCAATTGCTATAAGCTTTCTGCTATCTAAAACGCCACGATTTATATGCGGCGCCGTGCTTGAACCTATTGGATGACGAGTAGTGCACCTCAGTTTGATCACTATGGGAGCGGATCAAAAATATGATGAAGAGTCGCTTCAGCACGTCTATGCGCTTTTGCGAAGATACAGGTCAAACGATGTGATCAGGATGGTTCTGGACGTTGCACAGTCCCGTACGCTGCCTCTATACCCCACTTGGTCGTCCCTGCCTTGTCTGACACTTGACAGGTCCAGCTTCTACAATCACTTCCGCTTCGCGCTTATCCCACTTGTCTTCTGAATCACGCTATTCTGGCTTCAGTACAGACTATGCGCCATCCTTGCAGTCGTCTGCTTCGTCGCGCTCGCAGCCCCAACACGCGACACCACTCTATCGTTCTGATCTAAGTTTCACAAAGCCTGCCATGGCCTCCGCATCCCCAATCTCGGAAGCTTTCAGCCCGGCTGATACGCTGTCAATACCTTCGCCTCTCCCTGTTGATATTGACTCCAGATCCATCACCTCATCCACACCGAAACGCAATACAACATCATTAAATGGGGGTCCTTGGTTCTGTACTTTTTGTACTGAACCCACTTCGTTTGCCGCGAAAGCCGATTGGAAGAAGCACGAGACCAAGCAACACGAGACAGGCGAAGACTGGCCTTGTCCCATCCATAACTGCCTGGAAGTACTAGACCGGAAGCTAGACTTTGAAGCGCATTTCAAACGCGACCACCCACACGTACCCTGCCCAACAGACGTTCGTGTACGCCTTCTACCCCGGCTTGTCTACGGCTGCGGCTTCGATGGTTGCAAAGCCGTTTTGACTGGATGGAAAGAACGATGCGACCATGTCGCGCTGCACATGAGGCCAAAGGGAACAGAGAAGCGCAAAGGACGGTCAGAGTGGAAATACTCGAACACGATACATAATCTCCTTCGTCAAGATGCAACACGCAGCGCTTGGAAGTCGCTTTTTGCAGAGTTCGAGTCTAAGCAGCCACGGTACCAGATTACATGGAGTCCTGAGAACACCCGCATACTGCGGCAGAAGCTAGAGTGCAGCGACATGCGTCCCAACATCCTCGAAGTCGTGCACACAGCCCTCAGTCTCCGCGAAGGGCGCCCTTTCAACGACGCTGTGGAACTGGATACCGACTTCAGAACACCCAGTCAAGACTCCGTGCCAGGGTTCGAACTTCTATCAGACGATCAACTGAATCAAATCCTGAGCGGTCGAATCGAACAACCTGCCCCTACTATGCGGCCTGCGCTACCCTCGCACACGCTCGACCCCAAACTTACTTTCATGGAGCCGCACCCCGGCGACCTAGTCGCCTTCGACATCCCGTCTCCTACCATTAGCGGCCGACGGATCAGCTACATGGACGTGGACACTGAAGATTTTGGCCCGTCAGATGAAGGGCCAGATCCCCAGATCCCACCAGGGCTTGAGCTCGACCCCTCGCAGATGTGCTATGGCGCATCACCGAAGCCGTTTCAGCTTTACTATCCCCATGGGCCGACGGTGGAGGGCATGCCGCAGCAAAGGAGGACATCGAAGGGGCATATTCTGACCAGGCATTTCAAGGGAAGAAAGGCATAGTGTTGCATGCACTTTTTAGACCGTCATACTGATTCTTTTATTTCGTATGTTCTTGTAGCATTACATGTTTTCCGCGCTATACCCAGATATCATACACGACAACATATTTTCTTCGCATCCCTTACAATCTATCCCGGTATAATTCAAAAGGCATCCACACGAACTCGAATATCTCAACATATCACCAAGATAGCATCATTGCCTCTGCCGCGATTATACCAGGTACAAAGTGGATGTGTCCTCTTACACCACCCTGTCTTAACTCACACTGACTTGGTACCCACACCTGCTTCCAAGTACTGTCAGCCCATATCCACAAAGGTCGCAATCTATCCCGGGTTCTCACCCTCGCATCATTCTTGCTCCTCGTTTATCCCACCCTTCGTCTGCCGCCACACGACAACGCCCACACTCGTCGCTATGACCGTCAGAACAACCACCGTCCACAACCTCCTTTTGATCCTCGCCCCTTTCTTATCTTTCTCTTCCTTTTCCCCACTAGCACGGTTTTCCTCCATCGGCATACGACTCCCCACCAAACCGCGTTCTAAAGACGTATTCGAAATCCCGGAGTACTGGCTTGGTTGGGCGCTTTGGAGGCTGGACCTGGCCATGGTGATGGGGGTATGGGAGTAGTGTGTTGTGCGGGATTTTGGGGTGAGGATGCTGTCGATCGGTTTTGGGACAGTTGGGAGTGCCATGTGGGGATTGGGTGATTGGCAGTTGCAGCGTGTTCCGCGGTGGGAGGTGAGGTTTGCTGGGCAGGTTTTGGTGGTGGTAGATTGGGCCATTTTGGCTGCTCGTCGAAAGGCAGGTTCGTTGAATGAGAGTTGTTTGCTCAGTTGCGTCGCTGGGGCTGGTAGAACGTGTGTACGTGCAGAGGTTGATGGTAGTTTGCTCAGTATGTGCGGGAGATGCTTTTGGAGAAAAGTCGGGCAGCGCGGCTTGAAAAGAACATTTTTCGTTGTATAGTCGGCGGAGACGCCAGTGTGAGTGAAAAAATGCATGTACGGGACAGGTTGTTGAACGTGGTCCTAGGGCAACGAAGGTTCGGTACCGAGGACACCAACCAAAACTTTCCAACATTCCAAAAACCACAAGTGAGTACGTGAATCAAGTTCAAGTGCGCTACCATATACTAGTCATCCAAATTCAGTGTAAACTATCATGGCAATCGTAGGCTAGACGTCCAGGCACTGAATTACTACTCGAAAATCAACACAGTACCTAAGCATTCGATCCAGAGTTGAACACCGCCATGCCTGCCCTCCCTTCAATAAAAACTTGCCCAACTTCTGTTGATTCCGTTCTTATCCATCCAATTTCCCATCCATCCCACAAGCACCACCGACTCACTCCTCATGTTTGTCGTCCTCACCTTCTTGATCAACTTCTCCATCCTCACTCTCATCCAGAGCCTCTAGTCCATCCAAGAACGACACTCCATACGCCAGCAAAACCCAAGCTCCAATCAGCATCCAATATCCACTATGGAAAAAAGCATTCTTCACAAGGTTAAGAGCCTCAAGCAGAGCCCAGAGGAACGGCATCAGGGCGGCTGCGCCGAAGAGGCTCATCACTGCGATTCCATCAGATGTGTGCGGAAGGTGATGACGAGGTGAAAGAGAGACGAGACATACTGAAGTTTCCGAGCCGTTCCACGTTGGGCGAGCGAGGCACTGGGTGCGGCGGAGCGGGTCGTTGCTAGAATCCGTGAGCAAGAAGGTTGGCAGGAAGGGCAGGTGAGGAGGTAAAGTACGTTTTTCGACGACATTGTGGTGAAGGAGGAGATGATTTAGTGTCGATAGCCGGTATAGCATACGAGGAAAGGCTTGCCAGGTTTTGGGTGGACTCCGTCCTATCGCTCTGTGGGATGCTTTCGAAGTGTAGCAGAGCGAAGGAACGAACGATACAGCTCTTATAATCTCGTGAGCCGGCATTTGCGTGCTTGTCCCTTCCCCAAGCACCCACACACCAGGACATCACCCGGAAACACAAACAAGAACCACCCCATCTCCCACACACAACTTCATCATGCCGCAAACAAACGCGACCACGACAATCCCCACCCACGCTGGAAACGCCGCCCCAAGTACCACCCTCGTGCACATCGTCACCACGATCCTCACCACGGCCCACAACCCCATCGTCCGCCGTGCATACCACAGGTACATTCTCAACCACCTCTGCACCACCATTTCACCGAAGGTATTCTGGATGCCAACCTGCCATCGTAGGAGGGCGAAGAGCAACGCCGCGTAGACGACTGTTTGTGAAGTCAGTACGTGCAAAAGCCACAGCACATAGAGCGTGCAAGGGAACATCGCTTCAGCTCACTTATCAGGATCACAAAATACGCTTGGTAGAACTCTTCTTCATCGTTAATTGCATCGAGGAGGTCGTCAATTTCGTCGTCGTCGAGGTCTTCGTTGACGTCGAAGACATCGAGAGGCTCCTCCTCAGGAGCTTCTAGGAGGATAGGTGAGACGGTGGGTTGGAGCATGGCTTTTGGCTATGTGGTAGCTGGAAGGCGCGAGGGGGGAGATGGGCCGTGTGATGATGAGATGACATGTTGTAGTAGAGGCATGGCGAGGGAGTTCACACGGTTTTGGGCTGGTGTGGGCGTTGAGTGGATGGTGTGTAAACCTTGGGTCGGGATGTGGTCTTGTGGGACTCAACAGAACGTGTACCAGAACCTCAAATTCGTTTTTTTACGCCAACACGGAGAGATCTTAGAAAAACGCTGCGGATTTCCAGTTCGTCTTTCCAGACGTCTGCTTTGACATGTTCGCATCATCCAAATACAAACCATTTCGAAGCGGAAGCAACGCAAGCTCAACATCACCACTCCAGAGTCTCACCATGCGATTCTGGCGCCGCCCCGCGACCCGGGCCTCTGTCCCATCCGCAGCTTCGGTCCACGATCCTCCACCGCCCTACACCGAGTCTTGTCCGCCACGCTCTACCAGCCCCGAGGCTGAAAGCCCACCGCCCTACACGGTGTCTTCTCCTCTATTTTCTAACGGCTCCGAAGCCGAAACTCCGCCAGCCTACCCCCTTGAGGTGTTTCATCAGCAGGTTCCGATCTTGTTCTCTCATGAATTCCTTGGCGACGCTAACTCTGACTACGAAACTGAATGCGACCACGAGACTGAAACTGAACCAGACATAGGCGGCGACCCGTTAGAGCGATACTCAGCAAGCCCCGTTCTAAACTACCTTGATGAACATGGTGTGGTGCGGCATGTGCACGGGACGTTTTCGCTTGGATTAAGGGAATCTTACGATGTTGACGTTGAGCCTGGCGATGATGCAGTACCCCCATATCAGAGGGCTGAAGGAGGATGGAGGATCGAGAGTATTGCAAGGGCTGTGATTGTGACATTCCTGGTCGCAGTGCTGTTAGGGATGGGGGTCTCGACAGGGCGGGTGTTTCTTAGGATGGGGCCTCGCCCTTAGCCACCGGTATGGCACATGGAGAGATGGTGGAGAAGAGTTTAAATGCGGTGCGGTCAACGTGTATCGAGCTCACTCAGGATCAGGTGCGTGAGCGGAATGGATGAGGCTCAAGCCAAGCTTTGCCACGTGCCGGCGGACCGTGCGTAGGGCTAGGGCTCGCAATTAGCATGCGGCGGGCCGGCGGTGGTGAGCAGCGCCCCGCCGAGTCGCGATAGCTGTTGGCAGAGCTTCTAGAAGCCGGTCGAAGGACTGATTTGACATACGCGTTTGGGGTTTGGCCGTCTTTGCCTCCGGGGCGCTTGCTGTCAGTCACCGCCCGCAAAGAAGAGCATCGCTGGGCCCATGGTGCAGTGACGTACTCCGCCGTTGCCGTCGCTGCCCTTACGCTCACACTCGTCTTCGCCTCAACTTCCCTTCACTTCACCCCGACGCTGCCTCCCCCGTGACTGGGCGCTCTTGACCCGCTCGTAGCGTCACAGCGCTTCGCACACATCGTCAGACCCGAGACGGAGCTTGTCGCCCTCTATCGATGCCGCGTTCGCTCCACCTCCACCTCCGCTTCCTATAACGACCGACACCCAGCGGGCGGTCGCCTGCGCTCTCGGCCCCGGCCATGTTCACAAGCTTCACGGGAAACACTCGACGGCCCCGCCAGGTCAACCTCAGCGGCCGCAAGACGCACGCGTTCGGCAGCACCGGCTCCGGCAGCGGCTCGCAAGCCGCCCTCGACCGCGCCCAGCAGGACCGCGTCCAGCGGCAGCGCGAGCGGGAGACACAGAAGGCGGCCAGGACCATACAGCGCGTATGGCGCGGACATCGCAGCAGGGACGAGGTTGGCCGCCTGTTGCGGCACGAGTGGGATGCTGTCGAGGGCCCGAGGGCTGGCTCGACTGAGTCGACGCCCTACCGCTCCGAAGAGGAGGCTCTGTCGCAGCTGCACCGGCTGCTGCGCTTTGCAAGCACGCGGAGCGAAGACGACTTCTCCCGGATAGACGTCTTCTGTCGGCGGCAGGCCGAAACGGTGCGGTCTCTGGGCATTGAGGCGCGCGGGGCCTGGCCATCGGCATACCTCCAGCTGCAGCGGATAGTCTTGAGGATCGTGGACCGCCAGACAAGTAACAGATCATCCCGGCATGGGTTTGGAGACTTTCTGGACATTACTAGGTTCCTGGCAGAGCAGATCCCCGCCCAGACAGCTCAGAACGGGCCTCAATACTTTCACACCTTGGCACAAGCACTTCCCGCATTGATGTCGCCCAAGAATGGGTCGGCGAACCAGACCGAGGCAGCTGCAAACCTAGAAACTATGCTCCCAGTCATTATTGCGCCGCTGAGCACCGTGACTGGATACACGCTGAACGCATACGAGGCATTTGGCTTTGAATTCCTGACAATCCGCATGCTTGGCGCCGACACGAGGACACCATCCATCACAAAGTTCCGGGACTCGCTAGCAAACGCCATCAACTACAAACTATTAGCAAGCGCTTTAGCGACCTGTCTCAAGGAGAATGGTCTGCAGTCACGGCCAGAGCTGGCAGATGTAGACAGCCGCATACACTTCTTGGGGCTGTTCATATACTTCCATCGCTACGCACACAACTTCCAGTCATCCGAAGCGTACGCCGTTCACAAAGACTTCGTCACCGTGGTTTCCCTGCTCCTGAATTCCTTACCGACCAACACCATTGAAGGATCGCCCTCGGATGACGAGAAGTCGGGCCTGGAAGAGGTGGCTGTGAATGACTTTTTGAGGGAACAAATACTATCGCTGGTGAACCAGGAAGGCATCGGCAACCTACTATCGGAATCCTCCAAATCACCCGATGCGAGTGAGGATGAGAAGGTAGAGGAGGCGCGCCAGTTGGCCAACTACGCACTCGCTCTCCTCCGCTTCTTCCCGCGAAGAGGTGATGAGATTCGCATGTGGTTGTACATTGGTCCGTCAAACGTGCAGTCCGGGAAGGGCAGGAAACTCCCCGCCATCAAGTATTTCTGGCAAGCGTCGAAACGATCCTCCGTTTTCAACACGATTACACGTGACTCAAGAGCTGCTGTGGATCTATTGCGACCGAAGGCAACTCAATCAAACGGTGATGCCCTAGCCGCAAACTCGTTTTGGCAAGCTCCTAGACAAGAGGTCGATCTTGCTGCTGTGAGAGCCGATGAGTGGCGAGTTATACTGGTCTTCCTGGAGCTTTATACCTTTGTCCTGAAAGTCACCGACGATGAAGAGTTCTTTTCAGGGGGGTCCTTACCCTTGGTAGATGTGAAAGACTTGACGACCTTCTTGAAGAACCTTGGTTTCACTTTGTACTTCAACGCGTCCGACATCAACGAGTCTGATGAGCGAGACACATCTAGCAGTGGCATAAGCTTCTTCAATATCCAAGCTGCCGAAGTTCAGCAACAAAAGCAAGCTGGGGAGCCCTCATTAGGAGGCGTTGCGGGCTTGACACTCGACTACGTGAAGGGCCTCGTCACCGGTCTAGTCCGCATGGTATACGAGCGCGACTCCCGCCGGAAATTCTTGCCCGACGACCACTGGCTGATGACCTCAAGATTCGACATGACCGGCTTCATCCCGGCCGTGGTTGAGGAGGAAGAGAGCCGGCACAGGATACAAGAAGAAGACATGGAGGATATGGATGACCACGAGGACGACTTTGACGACACACCACAGCTCATTGGTACAGGTAGAACACAACAGCAGCGGAGGTTAGAGAGACTTCAACGTCAGCAGCGTAAAGCGTCGCGCAGAAGGTATCTGCAGGCTGTTGCGCCGCGTCTTGAGATCTTGCAGAATATGCCCTTCTTTATACCCTTCACCACCCGTGTGCAAATTTTCCGCGAATTCGTCACTCTCGACATGGTAAGTACTTCAGCGTGGTCTGCGAAGCAACACAATGCTAACGTGTATCAGACGAAGCGAAGAGGCAGCTCAGACCCCGAATCGTGGCGGTTACGCGTCATGCAGCGACCCGACGCACCACACCAGTTCGATAAGCATGCCGCACGTGTCCGTCGTGGTGCAGAATTCGATGACGCTTTCGCCCAGTTCTACGACCTTGGCGAAGGCCTAAAAGAGCCTATCCAAATCACATTCGTGGACCAGTTCGATCAGGCAGAAGCTGGTATCGATGGCGGAGGTGTCACGAAGGAGTTCCTTACCAGTGTCACAAACACAGCGTTCACGCCCACCGAGGATAACATCGACATGTTCATCGAGAACAATCAGCACCTGCTGTATCCGAACCCATCGGCCATAGAAGAGCTCAAAGAGGCCTTGAGGTCAAAAGCTGGATTATCCGATGGCAGTGCAGAGTTCCGACAACAGGTGTCCGAGTCCCTTCAGCGTTATGAGTTTTTGGGACGCATCATTGGCAAGTGCATGTACGAGGGTGAGTATCTATTCCTACATCCCCAGCATACTAAGAGAATTACTGACGGCACCTAGGCATCCTCGTGGACGTCAATTTTGCACCGTTCTTCTTGCGCAAGTGGGCATTGACGGGCGGCACGGGCTCTGCGCCGAATGAGACGGGCTACCGTCCGACTCTGAACGACATCCGAGACCTAGACGAAGAGCTTTATCAAGGCCTGCACAAGCTTAAAACCTATGATGGTAAGCCGTAGCACCATTCGTTATTCGCCACCTACTAACATCCATACCAGGCGACGTCGAGGACTTTGGCCTCAACTTCACCATCACCGACACCGTCGTCACCGACCACGCCACCAAGAAAACCAAAGCTGTCACCAAAGAGCTCCGCCCCGACGGCGCCAACACGCCCGTCACCAACCAAAACCGCCTCGTCTACATCTCCTACGTCGCGCGGCACCGCCTCCAGAATCAGCCGTACCTCCAAACTTCTGCTTTCCTCCGCGGCCTATCCGCCATGATCCAGCCCTCCTGGCTCTCCATGTTCAACGCACCCGAACTACAGACCCTCATCGGCGGTACCTCGTCCTCGATCGACATCGACGACTTGCGCCGCAACACCATGTATGGCGGGACGTACGTTATTGGGGACGACGGGCTAGAGCACCCAACCGTCCAGCTGTTCTGGAAGACGATGAAGGATCTCAGTGACGGGGAGCGCCGGGCGGTCTTGAAGTTTGTGACGAGCACGCCAAGGGCGCCGCTGCTGGGGTTCAAGACACTGAATCCGAGGTTTAGCATCAGGGATGCGGGGAGCGATCAGGAGCGCTTGCCGAGCACGAGTACGTGTGTTAATTTGTTGAAGCTGCCGATGTATAGGGATGAGGGGGTGCTGCGGGAGAAGCTGCTATATAGTGTGTTCAGTGGGGCGGGTTTCGACTTGAGTTGAGCGAGGTGTAGGCTCTGGGATAAGGTCGGGTTGGGGTGCGGGGGAGTTGGTTGGGCGAGAGTTGAGTCGAGCATGGACTACTTGCATACGCCTTCGGCCATTTCTGGGAGGTCGCAGTGTGGTTTAGTATGGGTGTAGCACGAACAAGCGAACAAACTTATCGAAGCGCAAGTCAAGACGTTGCGTCCGAGGGAGTCGGGTCTGGAAGCGGCATTGATTTGCATAGCACAGCCAGAGCCACGTCCTCAAAAGCACACGGGTATTTTGTACGCCGCCGGCCCGCCAATAGGCTCCCAGGAATACATGCCATTACACCCCCAATCGCCCTGCCACGTTGTTTTCTCCGGCCCAATTCTGAACCCGATCAATACCCCACCCCGTTCGCCCTCTCCCACTCCGTCAACCCGTCCTCCCCTTCCCCCTCGACCAGCACTTCTCGCGCGTGATACCCGCCGAACAGACTCTGTCCCAGCTGGTACCCCGGCTTGCTGTAGTACTCCATCATGCGGCCCATGAAGACGGGCGGGGGGTCGAAGTAGGCTTGCTGGTGGTCGTCGTGCGGCGTCGCGAAGTCGAATGTGGACGAGGCGGTGCTGGAGCTGTAGGTGTGTGCGGGGAGGGATGCGGCGGTCTCGATGCGGGTATCCAGACGGAGGTCTGGCGGGAAAGGGGAGATTGGTGTGGTCGAGAGGGCGGCGAAGTGTGTTGAGAGGAGCGGTGGAGGTGGGTCGACGGTCTTGGACGTGGGCACCCGAGTGGGAGATTGCGGGACTGTTTGCGCGGCGGTGCTGATTATCTGTATGGAGAGGGCGGATGGAGAGGGTGGAGCGCCAAGGGAGGGAGCAGCGGATGGCGAAATTGGCGTGGTGTTCACGCTTGAGGTACTGATTTGTAGAGATAATGGTGGTGGAGGTGTTCTGTCCGGGGATGTTCGAGTGGTGATGCTAATGTTTTCCAACGACAGCGTGGGAGGCGAATCTTCGATTGGTATGTGTGATTCGGTTTGCTCTGTTAGTTGGAATGGCGGTGAGGTAGATCGTGTTGACGGCGCTTGGTCGTCTGTTCGCTGTTCAAGTTGCAGAGGCCTTATTGAAGATGGGTCCGAAGAAGGTGCCGACGCAAACCTTGCTGTCCATAGCTTTGCAGGTGTCGCTATGGGTGTAGTAGCTTGTGGCATGGGAGGTACAGGTGGCAAGGGTGATGGAGGTGAAGGCGACTCCTGTGGGACTTGTTTTCCTTCCGGTATCCGCGGGATAAGACCGCCCTTGAAGGACAAACTAAGCGGTCTAAGTCTCTTCGTCGACTGAACACCCAAGGGTATTGCTGGGGGTGCGATTGGTCTCTCCTCTTCAAAATCAATCGTTTGCTCGCTGGTCTTTAGATCTGAATCTGAGGACAGCCTAGGAGGGTTCGACGACTGCACGCTTGAAGGTCGCGACCACAGCTGGGAACTTAGGGATGACTCAGAACTTAGTCTGGTATGTGACGCACTCGGTGGTCGGGACTCTGGTTGTGAGTTCAGCGTGTGCAGCGACGCGTCCGAATTCGATCGAAACGAGAGCGATAAGCTCGGCGGCCGTCCATTCATCAGCGAAGATCTCCTACTGGACGCCGGTGACTGCGATTCCAGGTCCAGGAAACTATGCCTACTGCTATCGTCGGAGCGCGGTCGCATGAACGACATAGTCCTTGATCTTCTGAGCGCGCGTTTTCCTTCCAGCTCTTCGGGCGTAGGCTCCCTCTTCTCGGGCTCCGGTTCTTTGAATTCGAGCTTCCCATTTTGATCCGACGCGAAGAACTCATCTCCGCGCCCAAATACTACTTGCAAGCTCGCAAAGTCTCGCTTGTCGGCCTTTGCGAAGAGGAAATCTTCAAGATCCGGCGGCAGGTCGTAGCCGTCTTAGAGAATATCAGCGCGGCTACAGTATCAGCGAGGGTTTTGGTTTGCTCACCTTGTCGATATGCGCCACCTCTGGTTTTCCAACACACGTAGTAGCGCTCGAAAGCTCCGAATGCGCACACGACGACATCCTCCAAGCATTCCTCGTCCTCGGGATCAGTCGGGATCTGGTCGAGGCGTTCGTAAAGACGGACTGAGGAGCTCATTCTGGCCGTTTTATTCTTCTATCGAGTTGGTATAAGGCCGTAGTGTTCATGTACCCATTAATCGTAGAGTCGTGAATCGTCCGGCAGGGTGCCTAGTGAAGCCCAGCTTCTTAAACAGTGCAGTCAACTGGAATCCAAGAAAACACAATCAGACACGCGCCAAAAGCAGTCTTTCTCCAAGTTAGCACATCGCGGGATGTCAAAGAGATCCGCATTTCTTCTCCTCGAATCGGTCCCTGTATGCCGCTTATTCATCCTCATGCGCGCGCACTTGAGCCTCCAAACGGAAAACGACCGTCGGTCGCGTGAGCGCGCTCAGGAAAGCAAAATTCCAGACACCAGTGAAGCGGTCACGGAGCGTAGTGGTTCGAGTTTCAGATCCGGAGCACGCTGTGGGGGCTCGTGCGCATGATGTGATGTGATGTGCCGGAGCCGGAGCCGCATGCTGAGACAGGAACGGGGGCTGGGGGATCGGATGGAGGGATTGAGAGGTGGAGAATGAAAGTACCCTGTGAGAAAAAGTGTAGGGACAATGTATGCAGGGAAGAAGAGGCTAGAGCGATTTAGAGTGTGTGATCTTAACAGACCTCATCGTAACATTATTTTTGGGTATTGAATGGCAATGCAATCGTCAAACAAGAAGCCGGCAATACACATCTAGTATCGCCGTTCTGTCTCCATCTCATCTCTCTTACGTATATCCCGCGCTGTTTCCCTCGTGCGTTCGCCCGTTGACCTCGAACTTTCCGTCCGCCGTGGCTCCCGCGCCGTCACCATCCGCCTCAGCGGCGGCGCTCTGTCTTCATTCCTCGACCCATTTCTCTTAGTACTGCTAGCATTGCTTGTAGTACTGCCACTTCTCTCCCTGCTCGTACTTACCATATCATCAAGCTCGCGATAGAGACTCGATGTTGTCCTACTGCGGTCTGGGACGCTGCGGACCGGCGCTGTATTTGTTCGGGTCAGCGGCCTGGGAGACGGCCTTTCGCCACGTCTCAATGGAATATCTTTCCTCGGTGGCGGAATCGGCGATGATCTGAAGGTTTCGCCGGTTCTCGGTTGCGAGGATAGTGACCCGCTTCTGTCTCGTGGTACAGGCGCTTCCCTTGACGCTGTAGGTCTGGATGGTCGTCTAGTGCTTCTTGCTGAGTCTTGCGATGTACTCGCACTTGGTCTTCGCGATTGGTCTGACGATATATCGCGATTGCGTGCGGAGGTTGAGCCTTGCCTACGGTTCTGCAGTGCTGAATGGGAAAAGGGTTCCTTGGTTGGTTTCTTGCGCTGTGTAGAATCTTGTTCAACGACCTTCTTTTTAATCACTGCAGGATCAGAAGTCGTAGAAGACCCCGAGGAAAGCCTCCCGAATACGGCAGGGTCTGACACCTCAAATGGGGCACTATCCTTCCCCTCTACTTTCTCTTCATCGGTCAACGCCGGTGTCGAAGCCTTGAACTCCCCGTACATTTGTAAAATCTCATCTTCATCAGACTTCGGCGAATCAGAGTAATTTGAAACCGATGTCGCATTGCTGGTTGGGCGAGATTCCGGTCTTTTGAACGCAGACTCGTTCTTCGGTGTCTGCCGCGTCGCCCACGCTTCGAACATCTGCGCTTGGGACATTGCTCGCGTGCCACTCATCCGATTTAGTTTGGGTGTAGGACGCTTCTCCGTTGGTGGCGACACTTTCAGAGGAGCTGGTGCAATGGGTGTAGTTTCGACATGCGGTACAGGAGCTCGGCGTGGTGTCTCAAATGCGCTGTCTCTATACTTCCTCTCTGGAGACGAGATATTCTGCGACCTGTAGGGTGGCGTTTCCGGCCTCTCCTTCCCAGCCCTCGATGCTATCAGTGGAGGCGGCCTTTCAGGCTCGAGATCTGGGGCGGGAGCAGAAACCGGAGGCAGCACTATTTCCTCCACTGGTGCCTTCCCCATCTCGTCCTGGGAATACGCCGGCGGCGGCTCCATCGGGGCCCCCATCTCCTCCCCCCAAAACAGCGGCCTCGGCGGGTCACTGAAGATGCTCTTCGGCAGCCCAAACGGCCTCAACGGCTGCGGCTTCTCCTCCTCTGGCACACCGACCCCCGGTGGCCTCAGCTCAGGCTGCGTCGTCACCGGCTCATCCACCGGCGCATCCTCCTTCGTCTCCACAGCGCGCTTGGTAGTCTGATCCGCCTGCCTTTCCTCGCCATCTTTCTTCCACCGTTTCTCCTTGCGAGTGAGTTCGATCTCGAGCACGCGCGTCCCTGGGGAGAGCTTGGCCCTCAGCCCGTCGTCGTCGCGGTCAAAGTACAGCGCCCAGCGTCCCGGCGCCTCCTCGACTGCGCACCAACCTTCCCACCCGTCGAAGGTGAGGCGCCGGTCTTGCCGCGTGCAGTCGAATGGGCCGGGGAGGTTGGGCTGCGCGTCGAGGCGGACGCCGTACTTGACTTCGTAGGTGTCTTTTTCGACGTACACCCAGTTCATGATGGGGGCGATGTCGGTGATGGTGGTCACCAGCCCTTCATATTTGGAGTCGGGGTAGGGGAGGTAGTATCCTGCGTAGGGGTGTCCGTAGGGGCTTCCATCAGTCGTGCCGGTGTCAACCCAGAGTTTGCCGTCGCGGAGGACGATGGGGCGGCCGTCGATCTCGCGGCTTCGGGGGGAGGATTTGACACATGATGCGACGAGATTGCAGCGACGGGCGCGGTGCTCTTCGCGCTTTTCTTTGGATTGTGATTGTCGGATTGCTTCTTGAGTTCCTAGGAGAGCTGGGGCGGCTACGAGGGCGACAAGGATAGGGAGGACCATGGTAGAAATGAAATCAAGTGGGAAGAGCCAGATGGGTGTCGTGGCAGGGATTCTGGCATGTCGGGTTACTGGCTATCGATGCTCAATGTATTTCCTCCAGCGCACCAAAACAACCCCACAAGTGGATGAAAGTTGGTGCGTCCATCTAACAGATGGAGAGACAAGGATGTCTGCCAGCGGATCAGCATTCAGCGGCATTGTTCCAATGACTCTTGCACACATCGACTGAGAATTGCGGCGCTCAAACGCCGTCCACATGAAGCTCACAACGGGAGCATTAGATCCCTTACCATATGCGACTTCGTGCTCCACCGCGTGCCAGCAGTGGTCTGACATGACACCTCGAGACATCCATGGCTCCATTTCTAAAAGTCGCAATGTGCATTCACACATCGCACCTGCAGTAGTCAGCGGTGCACATATACCCCATTGACCAACTCGCGGCACTTCCATTTCGAACGCACATCGGAAAATTCCAGGCCACCTAGAGATGAGCTGACAATGGCACGAGGTACACGCCAAAACCCCAAACACCACTTCCCCCTTGCCGATCTAGCCCGTTTCAGACCGCCTCGCAACACGTGAGCAGCGGTATTCCACATCGTGCCTGCGCAACAGGTGCTAGAGCCTCTCTCCCTCGAACCATGTCTGCTTGCCGAAACCCGCATGTGCCACAGACGCTGTTTCGAGCAGGTGCATAGCGCATTAGGCGACAACACCGCTGGCTATGTCGACTGCTTTGGGAAGGGGAGGTAGACGAGCTTATGGCTGGAGGAGATACTTAAGGCACACATGCAGCACGCCAGATCGAAGGCCAGGCCAGTTGATCTGTTTCTCACCACACTACCAATCAGCAAAACAACAAAAGCGGCCAGGACGCCCTTCATTGATATCCACTCATTCTTCAGTTCATCAACACTTCGGTTCTAATCTCTTAACCCACAATCACCATGTCGTAAGTGTCCTCCTAGACTTGCAGGCAGAGGAAAAGCTGACTGTGGAACACAGTGACACCGCCACCCGTCCTGCTGGCTACATGAGCGACTCCGACGACGGTCAGGCCTCCGGTGGTCGCAAGATCTCCACGAATGTCGGTGGATACGCCCAGGGACCTTCAGCACCTTCCTCTTCGAGCCTCAACCGCCCCGCAGGATCAATTGTCAAGGGGCCCGTCGACGACAACGGAAAGCTTAAAGATGCAGCGCTGCTACTTGGTATCAAGCTCGATTTGGAGGCCGAGATTCACTTGACGGCACGGATACGTGGTGATATTACAATTGGATTGTATTGATCTATGATGTAAATGGTATGCTGGAGGAAACCAGTTCGTATCCAGTTGGGTAGGGGCACATGCGCGGGTATGCGCAGGAGTCCGAGGCATCATGCCATGGCCGACTCCATCGACAATCACGGAAGCGGAGGACTCGTGAACAGTGGAGGAGATGATATCCTAAGATAGCAATCAAGTTGTTTTTGTTGCCTAATCTTAACTTCTTCACCGGCAAGACCGACTATCAACCGAGGCAACAGACAGACGATCTACGAGCATGTCACGGCAGCTTGACACATCGAAGGCAGATGGAGCGCGACAAGCGGACATATTTTCTGAAACAAGTCGTTAGCGTACGACCTTGAGAGATGCAAACAGCAATAAGTGTGAGAGAAGTTTTTCAGATTCATGCCCTGTCACAGGCGATTATCACCATTGCCGTAGCTCGGTAGACCGTCGTGATAAATTGAAAACTCATCTTATAACGTAGGAATGAAGGTGGGAGAGGCCGACTTACCCAAGGCATGCACGGCAGGTATCTGGAGGCTGCACAGGTCTATGCGTCGCATTAGTTAGTGTTCCGTTGAGCAGCAAGAGCGCATGGATCGTGTCGTAGATCAGAGATGACAGTCTCGTCTCCGCCGAAGCTTGGACATATGCTTGTCGTTTGTTTGCGTCGATTCATCATAGTGCAGTAATGGAAGGGAGGGTGGGCCATACAGTGTGGATAGATCTTCTGTATTGGAGTCAGTTCAGGTTCACTCCACATAGATTCAAAGGAACTAATTGAGGTATTTGGCTCAGTTAGGCATGAATGGTATTTAAAAGATGGTGTCTTCAGTGGGAATCCCATCAGACTCGTCATCTAAAGAAGTCTCCTCATGAAATAAAAACAGGAAGAACAGAGGGAGCCTTACCAAACTTGAAAAGCGAGCGAATTTGGCTGCAGGATTATGAAGCTTAATGCCAGGTCAGCGCAGCTCGCAAGATTGTTGTAGCATTTCGCGGGTATAGGCACAATCAGTGGGCGAGGTTTTCTAGGCCTGCCACAAAAAGAGCTTGTCCGTCAAGAATTGTCGGTGCCCAGTGCCGATATTTCATCAAGGTGTGCGTTTGTGTGGGTAGGCGAAAGAGGTAGTGCATACCGACAGGGTAAGGGGCGCCGCGGAAAGCTGTACGAAGATGTGTTAGCAGTGTGCAAAAACAATACTGCAAACGAGTTCGTGGATTGAGGAGTAGATCAGATAACAGCCTAGTTTTCTCGGCATCGACATAAGTCTAAGCCAGTAATTCCAGCTTTGCCGAAGCAAAGATTGTTCATCACCGAAAATTCGAAGGAGAAAAAAGAGTGCGACATACCATCCACGGCAAGGCTCCAGCACGAGACAACATAGTGATCTCGGCTGGAACAGGCATCGGACTATGCCTTGCAGGTTATCTCTGACATCATCACACTGAATCTACTGCATCTGCTTCAGGTCAGCATAAATCGCGTGGCCATGTGGTGTTAAACGACCGCTAGACCAATCTTTTCAGACTGACGTGCAAAGTTGAGTTTTCAGTTCCCGAAGGATCAAAGACTCTAGTTTGTAAATGGCTATTTGTATCATCATGTAGATGGTGGTCGCGGTAGTGAAAAGAGAAGTACTTACATGTAGGTGCTAGACCCCGCGGTGCGCACTCTCCACTGTATGCAAAGCTCGGCATTGTGGAGTGGGAGCGCATCGCGAGGTGGTTCGAAGCTCTTATGGCGGCATGCTGAAGGTTCAGAGCATACGAAGAGCTGTGGTGTTTAAGAAGAAAAGTTCAAGCGCGAAGCTATTTTTCCCATATCCACTAGCGCCAGGCTCGTGCGGAGTTAGTCAGCGCTTGGCGCCCTCCACTCACGTGCCAGCCGTTTGGCAAGACGGGCACGTGTCTTCAGTACATAGTACAAACTTACTGAGCTGTTAACGTTTGAAAGGTTGCATTAACCATTGTACAACGAGAATAACACATTGACAGTTCCTCCCAGCCGTTGGCTCCGATGATAACAACTCAAGCCGGCCTCTTTCCACCCTTAGAGTTTCTCGGTCTCCCCAAAAAGCTCCTCGCCTGCTTCAACGCCCTCTTCTCACCCGAACCCCTTTTCTCAACGCCCGCAGCCCACGTAGGGACTGCATCCGGCGCATTCAACTCCACGTTGTACGTCGCATTGCTCGGCGTAATCTCAAACTGAATCGTCGCATTACCCTCTCGGTAATCGCTTGTCGGCGTGCCAACAGTCTTGTAGCCCTCTTGATCCTTGACACAGATCGTGCCTGTCTCGATGTCGCTCTGGTTCAAAGCGCGTTCGAAGAGCTCGAGCGCAACTAGCGGTTGGTAGAAAGGTACTTCGTGGCCGGACTCGTAGATGCGGACGAACGAGAAGAGGTTAGACTGTCGGACCTGACCGTGGACCACGCCGTCAGAGGTGGAGATGTTGGTGAAGCCGGCTTCGGTGTATCCAGTCGCGTTGATCAGCTTGGCAACCTCTTGCCCGCCGAGCCAATTGCAGTTGTAATCAGCATCGCCATAGTACAGAATGACCTGGACACCAGCTTTGAGAAGCTTACGGCACGCCTCGATGGTACCAGACTCTCGGTCGTCATCTCCCGTGTTGCCAAAGGCCGTGCTCACGGTGCTGGAGCTCTCGCTGAAGTTTTGATACGCGCCAATGGCCTTTTGTACCTCCGGTGTGTTTAGATACTCAACGTAGTAGCTGTATGGGAATGGGTCCGGGGTCAGCTCACGCATGTCGTACTCATCGCGACCGGAGTAGATGTCGTAAGGGGCTTCGACCTTAGCATAGCAGAAGTTGTCTGCAGCGGAGCATACCGCGTTCGAGCCAGTGGCGCGACAGGCCTTGGTCTGGTCGAGACAATTACCCTCGCCGTACAGGTTGTTTGTCCACTCGGCAATGACCGATGCGTTATACGGCATATAGTCGTATGTATTACCACCCATGGCAAACTTGTAGTAGGCTTCATACTGAATCAAGGGGTCGAACCAGCCGTTGCCAATAAGAACATTCTCAAGGTTGATATGTTTCGTGCCGGAGATGTTCTTCGCGTTCTGATCGAGGATATAGGCTGATGCATTGTCAGTCAATTACGCGCGCGTGAACAGGTGGCGTCTGAACATACAATTGAACACGGGCCCATAGTGACCGCCATAGCTCTCAGTGGTGAAGCTGAACCCATTTCGAGAGTATTGTGGGAAGGCGCCCATGAAACCCTGCAGAGTCTTCCACATGCCTGATGCGGCATCCTCAGTCTTGTTCGGAACCGATTGAATCAGTGGCTTGGAGTATGTAGCGCATGTGCCGTATGCTTCCGCGTACTCTGGGCAAGTCGCATTCGGCAGCTGGATAATATTGCCGTCGTTGTCCTTGTAACCTGGAATAGGTATGCTGTACGAGAGTCCGACAGTCGAAGGTTCATCAATGAAGAGCATATTGCTCGCATTGCTCCAGGAATAGGGATTGTTGAAAGGTTTCAGGTCTGGTCCAACACCACAAGGTCCAAGTTCCTGGAAGAGTCCAATCATCGAAGACGAGCCGGGTCCACCATTAATCCACACGGTCAAGGGTGCAGTGGTGGGATCTTGGTTACGCGCTTCAAAGAACCACCAGAAAAGGTGCTGGTCTTCTGCAATGTCGGCATATCCAGAGTAGCTCTTGACGTTGGGGTCCTGCTCGCAAATTCCTGCTGGGACTTCCTTGTACCGTACAGTGATGTTCGCAAAGCCGAGCTTCTCAATGAGATCTGTTGGGGCGGGAACGAACTGCGCGGAGACGCTGCTGGCTAGCATAGTCGCCGCTGCGAGCTTAAGTGAGGACTTCATGGCGAAGTGCGGGTGACAGAAGCTGCGTCATGAAGGTCAACTACTGTCTTTTTTTTTGTACCATTATTTGAGCTTACCAGTTGTCAATTGCTCCAGATTCTCCCAATGGCGCGCTCAATTGGCGTTGAAGCTCTTCCAAGCCAGACACGAGCAAGACAAGAGTTTGGATGTGCGGACAGCATCCGTTCAGCGGGATGAGCCCAGTTCTTAAGCTCCAGCATCTTACTGCCTTGAACCAGGGTACGTGCAGGGTGTTTAGTGTCGGTTTGCTCGGCGTGCGCGGCTTCGGTGCAGCAGGGCAGCGTATTACATCTGACAAAGAGAGCTCCGCGAGGGCAGAGCGAATTGCGTCTCAGCTCTAGTACGCTGCGAATAGTACATGGCGGAGTGGCGCTGTGCGAAAGCTCTGTATCGTGGTAAGCTTCGAGCAAGCTCATCCTTGGACCTTTTCCGGTCTTGGACCCGAGCGCGCGATAACTATCCCACCTGCCGGTAACGGTTAAATGGTTGTGCATATCTTTCGGGCATGAGCTACCCTGGTCGACAACCGTTGTGCATCTCTGCATCGATGACGTTCCGACCCGACGCAACATTGTTTCTGCAGCAAGTCGCGTGATCCTTGTATTCATCGCATCTGCTCGGTACACGTGCCCACGTGGATCTCGCACCATGATCTGTTTCTCAGCCACCACGCAGACCGTTGACTTGATGTTACGAATTGCAGTTCTTCAGCTCCTCGGCTCCAGTACAAGCTCAAGCTTCGGAAGCTTGGTGGAGCTTGAGCGCCTATCGATAGAGAACTAATGCCCGTACAGGAAGGTCGTTGTGAGAACACGAGTGGATACGGATTCGGGCTCTGGTAAGCCACCGAGTCCCCTAGAAACGCGGCTCGAAGATTGGAAGTTTACGCACGGAGGAATCATGGGAGATATGGGGCCAATCGAGAGCTGTCGAAGGGAACGCGGAGGTGGCGGAGCGAGGCTGGGTTACCAAGTGTTCGTTCAATGTGAAGCCATAAAGTGGCGGGTAAGCTCAACTAAGAGAGATATCATGAGTGTATCGCTGTGATATTCTCTACAGAGGTGTTTTGACTCTTCGATGGAACGAGCGATGGGCGTCATAAGGGAATCACGTGACGACAGTTCATCCATGCATGTGCACGTGACGTGTCGAGGGATGGTGCGAACACTCGCCTTCTAACGTGTTTTACAAGCGAGTCGCCAGCCCCACCAAGTTTCTGCACCATCTTAACTATCAACCTTTATGGCTCAACCACCTATTACCCGATCAAGCTATCAAGAAGCAGATTCAATTCTTGCTATCTCCTCTATTGAAAAGAAGCAAATTAAAAGTGCTAGCTGCGCTGCCTTAACATATAATGTTCCTCGATCAACGCTGCGCGACCGACGCGCCGGGAAGCCTCTCCGACGCGATTGCCAGCCCAACTCAAAGAAGCTTACTGAGCTAGAAGAGGGGGTGATTACTAGGTATATACTAGACCTGGACCAACGTGGATTTTCGCCTACGTACGCAGCTGTACGTGATATGGCTGATAAGCTGCTGGCTGCGCGCGGCGGAGGCCAGGTCGGTGTCCACTGGCCGCGCAACTTTGTTAAGCGTACAGACAGTCTCAAAACACGATTCAATCGAGCGTACGACCAGCAAAGGGCTCTATGTGAGGATCCTGTGTTAATTAGGAACTGGTTCGAGCTCGTAGAGCAGACAAAGGCCAGATACGGTATCTGCGATGAGGACGTCTACAACTTTGACGAGGCTAGCTTTATGATGGGCAAGATTATGACTCAGCTTGTTGTGACAGGGTCAGAGAGGAGAGGCCGGCCGAAGGCTATCCAGCCTGGAAATCGCGAGTGGGCGACAGTGATCCAAGGAATCAACGCTGCTGGCTGGGCTATCCCACCATTTATCATCTTTCCCGGCAAGCATCACCATCTTCCTGGTATGAGGAGGATATCCCCCGCAACTGGGCCATCGCTATCAGTGAAAATGGATGGACAACCAACGAGATTGGAGTTGAGTGGCTAAAGCACTTTATCAAGCATACAGAGGGCAAAGTAGTCGGGGCGCGTCGGCTGCTCATCCTTGACGGCCATGAGAGCCACCACTCCCTTGAGTTTCAAGAGCTCTGCAAGGAGAAGAATATCTACACGCTCTGTATGCCGCCTCACTCATCCCACCTACTACAGCCACTTAACGTTGGCTGCTTCTCGCCATTGAAGCGCGCGTACAGCCGTGAGATTGAGACTCTCATCCGCCACCACATCAACCACATCACGAAGCTTGAGTTTCTGCCAGCATTTAAAGCAGCCTTTGAGCAATCATTTACGTCAGATAACATCTGCTCAGCTTTTCGAGGCGCAGGCCTTGTTCCTCTCCAGCCAGACGTTGTTCTATCAAAACTGGATGTGCAGCTCCGTACGCCTACTCCAGCTGCTGTAGCAGAGGCTCCCTGGGAGGCTCGAACACCAAGCAACGTACGTGAGCTTGAGGCTCAATTAACGTTACTATGTGAGCGCGTGCGACGGCATAAGAGCTCATCACCAGCCTCAATTACTGAGGCGATTAAACAGCTTAAGAAGGACGCAGAGGTGATGATGCTCTCAGCTGAGCTGATGCGTGATCAGATTGCTAGCCTTGAGAAGGCAGTGTTAGCGCGCAAACAGCGTAAGAAAAAGCGTATACAGCAGCGTGGGGTCTTAACAAAGGGAGCTGGCGAGGATATACTCGCTCAACGTGAGGCTGATCAGCAGATTGCTCGTGAAGAGCGTCAAGGAGGAGAGCGATCAGGTGTTAGCCGCCAGGCTCTTGCGCGGTGTAAGAGGTGCAGAGAGACTGGGCATAACTCTCGTACGTGCAAGAAAGATACTTTAGATACTGCTTAATCTACTCTATCAATATTTATATATTATCTTATAAGGTGGTTGAGATATACGCGTGAAGAGGTACGTAAAGTTGGTGGGGTGCGTCACTCGCTTGTACGCGTCTCTCGCTTGTAAAGCACGTTACGATTTAATCCAAACATCGGAATGGTTTATATACAAATCCGAGCTATCACTGCTTCCATGCATAGGACTATATCTTGGCACAACCTGCTTCAATTGACATTGTACTTACTGCTTTCCATCACTGCTCTCAGCCATAGGATCGATGATTGGCGAAAGGAGCAAGCAAATGTTCGAGCCCGCCATTAGGAACAGACGCCTAAGATGACGATTTTAAGGTGGCTGCTTCCGAAAAGTGCGCAACGTATGGTCCTGTGCAACACAGAAACAACAACAACAACAATATGGGTCTCAGGCTTAAGTAGCCCTCTGCGGCTGCCCGCGTTCGGGTGTTGGACGTTAGTCAGCTTGCACGGCATGGCGCATAGGAGGGTCGAGCACGGGTCTAAACGTCATACTGGTTCGGTTTCACATGGCTCAGGGTCCAGCTCTCACATTTGTGGGAAAAGCGTGGAAGATTCGGTGGGTGCGATATTGATCGCGCAAATGGTCTAGCGATACCTGCAGTTCAAATCAGGAGGGAGGGAGTGTTCGTCCGCAGCAGCACAGGGTGAGCCTATATCACATGTAGAGAGGCGTTTGCTCCAGGACCCCTGCACCCGCATGAACCTGGCTGTTGGAGCAGGAAGGACTCAACAGCACGCAAAACAGCAATCCCAGCAGCCAGCAGCCTGCCGCACAGCTCACTGCTCCACAGCATCCCGCCTCCACGCGTCGCCGAATCGCCGAATCGCAGCGGCTGCCATCCAGCTCGCATTCTGCGCTAGCCTTCCGAGCGCAGTGCAACATCGGAACCGTCGCTGAGTGTTGCTCCCCGTCCAGCCCGCATCCCATCGTCGCCCCAGCATGGCTGTTGAGCGCCCATGGCCTCAGTGAGAGGCGCAAGAAGCACGTTTGTCTACCAGCTAGCTCTGGCAGCAGCACTCTGTACGTGACAGCCTTTGTCGAGGCACGTCAGCGCGACACCCAAAAAATGGCGCCCTTCTTCTCCACAAAGCGCAACGCCGCGAAGCGCAATGCCTCGAGTGTCGCGTCGCCCGAGCCAGTCTCGAGTCCGTCGGCCTTCCCGCTATCGAGCCCTGCGCACCCCGACCACGACTACCTTTCGAGCCCGCGCCTGGCCGACAATAACAATGCGGGCTACGCGTCCTCGTCGCCTGTGTCGCCCTTCCCCCCACAGCTGCCTCCAATTCCACGCGTCGCATCCAAGCTAAACAAGGGCGGGAATAGCTCGCTGCTGAGCCCCCAGCATGCCGCATCCCATGCACAGGGCCTCGCTGCCGGTGCCGGGAGTCTGCATGCTCAGAACGATGCGCCGCTGCGCTCGCCTCTGCCAGTCATGCACGAGCAGCGCTCGCCCGCCTACGATGCCACACACCCGCCGGCACCCTCGCCGGCAGGGAGCCAGCGTCCAGGCCTGCGACCGCATGGCCAGAGCCTCGCCCAGGTGGTGGAGAGGACCATGTACGCACAAAGACCGCCGACCGCCCCCTCGTCGACCCAGCATCTGGCTCCCGCACCCTCGGCCATATCCTCCAACTACTCGGGCTTCTCCAGATCGCAGACGTCTCTCATAAGCGGCCTCAGCGAGAAGCTGTCCAGCACTTCGAAACCCTCGACGCCCGCTGCGCAACCACCCAAGACCTCCAAATCGAGACTGCGAAACCCCATGTCGCTGCTGCTGCGCCGGAGGTCTGGGCAGACACTCGAGGCTCTGCACGACGAAGCACTCGTGACCCAGCGATCGCCATCCATTGTCCCTCCCATTCCGGACAACTACGACCCCAGCATCCGTGGTCGCATCGTGCACGACTTCAGCGCGCCGAGGCCGAATAGAAACTTTTCGTACAACAATGCATACGGAGACGAACCGCAGAAAGCAGAAGCGAGCCCGCCCAAGATGGAACGAGAGCATACGCCCGTCTTCACCGAGCACTTTGACGATGACACAAGCTACGAACAGAGCCAGGCAGCGATAAGAGCGGAGCAATTGGCCAACAACGACTTTCTGAAGAGGAATTCTTACATACCTGAGCCTCCTGGCTACTCGCCGCCGCCACCACCATCGCAAGAGCCTGGCAAACGAACTTCATACCTTGCGGAGCCTCCCGCTCGAACCCCACCGCCGCCCCCGCCTGTACCGAAAGACTCGCCTACGCTACCGCCACAGTCTGCTTCACCACAGCCACCACCTGCCGAAGCCAACCAGGACTATGCGTCGTTTGTTTTGTCGCCCGTGCAAGAAGCACCGAGCCCGTCGAGTCCAACCGATGTGTCTGCCGAAGTCACGCCCAGGAAACGAAAATCTACAAAGACACCGCCTGCTTCACGATCACGAGCTGCTTCAATGACGGATCCATCCTTCGTACCCGCCGGCTTGCCGAAGCACTTGACAAGTAGGGCTTCCAGGTTTAGCTTCCAGATTGGTGGCGGAGAATCCGCCGCGCAGGAGAAGATGATGGAGGAGCGACACATACAAAAAGCGGCCGAAAAAGCATCCAAGTCGGAAGCTCGAATGTCGACCAATAGCATCGGAGACGATTACGAGGAGTACGGCATGGACGATGACTTTGATATGGACGGTGGCTACGAGGAAGAAATTCCCATGCTTGGAGAAGAGGACGAGTACGGTGGCGGCCTGGGAGACCAGATGTTGTCACCGGGTATGGGTGCCTTCGACTTCTCGTCATTGTCGATACAGCCGAACATGAACCCAATGAGCCCGCTGAACGGCGAGATGGCCACACCAATAGACGCAAACGGAGAACGGATAGGGTTCGCCATGTCCGAAGAGTTGTTCCATCCAATGGACCCTGCAGCGGCAGGTTCTTTCCTGGGGCTTGGACAGGCACACGCGGAGAATGTTCAGGGGCTTGGCTTGATGAACCTCCCTCAAGAGCATATTCCCGCAGACAACTTCACGCCCGATGAGTCGCCACAACGTGACCCTGTCGGATCTACCAAATCAGTCACATTCGCTCAAGCGGGCTTGGGCGATGATCTGTATTTCGATGACGGTATGATCGAGGAGCAGGGTGATGTTGATGCGGCCGACTTCGACGAGGAAGTTTTTGACGACCCCGAGGGACCACTCTTTGACCGCAAAGTGAAGCCCCCGCCAGCAGAAGAGCTGCATAATAATATAGTATCACATCCGCTAGAAAAGCTCAACTCCGAGACTGGGTATGAAGCAGACGACGACACGCTGTCGAAGCATCTCGAGATATCCGAGCCTTCTCTAGTGCACAAGACGTCGAGGGCTCAGCCAAATTCTGATCGGAATCTGAATGCATACCATAGTGCGCTTGCGGAAGCTGCCAATCGCGCTGAAGCAGAAGGACGATTTGCGAGGAAAGCAAGCGCCGACGTTGGGCAACCAAGCTCCGATGCAGACGATTCTTCTTCGATCAGCAACTCACGTCCCAGTCTCGTGCCCGACGACGGCCGATTCAGTCAAGACACCACTGGATTCCCGCCCGAGGACGATGGCTTTGGTATGAGCTCAGGTTTCGACGATTATGATTACAGCGAGTACGATGATCTGATGGACGACGACATGATGATCGCCGAGGCCAACTCGGAGGCCCTAGCAAACGACTATGAAGGTTTTTACGGGCAAGAATTTGGATTTTATGCAGGTCCGCAAGGCGAGGCTGTCAATGCATACGGTGGCTACTTTGGTGCCTCTGGACTAGGTCGAAGTGTTAGTGGCCGCAACGCTATGCGCGAACCCAACCTCACACCCATCACGGAGCGCAGCGAATATAGCACTCGCAACTCTTTCATCAGCGTTAGGAACTTGGACAATTCCATCACCAGCCCAGGGTTTATGGGGCAATCTCTCACCAGCCCGGCTCTGGCCCAGCTTGCCCGAATCAGTCCCTATGGGTGGCGTGATGAGGAAGATATGAGCCTCGACGCGCTGATGAGACTCCGCAAAGGTGCATTCGGCAGCACATCCAGTCTCCCTGCTGGCAGCCCGGGCACAAGTCCAAGAAACTCATCGCCAATGGGCATGCAGTTTGTCCCGCGGACCGCCAGCCCAGCGGGCAATCGTATGCGCGAGCATAACGACTCTTCCTTCGAAAGCGACGAGTCGGCCGCCATCCTAGAAAGCCTCGCTGAGTCCGAAGAAGACGAGTTCGCGCACTTGGGCAACCCCGACTTCGACGACGGCGTCCTCGACGACGACGAAAACTCCGCCTACGAAGACCGACCCGACAGCCCGACCCTCACGGCAAGCGACTACAACTCGCTCTCCAGCCCAACCGGTATGGCGCACTTTACGCCCCAGCCCCTGCCCCTCATGCCCCTGCACTCGCCCCCCGCCATCCCACCAGCGGGCATCCCCCTTCCCATGTCGCCCTACCCCCTCCCCTCACCCTCGCCAATGTCCCCCTCCGCGATACCCCTACCCACATCCCCACCCGCAACTACGACTTCCCACCACCAATTCAACCCCCCGCCCCCCTTAACTCTGCACACCTCCTTCCACCCCCCGCCCTCCACCACCTCACCCTCCGCTTGCTCCTCCTCCGCAACCGCAACGAACTCCTCCGCCCCGCGCCGTCAATCTCTCGGCCTGATTTCGCCGATCAGCACAACGAGTCCCGCCACTCCGAGCGAGCGCTGGCGCGCGGGGCATAGTCGGAAGGGGTCCGCGGCGGATAGCGTGGCGTATGTGCGGGAGCATGATGAGTGTGGGGAGGGGCGGTGGGTGCTGGAAAGGCGGCGGACGGCCGAGAGCGGGGAGCTGGAGCTGGTGGGGCGGGAGATTGTTGAGGGGGGCAGGATTTGAGGTACACACCATCTCTCTCTGGGGTGTCTATTACTAGATTGAGCTAGGTGACAAAGGAAGCAAGCAGGTTGGACGGTTTATGGTGCATTTCTCGGCGTTTGTAGCGTTAGCGTTCTTACTTGGTAGCCTCAAGAAGCAGCGAGACGAAGCGAATACCCCGATAGCAGGTCTGGAACTGGGTACATGTGCGCGAGGTTAATACACGCGTTCGTGCGATGCTGTCTTCAGAGTGAATCGGCTTGGTTGCTTGGGAGTGCTGGCCGGACACCAACACATGCCAGAGGCCCCGCCCGAGAGCATTGTCGCCTTCTTCAACTGCTTTGTGTGATGTTCGATGGGTCATGGTCTTTTCAGATCTTTCTGTGGGAGCTGCAAGTCGACGAGTACGCTGTGTCCTCACTTGACACAGAGATGGTGAATCGGGAGACGCTATCAGTATGATGAATCAAGCCTAGCTAGATATGCTAGTTATTCCACCAGGCCAAGTTAATCTCAGCTCAATCCTTCGTCTGTTTGATATATGCTGGAGCGGTGCATCGCTCACGTTGAGTGATGCGATACACCGACACCTTGACCTCAGCTGATCCGTTGCTCACGATGGAGATAGAGAAGTCGTGCCATAATCAAGCTCCATCAGCCACAAATATGCAGGCTTCGGACACGCCAACAGTCGATCTCCCTGTATCCAACCCCAAGGAACCAAGCGCAAGACATTGACGACTTGGTATCTGTACTAGCAATCATACCGTAGGCATCTGCTGGTTGATCCTCTCCTCCCGTCGCTGAATTTCAGCCATCTTCACCGCCTGAATTAAACAGGGTCGAATCTGGTCAGTGAAGAGCTTCCTCAGTTTTCCCGTCTGTCGCATAACCTCACGCCTGAAAGTCTTCGCTTCAGGCCGATGATCGTCCTTCCTGGAGCACGCCATGTCGATCTCATGCTGTATTTCCGCGAAAATGTTCTTGATGTTGCTAATCAGCTGTTGTTGTAGGTCATTGAGATTACCAACAAGCTCTTCGAACATCATGATGTAGAGCTGATAGTAAGGTCCGTCCGGCACAGTGAGAGCCATTTCGAAGGCTTTGCATCTGGCATCATGGAGGGTGTATGACCGCGACCCTGCATATGATTTAGCGATATTAACGTTGAATATACGTAGAATCGTACTCTTTTTCGGTTGAGCTGTATTTGCCGTATCGTAGGCGGACTTAAAGGCAGCGTAGAAGTAGCTACTCGTGCCGTGTGGTCCGAGAGCACGGTCTCGTTTATCTCTGATATGGATCAGCTGGATCACTTTGAGGTGATCGCATGAACAGACCTTATCATTCTGATCGCCTGTTTCTGTGTTGAGGTGCAAGCTTTTTCAAGCGTCCGTTGGCGCACACGTATTCCTGCCTGTACCTTTGCGCTAAGACCTACGGCGTCATAATGTGGACCATCTATCAGATGTATATCAGTATCAAGGTCAAGGAAGTTCTGGGGAGAGTCTGGCGATTGGAGATGTTAAGGAGACCAACTCACGCTCAATTTCGGTGAACAGTTCTTCGACAGTGCTCCGGATACCCTGGATCAGCTCAGTGAAGAATCGGGGGATCTTGTCATCGCTTAGATCATCTAAGCTGGCCATGATGACCTTGCGTGGTTCCGCGTAAAGCTCTTCGTTGAGGTCGAATTCTTTACGCTGCCCCGTGACTGTCAGACCTGTGTCAATCTATCAGCATTGATCCATATGAGGTTGCGAGGAAGTCAGTACCATGCTTCTTCATGAGTGCTTTGTGTGTAGCAGAATTCATCGACTTAGCGAACCCTGCATGAGTCTCGAGTCCTGCTTCAGCCCAAGATCTCTCTTTTTGCACTGGAATCATTGTTAGTCAAATTAGAAAGCTTCGCTGAGCACTTACCGATATGGTCTCTAACAGCTTCCATGTGTCCGCTTGTCAGATCGTGGAATTGCTCTTCGATGATTGTCACGATGCTCTGTATGGGTTAGTCAGACCGACATGCAGAATATATCTTCACCAACCTGACAGCTTCCAGCGAATTGCTCGTCAACCTCAGCTTTCCGTTGCGCGATAGTGACAGTGCCCGACATCTCAAGAGAGTTCATGGTACATTCCCACGTTTCGTGAATATGATGCCGTAAAGTCTCCCATAGTCCATCGGCAGGGAAGCCTGCGATTATACTCCTTAACTCCGGAATGCCAGAAGCCTCTTTAGACAGACGTGGTGCTTCGCAGCTCTCATCAGGGGTCCATGATGAGTAGCCTGGAGCATGCTTGCCATACTCGTAGTTGTCTATGCAGACTATGATGATCTTCGGGTAATGCTTCTTCCAGATCTTCTTAGATAACAGCTTCCCTCGAAAATCAGCTACGGTTTGTTGATTCCGTGCAAGGACGTGAAGTTCGAAGTCACTTATAAAATGTCAGTATGAATTCTGGGCAAATCAAGACCGATAGCCTTAATTCCTAATGACGGGACGATATGGAGGGTCTTTGAAGACTCTGATGTTGACATAACGCACCTACGTGTTTTCAATCTCCTTTCGCCTGATTCTGGTATTTGTTAGCTTGCATGCACTCTCATAATCCAAACAACTTACTTCTTCCCCTGGATCTGCTCTTCTAGCTCTCGCTTGATAGTGATCTCGTCCACGTTCTCTTCTTGCTCTTTCAGAATTAGAAGCTCTGCATCTACTTGAGCGATCTGTTGCTGAAGCGATGCGTAGGTTTGGCGTTGTTCCCGGGTAAACCGCCCACGTGTCTTTTTTTTTATTTTTTCATCTATTTCCTGCCGAATCGATGAGTTCAAATCCAGAAACAGTGTTGCGGGAAGACCGAAAACGTACCGCAGAATGCGTGAGAACTAAGATGACACCTCCTGGCCCCCTCTGCTTGAGGGCCATTTTGATTGTTGCATAGAGCTCGTTGTTTGCGAGACATCTCTTCATTTCGGAAACGACCATAATCTTATCAGCATTTTTTAGTGCCGTGTGAGCCCGATCTACGTGAGCTCTGTTCGTGTCACCGACACCAGGTGCATCCTTTAATATATTTCCTTTGTTCAGAACAGGTGAATTTGAAGCGACAGCAACCTTTTCGACGAGTGGATATGGGCAGCACTCTGCCTCGGTTCCTTCTGCGAATGGTTCTGATGCCTTCCTAATAAAGGGAGCGATGAACTTCCTCACGGCTTCAACTGTCGCGCATCCCTGTTCTATTTTGCTGGTGATGCCATCGCGTCCCTGAATGTTTTTATACAGGCAGTCGAGCCTCTTTCCGAAGGAACGCAGGGACTTGCTATCGTCGATGCTTTCGAGGTATTGGTCTGCTGCCTCATGGTCCCGGTATCCCTGGTCTGGTCCTAGAATCTTCAGGTCAAGTATCATCGCGATCAGCCGAGTAGGAGCTTCTGTTGCTTCGGCGTCTTCATCCCCGGAGTCGTCCTCACCGATGCTTTCCGGATGAGTCGACTGCCAGTGGCGGTTTTCACGAAACCCGTCCTCAAACATCTTCATGACGTACGGCTTGCTGTACAAGAAAATCTGAACCAGATACGGGTGCTTCTGGTCGTTGTAGAGTGGACGAAATTCCATTACGGTATTCGTCACGCTATCAGTTCCGCCCATCTGAGCTACATCAGTCTTGTTCTATATCATCAGTATAGAGGACCTACAGCGTTTCCAAGGTCTATGCCGGTAAGAGAGATGATCGTGTGGGACTTCCCCTGACCCGTCTTCCCCAGCACAGCCGGGTAGTGATCGGCGCTTCCCCAAGGAGGGACTGCCCGGGTGCGCAAGAGGTTGAGTAGATACTCCTTCTCTTCTCCGTCGCAGGGAAGATTTTGAATGAAACTGTATGCTTCTTCGCTTGCAGCCTTGGCCAAGCGTTTAGCTTCTCTAGAAGGTGGCTGGCTAAAAGGATGCGATGAGCGGGGCTTCGCTGCTGTCGTAGGCTCAGCTGGTACTAGTCCTTGCCGTTTAGAATTGAGCGGCGATCCTGGAATTTGTCAGTGAGTATATCCCTACGTCAAACCATCCTTGGACTTACCCTCTCGCTTCTGTGGCATCGCCTGTGCGCTCCTCTGTGAGTGTTGCATTGCAATGCCTTCAGCTTTCATCGACAGTGCTGATTTGAGCGGGTTCCGTGGCATGACTCCAAGTCTTTCGCTACTTAGAACACATGTATTGCTAATCGAATATGATAGCGGGTATTTTGAGTACGGAACCGAGGTCCAGCTGAGACTAGGCAGCGAAAGCGGTATCTGTGGTTGCCATAAGGGCAAGGAGAGAAGTAGAGAGTAAGTAAGAAGACTGCTTTAATGCAGGTGATCGAGGGAGATTGCGCAGCTTCCTCGACAAGTGAAGGTGAGAGACAGGAGAGGGGTGTTTTTTTTTTTTTGCCCTCTCACCTGCTGCCATGGTAACCATAGGTAATCTGGTAGTTTGGTGGATTGGCGGGGTACACAATTGGAAGGGAAAGAACGACTGAGCAGATCTCGTGCCATGAGGCACATGTAAGCTGCGACACCAAGACTTTACTAGACAAAATAAAGATGTGCATCTGATGAGAGAAAGACTATGGAAAAGACATTACATTACACGATGTAGAGCGAATCTATGGTAGTCAAGGTCGTTGCAGACTCTTTCCAAGTTCAGGATGGCCTGATCGCATAATCTCCAAAATTTCAACACAAACAAGCTCAACGTAATAAGCCATCCAAAATTCTGGGCGCTACCAATTATTGCCTAGGAGACGACGTAACGGCCCAGAAGATGAGTGTTCGACTCGCCGGAACATTGACAGATCGATGCGGTGCGCCATCTGTTGTAAAGCGGTTGGGGCGTCTAAGACTGCCACATCATGGCTTCTAGGGTGCCGTGCAGTTGCATCGCGACGTATGACATGAAGTCAACGAATATTTGGGTGTACAGCCATCAGGCCTTGCTGGAACACTTCGGGGCCCAGTAGCCTCGTAGATTCAATCTTCGTGCTCGTACCTTTTCGTCGCGAGCGTACCTCGTGTCCGTATAGTGAAGCATATATTGGATGTGAATTCGTTTGTATTTCATGCATTTCTTTGCGCATGTTCGTAGACATGAGGTGTCATCGAGGCCAAGGAGATATTCGTATTCCGAGCTTGCCGAAGAGAACCGCGATCATTCGTTGTTGAAATCTGTAAAGCCTACAGTTTCGTCCATGATATTCGCAAAACTCTTGGTCTTCCGCTCCTTGCCAGCGGTGACAGGCGGAAACTGGGCCATCTTCGTTCGGAAACCCTCCGAGACCTTGATAGCCGGAGCGAGATGGTCGACATTTCCATGGATAACATAACCAGCCCTGTCCATCGCCACGGCCAGCTCCTCTTGGTGGTTATCCAGAAGCGCGGTATTAGGCACAACGATGAGCGGGACTTGATACCGTAGAGCTTCGAGAATAGATCCTGAGCCAGCATGGGAAATGGCGAGTCCTTGAGTCTGCTGGACTAGCTTGAACTGCTCTTTAAGGCCGCTCGAGTCGAAGTCCATGCCGTCGATCTTCAGCTCCTGCTCAGTACTAATCGCTTTCAGATACTGGCGCGCTGCTTCGGCAGTACTATGATAGACATCCTTGGCGGTCCCGTACTGAATGAAGATATGCGTAACTCCGCATTCCAAGAATGCATCCAAAGATGAAGGAGAAAGAACAGCCTCGATAAGCTTTGTGAATGGTGCTGTTGCACCGGTCGTAACAAAGCACAGCTTCGACATGCTGAGTCCAAGGTTAATTCCGGACCGTAAAAAGATTCAATGTACGAGTGTGGCATCCAACTCCAAGATTACCGATTTAGTCGTATTCAGCGTGATGCATATTGCTGTTGATGCTGAGGTTCATTGAATAGACAGGACCGCCCCGGCCCGGGCGCACTTTCTTCCATCGTGTCTTGGCACTCGGGGGTCCGCCCATCGCGAAAAGTTAACGACGGCCAGCACCGCCAGCCCATTCCAGCAATGGCTTCAATATCACGGCGGCTTGTGCTACTATCGCGGCGCTGTCCGTCGAGAACGCCCTCCGCATACGCCGCGCCAAAGTACACAGCCCAATGGCAGGCCCGACCGCTATCCTCCACGCCCGCCCGCCGCGCAGATGAGAACAACCCTGGGCCCCCAAAGGAAGCCGCCATCCCCAGCGCAACGCCCTCGGATCCCATCGCAGAGGCGACAGATCCTGTTTCTACTCCCAAGCAAGGGACTGCTGCGTCAGCGCTCAAACAGCTCGCGGAGGACTTGAAGGCACTGGATCCGGAAGTCATTGAGGATGCGATCCGCAAGGGCCGCGAGGGCATAAGCTGGACCAACGACGAGATGACCAAGAACATGAACGAAGAAGACTGGATCATCGACGAGGACGACCCGCGCAAGGCATCGCTTGGGTTTTGGTCCGAGGGCGAGCCCACGCTGGGCAAAGACGAGGACTACTACGGCGACGACCTGACGAGCTTGGGTCACGGAGAGTTGGAGCAGCACAGAGAATTGAGGGAGTATGCGCGGTTGATTGCGTGGGAGCTGCCGCTGCTGAGCCGTACGTGATATCAACATGCCATGATGAACAGCGCAATGCTAACCTCCCGCCCCAGAACTCGCACGCCCTTTCGAGCCCCCCACCGCAGAAACCCCCTTCCGCTTCCGCTATACCTCCTACCTCGGCGAATCGCATCCCGCCACCAACAAAGTCGTCGTCGAGTTCTCCGCCAACGACCTCGCCCTTTCCCCAACCCAACGCGACAAGCTCATCAAACTCGCCGGCGTGCGCTTCAACCCGGACACCGAGATCATCAAAATGTCGTGCGAGGCCTTCGACACGCAGGCCCAGAACAAGCGCTTCCTCGGCGAGACCATTACCAATCTCCTGAATGAAGCGAAGGACTCGAGGGATACCTTTGCCGACGTGCCGTTCGATTTCAGACACCACAAGCCCAAGTTCCGGCCGGAGTTTCCCAAGGAGTGGATCATGACGGAGCAGAGGAAGAAGTATTTGGCGGAGAAGAGGGAGCAGATGATGCTGTTGGAGGAGGAGAAGGCGAATACGAGCGGCTTGGTGGACGGCAAGAACATTGTTGCGAACAGTATGCCTGCGGCAATCGCGCAGCCCGAACCGGTGATGGTTGGTGGACCGAGGGGCAGGGCGCTGCGTTGAGCGACGCGAGGGTACGAGGGACTGGTTTGACTTGCATTTTCAAGGGGTAGAAGCGCGGAAGAGCTGTATATCATGTTGTACACTGTAACATATAGCAAGAGCTGCTGCCGGTGGCGGCGCAGTACTGGACTTGTAAAAATACAACCAAAGATGGAAGCAATGTATTCTGAGCCGCGAACATGTAGGATTAACTCCCTCGGGGTTGTTTCTGTCTGCCTCGCGCTCTGATCGCTAGCAGTCCACCCCGCCGCTTGAATCGCTGGTAATCCACACCGGAACGCCGCCGCTCGCTGTCAATGCACTATACTGGGTAGGTTCTATGCTACGCTGCAGTGCTTCCTGGACCATTGTTGTTTGCACCATCCTCCTGGATGGCTGTCGTCGAACACAGATACTCATACATGGTGCAATGGTGATAAGGACTCCCAGGCCGCAACGTGACCAGGTCATCTGAGTCTTGAATGCCAATTTTTCATCCAGCGATTGCTCATGCAGCCGCTCCTGCTGCGCTCTGACGTTTTCTCTTGTTGCCTTTCGCTGCGGGCTCTCCATCCTCCCTCTTTCGCTTCGGAGCGCGACTGCTGCCCCCCTTGGGCCGGTATGCTGAGTCGTTCTCACCACCCTTGCTCTTCCGACCACCCTTGCCTGGCGCCCCGGGTTCACCTTCGAGTCCTTCGTCCTCTTCATGATCGGTTTTGGGACCTGGCGTGCCTGCCGCAGCCGACTGGCGCTTCCCCCGAGCCCCTGCATTTGCCTTTGGCGCGGCCTTCTCCGCCATGTTCTCTGGGTGTTGGGGGTCCTTGTCCTGCAGGAAAACTTGTGGTTGGTGCTTCCGGAGCCAGCTGTAGACACTGTCTGGGTTTCGTACCGAGAGATCTTTCTCGGTGGGCGGGGGATGGCTGGAGGGTATGCGGATGGGGCGGGCATCGAAGGCGTTGGGATCGGCGAATGCTTGATCCAGGAGGGCAAGGTATTCTTCTTCGTGGGTAGGCGACATGTAGCCGGGCGCTGTCTCTGATAGGTCCAAGCCCTCTATGGGCGGGTCGGGAGCTTCCGTCGAGTGTGGTATCTTGGCTTCGAGACCGGCGAGGGAGCGCGACAGCTGAATGGTTTGTGAGTTGTGGAGAGCCTCGGCACGACGCGTGTATTCGTCGGCTGTGATGATGCCGTTGGCAAGCTCTGTCCGGAGGCTGTTCAAGCGCTGCTGCACGACCTCGGGGTCTTCGATGGTGGGTTTGGCGTCAATCTCGGCTTGTTCTCGCAGGTCCAGGCGCAGCCTCGCGGGCAGTCGTGCGCTATCGTTCATCTCGAGGAGGATGTCGAGGATTTGGCTGCAGCGCGTCAGCTATACCGTGCCGCGATCGGGGAGGGCGTGGCACGCACTCGTTCTGCTCGCGCAGCCTGCGCGCAACTGCTTGCGACTTCCATTCCTCGAGGATGTAGTTGTTGCTCGCTGTCATCGTCTCGTCGAAGCGCACGCGCATCTTCCTGTACTTGCGCCTGTGTCGGGCGGTCAGCGGGCGGTCTCCTGAGTGGGCGGGCGCGACGGTACCTCCACGAGCGCTTGACGGGCTTGCTCTGCGCGCCGTCGTGCTCGTGAGCGGCGTGAACAGCGGGCTGCGGCGGGGCGTCGGCAGGCGCGTCTCCTGGGGAGGCCATTGTGCAGTGCAGGATGCCGGCGCGGATGGTGCGAGCAAGCGTGGAGAAGCGTGCAGCGGGAGCTGGCCGCTGCGAAGACGGGCGCGGTCGAGATGCATGTTGGACCACGGCGGCCCGAGCGTCGCGCATAGGTGAATTTGGCTAGCCATCATGTTTCCACCGAAGTCACCTGCCCTGCTTCCTCCTCAGTCCTCGCCGCGTCAGGGGAACTGCTGCCTGTCTCCACGCACTGCATGCCCATTGAGCCCGCTGCCTCGCCCACCACCATCTCCAGTCCCCGCCACCGCCACTCGTTGACCGCGTCGAAGCTCGGACAAGCCGGAAAGGTGTTGCGTACGCAGTCCCAGCAGTAAGCCTCCACCCACCCGCACGCCACCCTGTCCGCCATGCCATACTGACGTGCCTGCCAAAGCCTCACAACGAACGCCATCCTCCGCCCGCGCTGTCTCTGCACCCCAGACCGCACCGAGGGCCGCTCCGTTCGGCCTCGCTGACGGTTCTCCCGCATCGCCTCCACCCCACCCACGCCTCCCGCGAACAAGCTCCAATACCGCCAAGCTGTCACCCATACTCCTCAACCGCACCTCGCGCTTGAGCTTCGCCGGCGACCCGCGACCCCGCCGACCGAGTGCTTCGCCAGGGAAGATGCCCTTGGACGCAAAAGAGGTCCGGAGGCGGCGTAGCAGTAGTCTTGTCTATACCGAACCCCCCGAATCGCTCGAGCAGCTCAGCGACCAGGCCGCTCTGCCCAACCTCAACGCGGAATGGGTGAATGCAAAAGGTCAGCACTCCTGCATCCGCCTGGGCGGCCCCTGCGAGTCGTGGGGCAGTTGTCGCTGCGCACGTGTGGCCTCTCGAGCGACGCCTGGCTAACACAACACACAGGTGCCTGGGTAATACACATCGTCCTCATCGCCCTCGGCAAGATATTATTCGACATCATTCCGGGTGTGTCGCAGGAGACCTCGTGGACCCTGACCAACATCTCATATGTGGCGGGATCCTATCTCATGTTCCACTACGTCCGCGGCGTGCCCTTCGACTTCAATTCGGGTGCCTACGACAACCTCAACATGTGGGAACAGATCGACAACGGCGACCAGTACACACCCGCCAAGAAGTTCCTGCTCATGGTGCCGATCGGGCTGTTCTTGCTCAGCACCCACTATACCCGCTATGACCTCACATATTTCATCATCAACACATTAGCCACACTGGCCGTAGTCATCCCGAAGCTGCCAGCGGTGAGTGATGAGACGTCCTCCCAACCTGCGCCCAAGCTGATCGTAAACAGGCACACAGGCTTCGCATTTCATTTTTTTCGCCCCCGCCGGACGATGCATAGGTTGGCTACTGCGGTACCGAATGGGACAATTATCATTGCTTCCACTGTAATTTTGCTTGTATTTCTATCATCCGCCCAAAAGCGAGCCCGAGATTGAGTTGCATTGAGCGGGCAGGCGTTTCGGCTAGAAAACATGAAAGGGACGATGCTCTATAGCGTACAGCTTGAATCCATTTCCATTGCGCATCTGAACTGCATCCCTTGGTCGGGTCTGCTCGCTTGAGCATCGTCGAACTATTGCTCAGCTTGGTAAGCACCGGCATGCAGTGCCGCTACACACGAAACACGACTTCTGAAACAGCTACAGACAAGCGCATATGACCTATAGTAATGCACCCAAAGAAATACGGGTTATTTGACCAATGGCAGAATTGTGGTCGGGGAACCTTAGCGAATGAGAACAGGCTTGGACCCTGGCAAGCCCGTTGCAGTTGGGGGGGCCGCTCACGCTACACGTGCTACAGACCCATTACCCGTTTCGTCATCATCCGGGTAATCGATATTTTCCATCTTTCGCATCAATCTGATTGCGATGCCTGTCTATACCTGCACCGCAGTCAAGTTTGACTGTCAGGCTCACCATCCGCCTTGACATCCCTGTGTACATCATGACTACTACGACCTGAAAGAACAAACATACCTGTATTAGCCTAGTAACCTCTAGCTGGCATTCCCCGAAAAACACCGCCCCATTATTTGCATCGTCAACAGGTGAAGAGCTATCTAGACATGGCGTGGAAACAGCTGGAGCCGACTGGGCCGCACGTCACCTACGGCGCCATAACGTTCTTCCTGCTCTCCTACGCTTTGTTCTCGCTGTTCATCCGCAACCGCCTCCACCTTTCCGAACCACCTCTAGCAACCCTCTTCGGCATCGTCGTCGGGCCGAAGGGCCTGGCCTTCCTCCAGCCTTACGAGTGGGGCTTCGGCGACGACATCGTGCAAGAGTTCACGCGCCTCATCGCCGGCATCCAGTGCTTCGCCGTCGGCCTCGAGCTCCCACAGCACTACTTCACCAAAGGCGGGAAATGGAAGGACATCGCCATACTCCTCGGCCCCGTGATGACCTTCGGCTGGCTCGTCTGCGCCGGCTTCATCATGCTCCTGTTTAAGACGGACATCCCCTCCGCCCTCGTCATATCTGCGTGTCTAACGCCCACTGACCCCGTTCTCGCTGCCTCCGTCCTGTCCAACTCCCAGTTCAGCACGCGCGTCCCGAAGCGTGTACGCGACCTGCTCTCCGCCGAGTCCGGCGTCAACGACGGCGTGTCATTTCCCTTCCTGTACCTCGGACTGAGCATCATCACGCGCTCGACCTTCGTCGGCATGTTCAAGAAATGGATGCTCATTACCGTCCTCTACCAGTGCGCGTTCGGCATCATCCTCGGACTCGTCATAGGCTTTACCTTCAACAAGATCTTCACGTTTAGCCACAAGCGCGAGCTCATGGGATCCGCATCATACCTCTCATTCTACCTCCTGCTTGCTGTCTTCGCACTCGGCATCGCATCGACGCTGGGCGTAGACGACTTCCTCGTTACCTTCTTCGCAGGTCTGGGTTTCTCCCACGGTGGCAACTTCCCTACCGCCGATGCCCGCCTGCCCATCATCATAGACTTGATGCTCAACAGCACTATGTTCGTCTTCTTCGGCGCCATGATCCCCTGGGCGTCCTTCAGCCAGCTCGACTCCATCACTCCGGGCCGCCTCTTCGCGCTCCTCGCACTCATCCTGCTCTTCCGCAGAATCCCCGTCGTCTACGCAATGTATAAGATGAAGCTGCTCCCGCACATCCGCACAACTACCGAAGCCCTCTTCGCAGGCCACTTCGGCCCCATGGGCGTCGGCGCCCTCTTCCTCGCCATCGAGGCCCGCGCCCAGCTCGAAACCGACACTTCCCTCCCGCTTCCTAACCCACCGTCTGACCTGCCCCTCGAAGAACAGCGTACGATTACGCTAGTCTGGCCGATTATCTGCTTTGTGGTGCTGGGCAGTGTCTTGGTGCACGGGATGAGCACGCTGGTCATCAGCCTGAGTGGGCATTTTGCGAGGAAGGAGGGGGAGAGAGCGAGTTTGTTAGGGGGCGAGACGGAGGGTTTGCATGGGATGGTGTTTGGGGAGGAGGATGCGATGAGGGGGGAGGATGAGGATGAGGATGAGGAGGATACAAGGAGGAATGCGCTATTTAGAGGGACGTGAGGCTAGAAGATGGGTGGTGTGTTAATTTGAGTAGAAAGAGGAGTGCTACGTTTACATGTGTCGAAAGACTATGGATTACGATGTGCAGTGTGATTGCTTCGTCCACGGCTTTAGAGGATTCCGGGCTGCCAACGCGTCCCGCTTCACGAACTCCTCCACGAACCTCTTGATCTGATGTGGATGTTGCCGCTTGATTGCATCGGTAAGTCACTCCTCCCCCACACCCATGTTCCATTCCCACCAAGAAATCTTGCCAATGGCGGCATCTCGTTCCTCGGTCGCGGGTCTCACTTTCACGGCAGCCGCGCGCCATTGCGATTGAAAGGCAAGCGCCAGAGAAAGATCCTTGTGGAAGGCAGCCTCTGAATCTGTTTCGGGATCTGGAAGGCGGTGTCATCGGGTCAGCTGCTGGAGTCCGATGAAGGTGAGAACCAAGATATCATAGGAATACGCATGTATTCGGTGAGAAACCGCCGTTGTATGTGAGCAGGAGGTGCAAAGGAAGCACATGACCCATCGGGATGCTGTTCTGCAGCGAATGGCCAAATATGAAGAACGACCTAAAGAAGTAGTGAAAACAGCGCAACAGTGGAAGTGGTATGATCACACTTCAGCCCCATGAGAGAGCCACTGGCATTCCGAATCGGTCGAAGGTGCGCCGAATTCAAGTCTGCAGCAGCCGACAGCCTCGTTTAATGGCGACATTGAGCATCAAAGTTCAAGAGCGATACATCAGTGCTTCTACGTCATTCATGCAGCTCGACAAGGTCCTATCCGTGGACTCCTTACTCGCGACGTGACACAATGATGGAAAAAGAAATGAGCATCTCAGTGCAGCCATTGAATTTGTTTGCACTCGAGAGCTCACTGTGCCGCTTTTTGCAGATCCAGATAGCTCCGATGAGGAAGAGGCAGTGGAGCGTCCGTGCATCAATCTTACAGAGATGAATACTCGGCCGGAAAGTGAGGAACTTCGCTTGTGGAAATTTTAGTCCAGGGGGAAGGCGGCAGGTATCACAGTGCGCCGATTCTAATCATCTGGAGAATGAGGCTTCACGATTGTTTGCGTTACTTCAGCTGAACCGTGTGAGTACACTTTATATTTAATGGATTCCTCTGTTGGACAAGCTTTAATGCCTATAGTACCTATGGTAATGAATGAACAGTACATTAGATTGAGCAGCAAAGCGTATCCCTGGCTTGGCTGTCAGTGTGGGGCAACAAAATGTGATGAGGATTGATAATGCGTCTTTGATGTATATGCCAATCATACACCACGGCGATACAGTATGAGATAAGAGACGACAAAATAAGGTTTACTAGCTTCAAGTCCCCCTAGGCTCTACTACTCCTTCTCCAAATTACGGGTACCAGCTTAGATCCAGTCTTTTTGTCGGTGAAGAGGAGGATTATTTTCCCGGCGCCAGGCGCTTTCCGCCCCAGAGCCAAGACCTTCCAAGACTCTTGCCCCCGCACTCCGCACTTTCCACTCCCAAGCATTCCAAGGTTGCTTTTCTCTGCTTCGGTCGTCTGCCGTCCATCCGCGGGTATCTGGTCGCGATGGTCTTGGCTCCGCGACAATTTAGGCCGATGAACCAGAACAGTACTGGCGCGGTACCTGCGTGCGGCGTATTAATTCATCCACGTATCGCAGCTGGTCTTGGGAGTTGTGTTGTGCAGGCCTACGCACCCTGTTCGTTGATTTCACGAGCGATGGTTCGCGCAGAATCAATATATAAACGATCATGGTTGCTGATAACAGCATCCGCGCGTTCGAGGATTAATTGGTTGATCCACAACCCGGCCTCTATAGAAACTTGTCAATATGCGTTTCAGCAGCGTTTGCAGTGTGCTTGCACTCTGCGCCTCTTTGGCGGAAGCATCACCGTCACATGGCAAGCCAAAGATCCCTGCGCGGCCTGTCTTAACCCCCGCTCCGTACAATTCTGGTAAAGAGTTCCCACGCTCTGCACCCCGAAGCAAGAACAAGAAGTGTTTTGTCAAACCCGGGAAGGGCGACGACCGCGACGACGCCGCCAGGATCAAGACTGCGCTCAAGAAATGCAACAACGGTGGAACAGTCATCCTCGACCAGTCGTACCTTGTCAGCTCACCGTTGGATCTCACTTTCCTCAAGCACGTCGACGTTGTCATTACTGGGGAAATTCACTTCAATGCAAAGGATGTTTACTACTGGGCTTCAAATAGCTTCAAGTATGATTTTCAGAACATGAGCACGTTTTGGAAGTGGGGAGGCAAGGACGTGAACATTTATGGCGACTTGAGCAACGGCAAGTCAGTCATCGACGGTCATGGTCAAGCATATTGGGAGGAGATTGTGACCAACAAAACTGTAAGTTCCAAGAATTACCAGACCTTTGATCTATGTACTGATTTACAATTCTAGCTGCTCCGACCCATCCTCTTCTCCATTGATGGCTTGAAGGGCGGCAGCATGTCTAACCTACGGATGCGCAACTCTCCTAACGTAAGTGCTGCATGTCCTGCACATTTAAGTAGCTACTAAATCTACGGTAGTGGTTTAACATCATCGCCAATTCTAGCGATATTATCATTAGCGACCTGGACATCCAAGCCAAGGTATCCATCCTCACCGAGAACACTTGAGGCATTGACTAAGCCTGAACAGAGCACCGGCGGCGTGAAAATTGCCAACTCAGATGGCTGGGACACCTACCGGTCAGACAATGTCGTGATTCAGAACTCATTCGTGGACAATACCGATGGTACGTAATAACGAAATCCTGTTTGCCTCCCAGATTCTAAACTTGTCACTAGATTGCGTATCATTCAAACCGAACAGCACAAACGTGATTGTCCAGAATCTGAATTGCATCGGCTCCCATGGCATCTCGGTTGGTTCTCTCGGTCAATACGCGAATCTAACCGATATCGTCGAGAACCTGTATGTCTACAATATCACTATGACCAATGCCAGCGATTTCGCCCGCATAAAGGTATGGCCCGGCGTCCAATCCAGCTTCCAGGAGCTCCTGAACGGTGGGGGCGGTCTTGGCTACGTCCGAAATGTCACCTACGACACCCTCCATAGCATCAACAACGACCGAGCCATCACCATCACCCAGTGCTACGGCCAGAAGAACCAGACTCTCTGCCAAGAGTTCCCTGCGAACCTGACGATTGAGGACGTTACGATCAGGAATATGTGGGGTACGACGAGCTTGTCCACAGATCCTGAGGCGGGAACATTGATTTGCAGCGCACCTGATGTAAGTTCAAAACAAAATCCGTCCGAGCGTCGATTCTTTGCATGGTCAGGCGCTGACAATATGACAGCGATGCAGCAACATTCGAGTGGAAAATATCACCATTGATGTGCCCAGTGGCAACACTACTGAGTGGGAGTGCGCCAACATCGATGAGAGTCTTTTGGACATCAACTGTGTCCCGACTGATGGAGACCGTGACACCACTAACGGTTAAATACGAATGTTCCAAGATAGAAGTAGACATAATCGAAAAAACCTTTGGGTTTGGACCTTACCAAGATATTCGGACCCCTGATGGTCCACTTCAATGTGGGAGCATCGATGTGCGCCTTCACGAGCAGATCAGAACTCAAGATAGAACAGGACTGAATTTAGGTATCGCGTGAAAGTGATGAGATTGAATTTAAAGAACATGAGCGCGGTAGTGACGTGAAGCGACGCGTTCGCTCTCAGGTGCTCGGTAGAACAAAACAACGGCGCTATTGGTTATGTTTGGGCAGGGCTAGTGTGTGCATTGGAATCGTCCGCTTGGTTCTGGCACAGCAATCTTATCCGACTGTTCGTTGCGTGCATCTTATTATGAAATAAAATACTTATCCCCCAGCACCAGTTCTCGGAGACCTTGATGATATTTGCAACACGTCGACTCAGGGTTGCACAGTCTCTGCTTCTCTAGCAAGCTACGCAGCCCCGCTTCCTCAGCTTTAAATATGACGCAGCGTCGATAACACGCGCACCAATACAGTGCCGCCTTCACACCCCCACCTCCCTCATCAAGTTATGCTGCCAAGAGCGGATATGCACTTCCTATCAGCACTCTACGTCGTTGATCGCGTTGTTGTTTGGGCACAGCACCCGGAGCGATGCGGAGGGTATTGTTAAAGGCCCTGGCATCTCTCAAAAGACGAGCGGGTCATCATTAAGAGTGGGACGGAAAGTATATAAATGAGCTGTTTCAACATGTCTTCATCGTTATATTTGGTAGGCATTGTGGAGATTTCCAACCCTGACTATGCTTCTCACTTTTCTAGCGTCTGCCTTGCTCGTGGCGTCTAGCAATGCTGCACCAGCATTACCGCGCCGCAATGTAACGACAGCAAGCGAGCGCTTGGGCCTGACGTGGTTGGGAGCCAACAGTACGCTTCCTAAAATCCTGTGATTATACCCCTATTCTTTGCCCACATATGGCTCACAAGCTAGATAGGGTTCTATTCACCGGAGGCACGATCTCAGGTGGTTCGATATATGGAGCTCTGGACGACACTCAATACGGCCAACTATCAATCACTGGTGAAGACATTATAGCTCGAAATCCATATCTCCTGAACAATACGCAATTGGCCGTTTCAAATTGGACCACCGAGGACGATGGTTCCACCGGTACCAACGATGCTCTGGTCATGAACATGACTCGATTTGCTTACGATGCCCTGTGCTCAGAAGATAGCGATATTGTTGGCGCGGTATATACTCACGGCACAAACTCGCTGGAAGAGACAGCTTTCCTAATGGACAGCCTTGTCAATTGCGGCAAACCTATTGTCGCAGTAGGATCAATGCGTCCCTGGACCCACCTGTCTTTCGATGGAGATGCGAACTTCTTCGACGGTGTCATGCTGGCTGCGAGCCCAGAAGCACGAAACCGAGGCCTTATGGTTGCATTCAACGCCCGCATTATTCCCGGATATTGGGTGACCAAGCTGCATTCGACAAATCCAAACGCCTTTGGTCCTACTGCAACAGGTGATCTAGGCCTCTTCGTCAATAGTCTGCCGGTCTTCTATAATACACCATCGCAGCCCTTATTCAAGTACTACTTCAATCTATCTCTCGTTTCTAGCCATCCTTCGTATCCGGCACTTCCAAAGGTCGATATCCTTTACGCGGCACGGGAGTTTGACGGGAAGCTAGTACTCGATGCCCAGGCAAATGGTGCAGTAGGTGTGGTTATAGCTGGGACCGGCAATGGCGGAATACCAACCGGGCAAGACGAGATTGCTGAAGCTCTTGAGACGGGGCTGCAAGTTGTGGTTGGAACGAGAAGTCCTTTTGGACCGAGCAGCCCAAGCCAGGTGCCTACATACGCGAAGTCAGGCCTTGTGCATGTCATTCAGGCAAGAATAATGTTACAATTGGCAATCGCAAGTGGCATGGGTATGAATCAGACAATAGGCTTATTTGAAGGAGGGTTCAGGAAGGCAATTGGGCAGCCTTGGACTCCTGGTACATGACTAGGCCACTAAGATGCTTACCAAGGCAGCTGTCTCTACAGAGCTGGAAATGTAGTGAATCAATTCGAATACAGTCTTTATATTGTTCGGCGTACATTGGCTGGATTTTAACACTATCTGCAAGCCGCATGCAAGACAGTGAGCCAGCGCATCCATGATCTTTTAGGGGTTACTCGAATATACGAACTTCTGAACGCATTATTGTTGCCTCGCTTCTCTTGTCAAAGTATCTATCATACCTATATGGAAAGCCAGGTCAAGATCGCAAGGTAGCTGATGTTGACGCAGACGTTGAGATCGAGCGTCTTTAGCTCGCATACTCTGAATTGAAGCTATTGGTTCCTGATACTATCATCCGAAAGCCAGAACGGCCCATGAATTGTTCCATGATAGCCACGACGCAATGCTACTTCAACAGATAGTTCCTAGGAGGTTTCAGCTCATTCCTTGGACTCGTCGAGATATACATTTCCGCGTCGAGTTGCATGGCGCTGTCACGCGCAAAACGCCCGCGGTCGAAGCGCTTGGAGGGAAACACGGAGTGGTGTATCAATGGAATTCAGCTTTAGATCCAATCACGGTGCTCATTCCTGTGCTGGCCAGTCACCACAATTTAGTGGATACCGTGGGTTTCTGCTGGACAATCATATATATCCCCACAGATGATCATTGTCTCCGACCCTCTCTCTATTTGCCTGAGTTCCAAACTTATTGGATAGGCGATGATGACTACCTAAGCATGAGCTTGCGCTACCACGAGGCTGAGCCTGACATTCCCAAAGAACGCTTACTCGCGTCTGAAGGCACGATTGTACTGGCAGTAAGGTCCGTCGGCTGCGCCAAGCTAGGTGTGGTGCCATGGTGGAATGTCCTCGCCTATCTCAGTAGCTGCTTACCGCTTCATCGTCTGCTGTAACCCGTCTTCGATCCACCAGAACGATCATCGCCATTTCACGCGCGGACATGAGATCTTCAATTGTCCAAGAAATGCGTTCCCTAGATGAGCAAAGGATTGACCCAACCGCCAAGGTGAGAAAATGCTACATGATGTATAAGGCGTTTGATAGACAGAAGTGCTGCTGAAGTGGAGTTAGTCCTGTACCACTATCCGAATGAGGTTTAGTGAAGTGGGGCTGAGGTCTCCTGTGAACAATAGGCAGCACCCTTTCGTCGAACACATACTCATAAGCTCCTTCCACAAGATAAATGTTTCGTCAAAATTTGTATTCTGCGTTTTAGGACTCTGAACTTCTTGCTTACCAGTTGCCGCCATCACCGATCTGTAGCACCAGGCTGAGCGACGCAATCCTGCAGCTGTGGTAACCAACTGCGTTCTATGGGGCCTCAACATTTTCGATTTCACTTCAACCCATGTACCTGAGTTCAATTCTGGGCCATACATTCCCATTTTCAGCTGCTGCAACGGGTCAAGCATACACTTGAACGTCACCTTTGATGAGTGGGAGAGTCTCAGCTTCGGGCATACACCTCCGCGAGTACTTATCCCACTCTCACCATTCTGCGGCTGGTGGCACGTGGACGAGAACCTGAATAATTTCGACAGAAGAGTCTTGGCACAAGGCTACTTTGATTGCCCGCCCAACGACATTTTATATTTGGGGTATCTGCCTCAAACGGACTTTAGTAGCCCAACGATGGACGTGGCTGCACGGAAAAAGAGTCTTTTACTCTCTCTACCAATGGAGCTGAGGCTTGAAATTTGGAGGTGGACTCTAAGCGATCCTTCAGTGCCCGACTTGGTCGCGAACATTGGGAGGGACAAGAAATATGTGCGTCGAGATTCCGCTACAGGCACGGTCATACCACGAGTGAAAGCCTGGCTGGAGCCAGGCCGCAACCAGTCTATCGGTCTGGGTTTATTGCGTACGAACAAGTCCATCTACGAAGAAGCACTTCCCTTGCTGTATAACGCCGTCAGATTTGCCCCAACCGATCACCAGGGCATCTTCCCGTTATTTCTGGACTCGCTGTCTCCGTATGCGCGATCATTGATCCATCACATAAAACTGCATGTACCACGACAAATCTACGACCTAGACCTCTTCGGCGCCCATCCAGACTCACTTTTCCACTGGGCGATCACTTGCGCGCAGATCGCGAAACTTGAGGGGCAGCTTAGAGACGTAGAAGTCGAAGGGCTCTGGTTTGAGTCACGATTCGTCAACGAGAAGACTAAATATTCGATCCTCTTCCCGCTATGCAAGATCAAGACAAAGAAAGTATTTGGGCCGAACAATGACGACGGGATGGAACGACTGCTCCTACACGCGAGTAGGGAACTCGCACGCAAAGCTGATTTGCGCAGAAATCAAGCTCTTTTGACAGAGCTAAAGGACGCTGTGGCCAAGGATCGTGGAGAAACAGACCCGGAAGAGGAAGACCAGGAAAAGGGAGCGCTGGAAAACTCCGTGGGGCAGCTAGAGCATCGAAACTCAGACATGCTACGTCAGCCATACTCTTCCCCAATCACATCTGACGACATAATTCTGCGTAATCTCAGCACAGTCGCCGGCATTGACGCGTTTGAGAAAGAGCTAAAGGAGCACACAAGTCCAGTCGGGGAAAATAGCTCTACTGATGATGCTGCAACACTGACGGACGACTGGGATTTGATCAGCTATCGGAGTGGGGCCTCCACACCAACGGATCGTCCGCCTACGTACATGTCGAGGTGCAGCGCAGATTCGTGGACGGACGTGGCTTCGACAATTGCAGAGGTTCACAATCTGGATACGGATGAAGACGTAGCGAAGTAGGGCTTGTGTAGGGGTACCTGGGTCGTTGATCGATCGGTGGTCTAAATCTGTTCAATCTTAGCATTGAAGAACCATGTGCAGTGCATTTGCCGCTCGCGCCTGGCTTAAAGCTTTCGAAGCAAGAGCTTTGAAAATTCTGGTCGCAGGCTTAATTTTCTCTTTGACATGGTTGTCAGTATCTTATACTAGGTCTACTCTAGGTCTACTACCATAGGCATACAACCTTCTCTGCAAGATCTATACCCGGAATATACCTATCAGTTACCTCTCCCAGAATAACAACTCTCCTTGCTAATTCGGATCTGCCGATACGAGGAGCCAAACCGATGGTGCCCGGTTTTCCAACACTGTCCCAAGACTTTCTGTCCAAAACAAAAAAGATGTAGGCCCATGCGTGCGGCCAAGCCCGCTTATCTGATTTGCAACATCCGGCGATGGATGTGATATGAGGCTCGAGGTATGGCTGCAATAGTGTGAAAATCCAGTTTGACAACCCACGCACTTGGACGATCGCCAAGGTTGTCGGGCAACCAGGCAGTCCGTATTTGCAATGAAGAATTACATCGTCCTCTCCAGATCCGTCGTCGCTTTAGCCAGCGCGTATCACACGACCACAGTAACATCGGGCTACACGATAACCCAGACCGCATATTTTAACTGCACCGCCACGCCGCTCCCGGAATCATGCACCTTCAATTCAAGAAACTGGACCGGAACGGCCACAATGTGGACATTTACGATCCCATCGGGTGGCACGGCTCCCGTTCTTTTCCTCTGCTCATTTTCCGCTCCTGTCTCAATGTTGATCAATATCGCAGCGGTCGAAGTCGACCCAGACCCATCCGACGTATTTAACCAGGCCGAATGCTTTCAATCAAGTATGGATAGCTACTGGGCGAGTTTATCAGCTGCCAGGGCTGTTACGAGCACCTATAGTACATCGTAAAGGCCCATCTTCACTGCATGTGCGCTCCAACCAGCGAGCTCCACCACAAGTAATGGAACGGTGTCAAGTCTGTTGACTAGTGCTTTACCGAAGGCATCGTCAACAGAGAGTACCGCGCACCAATCGAGCGGGAATGTTGGACTGGGAAAATTCAGTGGCAGGTCTCGGGGCGGTTATTGGAGGGCTGTTTGCTGGAATTGAAACATGTTAAGGAGTATTGGTACATGTAAATGATTAGGTGGCTTCTCGACTCATCGGTGGACAGACTTCCACTGCCCTATCCGTACAGTAGAGTGGCTAGCGACATCCAGTCGAGACCTCTAATATCGCTGGAATGACCAGCGAGTTAAGTTTCCACTTGAGGTACGGCAATGGATGCAGCTTGTCGAATGGAACCTTGTGAGAATTCTTGCAGTTGTCGCGCTCCTTAGTACCGCAGCTTCCGTCTCGAACGACACGTGGTAGGATATCACCACCGTACTTCCGCGTTGACGTGGGCTTCGTTGAGCGAAAGGTCTATGTTGACCTTTGGGTGCAGCATCGAATAGAGTGAGTTCACTATGAGCAGGAGAAAAGCGACGTGCAGTCCCGTCCAGTCCATGTGTATGACTGAAGCTTCGTTGTGTTATTTAGGGTTGGAGGTTCAACGCGACTGCGGTGATGCAAAGCTATCCGGGTATGCAGCTACAAGAGGGGATATGGTGGCAATTTCGTGCGAACGGGTGCGCTACGCATTGCAGTGTTCGTTTGCAGTACAAAAGAGGGCTATTTACGGGTCAAGCTCCAAAGAACTCGGTGAGAACGTGTATGTACTAGATGCCAGGACGTCTGGAGTTCTCTATCTTTCCATCGCAGCAACCTCCTGCCTTGTCTAGGCTAGCGCGCTTTACACAAGCTGTGAACGTCATAGACCGGAGCCTATCTCCGTCCCTGGATCTCACAACTCTACCGTCTATCTTATCAACACAAGCCATCAAGCCATCATGTACCCCGCCTCATGCGGCTGTTAGCTTCCGTAGGGTGAAGGTCCTGATGCACCGCGGACCACAGATATAGGGCGACGCGCCGCGAGCAAGGGTTCACGATAAGGAAATATGGATCGCAACATTAAACAGCACCTGATAGGACCATCTTGCATTCGATGTCGGCAGTGAGATGAAAGGCATCGGCATATCATTTGGGGTTGATGCTACTGTACTTATATTGTACGACATCATAGACGTGATTTCGTAGATTCTAAACCTCCAAAAGTTGCCAAAATGAGCGGTCCACCATCAGAGACAGCTGAAAAGAAGTCAGTACATTCGCCTCCGGTACCACATTCCGATATCGAGATCGGCAGCATTGATTTCGTCACGGAAAGCACCAAAGATGGCGACGAGGCCCTCCGTTTCCTAAGAAATCAGCATGATGTTGGTCAGATGACTTCCGAGGACGAGAGAAAGTTGGTAAAGAAGATAGACCGGATGATCATGCCGTTGATGTGGTGTTGTTACTGCTTACAGTATCTCGATAAGACTTTGGGTATGATAATGATTAAATGCTTCGACGACTGACTCGTTAACAATGGCCAGTGAATTATGCGGCCGTCATGGGCCTTTACGACGACGCCAATATTACCACGGCGCAATTCTCGAACCTCGCTCTCTTCTTCTATGTGTCGTATCTGGCCCTCGAATTTCCTCACGGATGGGGTATGCAACGCTATCCGACCGCAAAGTATCTTGGTGCCGCTGTCGCGCTGTGGGGTTTGGTGACTGCCCTGACATGTGTGTGCAAGAATTATGGCGCACTTGTCGCAACTCGGATCCTACTAGGGTGCTTTGAATCGGCGGTCGCGCCAAGCTTGATCTTGATAACAGGAATGTGGTACAAGAAGCAGGAACAACCGTTGCGTACCGGCATCTGGTATCTGGGTGTTGGAACAGGGACGATGATCGGGTCGCTGATCTCTTTTGGCTTCCAACACTACACAAGTAAGACCTTCACAAGCTGGCAGATCATGTTCTTGGTCGTCGGCCTCATCACAGTCTCAGTGGGCGTGCTCGGTAAGGATTCCCACATCAGAATCCTCATGCTCCGTATGCTGACCGGACAGTCATGCTTTTGCTTCCAGACAACCCGATGTCGTCGCGCCTGACTCCTTCAGAGAAGGTATGGGCCGTCGAACGCCTGCGTGAAAACCAGACTGGAATCGAGAACAAGCATTTCAAATGGCACCAAGTCGTTGAATGTCTCAAAGACCCGCAAACCTGGATGCTTTCGCTGATCACCATCTCCTCAAACGTCCCCAATGGTGCCGTATCGTCCTACCAGGCCACACTGATCAAGGGTTTCGGTTTCGACTCCAAGCACACAGCCCTCCTTCAGCTCCCATCTGGGGCAGTGAGCGTCATCTCCATTCTTATGGCCGCCTATCTCGCTGGTCACTTCGATCAACGAGGTCTCAATGTCGTAACTCTTCTTGTCCCTGGTGCCATTGGAGGCGCTCTCATGGCCTTCTTGCCCAATTCGAACAAAGCCGGAAAGCTAATTGGCAACTACCTCACCAACTGCATCGGCGCCAGTCTGCCATTGCTATACTCTTGGGTCGCCGCCAACATTGCCGGACACACCAAGAAGGTGACAATGAACGCGATTCTGCTCATGTCGTTCTGTCTCGGTAATATCATCGGCCCATTGACTTTTAGGCAGAAAGATGCACCAGAGTTCGTGCCTGCAAAGATCACAATCATTGTGACTTGCGCGATTGCAGCGGGGTTGACCTTGTTGTTGAGGATGTACTATTCCTGGGAGAACAAGAGGAGAGAGGCCCTGGCTGTGGGGAGGGTGAAGGACGAGGAGTTTTTGGATCTCACGGATAAGGAGAACAAGCACTTTAGGTATCGATTGTAGATGGAGATGAACCCAAGAATCAAAGTGTCTACTTTCGGTTTCCAGAGATGTGAAGCTGCCCAATACGATCTTGCCTCGCTGTCCCCAATCAGATTACGGACGTGGAGGCGGAGTCGCCTCGTTCCCACCCCGCTGTTATCGATAAGGAGCGATGCACGGGCCAACGCTAAAATAATTCTCGAACTCCAGCGCAACGCGAACGAACTCAATCAACTCTGTACGATACTCCACGCTCCGGCTCCGCTGTTGCTTACACATACACCAACCGCCAAACCCTCAGACGCGCCTCATCTGCAACAGGAAACGCACCACTTTGCAGCCATGCAGCGACGACAGGCTCGCGAACGGCGGGATTACCTTTATCGCAGGGCTTTGACGCTCAGAGATGCAGAGCTGGCAGCGAAGCGAGCCGCGTTGAAGCAGTCGCTCAGTTCTGGTAAACCTCTGACAAAGGACCTTGCTGAGGACACAGTCAGTTCAGCTCATTGTGCGCATCTTTGTTCAACAAGCTAACCTCAGCGTTAGAGCCTGCGACAAGACTACAAATATGACGAATCGAGGGCCGACCGAACGGTGGAAGAAGAACTCGGAATGGACGACGAATACTCGCAGTTGTCCGGCGTAGTAGACCCGCGCATCCTGGTCACAACCAGCCGAGACCCGTCAAGCCGATTGAGCACATTCGCGAAGGAGATCAGATTGTTGCTACCCACGAGTATACGACTGAACCGCGGAAATTTGATCCTGGGCAACCTCGTTGGGAGCGCGAAATCGAGCGGACTGTCGGACGTGGTCCTTGTGCACGAACACCGCGGAACCCCAACAGCCTTGACAGTCTCTCACCTTCCCCACGGCCCAACCGCTTCCTTCTCGCTGCACAACGTCGTCCTCCGCTCAGACATACCCAATGCGTCACGCGGCACGGTGTCGGAATCATATCCTCACTTGATTTTTGAGGGATTCACGTCAAAACTCGGTGAAAGAGTCGTCACAGTCATCAAGCATTTGTTCCCGCCGCGGGATGGCGCTGTCAAAACGGGCAACAGAGTCGTTACGTTCGTGAACAGGGAGGATACGATTGAGGTCAGGCACCACGTGTACGTGCGAACGGGGTACCAGAGCGTCGAGCTTGCAGAAGTGGGGCCCAGGATGAGCATGCGACTCTTCGAGATAAGGAGCGGGACACTAGACTCTAAGGAGGGAGACGTGGAGTGGCATCTCAACCAGTACACGCGGACGGGCAGGAAGAAAGACTATCTATGAGGGGAAGCTGCTTGACGAAGCGAAGGCTGAGCCCATCAGCGGGCGACAGCGAGGAACCGTTATACACGTGAAAGTTGTACGGTAATCCACTGTTCATGAGATTGAAGTGAAGCAACGCATCAGCTCGCGCCAGAAGCGAGCTCATCGGCGTAGATAGATATATACCCCAAACACTGACTCCAACTCATGCGCCTATGCTGATGCTTTTCCCTTCACCCTTTCCACAATCAACATGCCTCCCCACGAGTGCTTCGCACGGCGATCTCGTCGTCCCTTTACCTCCTTTAACCCGAAGTGTCGTTGAAGCCTCGTGCAAGCGTTGCCGCGTTCTCGCAGCACATCCACTGATCAGTTATATCACCCATCCCCGCTTGGCCTTCAATCCACCTCCATACCTTCCGCCTCCCTCGCGCTCCTCCCCTGTGCCGCCTTCCCCGCCTTCTTCGCCGCCCTCCCCCTCTCCTCCTCTAAACTCAACAAGCTTCCGTCAACCCTCAACACTCCCTTTCCCTTGCCACCCCTAACATCCCACTCCCTCACCCTCACCCGCATGCTGGTTCCCTTCTTCACCTCATTCAGCTCCCCATCCATCCACCAACCCCCCTCATCAGCAATCCTTCCATCAAACCCCTTCTTTTTCTTCCCCGTCTGCGCCGCATTCCACGTCCAGTCCGCAGGCAGATGCTCCTTCATGACGGTGATAGCGAAGGTGTTTAGGTGCGCGAGCGTGATGTGCGTGCCCGCCTGATGGGTGAGGGTAGCGTCGAGATAAGCGTTGGGCGCGGGGCGCCATACGAGCAAGGACGCGGTGGCCCAGACGTACGGCGCCATGTACTCGTCGACGCAGCGCGTGAGGACGACGCCTTCCTCGGCTTCGACGCGGCGTTCGTCGTCGTCGGAGTCGGGCGCAGAGGAGACGTGCTTGCGAGATGACTTGTGGGTGGAGGTTTTCGGCGGCTGCGCGGAGAGAGAGACGTCTTCGTAGGCGAGGATGACGCCCTTCGCGGGTGGGTAGTAGGTTAAGAGGAGCGGGGAAAAGACTTCGGCGCTGAGGGCGGGGAGCGCAGCGTGCAGGCTTATGGGTGGGAGAGGAACATATTGCGATATGCGTGTGACGTGGAGGAGATTGTCTTCGGACTCTTGGATTGGCGACATGGTGAGAGGCGTCCAAGACGTGTCGCGACGGTGCGGACGTTTGCGATCAGCTGTCGTCGGGATGTTGCGCGTATCAAAAAAAGTTGGAGATGTCGGAGGTAGCGAGGTCGAATCGCCGACGCTAAGGAAGAGTGGGTCTGGTGAGCCAGGTACAGGAACGGGACGATCGATGGAAGAAGTTTACGAAAGAGAACACTTGCATTTTTTAGGTCAAACAAGAAAAATATACTTTGTACAGGGAGTAGCAGCACCTCCACCTCGGTAGCAATTGCATTAATGCTATCCAGTCATGATGCACATAAGTCTATCCACTTTCACCCAATGCACATCCAAAGCCACTTCGCATCTTCCAGTTTGCGCAGCCAAGCCGTGCGTGCCGCGAGCTGGGTATCTCGGCGCCATAACACCGCACCGAGGGTGTTCATACCTTCGGGGTGGCGTGGTACAGCGCTCCTAATTGTGTAGATTACAGGAGTGTTTCCAACTGCTCACCGCTTGCCCTTCTCTTGCTCCTTCCGCTGGATCTTCGTGGCGACCCGCTGCAAAGCCGTCTTGATCTCGCCCTTCTTGAAGGCCGCGATATCATAGTAGTTCGGTGCGATGTCTAGCAGCCACTCGGGCTTCACCGACGTGACAGTGCGAATGTAATTCTTCGTAGTAAGCACAAACTCGTTGTACACCACCCACTCGCTGTCCTGGCCAAGCACGGTGCTGGGATGGAGCAGGACATTCTGCTCGTCCTTGACCGTCATGTACGCCTTGCCGTTGCCGTCGCGCTTGGCGACTTGCATGAAGAAACCAGCAACAAGCGCTCTCCGGATGTTCTCGTAGTACTTTTTGTTCTCGAAGGGCGTCGACATCAACTCGAGCTCCTCCCGCTCCATTATACGCTTCAGCTGGAGGCGAACGTTATCTGCCTGCTGCAAGGCACGGTACGACAGGAAGTGGTCATGGCACCACTGCTTGGGGTTGGCCTGCGCCTCTTCGCTCTTGAAGGCATGGTACACGTTCAGCATTGTCAGATGGTCGCCGTCTGGATGCGCGAACAAGTCCTTCATCTCGTCTGCTCGCTTTCGGTTGCTAGCTGGGCGAACGAAGATTTGCGGAACAGAGAGCAGTGCGGTGAGGGATAAAATCTCGTTCGAGCAATAGAACTCGGGCGAGACGATCAGCATGACTGCCAATGCAGGATCGAGCGGGAATTGCGAAGCGAGGGATCCCAGAGTGGTCAGCTCGCCTTCGTCGTCCAAACACGCCAAGTAGTTCAACTCCTCGAGAGCGCGCATAAGTGTCTCTGGCGCAGGTGGGTCCATGAGATCGAAATGAACAAGATCTTCAACACCCAACTTCTTCAACTCCAAGACAGTGCTCGCCAAGTTCGACCTCAGAACTTCGGGGTAAGTCTGCTCGATCAGCTCCTTCTTGAAGGCTGACTCTGTGTACAGCCTGAAGCACTTTCCTGGCCTAGTACGACCCGCACGACCAGCGCGCTGCTGTGCGGATGCTTTCGAAATAGGTGATACAAGCAATGACTCAACACGAATACGCGGGTTGTACACCTTCTGTTTACTGAAGCCAGGGTCGACGACGTACACAATGCCGTCAATGGTAAGCGACGTCTCAGCAATGTTGGTTGAGACAATGCACTTGCGCCCCGGGCGTCCACCGGGCCTGATGGGCGGAGGTGCGGGGCTGAAAATCTTCTGTTGTTGTGCGGGTGGCAGCGTACCGTATAACGGGTATACTACAAGCGGTCCAGCAGCATCTTCTCGGACCAAATCCTGCGCTTCCAAAGTGATCTTTCGGCAAGCATCCTCGATCTCCTCTTCTCCAGTAAGGAACAGCAGAATATCACCCTCGTCCTCAGTCGCGTGGATCTGCAGGACTGTCCGCAAAGCAGCCTCGACGTAATCCCGCTCGGGCGCAGGCGTGTAGAAGATCTCGACCGGGTGGGTACGACCGGGGACAGCAAGCAGTGGCGCATTGTGGAAATATTTCTGGAACTTGGTCGCGTCAAGCGTGGCACTCATGATGATCAACTTCAGATCCTTTCGCCGCAGAACCACCTCTTTCAGCAGACCCATCAGGATATCCGTCGCAAGGGTGCGCTCGTGGGCCTCGTCGAGAATGATAGTGCTATACCGCGTCAGGTTATTGTCGTGCATCGCCTCGCGCAGCAACATTCCGTCGGTCATGTATTTCAGCATGGTGTTGGGCCCGGTCTTGTCCTCGAAACGAATGCTATAACCGACTTCCTCTCCAAGCTCCACGTCCATCTCCTCGGCGACACGTTGGGCGACCGACATGGCGGCGACACGACGAGGTTGGGTACAGGCGACCATCTGGGCGCTCTTGTGAGGCATATCATCGAAGAGCACGAACTGGGGAATCTGCGTCGTCTTTCCGGAACCAGTCTCACCGACGAAGACAAGGATTTGATTTTCCTGATACAGCTTCAAGAACTCGTCTCGCTGCTTGTGGACAGGCAAATCCCTCCGCTTCTTCAAGATGCCCATATATCTGTTCGACAGCGACTTTCCCGTGAAGGGATTGAGCGGGCCATCTTCGGCGGCGGAGGCTTGCTTCGAGGTCGTTGCGTGGCGCTTGAAATCGTAAAGTCCGTCCGCGGTGTTAGCCTCTGCGCAAGTGTCAGTCGCGAAGGTCTCATAATGTAGCCTATCCACCGCAGTGTAGACTGGAGCAACGAGGCAAGGCTTACTGTCGTCGTTCCAATGTGCCAGGTACGGGTTGTTGGCAGCGTCGAGCTTGCCGTTTCCGTTCTCCATCTTTGGGCGCTTAGCGCTGCTGGTGGTGTCTTCGGTCGTGTACTCGCGCTTGGTCGCCATTTTGCTGGTGTGGCGGGGCGTCGCGGTGGTGATGATGTCCTACAACTTTTCTTTGCGCCCGGCGAAAATGTAGGACCGCCGCGTCACGTGATGCTGCTAGCTCGGCTCAAATATTTCGAGCTGCAGGTTTTCAAGAGTTGGTATCTGAAGCGCTCGCCAGCGGGAGCTTGGTTACCCTTTCATGAATGGACTTATGCTATGAAAGCTCTATACATGGCAACTTTTTGATCTTCAATGTGTGCTATGTCAGTTGGACCGGTGCAAGGCGCCAGGGTTCCACAGCTCCAATGTTTTCCTGCAGGGACCGACTAAGCAGGACGGTTCGCCGAGGCGACGCGACGCAGCACACCGACGTTGGCGCGAGGGAAGACAAATTTCTACCAGGCACCATGACCATGTAGCAATAGACTGATTTTGCGATTTTCGTCGCTACCTTAACTTCCCCACCGCCCTGACAATTTAGGCGTGATCCCACGACGCGACACGGCCATCCCACCTCCGCCCCGCCCCCACCATGGCCGACTCTACCTACAGCGCCGAAGAGGCGCGCCCCGTCTTCTACATTGGAGAGCATGAGACAAAGCGACCGCTGCCTGTTACGGCAGAGCTTGTGCACCATGCACAGGACCTCGGTGTAAGCCGTCCCCTTCTAGCGTCTATGCATTCTCGCCGTGCCAGAAATTTCGTGGGCACCCTCGAGCTATCGCATTTTCGCGACATAAATTCAGAGTCGCATAGGAAGACGATTATACCAGTAGCGAGAGCGCTCACACATGACAGTATGACATGCTTACGACTCCGATTACGAATGACAACTTCCATTCGCGCGTGTTGAGCCTGTTGCGCTCATACACTCATGCCACCGAGGGCTCGGCCCAGGCGCAACCGCTACCGTTGATACCCGCGCTGGAAGACGTTGATACCCCGTTGGTGCCAGACCATCTTATATCGCAGCTGGTCGCATTCACAAGCTCTTGGATAGACCTTGGCTCATCCGACCCTGTCATTGCGCACCTTTCACGACAGGTATTCCACTTGGAAATTCAATATGCTGCATTCTGCGGAGTCGTCAACGTCGTGGTGCCTGGGCCACGGGCGGCGAACGGGACCGATGGCATAGCCCAGTATGCGCGAGCGATTAAGGAGGCTCTCTCCACAGGAGCCTACGTCCAGCTGCATGTCATGATGCCTGTGGATTTCTCCAAGGCTTCTGAAGAGGGTGATCTGGGTGATCTGGCACGCTTTGTCCGGCCAGAATTTGCTCAGTCGCCTGGTCAGCAGGCACCAACTCTTTTCGCCGCCTGGGACGCGTGGAACACGATTCGAACCATCTGTAAATATGACAGCAGGCTATCAGTCGGTAAGAAATCATCAAAGCTTTTGACGCCCGCTTCGGTTGTTGGGCCCTGCCACAAATACCACATTGTAGTGTGTTTTCCAGGATGTGTAGTACTGGATTGGGCGGCGCGTCGGTCAGCTTCCCATGTTGACCATCCTTCGCACGACCTTTAGGTGTATGATACATCTTGGAGCGACATACCATCAGTGCGTTTGTGGCAGCATCCAGCTCCAGCGAAAACGATTATTGCGATCCATAGCTAACCAGTGTCCAGCACTTGACGTCCCAAAACGACTTCCATCGCTCTCACTGCAGTCAAGATGGTACTCTGAGCCAGTTCGTATGCTGATTCTCTCAGCCAAGTCCTTCATACCAAACGAGAAGGGCAGCTGGGTACTTCATAAAACGCTGCAGTTGTTCATCATGCGCTGCATGCGTCTCAAGACGACTCCATGGGTTCTTCTTGCGGATATTGGTCCGATCCCAGGCGTAGAAGATCCAGATGCTGTGTTCGAGTATAACGGAGGGTATCTTTCTCCTTCCGCAGCTGCCGATGCTCCTAGTCCCGGCTTGTCTGTGACTGCGGCACCAACTCCAGCCGAGGCGGCACAAATACCACAGAGACCTGCAAAGAAGAGCAGCAGTGACCCTACGCCGTATCTGAGCTACTTACGGTACATGCAGCGCAACCAACCTACTGCTACTCAGATCGAGCGCTTTGGTGACAATTTTCAAGACTACCTCCAGAGCCCTCTCCAGCCGCTTTCGGACAACCTTGAATCGATCACATATGAGGTCTTCGAGAAAGATCCCATCAAGTACGCGTGGTACGAGGAAGCCATTGCTAGGGCACTGGAGGACTGGCGTGGTCAAGAAAAATCGACCAGCTCCGAGGATGGTGCGGTTGTAATAGCTGTCGTAGGATCCGGTCGTGGTCCGCTGGTCACCCGAGCCTTGAGCGCGAGCGCACGCACTGGGGTCCCGGTCCGTGTCTACGCGATCGAGAAGAACCCCAACGCTTATGTTGTACTTCTGGGTCACAACAAGAACCTCTGGGGCGGCCAGGTCACTGTCGTGAAGACCGATATGCGCGCATGGAAAGGCCCGGTGAAGGCCGATGGCACCGCCGGCAATGTTGACATCTTAGTGAGTGAGCTACTCGGCAGCTTTGCGGATAACGAGCTTTCACCCGAGTGCCTCGACGGTGTGCAACACGTGCTCAACCCTAAACACGGCATATCGATCCCGTCTAGCTACACAGCGCACATGACGCCCATTGCTACGCCTAAGCTCTACGCGGACGTGCTCTCGCGCTCCCACGGCGACTCAAGCGTTTTCGGGATCCCATGGGTCGTCATGTTTTCCCAATTCGATTTTCTGTCCATCCAGCCGAATCAGTCTCAAATCGCTGCCCAGCTCTCAGACGGCAGGAAGATGCGGGACTTTGATTTGAACCCGCCGCTCGAACCGCTCATTCACACCGCATGGGAGTTCACACACCCACAGCCTCCCACGGTTCTTGCCCAGTCATCCCTACGCCGCGGAGGCTCAGCCGTCGGCGGCGGAGGCGGCTTCCTTGGCGGTGACGGCGCGAACGAGCACAACTACCGACACTGCAAGGTCACGTACCCGATCCAAGAGCAGGGTGTGTGCCACGGACTCGCTGGGTACTTCGAGACGGTGCTGTACAGCGGGTCACAGGGCCCAGTCGAGCTGAGCACAAACCCGGTCACCATGGAGGCGAAGAGCAAGGATATGATCTCGTGGTTCCCCATCTTCTTTCCATTAAGGGTATGTTCAAGTGTGACCCAGAGAATATGATTGAGACTAATTTCATTTGCAGACCCCGGTCCATCTCCCATCAAACTCGGAGCTCGAAGTCAGCATGTGGAGGCAGACGGACGACCGCAAGGTGTGGTACGAGTGGCTTGTGGAGGCGTTTGCGACGGTCGGTGGTCAGCGGATTCGCTTGGGAGTTTCGGACCTGCACTCCAGTAAGAGCCATGGGTGCTTGATGTAGACGTGGCGTACTGCTCGTGCACTTCCTCTACTGGCATCTGCAGAGAGACTGTGGTCCTGCCATAGCATAACGATACCATTGATTCGTGTCATGATTGTCATTGCGAGTAGCTATTGTATCCGACAACCTCCCGTCCCACTCCAACCTCTTATCTGCTCTCAGTTCCCAAGCTAAAGATCCACGCACATCGCATTTCCATCGTCACGTTACCATGTTCCCCCTTCCCTTTGCCAAGCTCCTCCCCACCCATTACCACCCCTTGTCACCTCGCCCTTCGTCTTCTTTTCCTCGTCCCTGCATCGACTAACCCCCCGCAACCGCGGCCATGCTTCCCCCTACCGCTCCTAGCGCGCCTGCTTTCTTCTTCTTCTTGTCCTTCTTCATCTTGGCGTACTGCTCAGCGGCGTAGGCGTCGTAAGCGGAGTTACCGGCGCCGAAATGCTGGGCTGGTGCGGGCGCAGCCTGGTAGGCGGGTGTGGGTTTGGAGGAGTGGCAGCCCATTATGATGAAAGTTTCCCAAAGATAGGCCTGCTGGGATGTGTGAAGTGGTCCTTGTGTTGACTGCGATGACGCTGGATGCTGTTCAGGGTCAGGTCGGGCGAAAAGCGTGCGATGGTAGTGTGATTGTTGTAGTGACGGTCGTTATTAGAAGTAAATCATGAATTTGGGATACGACTGTATTGCGGTGGTCTGGATGGAGAAGAAGAAGAGTGTGTTGCATAGTTCAAATAAGCTTTGAGGATTGGGGGGGATCTCAAAAAGAAGGTCATAAAATGAACCGTCCCGCTAGCATATCGCTCCTGTGTGTACAGTCAGAGATGGAATGCAGCAGCTTGAGTGGAACTAAAAATCCTACGATGCACGGCTCGGGTTGTAGCAACTACCGAATGCTAAGTTGTTGGCATGCCCTTCTTTTGGTATGAAGAGACACTGGTAATAATATTTTCTTGGACATAAATACGATCCTCAATCTTGAAACCATCCAGCTATACCGCTCGGTCAAACCACTGTATACACTCCATACTATGGTCCTTAGTCGACATGGTGAATACTCAAGGCTAGAGGCCCATAGCCAGCCAGTGAATATGTGTCGGCCGATAGCCTTACCCAGCGAACGGGATTGCCTAAACAGGATTTGTGGAGCAAGAAAGTAGGGTACGGATGACATCATACCCTCCCGAAATGCGCTGAATCTGCATGTACAGCACACGCACGTGCCACTGCGGAGACGAACCTTGATACATCCTTACCGCTGTCAATCTCCTCTGCGCAGCTCCTTTCCTTTCTCCGGAAGGTTGCAATGCGCTCGCGACCGTAATTCCTACGACGCCGCATGCGCCACAGAGACCCCTCTTGGTGCAAGGGTGCAAGCAGGCATGCAATCTGGATTAAACCGCAAGCGCCGCCGTGTAACCACTCAACGGCCATGCACATGGCTTGGCAGCATGCTGCACGCAAGGTTTCGTGCCCGTTGGCAAGGGCTAGCCTACGACCTTCCCCAGTTTTTGCCTCTGGGTTAGGTGGAATGTTTCAGACGCCAGGGCCATGGCGAGGGGCTTTCTTGCGATTGGTAGGGCGATTCCGGCGGGTGCTTGGCGGGCGAGTGTGCAGGTGGCGGTCACTGGTAATGGGAGTGTAAAAATGAACGATATGTCGTTGGCCTTTTGGGTGTCATCGGGCGTGTTCGTTGCTCGCTTCTTGTGTTCATTTCTAAGGTGTCGGCGAGCATACCATTACCGCGCATTGGAAGAGCACTGGCATCTTGGAAGCTGCGCCTACAAGACTTGGAAGGACCGACCGAGTGACGCGACTACACGTACTACTCAAACGACTTGGTTTGCGGGTACTTGGGTGATCTTCTGACGCCTTCCCAAACGCCATCGATATCAAGAATTTGTGCTGGAACAGCGGCTCTCCCCAACACCATACCACGTTACGTTGCCTGCTCATCTCATCCTTTTCAACCACCGCAAAAACTCGGGATCGAAGGGAAACTACAATGGGCAATAAACCAAGTGCCATCGAGAGCTGCTTGATTTCTGCAGTGGGCGGTGACAAGGGACTCATCGCAGGGCAGTCCACCATCGGATATCAGTTATCACACGTCAAGCCGTACAATCTCGACATTCCCGTGAAACCCTCAGCAGTTACATACCCGAAGACGTCAGAGCAAGTCGCCGCCATCGTCAAATGCGCAGTGGACAATAGCCTGAAGGTCCAACCTCGTAGTGGTGGACACAGTTACGCCAATTATGGAATCGGTGGCGAAGATGGATCGATCGTGGTGGACCTCAAGAACTTCCAGCAATTCAGCATGGACAAAACGACATGGCAAGCAACCATCGGAGGCGGAACGCTTCTTGGTGATGTAACCAAACGCCTGCACGACAACGGCAATCGAGCTATAGCCCACGGAACTTGTCCACAAGTCGGCATCGGAGGACACGCTACCATCGGAGGCCTGGGACCCAGTTCGCGCATGTGGGGATCATCGCTGGACCACGTGCAAGAAGTTGAAGTAGTTCTTGCCAACTCTTCCGTTATTCGCGCATCGGAAGACCAGAACGCCGATGTGTTCTGGGCGCTGAAAGGCGCGGGAGCGGGATTCGGCATCATCACGGAGTTCAAAGTGAGAACGCAGGCCGAGCCTGATCAGACGACGCTCTACAGCTATGGCATCCAGGCCGGTAGCGCACAGGACAAGGCGACTGCGTTCAAAAAATGGCAGGAGCTCATATCGGATCCGGACCTTTCGCGTAAGTTCGCCTCGCAGTTCATCATGACTGAGCTTGGTGTGGTGGTCACCGGCACGTTCTTTGGTCCCCAGTCCGAATTCGACAGCCTCAACATTTCCAGCCGACTTCCCGATGCTGACGAAAGCGTCGTTGTGCTCGACGACTGGCTCGGTGTTGTCGGTCACTGGGCCGAGGATCTAGGTAAGTCATTTCCCCTCCCTGGCGTGCATCACACGTACTGACCTCCCCCAGCGCTCGAGCTCGCCGGAGGTATCCAATCCAATTTCTATGCCAAATCGCTCGCCTACACCAAAGATGATCTCATCCCGGACGCCGCGGTCGACGACCTCTTCAAGTACATTGACTCCACCGACAAAGGCACCCTCGCGTGGTTTCTCATTTGGGACCTCGAAGGCGGCGCCATCAACGACGTTGCGCCCGACGCTACCGCCTACGGCCACCGCAATGCGCTGTTTTACCACCAGGCATACGCCGTCAACCTATTCGGCCGCGTTGACGACACCATCCGGGACTTTCTCACAGGTCTGAACAAAGTTGTCACGGATGCGCTGGGCCATGACCTTGGAGCCTACGCCGGGTATGTTGATCGTGCGCTGGGGGATGATGGACCAAGCAAGTATTGGGGTGATAATCTGGAGCGCCTGCAGCAAATCAAAGCGGTCGTGGATCCCGAGGATGTGTTCCATAATCCGCAGAGTGTGCGTCCGAAGGCTTAGGAGGTCGGTCGGGGTGCGACGCTTCGGGTAGGGTGGGTGACCAAGTGGTTCGAGTTGGGGTGGATGGTAATACTGCTGGGCGGATATACCCTTTTCTAGTTTTATTCATGTTTTGCAAGCGTTGGTGCGTTCGTGGGCGGTAGCCAGTAGCTTACCGGTGGCACGGAAGAGTCAATAGTCCTAATTTCTGACTAGACCCCAGAGCGGTTCCCAATGATCCCGCATCTCTTCGAGACGCACGACTGGACGTTTGAAGAAGATCTTTAAGCGATTGAATTGACTAAAATGGTGCTCGGTATGGCGATGGAAAACCATGTTTGATCGCTAGGCCTAGCTAGTAACGCTATGGTGACTTATGATCAAGAGCTGCATCATGCGTCATTCCGCACATCACTTTAGACAAACGAAAAGGAGGCCGCTCCATGACTTGGCCATCAATAGTTTCTCACTCCAATGATCCTAATAGCCCGTGCAATCTTGCTGTATCTGCGAGCGGCAAACGAATCACACTTGAACTGTTCCACGTCGCACTCACCCTTTTCTCCTTCCTGCCAACTACAACACCAATCTTCTGTCAGTCCTCGAAACACGTCCGCGAGCACATAACTCTCTTAGGATACTCAAGGTGCTGCCAAGGTTCCAACACCCAGCTGCAATGAGATCCTGTGCGAATCTCCTTTGTCTCCTCGCGTTCTCGACCCTGGGTTTTGCGTTACAGAACAAGCCGTCGCCCTCGAAGCATGTCTCATCCTGCGGCTACACCAGAATGTGGCCTCAAGACGACGCACCTGATTGCAAGCACAATCTCAGCTCCCCCTGCCTTGTCGACAACAACACCTGCGGCCGGATCCCCGCCAACTTGACTTTCATTACTATTTCCGATGAATGTTCATGTGGCTTCTACAACATGTCAGTTACGCCTTGGCATGTGCATTTATGAGAGTTAAATGGCTAACTGATTTCAGTGCCAATTGCTCTGATTTCACTGCACAGTCCTTTGACGGTGTCGCTGTCACGGATGCGATTCTCTATGGCACTATGCGATATTACAGATGTCACCGAATTGATCAGGAGAGTGGAAGTGGGCAGATGCTGGAGGTTGGGTTGGGCTCTTTCCTCGTCGGAATCGTGCTTGCGGTGGTCCTTTCAGGGCTTTGATAGTATGGGTTCACACTGGAGATTCGACCATCAAGTCATGTACGGTAATACGAAGAGCGGGAATGAGCCGGTCTGGCCAACGTGAACCACAAGAAGATTTGGAATTGACGACTTGCTTTTTGGCTCTTGTTGGATAGAATGACACAATTCTTGTTTCTTACAGAGTATCAGTGGTGAGAGTCCAATGAATGCTATTCGAACACTACAGTCTGTCATTCAAAGATATTCCCGGCATGTTGGTGAAAACATTAGACTTTTCTTTTTCTTCCTCTGTGGGCTTCTGGTGCATCTTGACACGGAATGTCATCTTCGACAGACTTCAATCCACAGCATTTGTCACTTGGCAAATAGACGGAAATTGGGGGACAGCTTCTGCTTGCTAGGAGAATGAGCCAAGTTTCCCGCTTCCCGCGTGTCACAAACTTACATGCACAAATCATCTCACCCGATTCTCTGATTATTGCCAGCTGCCACTCGGCGAAAATATAAGGCGCTACCCGCACACTTGAGTCATCCACCTCTCCTCCACCCTTCTCTTCTAACTTCCCTTTCCCATCTTCCCAAGATTGTCAACTTCCTTTGTCGTTCAACACAAGTATCTCTTCCACAATGAAGGTCCTCGGCACAGTCCTCGCTTCCTTCGCCGAGCTTGCGGCTCTTGCAACCGCGCGTCTTGCGGTCAGCTATCACTTCTCTGGAGCCCCTTCAGTGCCCTCTCATACGCCTCTCATCATCTTTTCAACCCATATTGACACGGCTGTCGAGTGTGCAGCTCAAGATACTCGTCCTGCACTGGTATCGATCCCCTGCACCCACCCACCACTGTGTCCGGTATGCCGACTGCGACCCGAAGGCGATCCCCGACGACTTGCGATCCATTTGCGTCGCCTATATCTACCACTAGGCACGCCTCGAGCCCCACTACCCCGGTCCGGCACAACTACAGCATGAGCACGTCTTCCAATGGCTTAATGATCAGCGCCCACTTCCACTCCAGTTGTCGAAATCTGCGGTTTTTCAAAGCCAGATCTTAATACCCCTGAGGCTTACATAACGGAGATCAAGGTTCCGCTGGGTGTGTGTCAGAGAGCGGGCGTTCCGAAATCTGCCAACTTCGTTGACATCGTAGGAGCGCTCTGGTGCGAATTCTACAAGTGAGTAGTTTTGCCGGAACCAGTGGCGACAATGTTTGATTGACTGTTCCATGCAGTTTTCACGACGGATCCAAGCAGGCTGATCCCGAGAGAATGTATGGGCCATTCCTGGACTACAATATTTCCAAATACCAAGGTCAAGGCTACCGGTGTGACTACTTCTATGTGGGGGATGAGCGTGTAAGAGGCGATGTGAAGACTTCTCTCACGGCACACGGACGGTGAAACAGTTTCGATGGTGTTACATGGCGCAGCACCCACGTCAAGGCGGATTCAACAGGTAGTCAGCCATAAGATGTTCCATGCAGTGATACGGCGAGCTCCTCGGAGGTTCACGACACCACAACATCTTATTCCCGTCAGTAAATTCCATGAGGCGAAGTAAAGTCAATAATTAACCGAAATGCCTGCATTTCCCAGTTCGTGAGGTCGTGCTACGCCGCGACAAAGACCCCACGTGCCACGCCGCAAGAGCAACAGCCTCGCGTCGCGTCCCCGGCGTTCACCTCGTTTCCAGCCAGGGGGAAAAACGATCGACGGAATGGTCTGAGGTGAAGCTGCGCTCCGTTTGCACGCACGAAGCGCCATGACCTTCGCCTCGCCGCGATTTCCCCGTTGCCCTTGCCGCCGTTTGTATAAAACCGCTCTCGCCTCGAGACCACCCACATTACCACGCACTCTCTTTCTCTCTCTTTCTCTCTCAGCTGAGTCCGTCTTTTCGAATCATCCAACTCCAATCACCACATCATCATCACCATGCGCCTCTTCGCGATCCTCTCCGCGAGCTTCTCCAGCCTCGCGCTCGCGAGCGCCGCCGCCGTCCCCACGGCCAAAGCCAACACTGCCGGGCACTTGACCTACGGCGACGTTCAGCTCGACCTCAAAACGAACGGCTGCCAGGCAGTGCCGCAAAACAAGGACGACGGGCTGCCCAAGCCGAGCACACTGTTCACGAAGCTCCAGGTCAATGGCGGATACGCCTGCCAGCTCTACCGGTAAGTACATTTACCCTCTCCTCACAGCATGGCCGTTGGGTAATTCGCGGACATGGAGGGGTAGCACAATGTGCAGGTTGCTGATACGGTGGATTGCAGCCAAACCAACTGCGTCGACTCCTTCTGGAAGGTGGACGGTCCCCATCAGCAGGCGGAGTATGTCGACGGGTGGCTGTTTAGCGCCAAGTGCGTCACTGTTGCCCCCAAGAAGATCTAAGACCGCGACCTGCCCTCCTGCAACGCGGCTGATGATGGCGGAAACCAGGCGGGCAACTCGTGGGGCAGCATGCACCATATAGCTTTCTAATGGCTTTCGGCTTTTCCGGCATGCTGGGTTTGCGGACAGAGCGTGGGGTTCGGGTGAGAAACCTGGAGACAGGAATTGTAGACAGCACACAGGGACAGCTTCTGCTACCTGAACATCTTGAAAGTTTAATACCATGTCCATGGAACGGCAGAATGTGAACTTACAAGACAATGACCAGGATCGATCGACGGACCTACAGCATCGTCCAGATGGCAATGTCGGGCGCACGACCAACTGTCAAAGAGATTCACGCGTGTTGGCAAGCAAGGCACAATGAAAATCGTAATTCGTGACCTGTATCGAAGCGTCCTCGTCTATAAGTGCACACATGACGTTCGATCTTACATCTCGCATCTCCATGAGCTCAAAGTCCTCGCCGTGGCTTCCAAACCTTCGCTTTTCGGTTGGGTGACCCGCGGTATCTCCAGTTCACATCAGAGGCATCTCTGGTTCGTCCAGCATCTCAACGTGGAGATTGGCCATGCGCGCTGTCGCAGCCTACACCTCTCAACGCGGCGCGTCCTCTATTCTTCCCTATATATCTGTTCGGACTTCCACACACCGTTCATACTGTCTCCTAGTCAGCCACACATCCTTTCACCCCTGCATTTCCGTACTCACCGTCCAAATAATCTGCCGCAATCAACAACTCCAGACACAGCTCCGGTGGAATCTCCAAATCTGGCACATCCTTGCTCTCTGCGTGCTTCTGGTTGTAGTACAGGTACTCGCAGACCTTTTCGAGGACGACGCCGTTGATGGTGGGCAGTTCCATACGGTTCTCCGATACCTCGCGGAAGCCGGCTGTTTTCCCAGTCTATATCAGCTACTTGTTTCGGAAATAACGAGGGAAGAGAAGGGAAGATGGCTGGGGAGAGAGAGGAAGGGAGAATTACAGGACTGGTCAAAAGCTTTCTTGATGGTGCCCGCGATGCAGGCGGCGTCGCGCAGGATTTTGAATTCGTAGCCATCGTTGGAAACGAGCGTTACGTAGGCGGAAGTGGGCTTGGGGTCGGCTGACATGGTGGGTGGGTGATGGGCGGTGGAATGGGAGGCAAGTAGGATCTGCGGGGAAGATGAGGCGAAGGACGCGCGATGGGTAGGCACGCAATCACGTGGGTTCGCGTAGAGTGTGTGACGTAAGCTACCGACGACGAAACTCCATGCACATCTACCCACGGCTTCGCGCAACTTTCTCGAGCAATTGTCAGAGAGGGCGATCCTCGATACTAGCTCAAAACAATTGCTACAACTACGATGCACCAATAACTGCGACAGTCCCGACCTCACCACTCCATTTCGACCGCAGTGCACCTCCCAACCCACACCTCAACCACCCTAATGCGCCCCCCGCACGTCCTCATAACCGGCGGCTCCCGAGGCATCGGCCTCTCGATCGCACACCTCTTCGCCCACAACGCCTACCGGTGCACCATTGTTTCGCGCTCAGAAGCACCCCTCCGCGCCGCCGTTGCATCACTCCCCGCGCCCTCATCTGCAAAACACGCGTACATAACTGGCGACATCGCATCCCCTACCTTCTGGAGCAGCGCGGGAATCGGATCTTCCCTGCCAGCCAAAGATGAAGCGAGTAAGCTGGATGTCCTGGTGAACTGCGCGGGCGTCACGCAAGGCTCCTTGTTCGCCGCCACACCTCCCGAGCAGATTCAGCACATCGTCGACACAAATCTCACGGGAGTGATGGTGGGGACGCGATTTCTACTACGGGGGCGGTACTTTGGGAAAGGAAGGGAGGAGGGCAGCAATAAGTGCATTATCAATGTCGCGAGTCTGCTCGCGACGCACGGAGGGCACGGGGCGGTCGCGTATGCAGCCAGTAAGGCCGGGGTGTTGGGCTTTACGCGGGCGCTTGCTAGTGAATTAGGGAGGCAAGGGATACGGGTGAACGCGGTGGTGCCGGGGTATGTGGAGACGGATATGACTGGAGGTGAGTTTCGGCATCGCATCGATTTGTTTGAAGCAGTGGATTGTGTGAGGGCGCTGGGCGCCTTTTGATGTGATGAATGGAGCGCTAACTAATATACATTCAGACCTGGACCACGCGGCGCTGTCCTCCCGCATCCCGCTCGGGCGGCTGGGTAAGCCCGAAGAAATTGCCTCCGCAGCGCTGTTCCTGGCGCAAAACGAGTACGCGCATAACTGTGTGATCAATCTCGATGGCGGCCTGTCGGCCGTATGAGACGGCTCCGCGCCGCAACGATGTCTGCGCCGTTTCGTTTGCCAAGGTACACAGATCAAAAAGGTGGTGATCAAGCGATCCAAAACCAGCCCCGCTCCAATGTGTATCCAATGGTCCTTCAGAACGCCACAGAACGATGCCATTGCGGGTCATGCATTGGCGATGGAATGGGGGAAATCCAGCAGGGTAGCGGAAGGACTAGTAAGGCGATGTACGTGAGACCGCTTCAAATGCTGGTCAGGTTGACGATAGTGGGTGGGGAAAGGATGTGAGCACTCGTAGGTGCATGATAGGCGCACATAAGGTGGGATCAAGCTCCGCAGCGGCTGGTATAGAGATGTCGGGAGAGATCCCAGGTAGCATAACACGAGATGCAGCTGCGATGTCGAACACCCTTCTAGAAGAATGGGCAACCTCAGTCGTCGTCAAGAACAATAATCCCATCATTCGCGTCATCGACGATGACGAAGTCATCATCAGGCTTTGCGGCGACTTTGCCCTTCTTCTTGACCAGCTCTTCCTCGAAACCAGCCTCGTCGGCCGTACGCTTGATACCGTTAGTAGCGCCGTTGGTCGCACCGTTAGTGAGACCGTTGGTAACGATTGGTCGCCAGTCACCGTTGGTCTCAGCGGGCGGCGTTGCAGCCTTGGGTTTGAGAGGTATCTCGGGCTTCTGGGTGAGGTCGATTGGTCTCGCTTCTGATTCCATCGGCTGCTCAGAGATGTGTAGCACCAGATTGACCCTCGCACCCTCCTCGGCGTCATCAATGACTGTGATGGAGGCGTCATTGTTGAGGCCCAACTCGGCGAAGGTCTTGTTAAGGTTGGCATCTTCCTCAGGGTCGTAAAGCAAGCCAGCTTCGCTGTTGATGCTGAACTCCTCGCCGTAGCCGAGCTGCAAGCGGAGAAGGTTCTCGACAAGGTCGTTCAAGGTAGCCCGGCTAGCATCTACAACAATGGTAGATTGCGCGACGCTACAAACAGGACATGACGCGTTAGGGGAGCTAAGACCCTCGGTCGTCAACCGGCGCTCAGTACCGTTCGGGGCAAGGAATACCATCTTTGCCTTAGATAGCTTCTGGGAGAATGCCTCGTCTGGTTTGACCTCGACTTGCTCCGCTTTCGCGTCGGCTTTGGAAGACTCCTTGCTCGATCCAGTGAGCTGCGCGTCGTTAAGTTTCGCGCTCAACTCGTCCTTAGCGATCACTGCGCGCATGACCTTGAAAGCCTGCAGGACACAGATAGAAGCCGTCATTGCATTTGTGGTTGCAATCGCCGGAATGATGTTGCCAGCCATTTCTACACCAGTCAGTAGGGTCCACAAAGACAATGAACGTACTTACGCTTGATGTCAAACTTCGACCTCCCCTCTATGCCGAAGATGATGGACCTTAGATTCGCGCTGGCAGCAACAAAGTCCAAAGTATCCTCATCGTCCTTGTCGAAGCTAAGAATCGGCGGCGAGTTGCCTGTATCACCGCTCGCCTTGCTTTCTTCCATGCGATCGCTCAGTCGCCGCAGACTGTGCAAGAATACTGCAAAGTTTTCTGTGACTGTCCACGCCGTTTGATCCTTGCTTGCGATGTTCTTCTCGACGCTAGGAAGTGCCTTTAGGAGGTCCTCGAAATCTAGGGCAGTGGGCGCCTTCCGCGTTTTCCACATGTCTTCCATGCTTCGTAACCGCTCAATGTCTTCCTTAAAAACCTTGTCGAATACTAGCTTTGGGAACTCTTCCGATCCCATTGTCCCGCGGATGCGCTTCAATGCTTGCGACTCGTTGCGCAGGTTCTCAATCTCTTTCCGGTTCTCCGAGTCCTCGCTATGGTCTAGCTCCGGCGCATCGTCCTCCGAGGTGCCGAATATCTCGGTGAAGAGGTATGATTTGGCCCACACAATGCAGTGAATCGGCTGCGACGGGGTGCTTCGGATGGTGCACACGGGAAAAGATTTGGGTGCCTCTTTCGGCGTGCAGTCGTAGCATTGAGTCTTGCCCTGTCCACTTGATTAGCCACTTGCGCGAGTCCGTTTCTCACAGCAGGCGCACCTTCTGGATGACCTGCACCTGGCCGTTGAAGCCGGTCGTTCCACTCTCGATCAGTGGCACATCGGCTGCCAAGCACATCTTATTGACATGGCGGCGCGCCTCCAGATTGTCCAGCGCATTGAACACAATGTCAAATTTGCTAAACCACGCAACGTTGAACCTGGGATCCTTGATGTTGTCGTGGTACGCCTCGATCTTGACGTTGGGGTTGAATCTGCCCGCCGACTCCTTCGCGACCTGTGGGACCGTCAGCGGCGCTGTAGTTTCACCTCGCATGCCGGGCACTGCATACCAGAGCTTTGGACTTCTTAATGTGCTCATTGCGGAAGAGGAACTGGCGATTGAGATTGCTAAGGTCAATCGTGTCGAGGTCGACGATGTGGATCTCGCCGAAGCCGGTCAGGACGAGGTTCTTGAGCAGCTCGCAGCCAATGCCGCCGGCGCCCACCATCAGCACGCGCGCCTATAGTTGCGTCAGTATATCGCGCGCATAGCGGGAGCTCGTTTCTCCCAGAACAGCCTGAAGAGCACCCGACGCACCTGCTTGATGCGCGCATGCAGATTGGAGCCGAGGCTCTTGCCCGCGTGTTTGTCGCGTCCAGTCGCCATTTTTGTAGGTTGCCTGGGCGTGCGGCGGTCCGGAGAAGGGGAGGAAGACGTCCACGACGGCGAGAGAGCGCCTCGGGTTGGACGTCAGTGGGCACGGACAACAGCGGTCCAATTGGGAAAAGTGAGAACGCTGATGCAGCCGCATTTCTTGGCGCGCTCGCCGCGGATCAGCCCTACAAGGGTTAGCGGTGAATGAGGATCCACGCTCGAAACTGCCCGCATTCTTCTCTTACCCCCGCGTTTTTCTCTCCTTCACTTGCTTTTCGAAAATAGCAAGACAGTCCTGCCTGGAATAACTTGCACTGCATCGAAAGCTGTGGTCACATGCCAGGCGCTTTCCAACAAACACAGCACGTAGCCAAAAGTTTTAGTACTGCCTTGCTCCTCGTGGGTCAACACAGTGCACTCAAGCTTCAACTCAAACATCTTAGTAGGACCCAAAGTAAGAGCTAGACTTGGCAAATTTTGTTGGCTATACCTAGATCCACCACCAAGCTCAACAACAGTCAGGCAGCAGCAATGTCAGACGACGATGTCGATCATGAGCTCCTGGCATTGATGAGGCAGAAGTTCGGCCTTGGAAGGGCAAATCCCAACGCTCCTCCCGACACCAAGGTCCTCGAACATGCTCAGTTCATCTGCGACAACAGCATCGACGTCGCCATCAGCATGGCACATACCAAGTTGGCTGCAATTGCAGTGTCTGAAGAAATGCAAAAGCGGGAATACAGCACGAAATCATGGTCTGAGCATGAACTCCATCCAAAAGCAAAGGATGAGGCCACTGTAAATTTCATATTCACCATGGACCTGCTGAACTTCAGTTTCTGGAGTTTGAGGGGCGAAGAGGAACGGTTCACTGTCGACTATAAGGGCAGGAAGTGGACCGGGTACTGGAGTCTTGTGGCTGCTTTGCAGAGGGCTCTCGATGAGGGAATACCAATCACGAGCCCAGAATTTTGGTTTGATGGTGAGAAGGACGAACAAGAAGTGAGACGCAACGCCGGCACGGCATCAGGAGTAACAAAGTCCGCCCCATGGAAAGACCCTGAGGCTCCTCGTCTCCCCAATGAGGCATTCAATACAGGCGTGTATCCCGACCCTCCAGCTCCTCGATTACCAAACGAATCATTTGATACTGGCGTATATCCAGACCCTGAATCACCACAGCAACCCGCTGCAAGCGAAGCCAACGTCACGGCCAATTCCCACGATGGCAGCATAGAAGTTGCAGATGAGAGAATACTCGAAGACCAGCACGACGACGACTCAGATATATGGTCCGATGCCCTAGAAGCGCAAAGTGAGGAAGCTGCGGGTCCAGGACAAAGCCCCCAGCTTAACGAGGAGGAGTTGGCGGCCCCACAACGAGTTCGCTGCACAGAAGACGTTCTACGTCACGTGTTCCGCTCCTCTACCAACGAAGAAATCCCCATGTTCAACCTACGCGTCCACTGCCTGCGCGAAGCCGGTCGTGTCCTACACGACCACTTCGACGGCAGCGTCGTCACACTCATCCAAGATGCCAAAGGTTCTGCAGCGGGTCTGGTCAACTTACTGGCTGACCGCTTCTCTTGCTTCAAGGACGAGTCTAACTATGAGCGGAAGAAGGTGCGGTTCTTGAAGCGGGCGCAGATTTTCGTCGCGGATCTGTGGGCCGCATTTGAGGGGGAGGGGTACGGCGAGTTCAACGACATTGACAAAATCACGATGTTTGCGGGTATGCTCTCGGGAATCTTGGCATTGGTGAATCACAGCTGACAGGTCAGACTACCGTGTGCCGCAAATACTGCACTCGCTGGGCCTCATCTCTTATTGTCCGCCGTTGGAGGGTCGCATCCGTCGTGGTGAGATTATCGAATCCGGACATTCGTGGGAAGTGCAAATACGAGGTGGGCAATTCCATTTATGTTACTCTGACAAAAGCTTATTTAGTGTTCCCAGGTTGCAGTATATGGGCGATTGAGCTGCTCCGGCGGGAGATCCTCAAGATACAACCTAATGCAAAGGTCAATGCCATCCTGCTAGACTTCTTTCTATACGACTTGGCGAAAGAGAAGGAGAAAGCTGGCGAAGAAACCTTACCGCACCATAGGACGCGGAGTATATGGTACTAGATTTCTGATTACCAGGTTGGCTGCGACCAGACGGCGGAAAGGCTGCCCTGCTATGCGCACTGCTTCGCAACATTGCACCAAACACCGCCGTCCGCTCTGCTCTTGCCGAAAGTTTGCGGCTATAAAGTTGGCATCACATGGAGCCATCCGTTACTAATAAGGGCCTGTTCGGTTCCAGTGTGATCGGGAGGTGTGATCGTACGGATGGGGTATAGTTAATTAACGCGCGTCAGCAGAGTTTAGGGTGCGCTAAGTAGGGATCCGGACGCCGTCTGACGTAGGTCGATCAAGCAACTGTTCGGTGTGATCGGATCCGTAGCTCCTTTTGGATTTAGGTAGTAAAGCTACAGTAATCAGAAATTCGATTGTTGTTATCTACACCAATGGATTCCCAGTTCAACTTTATTGAGTGGTCACAGAGCCCATCTCGAACGCCTGGCGGCCGACGACGATCGTTCATATGGACTCCAGAGATGGTGGAGACTCTCCTCCAAGCCCTAGTCGAGCAGGTAGAGAGCGGCCAGCGAGCGGATTCAGGATACAAGGTGGCTGCGTGGGAGATGGCAACGAAGGAGGTTAACCTGTGTATGGTCCCAATGAGATATCCCCGATCACACTCGAACCGAACAGGCCCTAATTGCTTCGATCCGACTATTCCTGTATGATCAAATCACCATGACCTCCGATATCGCAGACCCTGATTTGAAACTCCCACGAAGCTGTGAAATGCGAAGAGCATTGCTCGGCTCAAGATGATGAGTCGTTTGTGGCTCCGCTATTCGGCAAGACGCTGATAGGTTGGAGCTCGGCTACTGCCGGCCCAAAATGGATAGTCTAGGTACATGCACGCGAATCCCCACGACGGCGCATACTGCAGGTACAACAATATTGTGGGATCACGACCTTATCTTCTCTCTGCAGTACAATTCGTTCGTAATGAGGTCACCGCTCACTTGCGCAATCAATGGGTGTCAAGCAAGATATGGGAACGATGGTCTTCCCATTGGACGCACAATCGCTTTTACATTGGGGATCTTTAAAAGATTTTCTTACTACGCCATAGCACGGATGGCTCGCAGCTGGGGATGAACATGAGGTACACTAATCACTCTAAATGCTATATCGGGTATAGAGCGGTAGTGCGACCCGTATGACTCTTTTCTGAAGGCCATTGTATAAAGGTTTCGTTTCCGTCCTGCCTCTTCACACGGTCACTCCCGACGTCGGTTTGCATTCGAATTACTTCACTACAGTCATTTTCGAAGCAGTCTTATCGACTCCAAAATGCCTTCCATCGCTGTCACGCCTCATGAGGAAAATGGCAATGTATCCGATCTCACCGCACAAGGCATCAAACACGCCCTCCAGAAGACAGCGCCGTCGCAACTAAAGTCAGCTTCTCTGTCCGACTCCACCACACAAGTACATTCCGCAAATCACCAACATGACGCACCAACGCCCCTCGCCGAACTCGACGCCTCCCTCCTCCAGACCACATACACCACCTCCCCCCGCCCCGTCCCCGCTCTCGGCTCCCCAGAAATGGCCTCCCAGAAAGTATGCACCGACCACATGATTCAAGCCAGATGGACCTCCTCAACCGGTTGGGACGCCCCCACGCTGCAACCCTACGGCCCCCTCTCCCTCATGCCGACCGCCTCATGTCTCCACTATGCGACCGAGTGCTTCGAAGGTATGAAGCTATACCGCGGGTACGACGGCAAACTGCGCCTCTTCCGCCCGCAGCTCAACTGCGCCCGCATGCTCATGTCCACTTCTCGGATCGCGCTACCTGGTTTTCCGCCTGAGGAGCTGCTCAAGCTAATTGTGAGACTGTGCGCGACGGACGGCGCGAAATGGCTTCCGAAGGACCGCCCTGGCTCGTTCCTCTACATCCGCCCCACAATGATAGCATCCGATCCCGCGCTAGGTGTGCAGCGCCCGACAGAAGCCCTGCTCTTCGTCATACTGACGTGTTTCGCGCCGATGGATGCGTTGGATGGCGGCATGCGGCTGCTCGCGAGCAAGGACGACATGGTGCGCGCGTGGCCGGGGGGCTTCGGGTATGCGAAGGTGGGCGCGAACTACGGGCCGAGTCTGGTGGCGCAGGGCGAGGCGCGCGCGCTAGGGTACCATCAGATTTTGTGGCTGTTTGGGGAGGAGTGCTTCGTGACGGAGGCGGGGGCGAGTAATTTCTTCGTGGTGTGGCGGACGAGGGAGGGCGTGATGCAGATTGTGACTGCGTGCTTGACGGAGCGGATCGTGCTGGATGGGGTTACGCGACGATCGGTGCTGGAGCTAGCGAGGGAGCGCTTTGCGATTGGATATGAGGGGCTTGAGGCTGTGGAAGTTGTCGAGCGCAAGTTCAGCATGGCGGAGGTAGTGGAGGCTGTGGAGGAGGGGAGGCTGATCGAGGCATTTGCGGCAGGAACAGCATGGTTCGTTGCCCCTGTTGGCCATATCCATTTCCGGGGAAAGGACTTCAAGGTGCCGATGGGCGAGAATGGGCAGAGTGGGCGGTACACGGCTGTGGTGAAAGAGTGGCTTAGAGGAATCATGTGGGGCACGAACGGGCAAGAGAGCCATGAGTGGGGACATATCGTAGATGAGAAATAAGCAAGAGTTGGAAGCTGGTGTGATCTCATCGTCTTATTATACCGTCTGCACGGACTTGACCGACGGATTCTTTACTTTCGAGCAATGTCAAGAAATTCCCCGTCACCTACTGGATGCTGCACGATTGAAACATTCTTATCTCAACTCCACAATGCGCTTTTCGAAGTAATCTGTATCGTACCGATGTATCGTACATCTCTGGGGCACATACTTGTACGGTTTCCGCCAACGAACTCTCTTTGCCCAGCACTGACCGCGAATAGCCTTCACTTGATGAACCTCAGCCACCCCAATCCTGCAGGCTTAGTGTTGAATTTCGTTTCCGTCTTCACTGGCGGGCTACCCTCCACATCCAGGCATAAATCCTGTGTCAACTTTTCTCACTAGCTCAATCGAATTAAATTCCTGTAACAGCCTGCACATCGCGAACGCCATCTCCATAATCGCCTTACGTTCCCAGGTACGATCGCGGCCTGTATATGTCTGTGCGACGATTCGCGCTATCAAGACCCATCATGACCGTCGTGCCTGCTGGGATGCCTACGGTAGATATTCTTGTCGAGCCACCGCCTGTGGGAAGCAAGGTGTCTTTCTGTACAGCCCGGGTGTTGATGCGGACAGATGTGTGGAGACGCATGGTTTCTCGGACGACACTGCTTAGGAACTCGAGCCCCTCACATTGTGCGGGGGAGCGTACTTATAGCCTAGTGTTTTGGAGATCTCTGTGTGGAACACGTGCAAGATGTTGGGATGGCGGACTATTTCGTGAAGCGCCCATATGATAATTGATGGCCACGAAATCCATCCCACCAACAATGATGTAGATAATCTGGTCTCTCAATTTGACTTCCCGAGAGCCCTGGGAAAAGAGCACGGCCGGGAGTGACTGAGCTTTGCGGGCCCGTTCTTCCTGGATTTGTGACCTCTCCAGGGAAAAATTGCCCACAACATCATCAAGATACTTGTATATTGTCTTGCATGCTACTGCATCGTGCGGAAGTCAGGCTCCGAGTTCACTGAGCACACTCCTCCATATATTTATGTTCTTGAGTTGCATCGTATATCTCACTCAGGCTCTGGTCGTTGCTTTGAAGCGTGTAGGTGGACGCACCGCAGAACACGTCCGAAACAACATCGATCTCGAATCAGTTGAGCACATCGAGAGTTTCGTGGGGTTTCTCATCGGATAAGACGCCTATGAGATTCTGAACGTATCTATGCGTTACAGCGTAGTCCATAGGCCGGAATTTAGCCACTTTCCAGCACGCTCTGTGTCCATTTGAGAACGGTGTTGGTTCGCAGTCTACGGATCATCTGCCCATGGATTAGCACACCGGAATCTGCTAGGTCAGCGTTATTTCGTGAGAGCTAAAGAAACGATAAGTCCTAGTATTAAACGATATATTAGAAGGTACAGCTGGAGCACGGGCGCTGAGTTTGGTCTGCCTGTTTGCTCGAGTATTTGCTCTAATCATGACAATGCTCATGTGAAGTAGCAATACGAGCATAAAACATTTAGGGACAGAGATGTTGGCGTTAATCACGGTTCCTAAGGCCGAATTTTCCCTCATATCACCCGTGCCTGTAATCATCCAAGGCATCCGAGGTACGGAGCTTAGACAGTACGTTCAAGGGCAGCAATCAGAAGATTGATCTAGCAGGTTCATATCTGTTCACGCCTGTGCGTCTGCGTGAGGTAGAATTTAGAATTTCTCTCGAATGAGTTAGTTCGATAGCGCAGTCAACGTTCGTAAGATCGTTCCTTATATGTGGCAATCCCTGTGGAGTGTAAAGTTACGCCCCATCCAGAATAGAGATTGAGCATTTCCTTGGGTCACCCGGTCGAATAGTCGGAATCCCATCAACGCAAGACAATTTGGAGTGCAGATAGAGCCTCCAGTCCGAGCCACGATCTTCGTTGGCTAATTGGTCATGAGAGAAATCAACTCGCGTGCAGACCAGTGAAGGGACGCCTTACAGACACTCGTGTATTTGAACTCTTCATTCCTGCACTGGACCACCTAAAAACTGTAGCGGAGTCTTTTACGGGGCACATCGAAACTGTCATCTTAATTGTAGTTGGCGAGTTTAGTTTGTCAAAATTATGGCAAGGCTTCTGAACAGCGACACAGACAGGGACAATGACAGTCATTTCAACATCGTAGGTAGCTACACTCATCATGTAGCTCGCCAGAGGCAAGATCGTCAGCTCTATCAATGCCAGTGTGCACCAGCTCATTTCACAATCAGTGCACAAAGATGTAGAAAATCACAAGATGTAATTTCCCGCTTTTCTAGTTTGTCTACTTCACCACCACCATCTCCTCCGACGAATCAAAGAATGAATCCCCTCTTCACCCAATTTCCCTCCTCTAATACCATAATGTGCACCATAAACTCCATTCTCTCAGCAGGTTCAGCAAGCCAGCATGGCAACATCGCAAAGCCCTCGCGGGGTAGCATATGCGAAGGGTGCAAAGATTGAAGCCAGACCGCTCAACCGACTGGACAGATGGAAAGTTGTCTAGCAGCGCCCGGCGTTCGGGTCGGCCCTGTCAATGTATTAGTCACTTCTTTGAATCCCCCTCTCAGTGCAACTCACCTGAAGTTCCACCCGGCAGTCGTCGTATCCCCGCCGTTCTGGCACCCGTTAATCTCGTTGCTCAGACGCAACACGCAGTCGCCCTTGTTCAGGCTCAGACTGTTGCCCGCCGTGTTGGTGACCCAGAACTCGAAGCGCTTGTTCGCAGTCCCGGCGTTGACGCACGCGTACTTGGTCTGCTTGCCGCCGAAGCCCCCGGACAGCCCGTTGCACACTCCGTCGAGTGCGTTGTTGGCTTGGACCTGGTCGGGCGCCCAAGTCTCGCCGCCGGAGTAGCAGCCGGCGTGGACCGTAGCAAGGAGCGGGGCAATGATAGCGAGGATGGAGAGCTGCATTTTGGAGCTGGGTGGAGGATTGGTTGGAAGTTGAGTGAAAAGGCTTTGCTGGTCAAGTGATGTCGAAGCTGTGCTGCGATGATGTTTTCTGAGGGGCCTCACGTCCCTTTTATACCTCGCCGTGGGCCTCTCCTGAAGGAATCGGAGGCGGTGAGTCCGTTCGATTTCGTGGAAATCAGACGTGCTTTGCGGAGTGCGTCGATCAATTCGCCCGACAGGATTCGTAGTGATGCTTAGGACGGTGCTACTGTACGTGCCATCCTCGCCGATACGTCGCAGGCGCCATGCGTGGCATGGATCGATCGAGTGGTTTCTCGGACGACAGAGAAAATTCGTGGACTGCATCCATACGTCTTGCCCGAAGGATTGATGCATGGCGATGCTCGCAAGAGTCCTACTAAATGTGCCATCCTCGCCCACACCTCGCAAAAGCCGCAGAGGCTGTAAGTGACATCTATATGGATATATTCGTCTGCTTCTTTAATGATAGAGAGTTTCCCTCAACGAAATCATAACATTCACAGAAGCTATTACTGGCATGGGTTTCTTCAACTGTGCCTCGAAGGATCGACGTTGAAGCTCGTGATGACCTTGATGTACGAGAAATGCATGCTCCCTGAAGAGCCTCGCATGGATTACTATAACTGGTACTGATATGTCCGCACGATGCTTGGATGCCAGAAGTGAACGAATCTCACAAGAACTACAAATGCTATGACCATTATGGACTAACTTAGGTCTCATGCATTGGTTTCTTGGTAGCACCTGCGCTTCGCTCACATCCCCGAGTCGCCCCAAAGGATTGAGGACAACGCTTACGAGAACCCTGCTTGTCGTCCAAGCTGGAAAATCGCAGGGAATACAGCCTATGTGATCATGGACATTACCGTGGAGGACCCTCAGTTTCCTGAATGAAAAAATGTTCAAGCGTCGATTTGTCTTGGCTCGAAATATCTCATGGTCCAGCACATGGAGGTGCTTCTCAGCCTCAGGGCTCCATCTTGTCTAGACACGCTTCGAAGAAAATGTGATACTGAGTTTGCTTTGGACTAAGATAGGTTTAACGGCATACCATAACAGAGCTATGAAGAAATTATTTTCGTGATACATATCCAGTGTTCTGTACCAATGCGCTGTTCTCCGCAGCATTTCGTACGAGTCTCTGTCTCTTGGATGTTCCTCTGGGTAACCTGGGTCTATCCGGCTCACCCGTCCCTTGAAATCCAGAGTTGGTTTGGTTTACATTCATCGGTTCGCCCTGTTCCTTTTTCTCTAGCTTGTTGCTCGCGAGAGCTAGGCAGCAACCCTGTCATCACTGTGGAAAGTGCAGTGATTTGACGAAGGTGACCTGTTGAGGTATAAACTATCCACAATGGGCACCCCATCGTCAAAACATTGGTCCAAGCTCTCAGCATGAAGCTCAATTTCTTACTCTCAGCATTTCGTACGAACGACCCTTGTAATAACCCCAGACGTGTGCTATGGCCAGTGCAGATCTGCGTGGCGTTGTGGGGAGTTCCAACCTCCGCCGGCACGAGCCATAGATCCCGATCCTCCCATCGCTTCCCAGCCTATCGTGCTGCACACGTACCTGTGTGAGACGTAGGATCACAGTGCCAAGTTGCTAGTTTTGGCAGGGCGGTTGCGAGAATGCTGACCCGATACATTAGGTAAAATATAGACATGGGATCTTACTTAATGTTTATTCGTAATACTGAGCCACTGAGCAAAGCCAAGGTATAGGCTCGCTTGGTTGTACGTTTGTGTAAATGGTACATTGTCGGTAGGATAAAACCAGAGCACGGAGCACCTTGCATAAGGGTTGCGAGACTTAGTATCAGAGGTGTAAGCTTGGTCTTTGTAGGATCGAACAGCTGCGTAATGGTCTTAGCACACAGTCGGCGAGGTGATCGCACAGCCTTGTTCTAGTAATATAATTTTATTAGCGATTTAGATGTAGGCAGAGGATATCATTGAAGTCGCTCTGGAAAGGGGGAGCCAAGATAAGTGATCTCATAAGAATTGGTAATTCTCAGTGAATACCTGGTGGAGCAATGTTAGCACCACAGCTCTCATCAAGCAGTCCCAGTAGCCTTTTAGTGGCGGTGAATGACCGTGTGTTGATTGGAAAACTTCACGATGTCAGTAAAATCCATCAAATTTAGCAAAGTTTAGCCAGAATATTTTAGTAGGATATTTCGGTTGTAGAATGCGGCAGTGGCAACCCTTGGGAGGATGAGTCGGCGACACAAAGCTCAGCACACAGCGTTTTACAAACTAGCGCGTCAAGGTCAAGAAATCCCTCAAGTGGGCGGTCCCATGCAGAACAGCCTCGGCGGGAGGGCGTTGCCACTCTAGCAAGCTCTCTGAATGAATCCAGACTCGGCAAGACAGTCTTGCTAGTATGACTTTCGAGGCAGTCTCAGTAAGATCAATCAAGGGTACCAATCTGACTGAACAGATTCCAGGGCCTGCGATGCAAAGGTCGTTTAAGCCGCCCAAATCAGCGGAGATACTTGTTAGCGAGCCCGCAAGATATGATATTCGAATGTAAATGAGGACAAACACACGCCATAAGCCTTATATTGTAAATGTTCGAGTATACGTTCCATAACAAGTGTGTATATCGTTCACTCAACAACCAAATCCTGACGAGCTCGATTACAAATAGATGCATTGACCTCCTCTTCTTATAAGCGCAGCCCTATACAGTGGCACAAATGGTACAACAGGATTTCAGAGCTCCTTCTGTGGAACCTGTCCTGCACAGTTTGTTTCTGTCTACCCACACCATCCCCTTTCCAGTCCGATTTTCCCGCGATAAATAGTTGACAATTGCACATTTGTCTCTACACATCCATCCGCGCGAGAAATGAACTATGTTACATACTGCCAAGGAATTGCCAAGCCGTGCAATTGCCTCTGCTTGGTGGCATGGAGCGGCAAATACCGCTATCTATACTGTGCTTGCTAGACTAGGTTCTCGAAACAGCAATTCTGAATGTGACTTCACGGCACTCGAGAGGTTAGTCTCGCACTGAATCTTGAATGTGATTTCCAACACCGTTCGCATGCACGGGTACCCAACCGTGATGTCGCCGCTGACGTAGGACAGGCGCGCCGTGTTATGCATTTCCTGTCATCTCAGGCCAATAACAGCAGCCTGAAACTAGCTCGGTGCTCCATTCCACATCTTCCAGGCCAGAAAAAGGTGTCAATGTCGGCTCTCTCGCCGTCTGACACTCATCAATCGTCCATGATGTATTTCAAAAGCTCTGCAATCGATTTTTCAATCGTCAAAACATTGACAATCCGCAATCTCACCGCCAACGCGCCACCCACTCACTAAACTCGGACACTTCCACGCAACCTCCCGATTTGAGCACTGGAACAGCAGATTCCACATCCTCTCCATTGTGTAGCCAAAATCTGGCGCGGACATAGAGTCCGGCCGGCCTTCGAGATAAGGCTGTTGATGCGCCCAGCTGTTCTCGTCGATGAAGGCCTGCCAGAGTGTATTGTACACGTCCCTGCTGATACCCCGGATACGTGCTGCGGAGACTACGAACTGGCCTTTGTAGCTGAGGAGAACGCTTTCGCAGACAGATGTAGAGCCGTTGTACATTTGTGCGTGCAGCTGGGCAAGGACGTGTGTAGTATCGGTCCAGAAGAGGCGGTCGCCACAGTCTGCGCAGTTGCAGACAGTGCCGGACCAGCCTAAATTGAGGAAGCCAGTCTGCGAACTACTGTAGTAGTTGCGGACGTGCTTATAGAATTCGCGCGGGTTGTGAATGCCCGCCTGGAGGAAGATCGTTTGACGCGCGAGGCTGTCCCACCGGTTGAGGATGTGGTTAAGGTAGGTCTCGCCCTCGCGGCCGATGTTGGGAAGGGTGATGACGTCGTTGGCGCGCGTGAGGTGCTGGATGGAGTCGTTATCGGCGAAGGCGTCTTTGATGTAGATTGTGACATGTGCGTCGGAGAGAGAGGGTATGGAGCGGAGATTGTGGATAAGCGAGACGACCTCGTAGATAGGCTCTTTATACATGCTTAGAACGATCTCCACAGGCAGTTGCGGTTCGTAATCTTGATCGAGGAGGACGGTGCTGCGATCCTCTCGCCGATCGTTTGCGTTGGAGATCCCATACATCGTCCACAGTGAGAAGACCGCAATACCAAGCATGACTCTGCGGATAGTCTTGGTGCGCGAGATTGGCTGGTTTCCAGAATGACCGTCTTCGTTGGCGAGGTCAACGCTTTCACCATCTTCTGAAGAAGAGGGAGAAAGCTCATACGTGCTGTGGGAAGTCCGAGCACTCTGCGATCGATCCTTGAATGCTTCAACGTAAACCCTACTCTCAATGCATATTATTGCAACCAAGAAGCAGACAAATTGATACGCACTCGTGTACGAGCGACGATACGAAAGCGTCGAATAGCACCCTACGATTCCAGCAAGAACCAGCAGAGTCGAAGCGTCCCAAACGTGGTGCACTGGAGCATCGCTATTCTGGAAATTACTGTCTACTGATTCGTCGTCCATGGGAAGTAACATGGACTTGCCCAGTGCCAGTGCCAGCGCGGAAGCCAAGGCATTGATGGTGAACAACGGGACGTTGCTAAAGTCGAGGGTGAAAATCGGCTCGCCTTTCCAAAAGACCAACGCCCAGGTAACACCTACAGACGCGCCAATGATTACATATCGACCAGTCTGATCTTTATCCTTCGCAACAACATCATCAGGGTTGCATCTGATGGCAATCTTCCAGAAGGCTCTGGCAACTCCCGCAAAAAGCATAGCCAAGATTGACGATACCAGACCGGGGACAGAGAGTCGATGATCCGTAGCTAGGAGTCCGGCACCAGCTCCCGCAAGCAGGCTTATTCGAAGAATTTCATTGTAATCTTGGGGCGCCGAGGTGACAATATGAAGAAATAGACTTTCAGCGCAGAAAGCTATTGGCTGGGTCATGTTAGTACCCGGTGACGTATACCCTAGGGCAGGATCTTACTATCATCATGACCAAGGTTGGCTGATTCTGGACATGCAGAGCGGCTTGAAAGGTGCATATTGTCGACAAAGCAGTGAAGCACATTGACGCTGTGAGAAGTATTGTAGCTCGTGTCAAGAGCCATGGAGGCTGCGTTCTTTCGCGAGACAGCTTCCGACTACCCTGCCATTTCCAGTACGGGCGCAGTGCGAGCACACCGGTGACTGCAAGGTGATTGAAGTAAAGCTGCAGTGGATAGTGTATGTTTTGCTCGACCAGTAGATGCCTAGCGCTGAACAACGCGATGCTAACGCATATGACCCAGAGAGAGCGTCTATGATGTCGAATCGCGTTGGAAACAACAGTTCGAGCACCAGATTCCGGCCCTGTCAACGTTTCCTTGTGGTAATTGTGAATGACCATGGCCGATGAAGGAAGGAGCGCGCGTCGCGGCGTTTGGTGCGGTAAGGGGGCCCGGTTTATCTTGCCCAGCGCATCTGGCTCAGAAAGAGAAGGTGCGGTTTGCGCGTACGGTATTGTTTCGGCGGGGACTCGTAGAGAGCATAGGGGCACGTCAGCCCATCCTTACGGTGTTTGGAGTGATATTTTCTTGGGTTTGGCCGCAGTTTCTTCCGTCGGACTGTACCCATGCTGGTCTGACTGGCTTGGCAGACAACCGATGCAGCACAGCCGCTGTCGCACATTACGGGACGCAGATTTATCCGGCCCATGATCTAAACGGGAGGCGCAGTCAAGACGCGGTGCAGTGATAGTGATGTTTATGACAGGAATTGGAGTGTTGCCTGATTCACAGCGCGAGGGTGGACTTGGCAAAGACGTTCTCCATTTAGCAAAGACATTCTTCTGCCAAATCTGCAAATTGAGCGAGGCAGAGGACGCAGCAGAAAGTGGTCAACGACAGAAGACGTCTCGTACAGATATACAACCAGAAAACGGCGTTTGGGATGCCGACACCCCCAGCCAGAAAAGTAATTATATCTACGAGTATCTGTTCCCTTGCCACGAGATTCGAAGGGCCAGTAGACAGTGTCGACCCACCGCAAGTGCCTATGATGAACATTCCAATTACCATCTAGACACTCGAAGAGGCCCGGCCTACTCGCTCAGGCTCATCCAGCTCCTATAGGTCCTGGCGCAAAATCTCAGTCCTCCGTGTCGTTCGACTCCCAGGCACAGCCTCTGCACCATTGCAGCGTCCTGTTCGCTCCAGCCCGACATAGACGAGTTACCCAGAAATATCTGCCATGTTGCTGCCCCTGCACCAGCTCTGCCAACTGCCTGGAAACACTGCATTCCGTGCCACGAGGTTGTAGGCAGAAGACCAATTGGATCCAGCTGTCTCTGGTCGTCGTGGGCTGCTGTACGGGCTCGTTCGGGGCGTGTCGCGCGCACCGGGAGATATAGCGTTCGCAGAGTGGTAGGGGCCAGCGCTGTTCGTAGGGCAATGCGGCGTCGTGCTGTTGTACAATAGCGTAAGTTGGAATAACGTTCACCTTGCGGTCCGACTCGAGGGCGCTAAGCGCGGGGCTCTACACTGTGCTTGACTAGCCCTCGCCTTAGCTCTATCGCAGCCGTGGTGGAAACACGCCGGCGTCGCGCAGACGGACCGGGCCGGGCCTAGCCACGACGATATCGCATGCCAGGTGAGCGTATTCCGGGGGCGCTCGGGCTGACCATGCCCGCGTCGCCACGCTGGTGTGTTCGTGGTCCGTGTTGTAGGACGGCAGCCGCGGCGGAAGCGGCTCGAGGTTCGCGACCAGGCAGATGCGCGCGACGTGCTAGTCGTCGCAGCGGAGGACCCGCCACGGAAAGTCGCGCCGCCGTGGGCACGACCACGCGTTCCGCAGAAGACGGCGTCGAGCCGCGCGAAGCAAAGTGAAGAGAAGGAAAGGAGTGGGACGGGCTCGCAGATATTTGCGTGCGAGGAGGATCGCAGGATCGTTTACTAACCCACATCAGATTAGCGGCACCTTTCGCGTTTTCGAGTCGTGCTTTCCCTCTCAGGAGGCCGCTCTCCCAGCGATGTCTGAGTGTCAGCACCATGGTGCGATTGACGCTTACGCGCCTGCTGTGCACTGCCATCTTCTCATGCATTTTCCTGCTGCTTGTCCCAGTCTCAAACCTCCTCCACCGCGAGCGAGGGTTTGACGTCTTGCTCGATCGCCCGCCCGAGCCCTCCGATGCGCCTTCCCCCGAGGTATCTTTTGGCCAAGAATGTGCGCCCTTCGTTGCCGGTGGGATGCAACGTCTCACCGTCATCATGAAGCTCGGCGCCACCGACGTAGTTTCCAAGCTTCCTGCCCATTGGCATCATCTGGCGCGCTGCAAGCCCGATCTTCTCTTCTTCTCCGACCGCAAAGCTGCGTACAATGGCTTCGATATCGTAGACGCTCTGGGCAGTCTTCGTCCAGAGTACAAATATCACAATCCTGACTTCAATGTCTATGATAGGATGCAGGACGCAAATACAACCCAAGACCCTGAACACTGGAAGTTGGACAGGTATATGCTCCTGCCCATGATGGAGCTCACGTCGCACCTGAGGCCGGACTCACAATGGTATGTCTTTGTCGAGCTAGACACATACTTTAATTGGGACAATCTGTATCGGTTCCTCCTCTACTTTGACCACACAACGCCGTATTATTTTGGATCTCCTGTATGGCCTCGTACCAAGAAGCCTGTTTTCGCCCACGGAGGCAGTGGCATTGTACTCTCGCGCGGTGCAATGAGTAAACTAATGGCGCGCGGCAGAATGTTCGCCAGAAATCATTACTTCCCCGGTACTCATCTGTTTGGGAAGGATATCTCGAAAGAGTGCCGCGGCTGGGACGAGAAGATGCGGTGTGGCGACAAGATTCTTGCCCAAGTGCTCAAAGACGCTGGCATCCCTCTTCGCGGGTACTGGCCAATGTTCAACGGCGAGAAGCATAGCACAATCCGCTTCGGACGAAAACAATGGTGCGAAGCAGTCATCTCTCTTTCGACCCTACAAGAAGACGACTTCACTGCCATACAGCACTGGGAATCCGCACGGTATCGTCCCTCGCAGCCCCTCACTTTCGAAGAGCTCTTCTCCTACATCGAACCCTCACTACGAGCCCCGATCGAGGATTGGTCCAATATGTCAGAAGATATTACATACACGGGCGGGCCCGCTGGTCTATCTTTGGAGTCTTGCAAAGCTGCATGCTTGGAGACTAGGAGGTGTATGCAGTTTGAGCACTTCGGCGACACTTGCAGACTGTCGCATGATATACGCTTCGGACACCAGCAGCTTCCGGAGGGTAACATAAAATGGACATCGGGCTGGGTAATGGAGCGAATTGGGGCGTTCAAGGCTGCACACCCGCCATGCGAGGGTGCACACCTTGTCCACGCTTACCCTTGACCGATTGCAACGATGATAAGATGCACCAAGAAAACGAAAAGATCTATAAACACTCGACAGCACTGGAGCCTCGACAGCAGCGCGGATCTCGTGGAAGAACTACGCCGAAATGGCATGTTTGGTTGGATGTTGGAACGGTTCTCGCACTCTGTTGGATGTCACAATGTCCAGGAGAACGGCGACACGCCTCAACTTTCCCAGTTGCCAGGTCGCCATCCTTCCAGTACCCCATAAAGCTGAGAAGTCGCCATAAAAAACAAGCTATTCTCCTGCTCTAACCAAACGCCAGGCACTGTCGACCAGCCAGCAATCAGGGGCTCCTAGGCGTGCGTACTTGTCTGCAAACATTCCACCAGAACCAGCCCTGGCACAATTACCCGATATGTGCAATATGGTTCATGATGCATGGAGTTTTCACCGAGATCTCAAAAAGGAGCAACGCCGCTGAGGGAGCTAATCGCTGCGTCGATTACCCGGGCGAAGCCTCCCGTGCCAGTGTGAAAAGGAAAAGGCTACTGTATACCAGAGATCTATGGCCGGATCTGGATGATCTCACGTTGAAAAATGCCAAATTCGTACAAACACCTTATTATCTTTGGCAAATCCTTCAACGACGCAATTCCCAAGTCAGACTGCGATCGCGACTAGTACGCTGCAGGTAAATGTATAGTATTTGAAAATGACAATTGAGAACACACATTTCGCATCAAGCAAAGTACCTGACGACCACCTATGCTCACTCAGCTTACCCTCTTCCTGAACTGCAAGATCGGCCCTTCATGCACAGTGATGTACGCATCAGAGATTTGATACTGCTTCTTATCTCTCCTCCCCCAACCCAGCCTCTCACTCCCTGCCCCGAGATCCTCCCCGACCACAGCCCTCAAATCCAGCTGGAAGAGCGTCCGCGCAACAACGAGTGCCATTTCCGTCATAGCAATATTCTTCCCGACGCAGTTGAAGGGCCCAATGAGGAACGGGTGATAGTACGATCTGATGGCGCTGACGTCTTCCGCAGTGACGCCTGTAATGTCAGAGGGAATGTAGCGTTCAGGACGGAAGCGACCTGGATCGCCGAATACGTGTTCATTGTGTCCCATGGCCCAGTGCGCGCATCCCACGACTACACCGGCGGGGAAAAACTCGCCGTCGATGACGGCCCCGCCTGGGAGTATCTCGCGTGCGAACTCACTCGGTCCCGCCGGTGCGATACGCAGCGCTTCGTCTATGCATGCGTGGAGGTACACACACGACGCCAGCTTTGGGCCGCTGACGATCTCGTCGGAGTTCCGAAACGTGCTGCGTATCTCGTTTCCCAATCGTTTGTACACTGCCTCGTTGCGGGATAGATAGAACCACAGCCCAGCAAGGACCGAGGATGTACTGTCGGAACCCGCCACGATAAGCATGGCGGCTTCGCCCTGCAGCGCGTCCTCGGAGTAATGCTCACCCGTGACGGGGTCCGTGGCCTTGCAGAGAAAGTGGAACATGTCCTTTCTAGCCGTGTCTTCGTTCTTGTTCTCTTGCTCCATCTGCATTCGACTCGTTACGCTGTTGTTGATGAACGCGTAGTAAGACCTTATCTCCTGCGGGGCCATCATATTGAGGAGGTAGTCCAGTCCCCTTGGTTTTGCCCATATGAAAAAGTCCACGAACGGGGACTGCAGAATCTGGAGAAGTTAGTTTGTCGTAGTGTGAACAGTGGAGAAGATGGCTTTACCGGGTAGAAAAGCTGCACGTGCTGGATGATGAGATGGGGAATCTTGCGGATCGGATTGGGCTTTGGCTCTTTGACGTCAAATGAACGACCAAAGCACAAGTCGCCCAGTATGTCGAACACAAGCCAATCGTTCCAGTCCGACATGTTACGCGAGCTGGTCCAACCATCCTTTCCAGGCGCATCCGTAGTGTCTGCAAGCAGTTCAATCCATCTTTCGGTATGTTCGACCACAAAGTCTGCGGCATGCTTCACCGACTTCTCGGTAAACGCCTGGTTCAAGATCTTCCTTTTACGAGCATGGGTTGGCGGATCGGTAGTCAAAGCTGTATTGGCCTCTGTTGAGGTTTGCCAGGCTCTGTACGATTTGGCGCGGCCGACATTTGCTTTGGCTCCATAGATATCTTTGTGCGCTTGTGGTGCGAGAAAGAGGACTTCGTTGGGATGAACTCGGACTTTGTCGCCTGAAGTGCGCTTAGTTCAGTTTCTATGGTGAGCGGAGGAGTACTTGCCGTAAATTTGGTGGTTTTGCCAGATCCATATATGGCGATCACCTTTTAGAGCGTGGTAGAAGTTCGGCAGCTTAGAGAATTTGGCGAAGAATGGGCCTGGGCATTTCGCCAACGGATGGAAAAACACGTCGTAAATAAATTGCAGTGAAAACTATATTGTAGTCTTTTGTGAGTTCCTATTTCGATAGATGTCTAAACATTGTATGCCCACTAGGAGCTCGGAATAGACTCACGTAGCCAAAGATGATAGCAATAATCGGGGAGATCCAGGCACGAAAGACTGGACCTTGATAGGTGCCGTCACTTTGAGTGGATGAATACATGCTCGATTGCTAGACTCTGATCTACAGATGCCGTCCTGGATTGACTGTATGTAGCGGTCCCGAATCTCGACTCAGAAGGTCGAGACCTCGCACGTGGAGAATCGCCGAGGAACAACCCTAAGATTGGTCTGTGTGACAACAGCGCGAAGTCCGTGGACCTAGAATGCAGGCGATGCCTAGAGATGGACGCGACATCCCAAACAATTCCAAGTGTTTCGTGCGAGATGTAGGTCTTGGTTGTAATGTATTGGTGCGGCGCAGCACTTCCCTAATGCAACTGTGCGCCATCCCCTACCCCGCACCAAGCCATCTATCCTTGTTAGCCACCTGCATATATATGAACACGATGTTACACAGCGTCGCTAGCGTGTTCTATACTCGATCTGTTTTGTTACTTACAGTACCAGGGCTTAGGTCAGGTTTACTGTGGTTGTCACAATATTCGTCACCACTTGCATGCTCTCTCAACTGCCTCGGCTTTTCAGGTCCCTCCGCCGATCGCCTTGAGGTTTGACAATCAGTATCAAACACGTCAATTATACCCACCACGAAGACGTCTAGGTCTGAAGGTGCCACCATGGCCGACATCAAGCAGCAGCTAGAGGCTCTGCGCCCAGAGATTGACGAGATCGTTCGCATAGCCGGTACACCTGGGCTCTCACTCGGCGTCATACACCAAGGAAAGCCCATTCATACTGCACATTTCGGCCGTCGAAACGCTGACGACGCGGCGCCGTGTACCGACAATACTATCCATAGCCTTTGTTCTCTCACTAAGCTGGTCACCGTCGCAGCCGTTGCCAAACTTGTTTACGAAGGTGTACTTCAATGGGATAAACCTGTTCGGGAGTACCTGCCAGTTTTCCGCCTACGACAAGACGAGCTGGGAATAAAGGCTACCTTGAAAGACTTGTTGTGCATGCGCACTGGTTTGACAGCCGCAAACTCCCTGTTGACCCTCCAAGATAACGAACCACTCATGAAAGCGGGTGAAACCACTGGTCTAGCTACGTACCTTCCGACTGCCAAACCTTACGGACAATTTCTCTATTCGCAGTGGAATTATTCTCTTGTTGGCGACATTGTCAAGGAAGTAACTGGCACCTCTATCTTTGACTACATACAAGAAAACATATTTGGGCCTCTGAACATGAGTCGCAGTTCCTTTAGCTATCTTCAAGATCTGGACGATGACGTCGCGCACACTCATTGTACCCATGATGATGGTACAGCAAGTCGGAAGCCCGACGCCACATCAGGCCTGTTTGCGAACGGCGCTGGTGCAGGCGGTGGTGCTCGAAGTTCTGTAAAAGACTACATGACCTTCCTGCAAGCAATCCTTCATGCGTACAAACATCAGACTACCAAGGGCGTCGATGTTACGCCAGGTTCAATCTTCCCACTCATGCGCGAGGTGTTCACTGCACAGGTCGGCTTTGGTCCCCCTGGACGATCCGGTATCGAAAACGCAGCGTACTGCATGGGCTTGTATCGCACGAGACTTCCTGGATACCTTAGTATTGCCAGCCCAAATTACTACTACACTCTGGGAATGAAGCGACTCGCTCCATACGGTGAAACCCTTGCAGGTACAGATGTGTATCACCATTCAGGGCTCGCATTAGGACACCAGGGAGCACTTTTTGTTGTGCCTTCCACCGAGAGCGCAGTCGTGGCTTTCACAAACTCGCAACCGCTGATGGATCCATCAGATTTCGTCGCGCAGCTCGTTCTTTCGAAGCTGCTCGGGCCGCCGCCTAGCCTGGACTTCGTCAAACTTGCAAAGCTTGCTCGGACCATCACGCTGGATAACTACAAGGTCCTCGAAAATCTCGTATCGAAGGGCAAGACCGATGTTCCTCCCACCAAACCTCTTTCTGCATACCAAGGCGACTTCTACAACGCGATCCACAACTTCGTCTTTTCAGTCTCGGTGAATGGTGGCGGCCTGAATGTTCGTGTGCAGCGAGGTAAGACAAACTTCGACCTCCTACCTTATGACGGCGATACATTCTACTGGAGGGTAAACCGGGAAGAAGAAATGTGTGAGAAAGGGATGTGGGGGTTCATGTACAAGGACTGGCATTTGTTCCGATTCGAGATCAATTCTCACGGAGAGGTGGAGAAATTGTTGTGGAAACACGATCCCTATCTCGCCAGCCCTGAGGCGTTCACGAAGACCCCCAATTACCAAGCTTATGCCAGGTTGTGATCGTGAGTCTGGAGGTTGAGAGACACGTATGTCTTTCCTTTTCCACTATAGTACACAATCGACCAGATTTCTCACATCAGCAATGACGCTTTCGATAAAGATGACTGATAAGATTCATGTCATCATCTCTGGTAACGTTGAGAGCCCAAGTGAACCTTCCTTGTGCCTCATCAACAAAAAGTGATAAAGAGCTTGCATTTGGTCGACGCGTCTTACATAATCTTTTGGCTTTGATGTCAGAGATCTACAGGGTACTCACCAGGGCCAAGCGCTGTTATCCTTTGTTACTCGCATCCCCGGCTTGTTTCGAGACATGAGGGGTAAAGGTATGCTATACCGTCTTTCAAGGGAATCTTCGTTGTTATGATTACGTACCTGTTCGAGCTAGCCCTCTATTAGACAGTGGCTGCAACGCCCGATAATTGGCTTGTCAGTTGCCACCCATGGAAGTCCTAGGCTGACATGATTTGTATGTAACTAGATGCTGCATCTTGGCGCATGAATTAGCGTCATTTGCAGTAGCACCTGCTTCGGACACCGTACAAATTACCTAGGTAGATGTATATCCCCGAGGTCGTCTTGGTGCGTTGAGCTCAACTGCTCTGCGACGGATCAATTATCCGGAGATTAAGCGTTCCAGTAGATCTTCCGGGGAGTGGCGTATCGCGGGAGGACCGTCGCGGGTGTGGGCCTGAATGCTTGGGAACGAAGGCGGGTGGCTAGCTGCATAAGTTGCGAGGTCAACCGCCGACCGAAAACTTGGCTTACTTGCGCTCAACCATCCTTCTAAGAAACGCTTTTTTTCCACCGTTCCGTCGCTCAAGCAGCTCTATCGACTGAGCGAATCCTGCGAATACCTCCGCACGCCGTCCCCGCTATGCCACTGGTAGCCAGAGCATCGCCGAAGTCAAGTCGGGGAGAGGAGCTGGTCAATCTTGCCATCGCCTTTATAGTGATTCAGACTATCGTCTTGATACTTTTCTACATATCCAGATATGCCAAAGTCAAGCATATATCAGGAGTGGAGATGAAGTACTTCATGCCTCTGGGGTACATGTTTTGTATTGGCAATGCCGTATGCGCGATTCGTAAGTCAGCGAGACTAAGCCTTCCTCACTCGTATCTGTGTATACTGACTATATTCAGTCATGGTGAGACTAGGTGGTATGGGTCGGCATGTCCTAACACTGAATGCTGAGGAAATCTTGATGCTGGGCAAGGTGTTCAAAGCCGAAGAAATGATCTACCTAGCCTCAGTCATGTTCCCTAAGCTTGCCGCTCTGTCTCTCTACATTCGACTCTTCATGAACCCGGTCCGACGGCTGTCATACATTGTTGGCGCGTTCGTGGTGTGCAGCTTCCTGGCTGGCTGGTTGACCTGGGCCTTTTCTTGCCGACCGTTTGCGTTCAACTGGAACAAGACAATTCCGGGAGGGCATTGCATCAACACAAATATGTCTTACACCTACTTTAGCATTCCAAATCTCCTCTCAGATCTGGCCCTCATCTTGTTACCACTGCACCCACTCTGGAAGCTGAACGTTGCTCGAAGTCAGAGGATTGGCTTGCTGGTCACGTTTGTACTTGGTGGTTTGTAAGTTACACATGGATGATTCTTCTGGTATTCCGCCGCTAAACAAATCAGTGGAATTGTGACCGCCATCATTCGCTTCGTTTCGTTCATAACAACCGATATCCGCTCCGATCCATCGTTCCATGGCGCTACGACAATGCGGTGGGGCATCATTGAGCCTGCCATGTACCAGATGGCTGCTACACTCCCTACTCTGCGCCCTCTTCTCACCAGCTCTATGTCGGTCTTGAGTCGTCTTTCAAGCAAATCCAAGCTAGAAAGTTCCAACGGCGGAACTGACGCGGGCGCGGAGATTGCTTCTGGCGATCGGAACCACTTCGTAAAGCTGGACGACTATCATTACCTTCAAGATTCCAGGACCTCAAAAGGATTGGGCAAGAAATATTCGGGTGTCTTGAAGACAACGAACGTTTCTGTGACGAGTCATACTACTCTTTCTGCCGATGAGTATGTAATGGGGCCTGCCAGACCGTAGTCCTTGAGTGTCAAATGAATTTGATAGTTTACCCCTTACTGGCCTCCACCAAGTGCAAGCGTGAAGTGCAAGTGTGAGATTCTATGAGACCGTTCCAGACAAGAAGACGAGCTATAACATCATCATACTATGTTCAAAGAGTTGCAGAGCGGCGCAATACGATACGTTGCTGGCACTTCAGCGTGCTCATAAGGGTCTTCGACAATGGCTATGGCAAAGACGATAAATCCGAAATGTTCAGATCTCATACAGTGTGATTTTACCCATACTCACGCAAATGATATGAACTACCTCTAAGCGCGAACAACATATTGCCTTTCACGATGGTGTGTTCCTCGCAGTAGTTCAACAATCGAACCACGATCATCTCCGCGGATTTTGCCTGAAATGGGAAATCAAGATCGTGCCAGCGGAACATCTAGCCGCAAGCCACCTCCCCTTCAGGCCAGTCTATCTCCCACAAGCGCTGCATGGTCACGCTTGTAGAATTCAGCCTTGCTGGGGATTTGGCCCCAAGTAACCACTGCATTGCTGCTCGAGATCGAGCTTCTTCTTTAGGTATAGTGATAAACTTAGGCGTTTAATGTGATCAGCCCAGCCAAGTCCATTCGTTGATAGCGATTGGATGGTGTTGATGATAGGTAGGGCGGCACTTCGAAGCATGTTACCTTCTAGTATCGGATACTACCTGCTAGAACCCGGGATTCGTGCATTGATCGGAACGTATCTCGTACAGGAGATTTTTCTTACCGACCCCGTCTTGACGAGTGTGCTTGAAGATCAGCCTAGAATAGCTTCACCAGCGCCATGCCCCATTCCACGCTTCGCAGCATATGCTATTCTTCCGCTAGCTTCATTTTCGCAACAGGCGAACAAGCCTGTAGATGGAACACACTGTATCCAGTGCCAATCAAGTGGGCCAGCAATGAGAAAGCAATCGGAGCAGACCAGCGATCGCCTGGATTTTGTCATATTTGGGTTCGCTCCATGCACACTACAATACCCCACTGGCAAGTCTCACGATCCCCGTTGCATTTTGAGAATGACTTTTGGTCCTCTCCGATGGCTTCTCTAACGCGAATAGGGCTTTAGAAAGAAAAGAGAAAAAAATAGAAAGGAAAAGGCTTGCGCCAGTGATCAAGGTGCATATGAGGGCGGACTGCATATGCACATGCGGGGGGGCCCAGTCCATGATTATCGCCGGATATATTAAACCATCGATAGGATGGACGCGCCTCGGGCCGCAAATCTACTGGTGCGGGAAATTAGCTATTTCACCCCTGCCATCATCCGGTACGAACGGCATACCGGTCTCACCATCTCAAAACGAGGATACAGATGGCAAAGCCCGACGAAGCGAAGAAGGCAGCGAGTAAAATAACCATCGGCGCGAACATTTAGTCCAAGTAAAAGTATCAACACAAGCTCACTTCCCGCACGGGGTTGCATGGGTTGTCTACAATTCGTCTATACTGCCTGATCTGATTGGCACGATGCGTTTTCTCTGCTTGCATGGGTTTGGTACCAATAACCAGGTTTGTCCATCTACTGAAGTCAATTTCCAACAAATGTTGACCTCAGCACAGATCTTCAAGATGCAAACAAGTAACAGCCAGAATCTGAAGAGTATAATCGCAAGAAGCGCTAATTCGCGCCAGCGGCCTTGCGTTATGAGTTGACCAACCACGATGAGCACTCCTTTGAATTTGTCCAGGGTGTATTTCCCGTATCGAAACCGGCAGGTGAGAAGAGCCGCTCAATCGTGCGAGGTCTCTAGCTGACCACATAAACAGAATTGGGATCCCTCTCGGATTTCGAAGAGGGCCATTTCGGATATTATGATCCAGAATCACCGTCGAGCGCGCTTGCGGCACTGGACCAGCTTGACGCGTTCATTAGATCACACGGACCTTTCGATGGTGTGATTGGCTTCTCGCATGGTGCGCAATTGGCTGCATCGTATATCGTCCACAAGAAGCTCGAAGGTTTAGCAAGCGTATCGCCTTTCAAATGTGCCATCTTGTTTTCGCCACTGGGGGTCTATGACTCAAAGGAATGGCTCGCCAGCGGCCTGGTTCAGAAGCTGGATATCAAGGACAACGGTTGTGCGATTGACATTCCCACTCTCCTTGTATGGGGAATCACAGATCCATGGAAAGAAGAAGCGCATGGTGTCAGCCTGTTGTGCAACCCACAGACAACGTACACCTTCGTGCATTCCGGGGGTCACGAAATCCCGGGTATAGGATTAAACGAAGCACTTGGACCCGTCACTAAGCTTGCAAAGCGATGCATCATTAGTGCTTGCACAGAGGCTGTGTAGTTGTATGACATCAAGACTCGGCTGTCTGCTATATTCTCGAACGTGATCAACCGCTAGTACTCTCTTTCTTGCTTGTGAAGAATCTCAAATCCTCCAAGAACATATCCTTGCCCATCATGCTGACGGTAGCCAGGATGTTCGCAGCTGCGAACCCTATGGCAATAGTCATCTGTAAATCGAAACCACGACGGAAACTGTCCCGCACCTGGGCCTGCAACTCCTTTGGAAGTGTGCCTATGGTCTCTAATCTGTCCAGTATAGCGTGTGTATGTTCAGGTGATATGAATTCCAGCAAAGCGTTCCGTATGACCGGAGTAGAAATGCAAGTAACGATCGCAAGGGAAATAACACCACCGAGAATCCTAAACTGGGCTACCATACCCGTCCCAACAGCTACGAATAGGTCAGAGTTATAACTTGCTAGAAGCTTAAAGACGTTGGAAGAAGTAGGACTAACCCAGGTCTCGCCTCTCCATCTTCATCGGGATCAGGAGGAATGTCGCTGTGGTAACGAACCCTAGGCCTATGCCTACGATCACTTGATATCCATACTGGGGTCCCAACTTGTCTGTGTCAGACGCCAGTGTCGCAAAAAGCGTAACCCCAATTGTTTGCAAGGTTCCACCGGTCAATAAAAGAGCATTGGGTGAGAGGAGTTTCCTGTCTAACAGCACGGCTGCGAAGATTGATCCTACCGGAACCATTAGGGAAAAAGCCAGAAGGCGGGTTCCAGCGCCAAGTGGACTCATGTTGTTGAGCACTATGAACCGCTGCGGTATCTGAACAACGCATATTGTCATGACGGATCCTGAGAAATAGGTGTTTCTGCTATCCTTCAGATGATGATCTCATAGATTTCTTGAAACGGAACTTACAGCATGATCCCTACACAGGCGCGATTTTGGAGAAAACGCCATGGAAGCACTGGTTCCGGAAACCGACGCTTTGTGGTAATATACCTCTGCCAGCTGAGGAAGCCGAGAAGTGAGAGGCCTGCGACTAGCAGTAGAGGCCACACGAAGGCGGAACTGAATGCAATGCCTTGAGCCGCTTGTTGAAGGGCAGTAGTGAGTGAAACAGTAATACCAAGAAGCAACATGCCTCCTAGCACATCGAATCTCTTCAGTCGCTGAATGACGGACTCTGCAGCTCGGTTCGCCACAGGCTCTCGGGACAATTGCTTGGGGAAAGCAAAGAATAGAATGACAAGCGCAACAGAGGTCACTGGAACACTGTAGAGGTAAGCTGAAATTTGCCCAAGACCTGTAGGTGGTGTACTTACTTCATCAAGAAGATCCATCGCCACTTCCCGGTTAGGGTGACTGCTCCCCCTACAAGCGGGCCTGTCAAGAACGACAACGATACAACCATGTTCGTCACACTCGTGGATATTGCATACTTTTCGGGGGGGATAAGCTCAAAGAAGACCAATGTCAGGGAGAAGACACCAGAAGCCCCTATACCTTGAAGCCATCGGAACATGATACTTTTTCCAGTCAGGCAATGAAGGATCTCAAGTTCACTGCATACTTACAGCTGTATGAGTGTCTGAGCTGCCCCACAAGCAGCAGAGAATACGAGAAAAACGATTAGAGCGGCCAGTAAGCAAGGTTTTCGGCCCACGATGTCAGATGCTTTAGCCCATATGATGGGGAAGCCTGCCAAGCAGCTTAGCCATGCTGAAAGGTGAGTCAATTGGGAGAGTAACATACCACTGAATGTTAACATGTAAGATGTAAACAGCCAGGAACTTTTGACGTAACCGCCCAAGCCATTTGTTATGGCGATGACAGAGGTGCTCACGATGGTGGATTCCATCAAAGTCATGAATAAAGCTACTTGGATCCTGTATATGATCAATGAGAGCTACTTCTGGCACATATGATTGTTCATTGTTACCCAAGATAAATCAGAGCTATTTTCGAGAATCCGACCTCATAACCTGAGAAAGCGGACTGGGCCGTCTGTTCCACTGCGGCCTCATTGCTAGCCCCAGATTTAGTGTCTACTGGACTGTTCTGTGCATTGTCTCCGCTATCCACTGGCTCTAGATTATTTTTGTGTTCGTCGTTGGAACGTAGCAACATGATGATCGCAAATTCGTCGTTGTTGCTTCGTCTATGGGATTAGTTTGATGGGGGATTGGCAGAACCTGGAGGACAGCGATTCCCCGCGCCGCGCGCGAGACATTGGCTGGCCCCCGACTGCATGCATGTGGAGCATTTGAGTTCTGACAAGGATATTAATTGCCTGGAGATACCCGCTGCCGAATCCCTGCACATTTTCCACGGCGCCGCCGCGGCACATGTTCCACCCTTGTTTATGCAAGCGTCACTAGTCTTCTCAACGGAGTTCGGTCGTTTTCATTAAGGAAATGGACGATGATTACGCCTGATCGATAATTTTCTCCGTCGGATATCAGTGTGCCTTGCAAGTCGACCAGGCCGCATCGGTATATCAAAGGAATGGCTAGTACAGTCATTGGCACGTATCCATCGTAACTGGAAAACACAGCCGCTCTCTCGAGTATTTTACTTGACATCACAGCCATAATTCTCTAGCACGGTGGACCTTCAAGATCAAACGCCCATTATGTTAACTAAAGAAAACCATGGCCCTCTTGAGCCAATTGCAGTCGTCGGTCTCGCCTTCAAGTTTCCTGGAGGAGGAAACACAGAAAAAGAGTTCTGGGAGATAATGATGCAGCGGAAATGTGTTGTCGGGGAATTCCCTCCGGAGCGCGGCAACATAGATACGTGCTATGACCCTTCTATGAAGGGCACTAGCAAAGTGAGCTACAGTTTGTTTGATAGGAAACAATCTTGACTGACTCCATATTCATCATAGATAGCTACTAGGAATGGACATTTTCTGGATAGCGATATCAGAGAGTTCGATCCTAAATTCTTCTCAATATCTCAAGCCGAGGCCGGCTCGATGGACCCCCAACACAGAGCGCTGATGGAGACGACATATCACGCTTTTGAAAATGGTATGTCCAGAGGATTCATATCAGCACTGCAACTGAACTAGTAACAGCCGGTATGTCTTTGAAGGATATTGCCGGATCAAGAACGTCTGTCCACGTTGGGTGCTTCAGTTCAGACTTTCACGCTGTTCAATGTCGAGATCCGCTCAACATCCCTAAATACAGCGCGACTGGAGGCTCCAGCTGCATTCTATCTAACCGAATCAGTTGGTTCTTTGACCTGCATGGGCCCAGCATGACTATTGACACAGCCTGTTCGAGTTCGATGGTGGCGTTTGACCTCGCTTGCCAGGGGATATGGAACGGCAGTGTAGATTCGGTAAGTGGTAAACCTTGAGGCAGAAGCAAGCTTGACTCGGTTCCACTGCTCACCTAACCTCCAGGCGATTGTTGGGGGCGCGAACCTCATCCAGGCACCTGACTTGGGCGTGATGTTGTCGAACATGTCAATGCTCTCTCCAGACGGGCGTTGCTACAGTTTCGACAAACGTGGAAATGGCTACGCGCGTGGCGAAGGCGTAGCTACACTGTTCCTGAAACCTCTTTCGGCCGCATTAGAGAATGGGGATCCTATCAGAGCGCTAGTGCGAGCTGTGGGCATGAATCAAGATGGCCACACTAAAGGGGGGTTGACTCAACCAAGCATGAAGATGCAGGCCTCTCTAGTTAACGAGACCTATCGAAAGGCGGGGCTTTCAATGGCCAATACGCGGTTCTTCGAGGCACATGGTATATATTCCCCGAAAGCACGCGATCTCCGTAGTAACGCAAAGTCTAGGCACTGCAACACCCTTGGGTGATCCTATCGAAGCCCGCGCCATTGGTGAATGCTTCCGACTTTACCGATCCCCCGATGATCCTATATACGTGTGAGTTGACATTGATAACTCGATAATTGCGTGATTTGGGACTGACCTAAACAGAGGCGCAGTAAAGTCAAACATCGGCCATCTCGAAGGATGCAGTGGGTTAGCCGGTATTATAAAAGTGGTCCTTGCAATTGAGCGAGGAGTCATCCCGCCGAATGCAAATTTTGAATCCTTGAACAGTCAGATTGATGCCGACTTCTTTAATCTAAAGGTGAGGGGACTTTAGATCATCGCGTCTAGATGAGCTGTCTGCTGAAATCACTAGTTTCCACGGGAGCCTGTTGCTTGGCCCCATGATGAACATTTAGGGATTCGAAGAGCTTCTGTGAACTCATTCGGATTCGGAGGCACCAACGCTCACGTGATATTGGACGATGTCGAATCCTATCTACGTCGTTCTTCTGGGCTTTCTAATGGAGTCAATGGATGTAATGTTGGTGCAGTCGTCAACGGACATACGATTGCAAAGCCTTCTACTCCAAGACTGCTGTTAATGAGCGCTGCCGATGAGGGTGGCTGTTCTCGCTTAGCGGCTTCGTTGAATGCCAGTCTCCGCGTTCCGGAAGACAAGTACGATGAAGCCTTGCTGGACGACTTGGCGTTCACGCTCAATTCGCGACGAACGAAGTTACCATGGAGAAGCTTTGCAGTCTGCAGATCTCCAGCATCTATCGAAAAACTTGGAGACAGCATCTCGAAGCCCGTGCGCCGAGATGATGCCAGCGTGAACCTTGCTTTCGTATTCACGGGCCAAGGAGCTCAATGGGCAGGTATGAGTAGGGAGTTGCTGGGTTGGTCTGTTTTTCGCAAGAGTGTACTTCTTTCTCAGTCATGTCTTGCAGAGCTCCAATGCTCATGGTCCCTCATAGGTAGGTCACCCTCTGTGATCGAGTTTCGGTGTCGGTACTAACCGGTACAAGATCTCCTTGTCGCCGACGGCGAGACAATCCCGATCGACAATCCCAGATACAGCCAACTTCTTACAACAGTGGTGGAACTCGCTATCGTAGATCTCTTCGCAAGCATTGCAGTGCGGCCAACAGTTGTGCTGGGCCATTCATCCGGAGAGATCGCAGCGGCGTAAGTCCAGCCAGTTGCACGTGTATTATGAGCTAATCTTGAATAGATACTGTGCCGGTCTCATAGATCGATCATCGGCTATTAGAATTGCTTACTTCCGAGGAGAGCTAGCTGCAAGGCTTGTTGAGCAGGACCCTGAACGACATTCCATGCTTTCCGTTGGACTATCACCGTCAGATTTGCAGGTGCATCTGGAAAACCTGACGGAGAAGCAAAATACACCATTGGTAGAGAGTTTCACAATCAGCTGTATAAATAGTCCCAGCAATGTTACTGTGGCGGCCTTGCAGAAACACCTCGACACTCTTTCGGCGTATCTCACCGAGCAGGGAGTATTTGCACGCCAGTTGCAGGTTGACCTCGGGTACCACTCGCCGCAGATGCGGCAGATGTCTGCGGACTACGTAAAAATGCTTGGCAATCTCAAAGCTGGTGTAAGGACGAAGGATACCCGCATGGTTTCCTCCGTAACAGGACATTTCTTAGAGGAAGAGGCGGCCACAAGCCCTGAGTACTGGGACAAGAACATGGTTTCACAAGTCAAGTTTTCCGAGGCCGCAAGCTTTTGCTTCTCAACCCCTGTTCAGGAGCTGCCCTTAAAGCTCGATCAAAGTCACCTCGACAACCTACTTATCTCTGGAATCGTCGAAATCGGGCCACACTCCACGCTTAAAGCACCACTCCGCCAGATCCTGGATTTCCATAAGCGATCCAACGAAGTGTTCTATACATCGGCATTACAACGAGGACATCCAGCGGACGAAACGTTCTTGAATGCGTGCGGACGTCTCTACTGCGAGAACGTATCCTTCAATGTGGGGCTCCTCACAGAGTGGTGCCGCTCCTCGCCATCGGCACCAAAGGTGCTCACACAGCTCCCAAAGTATCCTTTCGATCATTCCATCGTATACTGGGAGGAAACCCGTATCTCCAGAGAGATACGCATGCAGAAACATGGTTTCAACAAGTTCCTTGGTGTGTCCATCAGCGATGGTACGCTCCTGGATAGGCGCTGGAGATTGATCCTTCGAACAGACGAGCAGCCATGGATCAAAGACCACGTCATCAACGGAGCAAACATCTACCCAGGGGCCGGTATGTGCGCCATGGCGATAGAAGCTGCGAAGCAGCTCCTGCATGAGCGCATACCTACGGCCTTCGTGTTAGAGAATGTCGAGTTCATCGCCCCCATCTTACTCAACGACACTGCTGCCGGGACAGAAGTAGAGATTAGCCTCACAGCACTCAAAAGTGATAAAGCACTTATCCAGTACAAGTTTCGGATAGCTACTTGGCGGCGCGACGAGTCCAGCGAAGAAGTTTGCCACGGGACAATAAGCGCGGACTATGGCAACGTCGCATCTGAGGTTGATCCTCACAGTGAGCGCGAGATGCTCAGTCGGATTCTCGATGATCATGAAAGAGCTACAGATTCGTGCAACCGCAAAGTGGAAAAGTTCTACGAGACAGTCAAAGCCAAATGCGGGGCGGATTTCGGCCCGAGCTTTCAGCGACTTCAGGACATCTCCTGCAACGGGGAAGGCGATGTGAGGGCACGGCTGTTGCCATACGAGGACTACTGCGTCGTGCACCCAGTGGTGTTGGACGCAACTTTCCACATATCGCAGGCTATTTCCAACGGCGATCGCTTCCGCACAATGGTTCCTCGGCGGGTCAGTAAGATCTGGATCTCGACCTCTGGCATCGGGCATGATGGCATCGATCAAGAGGTAGTCCATGCGCGAGCTTCCATGCCTACGCGTAGGAGTGCTGTCTCTTCTATCTCGGTTCTTCGGCAGACAACCCGCGAGGTGGCTCTGAAAATCATTGGTTTTGAGTACACAGCTGTCAGTGAAGACAAAGATTCCACCGTCGCAGGGGACGAAGCCAAGCACCTCACAGGGCATATGATCTGGAGACCTGACGTGGACCTACTGGGAACTGATGAGCTCGCACAGTACTGCGCCCGGCACCGAGATACCAGAGATGATCCTGAAGAGTACTTTCGCGATTGGGAAGCAGTATCGATTGTGCTTGGGACTCGTGCCTTGAGAGTCTTGGGAGATGACCCACCGGCTACTTCGGAGTTGGCAAACTATGTCTCCTGGCTGAAGACAACGATCGCTTCTGTGAGAAACTCATTTCCCAAGGATGTGATTGAGTTAGTGGATAGCTGCATACTCGGAGATGGTCCTTTTGAAGCCCTCTGCGAGCGAGTAGAAAAACACAAGGCTGGGAAGCTTTACGTCGCAGTGGGCCGGAGTCTCGGGCGGATTCTCACAGGCGAGCTTAACCCACTCGCTGTGATATTCCAGGATGAGGAACTCATGCAGGAGTTCTATGACGAGATGATATACGAATCTCGGCCACTAAGATCTATGCAAGCGTTTGTGGACCTCTTGGCACATAAAAACCCGGATCTTAAGGTTTTAGAGATCGGAGGTGGGACCGGTGGAAGCACTAACACCATCCTAGAAGTGTTGAATTCCTGGCATGGACCTCGCTTCGGTCAGTATGTCTTCACTGATATTGGTCCTTCGTTTCTGCAAAAAGCGAGGACGCGCTTTAGCGATCTGGACAACATGGAGTTCCGGGCACTCAACATCGAAAAGGATCCATTGGAACAGGGCTTTGCAGCACATGAGTTCGACATCGTGGTTGCTGACATGGTACTCCATGCGACGTCGGATCTCAGCAAGACTCTGCAGAACGTGCGGAAGCTCTTGAAACCAGGAGGCAAGCTCATATTGAAGGAATTGACCTCGTCCAGCAAAGTTTACACAGGATTTGTATTCGGTTTGTTGCCCGGATGGTGGCTGAGTGTCGAGCCATGGAGAGCCCAAGCATTGAGTCCTTGCGTCGACGCAGCCAGTTGGAGTAGGCTGCTGGATGCAAACCAATTTAGTGGAGTTGACCTGGAGCTTTGCGACTTCGAAAGCGACATTTGTCACATGTGGAGTTATTTCATATGTACCGCAACAGATGCTACCGTGCAGGACCAAAAGAGCCATGGAGAAGTTTCAGCACCAATAATAGTAGTCAGGGAAGACTCGCAAGCCCAAAAACAGCTCGCTAGGCATATTTATGCATGCATGAATATACCAGAGGTCTGGCCAGAGGCACTAAGCTTTGACGAAACTGTGGCTCGCACAGATCTAGGCAGTAGAGATTTAATTATTTTGCTGGAGAGCGAGCAGCCTGTTCTCGTCGATATCACGCCAAAATTCTTTGCGGGCCTTCAGAAGGTTCTTTGCTCCTCAAGGAGCATTATCTGGGTCACTCGAAATACCTCTTCCGCATCTCCCGAATACGGCATGATTACGGGGCTCATCCGAGTGCTCCGCATAGAAAACAGGTCAACCCAGATCGTCGCACTCGCAGTGGATGATCACGAAATGGCAAGAACGGCGTCGAATATCTTTACCGTATTCAAAGCCACGCAAAAAGCGCTCGACCTTCGCATCGATGTTGAGCCCGAGTATTTGGACCAGTCAAATCTATTGCACATAAATCGCATAGTGTCTTCGAAAAACATCAATGAGCACATCTTCCGCCGAACAGCACAGCCCGTTGTTGAACAGCCCATTGGCAACAGCAACCTGCGGCTCGGAATCCGGGCTCTTGGTCTACTTGACACGCTGGAGTTCTCAGAAGAGATGCCGACGGAATCTCGCCTGGGGCCAAAGGAACTCATCGTCAGAGTTCATTCCATAGGCGTAAATTTCAAGGACTGCATGACACTGCTCGGGCGCTTGGACACGGACGATCTCGGGACGGAGTGCGCAGGCACGGTGGAGCGCGTCGGGAGCGCCTGTGGGGATATCGTGCCGGGATCGCGAGTCGCAGTGGTGGCTTTTGATGCGTACCGGACTTTTGTTCGCACGAACACAGACCGGGTGAGCGTGATACCAGACTGGATGTCTTTTTCGCAAGCTGCGTCGATCCCGACCGTATTTTGCACAGCTTACTTCAGCCTGATCAAGATGGCAAGGCTGCAACGGAACGAAACAGTTCTTATCCATGCTGCCTCAGGAGGCACTGGACAGGCTGCCATTCAGGTCGCACAAGATGTTGGAGCTAAGATTTTCGCCACAGTTGGATCGGCAGCTAAGAAACAGCTCTTGGAAGAGGTCTATGGGATACCCGGGTCCCAGATATATTACAGTCGCGATACCTCTTTCGCCGATGGGGTCTTGCAAGCAACAGGCAATCGAGGCGTAGACGTGATACTGAACTCTCTGGCAGGCAAGCAGCTTCAGGCATCGTGGGACATTATTGCGCAGTTTGGAAGATTTGTCGAAATTGGGAAAACCGACATCAACGCGAGGAACACACTACCCATGTATTCTTTCGGAAGAAATGCGTCCTTCATCGGCGTGGACGTCTCGCAAATCATAGAAGCGCCCAGCAGCGATGGTAGCGGGAGCCGCATACAGGAGGTAGCCGGTTGCGTCATGCACCACATGAGAGCCGGTACCTACAAACCGGTCTATCCCCTCCACAATTACGACATCGGAAGTCTCGAGCAGGCCCTCAGATTCCTGCAGAGCGGGAAAAGCTCCGGTAAAATAGTCGTCAATGTGGCCCCAGATTCTGTCGTTCCTGTAAGTCACTAACCTTCGCTCTCAAGACTTCTGCCACTAATTCTTCATGCCGTAGGTAGTTCAAAGCTCCCACTCGCCGTACCAGCTTCGTCCAGATGCTACATACGTCATTGCCGGTGGTCTAGGAGGGTTGGGCCGGTCCATCGCGAACTGGCTCTGCGATCGCGGTGCAAGAAGCCTCATCCTACTTTCACGCACTGGTACCACTAACCCCAATGTACGCGCCGAAGTGGAGAGGCTTCGTGCCCGCGGCATCACCGTCGAATGTCCCATGTGCGACATTGCCGATCTTGGAGCTCTACAGAGCGCGCTGGAAGCGTGTTCGCATCTGCCACCGATAAGAGGGTGTTTCCAGGGCGCCATGGTCCTCCGGGATGCTACCTTCGCGCGAATGACTTTTGATCAATGGACTGAGTGCACGCTACCAAAGGTCCAAGGGTCTTGGAACTTACACCAGGCAATGGCTGGAGTTGATCTCGACTTCTTCATCCTGCTTTCTTCGGCTGGCGCCATTGTTGGTAACGGTGGCCAAAGCAACTATGCCGCAGGGAACTCCTTCCAGGATGCGCTCGCACGATTCCGGGTGTCGCGTGGAGCGAAGGCAATATCATTGAATCTAGGTATGATATTGGGCGGGGGATACGTGGCTGAAAACGACGCGGTGCGAGAGAGACTCGTTCGGAACGGCGAGCTCTATCCGATACACCTGGAAGAGTTCCTGGCGATGCTAGATTACTGTTGCAATCCTGACCTCGGCCTCCTGTCCCCCGACGAGTGTCAACTAGTCACGGGAGTGACGCTACCAGCCCAGCTTCGCGCCGAAGGGAAGGATGTACCCCTCAGATTATTACAACCATTAATACGGTGCCTGGCACAGATACCTGTGCGCGTATCATTCAAAACTCAAAACGAGGGGACCGGGGAGAACCTGATGGCAGCGTTTCGGGAAGCGGAAAATGTGAATGAAGCTGCGAGTGTGGCAACCGAGATGCTCAAAATTAAAACAAGCAAGCTCCTTGGGCTTCAGGTGCAAGATGTGGAAGCCAGCAGCCAGCTTGAACACTACGGCGTGGATTCCCTAGTTGCAATCGAGCTGCGGAACTGGATATCTAAGGAGCTCGGTGTAGATATTGCTGTGTTTGAGATACTTGGAGGAATGTCGTTGCTGGAACTCGGGGTCTTGATTGCGCAAAGGCGGTCCGCTCCATAAGTTTTACGCAGGCGTTTATGTTCTACAGGTTGCGAGGACGAAGTCTCCGGAGTAGGTGGATAGATAAACTCAACACGTAACATCGTATGATGCTTCACGCATGTATCATGTCAAGCCTGGGACGGAAACATTCGTTTGTGGGTGGTGAGCATTAGGATAGGTGGACGGCTTGCTTCGGGCAATGAAGCTCGATTGGGCGGGCGACTATCAAATCCAGTATTGATTTTAACTACCCTTTGTGCTCTACCGCTACTATTGCCGGGACGTCTCGTATATCCGAAGTCTCGTTGGTTGCCAGATCCACAAGTCGAACAGCATCAACAGAGAGCACACCAGCTGAAAGTGCTAGAAACTTTAGGTCGGCCGTATAACAAGCACCTGGGGCAAGATGACTGGTGATCGTCAGCACTGGGAGAATCTGTGGCCAGAAAGAATTTCACATACCCAATCCTGATGTCCGTGGTCAGGCATATCAGCTCTGCGGTTTCCGTACGTGCATTCTTCTGTTTGGCATAAACGATGTTTTCATCCACCACTGCGTTCGCGAGCAAATCTTTCTTGTCAGAGCGATATCCTGCCACTGAGGATGCCGACGATAGTGGTCTTTGCTTGTCGTAATCTCGTCTCCGTCTCGGCACGACCAGAACAGCTAGTTTACGTGTTTTGTCGGATCGATTCACAATGAATACGCTCCAGTTAAACATCTCACCAACAGTCACCTGGGGCGGTCCACTTATCGTCAGGGTAACGTGGATGGAAGTATCTTTAGGTATCTCCGCCGTTTGACCAACCTTATCATGGCTGGTAGTCGAGCCTGTCTCTGGGATTTTTGGTGCATGTGTTAGTGGATTGCTTAGTCGGTGGGCGGCCTTCACTAAGGCCGAATTTTGTTCGGCCGAAAAGTCCACTGCTGTCTGCCAACCAATGCTAACGTTGGGCTGGCAATCTTCCGACACCAGAACTTTGGCTTTGATTTCTAGGGTCAATAGGTGGCCTTCATTCCCAAAGAGTGGCGTGCCATCCACGGCTAGATCTGGCGTGATCTTGTAAAGAGACGTAAGTTGATCTCCTGGCTTGTGAATATGCTTGATGATACTCTGATCGGATATAGGCTTTACGTCACCTCCCCGCAATGAGAGCTTCACATCATTGATGGCTAACCGGCATCCGGTGATGTATGCAACCTCCAGATCGAGCGATGCCATGAGCGACATATCGCTTATGGCCGTTTGAACCTTGGAGTATCTTACTCGCCATATCAGTGCAGGTAACGCTCGGAAAAGCCGCCTTTGGCCAGTTCGTATTGGTCTAGTCAGTTCTTTGGCAACGGGTGCGGTGGGCGCAATCTTGTTGATGCGCAGTGCAGACAGACGCGGATGAATGCCTGCCAAAGCCGGATCACTTTCGAATGATTGAAGGAGGTTGAGTGCTGTTGGTGTTCTGCTTGGCAGGTATTCATCCTCCAGAACACTCTTCTTCTCTGCTGGCTTCAGAGATGCTGTGGGCATGAAATATATTGCTGGCTTTTGGAATCGTCCTCGGGGCCGGCCTATTCTCGTGTCAGAAAATGATGGGCTCGACACGAGGTAAACTCACTCATAAAAATCTCAAGCTTCCAGACAACATAAATGTGTGGGGAACTTGCTTCATCATGGCGCACAATGACCGGCTCCACTGCACTGGTAATAGTTTCTGACGCGAGAAGCTCCTTGGAAGGCGGTCCTTTGGAATCTGAATCTGGTGGAGGAGCCGTACTGAACGCTAGTGCCTCGACATTGATGGCTAGGCGAGACAGATAAGACTTGAGTGTAGCATCTTCCATCAGCGGTGTACGAAAGACAATGTAGACCGGTACTAGCTCATCTGGAAGCCTGATGATAAGTAAGAGCATGCATATGGGGTTTGCGTAGCAGACTGACCGAACAGTAGCACCTGCCGCTGGGAAAGAAAAGGTAGGACCGAACCCTTCTCTTCGTCATTGGTCCCATCCCAGGAAGTGAGCTCTTCTTCGGCGTCAAACTCGGAATCTGAGGGGACGACGGCTTCGAGAATCGAACTCTCGACGAACTCGGCGCTTCCACGAGGCTGGGCTTCCGCCAGGGCAGCCATCACAGCGGCTACAGAGGAGTTTTTATGCCAGTTCCAGGCTGGGTATGGCTTCAGAGGATTAATTGCAGAATCAACGGCAGGCACGGCCTCGGCATTGAATATTTATTCAGAGATGATTAGCCAGCAAGTGAGAGTTGAAGTGCTAAGGCAGTGGGGCTAGCTCCCGCTCGCTCCTACCTCCATATGCTGGCCCGTGCGCGATCACTTTTTAGATTCACGCCTGCTTCGTGTCTTGAGACGTCCAACCACCACACTGTCGCGTCGACCGTCAGCCACTTGTTCATCGCTCAAAGCATGGCCATGAACGGGTTTGCGCCGCCTGGAGGCATGCCCTTTCCGCCGCCTGGAGGCATGCCGCCCCCAGCGCCGGCATGGAAGAGTGTGACAACGCCCGAAGGCAAAACTTACTACTTCAACGCCCTCACTAACGCGACGCAATGGACCAAGCCGGAAGAGCTGATGACGCCCGAAGAGCGCGCGACAGTGGGCACCGATTGGCAGATCCTCGAACACAATGGCAAGCCGTACTGGGCGCACAAGGAGACCAAGGAGACGACCTGGGAGCCACCGGCCGAGGTCAAGCAGAACATGGAGCGCGTGGCCAGGCCGCCCCCTCCACCCTCTTCGTAAGTGTATTGCGCATACTCTGCAGAGGAGCCGCTCACAGTGTTCACAGTAATTCATGGGCGGCTGGTCCTGCGATTCCCTCCGGCCCTCGTGATCGTGAGCAAGCTCGCTTTGATCGCGAGCCCATGCGTGAACGCGACAGCTACCAGCCGGACCGACGAGACCGCGACCGTGATCGGGACCGAGAGCGTGACCGTGACTCTGGCTTCGGAGCTGGAGAGCGCGCGAGCATGGCGTTTGCACCGTCCAACGACATACAATTTGCAAACCCCAACGACGCTGTACTGGCCTTCAACAAATTGCTCAAGCAGCTCAAGGTACAGCCTGACTGGGAGTGGACGCGTGCTGTTCGCGCCGGTATCAAGGACCCCAACTGGCGCGCCATTCCCGACCCCGAGAAGCGCGAGGAGGCCTTCAGAAAGTACTGCGAGGATCTCCGCGCCGAGGAGAAGAACAAGGAGCAGAGTCGCCAGGAGAAGCTGCGCTCCGACTTCATGGCAATGCTGCGCTCTCATCCCGAAATCAAGCACTACACCCGATGGAAGACCGCGCGACCCATCCTAGAGGATGAGACCATCTTCCGGTCTGCCAAGGACGACGACGAGCGTCGGCGGCTTTTTGAGGAATACATCGTCACTCTGACCAAAGCTCACGCTCAGCAGGAGAAGGAAGACAAGAAGACTGCTTTGGACGAAGTGATGTCGCTGATGCGAACGCTAGACCTAGAGCCCTTCACTCGCTGGCATGCGGCCGAGGAGCAACTCAAGCAAAACAACGTCTTCAACAGTGAAAAATTCGAGTCTCTCACCCGCTCCGACGTGCTCAATACCTTCGAAAAGCATATCAGGCAGCTTCAGCGCGATCACAACGACCGGGTCCAGGCCGAGAGGCGTCAAAAACAGCGCATCGAGCGGAAGAACCGAGACGGGTTCAAGCAGCTTTTACAGGAGCTTCAAAAGGCAGGCAAGCTCCGAGCTGGCACCAAATGGAAAGATATCCATCCACTGATTCAGGAGGACCTGCGATACGTCGCGATTTTAGGGCAAGGCGGATCATCGCCACTCGATTTGTTCTGGGACGCGCTTGAGGACGAGGAGAACAAGTTCCGTTCCCTGCGTCGCTTCGCCTTGACGATGCAGGAGGTAAGTCTTCCGCCTCACGAACATTGCGACCATGGCTAATGAATATCCAGGATGAACGCTTTGAGGTTACAGCTTCGACCCCCTTTAAAGAATACTTGAGTGTTATGCGCGCTAACCCTCGTACTGATCATATTGACGATCACACCATGAAGCTCATCTTCGACTATGTCTTGGCTAAGGTCAAGAAGCGAGAGGCCGACGAACTGCAGGAGCAGGAGCATGACGCGCGTTATGTAATGGACGACTTGCGCGCCGTACTAAAGCGCCTCGAACCACCTGTGACACTTTCGGATACCTGGGAAACGGTACGTCCTCGTGTCGAAAAGACGAAAGAGTACAGCGCACTAAAATCAGACTCACTCCGCCAATCCGCGTTCGACAAGTACATGCGCCGCCTCAAGGAGAAGGAGAGCGATCGCCGCGACCGTAGTCGGCGCGATACACGTGATCGTGAGAGGGACAGGGACAAGGACCGAGACAGCAGACGGGACCGACGTGATGATCGTGAGTACCGCAACGGGCATTCTGACTCTCACCGACGCCATCGTACGCGCACACGCTCACCTGAGAATGATCCTTACGCTGCTGAGCGCCGCCGAGCTCAGGAGGACCGAGAGGCTCGGTACAGGAACAATGACAGCACAGGTCTCTCACCTCCCTACCGTCGTGACCGTGAGCGAGACAGCGATCGATATAGCGGTTCCCGCCGAGGGAGCGGCGATTTTTATGTGCGTGAGAGGCGCGAGCGCGAGGCTGAGCGCGAACGCTCGTACATTCCGCGAGGTGATCCTGCTGCTAGTCGCGCAGATCCGCGTGAGCGTAGTGTGAGCGAGCTTGACTATGGTGACAGCTCCGGCGCCCGCACCACCTCGACGCGACGCCGACGCGAGAGCGACGAGAGCACGTCCCGGCGTGATAGCAAGGTATGTCAACCCGTGAAAGTGTTCAAGCCTGTGTGCATTATATTAACTGAGCATAGCGCGCCCGATTCTCCCCCCGTGCTGATCGTAAGTCCAAGACTCCTGTTCCCGAACCTCCCAAGGAAGAAGAGCGTGCTCTTCGATCGGGAAGCGAGGAAGGGGAGATTGAGGAGGACTGAACGCGCAGCATCCGTCAGTTGCCGCCGTTTATTGACAGCCTAGGCTCGGCTCCTGCAGACTGTTTCGTGCCATTCTTTCGTCATGCTTTACATGCCACTTGCGTCAGGCGCTGATCGATGCGGCTACAACATTATCATGCCCGTTGTCGCGATAGGCGTGGCGCGCTTTCCAAGTGCTATCATATCTAGGACAAGCAGACGTGCAATTTCGTCTCGATTGTTGGCAAGGCTCTGCAAGCTTCGGCATCTGTACGATGCGTCTTTGCCGTCATGAGATGCCCTTGAAAAGTTGTTCCCTCGCTGGGTGGAGCGAATTCGTCTTCTCGATTAATCAGCCCCTTTCCCCTCTCCTGCCCAACTTCTAGTTCCCTGTCCATTACCTTGCAGCCTATAAAATACTAAATAACAAAATAACTTACTCTAATGCTTCACATATGTATGCCTCCTCGCGATCTCGCCCTTCTCAGGACCGTCATTACGATCTTGCCTTGCTTGGATTGAGGCTGGCATCTAATTTGTCTCTGGAAAGTGCAGGGCGGATATCTCGACGAATGATCAGATAAGTACGTCACGAGAGGTTTTTGGCAAGATGTTGCCATGACAGGGTATGCAACTGTCGCCATCCCTCACGTACCGGGACGTATCAAAGACCCACCATTGATACACGTCCCCTTCCACCACTTCGTCTCTTCCACAACGCCGTCGAAACGCCTTGCATTGAATGAATCTTCTCCGTGCCCACGCCGTTCAAACCATAATCCCTCATCGCCATCTGCACCGCGTTCTGCACATCATCCCGCTCAGCCACCTTCCCCAGTGCATCGCTGCTTCAGCAACAGCGTGACGAGTTTCAACTGCCGGGATGGCAGGTGGAAGAGGGGGCGGTGAGGTGGCGGGTCAAGGAGAGGAGGACGGGCGGCGGGGGAGGAAGCGATGCGTATGGAGGAATCTTAGAGTGAGGGGAAGGTGGATGGGGGAGGGGGTAGGGAGGATGCAAAAGCAGGGCAGGCATGTAGAAGATTAAGAGTGAATTTGTGCGCCTTGTTGCGCGGACTATACGACTGATTGACTGATATATCACCAAGACTTTTTTGCACGCCGAAGCACGCCGTGTACCTCCTCACTCAGGGCCTCCGCGGCCGGCAGCGATCCCCTAACTTGACCCGTGCTACGCTCTCAACTACACAGCCACGACTCGGTGGCCAGCACGTACATAGCGCAGGAGGACGACCGCCGCACTGCGCTGCCATCGTGCTCGTCGTCTTCATCCGCCGCACCCTCTTCCTCGAGCAGCGTGCCCAGCCGCGCCCTCAGCCCGCGCTTCTTACAGCCGCGCTTCGTTGCACGGCGCCCCGCCTGCCCCGTCGGGCGGTGCGGGGGCCGCGGATCGTAGGTCTCGCCCTGGGTGCCTTCAAGCCTCGTCCTCGAGGAAGAAGTAGTTGCCGTGGAGCTTCTGCTCCTGGTCGAGCTGGGAGTTGAACTTGTTGATGCGGGGGCGGTAGGAGTTAGGGTCGCGGCGGAAGGTGACGTCGAGGTTCTTGAGGAACTTATTGCAGCCGGTGAGGAGGGACTCGGGTGTGTTTGCGCGGGAAGAGATGGCCGGTTGGCCATCGAAGACGATGACGCGGTCCGCGAGGTAAGTGGCCATGATGAAGTCGTGCTCGACGACGAAGGCGGTCTTCTTGGCGTGCATGATGAAGCGCTTGATGACGCGGGCGGCGACGATACGCTGCTCCGAATCGAGATAGGCCGAGGGCTCGTCGATGAGGTAGATGTCGGCGGGCATGCCGAGTGCAAGTACGATGGCGACACGCTGCAGTTCACCACCGGACAGGTTCTGAACCTCCTGGTCAATGAAGTCGTCCATCTTGAGGGGCTTGTAGACGTCGGTCTGGAACTGCGGGCTGAGGAAGGCAGCCTTGATCTTCTTGAAAAAGAGCTGGCGGACGGTGCCGGTGAACTTGGGCGTGATTTTCTGCGGCTTCATGCTGATGTTCATGGGCGGGATCTTCTTGCCGTCATCAGGCTGCAGGGCACCGGCAAGCATCTTACAGAAGGTGGTCTTTCCGGTACCGTTCTCACCCATCATGACGATGATCTCAGAGTCAGTAAATTGGCCTGCTTCGATCTCCAGATGGAAGTCGCCGAGTGTCTTAGCCATCTTGGGGTAGCCATATGCGTTGGACTTGTCGGTAAGGAACTCGTCACCAGCCTCAGCGATACGGAACTGCAGGGACTCCTCACGGAAACGCAGGTTCTCGGTGGGAATGTTACCATCGAGGAAGATGTTGATTCCCTCACGCACGGAGGCCGGGAGGGTGACTACGCCGTAGACGGCAGGCTTGCCGTAAAGGACGCAGATGAAGTCGGAAAGATAGTCCAACACGGACAGATCGTGCTCTACGACGATGACGTAGTCGTCAGGGCGGAGCAGGCTACGGATCATGCGTGCGGCGGCAAGACGCTGCTTTACGTCAAGGAAGGAGGAAGGCTCGTCGAACATGTACACATCTGCCTTTTGGACACAGACGGTACCGATAGCGAAACGCTGCAGCTCTCCACCGGAAAGCAGTGTCACATCACGCTCGTACACATGCTTTAGCTCTAAGACCTCGGTGATCTCCTCGAGATTGTCCATCTGGGAACGGCTCTCGATGAGATGACCGACTGCTTTGTTCGTTCCCTTGATGGCCTTGGGGATCTGGTCGACATACTGAGGCTTGACGACAGCCTTGAGATCGTCCTCGAGGACCTTGGTGAAGTAGTCTGCGCCCTGTTAACCCGTATTCCGCGCAGAGCATGCGTGTGGTCTTACTCTGCAGTTCCGATCCACGGAAGTACTTCAGAATCTCCTCCCAGTCTGGGGGGTTATCGTAGCGGCCGAGGTTGGGCTTCAGCTTGCCGCTCAGAATCTTCAGTGCCGTGCTCTTTCCGATACCGTTTGTGCCGACCAATCCCAACACCTGGCCCGGACGGGGCATGGGCAGCCTGTGCAGCTTGAAGCTGTTGGCCGAGTATCGGTGCGTGACTTGAGTCTCGAGGTTCGTGGGCAAGTTGATGATGTTGATGGCGTCGAAGGGGCACTTCTTGGGGCAGATACCGCATCCTATGCACAGGCGCTCGGAGATGAAGGCGATCTTGGAGGTGTTGTCGACTTCGATGCACAGCTTTCCGGTGCGCACCACGGGGCACGACTTCTTGCACTCTTGCCTACATTTCTGCGTCCTGTGAGTGAAGGTTGGCGGGCTTCGCGGGGTTGCGACTGACCTTCGGCTTGCACTGTTCGCGCACACTTCATGTTAGAGAAATTTCGAACACGACAGCGGGGCAGCACTTGCCTTGTCGTTGCTGACAATCGCAATACTGGCGTGTGTCAGTATAGATATGTAGGACGTGCATGCAGGGAGGCATACCGGGTGAGTTTGTCCGACATGGTCGCGGTTGCAGCGAGAAGTGCGGGCGTGGAGTGTGGAGGTGGAGGTTTCGCGCTGCAAAGGCCTACGTAGATGGCGGGGCACGCTGTGAATTTAGAAGTGGCTCGTGGGTGACTACGAAACACAATGTCAGTAATACCGCGGAGAGAGTGCGCGCCCCAACATCGACTCACCAAGCTACCGCCTGTGTACAGCGTAGAAGACGGATACGCGACAGAGACAGCCGTGCTTCGAGACCGTGGATCAAAGACGTTCACGACACAGCGGTCATCGTAGTGGCCTGCACGCTGATTGGCTCGGTGGTCGCAGCGGCTTTGCACGTGACCCCCTCGCGCTCGTTTCTGTGCTGAGCCAGTGGGCCCTGGACACCCTCACATCTTCTCACAAGTAGATACCTACTTGTGCCCGCCCACCACCACGCCTCCCCGATACAGAGCAGGATTTCCCTGACTGGGGTACAACCATGGACAGTAAGTTTTTCTCTCCTCCGCGCGCCCATCTCTCTCTGCCGGCTGGCAAGCCTGCCGTCTGATGTCCATCCTCGCATCCGCACATGTCCATCTCGCGCCGCCCTCCCCCATCCGCGAAGCGCCTATGCGAACTCGATACCGATCGCTCCTGATCCTTCTCGTGCCCCTCGACATCCTCCAGCCTGTCACTGGCCCCTCCTAGTCAACGAGCCCCGTCCAAAGCCGCTCGCTGCCTCCCGGGCACGTTTCCATCAACCGCGTCGGTCCTTCATCAAATCCGGATTGCTCCAGATCTGCTGCTTGTCTCTTCCTGATTGTTGATTTGTTTGAGTCGCGTAACTCTGCTCTACATAACGCGCCCATTGGCATCTCCATCCGACGTTTGCTCATGTAATTGTCACGCTGACCATCCGCCCAGCCGCGTCCATCGTCGTACCCTCCGCTATGGCCGACTCGGTCCCATATACGAACGGGCACTCCTCGCCGATCGCGTCAGATACCGCTATGCCGTCTGCTCCTTCACCGCCTAGCGAGGATGCCCTCTCCGAGACCCAAGAGGCTGCCGCCGCATCGTCAGACGAAGATGGAGATGCCGACGCCGATGGAGAGGAATATGAAGAGGACGAGCAGATGGAAGTTGATGCAGAGACTTCAGAAGACGCCGAGGGCGAGGCGGACAGTGATTTTGGCTCTGACAGCCCGCCGCCTGAAGAGGACCGCCGCCGCGCCCGCAGCTCAACATCGCAAGGTTCAAGCCGGCCCAGCAAGCGCAAAGCCAGCGTGGAGGACGATTTCGAGGCGAATCCAGAGCTGTATGGCCTGCGTCGGAGCGTAAGCAGCCTCTACCCGCATCGCACTTTCCAGCTGACCGTAGTATAGGGCCGAGCACGTCCAACCCGTCGCATTGTTGGTACTCCTACCTGGCTTCGTACCTCTTTCTAATAGTGTCTAGGTCGATAGCAGCGATGAGGACGATGGTTCGGATTCTGATGTGCCGCGCAAGCGCCAAAAGACCGCATCACGGAAAGGTACTTTCTCACGCCCGCCATCTCCATTCCATCATCGCTGACCATTCGCGATAGCCTCTAACCAACCTACACCCGTCTACCGCTCTACGAATACCGATTCCGACGAATCCGACGGCTTCGTCGGGGCCCGTCGCGACATCCCGAGCAAGAAGGAGCGACAGCGCCGGCAGCTCGTAGCTGAGGGCCAGCTGCCGCCTTCACACGCCGAGGTCCGATTCTCAGCGCGACGGACAAAGGCTATTACGAACTACAACGAGGATGGCGAGGAGTCTTTCGAGGAAGAGGAAGACGAGATGACCCCCAACTACTGGGCTGCCGCTGCCACCGAAGACACTGGTCCTGCCATTGACAAAGTGCTGGACCATCGGCCGAAGCCCGATGTTGGTATGGTGTATCTGGTCCTATATTCACACTGACACTGACACTCCGTAGAACTCGATCCTTACTCTGTCCAGAAGAAGGATTTTGAGTATTTGGTAAGTTTTTCGATATCAGGTCTTCGACTGTGCTAACAGCATACCCAGATCAAATGGCAGGACAAAGCGCATTACCACTCCACATGGGAGGAGCACAGTACGATCGCCTCATGCAAAGGCTGGCGAAAACTCGACAACTACTTCAAAGGGCCTGTCCTCACCGACATGCATGTTCACTCTCGCAAAAAGATCGATCCCGAAGAGTTTGAACAGCACATGGTCACACGCGAAGGGCAACGCGAGAGTCTGCTTGATTTTCATGTTGTGGAGCGGGTGATCGGTTCGCGCGAAGGCGACGAAGAAACAGAGTACTACGTCAAGTGTAAGTGCAGCTGACCCTACCCCTGTCGAGATTACCTAACCATGCTGTAGGGAAGGGACTGAGCTACGATAATTCGACTTGGGAGGCGGCGTCTTTGATAAGCGAACTCGCGCAGGGCGAGATCGATCGGTTCCTTGACCGCCAGACCAACCGACCTGTCTCCGACCCCAAGGAGACCAGCCTGCAGACACGGCGGAAATACAAACCTCTTGAAGAGCAGCCTGACTATATCAAGTTTGGTAAGCTTCGGTCGTTCCAGCTTCACGGGCTCAACTTCCTGGCGCACAATTGGGTCAGAGGTACCAATGTTATCCTGGCCGACGAGATGGGACTGGGCAAGACTGTTCAGACGGTGTCCTTCATGAACTGGCTCAAGCATGACCGACGCCAACAAGGTCCCTTCCTTTGCGTCGTACCCTTGTCAACAATGCCTGCCTGGGCCGATACATTTAACAACTGGACACCGGACATCAATTACGTCATCTACACTGGCGGCAGTGAAGCCCGAAGAATCATTCAGGACTACGAGCTTCTTGTCGACGGCAACGAAAAGAAAGTCAAGTTCAACGTGCTCGTGACCACCTACGAGTATGTCCTTCTCGACTGGCAATTCCTCTCGAGAATCAAATGGCAGTTCCTTGCGGTCGATGAGGCCCATCGACTGAAGAACCGTGAATCTCAACTGTATGAGAGGCTACTTGGTTTCTCAGCCCCTAGTCGTCTCCTTATCACCGGTACCCCCATCCAAAATACATTGGGAGAACTGTCGGCATTAATGGACTTCCTGATGCCCGGCAAAGTCACTTTCGATGAGAATGTCGACCTCGCATCGGAGGATGCTAGTGTCAAGCTTGCTGAGCTTAGCGCTGCCATCCAGCCGTACATGATCCGTCGGACGAAAGAGAAGGTTGAGAATGACCTCCCACCCAAGTCTGAAAAGATTCTCAGGGTTGAGTTATCCGACATCCAGCTGGAGTACTACAAGAACATCCTCACTCGCAACTACGAGGCTCTGAATGAGGGTGGTCAGGGCCAGAAGCAGTCACTTCTCAACATCGTCATGGAATTGAAGAAAGCCAGTAATCATGCTCTGCTCTTCCCAAACGCCGAAGCCAAGTTCTTGAAAGAGGGTGCTTCAAAGGACGAGACCTTGAAAACCATCGTCACCACTAGCGGAAAGATGATGCTTCTCGACCGTCTCTTGACGAAGCTGAAAGCCGACGGCCATCGCGTGCTTATTTTCAGTCAAATGGTACACATGCTGGACATTCTTACCGACTATATGCGCCTCAGGAACTACCAGTTTCAGCGCCTGGATGGTACCGTTCCTTCAAGTGATCGCAAGATCGCCATCGACCACTTCAATGCCCCAGGCAGCGAGGACTACTGCTTCCTTTTGTCCACCCGTGCTGGTGGTCTCGGTATCAACCTGATGACTGCTGATACTGTGGTGCTTTTCGACTCGGATTGGAATCCTCAGGCTGATCTGCAAGCCATGGCTCGAGCCCACCGTATCGGACAACAAAAGCCTGTCACCGTCTACCGTCTCGTATCCAAAGATACTATCGAGGAAGAAATCCTGGAACGTGCTCGTAACAAGCGTATGCTTGAGTTCATCACAATCCAGCGCGGTGTGACAGATCGTCAGCAGAAGGAGCTTAATGACAAAATGAGTAAAATAGGCGCAGAGCCAAGCTCCGCTGACGATATCAACAACATTCTCAAGCGTCGTGGTCAGAAGATGTTCGAGCAGTCGGGCAATCAAAAGAAGCTTGAAGAGCTTGACATTGATGCCTTGCTTGAAAACGCAGAAGAGCACAAGACAGAACAGGTGGGAGGCCTGACCTCTGATGGAGGTGAAGAGTTCCTCAAGGCTTTCGAATACACGGACGTAAAGATCGATTTGGAGTGGGATGACATCATTCCCAAGGACGAGCTCGAGGCTGTGAAAGCTGAGATCCAGCAGCGAAAGGAGGAAGAAGAGACACAAAAGTTGCTGGAAGAGAGTGCACCGAGGAAGCGTAAAGCGCACGCGACATCCGGAGAGCGCGAACAGCGCGCCGCCAAGAGACGGGCTAGGGAAGCCATGCCTGGAAGCGAGGACCAGACAGACGATGAGGGTCCCAATAGCGACCCGAAGCGTCCCATGGTCACCAACGAAATTCGCAAACTCGTTCATGCTTGTTACCGCTATGGCTCTTTTGAAGAGCGTGGCGAAGACATGGTGCGAGACGCAAGGCTCGTTGGGCGCGACCTCGACGTTGTTAAGGCTGCCCTAGACGTGGTGATTGCCAGGGCTAAAGAAGAGATTGAGAAGCAACGAGGTGATATCAAGAAAGAGGGTGAAAGCAAGCAACTTACTAAGAAGGACAAGAAGGCTGTCCTGTTTGACCACGAAGGTGTCAAGAAGATCAACGCCGAGACTATTCTTGATCGTCCTGTCGAAATGCGCGTTCTAAAGGAAGCGATCGCCGCCGGCTCGGATTGGCGCAACTTCAGAGTTCTTGACGCCATCAAGCCGGCCAGCTATTCTTGTCCCTGGGGTGCGCGAGAAGATGGCATGCTCATGATTGGTATTAACCGCCACGGATACGGTGCGTGGGTGCCCATTCGCGATGATCCAGACCTGGGCCTGAAGGAGAAGTTCTTTCTCGAGGAGAACCGTGTGGACAAGAAAGAGGAGCGCACCAAGAAAGAAGAGAAGAACGCCAAGTCGCCAGGCGCGGTTCATCTCGTGCGTCGTGCAAATTACTTACTCACGGTCCTAAAGGACAAGGCTGGTGCCGACCCCAATGCGAAGCGTCTCATGGAGAATCACCATCGCAACAACAAGAAGCACTTGAACGCTGCGCGTCGTGTGGAGAAGGCGTCGAGCGTCTCGGCCAGTCCCGCTCCGTCCGCATTGCGCAAGGCCATCTCTCGCGATTCCGAGAGAACTCCTCACCGCGTCAGCGTCAGCGACAATCGCCATTCGGAGCGACCTGAGAGCCGCCAGCGCGACAAAGCCACTCCGGACCAGAGACACCGCCAGAGCGATCAGTACCGCCCATCCGAGACCAATCGCAAAGAACATCGCAGGGACCGTGAAAGCATCGACCGGCGTCCTCAGCATACCAGCACACCCGAGATCCGTCGCAAGATCAGCGATGTGGCCGATCGTCCTCGACACTCGGAAGAACGACCTCGACACAACGACAAGCTCCACTCTTCGCATGGCCATGCGAACGGTCACATTAGCCACGCGTCAGGTGTCAACTCTCCTTCTAACAAACTGAAGGACTCAAAGACGGACCCAGACATGGAGAGGGCTTTGAAACAGGTGCATGACAATCTGGGACGCCTAAAGAAGGCCACTACGAAGAATTACCCGGACAAGCAAAAGCTCGTCAAGGTGCTCAAGAAGGAGCTTATAGCGGTTGGCAACCACATCAACACGCACATGCGGACGAATCCTGCGCGAGGGGATGAGCTCTGGTGAGTAGTGTATGCGCATAGTCTTTGGAGCTTGCTAACCGTGTTGCAGGAAATACACGGTGAGCAACTATTGGCCGCGGCCTGACGCGACGGTGGAGAATGTGCAGGGCATGTACAAGAGAATGGTATCGTCGGAATCGGGGGTCAAGCCGCAGACGGCCCCTGAACCAGCCAAGACCAACGGGCAAGCCAACGGCACTTGATGCTCCTGTTGGAGCGAAATAGCACGATGCGTAGCGGCTCACACACACGCAAACAACGACACTAGAAGAGGCTTTCGGGCCCATTGATGACGATCACTTGATGGCATAGCGAAGGCGTTGTGGGATTTCACATTGTTGGCGCAGAGGCCGTTTGGTCTCAGTTTCTTTCTGCATACACGAACCTCATTGAAGACCGGCACGCCGGCGAGTAGATGCACGGGTCTTTCATGTTTCTGGCGCAAAACCATCGCGGCATAAAACGACTGGGAGGGGTCGATTGTTCAGCATTTACGGGCGGGTACGGGTCTTGCATCCTATTCTGGCGCGATGCAGGTTCGCATCGTCGCAGTGGCATCATCTTGTGTAGGCTTCGGCGCCTCATTGATAGCATATACATAGCCCAACAGCCGCGGTGCCTAGCAGATAGCCGACAGATGTTGCTAGATGGCACGGGTATCGTATGCAATACGCATGTACTGCATTTTCAAGTCCGGCTCCTCACTTAGCGTAGGCAGAGATAATTTTGCTAGGCTCGTGTGCGGGCAGCCGATAAGCGTCCGTCTGCCTACCACGGTAGGAATCGGCGCTCTTGACGGTGTCGTCTGGTAGCCCAGCGGACGCCCAGATGCTGACCCACCGGCGACCCACCCGCCAGCCGATCCCAGGAGGTGAGGCGGTGGACAACGGGCTGGCTCGTGTGACATGTGTGATTGAATCCAGGGTTCTGAAGAGCAGGCTTCGGGCCTTTTTGGGGGGGAGGATCTTGGTTCGGCCCAGGCTGATGCGGAGCGCGTGGACGGCCGGTGCTCGTGTGCAGCATGGCAGGTGAAGGACTGCATCGGCCTGGAAGACGGCGAGCGGCGCAGCGTGGTGCGTGATGCATTGCCGTTCGCAGGAGGGCAGCACGCGGACAGAGGATGGGCGGCAACCGGGGCGTGCAGGGCGTGGAGGTGGAGCCTATGACGCACCAATCCGCTGCCCCTGCCAGTTCACGTGTCTGTGCACAGGCAGGCGGGCGCGACTGTTGCGCTGGTGCAGCCGCCACCCAAGGACGGCCACGGGCCGTCTCAGTATTCGAGGGCCTCTGGCGACATCCAACCTCCTCGCATGCCTCGCATCGCAAGACTGCCCCCATCGAACCATGCTGCGGCCATTGCAAGCGCTCGTCGCCGCGCTGCTCGCCTCGTGTTCCAGCGGGCTGGACGCCCAGGAGCAGACGCAGCTAGGCCCAGGTACGATCGCGGCAGCGGGCAAGAGCCGCCCGCTGAGAGGACGCTTCCTGCACATCACTGGTCAGCCCCGCCGCGTTATCGCCCACGCTGCAGCGCATCTAACCGCCACGATACAGACTTCCATCCCGACCCTCACTACAAGACGTACTCGAGCACCAAGGAGACGGCTGCCTGCCATCGCAACCATGGCCCCGCGGGCATCTACGGCGCCGAAACGTCGGCATGCGACTCGCCCGTGTCTCTCGTCAACGCGACCCTGGACTGGATAAAACACAATGTGGCCGACGACATTGATTTCGTCGTGTGGACCGGCGACTCTGCGCGGCACGACAACGACGAGAAACACCCCCGCACACAGGACGAGATCATCTCACAGAATGAACTAATGGTGGAGAAGCTGACCGACGTCTTTGGGAGTGGCCAAGATAGGGACGACCCCACCAAGGCGTTCAAGATACCCATCGTGCCGACCTTTGGAAACAACGACATCATGCCGCACAACATTCTGCTGGCGGGCCCGAACAAATGGACCATGAAGTATCTGAACATCTGGAGGGGGTTCATCCCCGAGGCGCAGAGACATCAGTTCCAGCAGGGCGGCTGGTTCTCGGTCGAGGTCATTCCCGGGAAGCTGGCAGTCATCAGCTTGAACACATTGTGGGTGTGCTTCGAAAGGCCCAAGCCTGCATCGCTGACGAATTTAGGTATTTCTTCACCTCCAACTCCGCCGTCGACGGATGCGCCAAGAAGAAAGAGCCCGGCTACGAGCAGTTCGAGTGGCTGCGCATCCAGCTCCAGATTATGCGGGACCGCGGCATGTCCGCCATCCTGATCGGCCACGTCCCGCCTGCGCGCGTCGACAGCAAGGAAAGTTGGGACGAGACGTGCTGGCAGAAGTACGCACTGTGGGAACGACAGTACCGAGACGTGGTCGTGGGTTCACTCTTCGGGCACATGAACATCGACCATTTCATGCTGCAGGACTTTCACCACATCAAGAAGGGAGCCAAGAACGGGCAAATGGCACCTCAAAGCACGAGAGCTCAAGTTGAAGGAGGCTTGTTGACAGATGGAGAGATCACGGTAGCTTCCGCGTCCGACTACTTGGTTCAGTTGAGACGTTGGTGGTCGAAGCTCCCGGCGCCTCCGCCCAAAAACAACACAATCCGATCGATTGCAGAATACGCTGATGAAGATGGTGAGGAAGAGGATCCTTCCATCTGGCAGAAGATTGTCTCTCCCTTCTCAAGATCCAAGAAGAAACCCAAGGACGGCAAGAAGAGATCGTTCCTTGAAAAACTTGGCGGGCAGTACGCGGAACGATATAGTGTTTCCCTCGTGGCACCTTCCGTTGTACCGAACTACTTCCCAACCATTCGCGTCTTCGAATACAACATCACCGGCCTGGAGCACTTGACCGTGTCACCCGTATCGGAGCAGGAAACCTTCAGCAACTCTCTGATCCAGAAGCTCGCTGTGGACCACGATTTTGCCGACGACGACACGTACGCGCGAGACACCGAGAGCGTCCTACGAAGAAAGCACAAGAACAGCGAGAAAGAATCCCTGAAGAAACGCAGGAAGTACAAATTCAAGGTCCCTAATGGCCCATCGAAGAGCTCTCCCCCCGGCCCGGCGTACAGCCCTCAGACACTCACTTTCACAAGTTACACGCAGTATTTTGCCAACCTAACGCACATCAACAATGATTTCGTTGCGCAGACGGAGACACAGGCGCAAAGTCCTAACGAGGAATCCCCGCGAACGATCTTCGGGTTGGAAGTCGACGTAGACGGCAAGATCGAACAGCGACGCTGGAAAGAGGGGAAGCATGGAAAGCACCAGGGCAAGAAACCACATGTCAAGCCGCACCCCAGGAAGTTCAAATTCGAGGTGGAGTATGATACGAAAACCGATGAGCGGTATAAATTGAAGGATCTTACGGTGCGGAGCTTTGTGGACTTGGCGAGGAGGATTGGGAAGGAGAAGGCGGGGAAGAGGGGTGCGTATGACAGGGTAGATGGCGGGCTGGATGCAGATGAGGTGGAGGCGGACGGGGGAAAGGGAAAGAAGGAGAGGAATAAGACGTGGCTGACGTTTGTGGAGCGAGCATTTGTGGGGACGCTGGATCCAGGGCAGATGGCGGTTTTTTCTGCGGATGGAGCCTCAGCTGCGGTCGGGCAGGGTGTAGGCGATGACGTGGAGAACATGGAGTTGTGAGAGGAGAGCGCATGTGGTTTGGTGCAATGTTGCTTCGCTGATACCCCGGGTTCTGGTTGCTTTTGCTTTTGCATGCGTTCAGCGTTGCAAATTAGAGATTAGTCTGCATAGTATAGCATAGGAGGCGTTTAGCATAGAATTGATATATGATGATTCAGTGTAGTTGACATTAGTACCATAGGGTATGCCGGTTTTTTTATTCTTTGGAGGTGTTCGATGGTGTGGTGTAGGAGCTTCAGGGTGCGTAGAGACTATTAGAGCGTGTATATTCAATCCTAGCGTAGTACCAAGCAGTAGACGGGGTGGGAGAGGGTGTGTCGCCTGTGGGCTGGTGTTGCATGTACGGTTGGTCCTTCCGCGACCACAGGATGGCGGGTGGCCGGTAGGCAGCTCGTAACCCGACATAGTCACGCTACGCCAGTAGGGCTTGCAAAGAGCTTTCCGCCATGAATACCATCGTCCTCAACTACACGGTGCACGTCTAGAGCGCTGCATACTGCGTCTTTGATCTAGCTTCTAATGTCTGTTTGACAAGGAGATCTGCTCTGTGCCCGATCTTGGGGAGGGGATTGCAAAAGCTATTGGCCGCACCCGAGGGGATCAAGGATTGGCAGATTTTGGTGTGTTTTGCATCTGTTCCAACGGCGGGGGGTCCATGATTGGTCCACTCCAGGGACCATGCCAGCGTTCTGGCTGTCTGTCAAGTGTGGTCATATGCTGGCGGCCCTCCACACGAGGGGTGAAATCGAGGGCAGAGAAATTTGAAGAGATGGGAGTTGAGAATGTGGTTGGGTTTGGGAGGTTCTGGGGACATGATGCACAGTTATAACGCCAAAATTTATGATTCAGCCCGTCTGTGTGTTTCCACGCCAGGACGCAGAGCATCCCGCCAAAGGCACGAATCGCAATCTATCTCCTGGCAGGAGGTATCTGGAGCACCGTACTTTGCAGGATTGTCGAGTGCTTCGAGAAACAGAGGCGCAGGATCTACAGCTTCGCACCAGCATTAGGATGGGCTGCGGCGGCAGCGTGCACTCCCGATGCGAGCGCACGGCTCCGTCTGTTTAAGCAGCCATTAGGCCAGGCCTGGTCCTTAGGGGATACCTCCAAAATGAATCGAGACCGCGAGCCCGCTAGAGAGGGGTCAGAGGTTCAGCGTTCGCTAGTACGGTACCTCAATAATGAACCTACGAAGCAGTGTGATGGTAGGTAGGTTGCAAATTCCTGGACTGCCATCATATCATACAGGCTCCCAACGTGGTCCAGAAAAAAACTCGCGGCAACTCTCTTCCACGGACGCATCCCTCGCCGCCGAATTCTTGCCCCAAGCATCGTGGGACCCGAATAGTGTCCCCCACGCACGCCTTTATCGGAAATACCCCCGACAAGGCAGAGTCGTAGCCGAGTGTCGAAGAGCGCCGAAGCTCGGATAGGAGAACATCTGCATCTTTCCAATCACCAGAGCGAGTGCGCCCATGGAGGGGGGGACTGTGGACTGCTTCGGTCGGAGGCGGAGGGCCATATGAGATGTAAGCTGCGGTTGTGAAGCAGTCGCCGTTTGGGTCTCCAGAAACGGGCATCCTGCTGGACGATGTTGGGGTTTACAACGAGAGAGCCTTTCGAGGTTGAGGGTTCGCGCCCTTGTTGCGGCGAGATACAGCGTGCTCAAGTACGAACGCATGGAACAGTGACCGAAACATGGATGGGCGCAAATGCCGGGCGGAAAGACATGATGCCTTTGCGAGATTGGGCCAGGGTGGGAATGTAGGCGATGAGGCTTCTACCAAGAATGGACCTGCGTGCTGGGGATAAAAGGCTTGGGCTCTATCTTGCGATGATCGGTGCGTTTGCGTTTCCGATTGGGATTTTGTATACTGTTTTCTTTGTAGTGTGGGGATGAGGGTGGAAGGTTGGGTTTTTGGTATGAGCAGGGTCATAGGATTCGTTTGGAAGGGATGTCTACACACAAGACGACAGGAAGATTTCGCCAGATCTTATGCTTTTGGCTCACGGAGAGTTGCTTTTGGCTCTATAGAGATACTTCGCTAATTCAGCGCGTTAGACTCGACTGACTTCATCAGAGCCTTCAAACTGGGTAGACTATATATGGAGATATATTTTGCTTGTAGAGAACGGCTAGACATACGGCTTTGGTGGATACGACAACACACGCGAAGAAAGGTTCGTAGAACAATCGAAACAAGGCTTTGAGTCCTGCTACCCAGACGAAGAGGGATTGCGAGAGATCAGCATCCCACTCTGCCACTCAAAACCACTCAAAACCACACCACGTCTCCATCCCATCCATTCCATCCGCAACTGCCGCAGATCCCCTCCTATCACCCCAACGCAATCCAGTTCATCCATACGGAGTAGCTCCACTCGAATCGCATGCACCGGACGAGACCATATCTCCGCGTACACTTCCACCTGCACCCAAGTAACTCCGCTTCCGCATTTACCCTATTCACGCGGTGCCGCAGGGCACCTTTCCGGCCCCGACGGCGCCGTCCGGAGCAACACCAGTGCCGCCTCGCCCCCGCCTGCACCAAGCCCAGATGAGGAAAATGCAGTTTCCCTTCTCCGCCTCGCTTGCTTCGCGTAGCTTCGCAGCGTTCAGGTTGTTTTGCTGGCATGCCTCCCCTGTCTAGAACGGGGTTTTGGGGTCGGAAGCGGGGCGAGTGCGAACCTCGCACTTTACGTTAGTCTGTTTAACTGCGAAGGGAAAGTGCAGGCAGGGCGATGATGCCAGCGAGCGAACACAACGTTGTGTTCACGCACGCGTGGCTGGCACTGGACTGGCGCGGGTGCTGCGAAACCAACCGTGACATCGCGTCGCATGCGCGTGCCCGCCGTGCCGCACAGCTGCCCTTTCCTTTCAGCGCCGTTGTGCTGGGCCAGTGGGCATAGTCTAGGCAGCCATGCGGTGCGATTAAAATGAACGACTCATACGGAGCGATAGGACGGCCCATGTCCACAGCGAACTCCGTTTCTGTCTTGGACCGACCGACCGACCGACCGATCGACAAGCAAGACAGGGCAGGTAGGCGCCTGGCCCTCGTTCAACCCTCCAGCAGACTGGCTGCGCAGGCAGGCTGGCGGCGGGCCGCTTTAGACTAAGGTGCATGGTGGTGATGGCGGTGAACTCGGGCTGCGCTAGGGGCCTGTCTTGAACGAAAGGCAGGCAGCCTCCACGATCCGTACCATGGCCACGATGCGTAGAGAAGAGTAGTTGGTGCAGGCTGGTACGCTATCTCGTCGCCAGTCGCGGCCTGGGTCAGCATGTCCAGGGACGCTGGCGATCACGTCTGTGAACGAAAACCGCGCGACGGGGGTGCGCTGCCAGCAAGCGAGCAAGACAGACCCAACGGCGAGGGTGCCGCAGGGAACGCATTCAGCCCTGTCCGTGGGCGCTGTCTGCGGCACCCAGGATGCGCTATCCCGTGCCTCGTATTGCACGAGTCCACTATCCGGCCCCCTGAAGCGCCCGCACATGCCCGGCCCGCTAGAGAGGGGCGTTTCTTGGGTGTTCTTGAGCCCACGAGCACGAGCGAGCGCGTGTGCCGGAAATATAACCTTGGACGCCGGATCTGGGGCTGCTTCGCAAGCAGTGCTGGTGACGCGGCGTGGAGAGGCGTGGTTGGCCTGAGCCAGAGGAATTACACTGCGGAGGAGCCCGTCTCGTGGTGCGAGCTGGCAACGTGCTGAAAGATGCGTGGATGTGTTTCTCGTGGCGTCCGGAAGTGTATCGGGCCACGCGGAAGCAGCTGATCTTCGAGAAGCTGAGGGGGCCGCGATAGGCAACGCCGCCCTGCCCTGCGTCCCTCTACGTGACCGCCACGCAAGCATTCGGAATGCCTACTCTCCATGCGATGCCGCAGGCAATTCGCGTCGCACGCGCCCCATCATGTGGCGTTTGCCTTTCCAGTTCGCTATGAGACGTGCACACCGGTCAACGTCGCTACCAGGATCCAGCCTCCAGGACGAAGGAGCGAAGCATTGCCCCTAACGGCCATGGCAACTCCATATCCTAGAACTCAAATCATCCAGCGCCAACGTGTATCCCAGTCTATGCTCGATCCAGAATACAATCCTACGCGCCAGTCGGCGAGCACGTTATCCCCACGGCATGCAGAAGGATTCGAGCACGGCGCCAATTTGCCTGTTCGTCTGCTTCCAAACAGCGACCCTGGGCGCTCATCAAACACGATGAAAGACGGACCCGGGCATTTCAAAGGCCCGCGGGGCAGCGATAGGATTAATACAGTACAGTACTCCATGCTAAAGCATCCCTCGCGTAGTGCCTGATTTGGTGCAATTCGCGACCCCCAGAGCATCGGGCATTTCACGATCCATGCTTCCATGCGTCGTGTACAATGGTCCTCTTTCGTTACAGGTCGAGACGATTGTCTGAATCGTCAAGTATGTGAGCGTACGCACAATCTGTCGGCTATTCAGCAGGATGTTGATTCCTGCAATGTACGGTTAGTGTACGAAGCATTGGCGTCTCAAGGCGAGCGGCATAACTGCTCCACTCGCTGGCATTGCAAGTTCTCGACGATACGGGTCCGTCGAGAAGCGAGATGAAAATTCAACCAAGCGATGCGGCAGTTTCCGCAGACAGGAAATTGTATGAACATGTGTCTTGAACTGTGGATATCCTTCTGTTGCGGCAATCGCTAATGGTCGTGCCGCTAGCTGGGGTGGTTTCGTGCGGGAAGTACGGTCAGTTTTTGCGAGAGCTCCGCATCAGTAAGATGTCCGTCCGTACGAGCAGGTATTGCAATAGTGCCGAAAGACAGCACTGGTAGGGTACCTGCCGCGACTTGGCGATGCACGAGGCTTGTGGACCCCACGTATCCGTCCTCCATGGAGTTGTACACCGGCCAATTTATGCCGCTACCCTAAACCCGACCGACGCCGCATCGCCCCTAATTGTGCCACGACACCACTCCTCAACAATTGAGGCCTCGTGATCCATGGCCCCAGCCCTTCAGCCGTCGGACACATTTCTAGACACAAGACCGAAACCCAAGAAACGGTGTCGAGCGGAGGTGGGCATCGGCCTCGGACGGCTCGCATGCCATGCCGCCCGAAACTCTCATTTTCGCATGTCCATGCACCGCCGGTGACAGACGCACTGACGAGGCGCATCCTGCCTGTCACGCTGCGAAAACTCCCTACAGGAAACGGCGGCTCGCACAGCTGCATCGCGGCAAGTACATCGTAGCCCCGGATTATGAGGTTTAGTGAAGAGTGACGATCAGTGCAGCCGCAGTAGTGAGGATCGCCCTGTCTGCTTCGGTATACTCGGCGCGCGTGAGTCACGATGAGGGCCTGTATGCCTCCCGTCACAGCCGTTGCCTGCACTAGCAAAAGTGCTCAGACCGCGGCCTCCCGTAACCAGCCCTCGCGCGATGCATTCGTTTTGGAGAACATCTCCACTTTCCCCTGCGCGTTCGAGTGTCGCTTTAAGGTCCCAACGGCTCTGCCGCAATACGATGCGGAGCCGTGTCAGAACTCTTTTCTAGCCCTACGAGTATGTGGGCATACATAAGCTGTCAGATACAAGCTGCCGAGAAGTAAGACGGTAGATCCGGGGAAGCGAAAGTATCCGAAGAGGATGTAAGCACTCTCTTCCGCCCATGACATCATTCGACATCATTCTTCGCATCTTGTTCAATCAGAGAACCCACGAATCGGTCCCAAATTCGGCACAGACAATGCCTCTATCGTAGCGCTTCTATACTAGAAAGAAGACCAAGAGTGAGAAGGTAGATGCACCTCGATCGCATCTGGTATAATGAACGTTTACCAATCTAGGAATGCGATGCGACGGATCGAAAGGGTGTGGCTTGTCGCCTGCGGGGGATGTGTTTCCGCTGCGCTTCGATTCGATGGCTCGCATAAGTACATGCCGGACGTCGATCAGAGGCATTTGCTCGAAATACACCGAGTTGTCCGAGACCAGTCCAGCTACCTCTGTATCGATCGCTTTAGCCTGGCCATACGGCAGCGATTCTCCGCTTGCACCGCGTTTGTCATCCGACGGCTACAGTCTGCTTTTCCGTGTGAGGGATATGCTCTCGGCCCTTGCACTTACAAGTAGTGCTTCGGAGACACAAAATGACCGACTGGTGGCTGCTAGTTGTTAAACGCAGATCACATTGTGTCCGCGAACGAGTAGATACTCTTCCCGATAGCCGCGGTGACGTCCAGTATCGTAGGAAATCTCGTACGAAGTGCAGACGAAAGTTTTTTTCGCTCCAAGACTTCGAGTTTCATGTTAACTTGATCGCTCTGCCCAAACCGTGGTGTAGGATGCCTGGAGTAGACACTTCACTCACTATGATAAAACCCTTCACTCGGTGCACAAGTTCACAACAACCATGAATAACAAATGTGAACCAGACCGAAGCCACAACCCAAGCCACCCGCACATGCTCCCCACACGTGACTTTAACGGCTGCGTGCATCCGCCCTGTCTCGCCCGCTACGCCGAACTCTGGTAATAACTCTAAGCCATGACCAAACTTTGGCGATGGGTCAAGCTTTCCGACGACCGACGGCGCTGGACGCCGTCTGCACCGGCCTTAGCGCGCTGGCCTTCCCGTTCGGCGGTCGCTTCGTAAAATACCGTATTGCTACTCCCTAATGATGATGTGCTCCAGATGTATTCGGAAAGTACATCCCAGCCACCTAGAGGGACAAACGGTGGATCTAACCGCAGGCTGGCGATTCCAGCAAATGAGGCGTCCTGTCGTTTTCAGGCGTGCTTTGAGCCTACCACGTAAGGAGAGTTCCTCAATTGATACTGCATTTCGACCAATCGGATCAAAGTTTGACTGGTCATTCTGATCCCATTGGCCCTGTTTCGAGAATGGGCCAGCATTTCTCGCTGTGCTCACCACGTACGTTGGTGGCTGGATTTTGCGTATCAATGAACAAACGTATGGGACGCCTGAGGTGGCAGACTGGCAAGTTGCTAGAATATTGACGCATTTAGTTGCGAGGGTTTCTTATTGGGTGTGCGATGTGTACCTTGAAGAGGCAGGCTTTAGAGAGTCTGCGACTCACTCATTCGGACCGCTAGTGAACCAACTTAGCAAACTTGCAGAGAAGGCCGTAAGCTTTCTAGGGAAATCATTATCAAAGCAGCTTGCTTTTTGGAGGGTCTCAGTGTTTGATTGTAATGGTCACGGACTGGCAGTTGAGCAATAGGCTTTGCGTGTGATCAAACAGCGTACTTGCAAAAACCTGACTGGGCCGCTCAACAAATGAAACTCATGTCGAACGAGTCCTAGTCGCGGAGTGGCTGGGCAGTCGAAAGCGTCATTCTCGTGTCGGAATAGCCGTTGGTGCTCAAATCATAGTACATGAGATCATGTGCGCAATGGCAGATGGGGGTGAGAAGTCAAACACACAATTTCGTTCCCTCAACGACCACGAGCAACGATTCATCTTCGCTTGTCAACGCAACACTTGGCTTTGTGTGTTGTTGCTATTTTCGACTAGCGAAGCATTGAAAGGTATTCTGGATTCGTTGAGCGTCGAGCGCCGCGAATGCTGCGAACCGAAATACTCGCAATTTGTTGCTGCAAACTAACAAATGTTCTAGCGTGGCACGGCTGGCGCTTCGAGACGCGGTTCGTTTGGCGCACCATTGCCGAAGGATTCGGGAGATCCTCGCAATATCGGTCAACCTCGTAGAAAAAAGAACATGAGATGTAACAGAAGGTTCGTACTTGGCGAACGATTGAGGGGACATAGAAAGCATCAGTAAGCGGTAGGGCTTTCGGCTACGAATGCTGCCTCGCTAAATGCAGCTAGCAATAGGGACGCCATCGGTGAATTCGGGGACGTGTGTGACGGCACAATACCCTAGAAGGTAGTGTCTACGCCGGTCGTGGGAGGTAGGCGCCAGGAAAGGGGTGTAGGTGTACGCAAATCGGGCCATCGCCGACCACAACTGTACCTCTGATTGACCGATTGTTTCGAAACGTATTTTGGGGTCAACAGGGTGGTAGCCGGAGGAGGATTCTGCATGCAGCTCGGCAGGGCGATGGTGGAGGGGTAGCAACATATGCCATTGGCTGATACAAGACGGAAGCATGTCAGTCGAGTGTCTGCCACGAGGTCTGACACCCGCTCGTACGCACCTCTCCGAATTGCCGGTGCACTGTGAGGGGTAGATTAATATCGAGTGGGCTGCGTTGCGGCAGAGGCTTGTTGCGGCGCTTGCGATACTGCAATGAGAATCTTGCAATACCGGCGGTGGTGTGAGTACATTGTTCCTATGCCGATCACGCGCGGGTAAAGAAGACGTGGTGAACGTTCTGAAAACGGGCAGCGCTGGAGCCATTGCACGCATTTTGGGAATCATTTAAATCCGTGAACCCTTGTTCCCGGTGAGCTCAGCGCGGCTCGAGCGCTGTTTCCCGCTGTGTCCTCCGGGCCAGTATCAGGAGAAGGTCAGCTTGTACGGAAGTCTATCCTCATCATTTGAATATCGCCGTAGATTCTAGATACATTCCGACTGCGGTTTTCCGGCGCTGGGGCGCAGACAGAGGCACCCCGCGCACGAAGATTGCGGTGTGCTCGTGTCTCTGATGCTCGGGGTCGCCATGCGCTCATCGGTGAAACGGGAGGTGAGTTTGTACGCGGGGGCACAAAGGGTTCAGGCGTCCAGGTGCTGCTGCGGTGCAAGGGTTGTGAACGGTAGGTCCAGCGTGCTGTGTAGGGCTGGCCAGCCGTGGCCGTAGGGCTGAACCATGTCGTCACTTCCCGCGCGTAGTCTGGAATAGGGATAGGGGCCTTAGGCCCCGCCTAAAAATAGAATTTGGTGCAATTGTAGTGGTGCTTTTGCGAATATAACTGTACAATGTATAATTGGAACACCCAGCACGACGTGGCGAGCTCCTGAGAGACTTGGACCTGTGAGTTAGCAGATGCTGTGGGAAGTCTGGTAATTTCGGTGGCTGCACGGTGGACGTTACGCCCGGCGGTTAGGTAGGCGTTTTTGCAGTACACGGGGCAGACCCATACACCGATTCAATACCGCAGTCCGCAACAAGGGCCTCTGATGACGCGGACGGTCAAAACCATGCTCTTTGCTCGCCCAACATGTGACTTTGCTGTCGCCATGTATTGCTATCCCTTTTTGGCAGCAGTCTATAGATGCGGAGTCAACATGTTGCTGCCTTTGGGTGTGTCGGTGAGGGATGCTCAGGCCCGCCGGAGGGACCGACTTGCACTTCGCTAACAGACCCGAAAGCGGAAGGCACTTCGTCCTTCTCCTCCAAATGACCAATCTCGCGTGGTGTAACCAGTCACTACGAGCCGGCAGAATGTGCTTCGTCAAGCACCGCCAATGGGTGCTCGGTCTATCAGAGGTCAGCCTTGCGAACCTCACCGCATCGGCCCGCAACGGCTCTGCGTGGTGCGCTCGCCTGCACAATGTCTCCACCCACACATTGCCAGTGGCAGATGTGCCAAGTGGAATACCGGTTCGCTGGGCACGACGTGAGTTATGTGTTAAGGAGGCAGGGCTAGGTCGACAAGAGTCACAGTGATGTGCGCAGTCTGGAATCAAGCCCTTTTGCCTCTTGGAGTAACGCTGCAAACTGCCGAGTCAAGCTACTCTTCGCAGAGTGGAAACGACAGGCTACCATGGGAATGTAGTCCGCACGGACGGTGACCCGCGAGTCCGAGTTTTTTCGGTGTCTCGCTGTTGCTGTCTCGGACTCGCTGCATCATGCCAGGTGACACTAGACCTCAGGGAACAAGAGCAAGTAAATTCCAGAGCGCTGAATCGGACCTGGAGAGACGTTTGAGTACCCTCGATCATGGCGACGATATGCAGCTCTGCGGTGCGCGTGTGTTCGAGGAATCAGTACATAATGTTACGGGCCGTCAGCTCAGTCCATCGCTCGCTCGTGTAACTCGGGCCATTTGCTCAAACTGCACCTAATCGCCTCGAGCGCTCATAGCATTGATGTGATGCTTCCGGCAAAATACAATGTATGGCATGCATAGCCGACCTACCCATCCATATGTTTCAAGGTTGTTCAGCACTTCGCCCAACGTCCAGTCGCAATCTAAAGATTGTGTGATGCGGACGAAACAGACGGACATGTGCGCATGCGTCTTGCCCCGGTACACTCGGTATTGTGTGCAGTCTGTTGAGGATCCCAATCATCGAATCATCGCGAGAGATGTAGATATGAGCTGTCCACCCTAACACCCAGTGCAGCGGGCCCAGGGGCGGAGCCCTGCTATCCCATTCTGTGGTTATGGTGCTGACTGAACGATGGAACAATGTCGACCCGATCGCTGGGGATTCTTACGCTGACCTGATAGCATAGCAGTAGGGAAATTGAACCCTTTGAACCCATGCCAGTGGAATGTGGCTTTCCAGTTGGCCATGCCCTACGGATAAATAGAAGAACATGGAGATGGGTGTGGAGTTGAGACATGCTAGAGCAGAGGCGTGCCGTCTCAGAGACCCAGGCCTGGCCAATCAGAGAATGAAGTATGCGAAAAATTCACGTGACCAGCGGCAAGAGTACAAGGTATACTGGCGTATGGGACATTTGTCAGCCCGAACGAACATGTAGCTAATGGTCGATCATGAATCAACAGTATCCTCGTATCGCGTTGCCAAGGGTCGAGGGATTCCGCCCTTCATGACGCCGATCCATGGATTGCTATCCATTTCGGGTATTGTGATGGGGAACGGACATTTGTGTTCATGGCCAGAGTGCGAATCAATTCGCAACGGTAGCATGGCGTAGACGAGGCACTTCTTTAGGGTGTACCTAGGATACTGGCCAGGCACATGACCTGCAGGCCCTGATTGGCCGGGCCGTTTACTTGAGGACTTTTGGCCCCAGACTACGAATTGCTTTCCGATAATGGCACAGACGTGGGTCAAGGGAGCACGCTCCTGACGGCGATGCTAGCTGGACCGCACAACGGCCTAGCTGAACTGCATGATTGACGGAAGGCGGTCGAGGCACTGCTGGGCGTATGTAGGGATGCGAAGCGAAAGTGTCCGAGCAATGTCTCCGGCCAAGTCGTTTCCACGGATGGGCACGTCACATGCGAATTGTGCCGCCTCCTGGCCGCTGCACTGTGTTCGGCCCTGTGTTCGGTCCTGTGTCGTTCGTCGCACGGTATGGCCCGTGAAGGGCAGGCAACGGCCACAGTGAACAAGCTTTACCGTTTGAGGGCGCCAGACTGCTTCGAGTAAAACGGTGCTCACCGACAGTCGCGGAGGTGCTGACGGGACGGCAGCGTGGGCGTTGGTAGGGCTGGCGCTCAGATGGCCCTTGCTGGAGGCTCAACTGTGGCTCGAACGGCGGCTGGGGATAAGGCGCAGGGCGGAGAAGAGGAACACTCCGTCAGTGGGCACATTGTATAATTAGGACCTTACCAAGCAGACTAGGCCGCAAAGGGGCAAAGCTGTGAGCAATTCCCACATTGATGCAAGAGCAAGAGCCGCGCCGCCAACGGGTGCAAATCAACCGCCGCTGGGCAGCGTCGCAGCGCGGAGACGATGATTTGGAACGGAGCGACGGCCGGCCCGCGATGTGCAGCGCAGGCGTTCTGCTGCGGTGTGGTGTGCGGGCTGCGCGCCCGAGGGGTGGTGTTGGGTACGGGACGCTGATGGTGCTGGTGCTCCGCAACGCGTCAGCCGTCGCCAGGCCTGGGAACATGGTCTGGTTGCAATGTGCGGACCGCCCAAGCTCATGGTGGACCGGCAGAGCAGTGCACGATGCGAAAGGCAGCACGCCGCGATGCGAGAAGCGAGTGCGCGCTGCTGGGGCCGCGGTGCGCAATGCCGCGTGGTGGCTAGGCCAAGTGCAGTACTCTTTGCGCTGGCCCCCAAGAGCAGCCAATGCCGGGCGGCCGCTGCTGCGCGGCGAGGTCGGCATCGCTGCTCGCGCGGCTTCGAGTGCGAGCCGTCGCCCGTCGCCGTGTGCAGAGCAGGCACTGGAGACACTGGAGCGGCGTGCGGACGAGTGCGGAGCGTTGCGGAGTCGCGCGGGCGCTGTGCTGTGCTTCCGCCGCGATAGCAGCCAGCAGCGCAGTCCCTCGCTCGCGCCCGTTCCAGTGCTCCGGCTGCGCTAGGGCCTTGGTGTCGCTGGCTGACCGCTGGCCCCCCGTTACGATACGCGCCTAATCCCCTCTATGCAACCCCGGCCGCGGGTTCCTCAGCTCGCGGTTGGTAAAGCTGGCACCCATGCTAGCGTGGGTATAGGGCTGGAGGCGGTGGGATGCCCGCCAGCCTGCAGCAGTGCAGCGCACCCTAGCCCACGGTGGGCCGACGACGCATGTCCCAAAATGGACGCACAGGGCGGAGCCCATAGGGCGTTGCCAAAGAGCGAGCCGGCCTTACGAGCACTGCGCAGCGAGCTTGGACGGAGCAGGGGTCCTACAGCGAGCGCTCGTCCATATTTATGGCACATGGCGCCCGCATCCTGTATACATAACAGGCCGTCCCACCTTCCAACTGCTCCCATCTTGCTCACGGCATCCTGCACTGCTCTCACATACGCACTCTGATCAGTCTGATCAGTCAACCCCATCTCCTCCTCTTCCTCTGCTTCAACACCCTCCACCATGCACAGACACGCTGGCTACCAGTACGCCGCGGCTCCCGCTGCGCCCACCCACAGATACTCGGGCACCTCGAGTGCCTTCTCCGCCTCGGCAAACCCCAACGAAGACTGGACCAAGATCTCAGACCTTGCTGAGCGCCGAAGGATCCAGAACCGGATCGCTCAGCGTGAGTCCTCTGCCGCAGCCTGCCACTGACCTGGCTCCTAACATGCTGCAGGCAACTATCGCAAGAAGCTCAAGAAGAGGCTCGAAGACTTGGAGCGCCGCGCTGCATCGAGCTCGGCCTCGCCCGAGCAGAAGCCTGCCGAGCTCCAGCCCACGCAGCCGTCCGCACGCCAGGCCTTTCCTTCGCCAGCATCCTCTGAATCCGACTTCAGCCGGCGGACGCCCGAGATGCAGAGCTACGAGGAGAGGGGCATGTTCTCACACCAGTACACAGACCGCCAGCTGTCGACCTCGCCTCCGCCCTTCTCGTACAGCGCATACCCCACTCCCGAATCAGCCGCGTATCCAGTGCCCTACACAACCACCGCTACGCCCTACCACTCGATACCAACCACCATCTCCCCCGAGATGACCACATACGCCTACCTGCCCCCGCTCTCGGCTGCCTACCCTCCCACGCTGCCCAGTCTGGCGCCGCCCATGAAGTCCGAGTACTACCAGGAAGACGATATCGCGAACCCCTTCGCGAGCGGCTACCAGCTCATGAACTCGATGGAGATTCCTCCTCCACACGCTTACCCACCTAGCGATGCTCATGTAAAGCTCCCTCTTCGCAAATCCTACTCTTACGCACACTGAATTCCAACTCTTCAATCCATCACATCGCACTTCGACAAGCCACCCGCTGACAGTCCCGTGGCAGACACCACCACTTCTGAGCGACTCGTTCGAGACCTCTCAGGCCAACTCTCCACCGGAGATGTACCAGCCCACCACGCCAGACTCGATGCCTCGCACGCCGCCAATGCATCCCATCCCCGGCATGTGAGCGTCACAGGAAGTGGCATTTCGCGCATTCGTTACCGGAGCACCGGCTCAGGCTTGAGCACGCTCAGCCCTGCCATGTTCCTGTCCTTTCTTTTCAGGACGCATTGTCTTGTACATTACCTTTTGTTTCTTGGGTTTTCTGCATAGCGTTTCAGCGAGGGTTATCGGTCGGACGAACCCAAGCGACGGAAGGGTCCTTCGCTTGGTATCATGAATGGATAGGCTGGAGTTTGGGCGCGTTCTCTTCGCTTCTGGAAGCTTTCCCTTTGCTAGGTACATGGAAGGACTAGACCCAGCTGGCAGGCCTAGAAGCCCATAGGTACACCTTGCGCGACCTCAGATTAGCGCGATGAACATTACCATTGCATCTCTCTCAGCATTGCCTACCCTAATTGTGCTTTGCCGTGCCATGTGCCGTGGTTGTGGTTGCTCTTGATGCAAATGATGTCTTTGATGGTCGTGAGGGTTCTTCGTGTGTGACGTTGGTGGGCCCGTGGCCTGCGCGAGTCGCGTTTCCCCAGCGCCAAGAGCGACGCGTCCGACCTCTAATGTTTTCTACCGTGGTAAGCTGCGCCAAAACGTCAACCACACATAGCCATGGCACCGGAACGATCCAGAGCCGAAAAGGCACGACAGATCCTCGCCAATGGCGCCGTCCAACGCGAGGATTCCGACGATGAGCTCGGCTACGAAGACCACCCATGGGAGTGGATTCACGAGAGCGCATCCGATGCGCAGGCCTCACAGAATGGGACGCCGCGAAAGCGCAAGGCAGCTGTCGCAAGCTCTGGCCCACGTATTGTAGGCGCTCGTATGGGCAGCTTCACATGTAAAGTGGTGAGTATGCCCAGCAAACGCTGTCGAGGGCGCGCACTCATTGCATTATAGGGCGATGCCGTGTTCTTGAAGGCAGAGGGAAACCAGGCTTGGGTTGGGCTTATATGCGAATTGTTTGAAGATGAGGACGAGGACAACGAGAAGATGGCCAAGTTCATGTGGTTTGCCTCAGAAGCGGAGATCAACAACAAGAGCACCAAGCGGACCGACTTCCTTCCTGTACGTCCACATTCCTTTGGCAGGGCAGCGTGGTAGACTGACAGCCTGCAGAACGAACTCTACATTTCGCCCGCTTTCGACAACAACGAGCTCACGACAATCAACGGCACCGCCAAGATCGTTTCGCACGACGAGTTCAAGCGCCTGTACCCAAGCGGCCAGGTGAAGAAGACAGACAAGAACTATGGCAAGGTTTTCATATGTAGGCGAGGCTGCAACACCAGGACTACAACATATACCCCGGAATTTGTGTGGGAAGATGTTTTCCAGGGCGAAAAGGATCTCCCCGCCTTGAAGGAGTTGGTGGAGAGCCAGACTAAAGCCACCCGCAAGCGCGGCCGCCCGCGGAAAGACACTGTGGATCTGGACGACTTCGTGGCGCCTGACTCTGACGACGACGGGGCACCAAAAACTCCCAGAAAGCGCCGTAAATTGGGACAAGCCAGTACTCTAACATCGACGAAGAAAAGCCCAGCTGCGAAGAAGTTCCTTACCCCGACACACAAACGCATAGTGGTCAAGAAACAGCTCATGTTCACTCCTCTCGGAACCCGACTGCTCGACCCTTCAGCTATATCCTCGCCATTCCAAATTGCTAGGAACCAGCTGCATGTGTCATCTGTACCTGACGCACTCCCTTGTCGCGAAGAGGAGTTCTCTGCAGTGTACCGTGAATTGGAAGCGGCCATCATTGACGGCTCGGGCGCCTGCATCTACATCTCCGGTACGCCCGGTACTGGGAAGACTGCCACCGTACGAGAAGTGGTAATGCAGCTGCAGGCAGCAGCCATGGCCGAAGAACTGGACGACTTCATATTCTGTGAGATCAATGGCATGAAGGTCACTGATCCTCATCAGGCTTACTCACTTCTCTGGCAGACTTTGCACGATGATCGCGTGAGCCCGTCGCATGCGCTGGAGCTATTGGAACGCGAGTTCAATACTCCAAACCCGCGGCGTGTACCCTGCGTCGTCCTCATGGATGAGCTCGACCAACTGGTCACCAAGAACCAGTCCGTCATGTATAATTTCTTTAATTGGCCGAACCTACGGCACAGCAGACTGATTGTACTCGCCGTTGCCAACACCATGGACTTGCCGGAGCGAACGTTGAGCAACAAAATTAGTAGTCGACTTGGTAAGTGCAGGCAACGCGATCCTTTGAAGGGCCCCGCCGTAGCATTCTGGCACAGAGCAGAGCCAGATGTTTACGAGTCTGCAAATCTTCCCTTGATCGGGGTGCAGGCGGCATCCTCCGGGTCCCAGGATAGCGAGGCTAACACGCGCATAGGCCTGTCACGTATTACCTTTTCAGGGTATACGCATGATCAATTAACGCAAATTATACAGTCCCGACTGGAAGGTGTCCCTGGCAACATCGTCCATCCAGATGCTATCCAGTTCGCGGCACGTAAAGTTGCGGCGGTGAGCGGTGACGCCCGCCGTGCGTTGGATATCTGCAGACGCGCGGTCGAGATTGCGGAGACGGAGGCAGCAGAGCAAGAGGCCGAGGGCGAAATAGGCCAGCCCCCAACCCCCAGTCGCACGGGCCGCAACAAAGGCAAAGCAGGAACTCGGCTCCCCGTAGACAGCGGTGAATCGGTCAGTGTGCACCAGCAAAATGCAGGCCCTGGTAAGAAGAAGGGCGAAGTCACGTGGGCGACGATAAGACAAGCCATCAACGAAGCCACGAGCAGTCCCCTGCAAGTGGCTCTGCGTGCCTTACCACTGGCGTCCAAGGTCTTTCTTGCAGCCCTCTTGGCGCGTATCCGGCGTACGGGCATTGGGGAGGCCGTGCTTGGGGATGTTGTTGATGAAGTCAAACGGTTGGGTTTGATGAGCCAGCTGCAGCCGATAAATGAGTACCTTCTTCTGGCTGATAACGGCAACGAAGGCACGACCCAACAAACCCACACGTCAACACCCTTGAAGCTTAAGGATGGCATTTCGAAACAGGCCAACGAAAAGGCCGCCCGCGCATTAGGCATCGCTTCCGCCGCTGCTGAGCTCACAGAAGCAGGCATCATTGGCACAGAGTACCGGCATGGCGAGCGTGTTGGGAGGGTGCGGTTGGGGGTCGCAGAGGACGAGTTGCGGCTCGCTCTAGGCGGCGACGAGGAAGTCAAGGGCCTCGTCCCGACCTGAACAAGCAGCTACCGCGAGTTCGGATCCCAGCCGTGCGCCATGCTGCGGGAAACAGCAATCAATCTAATCAAGAGGCATACCACGGTCGGTGGTGAGGGGTCTATAGCAGCCCCCCGCAACGTAACGCGTCCTCACCGGACTCTACGCGAAACTCTCTCCTATCAGCGCATGCGCGTAGACTGTCGTATCGCCCGCTTCCGTCGCGATCGCGTTGCCTGCCCGTCGCATTTCCCGTCGCACCCACCGCAAGTTCAAATCGTGGTGCTTCCACCCCTCGCGCCCACGTCCAATCAATCGATTCCTGAACCATTATCCGAATCCGGGTGTAGTGTACGCTGCCACCCCGAACCCCTCGTGACCCCGTGAATACGGTTTGCGGTGGCCCACACCGCGTGGCCGCCACGTCGCTGCAACGTCCGTCCTGCCCGTTACGGTAAGCACACCGTCGCACAGGTTTCGGTTTCGTTCTTCGCTCGAACGTGCTGGCTCGGGTCCGCACGGGCTCGTGGACGCGTTCTTGGGGTCCTTCTGGAACACGGTCGCGCGCACGGAGATGTGGCGCACCGCCCATCTGCAACCCCATCACACAGGCCATGCACCGCACAAGGACGCGTTCATGCGGACGGCCTGTACTATACAGGGCCCGAGTTTACCCTGCGTAAACAATGAGAGACTGATTGCCTTACATTTCAACATTTTGTTGCGGGAAGTCCGGCGGCTTGGGAATGGTATCTGTGTAGTCGATAGCATCAGAATTGTGCGCTGGGATCCGATCCTAGTGGCAATGAAACGCTGCATCCTCCACGGATGGTGAACGTCATGTTTGTATGTACGATACACACTACGCTCGCTAGACAACCTCCGCGTAGCAATGCAGTCGCCGAGCTGGCGGCCCTGGCTTGCCGCGGCGTACAGTTCAGCCCCAAGTGCAAGTGCGAGCAAGCAGGGAACACGAAGCCCATTCCACCGAGTAGGCAGAACCGCTCATGCGAGTGAATAGACAGTCTGTTTCGGAAACATTACGTGCGCATCCAGTGACACCATGCAAATATTTCGCACAGTTCAGCAATGTGGTCCGATCACTTCGCATGTCTTCCTGGACTGATCAGTCCATCGAAAATGCGGTCCAGTGCAGAGTACAGGAGTCGAGGTTCTACGGGCTGGCTGCTCGGCTCTATCATCTCTTCGGTCGTACCCCTCGATGATATCGAGACCTTGCTCAGCATAGACGTAGCTAAACCCCCACTCCAACGCCCGCCCGCCGTCTACGTTGCAGAACAAATGCACGCCTCCCCAACACCGACCCGTCCCGCAGCGCATCCAACACTTCCCACTGCTTCCTCATACGCATATCCCACATTCCCCTCTTATGTACCTACAGCTTCTCCTGCAGCATTCTCTATACCTATGATCAGATGAAGAGAGGGCGCAGGTGCTTGATCCCCGAGCCGCCCGCTTCGCGTCTTCGCTTAGTGGGAAGGTGCAACCAGAGGGCGTCAGCACCCTGTTTGCACCTCAACAGTGTCCGGCGGCGTGAACACTGCCATGTCCCGCGAAAGCGGGGCGGGGGCGTGGGACGGAAGAACCGGGGTCGGAATTGCGTACACTGGGCGATGTGGAGACGGGGAGGAGGCGCCGATGCTCAAAGCGGTGATTTACGAGCGCGTCGCGAGCCCAGGTGCGAGTGCGAGATGCTTGGCCCCCGACCCTGGAATGGAGAGTAGTGGCACTGGCAATTAGAGATGCAGGGTGGTGTGAGGTTCCATGCTGCGAAGTGGGTATGGTACAGGACCTCCGAGCAAGACATTGCGAGCACCGTGGATAGACTGCACGGCCGTACATGCAACCCCTCGACATGGCACCCAGCGCTAAACACCAGACCTTGTCCCATGCCGTACGAAGGCGACGCAGCGGAACAACGCTCGTACACAACGGCCCGTACGTTCCCCACTTCGCAACCCCATATGCCTCCTTCCAGCAAGTATCCTGGCCAAGCATCCCAGACCGCTAGCAAACTGCTAGCCAAGCACAGCGGTTCAGTGACATTGCCCGCTCACGAGCGCCTATACTACGTGCGTAACTGCGCAAACACGGACGGCACAACAGTGCTCGGCGAGGTTAAAGGGTAAATGGATGTATGTATGTAGAGTTGTGGGGATTTGCGATTGATGCAGGTTTCGGGGTTGGATGAGAGGGGCGCGTGGGGGAGGGCGGGAGGTATTAAACAGCTTGGCTCAACGGGCAGGCGGGTGGCTTTGTTTGCATGGTTGGGGCTTAGATCGAGGCACGCACGTGTGTGGTATAGTGGTAGATTATGGGTATCAGAATGCCGTTATGGCATATTTGGTGTATAGTACATGGTATGATACGCAAGCCAGGGTCGTGGGTCCGCGATGGGCTTCCTCCTCGCTAGCTATATCCCGCGTTGTTTACGCCGACACCCATCGTGATCCCCCGTGCCTGAGTCCTGAGTTTGTGTCGGCGAGCGGCCGAACATGGACGCGCTTCGTGTCCAGCCTCTCATTGTGTCGTAGCGATTGCAATGCCTACGCTTGTGACATCGTGGTGTCTCTTCCCTGCAGAGCTGCCACCAATAGCATCTTTCACACTGCCGATCGCGGCTGTTTCCGCTTCCCGACACCCTGCGGTCAGAACCTTATAACTTTTTGGTGTGCATCTGGCCGTGGAGCGTGGAGGCCTATCCGGGTCATTTCAATCAAAGTCTCCGTAACGGTCCATTGGATGGTATGAACTGCTTTAGAACTTCTGGCGGCCAAGTGTGGGCTTCCACTCGAGCGGGTGCGAGTCTTCAGTCGCGTTCTCGTCTTGCTTCCAGAGCTTGATCGACTTGTCTGATTCACCAGTGATAAGGCGAAGGCCCGTCTTATCAAACGTAGAGCACATAATGCCTGCTTCAGCGTCCAATGAACCAGGCTGGGCGATTGAGTCGGTCTGCTGGAAGCGGTGGCCTGTCTTCCAGTCCCAGAAGGAGACTGTTCCATCGTCGCCACCTGAGAACATGACGTTGTCTTCGTTAACGGAGAGCGTGTTAATAATGGAGTTGTGGCCGTTGAAGTTCTGCATGAACGCGCCCTCGGGGCACTTGAACTGCTTAATTGACTGCGCGGATCCAGATGCGAATGTGAACTCAGATGGGTGGATCGTAAGTGCTCGAACCGCCTTTTTGTGATGTGTCAAGACTGCCATAGTCTTGTTCGCGGCTAGATCCCACAGTCGGATGGTTGAGTCCATGGAGCCAGTAATCACTTGCGGGTCCGCTTCCTGGCACTGCACGTCGGCAATGGTGCCCTTATGTCCGCTCATAACGTGGACGTTGGTGCGTGTTCGCATATCCCACACTCTGGCAACACCATCACGTCCTCCAGTTACCAAAACATCAAGTGTGGGGTGCAGACTCAGGCTGTAGACGCCACTCAAATGGCCGTGGTAATGCCTGATGACCTTATTCGTTTCCAGATCCCAGCACTTCACCATCTTGTCCTCACCGCAGGAGAACAAATAGGGGTGCCTGGGAGACACAGCAAGACCCCGAACGGCACTGATGTGGCCGGTCAATGTCAGCTTCAGCGTGCCGGTGGCCAGATCCCAGATCTTGATAGTCCTGTCGGCGGCTCCACTGGCAAACCACTGGTTGTCTGGCTCGACAGCCAGCGAGCGTACCCATCCCATGTGCCCACTGATGACTCTGAACGGTCTCCATGGCGCATGCCACTCAGGCTTCACCGCTCTCACGGTATCCTTGCGCACCAAAGCAGTCGACGGTGTGTCGCGCATCGGCGTGGGTCCCTGTGCATTTGGCGCGGCGCCCTTGCCCGATCGCAGTGTCAGTGCCATTGACTGTGCCTCTTTTGCCTTCTCAGCCTTCTCCGAAGACGCTGCGATCATCTGGCGCATCTTCGGATCTGATGCCTGTTCCTCTGCATTTGCGTTCTTTATCTTCCGCCTCTTCTCTGCAGCTGTGGTCGCCGCTGTAGCCATTTTAGCCGCCAGTGCGGCGGGTAGCTCCTGCACATGATGGTATTCCTGGTGTATTCGCGTCGAAACGCGCGTGCTGTCGACACTGGTGGAAGGGTATTGGAGCGTATCGGCTGCGAATATTTCACGCGTTCGTTTCGCAGATGCGCGAACGGCATTATCGGCTGCAGTGCTCGGTAATGTGTCGGCCATTATGGTAGTGGTTGGCGGAGTAGGCTCGCTGTCGCAAAGGTGAGAGCGCGGGTTTAACTTTTGGCTATGAGCTCACTAGCGCGCGGCGTCGGCCGTGTCAATGATGTTCCGTGCACGTGACCGACGCCTTTGATAGCTGACCTATTCCTCTCATGATATGTGCACTCCAATGATTCTTGGTATTGAACATCGGAATTTCAGGCACAGATTTACCGGCGACGGGCGTCGATAAGCGCGTAGGCGAGGTGTCAGAGTGTGAGTGTGCTCATCTCTGCATAATCCATTATCTTACACTTGCTACTTCATCATAGGAAGCCGTTGCATGTGTATCTCTATACTATGCTACAAGGTCAGCCTCTGATCAGAGAGCTCGTATCCGCAACAGAGAATCTCTACTCACTCCGCCTACTCCATTTCGCCAAGCCGAATGATCATAACATCTTTGCTTTCTAATACGCGCGTGAGAGCCTCGCAATCAGTATCGCCACTCAAACAAAAAGCAGCACACTCTTTAGGCCAACAATCCTCCGTGAAAATCTAAGGACATTAATCACAGTTGCATACCCATGGGGCGGATATACTTTCAAGCTGTACAATTCAGCTTCCTGAGGTTACTGCTTATTAGCTTGCTGATATGCTGCTTCTCCTCACTATTTTCAAGCAGCGGATCGATATCCCAGCGTTACTACCAGCATTGATAGCTACAAGAGTAACATAAACTTGCACAACAAGCCCAAAGTGGAAGACTGACATGGCGGATTGACCTGCGACTACGAACGGGAGGCTTTCTAGCTTCAGATCTGCACCAAAAGAAACAATATAGATATTTGAATAACAAGTATATAGCTCGTGTAAATGCCGCTGCTGCTTGGTCGTATGCACGTGTGCGTCCCGGTTTTTACGACCTCCCGACCTCCGAAATGGTGACTTGCCATTACTTGCCATCCGAAATACAGAGATCGAAGCTTCAGAAATGTACCCCTTCTATCCATGAGTAGAACCTAGTGCCTCTGTGACGTGTTTAATTCATGTTCCAGTCTTCCAACCTTCATGAAAATATAATACTTGTATGAGAAATTCATATATTCTCACGAATGTTAGCAGACTAGATCGGGAATCAAAGTCAGACAGGGTACGACGCACGAGTGTGAGATAGTTTTAGCGGAAGCTCCCAATCTTTTGTTGTACCTGTCTAGTTGTTATTCGCAGTCTGCGGAGCGAGATCCTCTCCGCCCAGTCTCTCTGCCACTCATCCAACCCAATCGAAGTGAACCCGGCTACTATCGACTGTGACAGTTCGATCACCAAGTAGAGATGGGAAGAAGGAAGGAAGGTAGAAATAAAATTGTTCGACGTGACGCGTAAACAAACTGCACTAGGTGTGTACATGCTTGTGATTAGATTGCTGTGTTACCCTGGCACTCATCTGACGAGCCGCTAGCCGGTCAAATGTTCAAATAGTTGAGCTTTAGGACTCGCAACTCCCACCATTCGTCGCTGAAAAGTGGGCCAGTCAATGACTGCTCACCCCATAACATGCTATGCAGTTGTGTGCGAATCAAGTACTCTAAGGATTTCCAGTACGAGACCTCCGTTTCGCTTGACGAAGAGCGCTGATATGTTAGTCACTCTCGACCCCATCCCGCTACCACTCTTTCAGCTCGCCAAGTTTCCCCACACTGAACGTGACATAGTATCTTACGGATTCATGCGCCAGAGCATCATGAAACGGCTCGACGATCTGTATAGCGCGATCAAGCATGTTTGATGATGACTGCAGCCGAAGATCTACAATGATCATTCCGGTTGCGCACTGGCTAAGCCCTATGTCCCAGGGTAGATGAGAATCTAAGTCTTCGCCATCTCGATGCAGTTTGCCATCATCGCTGTGGTCCAGAAGTTAGCATCAGCGGGAGAAACCCCGAAATCCAAACAAAATGAGACGAGTGTGTTCTCTAGGATAGAAGATGAGCAGTAGCAGCTCCAGCGAATGATCCGGTGGTAACGCTCCAGGGCCACAGCTATGCGTTTGGAGCTAGAGGCCCAGGTCCGAATGGTGTAGAGCGCTCACAGAATCGATGCAGAGTGCTAATCAGACGCTCCAACTGGTCGCGTTGAAGTACCGGGTAGAGTGTAGAAACGCCGTCCCATGCCTAAACTTTATCGTACACTATGCTCATCGCACCATGCATCCGTACCCATCCCTTCCTCATCGTACACACTCCCGCCCGCCCGCCCGCCTTGCCCTTTCGCGCGCCTCTCCGAGCCTATATCTTCTCTCTATTTGAACTTGGGCATAATGGGCCTCTTCCCCACCGCCAGCGCAACCCACCCTCCAATCAAGCATAGCCCGCCCAGCGGAGTCACCGGGCCCAGGAATTTCCACCTCTGCGGATCCAATACAAGCAGATATATGCTGCCACTGAACATAGTCATGCCCGCCGTGAAGAGCCCCATAGCAAGCGTATTTTGCGGCGCGACAACGGAGGCGAAGGTGAGGACGGCGGAATGAATGAGCTAGGTCACATGTTAGTAAAGTTAATAAGGGAGAAAAACGGAAAGGGAGGCGGACTTGGTACTGCGCCGCGGTGCTCCAGTTGGTGATGCGCTGCGGGTCGGCAATGCGCTTCTTTAGGCCGTGGGCGCCAAAGGCGCCAACAGCGACAGATGTCGCCCCATAGAGGGTGCCGATTGTCCAAAAGGGAGGCATGGTGTGGTCGTCGAATTGGGGCCGTTGCGGATGTCTACGGAGTAGATGGACGTGTAAAGAGTGGGGTGAAGTTGAGCTTGAGCTTGGGCCAGGTGCGGGCCGAGGCAATCGTGACTTCGTGATGAGCATCATCCATCCTTTGCATACTTTTCCATCCTATCGTCACCATATGATACCCTTATAAATGCCCTGCTGAGTGAGGGGTTTTGCTGAATACACCGTCTGCCCGCGATGCCACACCATGACTCCCTAGGAAGGCGCCACAAGAAAACAAATGAACTATCGAGCACAGATATGGACGTCGCTTTGGGTGCACAAAGCTTGTTTTAAGCAGCGTTCTCTTTATAGGAACGTCATCAAATTGAGTCACGTACTGAGGAGGACTCCGAGGCACGATCGTTCCTCTGCTATGGTCCTCGCCAAAATACCCAGATGACGAATGCCGCAACGTTCGAGAGTACAATGACTGCCCAGGAGTGTACAGAATGGGGTTGAGAGGATCGGAAGTGCATTTTCCAGCATCCTTTCAACACATTGTTGACAAAATTGACAACACAGTCACGCAGATGTGTGGTTTAGCGTTCGTGCACCGGTTCGCCAGCAAAGACGCGAGACGGGGTTTCTTCCTATCTACAGTTGCCCCAGGCTGCTTCACCAAAATTGGCATAATGCAGTCCTTCCGCATACCAACGTCGCACTTAGAACCCTGCCACCTACTTAAACTGCGTAAAGAACTCCCACGAATTGCCAGGTGCAAACGGCGTGCTCGATCCCGAGTTGACCTGCGACGGATTGTGATCCCCATTGTGAATGACCCACGTCAACGGATACTCCGACTTGCAGCCCTGGTACACGGTCTTGACAGAGTTACCCCCATTCGGCTGTGGCTCCGACGCGGGCTTCTGGCAGCCGTTGTTCGCCACGAACTTGTCCCGCAACTGGCGGCCCTGTGAGACGTTGAGCACCGAATCGGACGTGCCGTGCTGGCCATAGTACGCGACGGGCTTTGAGCCGCCGGAGCAGCCGCTCAACTGTGCACCAGATATGACAGCGACGGCGCGAATCATCTCGGGCCGCGCGCACGCAAGTGCGTACGACATGGCTCCGCCGTAGCTGAAACCTGTGGAGAAGCGAAGATCGGTGTTGATGCAAAGGTCGGCCTCGACGGTCTTGACGAGCTGGTCGAAGAACGTGACGTCTTCGCCGCCTTGGTTGCCCCAGCCTGCGTTGAGGCCATCTGGCACAACAAAAATGGCGCTGTTGTTGGCAATAGCTTTGAGGCCGTAGAAAGGGAGGACACCGCCCTTGTTGGGGTCTTCTCCATTCACGATCTTCTGAGCGCTGCCGCCCAGCTGGTGCCAGGTAAAGATGAGACGGTATGGGTTGTTCTGGTTGTAGTTGTCCGGGATGTTGAGAAAGTAGTTCCGATTCTTTCCATTTACTTGCATCGAGTATTGCTTGCTGGTGAGGGTCTTAGCTTTTCCGCATCCTGCTGAGTTCGCACCGAAGACGGTCGGCACGGAGGCCAGGAACAAGGTCGCCAAGTTGAGTAAGCCGCGCATAGTGAGTGGAAAGAATATGAAGCTGTTGGAAAACACAACGCCTGGAGATAACGACGTCGTCACAAGATTTATACTCGAAATCCGATCATGTTCACAGCAACATGTTTCGGGCGCACACTGCCGCTCTATCTGCTCACCTACCCAGCTTCTCCATAATGTTAATTAAGGTTGAAGCGAACTAACCTCTCCGAGTTGCCACGCCCTGCCTCGCAAATTCATTCTTTCCATTATAAGCGGCGGCAGTACTGATTACCCGCACCTACGCTAATCAACCTGTCAAACCTGGAGCCGGATCGACAAGGCACTTCGTTCCCGGGGACATATATCCAATGGAATGGCGTGAAACTCCAGAATGTCTTGGCCATCATCTGCGCCCCGGATTTACTTCGCGTGGGCTTCCTTGGTGTATTAAGGAATCCAGTTAGAAGGTCGCGTGTCTACAAATCAAAACCACCTCGGTGTGTCGCCAAGATGTTTTCGCAGTGGATTTAGCAGACTTGGCCTCGGTGTCTAACGGCTTTGGAGGTCGGCAGAGTCGGCAAGTTGAAACCGTTACTCAAGGCTCATGAATGCGATGCATCTAATCAAAAACGTGTTGCTTTAGGGTTCTTGTATCAATCCTATGTCTCGTTAGAGGGCTGTGGAGTATCTTGTCTCTACTTTGTCCAAGGCTCGGTTGGAGGAAGATCTACACTGTTGGCCTCAGTTTAACAGAAGATAAAATTCAAAAAGTGGAGAAGTAGTGTTCTCCTTGCTTGGTTTCATCTAGACGGAGCAAATATCTTGCGCGGATGGGCTCAATGCTGCCAACAAATCCTGCAACCCCTTTATTTCCCATGTGATCCCCGGGAACCGAGTACGTTATGGTCTAGGGTTGCAGGATTTCATGTCTGTGTTAATCCGGTCTGGCTAAGTGTGATCTGGCAACACCTTCGAGCGAGCTTGCAGCTCCATATCAGCCCGGGTGCTGTTGTGGCAATATTGTTGAACTTCGCATAATTACTGGTGATAGATATGAATGATGTCACAGTGGCTTGATAGCCTAATAGACTACCTTGGCTCTGGCGAGTCACGTCTATAGTGTAGCTAGCAGAACCTAGTCCCAAAAGCAGAGCAGTCGTGTTTTCATCGCTTTGATTTATCTAGACGGATTAGATATCCCGAGCGTACGGACACATTTTCAGGTTGTGGCATTCATATCAATCACGCTTGATCTGTGTCACTGTTGCGGTATGGTCCGACAAAACTTGATTAACCTCGCTGTACTGACTCCCATCGTCCTCTTTTAGCGAGCCTGCACAAATCATCTCTATGATACTACAGGGTGCGATGTAGTATCTAGCGAGTCTTAGGGTGAGGGATATCCTGTTCATTTGCTAAATTGGCACGACTCTAGATTGAAAATCCCTGTCAATCTAAGCATATTCTCAAAAACAGTGAGGTCCCACCTAAGGTCGCCAGCCATGTTAAGGAACTATAATGGCCCTTCTTGAGGCTACACTCGCTGCTGCACAGACGTGTGGGGGAACGTAATTATCGTATGCTTTGAGCAGCCATTAAAGTGTGTAAACGGACCGTTGAGGTGATGGGATGGCCACAAAGGGTAGTTCAGTGGTTGCGGAGGCAGAGGTTGTGCGCATTTGACTTGTCCTTGATTGCTTTCCTACACTTGATTCCAGATCTCCAGACTATACCCACACCTTCCGCAGCGGGTCTTCGCCCTCATGTTCAAAACTGCATCTTGCACCACACAACCCCCTAGAACTTCCGCATAACATCATTCACCAGATCCGCCCCAAACGTGGCCCCCGCCCCATACACCGCCGCATTCCCAAACTTATGTGCCAGCTTCCCCGCCCACTCGTGATGCTGTCCCCCATCAGTCCATGACATCCCGCCCACCTCTGCTACACCAACATCCTCCCCGTCTCTCAGGAGTTTGACGTACCTTGGGATTTTGCGGATGCGCAGGATTATTCGGATCCTGCGCCTGCTGCGCAATCAACGCCGGATTGAACAACTGATTCTCGCCCGCATACCGCGGGTCGATATACTGCGCGGGCTGTCCGTCTGGCCGCGGGAGCTGCGCTAATATGGACTGCTGCTGCGGCGGTGCAAGAACGCCCTGGGACGCTAGATATTGCAGCTCGTTTTGGATCGCGTTGAGCGAGCGCGTTATGCCTGCTTGGTCGTAGCCCATGATTGTCGTGCTTCCCGGAAGGAAGGCGTTGGGATGGAAAGGGATAGGAGGATAAGCTTTTAGTCAAGCTTTGAAAGTACTTGGCAGTGATGGGGAGGAGGAGTGGGAAGCAGCGAAGTGGGAGGTAGGATGGTTACGTCATCGGAGTGGAAGACAGGGCGCTAGTGGATCTGGTGGTTCAGCATGTTCGTTAGAGGATGGAGTCGAGCTGCATGGATAATTGGAGACTCAGAGGGTGTGAACGTGTGGGGGTTTTCATTAGGGACCTGGCTCCTCCTCATAGCCAGCGTCTTCTACCGGAGCTGTGGCGAAAGCATCGCATTTCTGATGCAACACACCCTATCCCTCACACTCCCAGCTCAACGTCTCCCTCTCCGCCCACTGCATAACCGTCCACTCCCTCGCGCCCCCGAATGACGTTGCCGACCACGCAACCCACCTCCCATCCCTTTCGTCTCCTTCTTTCTCCTCGCCCGTCGCCTTTTCCCTCCCCACTTTCAACGCCACTGTCCTCACCAGTAGGAATAACTCCCGCACAAATTGCGGCGGTATGAAGCCCCGCCACCTCACCCTGAACATATCCTTCGTCGCGAGCTTCACGAGCCCGTTGAATGTGGGCACTTCGTAGCGTGAGAGATGCGGGTCTATTGAGTCGTCTGCGGAGACGCGCGGAGAGTTGAGGCACAACATGCCGATGTACTCGTGCAGGGCTAGCGCATCCTCGGCGTCATATAGGGCGGATAGGTCGGAGGTAGTAAGAGCGGGAATGAGCGTGCGTGGGAGCTTCGTGATGGTAGGATCGATGGCGAGGATGGTCGGATGGTGTACGGAGATCGGTTCTGTGCCTGCGCGCAGCGATTCGGGGGCTGAGGGGTTGAAGTTGTAGAAGAGCCAAACGAGGCTCTGGTCGAGAACGTTCTTGCAGGCCCATTCGAGGCGCGAGAAGCCCTTTTTGCCGTGGGTCATGCTGGGTTCCCGGAGGTTGTATTCAATGACTGGTGGGGTTAGTTACGTTGCGAAAGTGGGAAGAGAAACACGCACCCCATCTGTTCTTTTGGTGTCTCTTCCCGCCGTCCTCGATGGGTTTGCCTTGTAGTCCGCATCGTTCGTACGTCGGGCGGTCAAGCTCCAATCGCAAGATGCCGCCATACAGCGAGAAGACGTTGTCGACCAGCGGTCGGCCTTCGGAAAGCATCATTATGTTGCCTAAGCCTTGTCAGGGATTACACGTCAGTTGGTGCTGGCCAAGTACCCACCCTTCTTGATATATTCACTGAAGAAATCGCCCTGCAACACCTCTCCCAACTTCATGTACACGCGCGCATACACGTCCTTGGCAGCTGCACCTGCGCCCTCTACATGTCCCTTTACAATGTCGTATATCTCTTCTGGCAGTATGAGATCAAGCTAGAGCTCATCAGCGTCGTTGCTTGCAGCTCTGCAATTCCCGTGTGCGCGTACCGTGTGCGAGAAAGGCTGCGCATTGAACGTGGAGAAGGGCTTTTTCTTGGTCGACACATTTTGCGGGTCGATGTAGCTTGGGAGCAGGCTGTGCGAAAAGTAGACCTTCGTATCCGGGCCGTCGTTGCGGTGGATGTCGAGCATGGCGTCTGGTGGTCTTTTTTTGGTGGGTAGTGACGCGTCTTTCGTGAGAGCTGCAGCGGGGCGGAGAACCTCGGGGGTGGAGCCTTCCTGGTTAGCGCCCTCGGCCGCAGAAAGTCTCTCGTTCAGATAGTCATGGATGCAAATGTAACACCCGAGCCACAAGAAATGTTTTGATGAGAGTGGATTATGTTGCAAGAAAAATTGTTACACAGTACGAAAAATGTTCAGCAAACACTTTCGCATGCAAATATTGGTGCTCGCCCAGGGCGATGCACAGGAAGTAAATCTATGTAGCCGATGCCAGTGTGCAGTCGGGCCGTCAGAGCATATATCAAATACCAAACATGTCGCTCCATCGTCATGTACAGAATGCACCGTGCCTTCGTCCTTGGCCAATCTGACACGCATAGCACATTAAACGCCGCAACATCCCAGAGGTGCCAAATCACCTGTCGAAAAAGAAACTCCATTTGTTGAAGAAGTGCTCCAGCAATGCCGTCCCCCCAAAACGCCGTGGTATCTCTGGCCAAATCCAGCGAGCGGACCGCTCAATTCAAGCAACATTTCTGCACAGACTATGCACTCTGCTTGACTTTGTATGTATGGTCAACCTCGTCAATAATCGACACTTCAACGCGCTGCTCCTGGGGTATCATCGTATGTTTCAGATCCCAACCCGCTCGGCGAGCAAGCTCTGCAACGACAACATCGCAGTCGCCGAGCAGGTTGATGTCAAAGTTGATGTGGTGAATTGGCTGATGCGCATTAGTTGGGTTCAGTGCATCATGTGCAAATTGAACTTACATCTCGTGAAATGTAGATCTGGGGTACATCGCGGGGTAGGAAATTGGGGATCTCGCAAACCGGCTGAACCTTCATGCTGGTACCAATCACGATCACCAAATCCGCTTTCTCCCTGTCGTGCTCCCTCAAACGATCGAAGAAGTTGTTGGGAAGTTGTTCGCCAAAGAAGGTAATGTCAGGCTTCATTATGCCGGGCTCCGGGATATCGTATGCTCCGTCTGAATCTGAATCGTCAAAGCCGCCTGGTCCACGACGTTTCTTAGAACCATTTGAGCTGCGCTTTCGCTTCTTGCCAGCCTTCAGTGCGGCGATGTTCTCGATGCAGTGCTTACATTGAGCGGGCGTCCGTGCTCGCACTGCATCGAAGATGTCTTCCCCGGGAACCTTGTACCCGCACTTTCGACACGTGGCCATTGCCCAAGACCCATGACACTGTATCAGCTTCTCTTGTCGAAGCCCAGCCTGCGACTCCACATTGTCAATGTTCTGGGTGTAGTTGGTAAGGAGCTTCTCCTTGTCCTGCAACAGCCGAATGAATTGATGCGTAGGAGACCACTTCTTCAGGTCTGGTACGATCCGCCCAGCGAGCTTATAAAAGACTGTTGGGTCGGCATCGAAGTTGTCAATGTTGAAGACATCCTCGGGATCATCGTAGCCCATCTGGCTCAATTCGGAGTAGAAACCGGTGTTCTTTGAGCGGAAATCAGGGATGCCGAGGCTCGTGGATATGCCTGCACCTGTAATGACTATGATGTTCTTGCGCTCTTGCAGCAGCTTGGCGGCGTCGTCAATGGTCTTGTATTGAGGCAGACGCGACCGCTTGGTGAGCTCTCGCATGATAGCCCGGCCAAGCAGCTCGTAGAATGCTTCGTCCGGCTCATCGTCCAGGAAGCCATGTGGCAGCCGCACGTTGAACGCTGACAGCAGCTTTCGCGCCGTGTACCGCTCGCTCGTGATGTATTCCCGGACGAATTGGTCTGCGCCGACCTTGTGCAGTCGCTGGCGGATCTGGCGACCCTCATCGATTGTGCATTCATCTTGGCCTGTCCGCCAGTTAGTCGCACACAGGTAGGCTGCAAGGGGGGAGCGCACCCGCGGCAATAGGCTCGCTCTCCTCGGCCTGCTCCAGCAGGATGTCCCAGGCATCGACGTCGCTTTCATCGTCGTCTTCGTCTCTGGCGTGGGGGGCAGGTGCACCGGTGCCGTTGCTGTTGCCGTTCTCGGCGGCGGGCTTCGAGTAGGCGCTCAGCGCGGGGCCGCTCGCCTCGTCGACCGGGGGCGCGGGGTCCTGTGCTTGTGCCTGTGCCGCTTCTTGCACCATGACGGGGCCAGGCTGTGTGTGAGCCATGTCGTCCCGTCGCTGGCGGTGCCCCTGGTGGTCGCGCACGAGTTTGGTTTGCTCCTGTTGCGAATGGGCGGTTGAATGGCGCTCTGTTCGTTATGCTCGCGCTAGTCCCGCTTCGGTAAGCGCGCTGACGGGAGCGCTTTCCCTCCACTCGCGCGCGGCGCAATCTGGTGTGGCGTTGTGGTGGATCGAATTCACTCGACCTCGTTATTGGTGGGCTGAACATGCAGTGTAGACCATCTCGGAATCCAAGACCGATTCTAGCCCTGCCGAAGCTCGATCTTCGACACAGTCGTCTCCCGTTGGTTCTCTGGAACCTGTCGTTCCCCAGCACGCCATGCAGTTCCATGCATGATGAACTGTCGGCGCATGCCGCCAATCTGACAAACTCCTCGATGCCAGATCGCTGCATGCAGCACATGCAGACGCAACAACGCCACTACGAAAAAGAAACCTTCCAGGCTATATAACACGACGTAACTCGTGTGTCGGCATACCGAAGGGTCCTGTGAGTCGGCAGTTGCTCACCGCCTCGCGAGCTACGCCCTATACATTGCGCGAGACGTCTTTGTAGTTCGCTTGATTTCGGTTTTGTCTTGTCTCTTTCGGTTGTTCTACTCTGCTTTGGCTCAGAGCTGGTACCCCTGTACAAATTTCGGCACTGTTCGGCATCCCGACGTTTGCATGGCCCCTCCTATACCGAGACGACGGAACAGACCGAAAATTACTCCCTTGCACAAAAGAGGAACTTCTCCTAAAGGAGGACTGGAAACCTTGGGTTCTATCCACCAGAAAGAAACCAATGATCCAGTCAATCCCACGCCGAATTCCTCGCGTGCTGATGCTATGCCGTCCACTCAAAGCCAACTGGAACAGCTCCCACTGGAAGTCGTCAATCACATTCTGTCTTACATTGTCCATCCACGTTCCAGGTTACCCGGACTAACTGAGAAACAAAGCACCCTTCGAGACGCTAAAAGCCAAAGAGAGATAAAACTCACGGAGGACTTGGAAAGTCCCCCGGACACCGACCGTTTCGCTGCCAATCTCTTCGCCTGGACCAGTATCCGTCATCCTTTCAACGCTCTGGCTGCTTCCTCCCGGCAATGCCGCGAATTTGTGGAGAGCTACTGCGAGCACTTAGTCAAAAGCTGCAACAGATTTAACCTCCCGTTCGCTCAAGTGGAGGGAAACGGCAATCGCCTGGACTCCGTCTACCCCAGCCTTAGCTCTATAGTCTATCGCCGACTATGGCTTCAAACCGCACCTCGGAGCTGTCTTTACTGCGGTGCCTTTATGAGCCAATATCCCTACCCCGAGCTACCCGTGCGGTACCGTCTGATGCTTTGCTGTAGAGACTGCTTCTTCGCACAAACACTGGATCTATACGAGGTACAGCACCAATACCACATCATCGACCCGGGCATCCTCGCCAAATATGGAGTTCGCGGCTCGAGTCCACGATATGAATGGATTCTCCGAATCGACGTCGAGGCACTGGCTCTGCAGCTTTATGGCACGCGCGCCTTCCACGACACGCTTTCGCAGGGTTTGGAAGCCCACTGCAGTATACCGAACTGCGGGCTCGCAGCTAACCTTCTTACACTGTCTCGTCATCCTCCGGCAAGGAGACTACCCGGAAATGTTTCGCCCGCGTCTCCACGGCGGAATCGCCGCCGTGGTACCTAAGTCTGCGTTCCATAACTGCTCTTTCTGCATCACGTTAGGTAGACCATGACTGGTGGCATAAGACTGGATCTCTCCTATAAGAATTTCATTTCGTTTTCCTTGGACCAAGTCTGCTCTTCCTTTTTCTCCCCGAGGTACGGTGAGAATTGCCATGATGGATACCCCCATTTTCTTTCGAGCGATAGCATTGATAGATCCCACAAAAGCATTTATTATTGGTCATTATCAAGAACCCACGAGCTGCATCTCTCCATACTATGACCATGTTATATCGCCATTATGCCTGAGGACGTTCCTTTTAGGACCTACAATCATTGCGCGCCTTTCCCGCGCACCATGTGCTCTTTCCGAAAGGTCCAGCCATTCTTGACTTCCACCGTCCATGACCTTTTTGCAAACACCAACGTCAAGTGGCACAGCATCTGGAAAGTTACGCGATGGCCGCCTGCAGGCATCTAATCACGGCTGTTGACCCAATTACCGCAGTGGACTCTCGCAAGCCATCCTCAACCAGGTGTGTCTACATAAGACTACCCACCCCAGCCTACACACCATTGCGCAACCCTCGTGCCTCCGCGTCCCCCTTCAGTGCACATGCAACGTACATACGGCACGCATCACACCCAACAGTGGTCTATACGTATATATCTCGATCCCACGGCCCGCGGCCCCGCGTCTCGCCCTTCAATCTCAGCCCCATTTTCCGCACATCACTATACGCTCGCTCCATTACAAACTTACCATACCGTCGGACACCCTTGTACATGTAACGTTATCAGAATCTCAGCACGCAAATTGCACCGTATCTCACACGCGATCACTACATGTGGCTTGTACGTGTTCGCACGTCATGCGAATGTGAGGCTTCTTTGACGAGCGTGGAGTTGCTGTGCCGGTGATGAGGCCTACATAGAGATCTCATAGGGACAGCCGCAGAACATGAGCAACGAGCTGTTCATTTTGTGTTCGCACTCGCCCAAGAGCTCATTGATGATTTCTTTGACATTGCACACATAGTAAGGCGACTAGGTTTTTTTAGTTGCTGAGTGATCTTGCCGGAGAACACGAGCTTTCACTTCGATACCTATGGTGCTCGAATTCATCCATGACTTCTTTGATGAGCTGTTCTTGGACTCGGTGAATCGATTAGTTGATTTTGCTCGTGAAATATATGATCTTGCGTGATGTGCTCGTACATAGACAGAGGAAGGGAGGCCGCGGCACATGGCTTTCCGCTTGTGCGGCTTTTGTGCTCAGCTCGCCCATAAGTTCTTTTGTGAGCTACTTTTAGCCTTGCATCCATGATTTGGTTCACGGCAATCTTTTAGTCGTTCAATGAACAAAGTGTGTGGGTCAAAATATGCTTAAGAACGCATGAGGAGGCAGCTAGGATTAAGAGGTATGATCAATGGCTTCAGTCCCATTTCTAAGGAGCTTGCGTCTAGGGCGAGTAATGGTACCTAGTTAAAGTTAATAGGTTTAATAAGGCTAGCATATATAACGATTTAAGAATTTACCTCTATAAGGATGCTGGAACGAAGATAGGTACTAAAAATGGGGTTATAGTTAGAAAAATAGGCTTCATTAGCTACCTAAACCTAGATAAGCTCTATTGCTTAATCATCCTCTTTTTCACTATTAAATAAGAAGTGGAAGAACTCATATGGCGTAAGTACCTAGATATTAATGGTGAGGTAGCGTACACTAAAGCCTAGGAACTAAGGCCTACCCCTTAACGCTGCTTTAATTGCCACAAGTTCGACGACCATAAGGCTCAAAGATGCCCAACCAGAGTGCCGACATACGGATTCTGTGCTAGAACCGGTCACGTTGAACGGGACTGTACTTCGAAGACTCCGAAGTGTGTTAATTGCTCTAGCCCACATAAGGCCAGCGATAGAGGATGTTCAGTATATAAAAGGCTGCTGCAGGAAGTAAACCCCCCACATCATGCCTAGAAGGTCCAAGGTCCTGCAAGCGAACGTAGGGCGAATAAGCGAAGTGCAGCACAACATTATAAACGATCACGAGCTTGAAGACTTCAGCCTACTTTTCATTTCAGAACCATACCTATTTCGTAACCAAGATGGAGAATACAGGGTGGCCGCTCAATCTCACCCATACTGGACACCATTCCTCCCTGTGCACACGGAAGGGAGTCCACGACGTAGAGCGATGCTCTGGACACATAGAGACATTACAGCACGGTCGATATCGACCGAGTCCACCGATTTAAGCTTTGCTTCAAAAATCTGCGTCACAACATTTGATGTGCGCGCTGGCGGTGCTGCGTTTGCCAATCGAGTTGGCGGAGGCGGATGCTTCATGATCGAGATAAGCTGAAAGAAAAAAAAAAAAGTATACACATCTCCACTGGATGATGATTTTTTCTCACAAGATAATTACTCTCTTTGTTATGATCTATCCTACGATGATGACAAAGACCTTTCTTCCCCCGTCGAATCCATGTACTGCGTCCACAATGGTCCAAGAAACTGTATAAAATAATTATGAATCTTCGGTCTCCATAGACTGAAATACCAAGGCACAACCGCATCCTGCTCATGAAGCAGCTCACTCTGCACAAACGCAGTGAATATCAGTACCGCCATTGGCTTCTTCTCCCTCAACAACGCCATGTACTCTGGTGATACCATTCTCAACCGGTCCAACTTGTCGCCATCTCTATATGAAATGATAGCTGACTCATAGATCTCTCTGTGGCCGAGGTCTACTGGAGTCAGAGCAAGTAGCGCATGCAGCCTAGCCGCGGTTTCCTCGGAGGCGGCAGCGTCCCGTTGCGACGCCACAACTTCGATCGGACTCGCACCTGCTAGCACTACACCTTGTGCATTCAAGCATGACGCAAATGGCCGAAATAGTTGTAGCGCTTTATACGCGGCGAATATAACATCAATGCATTGACCGATGTGCTCTAGCTCCTGCAAACTCGACAAGAATTGCGCCAGGGCACACGAGTACAGCGCCGATATAGCAGCCATAGCAATAGCGGGCACGCAGTTCTCGCGCGTGACGTCCCGGACTGAGCGCACAAACGATTCAATCGACCTGCGGTGCCAGAATATGCTCTGATTGACGTCGTGCCGGAGGTGCACCCGATTCGACGGGTTGTGATCCACGAGATGACTTTTGTGGAGCGCGGAAACGGCGAGTACCGCATTGAGGAGGTAGTCATGTTGAAGGGCCAGGCTGGGGATGTCGGTGCTCCAGAATCCCGGGGGAACTCCATCTGCCGAAAATGTTTTGGACGTTGAGGATACGAAGTGGTGGAATGCCGGGGCGGCTTCGAAATCAAGACCGTGGGCAGAGGGCTGCTGGAGTAGGGCTGGCTGGCATGGAATCTGGAAGTCTATCTGTAAAGATAGGATTTCTCGGGGTTTAGTACCCGTAGAAGACTGTTTTGTGAATTTCGAGTCGGCCTGCTTGAACACCGGCCGGCTACAACTGTCAATGAGTACCACTGGAAATAGCGGTGATCGGGCACGTGCTCACACATCTCTTGCCCATGAAGGGGTCCATATTCGTAGCCGAGTCCTCTCGTCCTGGAAATCGCAATGCAAAGAGCGACGGCTGCAATGGTTACAGCAGGGACCTTGTTCATCACACTGCGGATTGTATTAGCACTGCACGTGCTATGGGGTGCTCGGCAAGAAACGTCTGTGCAACGTATACCTTGATTCTAGACTTTTTGCATTGCGAGCATCCGTTTCGCGACTTGGTGTGTGGCTTTCTTGTGCCCCTTTGGTTCCTCTGCATCTTGTGGATTGTTTGACAGGGCGTCCTGCAGGGATGACGCGCGCGGGAGCAGCACCTGCTATTCCTAAACCGATGTGCCGTGTAGCTTTTGGATTAGAGATAGAGGAAGCCTTTGCCAATGGGCGAGAAACAGCCGACTAGATGCCTTGAGCTCTTCAGGACGGCAGGCATCTATGCAATGTGCTATTGCTCCCCTGCGTAGCACCACGCCCAATAAGGATGATCAATGTCAATTCGCCCCGGTCGAGGTACTTTTTGGTGCCTTAGACGCGTAATATGCTCCTCATCAACATCTCTCAAGTTCCAAACATGTGATTGAGAAGTATATCTGTCGTGTCGTGTGGCGCTTTCGTGATCCTGCCTCTCCGTACTCTAAACTCTTTATGGGTAACTTAAGCCATTTATGGTTAGCCTTGTGCATGACGAGGAGCGAGTCTCTTTCCCTAAAGGGTTTAGAGTACGTGAAAGAGGCGGAGCAGTATCAACATCCACAGCCGTGATAACCTTCGGCCCCTGATCAGAATATGATGTCTGGTACCTATATAACCTTCTGACAGATAATGACAAGTGAGTATGTACACCACTTCCAACCTACGCCTCATACATAAAACCGTATCACATTATCCTTCACGACTATGACTATGATCTTACTCAGGGACCGCAGTAATCTGTACGGACACTATGTTCCATCACAGGGCGCTGCCATCTTCTTTTTGATATTCTTCGGAATCTTAACCTTGATTCACGTCTTCTTTATCTACTCTCGAAAACGGAAGTTCCCCATAATCATCGTGATCGGAGGCCTTTGTAAGTACTCCTAGGACAATTGTTTGCGCAAGTCTGAACTGGAAACAGTCGAAGTCATCGGACATGCAAGCCGTGCCTATTCACGACATCACTTGAGCGAGATCGTACCCTTTTCGATTCAAATCATTTTGATCCTCCTCGCACCTATACTTTTCGCTGCCGGTATCTACATGTTCCTCGGACGTCTCATTCGATCCTCCGGCTGTCCAAACCTGAGCCCTATCCGCACCACTTGGATAACGAAGATCTTCCTCTGCGGTGACATCTTTTGCTTCCTGGTCCAGCTGGCCGGTGCCAGCAGGCTTATCAAGCCAAAGACGCAGAAGGACGTTAAACTGGGCGAGAATATAATCCTCGGTGGTCTTGTATTGCAGATTATCATCTTCCTATTCTTTGTGGTAATCGCAGCCATCTTCCATCGACGATATCGAAGGGATAAGCAAGCTTCGGAGAGCAATGGCTTGTTGCAACAGCAGTTGTATACTCTGTATGTTTGCAGCGGATTGGTCTTGGTTCGAAGCATATTTCGCCTGCTTGAATACAAAACTGGACAAAATGGCTACCTCATGTCGCACGAATGGCCCGCATATACGTTCGACGTTGCTTTGATGGCAGCCGTCATGGCGATAACGCTCAACTGGTACCGCGGATCCTTGGAACCTGACAATGGTGGGGCATATAGTCAGGAGCTGCGGTGATTCTGACACGGAAAATCTTCTGGGGAAAATTGTAATTAGGTTTCAGACATCTGCGGTGAGAGTAGCCACGTTTTTGTATCGTGCCATATGTGAAAGCGTCATTGATATTCGAATCGCGGTGTACATCTTAGAGGAACAAGACATCTCGTCGCGCTGGATTATACCATTTGTCCTCTGAGGACGCTATTGAAGCTAACTCCTCATGGCCGTCTCGTCGCCGACCTCTTTATCCATACGACTGCAGTGTGATCGCAAGCTGGCCGCTCCCTTTTCTAATATGCGTCCCTACTGATCCCGTATGATAGGTGTCACCATAAGTGCCTCGGGCAGACGACTTCGCAACAGTATCGAAGTAGTGCTTGAACATGGGCCATAATGCAGGTGCGCAAGCCGTGGCAATGGCGACGTTTGGCTCAACGATTGAGTATGTGATCTTGATGTCGTAGAAGGGGTCGCCACCGCTGGGAAAATAGAACAACTGGACGAGTGACACAATACGGGCGATGCTGACCGCGGTGACGCTGTGACCATGTTCGTCAGTAAATTGGTATTCAAACAGGAGCCGGGAAGTACTTACACAGCTCCAAAGCCAAAACAGCACAAGACTGCAATGCATGTACGGCGACGTATTTGCAATCCCAAGAAAACTTAGAAAGGAAGGGCAAGAACCAAAATATCGGTCATCACGGTAACGCCAGAGATGATGATGTGAAACGAGTTGTCGATGCATTCAGCACTTGGTTTCAAACCCGGGGTCCAGATTGCCTTGATTGGAACGCACGACAATAGCACCGCGAAGAAAAACCCGACGGCGTGAAGTACAGTGAGTGTCAAAACACTGTAGACCATCCATGGAAGGCCTTTGCGCGTGCGTCCGATATGCAGGATAAAGACGAGGATCGAGCACTTTACTAGTGCTAAAATCGGATTATAGAACAGCTGTGCAATGTAGAAATAAAATAGTCCAGGAGATGGATCATAGTCTTTCGGTACATCTTCTTGATGCCAGCCAAAGTAACCAAGCTTGATGTCTGTGCATCTATCAGTCATCGTGTTCCTAACATCTTTAAGTGCACGTACACACATAGAAAAAGGGCGTGAATAGGACAGAACATAGTGCGGCAAGCACCATGAACCAGTCATCTGAGGCAAGTCAGCTCGGTTCAGTCAGAAACGTTGCTCTTCAGTCCACCCAAGCCCCAACTGCGAGTAATCCTCAATCGCGACCACACGCGCGCGAGAAAGGCGATCCAAGCTAGCGCTGGAAAGAAAACGTGATGCATATGGCTACCGTCTGTTTTGGTGGAGTTGGGATATCATGGATGGCTGGATGACTCATGGTTGGCCGTAGGACCACACGAAAAGGAAGAAACAGAATAGTTTGTGGAAGGAACGTGCCACCGTATAGATAATGGTACAGAAGAATGCCCGGTGGAGAAAGAGAAAACCAGCTAAACACAACCGCGAGTCTAGCGATGCAGTGGCTGTTTATAGGCTGCTTTATCTCGTGAGAGGGACGACATGACAAGGCGCACACAACGGAGATGCAGCGCATCCAGACGCAAGTCACAAGCGTTTCATCTGCGCAATTGTGGTGACGATCACAGAAACAAAGTCTTCAAACGGCGTCTGTGATAGGTCGTGGATTACCCTGCTCGTCCTGTATAAAGTCGCACAGAGGCAGAACGCGCTCGAGAGCTCCTTTTGTAATGACCCAACGTGAGTCATACTTTTCACGGTCAGAATTGCGCCGACCATAGAGGACAGATATGTGCTTGGTGTCGGAATTGAAAGGGTACTCGGGGAGGCAGTGCCAGGCTCCTGAGTCGCTGTCGTCGTTGCTACCTACGAGGCCATGGCGGTTCCAGCCGAACCTGGACGCGATTACCTGGATGGAAATTTCGGTCGGATCTCCGCGCGCAATTCCCTGGGTGAGCGTTCCGGTCTTGTCGGAGCAGATGTTGGTCACAGCACCAAGAGCCTCGAGACTGTCCAGCTTCCTGAAAATGACGTTTCTCGTGCTCATGTGCTTTGTTCCTACCGCCATTGTGATTGTCAGCACAACAATGAGACTGGCCGGTATCATACTGAGTCCTGTGGCCAAGTCATAGATCACGACCTCGTTCTTACCACTGAACTTGTTAGCTGCTTCAACGATAAGGGCGCAGACGTAGGCTATGCCAAAAAGCAAGAGCGCAAGCTTCGAGAGCTTTTTCTGGAGCGGGGTTCCGGTGTTCATGCCTAGGAAATGGCCCAGAGCGTCGTCACCCGTGAGAGCCCATGCCTGCACGTATAGATGGAAACCGGCGCTCCCATCATCTTTTCGCTTCACAGCTCGGACCTTTGATCCTTGCTTCTTCAGCGCCGCAGCGAGACTAGGACTCGGGTGTTGGATTTTATAAACTCATCGTCTCATGCCCTAGAACAACCACTTTCGTTAAATCATATCGTCAGCCATAGTGCTGTAGCCTGATCGTGTACCAGTAGCTCAGAAGAACATTGCCGTGTCTCGACAGATGGGATATTTGCTCGGAAACGTCTCAATGGCTTTTCCGCAGCTGAAATTCGCGACTTGGCTCCCCCTATGATGATCAACTCGGCCCTTTTTGGTTTCACGAGGAGGAGGATTGAAAAGCGACCATGGGTGCATAGACGCATTGTAAAAGGATTTAGCTTCCCAAGAACTGATGCATGCCTTTCATGGTCGCCGTTTTGATTTGGTCTTTCTGGTAGATTTCCCTGCTGCAAACACAGGATCTTCCACATTGGTTATGTGAGCGCTCCATCGGTGCGTGTACCCAGATCGGCGTTGCAGCGTCGCAAACTCGGCCCCAAAATGGCAAACTACGGTATGAACGGCGCGACACTAAACCCCACACCAGTCCTCCAACAACCGACTTTCCCTGTCGACATCGAGATTTCCATAAGCACCGATGCGAATTCTAACAAATCTGATGCGAAGTTTGATTCACGCGGCGCAAAAGTCCGAGATATCGATGTGACGTCGGTATGCGGTATTGTTGGTCTTTGCGCTGGCCTCACAAAATGCTCGCATAGAAAAGCGCGATAGCGACGAATTTTCACGTACATATGCGCGCGTTGAGTACACCTTTTTCATTGCATTCCTAGATCGACTTTTCTATATCGATATTCTAATGTCCTCGACAGGTAAGGCAAAATTTCCCACAAACGTCCCGCACCTCGCGGCTGCGCAGCCGTAGTGCGGGTCCGGCGTGTTAGACCCAGAATTTTTCATCAGGGTATCTTTTATAACTCAGATACCGAGACTGACAGCTTTTAGAAAACTTGAATCAGGCGCAGTCGCTGTCCGACGGCGAGCCACGTCCAACAATGAGTTACACAGGCTCCAGCACTAGGCCATCTGGCCTCACTCAACGGACGTCTACCCAGGCGACACGACAGAGAAGAGGTGAAATGGAGAGGCAGCCCACCATTAGTCTCGATAGAATGCAGTCTTCGGACACCATGCAGAATCGGAATGACACCGCCAGCACAAGGCAGTCGAATAGGGCACCCACGGCGCAAGACAGTGGACGGCCGCAGCAATATCTGCAACGACAACAGACTCAAAAGAAGGCTGAGGACACCTACTATGTCGACAACGACTACTACTCATTGAATCCGTGGTATGAGCAGCAGCCTGCTAAGCCACTCTTCGGGTTGGGTCGACCCTTTCCAAGAACGGTCCGCCCTGGCATGTTGTGGGGCCGTAAGCGCTCAGAGCAACCCGATCAACAAGACCAAGAGCAAGGACAGGGACAAGGAGGTCAGTATCAGCAGAGTCAGATGAGCCGTATGTTTTCCAACGTTCATGAACGTGTTATGTCTAATCAGATTACTAGAGAAGGCACCCAAGGTGTTCGGACTCTGCAAATCCCACCGCAGATCGATGAGTACGGAGAGGCTCAGCCTCCTCCTGATCGCTTCGAGGCAGATCTCGATGGGTACAAGTACATCGTAACTCGCATCAAAGACGAGGAAGCCGAGTCTCCCGACTATGAGCGCGACGTAGGGCGTGAAGACCAATATGACCACCGTGACCAGCAGAAGACGGAAACCTCAGCTGAAGCGCACCAAGGCCTGCAATCGCCGACAATGATCCCAGATAGTATGGGCGACAACTTTCACGGTGACCACCCGCCCCTGGATGACGAGCAGTCGGTTGCCACGGCTGAGACGCACGCGGAGAAGCAGGAGATTCGTCAGCGGGAAGAGGAGGCCATTCAGGACTACTACAACACATACAGGAATCCGCTGTCGCGGTTTCGCGCGCGTTACCCTGAGGCATTTGCGGAATTTCTCTCAGTACGTCCTATAGCAGCAAACCTTTGTCGACTACCCACTGACCTCACTCAGACTACGGTATACCTATTCTTCGGCCTAGCAGGAGGCATATACTCGATCACGTATCCAGCCGCAGAAGGCGACTACATCACGCAGTCCTGGGCGTGGGGCCTCGCCGTCACCGCCGGCATCTACATCGGCGGCGGTGTATCTGGCTCGCACATGAACCCTTGGATCTCGATCGCGTTTTCCGTCTTCCGCGGCTTTCCTAGGAAGATGTGCGCCGTGTACTGCTGCATGCAGATCCTGGCTGGCTTCGCTGCCGGGACACTGGCATGGTACGTCTTCCCCTCGTTTCGAGGCCCTTTCGCTTTACACCCAGCATAGAACGCAACGACTAATGTGTACGTGAATAACAGGTTCATCTACCGCGACGCCATCCTCCACATCGACCCGGCTCTCACCCCCTCCATCACCGGCAAAGCGCTCTACACCATCCCGGCATCTTACGTCTCCGTCCCCACCGCATTCTTCAACGACTTCCTCTCCGCCGCGCTCTATACCTGTGTCGCCTTCGCCATTGGAGACGACTCCAACACGCCGCCCGGGTCTGGTAAGGCAATCCTCCTGACTCTCCCTTTTCCGCATCTCCTTCATTTCCTCTCGTTTCAAAGTATACTGACTACCCGCAGGCATGTCCGCCCTAATATACGGCCTAATGTCCTTCCTGCTCTGCATTTGCTTTGGCTATAACGGGCTCGGCGTCTCCCCAGCGCGAGATCTCGGACCCCGCTTCATCGCGTGGTGGGTTGGGTACGGGCCTGAGACATTCTCGTCAGGGTGGTGGGCGTATGGGCCTGTTGCCGCAGGCTTATCTGGGGCGCTGACGGGCGCACTGGTGTATGATGTTTTTGTGTTTGTGGGCGGGGAGAGTCCTGTGAATTATCGGTGGCCGACTCCGCGAGAGGTCAAGGATAAAGTTCGAGAAGTGAGGGGGGAGAGGAAGGGCGAGAGAGAGGGAGGGGATGAGGAGGTGTAGTGTTTTGGCGAAGTAAAGTATTTAAAATGGTTGAGCTCGGGGGCAGGCGGCTGGGGTTGCGATCCATGGTCGCGTGCTTCTCGTTCGCGGTCACCGTAACTGCACACAACGGTTTTGTCTCGTTCACCTGCCACCGCTAGCATATGTTTGTTCTCCTCGCACCTACACACCCACGTGTTAGGCGATGCTGTCCTTCGCTTCCCTTTGAACGAGGTATCTTTGATCGCGTATGCAATATAATATAACAATCCACGGTGGACCGAAGCCCTGATGCGCCTGACGCCGTACCATGCTCCTGGTATCCGCTGCTGCCCTAGCCTAGTCATGTTCCATAGGCTCCCCTTGCAAAGGAATTCCCCCCGATCTAGACGAGGTCCAATGTTTCAGCCCGTCCTACTGCTGCACGGCCGCGCCCTCAAAGCCATCACCCTCCATCTCCTCGTCCTCCTCTTCCTCGTCAGCCTCTTCTTCCTCCTCCTCAAACCCACTCTCAATGCGCGCCCCCCTCAGCCTATCCTTTAGCTTCTCCCGCTCATCGGCCTGCCACCGCGCCAGCGCCGCGGCAGAGTGCACCTTGAAGCCGAAGACCCTGGGCTCGTAGCGGCGCTGGGTCTTGGGCGGTAGCATGTTGGGGTAAACCTGGAAGAGGATGTTGTGGAAGGAGGTGCCGAAGTAGGCGCCGTCGATGATGGCGTGGCGCGAGGACTTTGGGTTGTAGAGGTCTTCGCAGCGGGCGCAGTAGAGCTTGACGGGGGACGAGTTGGCGATGTCGGACTGGCCCATGGGGAGGAGCGGCTGCGAGTCGCACATGACGCGTGGGCATTTGCCGAAGTCGGACTTTTTGAACTTCTCGAGCTGGTGCTTGTTAGGTTGCGTGCTTCGGTGGACGCTGGACGGGCGAGAGCGCGGCAGGACATACCATCTTGGCGAGGCCCCGGGTTGTGACTATGTACCGCGCGTGCACCAGGCCGTACAGATGGCGCGCAGACTTTTCTATCTGCTCCCGCATGTCGTCGTCGCAGTCGAAGTCGAAGACATCGGTAACGAGGTCGAGGGCATATTGGTAGTACTGGACTTCTGTGTTGAGGCCGGTGAGGTTGAAGCGGTCTGTGAGGTACTCTTCGTCGATCTCGCAAAAGTACTCGTTGCCGCGCGAGGATATAAACTGCGCAATGTGTTAGGAGAGCGTGCGCAATTACAGGGACATAGGTATCAGCGTACCCAGTCCCGCCAGTAACTGGTGTAGTCGCTGTCGGTTTCGCTATTGAAGTCGTCCATGGCGCCGTACGTCAGGCTGAGGCGCTCTATTCCAGGGACTAGTTCGCGGAACTTTTCTCGCACTGGATCGCGTGGGGAGGCAGCGACACCCTGGCCGGCGTCGGACATAAACAATGCGCGAGGTGAATGAAGAGGGACGAGCCAAGCTTGGCGGGGTCGGGGTGCGTTCGGACACACGTTGCGCCGCGCCCGAATATCGTTCCACTTCAGCCTTACCACCACCGACGGCACAGCAGCTAGCTAGCGGAACCCGTGCCGGCGCGCTGTTGTTTGCTATTACATCACCATTCACCATCCCGGCCACCAATTGCCCGTGCTACTGCTACTCCTGTCACGACAATGGCGCCGCGCTGTCCCCCAGCCACCTGCTGTGCCCTCCCCACCTCCGTGCGTGAGTAGACTGCCTGTCCAGCTATGCAGACTGGGCATGACTGGATTGCGCAATGTTCCAGACATTCTTGGAAAGCTTTCCAAGCTTTGACGCCCAGTCGCGACGTCTCCAAGAGAGCGCGGAGACGCCATGTTTCACCAACGCCACGGGCAAACTCTTGAGCAACAGACCAATCCTCAAAGGTCGGTGCTGCGGCTCAAAGCGCAAGTTTGGCAAGCTCAACGGCTAGAACCAGCGTTTGCACAGTGGCCCGCCTACGCCATCTGAGGGTGAGCCGTTCGTTGCCTCCTGCATCTAATCCAAAAACTGACCGCAGGGTGGTCTGAACCAACTCAGCACCGCCCAAATTCTGGTTGCGATCGCTAGATCACATCTTCTCCTCCAGATCGCGTCTCCACTCTCGCGTGGAGCAACCGCTTACCGGCAGGCACCCGTTGTCTGATGGGATCATTAATCTCCGATAAACTCTGCGTCGCTGTTGGCTCGCACCCCCAGATCTTATATGGTCTGAGATAGGTCGCCTCTTCTTTCCGTCATGAACCGCATCCACGCGACATATGGTGGGCGGATACCTGCTTTGCTTTTCTTCGCATGTTGTCTTCCAGCCCGGGGTTCATATACAACGGCCCGTACCTGCGTGTAACCGCATTGCTTCTTCTGAGACAATCGTTAATCTTCTTCGCGACCTGCTGTCCGTTTCCATTGGTGTCGGCGCTTCAGAACTTGAAGACTAGCCAACCCCTCGTTACTCTAGACTTGTAACAAACAGTACAGTAGCTGCAAAATAAGCACACGGTCACAGTCCGACGCACAACTGTCGAAACTAACACATCTCGGGGGGTTGCGAAAGCATTTGACAGCTCGACGTGAAGTCTATGCGTCATCGTGGAGGTACCATTACAACTACTGCACGAAGACGCGTACTATGGACGGAACGGACCTTGGCCATGAAGAACAGCCCAGCAGCCCGAAGTCTCCGCCATCTGCATCAACAGGTGTACACTTCATCAGACTCGAGGACGACGACATGGGCGAGCCAGAGCTCGAGGATCTCACGGCCAACGTGATGTCTCACAGCGACTTTGCGAACTCTTCGAGGACCTACGAAGGCTACCGCGAAACCGATAGTGCAGCACAGGAGGATGCTTATTCGTATAGACCGGCACGCAACCGCTTCTCAGCGGATGCGCTGAAACGCTTTTCGATGGACGAGTTGACTTCATACGACCTCAATCCGCCGCCACCAGCCGTCTCCGAGGCGAACGCAGAATATATCGCCTCACGACTATTCTCTGCCGGCCATCTTGATGTGATTCTCAAAGACACTCACGAGTCCCGACGCTTTCGTTCATTTCTAGAGAAATACCGCCCCGGAGCCGCTGCGACATTGGTGCGCTACCTGGAATCTCAGAAAGCCCTCGCAGCTATACGCTACGCAAACTCCCTGGCTAACGTGGTATCTGCCACACGACCTCCACAAGCTCAGGGGCCATCTCGTTCGTCGTCGGTGAAGAGCGAAGCGGCGGTCATAGATACACAATTCGAAAGCTTTGCTCAGAAAGCTGTCGACGATTTAGTGACCGAGGCATTGCCCGCATATATCACGCATCGAATGATTACTGTTGTAACTGAATGCTTGGTGAAAGATATCACGGAAACGTCTACGCCTTTCATGCGAGATTTGGTCCAAGGCTTGGCAGAAGTGTTCTGTTTGAGCGATCCAAATCAGCCTGACAGCCCGCTCGTTTTTGCGTCCGAAGGTACGATGCCTCTCCCCAAGGAGCTAGTCAATTTGCTGATATATTTGTCCGCAGAATTTTATAATACTACCCAATACAATCAAGACTATGTGATTGGCAAAAATTGCAGGTTCTTACAAGGCCCTGCGACCTCGAAGGCGGCTATCAAACGCATTTCCACTGCCCTGGACAATGGCCAAGAGATCAGTGAATTATTGCTCAACTAGTATGCTTATTGTTTCTGCGTTGCGCACAAATGACTGACCACCGTCCAGCAGGCGAAGTGGGCAGCCTTTCCTGAACTTAGTAAGCCTGTATCCCTTGTTGTATGCTAGGTTCTAACATCGCCAGGTCATGATGGCTCCACTCATGGACCAGCGCGGCCACGTACGTTACTTCCTCGGTGCTCAAGTTGACATCACTCGCCTTCTGGAAGGTGGAAAGGGACTACAGTCTCTCAAGCAACTTTTTGACCAAGAGAAAGCAGTCGCTCGCATAGCAGGTTTTGGAGACAAATCGTCCTTGATGATGCTCCGAGAGCTCGGAGGCCTCCTAAATGAAGAAGAGGCAGACATTGTCAGGCAACAGAGGCAACGGACCCGCCCGGGTTCTGCAAGCTCGGCTGACAGCATGTCGACGCGCCACATACCCAGTTCGGGCAGACGTTTCATCGGCATGGAAGACACCGCAGACGACAATATATGGCCAGCAAGGAGATTCGGACCAGAGGGAAGGTTGCCTGGTGTCTATCAGAATGTAAGTCTTCTTGCATAACTCGATTTCTTCGCGCTCACGTATGTAGTATCTCCTTGTACGACCATACCCTTCTCTTCGGATCATCTTCACCTCGCCCGCCCTACGCATTCCCGGCCTCTCCCAATCCAAACTCATGGACCGTATCGGTGGCCCCCAGCATGTTCGGGAAAGTCTCAGGGAAGCCCTCGCCCAAGGGACCAGCGTCACAGCCAAAGTATCCTGGTTGGCGCACAGTCATCGGTCAAATGAGAATGGCTCGTTCGCGGAGGATGCTTCTATGGCTACGCTAGGACCCCCAAGTGCTCTAGAAAGTCGACCCCGCTGGATTCAGTGTACGCCAATGCTTGGATCGGATTCTAAGCCGGGTGTCTACATGATTGTCATGGTTGACAAAGAGGAGATCACCGGTACCCTCATTGCCCGTCAAAACACAGTTCCCCCTGCTGTCCGAAGTCGCGACCTCACCGGCGAAGCTTGGCCATACCGCGAGTCCAGCTCCGGCTACAGCGCCGCGCGGTACCCCAGCACTAAGCTGTACGCGGACTACCTGAAACGAGAAGGCACAATCAGCGAGGACAGCAGCTATACCCAGCAGCGAACCCCACGCAATAACCGAGCATCGCTGGAGGACGACACCAGACTAGGACGGGTCAACGCCGGACTCGCAATGGTTGATCTGGGCGCCGACGAACGACGTGATCGCTCGGCGGCGGGCAGACCCCCGAGTCGCATGTCCCGCGATGAAGAGCAGTCGGGGCCTGACTACAAGAACAATATATCGATGGGTGTCGGGCCGCCGACACCGCATCGCAAGCAGAGTCCGTCCGCGGACATGGACGCATGACTAGTGGGAGCCGTGTGGTGGACGGATGCGTTTTGGAGTGTATCGGTATCTGGCATTGGCGCTCCTGATTCTCACACGGTGCAGACACACGAAGTGCTGGAGCATATGGAAACTGTGGCGGAATGAGGATGCTCCCAGCAAGATTGGGCGAGCATAGCGTTACGATTCAAGAGGATTCCTATCTCTGGAGATTTCGACACTGACGGCCCAAGAGCCGAGGAGGAATTTCGTACGGCGGCATAAGCGAGGAATTGTCACGGCTACATAAATGAGCAGACCTGCTTGGATACGTGTGCTGATGAGTGCGAGCTGAGATAAGCCGTGCAAAACCTGAGGTGTCGAAGCGGAAACCGACGTGGACAGCAGGTGCGCCTTTGATATCCGGCAGTAGCTACCCCACTAGACTACTTTATAATTTTCGCTCGTGCTTTTGCAGCCATCTATTACTCTTGTTTTGCCCTTCTTTCATAACCTCGTGCTGATCAACTTGAAGTTGTTTGAATTGGAGCAACGGCACTCGGCGGCCCGCTTCCACCGACGACCGACCAACATCGTTCGGAGCAAGTCGGACATGTATGCGACACCGAGTTCAAGGTTTCGAACCAGAGAGCGCACGTGTGAACGATCAGTTGTGACTCACTACAAAGGGTTTCTAGCAGCAGACGGCCAGCGCTTGAGTGCACAGCAGCACAACGTGGTGCTGTATTATCTCAGATCTTTCAGGTCCAGATGCTTATATATCTAAACCACGGCTCCTTCCTGCCACGCAACTGGTCTCTCAACATTGCACGACTCCACTTTTGTAGCCCCACAATCTACTAGCAATTACTCCAGACACATCATGGACACCATTCGTGCACTCTTCTATTACTTCATGCCCAGCCTGGCCCCCGCCCCCACGTCCATCACCATCCGCGGCCCCACAGGCCGCTACCCTACCGGTGAAGATCACGACTACACCTTCACGCTGCCCGACGGCCGCACGCTGGGGTACGCACAATACGGCGACCTCACCGGCAAGCCTATCTTCTACTTTCATGGGCTGCCAGCATGTCGGATCGAGGGTGTTTACTTACACGAGGTGGGATTGAAGCACGGGGCGAGAATAATTGCGCTGGATAGGCCGGGGCTAGGACTGAGCTCGCCGCACCTGGGTAGAAAGTTGCTGGATTATCCAAAAGATGTGGAGGCGTTGGCAGGAGAGCTTGGGTTGGAGAGGTATGCGGTGATTGTATGTCTTCCCCGCCCACTCCCCTTCTTCTCCTCAGTATGATAGCGAGAACTTTGCTAACCATCAGTCCGCGCAGGGCGCCTCGGGCGGCGGTCCCTCCGTCCTCGCCTGCGCGCATGTTCTCCCCGCACACACCCTCGTCGCCGCCTCCCTCGTCTGCTGCATCGGCCCCTCCAACCTCATTGGCCACCGTGGCGGCTTCCTCGCCCACAAGCTCGGCTTCCCCTACGGCTGGGCCCACTGCCCCGTCCCGCTGCTCGCCTACCTCATGAAATCCTTCTTCCTGGGTCCCGTCGGCCGCGTCGACCTCCCCGTCGAAACACGCGTGCGGATGATGCTTGCGCCGGCGTTCCTGGCGAAACAGGACCCCCGTGACCGCGCCATACTGGCCGATGACGAAGATGGCCTGTGGACCATGTGCACGTCTGCAAACAGGGCTTATGGGCGCTCTTTCGAGGGCGCAGCGCAGGATGGGAGGGTGACGTGTACAGACTGGGGGTTTCGGATTAGGGATATCAGAGCGGATTTGTGGGTGGGCATGTGGTACGGGAAGGACGATGGGAATGTGCCGCTCAGTCATGGGGACTACATCGCGGCGGAGTTGGGCATGAGAACTGGAGAGGGAAAGGGAGGGGTGGATTATCGCGTCAGCAATGATACACATACGAGTGTGTTTTTCAACAAGAAGGAGGAAGCCTTGAGGGCGCTGTTGGAGAGGTTTTGAGTAAGGTGGAGAGTGAGAAAGGGGCAGTAAATGGTGTAGAAGAGGTTAGGGCAGTCGGCGTTTGGAGATCTTAGGGCTAGGTTTGTAATTGGCAGGTGTAATTGTAAATACGTTGGTGGAAAGGGCGTTAGAGATGTTGGTCCGGGGTCTCTACCCTGATTTAGTGTTAGCGATTGAGACTGTGGGTGCAAGGTGTGGCATGAGTTGTGCGGTAGAGGGTCGCGCAATAGTGTGCGTAGCTTGCATCGCCAGGGTGACTGGCTGAGAACATACACACTTCACTCACCGCGCGGAAATCTTGGTGAACGACTACCTCATACCTAGCATACTTCGACACCAAACAGATGCTTTATCCTATCCCGGCGATCTGGGTCTGGATCCCTCTGGAACAATCGTCGAGAACGATGCACTGGTGAATTCACACCAACGATGCCAAAAGCTGGATGTATCTTAGATCGTCCGAGGGTGCTGTTTCGCTGTCACTTGAGTACAGCAACGACTGTCAGTCAGGAAGTTTACCGTGGATGGCGTTGAAGATGGAGCACTGCTGCAAGGTGGAAGAAAAGAATCGAAACCACACTCACACTCCGCTCTTTCTTCCAACTCAAACACCTTGTAGCAACACTTCAAGTACCTTGTACGCGGCACTCTGTTACTCTTACTCACCATCTTACGTTTCCAAAGCACGAGCTTGGAACGAGGTTGGACAGGATCCCTGTCGGTAGCGCCAATTCGATAATGCGGTGTAACAGGGGTGTGCGGTGGGTGACGTATATGCTTTCTATGCGAAACAGGTGTTTAATCGAATGCACAAATCAGGAAAGGGATCGCGATCACTGTTGAGTAGGTAAGATGGTGCGGCCGAAGTTGACCACGGCCAACGCACAGCGGAGCGCACAAAGATACATGGTAGGGTAAACAACGACACATAGCAGGATAAATCACAACAGAGACATCAGTGAGGAGCACAAAATGCATTACTACCCAACTTGCACCCGCAAGCCATCTTTAGTATCGTATAATACACGAGATCGCCCCCTCGCTGCATGTCCATTAATGATCTCGTAACCGGGCTCTGCGCGCCATGTACACGTTCCTTTTCCCAGCCCATCATCCCATGCCGTCAATCATGTGATACCGTGGCATGCAATACCATGCCAATGCAACGCTAATGCAGTATTTACAAAGCGAAGACAGCGAAGGCAGCAGCGCCGACAAGGCCAGCGGCGGCACCGATACGGGAAGCCGCGCCAGGGAACTCAGACTGGGTGGGTGCGGGGGTGGAGCTGGGGACGGTGCCGTTGGCGGAGGGCAGGGGCACGGCCGAGACGGAGGAGCTGGCAGCGGCGGAGGTGGAGGCGGGGACCTCGTACGAAGAGGGCGCAGCGGAGGAGGAGGCAGCCTCGGTGGAGGAAGCCTCAGCGCTGGACTCGGGGGCCGCGGAGGATGACTCGGGGGCCGCGGTTGCGCTGGGCGCGGGCACGCTAATGGTGACACCGGCGGAGGCGCACGTGTTCTCGACGCCCTTGATCACCTCGGCCTGCTCGTCGGCAGTGCACGCGCCCTGCACGCAGGGGGTCACGGAGGCGAGGAGGGCATCGGACTTCTCGCAATGGCACTTGAAGTCGGTGAGCTCGGAGCAGCCGTCTGAGCCCAATGCGGTCAAGAAGCACTGGAGCTGTGGGGAGTTAGCGACAACGTCAATACGGGATACGGATAGATTCCAAACGTACCGAGCACTGAGGCAGGTCAGCAAGCTGAGCAGAGGCAACACCGGCCAGAGCGACGAGGAGAGCGGGAACGAAGGTCTTCATCTTGATAGATTGGTGTGGGGTGTTGTTGCGTCGATTGGACGAGCGAGCGGTCTTGATGATTGTACGGAGGTTAGAAACGACTGTTTGTATTCCGGAGACGTGCTACAGGGCAAAGGGAGGACACCTGGGTGCGCTTTAAGTATTGAATGCACGTTGGGATGGCCCCGGCTTTCCCCCAGGAAACAAGTCGCTAGCTCGCGCTGGTGCGCCAATGCGCCCAGGGGGGCTCGGCGTCACATGCGGCTACTCGCAAAAGCTTTTTAGAGCGAGGAGGATCGCTAGCTAGAGACGAGCCGTTCGCACGACTTCCTCTTGGAGGGCGACGGCCGCAGGGCGCTGCGAATGAGACGGCCAGGCCCCTGGGAGCAGTTGCCATCTGGCTGGTCCGGGCGCAATATTGCTTCGGGTATGGCGAGGCGGCGCGGGCATATTGATTGGGCGAGCTGGAATTTCTTTACGTTTGGAGTTTGCCGGCGGCGGGCACCACGAGCATTCAAGGTGAAAGACTGGTGTGGACTCCCCGGACGCCACATTGGCGCATGAATTGAGGGCCCGAGCGCGTGGTGGCGCCGATCGCATTCCCCTTGCCTTCCGCAATGCGCATGCGCGAACTGCTTTGGGGAATGGCTGCAATGGAAAGACTGGAGACGCGCGTAGTGTACCACGAGAGCGTACATACGTGACCCTCAGTGCTGAGCTTGGTGTTCTTGTCTCTGACAACATTCGATGCCGTCTCACGCTGCGCGCACCGCAGGACTTTTCATAAAGGCGATGACGCTCCAGGCCAGGGGGACCAGCTTTATGCGCTGGGCGTTAAAACCCCGCAAGCCACTTTACCTGCCTCGGATACTCTTCCGTCCCGCCTTGCCCGTTAAGGCTGGAGACTCCAGGTGTCAATATGCTGGTAGCTTCGACAGTGACACGCCACGACGTAACTGCGTGGCTCTGGTCGCCTTGTTGAGCAAGGAGCTTTCATCGGCTCGTCCAGCCTCTCCTCCCGCAGCCTGCCTATTCGCGCGTGATGCAGTCCAGGGGCCGAAGGCACAGTCAACTTGCAGCGACGCCGGCAGCCGGCTGAAATGACACCCTCCAAAGACATATATAGGATGGCAGGTAGGTTCTGTGCGCAACGTGCTCCTGGACGGAAGTGCTTTTGATCGCACGATGATCGTAACCTCAACGAGTGGCTAAACACCACTGTGTGCGAAACGGCTCGGCGTCTTCCCCTCACACCGTGCACTGTTCCTCGGCTGCATGTGCTTCTGGCGACCGGGATGTCATGGCACGATTCTGGGGATTTCAAAGGGGCCCCGAGCGATCATCTGGGGAAGAGCTTGGCTGGAGAAACAGGTTGCGCGAGTTTCGAGCAGCTGAGTGATGGAGAAGCCGACGTGATCGTTGCACGTTCTTTGGTGGTCTTTTGAATGTAGAACGGCAAACTGAATCCTGCCCTCAGAGGGGAGTCATGGTCGTCTAGTTGCGGACAAGACCAGGTCAGCAAACCGGTTAGAGAGATCAGCGTCCTCACCGGTGTGACTGGAAGATTCTGTAGCTAACAAAGAACGGCGTCGCGATCGCGAAATTGTCATCGCCATAGCGATCCCGGGATCACCCTCGAACCCGAGTTTGGAACTTCAAGTCTATGCTTATGACGCACAGGAAGCTGGCTGATCTAGTGCATGCGCATGCATGTATGGAACCATTGTACTCGTATGCACTCAAAGTACTCTAGCAGTCGGCACTTGCCCTGAAAGCCCCGTCCTAGGGCTGGACAATCCAATGCCGATAGAGCGAGAGACTTTTTGCCACTGCTATATTTGCGATCATGCTAATTCAAGATATCTTAAACCTTAGGATGCGCATTTGATGTCATAGTTGTACGAGTTTTGTGGTTCTGCTGCACGATGTTGAGGTGAGGTTGAAAGAAGCTATATGGCGTGCTTGTAAGCCTGCTCCACATAAGTCGGTGAAATATCAAAGCGCAGAGCACGCCATGTCCTACATGGCCCACTGCGCATACAGTCGTGTTAGTTCTATAACAAGAAGACTGGACAAGTGGTGTAACAAGTAGTATTTCATACTGGTCGTGGAATGTGTTGTATCTCATGAGTCGTTCGAAAATCCCAACCGTTCCGCCTGGAAGATGTAAGCGACGTAGTGTAGTAGCATCGCGATGGTAATCCATCAGATTTCTACAGAGGAGAACAGAAGAAATCCTTCAGGAGAGCGAGTGGATCTTCGAAGCAGTGATGTGTGGGTATGCGATACACAGGACCGATGTGCGACTCTGCCACAGTGTGCTTGGTGTATGGAATTCAGGGTGCGTTATTCATGGTATCAAGCAGAGACGTATGGTGTCCAAGATGCTGCAACTTCATGTTTCGAGTTCACGATAGATGAGTGTGTGGAGACGAGCATCTTTCTGGAAGGCACATGACTAAGCCTCGACAGGGATGCGATCTAATCTTATCTCATCGCCGCTCGGGGCTGGAACCGGACCCCTGCAGAGGCCACAGAGCATCTCAACTCCAAGCTCCAACACCGCGACGAGCTCTCATTGCGCCTCTGCCCACCGCTCCTGCACCACCCGCTCTTTCCCCGCTACACAACATCAAACAGACCAACATGGTAAGTGCCATCTATGGTTGCAGCTTCCGAACTTGAGCCGCTAACGCGCCGCTTCCATTCCAGGCCAACGTAATAACCAATTCCGCCGGCCACGATGACATGATTGTACGTCTACCACCACACCGCTTCACACACACACGCCTTCTAGCATAGAGCCACCATGAGCACCTCCACCGCCATCTCCACCAGGCACCGGTCGAACCCCGCAGCGGGCGGCAACGGGGTCATCGACTTGCTTTCGCTCGAGACTAACGACATGCAGCACGATGCTGTCCTCGACTACTACGGCAGGCGGTTAGCCACGTGCTCTTCCGACAAGACCATCAAGATCTTCGAGGTGGAGGGCGAATCGCACAGGCTGGTGGAGACGCTGAAAGGGTAGGCAACCGCGGCTGCGTCTGTCCGCCACCTGGCTAACAGCGCGATAGACACGAAGGCGCCGTCTGGTGCGTTGCATGGGCCCATCCCAAGTACGGCAACATCCTCGCTTCCTCCTCATACGACGGCAAAGTCATCATCTGGCGCGAACAAAACGGCACCTGGCAGAAGATCTACGACGTCGCCCTCCACTCCGCATCCGTCAACCTCGTCGCATGGGCACCCCACGAGGCAGGCTGTGTGCTTGCCTGCGCCTCCTCCGACGGCAACGTCTCGGTCCTCGAGTTCAAGGACAACAACTGGTCGCACCAGATATTCCAGGCATGTGGCTCAGGTGTCAACAGCGTAAGCTGGGCACCTGCCTACGCGCCCGGACAGGTCATCACAGCGAGCGGGAACGCGGCGGGCAACGCAAGGCGGTTCGTCACAGGCGGCAGCGACTGCCAGGTCAAGCTCTGGGAGTTCAGCCCTGAGAGTGGATCCTACCAGAACTCGCAGATACTGCCCGGACACACAGATTGGGTGCGCGATGTCGCGTGGTCGCCGACTGTGCTGTCCAAGTCGTATATTGCTTCAGCAAGCCAGGACAAGACCGTGCGCATCTGGACATCCTCAGATCTGCGTAAGTGGAGGAGTCAGAATGGTCTAGCAGCAGCGCGCTAACAAATACAGGGGAATGGAAGTCCACGGTCCTGAACGTCGAAGCTGTAGCGTGGAGGGTCAGCTGGAGCTTGAGCGGTAATGTCCTGGCCGTCAGCACCGGAGACAACAGAGTGAGCCTATGGAGGGAGAAGCTGAGCGGCGGGTGGGAGTGCGTGAAGACGATCGAGGAGTAGACCAGATCGAGCTCGAGATTTCCAGAAACAAGGCAGACTTTTCTTGCCAGGACATGTCCGTGATGGACAGCAATTGGATGCAGCATCGGAATGATGGAGCAGGGCACTCTACAGCGATACTTGGATGATGTGATACGCTGGTTGGCATGCATGGTTTGGAGGCAGTTTGGGGCGTCTGGCGGAGGTAGACATGCCGCGTCTCCGACATGGATGCGAAATGATAGACTTCATACTTTGACTCTTTTCACAATGTTCCGCACGTATTAATTGTTGCTTGTCGAGCCTTGGCTAATTGTATACTTTACGGGACTCATTTCTTGACGCTCTGCTTAGTCATCCCTTTTGGTGATGCATAGAAGGCCTCGCAGGTGCAGCGTTGTCTTCACACTGCTTTCCTTACTCGTAAGAGTGCACCCACCAACGAAGACGAAATGACCAATGTCATTTCTGCTGTTTCTTGTCTCTAGAACATTTGCATTTTGGAGACAATGTGGTCTCCGCGAGCGGTTCTCAACTGGCAATAAAAAGAAAACGATGGGTAATCTGATGGCTTGTGTGGATCGGAAAGCGATGGCAATGTATAAAAAACCTCAAAGGTCTAGCACTGCTCCTCACACTGCTTTGTCCACTCATGAGAGGACACCAAAAACAAGTGCGAAAAGAGTTTCCTGAGCACTAAAAACTGGGAGAAGAAATATCTTGGCTGGCCGATATGATGTTGGGGTCTGATATACTTGGTCATCAAAATAACGCACCCTGGAAGCGATGTGAGCTCCACGGGCGGTCTACCTCAAGGCTAGGATTAAAGAAGGGGAAGCGTGATGTTGGGGGTTAGCCCGTGGTTTTTGGAACCCAGAAGACTTCAAGGGATGTGAGTCAATCTTTCCCCGCCAGATACTCCCTCAGTACCAAAATCACTGGTGCTGGGTTCCATGGCTTGCCTGGATCGAAAGGATACTTCGTCGAGATACCGACTTTATGGCGGAGCTCTGTGGTCTCGGTTCGCGCATAACACCTAAGTCTTTAGCAGACGGGAACTTCTTGTGTCGATTTAGCCAAGTACAGCATGGCACAAACCAAACCTGACAATCAACGTCTTCATGATGGTATTTTGTACTGAAACCATTGAATCTACATCTGTGTGGTTTGAAATGCTGAATCAAATTCTTCAGTAGGCCGATCTCTCCTTGTCTTATTCGACAGTTATTATGCACGAATGATAGGACTAAAGATGGCGCGCAAGTGTTGGGTAGTTTGTGATCTCGAAGAGAAAAAGGACCGCGCCATCTAGCAATATCCTGCCGTCTGTGAGCGCGGCTTCTAGAATCAACCGAGGCCAAGTGTACCTATGGTATTTGATCTCTGACTTCGAAGGGGCCATACACGAACATCGCAATTGCAAGAATTACATGATTGACTTCTGACGAAAGTGCCGAAATCAACAACAGATTTCTGGTCACCTCCTCCCCGCCGCCGTTTCCATCCCTACATTCTCCACTCTCAACCAAAAGTGACTAGACCCTCCGGAGGGTTCTGGCTCTGGCCCTAGACAATCACGCAGATTTCGAGGAAATGTGTTCGCTGGCGTCTCTTCAAAACGTCCGCAATGCGAGCCCATGTCCAGAACATATGAGCCCCAACACACATTGCGGCAACCTCGTTACCCACTTCCTTCGTTCCTTCCTCATCACGCACTAAATGACACCGGTCCGCCCGATATACTACCGCCTCCATGCTGCCCTCCATAAATATGCCACGACCAACTTGAGCTCGCTTTGCTTCTCCAAAGACACGAACATTCAAGACGTGTGTTCGCTGGTCTCTCCCCAAAAGAAACTGCTCACCTACGCACCAGGGATACCAACAGCAGCACATATGTATATTCTTCTGGATCGTCGTCTGCACACTACGCAACTCCCATTTTCTCTGGAGTACCAAGGACACTTTTGAACAAGCTCATGTGCTGCTGTCTACGTGTTGTCTGCACTGAAGAATCCCCCGGAAGTCACGACTATGAGCCCGCTGAATTTTCTCTACAAAGTCAGGCAGGTATTTCATGTGCTCTCTGGTCTCTCCGGATTGCTCAAAACATGGATCTGTAGAGGACCCGCGGCAGTCAAGTGTATATATCCCTTTTAGATCGTCTTTTGCACACCACAGGCCACTCCACTGTTCTCTGGCACACTAAAACGGGTAAAGATGCGCAGCCATGTGCTGCTGTCTCCGTGGTGTCTGTAAAGAAACACTGGGTTGGCAGCCATGAGCTCGCCGTTCTTCCTGTTTCGCAAAGGGCTCCTAAGCAAACCCATTGCCCGCTGGTGTCTCTCCCAAATTCCAGCTACTCGTACGTCTAAGGCACCAACAGTCAAATATATATGACCTTTCCGTATCGTATCCAAAGCGTCACTCAACCCCATTGTTCTCTAGAACTCTAAAAGATTTAAGCGCAAGCCGGTATGTGCTGCCTCCTCTTTGGTATCTGCGAATCGAAGCGACCAAGGACTGATTTCCATGTCGTCTGTGTGTCTTTGCCTCGGTCTCAGTCCACTTTGCACTTGTACAGGTCTCCGGGGAGTTTATTGGCCACTGGACACACACGTCCGTGAGGAGCATGTGTGGGTCGGTGCCTCATTTCTCAAAACAAAGAAGCGTACCCGACCATGCTGCGGCGCGGAGACCTCTCCAGAATCACCGGCCCCGGGGCTGTCGACTGAAAGCAGCGCTCAACTATCCGATCTGTGGATCCGGATTTGTTTCCCAAAGACCGACCGAAAGCATGACAATGGTGCGCTGCGGAGCTCTCTAAGACCACCAGGTCGAGAGCAAAAGGGACGAGTAAGGCTGTTTCCGATGATTTCCAAACTTTGGCTTGAGGATAGACTAATAAATCTGGCGTACAGCTTTGGCACGAGATCGTTCTGGTTTTCGCTTCTAAACCCTAACCGCAAGCAATTAACCTGTGCATCTGCTGCGGAAGGCTCTCTCAAACCGAAGCTGTACCAATGTCACGGACGATCAGGATATTTTCCAGACGCGGGGTACTTCGCTCCATAGTACTCCGGCAGGAAGTCCTCAAATACCTACGAGCTCAATGTCTCATGACCCGGCATCAGTCTACAACTGAGTCTACCCAGCGCTGCTGCGTAATTCTTCACAAATCTATACGCCTGCAGCATATGGCTAGGCAGCAGATTTTAACAATGGCCATACAAACGATCAATAACGGGAGACGTGTGATATTCAATACAAATATCTGCGTGTTGGCGACTACGATGCTCACACATCTGTCCCCTCCAGTAACACTAAAAAGGCGACCGACCAAATGCCATGTGCTGGCAGCGCGGTGTCCCGGAACAAAAGAACATGCACACACTCTCGATGTGTCGCCAGCTCGGTGTGCTCGACTAAAACCCCTCGTCGCACTGCTTCCTGTGCCGCCTTGGTGATGTCGACTAAAAGTGGCTGCTTTGTCCTGTCATGATATTTGCTTCGCAATGCGGTATGTACGGCCGAGCAAAGCTTGGGAGGCTGCCACAAGAAAACCAAGCTGGTTAGGGTGAGGACAATCGTAGAATTCCGATCAAGGGGCGCTGGTGGATACCGAGAAGCTTGCGGACGAGGATGTTCGGATTACCAGGGAAGTGTGCGTAGAGATGAGGCTAACGTGAAGGAGCTCTAAACACCTCGATTTCGCCGGCCTTGCGTTTGTGGGGTAGGTTCGCGGGAATACATGCGATGTGCGTGAACATGATGGCGACTTAAAGTTATGATTTAGAAGTTGTGAGCGAGGGCGTTTCACGTTTTACCATGGGAGCAGGCATAATCGCGAGGATTGGCGAAAGTGGCGAAAGATCGATAGAAAGGTGGACAGTGCGAATTTATCCGGTCCTCGTTAGGGCTGCGGTTGCTGATCCGATAAGAATTGTCCTCGTTGGTAGTCTTTATGCTCATCTTGCGTTTTCGATTGCCGTCCAGCCGCCACCGAAGTCTTTCGCATCGCGCGAAAACTCCCAGAATTCAACTCTTTGCGTCTATCCGGATGATGAGCCTGCTCTTTCCTTTCCTTCATACGTCAAGCTATGATAATTTCTCCAAGGTAGACACAGCTTATGAGTGGCGATGGTACGCATTCAAGTACTTGAAGCGGTCGTCACTAAATTCGATTAGCAATACGAGGGGCCAACTTATAATGTGATAAGCGCCGGAGCTCAGATGCTGGACGATCCTGAGAATGGTGTCTGGTACCGAGAGTGATTCTGGCATGTTGGGTGATGGACAACGTCGTGATAGCAAGGAGATGAACAGGGTACCGTGTCTGCTGGTCGGTACGAGGGAGTTGTGAAGCAGAACCGATGTCAATCTAGGGGGTCTTTCTGGATTTCTATGTTGGGCTTCTGATCCTGTCCGTCAGCGTTGTGATGATAGCAGCCATTCACGATTCTGTGATTGTAATGCAGTGTCAGCCACCTAAGAAACACAGCAGTGGGACCAATATCGCTTTTCAGGAAAACCTTTGACGCTTATGGCACTCTGTCATGGCGCACCGCACATGTCGGGTCATGCGAGGCCGCCATGCAGGTACTCGAGGACGGACCAGATCGCGACAGGTCGGAGACAGAGATTGTTTTATTCACCCGATTTCTGACCTAACGCACGCGGGGATTGTCCGACATGGTAGAAACCGAAGTCGACGGGTAGTGGAGGGAAACATGACCGGCATAAGGGATTCGGGAAACCTGGGTGGCTGAGACGCATGGAGACACTAGCAACGGTTCTCATTGCTTCGGTTGTGGCCGATGGCAGACGACTGTCCATCACGGACGCTTCGTCGTCGCGGCGGGAGATGTAGCCTCTGCGCTGTCTTTCGATATCAATCGGAGGCTTGCGTCGGTCGTCCGTCAGCGGGCGTGGGCCAATCGCAGTGGGTCTCGCCGGCATGAAGCGCCAGGGTCTTCATGGCGCTCACCAGACACGGGCGTAGCCAAGCCCTGCACACAGCAACAATTGCCACAACATATGGTGCTAGAACAGTAACATAGGCACATCAACAGGCGTGATGCCACACGAGAGTCGCAGAAATGGTTGATCGAGCCGGCTTTGTTTTGTCGGCATCGAGGGGCGAGTCGTGGTGGCCAACCCGGGCCTAAGCGCCTCGCGGGGTTGGTGTCGGTGACTTCTGCGGCGGGGCCCAAACTGCCGGCGAGACAAAAAGCTCTGCCCCTCCACTAAAGACCCTTCTTTCCTCCCAGTCTCACTCACTCCTTCCCTCCCTCCATATACCCAATTCTTCTCTCTTCCCCCATTTCCACCGCAATCATGTCTGGACAGCCCGCCCACACCTTCAAGGTTGCCGATATCTCGCTCGCGGCCTTCGGCCGCCGCGAGATCGAGCTCGCTGAGAATGAGATGCCCGGTCTCATGCAGACCCGCGCGCGTTACGCCGGCGAGCAGCCCTTGAAGGGTGCCCGCATTGCTGGTTGCCTGCACATGAGTATGTCGACATGCCCCTGCCCTCAATCGCGCTTGTCAGCTGCTAACACGCCGCAGCCATCCAGACTGCCGTGCTCATCGAGACCCTCAAGGAGCTCGGTGCCGAGCTCACCTGGACCTCCTGCAACATCTTCTCCACCCAGGACCACGCCGCTGCCGCCATCGCCGCCGCCGGTGTCCCCGTCTTCGCCTGGAAGGGTGAGACCGAGGAGGAGTACAACTGGTGCCTCGAGCAGCAGCTCACTGCCTTCAAGGATGACAAGCGCCTCAACTTGATCCTCGACGACGGTGGTGACCTCACTGCCCTTGTCCACAAGAAGTACCCCGAGATGCTCAAGGACTGCTACGGTGTGTCCGAGGAGACCACCACCGGTGTCCACCACCTCTACCGAATGCTCAAGAACAAGGAGCACGGCCTCCTTGTCCCCGCCATCAACGTCAACGACTCCGTCACCAAGTCCAAGTTTGACAACCTGTACGGCTGCCGCGAGTCGCTCGTCGACGGCATCAAGCGTGCCACCGATGTCATGATCGCTGGTAAGGTCGCCGTCGTCGCTGGCTACGGTGATGTCGGCAAGGGCTGTGCCGATGCTCTCCGCAGCATGGGTGCCCGCGTCCTCGTCACCGAGATCGACCCCATCAACGCCCTCCAGGCTGCCGTTTCCGGCTACCAGGTCACCACCATGGAGAAGGCTGCTCCCCAGGGTCAGATCTTCGTCACCACCACCGGCTGCCGTGACATTCTCGTTGGCAAGCACTTCGAGGTCATGCCCGAGGATGCCATTGTCTGCAACATCGGTCACTTCGACATCGAAATCGACGTTGCCTGGCTCCGCGCCAACGCCGAGTCCGTCTCCAACATCAAGCCCCAGGTCGACCGCTTCCTCATGAAGAACGGCCGCCACATCATCCTCCTCGCCGACGGCCGTCTCGTCAACTTGGGCTGTGCCACCGGCCACTCTTCCTTCGTCATGTCCTGCTCCTTCACCAACCAGGTCCTCGCCCAGATCTACCTCTACAAGGCTGGCGACGACGAATTCGCCAAGAAGTTCATCGAGTTCGGCAACTCTGGCAAGCTCGAGATCGGCGTCTACACGCTCCCCAAGCAGCTCGACGAGCAGGTCGCCAACCTCCACCTTGCCCACGTCAACGCCGAGCTCTCTGTCCTCACCGACGTGCAGGCCGAGTACCTCAGCCTGCCCAAGCAGGGTCCCTTCAAGAGCGACATCTACCGCTACTAGATTTCTTTTCCATTTGCTCACAGTTCAACACGACGTTACGAGTTGGGATGATACCATTTCGAAAAAGTTTTTGCCTCAACGGCATCACCATTGTTTAGATTTCGGGGCCTGGATCCAGGGATCACGGGCTGGGGTATACCGGCGTTAATAATAGCTTGAACATGCATATCATCCGTTTGGCCTTTCAACTATGGCCAGACCCGCGGTGATGGAAGGAATGGAATGATCAGAAGTAGTGTGAGCGACAACGCTGCAACTATAGCACTGTACAATGAAGAGATTGCCGGCCTTGAGTCGCGCGAACCCACCACATTGTGTACGTTACAGGACATATTGTTGATGTGTACGGTGTGCAGATTTGTGAATCATTGAGCCTTTCTCATGTGGACGCGTCCTCCGATGTAACATCTTGACACGCCGCACAACAGCGACGTCGACGCAGAGCTGCCCAAGGTACCTGCCTGGAACCTTATACGGGACTTGCTAACGCAGCATGCCGCCCTCACATGCACCCGACGTCCGTACGTGCGGATGCCCACATGTGCATCTCCTTGCCTGACCCCCACGCACCAAAGTATCGACGGCAAGTATCGACGGCGACATGTACGCTGCCCGGTGCATGTAGCCCGCCATTGACAGCGTCCCACCACCGACGCAGACGTCGTGCTTGCTTTAGCTACCTGGATTCGCAGCTCGCAGCTGACAGCTCTCACCACAGATGCCGTGGATCCTCGCGAGACATGTCTACGAAACGAGGGCAACCAAGATCGACGAGACGAGGGACGACACCACATGCACAGGTCGCTCTGTACGGCCCACCCTTTGCCTTCTCTGTGACATGGCCCTCCACCATGTTCTGTCCCTTGTCGTTCCATCTCATGTCGTCCGTCCCCGCTCTGGGATAACATGCATGCATGCGTGTATTAGCCCTTGTACGCTCGAGGAAACCGGTCCTTGGGTGGGTAGTATATTGGCATGCATGCATGCATGTTCTAGCTGCGTTTCAGCCACGGCATGCCGTGCCACGCCGGAGGACCGTCGCTAGGGAAGGCCATGGAGATCCCCGAGGTGCACTGCAGAACTGTGGACGCAGCGTTCGTCTGTTGAGCAGGGGAGTGTGGAGAGGCTGGGTCGGTACCAAAGAGGAGGTACCGGGAGACTGTGTTCTTTGTTCTCGCGCTGCGTTGTGGCGTCGTGTGCTGCTTTTAGGCGTGCGAGGGGATGGAACCGACGAAGCAAGGGACATCTGATTCAGAGACCGATCGGGAGAACTTTGGTTGTTGACCGTGCTGCTGTCTCGAACGAAAGCGTGGTGAGACTTTGATACATGCAATGCCACCGCCATCTCCGAACTCCGCCAATGTCAGGACTGCACAAGCATGTGTAGCTCCGAGAATACGCGCAAGACCACGCTCGCCCAAACAAACCCGTATCTCAAATCGATATTACACATCCTACATTGATGCCTACGTTCTACACATGTATATACCCATCTCTCCAAAGAACCATCCTAGCTCCCCTAACTTCTCTCCCTTCCAATGGTATCGTGTCGAGGAAACAATGCCGCTTGCTGTGATATGGGTATCCGACATGCCGCCCGATCCGCTTACGGTGGCGTGATGAAGGAGGTATCTAACAACGAAAGTAACTAGGAGAGAACAAACAAAAAGGACAAGACAAGACATCGGAAAACAGCCTTTTGTAATGTAGAAAAGTGTTGCAGACTGAAGGGCAGGCGGGAAAGTATGAAGTATGCCCCAAAGAGACAAAATGGACTATGCGCTCGCTTGCGGGAATCAGCGCAGTCCGATGACGCTCTGCGAGTCTGTTAGCTGCGGCTGCTTAAAGAGCAAGTTACGACGGGCGAAACGTACCATTTCCAGCGTCCAAACCCTCCTGATCCACACCTTGAGCTTGCCCTCTACGCCCCTAACGTTGTCAAGCTCGACGCCCTCCCACCAGCACCGCCGGGCAGGCTTCCTCCAGAAGAGGAGTAGCTTCTGGGCCATACCCACCGCGTTGCTGTTGGCCAGGTCGTTGCCCTTGATGTCGGTGCGAAGACGGGCTAGTGCGATGCTGCATATCACAGCCTTGTTGGGCTCTCCAGCACGGTGGCCCCATCGGTCGTCGTGGTTGAAGCCGCTAGATTTGAATTAAATAAGCGGGTCTTCACGAATGAAGCGTAGAAATGACATTGAGAATGGAAACAAAGACGAAAATGTGCTCACCCTGCAGTCAGCATCTCGATTAGGTGCTGCTCAGTCGTACCAGGCTCCTCGCTCTTCCGCAGACCGGAGAAGATACCGTCTTGCTTGAGAAGGGCTTCGCCGGCGGCCCGTTTTACTTCGATCATGTCGGGATGAGAAATGTCGCGGTGGGGCGGGATCACGTAGAAATCTAAATCTTCTCGAAGCACAATGATGCCCGCACGGTCCTGCAGCATGTCTCGTGCTGAACCATGCATGGGCTCAATGGCATGCGCTTCGGTCGGGTGATCTGGGACGGCGGAAGGAGAAGGGGGCGAGGCGGGGATAGTCTGGGCTACAGTGCGGAAGAACTCCAGCATGTATTGCAGTGAGTTGGGATCATACTGAGAAGAGTAGAGATTGTCAGATACGTATAATGCGGGGTTGGAGAGATGGTAACGGATCGCTTGAACTGAGTTGAAGCGGACGTTGGGAGGAGAAGAGAAGTCGGGGGCACCAACATCGACCGGGTATACATCACCGTCGTGATACTGATTCATGTGGCCATCGGGGAGCAGTCCGTTGGGAAAGAGCGAAAGTAGAACAAATTCTGGGAGGGTAAGGAGCTCGTCACGGGAGAGGGTGAAGCGCGATCCCCTGTGTATCATTAGCTTCGGAACAGTTGAGTTAAGTGAACTGCCTACCTCAGCTCGAGCGTGATGTTCTCATCGGATCCACCGAGCGTGTTTATTGGTGGGCCAGCGCTCTGCTGCGACACCTGCGTGATGATGCTTGCGGGACCTCCTGCAGACGCCATGACGTATGTGAACGATTCAAGTGGACTGTATCCTTCGCTGTACGGTGGTGGCGGTTCGCCGTCGTCGATGTCCTTGCTACTGGACCCGTCTTTTGTGTCGCGTGGAAGCGCGGCCTTGGTCTCGGCCGAAGCAGTTGCAGAGGATGAAGACTCGGTAAAACTAAAAGGCGGGGCAGCAGTGAACGCTGGCGGCGAATCGTTGTCGTCTTCGTCGCAGTCCTTGTGGGGATCCTCGTTGCCGTGTTCGGGCGGAAAGTATAAGGGAGGCGGGCAGGGAGATCCACCGGCGGTAGCGAGAGTTCGTGGGTCTTCTGCGGGGGCAGTGGCCGTGTAAGGTGGGCGCGCGTGGCTGCTGTCGCAGGATTGGTGAGGCAAAGGAGTGACTACGGACAAGCCGTGGGTATCGAAAGCCTGTGTATGCGACAAGGTGCCGGTTGTAGTATGATGTGGGCGGGCGTGGTTGGGCGGACGTCAGGACACAGCGCTCTGTCGGCAAAGCGGAGAAGTGTGGGCGCGGTCGAGTCACAGTCAGGCCAGGAGCATTGGCGGCGACAGCGTGCAGCGTCGTGAGCGGTGACGGTGATGGGATGAGGTCGAGTTGGCCGTGATTCTTGGAAGGGAAGGCGTCGCGCTAAGCTCTGGGACTCGGGCTCCGCACGGCCCCACGCTGCTGCATCAACTCCACCGCTCATCGTGCTAGTCCTGTGGCCATGGCCATGGCCGAGTCCAGAAGGCACCGCTTCGAACTTGCCTGATATTGCCCTGGCCATACAGTGGACCGCTCTCTGTATCAACGCACCGTGACTGAAGCGCGAGCGTAGCCCCGCTGCGGAGCTAGCAGCGAGCGGCTCCTTACAGCCGGAAGAGGTGTTCCTGACCAACAAGAGCGGCAAAGCACATGTGCATGGAAGCAAACAACACTCGAAACTGGTGCCAGCGGTAAGGTACTTATGTATGTGACCAACTCCACATCTGGCTTCACTCACATCCTTAACGCGGCCACCAACAGGTGCCACGGGCAACCTGTGCGAGGCCCAAGCGTATACCGCACGCACAAGACTGATCAGATCTATTGTACTCTGCGTCTACCTATCGCGACGAGCTCAGTGCTTTGCCACCACGCCCGCTTCGTTGGCTTGCGCAGTAATCCTCTTCTTGTAGTCCTTGACCGTGCCATCGAAGTGCTCGATCGTGCCGTTGTCACACACCCACAGGCTTGTACACACGTTCTGCAACATGGTGACGTCGTGACTGACCATCAGCACACCGCCCTCAAACTTCTGCAGCGCCTCTGAGAGAGCGTCCATGGCTTCGATATCCAGATGATTCGACGGTTCGTCGAGCACGAGGATGTGCGGATTCTGCAGAGACAAACATGCAAAGGCAACACGAGACTTCTGGCCTCCAGATAGCAGTTCCATTTTCTGCAGACCCGTCATACCCGTGATACCGAAAGCGCCCAGGTGGCGCCGGTACTCCTCGTCCGTCTTGCCGTGGAACTTTTTCGACATGAAGCCAACCGCGCTGTCGTTGAGGTCCAAGGCGTCTACGTGATGTTGCGCGAAGAAGCCCACGCGAAGACGAGGGTTTTGTGATATCAAACCTGTCGTCGGCGAAAGAGCACCGATCAGCAGCTTCAGCGCTGTTGTTTTACCTGCACCGTTCGGACCGACAATACCAATCCGGGAGTCAAGCTGTACGTCAAGGTCGACATTTTTGAGCAAAATCTTGTCTGGACTGTAGCCGAAGGTGACACCACTCATCTGGATGATGGGGGGAGACAACTTCTCTACTTCGGGGAACTTGAAGTGCACGCTGTATTCAGCTTCCGGAGCTTGCAGCACCGGCATCTTCTCCAGCTTCTTAATTCTCGACTGTGCTTCTGACGACTTCGCAGCATTGTACCTGAATTTGTCGATGAAGGCTGCAAATAGGTCAGTCACATTACCGAAGCTTGACCGTGCATATACGAACCTTGCAGATGCGCGCGCACTTCCATTTGCTTCTCGTATTCTCGCTTAGCAGTCTTGCGTCGTTCCTCCTTGGTGGCGTAGAACGATTCTAACACAGTCAGCCATGTCTCGGGAGCTTGATGGACGCAGACTTACCGAAGTTAGCGCCCTTGTAGTAATCGAGTCGTTCGGAATGTTGATGGATGATGTCGGTGGCTACCTCATTCAGGAATGCCCTGTCGTGAGATACTACCAAAACAGTGCTCGGATACCCCTGGAGGTAGTTCGCTAAGAACGTAATAGATGGGACGTCCAACATGTTGGACGGTTCGTCCAGCAATAGCAGATCAGGCTCACAGAACAATGCTCGTGCAAGAGCCAATCTCATCCTCCAACCACCGGAGAATGTCTTGGTAGCGAATTGTTGACGCTCTGTAGAGAAACCCAGACCGGCCAAAATACTGGCTGCTCGAGATTCGGCCTTGTCAGATTCCATCTCAGCGAGCTTACCGTGAATGTCGCTGAGAGTTTGGTCGAGACCTTCTCGCTGCTTGTCCAGCGAGGCGGCATCGGCTGATGTGTCTGCCAAGGTGGCACGCTCCGCTTCCAGGTCAGCTAGCTCTTTGGTAATTTTCTATGCAAGATTAGATACACCTTCTCAAAGGCATGCGTTGGTACTCACATCTTGCTCCTTGAGCAGATGCTTGCGCCAAACGTCAGCATCTAAAACGGCTTGCAGTGCCGGGGTGTCATCACCAAGGATCTGTCGCAGTCAGTCGGAGGAACATTACGGCCGTGGTCAGTATTACCTCTTGCTCAACGTGAAGAATCGAAATATGGGTCGGAATTGCCACCTCACGGCGACTCAAAGCCCTCAGGAGCGTGGATTTTCCGATACCGTTCTGACCAACTAGACCATACCTACGACCATAGGCGAGGGTGAGAGATGTATCTGACAAGATACGCAGGCCATTGATGGAGATGTCAAAGCTGTCAATCTTGATGTCCTTGCTCTTCGTGCTAGCTTCAGAACCCAACATTAACGGGTTGACCTGCATGTAGAAGTCCTCATAGCTCTGGGTCTCGTCTGGCTGATTGAGCAGCTTAGAGGCTTCATACTCGACATTCTTGAAGACCTTGCGGTCCTGCTTGGCTTTGAGCTTGCGCTCGGCTTTTTCAAGCTTCTTACGGTCGACCCTGGATTCTACTTTGCGGGCGTTGGCAGACTCAAGATCAACGCCGCCGCCTGTCAGCCCAAGGGTGGTGGACATGTGCGTCCGCGAGCCCATGTGGATGGCTTGGTCCAGCTTCCGGGCGGACGGGGCCATCTGGCGGCGCTCGCCGTCAGTGCCGTTCTGGGCATTGAGGCGCGATATGAACTTGTCCACGAGGTTGTGGATGGTGGTCTCATTCTGCTCACTGAGATCACCCGAAGCGGAAAGGAGCAGGGCAGTGATGCTGGCAGCGGCTTCCTCAAGCGGCGAAGGGCCATTTGGGTCCGCGTCCGAGGTGAAGGAGTTGGCAGCATGGGTCAGATAGCCAACCGAGTAGTCCGAAAGGACGGGGTCGATGCCAGGGATCTGGGCTCTGATCTCAGCTTCCATGGTGCTGCGGGTGGAGGCTTGTCCGACGGGATGCCGTCAACAGAGTGGGATGCAAATTTCACACAACGTGTGGCGTCTGCACGGCCTCAGTCGCTGTGCGCTCTTCTGGAAAATTGGACGATAAGCTCGGCGTGCTGGGGCGACAAGGCTATTGTTTCTCGCAGGTCGCAGCGGGGACAGTGTGCGCTGGTGCCGGTGCCGGTTCAAGAGCGAGCGCAACGTCTGACGAAGCGACGGGTTGTGGATGTGTTTGGAGCTACGCGCAGGAGGAGTGGCCAATGGCGGGGCGCGCAGGCCTCAGGAACTAGAGAGCAGAGACGCCGGGCGCCGCGCAGAGGCTCTTTTGCCTCTTTGAACGAGGATCTCCCGGTTACGTGCATCTCAGGTCGCTCATCCGCACTGCCAGCCCGTCCCTGGCCTCGCTATTGCATCAGCCGCAGCACACAGTGCCGCGCTGACGCCGCCTGCCCGGCCAAAAGCAGTGAGAGCCCTGATGCGTGCCTGCCCCGGCGTGCTCACAGCGTGCTGCAGCAGTTGACGCAGACGGCATTGGCGTGCCGGCTGGTGCTACGCAGGCGTGTTTGCCATGCTGCGTCTGTGTGTCGTCTCCGCAACGCCGCGGGCGATGGCTAGCACCGCTCTCGAGCGCCAGATACCTGCTGGACGCTCTTCCGAAGGGCCCGCAGCACTGCGAGCTGATCCCGGTCGCGCTTCTCTGCCTTGCTCTGGGGCTGACGTGCTTGCTGTTTCGGCCGCGCGAGGGCATTAGTGGGCGAGCTCGCAGATGCAATTGGGAGGGCACCATGTTCCGCCACCCTTGCCGCAGGCCGTCGTAGGTGGAGAGGGCCAACTTGGGCATGAGCACGTCGAAATGACGAAAGGTCGACGGCAGCAGAGGCTGCGGACAATCAAGAGGTGCGAGACCTCAGGTTCCGTGCGAGGCGGCGTGGGACGGTGCGGCGGGCTGGGGCTGCGCATCGTCAACAAACAAATGTCGAAGTTGCAGGGTTTCGCGAGGAGCTCGTCCGGCTCGCGAATCGCGGCGTGCGTTTGTGCATCCAGTATCGCGCCCAAAATAGTCTACCACGATTCCAAGCTGCGAGGGACTCTGTCCCTGATTGCGCTGCGCGCCATGGCCGTAGCTCCATGCGCCGTGTATCAACGCACATGGCCTGTCGCTGTGCGCGCGGCTCAAGTGCTGTTTAGCACCGTGTGGGCTGTACTCGGCACTGCACTGCTTGAAACCGCAAGCAAACAACGAGACCTCTCGAGCAGGTGCGCACCGCCCGCCACAGAGCACCCGCGCTGCTGCTAGAGTGCAGCTCGGCGCGAACGACGTCTGAGCGCGTGTTTTGGCATTCCGCCATACACAACACTGGGCCAGGCCCAATTCACCGGCAACATCTCGCTAAAGCTAGCGGCGCGTCCTGCTCAAGGATCCCAGAAGCAAGCAGCTGTACCGGATTTCTTGTTGCCTCCGCGCTCCCTCGAAGCTCCACTTTGCTCAGCCCGTAGGCTATCTCCCCTCGTTCTCCTTGCTCCGAGATGCAGTGTCTGCTGTGAGCAAACGTAGTAGGCGACCCCACCGTCCGACGCCTGCAGCGAGCGTACCAAGGTACACCGACTGCCAGCATGCTCCCGGCGCCGTCACAAGCAGCAGCATCGCGTTCGAGTGAGCCCGTCTGGCGGCCCAGGCAGTAAGGAACGAGGATGAAAACGGTTCCCACGGTAAATACTAGACCTCTCCTCCCTGAGCTCGCCGCCCTCCTGCGGCTCTGCCACCCTGCCCTGCGCTGCCTCCTGTCCCTTGCATCCTTTGTTTTGCGACTCGACGCCTTACCGCGCAGCTCCCCCGAGAGCGGCGGCAGCTTGCCCAACCCGTGCAGGAGCCCTCTGCCCCAAGTCGCACAAGTGCTTTACTGACGCATTGCCGTGATACAGCTTGCTGCCACTGCAACTTTGCTTGGTGCGTCTGCACTCGGGCTGGGATTCGGTCGAGAAACAGACGCCCCGTACCCGTTGAAGAAGAGGAAAGCCACTCCAGCACAAAACGAGCCGGGCCGCTCGTCAATACAAGCTGCTGTCCAAACCACCACCACTGCGACATTCACGACTACCACCGCCGCCGCCGCCGCGCCGCCGCCTGCCGCGCACCACCCTCGGCCCAGCACCTCGCGCGCTCTCTCGACAACAGCAGCCCGCTTCACCGGCCATGAGCGCCAGCGGCCTCTGAGAAGACTCACGGTCGGCGACCCGGCTTCGCAGCCTCTGCAGGGCCCTACCGGCAGCGGTTACACGCCTCCGAGTGAACTGAACATAAACGAGCTGGATCCTGCAGGCCGACCGCAGTCGCGGAGGGCATCCTGGATCAAGCGCCTCTCCACCATATCCAATTCGCAGCCCTCGAGCCGAGACACCAGCCCCGGCCCGCTCTCGCCCTCTGTGTCCGTCTCCAACGGCTCCATGGCTTTCTCGCATGACGGTTCCACAGCACCCATGATCCCAGGCGAGCGACATCCCGCTCCGCTACCGCCCAACAAGCTTGTAAAACGCTCGTCGTCCGTCCGCAGCCCTCACGAAAAGCCTACCCACAACACGAACTCGCGTCTGCCGTCGTTCCGCCGCCCTGCCACCAGCCACCAGCGCTCGGCCACGCTCCAGCACCGGACAGCCCTGCTGGAGATGACCGACGAGCATCCATCGTTGGATGAGCAGCCGCTGCAGCCAAGCACCGACAGCGAGGTCGAGTACACCAACTTCTTCACGGCTAGAGTATCGAAAGAGAAGGCGCTGTCAAAACGCACGGCAGCTTTATCGTCAAACGCAAAGGCGATCAAGAGGATCATTCCAGACGACAAGATGCACAGGCCGACGCTGCTCTTGGCTCGCTCCGTTTCGGCAGGCGCGGCTGCAGACGTGGTCGAAGATTCGGAAAGTGAAGACGAGAGCGAGAGCATCTACTTTGTGAGCAGACCTGGCACTCCGCTCAGTGCCACTCTCCTCCCGGCGTCGCGTAAAGATCTACCGCAACCAGCGGCGGACCGCAAACACGGCCGCTCGTCTGAAGACAATGCCGAGGGCGCGACACGTGCTCGGCGTTCCTTCTCCATCACCAACCTGCTTAACTCTGGCTCCAGGCCACGGACTACTGGCCTTCCTGGAGTAAAACTGGCACGAAAGCTTAGTCAACGAAGGGTGAGCTCCGACCCCCTCTCTGCGATGGATAAACGTCGAAGTAGTACTGCACATGGCGAATCCGGAGCTGTCTCCGGGCGGGTGGCCGAATCCGAGCTTGCTCGACGCGAATTATCGACCTCCTCGGGGCCCCACCTGGGAACATTACGACATGGAACTCTTGCCGCCTCGCTCGCGTCACCGTTGCCTGAACAGCCCCATAGTGCAGCAAAGCCAGATTCTACCCCGGAGTCAATGCGCACGGCTGAGACCAAACCCTCGGCCGCAGCCGCTACCAATCAGCCACCGCCATCACCAACAGTGGCTCAGACGGGTGCGCGCCCATCCCGAAACTCCATGGCTCCGTCCGAACAGGCCTCGACATTAGTAGGCTCAGATAACGATGCCCGTGGCGCAGGGACGGGGGACGAGGACGATGCAGACCTCCAAAGTGAAACCGTGTTTGATTCGCTGCGCACGGGCGGTGCCAGAAGTACATCGGGCGCTCGTGGTCCGCGCATAGAAACTATATTTGATGAGTCGCCCCCAGCCAAGGTCAAAGTTACAGCGCTGCGCGACCTCCTCCCCAAAGGAACCTTCCGGGAGCAGACGCTCGATGCTGCTCCCGGGCAACAAAGCATAGCCGAGGAAGAGGAGAGCATCGCGACGCCGGTTCGCACCACCGTCCCCGACTGGCCCATCCACGATTCACCCACCTTTTCGCGAGGCAGCGCTGCGCCTCTATTCCCAGACCTGATACCCTCCTCGCCTCCGGATATGCCGAAGCCTCTTAACTTGGGAACACTCGAATGGGATTCAAGAGTCGAAGATGATGGCAGCAGCAGTGCATGGTCAATCGACGACGATAATGAAGACTCTTGGGGCGATCTACCTCCACCCCTGCCCGGCGTGCTCGTAGCGTCTCCCGTATCGTTTGGGCGCCCTACACCTCAGCTGTTCGCTTCAAGATCTAGTTCAAGAATTGCGACGCCGCACCATCTCAACTTTGATCACGGTGATAGAGAGGCTCGCAGCAGCATATTCGATTGGTCAGAGCAACAACCCGCCGATAAAAGCTCGGGCAATCGCACACCGCCACGTCCGAGCACAGTACATGGAAAAAAGGACGCAGATCGCAGGGGCGGTCGAGTTGTTGGTCGAAGAGCGCCTAGTGGGTTGCACGTTCGCAGCCAAAGTGTGCCTGTCGCCCCGGATGCCACAGGGAAACGTAGCACAGTCGTCACCAATAAATTCGGTACCTGGGGTGTAGGAAGCAAAGGGGTCACCGAAGATTGGAACGACGACTTTGATTTCGCTGATCTTGCTGAAGAGACAAGTGCGCCGGGAACAGTGCAGTCCCAAAGGGTTGACAGTGGCATGGCCATGGTGGTCCCCAACCACATTCAAGAGCAGCAGAACAACGTTCTCGCAAACATCGGCCTTTTACGAGAGTGGGGCCTTCTGATCGAAGAGCTCAAAGAGCAAAGAGTCCGAGCCGCCTACCTAGGCATCCTGGACGGCCCACATGCCGCGATGTGGGAAGAGGTGGACGCCATGATCGACCTTGCCGACCAGGAAGCCGAACACGAGGGCGTCCCTCGCTTATCTCCACCATCATCACCCGGTTTCGACGAGGTTGCTTTTGATGACGTGTCACACTCTAGTCCTATTCCCAATGGTGCAGTAAAGCGCAGGTCGGGGTTAGCGAGCAACGCGCTTGGCAAAAACAACACGCCGTCCAAGTCCCCATCTAATAGCAACTCAAGAAAGACCATCCTTCCACCAAACCATCAAATATTCGGACCGCAATCGTCGCCTGTACCTCCCAAGTCCAGGTACGAATCGCCTGCCCCACCTACGGATGTGATCCAGCACATTGGACGGCCTAGGAAGGATTCCGAGGCAAAGGCTCGCTCCATCATAGAGGCGCTGCAGCAGAGGAGGAGCACCCACGAGTCTCTTGTCGACATACAGCCTCCACCGTCTACAAAGAAAGTCCCATTCGACACCGCCACTCTTCGACGCATTGTCCCGCACGTCAATGGCCTAACCCATAGGGTCAAACAGACGCTGCGGGAAGCAGAGGGACTGTATTCGAGTCCCAGCACGAGCCCGAATAAGGAGGCCGCGGTTCCGTTCAGCAGGGAATACCTTGCAGACAATGAACTATCTACGCAGATGAAACTAATGACGGTGATGTAGATCCAAAAGCTACGACGAGAGGATATGACAGCGCTTGAGCGTGCTGGTCTCGCTCGACACCCAAAATTTCCCTTGGTATCAAAAGATTTCGCTTTCCACTTGTGGTCCTTTTCCTTAATCCTGGATAGCGTTCGAGCAGCCAAGTCAAAACCTGAGTATGGCTTCGCAATTACTGTATTTTTTTTTAGCTGCCATTGGCTCTTCTATGGGCCAACTTCATCGCATTTGCAGCGGCGTTTTCCCATCTCGCGCACACAGTTCGGCCGCGAGGCAGCAACCCTCGGGCTACGTAATACATGTGAGGCACGGTCTCATTGCACAACTGTGGATGAATAGAGGGGAGGGGGAGAAGGCGGTGATGTCTCTTGCACGCTACATACGGAACGTGCCGACATTGGATGGTTGATGCTAGCGGCAATATTTCATCTTGTTTATCCAGGAGCACGAGGCGTTAGCCAGAGCCTTGTCCTGGGACAGACGGCGCTCGAGGTACTTTGTTAGGCATGTACAAAAAGGAACGGGGTTTTTAGGTCCGAACAGAACGATCCGAAACGAGGCTCGAAACGGTCAGATGCTATTGCTTGCATGCGCGCTTGCTTTGGGATGCCGTCTCCTCCAGCAAGCAGCACGGCGCCTCGCACGAGATGAGATGAGACGAGACGAGACGAGATGAGATGACCCAGACGAGAATAATAACACGAATATGTCTTACGGCCTGTACCCATGCTATCAATTATGCCGCATATCCAATGTGATGGTGAAAATGTGCCCCGAGCCGTCTCCGCTCCTGGTCGATAGCGGAGCATGCTATGGCGGATACACTCCGGTTCGAGCACTGCGAACACAGGATGTTCCCTGGGCCCTCGTCTCGCTCCTCCGGAACACCTGCGCGAAGCGAAACTGGAGTTTCTTGCTGTAGCCTGGAATCGAGCAACAAAGTTCAACGGTACGGTGCGGTGCCGAAGACGGATGAATAGATCTACCTGCCTCCATCGACTGCGCCGCGAAAGTGATACTACTGTTGTATGTACCCTTAGGCGACTCGACTCGAACGCCTACCTCAGGCCAGGGCGTGGCTACTGCAGCGCAGTGGAGGCTCCCGCCGTCAAGCGTCGCAGCAACGGAAGGCCTTCCGGCGCGCCCTGGAGCGCTGTCGAGCGAAGAGGCCGCTTTTAAGTCATGGTGTCGCGTACTCGGGTTTCAACGGAGTGTGCGATACTCGTAGGCCACGCCGCGGACTGATCAGCCCGGCCACGAGCGCCGCGAACCCACTTCGCTACCACGGAGCGGTGGGTATATAGGGTAAGCACCAAGACGCCGAGCGGGCCGTGTGCACGGTATCTCTCCGAGCACTCAGCCAGATGGGTGGGGTAGCGAGGGGATAGGGCTACTGACGAACATGTATGAGGTTGCTTGCATGCAGGATGCATGTACGCAATTCACGAACTACTGCATCGCTAACGCCCACGCACGTCGTCAACCTGAGGGCGATCCGATAATCAATTGATCTGTAGATTGCATATCCGCTGACTGAAGGAATTGCATGTCACGGGAGCGAGGAGGCATGCTGGGCCAGCAACTGGTGCACCTTGGCTTGGATGAAACGTGCTGCCGTATTGGACGTAGATTGTACCGCTGTGCTAAATGCGCTGCGCTGAGCGCAGGTCCAGTGGTGGCGGCTCGCGCAGCATTGGCATGCGCGGGGCACACGCACATTGTGACGCCGTGTCGTGACTTATGACGAGCAGCCAAGGAGTCTCGCGAGGGGGCGTTGAAGAGGAAGCTGAGGCGCTGCGGGGGAAGGAGGCTGTGTGTATCCTGTGTTGACGTCTGTCGTACGCTGCACACTGCACTGCGCTGCGCAACTCGTTCATCTGCTGGCTTGATGAGAGCACACTTTGCCCGACCATCCAACTCAGGGTTCGCTCACAACGAGGCGTACCTGCATAACATAGATTAGGACCGGTTGCGTTCCCCATCCCCGCGTCAGATCCCCCAGCCTCGCCTCCGCGCCCGTCCATTCGCCAAGCTTCTCCGTGGCCCACTCTTTGATAATCCAAATCACCATGGCCCCAATTCCATCTCGGATCCTAGGCCTCGCATATATTGCGTTGTCTGCGACTGTCGTCCGCGGACAAAGCTCAACAACCAGCACGTCAGCGTGCGCGAGCACCATTGCGCCGAAGAATGCTGCGCCCAGTGTTGCGAGCGGGTGGCGTGCTGAGGTTGTGACGAATGGACTTGAAGGGCCGAGAGGCATTATATTTGATAGCGAGGGGGGACTGTTGGTGGTTGAGGGGAAGAAGGGCATTTCGAGGATTTCCTTTGGGGGAGAGGGCTGTGCAAGGGGCCAGAGTGATAGGGAGCTGATTATTGAAGATGATTCGGTGAGTTTTGATGTTTATCTACTGCTTTCTGCGATGTTGGACTGGGAAGGAAGGACGGTGATGGCTGGGATGCACATTTTATGGAAGAGATATTGGTATCTCTGACATTGGATCCGTCTGATGTTTATCTAGTTGAACCACGGACTCGAGCTCTCGGAAGACGGAAGGACACTTTACGCTTCCTCGAGCCGTGCAGTCTATGCATGGGACTATGATGCAGGCCAGGGCCGCAACACCTCTGGTCCGCGGAAAATCATTGGAGATTTTGGGTCTACTGCAGGACACCCAAGCCGGACGCTTCTCTTGTCCCGGAAAGTGCCTGGAATGATTCTCGTCAGCCGTGGCAGCCTGGACAACATCGATTATACCACCCAGAACAAGAGTACTGGTGTATCTACCATCAAAGCCTTCAATCTCACCAATCTTACCGATTCATCGACATACAGCTTCCCCGATGACGGTCTAATCCTCGGCTGGGGTCTTCGAAACTCTGTCGGCGTGGCAGAAGAGCCCGTGACAGGCGCAATATACTCTGTCGAAAACAGTGTCGACTATTTTGAGCGATCCGGCGAGAGTATCCACCAGAACAACCCCGGGGAGGAGATGAATTTCCACGGCTACCTCAACGGCACGCAGACTGACGAGCAGGGCGGCAACTACGGCTACCCGACGTGCTTTGCCGCGTGGAACATTGAAGAGATCCCCGATAATGAGGGCATCCAGGTAGGAACGCAGATCGCTATCGGCGAGCAAAATTCTACGCTCAACGACACCTTCTGCAGGGAAGACAGGATTCCGCCTCGCCTGACGTTCCAGGCTCACCAGGCGCCTCTCGACATCAAGTTCAATCCGAACGGCACGGCGGCTTGGGTAACATTCCACGGCTCATGGTACGTCTGCACCTCACCTTTGTAGCCAAACCTGTAGCAACATTAACACACCCCAGGAACCGTGACGACCCCATAGGCTACAAGCTCTCCTACATCGCCTTCGATGGCGCGGGCTCCCCCGTCGCGAACGCCACTAGCAACTCCTCCACCGTCGATGTCTTCTCCAATCCGGACCTCTCCAAGTGCCCGGATGAGTGTGTCCGACCTGTCGGCCTGGCATGGGACGCTGATGGCCGCTTGTTCATGAGCAGCGATGCGACGGGCGAAATTTGGGCTGTGACGAGGGAGGATGGAGGGAGTGCGGAGGATGCGAGTCCCACTAGTGGACTACCGCCGAGTGGGACGGGAAGTGCGCCGGCTGGGACGAGTAGTCCAGGTGCAGGCAGCGTAAATAAAGCTTCCGTGGGAGTACTTGCGGTTGTGTGGGCGGCGATTTTGGCAGCGGTGATCTGAGCATGGGTATCGACTTGTCTAAATGTCACTTTCGCGAGGTCTTTGTCATGCTGAACAAGTTGGGCTTGCATCTTATAGAACGCCATGTATTCAATGCTTACATATGCCATTCAAAGGCGACTTTTGAGGATATGTCGGCGTAGACCGTATGTGACTTCATTGACCAAGCGTCCCACGTCGTTGACCTTCCTCTTTCCCTCCCAACCGCCTTAACCACCAAACTCTCCGCGCCGATCCGCTCTGCTCCACCAGACCCGATGTATACATGACGTGCTTCTGCAGGGTTACTCTCTGATGACAGAATGGGAAGGTACGCGCTGGAAGTGAACGCAACGCAGAAATATAGCCTCTCACTGATCCACCCTCTGTTTGCTCTCATTTCGGTGAGCGTCTCACCAGCAACAGGTTTTGTAGACATCTCGTTTGATCCGTCTCTCACCACCTGATCTGCAAAACACGTTCGCAAGCGCGCCGCCAACGGGGGGTGAGAGGGGCATATAAGCCGTCAAGATGTCGCCGTCAGTGAGGGTATATCAGCGCCAACGACCTCTTGATCAGGAATGCTTCAAATGCTTCGAGGTTACTTGTATAGCACTGCTGTGGTGCTTCCCCAACATCGTATCCGCTTCAGCCATGGATCAAAACATACCTTCACAGAAGGTGGCCTTCAACCTGCTCCCAATCGAGGTGCGTTCTCAACGGGCTGTTGCAACACCACCAGCACTGACCGCGCGCAGGTGAACAAAGAGATTGCTCACCACCTTGATGACCATAAGGACATTGCCACCTACAATGCGATCTGCAAGGCGACTTCCAGTGCCATCATCGGAGACAAATTGTCTTTCTGGCGGGCCAAGTTTTGCGAGGACTTTGCTAGACCGCCAGGCAAGACCAATGCGATGCTGCGCGCGATCTACATGGAGCGCTGGCGCTGGCTCAGGCGCTTCGTCAACATGAAAGCTTCGAAGACCTTCCAGTTCGTTCGTGGTCACTCGGTCAAAGAGAAAGCCGTCCTGAAGGTCTTGGTAGATCTGATCAACGAGTCGTTCGCGGGTGTCCAGCCTGGCGCCGTCGGATCCGATTGCCCGAATATGCTGCGTCTGAAGGATTTTGTCCTAAAGTCGAGGCTTCTATTGGGTGGCCGTCGCCCTCCGCCTCCAAAGTTCTATGAGAACGCCGCCGTCAGCGAGTCTCTTGTAGCTGTCCGTATCATAGCTACGCACTTCCTCTTTGGCGAGGCCATCCAACCAGGTGCCTGGTTCGCGATTGACGATGCGCAGCGAGCCGTCTATTCTTCTACAAATGACGCGCCGCTGTACCTCGGTCATCAGAAGCACGTCGTGAACCTGGACTGGGTCCTGCAATGCCTCAACTTCTTCAGGTACTACATGACCGTCCCGGAGGCATCAGATCTCCACGACGCTATGCATGAGCTGGATGATTCGCAGCGGCCGACAGCGTGGGATGGAGCGCTAAAGTCGGGCAGCTATGTGCTGGGAAACCACTGGAGGGGCACGTATGCCTACCTCGAGCACAAGGACCTCAAGCGCTTCCGGCAGATGATTCGCCAGGACAGGCACGGCGACCACATCCTGACTGACCTTAACATCGATGAGGGAAACATCCAGGTCAGTATATATGCATCACTGACATGGCTTTACCTGACATCCACATTTAGTCTCTCTACCTCGACTTCTCGGCGGATGTAAGCGCGCTCCCCTGGCCCGCCGTCTTCGAAGACCGCCTCCATTCGCTCCATCCGGGCGAGTTGCCACAGGCGCGTGCACAGTAAGTCGCTTGACGCTTTTTGTGGCATGCATCGTGCTGCAACACTTTCGACTAACAGCCCACCCCACAGACACAGCAAGAAATCTGCCTCCACCGCCCCCAACTCAATTCGCTTCGATGGTCATGGTGAAGACCTCGAGGACCTCTACTTCGCGTCCGGCTGGCTCAACGCGCTTCCACCGCAGGCAGGGATCCCGGGCTGGCAGCGCATCACTATGATGAAGCACTTCGAGGACGATATTGCAGCCGTTCAAGATGATAATCTCTGGGCATATGAAGGCGTCGTGCTGCCGGGTGGGAAGATCATCTTAGGGCGGTGGTGGTTTGCTTCGGTAAGTTACGCGCAGTGGCGGGAACATGGCGAGAAGGAGTTTGGCAGGGGGCATGATGATGTGGCATGGATGCTGACCATAGTAGCAGGACGAGCACATCAACTTTGACGATGAGTACGGCGGCCCGTTCATCTTTTGGGCTGTCGAGCCGGAGGAGGAGCTGGAGCATGAGGGGGCTGGAGACGAGTGAGCGAGGGAGGTGACATGGCTGTCGATAAGGACGTACCATGGACTCTTCCGCGCATCGGCATCGCGGCAGACATGTGTGACTTTGTATGAGATTTCATGGCCCGAACGGAAAGAAAATATGATTATGCGAGATATGCGATTTGCAGGCCGGTCTAAGCATGAAAGCGTGAATAGACCCAGCAGGGTGTACTTCAAAGTCTTGACAAAATGAATGGTTTCTTCTGCAGGATTCGAGATTTGCTGGTTGATGGTGTAGACGCTTGAGACCTCTAGCTATGCACCACACATGCACGCAGGGCCAGGTGACGAAGGTAGGCAGACATGAGTGATTCAGCGCGTGGATTTTAACGGCACTGCAGAGCGGTGGACATCGTCACGCGCCCTTGATTGTTTCAAGGCAGGAGCAGCACATGGAGTTTTGTTCCCTGGTTTTTGCGTCCCGGCCGCAGCCCATGACGTCTTCAACCCTGAAGTTTGAGTGCTGCAAAGCTCGAGTGCAGTATGGAGAGCAGGAGTGCGGAAGGGAAGGGTTTTTAACTCCAGGGCCGTGAGAGGAGCTGAGGATGGCGGTGGTGATAAGTGTCATCACTCTCACCTTCTTCATCGTGGCTGGATGTGCGGTGTATCCGCGGAGCGCAGCAGCCATGACGGTGCGGATAGGGGATTTAGAGCAGCCAGGTCGGATATTCTTCGATTAAAGCTTGGTTTTTTGGAGACGTCGAGATCGTACGCCAACCTGTTTGAAGTCGTTTTTGAGAGACGCAGAGGCCGCACATGTTAACGTGATTTTTCGTTCGAGCCACAGCAACCAACCACGTGAAGGTGTATGTGAAGTCCTTTTGGTTACCTTAAGGTCTTATATCCTCGCCCTCCCATACACCACTGTTCTGGTTTGATGATGCTCATAACCACCACCGCCGTTTTCCTTGCTACTCCATTTGCTTCGCCATCCAATAGCTGCGAGACGATACTTTTTCCGTCCTTCTGCCTGATGCAAGCGCACAGCGTAGCTGCTCATCCCATGTCCAATCCCTCTATAGCTTTTGAGTCCCTCCGTAGTGAAATATCTGGCAGTGTTTCGAACAACACTCGCGGAAGACGCAATGTTTTCACACTCTCGCTCTCCTTGGGCAACATCTCCATGGTTTGAGGATGGTGAGACTCATCACACTCTCCCTTCTCCGTGTCGTCCATGGGCCATGCCGTCCCCGATCTTATCGTTCTCACTCGCAGCAGTGAAATGCATGGCTTTCTTGCATGGCATGTTTGAAACCTCTCCTTCCCTGCGCAAGCCTAGAGCATAGCAGCAAAACCCATCAGCTCCAAGGCCTTCCTTTTATAGTCTACTCAAGTAAGCACACAGCACAGCCACAATCCCCATGACGGAGATGTAGACCAGTTTTTGGACAATTCTCAAAAGAAGACTTGCCGAAGACGCAGGTTTTATACCTGCCCATCGCCACAAAGCTCCACTTCCCAAAGCCTTCTCATATCACTTCACTCCGCAGCACTTTGAAGCATAACGTACAGCCACACATGTATTGGGTATCTACACTGCTACACATAGCTACACAAAGCTACACACCTAACACACAACGCACTCGCATACAAAGAGGGGGATATCAGCATTACTCAAAACAACGCAAAGCATCGCTGCGCTAACCAAAGCAGGGGGTATAACGCCGTCGCAATGCAGCATACCCAAAATCATCCCAGTCATATCCAAACCCACACATATTCCCAAGCCCCAATCAATGGTTTAGAAGATTTTCTTAAACCAACTCCCCCTCTTCCCCTGGCCCGCCGCCCCATCAGCCGCCGGTCTCCCATCCCACGTCCTCACAGGCACATCCGCGTAACCCGCCTCGCCATACGTCCTCCTTCTCTCCTCCCTCTTCGACCTCCTCTCGCGATCTACCTCCACCTCCCCTTCGTCCCTGGTACCCTCATAATGACTTCGCCGCCTATGTCCCTTATCCCTCACCCTCTCCCTCTCCCTCACTTCCCTCTCCTTCTCCTCCTTTTCCCTCCGACTCGAACGCTTCGGGTGCCGTATTCGCATCCTAATCTCCTCGTCTGCACTCGGACTCTCCTCGTCACCTAGCCCATCGACCGCCCGCGCGCCAGGCGGCGGATCGAACACGGTTTCGGCGAGGGGCGGGGGAAGTGGTGGCTCGTTGGACAGGCTGTCGACCCAGGAGGACGTCTTGTCGCCGCCTTTGGACGGCATGTAGGGCATGTTTTCGTGGTCCTCGCGGCGGGCGCTGCGGTGCCGACTCGAGGCGTGCTGGCTGGCATTGCGCGTGTCGAAGTAGTCTGTGATGGGTTCGCCATTGGGGGTGGCGGAAGGGTACTCCGAGTTGCGGCGCATGGCGCGACGCTCTTCGCGGCGGCGACGACGTTCTTCGGGATCCTCCCCGTCGACGTGCGTCTTGCGGCGCTCGTTGTCTGGGCGAGTAGAGCGCTCACGCTCCTTGTCCTTGCGGCGGGAGGAGCGGTGCTCGCGGTCTTCGGGGGCAGCCTTGCGGGACTCCCGGTCCCGACCGGCACGACGCGCCTCTTTCTCATTCATGCGGCGCAGCTGCTCCTCAGCTTCCTTGTTGCGGCGCTCCAGCTCGGCCATCTGGCGGGCCTTCTTCTCCGCGAAGACGGAGCGCTCGTTGTCGCGTTCGCGCTCGCGACGACGCTCCGCCTTGCCCTCGATCTCTTCGAGCTCCGCACGGCGCACTCCCTTCTCTGCTTCTCGCTTTGCCCGGCGCTCGGCGCGTCTGGCCTCGCGCTCAGGGTCGACGTCGGTGCTGCCGTTGGCGCCGTCACCAGGCTCGGCACCGCCTTCGACATCGCCGCCCGGCATGCGCGAAGAGCGACGGACGCTGCGGCGCTCGTGGCGCAGCCGTTTCGCTTCGTCGTCGTTGGGTGCATCGCGTGCAGAGGACCGCTTGCGCCGTCTCCGCTCGTCTTCTGTCTCGTAAGCAGCCCTGCGGCGCTCGCGCCGGTCGTCCTCGGGCGGCGCAGCCTTGTCTTTCTTCTTGCCCAGGCCAAACATGCTCATTAGTCCAGTCGCTGCGGCTGCACCGGCTGTCGCTGCTGCGATGGTATCGCGGGCGCTGGAGTTGCCACGCTCACGACGGTGTCGCTCGCGCCGGGTCGGTTCAGCTGGGGCTGGCTCGACATCCATCGGATCGATGTCGACCGGGTCCTCGGCGCTTGGCGGAGCCGTGTACAGCTCTTCCACGGGCGACGCCGAGTCGTGCTTGGATTTGCGGCGCGATTTGGATTTCTGCATTGGTGAGGGTGAAGGCGGGGCCTCATCGTCGAGCCCCATGTCGATATCTTGATCATCGTCCAAGGCATACGGGTCCGGGGGAGCTGCGCGCATGTGGTTAGCTCGATTTCTCCGCTTACGCACGTGGCACCGGTTGGGGGCGAGCTGCTTACCTCTAGACTTGCCCTTTTCCCTAGTGCTGGATCGCCTGCTGACCGACCCACGCATGCCCATTACCTTGGCCGCCTTCGAGGCAACTTTCGCGTCCGTGTCAGTCTGTGGAGGCGACATCATCGCGGCGTCCTGGTCGAACGAGGGCCGTCTGGACATTGTGCGGGGTGTGGCTGAACCGCGACGCTTGCTGCGACTTGATGGAGGAGGACCCACTCCAAACATCGAAGCAAGACCAGTGGGGGCGCGCGTGGATTTGGAGCGTGAAGGTGTCTTGCTCATCTTGTCTGAGCCCGATGATCGAGACAGCACATCCTTATCGCGCGAAGACGGAGCACGAGCGGATTTGGAGCGGGACACGCTGGGTCTTGAAGGCGCTGCGGCGCTGCTGCCATCGTCGGTAGATTGTCTCTTGGATGATTTGGCTTTCGAGGATGAAGCAACAGCGGCTCCAGCAGCAGTAGTCCAAAGGCCCCAAGAATTGGAGCCGCCCTTGCGAACCACCTTCGCGCGCTCCTTCTTCGCCGAGTCAGGCTTGACCTCAGGCTCAGGTGGTGGCGTGGGCGGAGCTGGCGGAGCTTCATCGGCCACTGGTGCAGGTTCATCGTATAGCATGTCGTCCACGAAGTCGTCAACCGGTGGGGGTGGTGGGGGTGCCTCGACGATGGGCTCAGGTTCAGGCTCAGGAACAATCGCCTTGCTTTTGCTACTCTTCTCCTTCTTTTTCTTGGACTTCTTCTCGATGACGACGGGCTCGGGTTCAGGCTCGGGCTCAGGTTCTGCGGGGGGTGGCGGCGCCATGCCCAGATCGATCAGATCCATCTCATCATCCATGGGAAAGCCCCCAGGTACGGGTGTAGTGATCTTAGGGGGTTCTTCGAAGGGCTCCGGATCGGGAATCTCCAAGGGAGGTGACTTATCCTTCTTTGACTTGGAAGATTTAGACGAGACCTTCTCCCCCTTCTTCAACTTGGAAGATTTTTTAGGCGTCGGCTCCTCGACCTCAACAACCGGCGGCTCAGGTGGAGGAGGTGCGATATCGTCTAGAGCGTCTTCAAACACTGGCTCGGGTTCGGGTTCGGGTTCAGGCTCTGGCGCGGCCTCAGGCTCCACAGCCTTCGACTTGCTCTTTGACGAACTCTTGAGCAGATCGCCCTTCTTAGATTTCTTGAGCTTGGATGACTTCTTCTCCGGTTCAGGTTCCGGAACAGGTTCGTCAGCAACTGGAGGTTCTGGCGGGTTTGGTTGTTCTTCGACAGGGGCGGGAGCTGACTCATCGACCATGAAATCGTCCCATGTGGGTTCAAGCTTCGGCTCGGGCTTCTTCGTCTTACGCAGAGAGATCCCCCACGCGCTACCCCAGCCTCCGCCTGACTCTTCTTTCTTGGGGTCTTCCTTTTCGAGTTCAGCCAGCAGATCTGCGGCAGGGACGTCTTTGACCAAATCGAGGAGGTCATCGTCGATTACGGGAGGAGCAGGAGGCGGCGGCGGGGCTTCTTCAACGACAGCACCCTTCTTCTTTTTCTTCTTGTCCTTCTTCGACGACGAAACCTCAAGAGCCGCTTTCTCCTCAGCCAACCGGGCAGCCTCAGCCTCCTCCGCTTCTCGCTGAGCCTGCTCGGCTGCCTCTTTCTCGGCGGCTTCAGCTGCTTTCGTCGCTTCCTCAGCCTCGCGATCCAGACGCTCTTGCTCTTCACGCTCCTTCTTTTCGCGAGCCTCTCGTTCCTTCTTCTGCTTTGATGTCTCCTTTTTCTTCGATGAACCCCAGATAGAAGCACCCCAACCAGAGCTTGCTTCGGCCTCCTTCTTAGCCTTTTCAGCCTCTTCAGCTTCGATCCGTGCTTTTTCTGCCTCTTCTGCTTCAATACGGAGTCGCTCTGCTTCTGCGGCTTCTTCGGCCTCCCGCTGGATACGCTCTTGCTCCTCTCTCTCAACGCGTTCCTTTTCCTCACGCTCAAGCCTCTCCTTCTCCTCGCGCTCTTTCTTTTCCTTCGCCTCGCGCTCCCTCTTCTGTTTGGAGGTCTCTTTCTTCTTTGAGGAGCCCCATATCGAAGCGCCCCAACCGGAAGACTCCTCCTTCTTAGCCTTTTCCGCCGCTTCGGCTTCGACTCGCGCTTTCTCCGCTGCTTCTTCAGCTTCTATTCGAGCTTTCTCAGCCTCCTCAGCTTCAATGCGTGCCTTCTCCGCTTCCTCAGCCTCCAGTCGCAGCTTCTCGGCTTCAGCTTCCGCAGCTTCGGCTTGTGCTTTCTCTGCGGCTTCCGCGGCCTCCCTTTCTTCGCGGTCGATGATTGCCTGCTGCTCGGCATCCCACTTCTCCTTGTCCTTCTTCTCCTTCGCCAAACGCTTCTTCTTTGCTGTGCCAGTCTCGATCTTCGGAGGCGGCGGAGGCACGTACTCGACCCAGACGTGTTTCTTCGGAGGCTCAGGAGCAGGCTGCTCTTCCTCTTTCGGCGGTTCGTCGAGGTTAATGAGGTCTTCAAATGTGTCCTTGGCAGATCTGGAGGCGGAGTCCTTGGTAGTCGTCTTGCTGAGCTTGCCGCCGTCTTCTTCGCCCTTCTTCTTTTTCTTCTTGGATGAAGAGGTCCCGAGGCCCCAGCCATCATCTTCAATCTTGTCTTCTGCTGGGGGCGCTTCGATCTCTTTCATTGGAGGCAGTTCAGGTTCACCGAGAAGATCGATCTCGCCAGGCGGTGTCGGCACGGAGGGAAACCCACCTATGATACCCTTCTTTCCCTTCTTAGTCTTTTTGCTGATGTTGAACTGAGCGCTGCCCCAGGGGTCATCTTCGTCCGGCTTCTGAATATGGCCAGAAGCGAATTCGTCGGTGACATCGAGAGGATCGTTCTTGTTCTTGTCCATCTTCTTGCCCCATGATGGAGTCCCCCATTCATCCTCTTCTGGTGCCTGAGGTTCTTCAATGGCATCCGCTTCTTGGATCTCAGCAGCCTCCACAACGATCGGCTCGGGCTCTGGCGGCGGAGGTTCAGGCTCTTTACTGCTCTTCTTCTTCGTCTTCTTACCACCACCCCATATCGAGCTAAAACCCCAATCACCTTCCTTCTCTTTGGACTTCTCCTTCTTTTCTTTCGCAGGTTCGGGTTCGTCCTTCTTGCCCTTCTTCTTCTTTGTCGCTGTAGTGCCAGCTGCGCCCCAGTCGTCATCACCCCAATCATCCTTTGTTTCCTCAGCGATAGGCTCAGGTTCGGGTTCAGGCTCGGGTTCGGGTTCGATCACAGGTTCAGATTCCGGAGGCGGTGGAGGCTCAACGACAGGCGGCGGATCAGGTACAACGGCGCCTTTCTTGCCCTTCTTCTTCTTGGTCGTCGCGACTCCAAACGATCCCCAGTCGTCGTCGGCAGGCGGTACTGGAGTGGGCTCTGGTGGAGGTGGCGGGGCCTCTTCGACCTTGGGCGGCTCAACAACCTCCTCAACGACACCCTTCTTCCCCTTCTTGCTCTTTTTCGTTGTTGTTGTTGTTGTTGTTGTTGTTGTCGTCGTCGCAGCCGCACCCCAGTCATCGCCCCAATCATCCTTCTTCTCCTCGACTGGTGTTGGTTCGGGCGCGGGCTCGGATTCGGGGGGTGGTGGTGGTGGCGGCGGCGGCGGCTCTTCGACTTTAGGCTCCTCCTTACCTTTCTTGCCCTTCTTTTTCTTCCCGGTCGTAGTCGTCGCAGTGCCCCAGTCACCCCACGAGTCCTGGCTCTTCACTGGCCCGACGGGGGCTGCCGTCGCTGCTTCGGCCTCGGCAGCTGCGGCAGCAGCAGCGGCTTCCTCCTCTTCCTTCTTCAAACGCTCAGCCTCCTCTTCTTCCTCTTTCTTCTTGCGCTCGGCTTCTTCCGCTTCCTTCGCCGCTGCCTCGTCTTTTAGCTTCTTTTCCAGCTTCTTGCGCTGACCCTTGCTAAGTCCAGCGAAAGGATCGACTGCAGGCACCTCAGGCTCAGGAGGAGGCGGAGGTGCCTCGACGACTGGTTCTGGTTCAGGCTCTGGGACAGGTTCAGGCTCAGGGGGTGGTGGTGGAGGCTCTTCGACTGCGCCCTTCTTTCCCTTCTTTTTCTTGGTCACAGTAGTAGTAGCTCCGCCCCATCCACCCCAATCGTCGTCCTGTTTTGGCGGTTCTGGCGCAGGCTCGGGCTCCGGAACAGGTTCGGGCGCGGGAGGAGTCTCTTCGATAGGAGCGCCTTTCTTCCCCTTTTTCTTCTTGTCCTTCGCACCGCCGAACGAGAACGAACCCCACTCATCGTCGGCTGGCGGAGGTGCTGCGGGTTTGGGTGGCTCTGGCGTTGATTCCTCGACTAAAGCAGAAATACCGCCCTTTTTCTTCTTATCCTTCGCCTTGTTTCCAAAGCTGAAGCCCCATCCGTCCTCTTCTGGTGGCTTCTCTTCCAAGGGTGGTGGTGCAGGAGGGGCTGCACCCCCTGGTTTGAACGCATCGAAGTTGAAGTCGAATCCGTCACCACCCTTGGGTTTCTCTTCAGCAGAACCCCAAGGATTGTCACCCTTGCCCTCTTCTTTCTTGTCATCGAAGCCCCACGATGCTGAGTTTTTAGCACCCCAGCCGCCGCCGCTGGCGCCGCCGGAGCCCCAACTGCCCAGACTGCCTAGACCACCAAAAGACGACTTGGAGCCTATGTCACCAAAACTCATGTCAATCTTAGGTGCACCAGAATCATCTCCAAGATCAATGCTGTCAAATGTGGTATTTGGATCTGCTACGGGTGGAGCGGTTTCAGCCGCCTGCAGTGACGTTAGTGGATTGAAACATGATGTTAAAGCCACCGAAATTATCACGTACCTTGCCCTTTTTGCCCTTCTTCTTCTTCGCCACAGGTGCAAGTGAGCCCCAGCCATCATCTTCGGCAGCGGCAGTTCCGTTACCGTCTGCCCAGCTAAGGTCAGCGCCGGGACTTGTGGCCGCGGTCGCCGCGGCGGCCGCTGCCGCCTCCGCAGCAGCAGCCTCCTCTTCCTCTTTCTTCTTGCGCTCTGCCTCTTCTTCCTCTTCCTTCTTCTTGCGCTCTTCTTCCTCCTGCTTTTTAGTCTTCTTCTTCCCCTTCTTGCCAACTGCGGCGCCCCATCCGTCGTCAACATCGTCGTCTTTTTTCTCGTCCCCACCACCGCCACCACCACCACCGTCCCCTCCACCGCCTGCTCCACCATCCGCCGGCGGATCACTGCCGCCATTGTCACCAGGCGGAGGATCTGCGGGCGGATCTGGCTGCTTCTCCGGTTCTTCAAAGGGGTTCTTAGAGGGCGCAGCAGTCTTCTTGTTATTCTTCTTCTTTGCATGCGATCTGACTCCCTCATCACTGAAACCAAAATCGATGTCTGCGTAGAGCGATTTCTCCTCTAAGAAGAGGGAAGAACAAGGCGACGTATTACAACTTATACGCAAGCAGTTCGGAACGTCAGAACAAAAAGAAGCATTCAGAGACGAAAACGGCGTGTACTCTGGTGTCTGCGCTGTGGCGAGCGCATCGGTGCAGGTGTAGTCGGGCGGGACATCTGCGATGGTGTCGTCGTAGGACGGGGGCGGCGACCCCTCATGGCTCTGAGGCGTTTCCAGCCAAAGATGGCGCGAGGGTGTGGACGGCGGCGGTAGCAGCGCCGTCAGCTGTGTCGAAAGGTCATGTATCTGCGGGGATTAGCACAGATCCATGATGCGCGGTGTCTCAATGCAAGGTGCAAGCTGGGCGTTCGCAGTGTGCTTCACGGCACAAACAAGGTAATGCGGGGACCAAAAGAAGCGGGGGTTCGACCAAATGAAGCTGCCATACCGAGATTCCGTGATTACTCTTGCGGTTGTCCTGGTCGCTGCGGTGTTCCAGCCGGTCCAGCGCCTGGAATATGTCCCCTAGCAGCCCCGCAAACGGCGCGCGCTCTTCTGGTTCCCAACCAAATGTACTCCCGGCGCAGCTGCGTGCTTCCCACTCGATCCCAGACATGCTTCCCTTCCCACTAGCTCTTGAAATGCGGCTCCTCATGCTATCATCCGATCCAGTCGTCGATGACAGCCGGGTCCTTGGTCTCGCATATGGAGCGGCGACGGCGGCGCGGCGTGAGCTGGCGGGAGGAGACATGCTGCGAGGAAGCCGGGTATCTGGAGGCGCGCAAACAGGAAGAGGGCGGTGGAGGAGGCGGGCACATTAGCGGAGTCGAGGAACCGCGATTGCGCGGGGAAGGGGCGAGGTGAGGGAAGGTGCAAGCTGGGCGGGCGCGGAAGGTGCAATGCGGTGCAGGTCAAGCTCAGGGTCGGTGGCACAAATGGTCCCCCGGCGGCGAAGTTTGGTGATGCAGCCGGTGCACGAGTTGCACCAGCGAGTAGGAGGCGATGCGGTCGGCTGCGAGACGTATGTCGGCGTATGCAGGTGGTTGCGGGCGCGCGGGCTCTCGGGGCGTTGCGATGGGGTCAGGGTCGCTGCAAGTGGTCACAGGGCTCTCACTACGAGTGCACCTGGGCGGGCGTGTGGATGGTGTGTTTTGGCGACACACACAAGGCAGAATAGGCTTAGGTGCGCTCGGATTCAGGCAAGGAACGAGCCATCTGGCGGCGTCTGATAACGATTGGCGTTTCACGCACAGCGCTCGGGGCCCCGCGTCGAAATTCAAGAGGGACGGCGAAAGGTGATGGGGGCTGGGAGCCAGGACGCCGGCGTCGACGTCGTCGCAGGGAACACAGCACAGCACAGCACACGATGGATGCGGGAGGAGGGTGTAAACACGCGGAACAGACCGCACTTCGGACGCCAGCTCCCACGAGATGGCGCGCGTTAAAGAGCGCCGGGCACTGCGAAAATTTGTCGGCCTAGCTGCCGCCCTGCCATGCGCTGTGTGTGGGTGAATGCCGCCGTGCATGCATAACGAAGGATAACCTCGTGAAGCCGTCGCCTGGGGCGCCATAGGGCACTCCCGCCGCGAATCTACACGTCGCAAGCGGACTCCATCGCCCAGCGTCGTCCCCGCAATTGGCTGCCCGACCACTTACCCAGCCACGACACCCGCGCCTCGTCCTCACCGCCAGTCTCCAAAAACACCTCCATTGGCCCTGCGCGGACTAGCCCGCCGCACAGCGAGCCTACGCGCATTAGCACCGGGAGAGAAGGGCAAAGGACTCGACAGACAACACACGGTGCGTCCGCAACAATGATGCTGTTAAAGTGGGCGCCGGTGGGGCCAATGCAGACAGCTGTCAACCACCCAGCGGAGCTGCAGCACGAGGGGCACACGAGGACGGGTACCCCTTGCGCTTCCCCTCGTGTTTCCTTCACGTCCGACCTGTTAGTGTTTCCGTCATGCTCTCCAAGGCCAAGTCGGTCACGCCCAATATGTCGTCTAGGAATGGTCATGGTGGTCGGACGCACTAGTATTTGCATTATGGCTGAAGGTAGGTAGGTGTGTAGGTACATGAACGAAGAAAAGGTAGTAGGTAGAAGCCCACTTACACCGGCCGCACCGTCTCCTCTCCACCCCGGGTATCAATTACATGCGCGAGCATGCCGTCTATGAGGTATCGCTCCGATCCAAGAAAACATGACTGGTAGAAAGCGTGCCGAAGCACATGGCTCAAGCAATAGTGGAAAATGAGGGGGCCACAAATTTTGACTCCTCGCTGCAACTAAGCATGGCGTGGAAAGGCAAGAAAGAAAGTCGAGGACAGGTCTAGTATAGCTAGATTCGCGAAACGAAAACGCTAAGAAGCTGCCGCAGGTCGTCAATAGGCATTAGGTGATGTTGCTGTAGGAGCTGGGGCATGTCAGAAAGACGAATACGTGAAATACCGCAAGCGCATGTATCAGAAAGGCTGACCCTCCAACTCCTCGCCGTTGAGCACTCGCCGAGCTTCGTCGAGTCTCCTCCGCCATTCTTTCCGCACATACTGATCGTTCGTTGTGCTCCGCAGGTTGCTGCAGACTTGCTGTAAGCTAGCCGCCAGGCTGTAGATGAGCTGCTTCTCTTCTTCGTTTAGGGCCAGTTGCGGCTCGTCCCGCGGCGTTTGCGAAAGGATGGAGAAGATTTTCGAGGTTTGCAGACCGGTGACGAGGTCACCTGAACTGGGAGACGAGACACGGGAGAGCGTGGAGGTCGAACTAGTGGCTGGTGAACTCGAGCTCGCAGGCTTGCTTACATTGTAAGCAGAATCGGAGCGCGGCAATGCAGCAGTGTCCTGCACCACAGGCTGTTGGCTAGGGAACAGTGACTTGCTGAACTGGTCCATCTGCGGGTTCTCTTCGTCGTCATCAGACAGGTCCTCTGCAGCCGTTGCAAAGGAGGCTACTGTAGAGACGGAAGCCTGGCTCGAGTTGCGTATATGCATCGACACCCTCTTCGCGGAGCCCGAGGACACATTCCGTGTGTGGAGGATGGTTGCGACTGAGCTACGATCATTGACTGGTCTGGTAGTAGCGACCGAATCCGTGGAGCTGGAGCTGCTGGAAGACCTTGGGCGAGCAGCGCTGTAAGTCCCCATGGCGCTGTGCAAGAAGAAGTTTTCGTAGTCGAAGGCATCTATGCGATCTTCGTGCCGTTCTGTGGCTGGCATTTCGTACACAGCATCTTCATAGACACTAGAGCCTGTGTCGATGTCGTCACCATTCACTGAGATGAAATCATCCTCATCGGTCTCATCCAGGCCTAGACCGAGGCCTACATTGGCTTTGGAGGCCTTCTGTTGCTCCCAGTCGTCGTAGTGGAATGATCCCTCAGCCTCATCGGCATCAGGTGGGGATTGCTCGTACTCAGGGGCAACTTCTTTCACCGCATATGCGTGATCTTGCTGGGCTGCAGCGACTGACTGCTTCGATGTTGAATCACCAGCCTCATCCTCGTACAACACCTTTCTGCTGGGGGACTCCAACTTGAACCCCACGCCAGCATCGGCACTGATGGGCGAGCCTGGCGTCTTGTACGCTTCTGTTCCTGAATACCAGGTTTCGGCTGAAGTGAAGGGGCTGGGTGCACGCAAACTCTGCTGACTCCGCCGTCGCATACTATCTTCCTGTGTTTTCAACCTCAGGCTCGATATTCGATGTTTGAGGTCGTGTACTTGATCGCGCAAGCTGCTCGTAGTGGATGCAGAACGATGTACTCTTGGCGATTCGTCCTCTGGCAAGGTTTCCAGAACGTTGGACGGCGATCTAGAGCCCCTGGAATGGGTACGCAAGGACTCATCCTGGCCGCGCGGGTCGCGCATCACTTCGAAACTCCGCGACTCTCTGATCGGGAACCGACCATTTCCATAAGACTGAGGAGACCACGGCCCGCTTCCGTGTCCCATGGCACTCGAGGCCCGTTTGGAATCTTGTAGCTTTGCCATGTACGACGGCGATGAGAACGGCAAAGGGACAGAAGTCTCGCTCATGCCCCGGGAATGAGTCGGGCTGCCCGTCGCCGAGAGCGGTGAGGATTGATACAATCGATTTCGGGGCGGTATGGGTCCTATTCCAGCGTACAGTTTCCTGTCTCTTTCGCGTGCTGCGTTGATCTGATGCTGGAACTCGGTTGCCATCTTGGAGCTGTTGAACGTGGGCGACACGACGAGCGACTGTCGCGCACCTCGTATGTTATTTTCCATGACCTGTTCACCGTCAGTCTTCCGCGATTTCTTCTCCATTCGTCTTGCATACGTTGAGCCGCTTCTTCGCGTCCGCCAAGATCATTTCCGCTCGTTTCGCATACAGATCGGATGAATAGGCATTTTCTTTGGCCTGAAAGTCTCCATTCTGCCATCGATCGTCGCCCACCTCACTTTCGGGTGTGGCCATCGGGAATTGGCCCTGGTTGTCGCCCTCGTCCAGATCTACACCGCTATCGTCAAAACCTTGACTGTCAAACCCAGGCCACCTATTCCTGATCATCTCCAGATCCTCGCTATTCAGACTCGACGTGGTGCTCAGTCGCCGTTGCGAGGGGCTGTGGCTGATGTAGTCACTCGGCTCGGGGCCAAGAAGGCCGTCTTGGACGGTGGGCGAGGACGCGATGGTGTCGACAGTCAGGGCCGGGCTTTTTGCATCTGCTTGCGAAGGGTTCATGTTTCGGAGAGTGGAGCGCGAGCTCTGGGAGGAGAGGGGTGGTGAGTTCCTGAGCTGCGGAGAGCGTCGTGGGGGCGCCGTGGCCAACGTGAGCGTGTGTGTGGAGCGGTTCGCATGGGCGTAGAAGCTGGACGGCGAGGGCGGCCGTTCCCCAAACAGAGGAGGCGAGATGGCGCGGATGGCGTCGCCGGGCAGGATCATGGAGCTGTCGAAGGACCTCTCGCTGAGGGTGGGGGAGCGCGGCGACGAGGGGAGGCCCGTAGGCCTAGCAATAGGAGCGGCTGCCATTACGATGTTGGATCGCGGATTGTGGGAGCGCGGCACAAGCCTAACATGGTCCAGGTGGTACCGAGGGCGCAACACCGTCTCACTCGACACTGTGCAACTCGACCTGGCGCAGCACAAGGTGCCGGAGAGGGCAAGAGTGGATATAAGGACCGAGCGACACGGAGAGACGCGTGCACAGCAGAGCAGACAGCTCTCCGTCGCGTAGGGGGATCGGGCCTTAGCTCTTTGAGAAATGAAAGCGCACTGGCACTTGCATGCTGCTAGCATGGCCCTACGGCCCATTAGGGGCACAGTCGACAGCGATCCCCCGTCCGCAAGGACAACCGACTGGCACCGCCGCCAGTCGTCCGCAGAGCCATCGAGCGCGATTGGATGTTTGTTTCGGGAGCTCATGCTAAGACAAGCCCGCGATCCAGGGTGGTGGCTGCATGCTTCAGCAGAATCGCTACCACAAAATGCATCCCGCCGTGTATGAAAGCGCATCGGCTGTTTGTTTGTTGATTGTCGTCGCGGGAGAGCGAGCCGCGCCGAGTACGCGTCTGTGCATGTCCATGCGACATGCTGTGGCACAACAAAGGGCGGCGCCGCAATCCACCTCGAGTCAAACTTTGTGTGAGCGAACGCCATCCCGCTCGCTCGCGCCGGATCGCGCCGAAAAGGTCCCGTGGTAGGAGCCTAGCACTGGCTCAACGGCGTACCAGACATCGCAGCGATTTCTGTTTCACGTCAGAGCTGTCAATAATGCCACCCTTTGTTCTGTGTGGCAGTCTAAATCTAGATTGTGGAGATGCCTCAGCCGCGTACCTGGAGCGCGGAGAGGCATCGGATCCTTGTTGTAAGCCCTGTTTCGGCCGGTGCATGTTTCGCACAGATAAGACATGGTTCAGCGCACAGCATCATCCATACTATGTCTAAAATGACATCGTTTGATTACAGCAATGCTCGCTGTCTATCTTAAGACATGGTGTAATACCCTAAGATTGAGCACATAACGCCAACCTCAGCGTTCGAAGCTCATCCGCAAAACGCCCTTCCAAGGCCGATCAAAATTAAACAAACGTTCCATACTCATGCAATGCTCGCTATGCTAAAGATGAATGTTGTTGTGAGGGGTATCACGTGAAATCGTCATCGTCGTTCCAGCCGAGAGCGTCATAAATCGAGGGTTCCTCGACAGTATCTGGGGGCCGTGATAGTGCCGGTAAAGGCGACTCTGCTACCAGCGCAGGTGCTGCTTTTTTCAGTGGTGTGGCGAAGAGAGTTCGAGGGGTTGACGCAAGTTTGTTCTCGAAAACATCCTTGGGCTCTGTTGGGAGCGAAAAGGGCGGCAAGGGCGACTCCGCTACTTGCGCAGGTACTGTCTTCAACATTGGTGTAGCGAATAGAGTTCGAGGGGTTGGTTCAAGGCGGTGATTGATTTCATTAGGAGCCGAGGAGGCGATGGCTTTGGTGGGAGTTGCGTCAACGGCCTGAGGTGGAGAGTCAAGAGACAAACGCACTGTCCTGCCCTTAGATGGTGTTGTGAGGATCTTTCTACCCGTCGGGGTTGGAATAGAGAATAATTTTCTGGCAGCTTGCGGCTTCGAGGGCGTCTCAGCGACGCCTTGCGGCGTAGATGTTCGGGCTGTTGCACTACGCTGGACAGTGGCGGGCACTACTGAGGAAGGAGGTGGGCGTGCGGCTGAAGACGGTATGCAGAAGTCGCTCGGAGGGTGCGTATCGGACGGTCGGGGGCGAACGAATGGATTGTCATGATGCATTGGCGTCTGTTGCACCATGTCTTTTGTTCTTCTGCGTGCACTTGGAGTTGCCATTACCTGCACGTCTTTCTGTACCTTCCGAATAGGGTTGGCAGGCTTTCTTGACCTGTTCGCTGAGCCAAGGGAACCAAGGCCGCGTTTCTCAACGTCGTCCGCGTAGCTTCCTGCAGCTAGTCCACGGTTTGGCTTTTTCAGAGCTGTAATAGCCTGTTTGAGATCTTCCTCAACCCTCTTTCTTTGCTGTGCTCTCGCCGCGGCTGCCTTCGATGTAGTGTTCAAATCCATCTCCCGACCTTTGAGGAGCTTGAGGTGAGATGCTGTCTGCCTCGCAGCATTGGACGGGCTACGTTGGAAGGGTATGGCTGAAAGTGGAACTTCACTTCCCTCTCGTTTGATAGCATTGAGAATGGTGGAATCAGTGGCGGACCTGTTCAGTGAAGGAGCTCGTACAGAGCCCGTTCTCCCCGTAGTATCAGTGGCGACACGACCCAGTGATCGTCGTGGCTTTTTGCGCTCGGACTCTTTCGGTTCTCCGGATTTCCGTGACACGTTCGGCGGTTTCATGGCCTTGCGCTTGGGTGGCGATAAAGGTGCCGGGCCGCCTAGCTTCTTGTTGACCATGCGTGCTTGTTCTGGCAGTCTGTTCATATAGAAAGGGACAATGACTTCGATACAGAAATTTTGCAGTCGATCTTTCCCGGAAGACCCATCAAGCTTTTCATCTTGTTTCGATGCGTCGAAATCCAGCACCCCATCTTGCTCAATGGATTGCCAGATGCAGAGTTTATCCAGCAGCAGATCGAGTAAGAGGTTCACGTCGTCGATCTTCTTCTTCCGCTTCGGCCTGGACTGTGACTCTTCTGCCACCTGAGAGGCAATCTGAGATCCGTCTGCTGCAACACCCTGGCCTTCCGGTGCTTTGTAAGTCGACAGAGATTCCAGTGCGGTTATCTCGAGGATCAAGATCATCTGGAGTAGTGCCTCACGGACCCTCAAATCGCCTAAGCGCCTCTTGATCCGTTGATCCATGGACTCATCTCGGGCTATCTCAGCGGTTGAAATGCCTCCGAACCACCACTTCTTGACGACTTCCGTCTCTTGTGGGTACATGCCCTCACGATTGGGTTTGACTTTCTTCTTTGACTTTTTCGGCTTCTTGGGGACGTCAACCTCGTCGTCCGAGAAGCTTCGGGGCGGAAACTCTTTGATGACTTCCGGTAGCTTTTCACGATACTTCTTTTCCTCTGATTTGTGGGTAAGAAGCATAGTCCGTATGAACGTCACTAGCTCATGAGTCGCAGCTGCGCCTTCTTCGGTCGAAGTAAAAGCGTTCCGAATGCGAGCAATTGGGCCTTTGGCGAAGTATGCGAGGGAGGTCTTGGAAACGTAAAGAGCGTCCAAATATTGATCCACGAAAACATTCAAGTGCTCCTGCGGCGAGGGTAGCATGGGCTTCTCCGTGGGATTCATTTGCAACTCCACCGGGGCTTTCTGGCTGTGCATCTCTGCGATCGCTGATGCTGTGGCTGGAGCAGGTATCATCTGCCCCTCAGCGGGCGCAGGGAGAATTTGAGGGCGAAGCATGGAAAGCCTGGCTCGTGTTGCAGGCTTCTCTGCAGGTTGTATATCCGCCACCGCATGCTTCCACCATGCGTCTTCGAAAACCTCACACGACTCCAGCCTCGGAAAGGTTGAATATGCCTGTAGGTTCTCAGGGTCCCATAAATCTGCAACATCTTTTTCTTTCAACCACATAGCCAACTTGCAGAGACTGTATACTTGCTCTTGGACACGCTCCATAGCGTATAGTGTTTTCTTCGCTACATGGCGTGCTATGAGAACCCTCGGCACCTGGAAACCCAATGGTCGGCTCTCATCGCTCTGTTCCTGGTGATATCGCTCAAGTACATCAATCGAGGCTGAGAAGAGTTGACTGGTTGCAAGCGAGTTGTCGGTCGTAGTATCGAGAAAGGAGAGAGGAAGCTGGGATCGAGCGATGACGCGGACGGGTATGAACGTATGCGGCTTATCGTAGGGCGACCCGGGGCACGGTCGAATCGTGAAAGGCTTGGTGAAGGTCCCGAGGCCGCAGATCGTGTCCCGCTTTAGCTTTGAGGGAAGTCGTGGTTTTGGGTCGATGGCGCGTTGTACCGAAGAACGGCATATCTCGGGTGGTATTTTAGCATGTGATTGAGGCATGCTCGGTGTGTGCGCTACGTGCAAAAGCATGAGTGGTGCATAGCTGTGCTGTGCAGTGGTGAGGATGAGGCGGAAGCTGGGCTGCTGGTACGACGCGTTCTACGCGAAAGTCGCGTGGCTCGTGCTGGGCCCGCACCCGTGGGCCCAAAACTTTGGCACGTCATGCCGTCATGCCGCTCGGTACCACCAGCCATGGACTCAATTAGGTAGCAAGCTTCTACGACATGTGTAGCAGATTCTCAGGTTTCCTCGCGTCAAATAATGTTCAAAATTGTACATACATCCTCAATTATATAGCCATCCTCCGCGAGCACTCTTACATTTTCATTCACGTCAAATCTTATTTCAAGGTGAACATGGGAAATTGCAGTGTACATACAATACAAAAATGCAGGGCCAGATTCAGCATCACCCGTTCGCTACTAGTACGACGAGTGTATTGTGAGGCGACCGAGACTCCCTAGAGTCCACCGTGAGCCGGTTCGCCATCTTGGTTTGGTGAACTCAAAGTGTCAATAGCCCACATACTAGACCTATCGAAATCTCACGAAACAGACGTTGTATATGTTGCAATCTGGTCCCCCAATTCTTCTATCTCATCCCAGGTAGCCATCAGCTTACAACATTACCACAGGGTATCTTCTCCCCTCCCCTCCACCCAAACATCCTGCCAACGAAGCCTACTCACCCCCAAAGCCTACATAACCACACACCCATCTGCTGCCGCCCCTTTCGCCGCCCCCGGCGCTAACGCCGACGCCACTGCTACCCCAAACTTCAAATTATCCTCCTTCTGCTCCTCCACCCACTTCGCATGCTGCTCCTTACGCCATTCCGTTGCCGGCTTGCCCGTTTCGTCGTATCTACATACCTCCCATTAGCCTCCTTTGCCGACTTCAGCAGCCTCACACACAGGGAAAGGAAGGGGAGGAATGGACGCACCCAGTCCGCTCAGTCGCTTCCTTCGCAGAAATTCGCTGAATGTTATTCTTCTTTCTTTCCTCATTCTCCTCTTTGAGTTTCTGCCATCTGGACTTCTTCTTCGGGGCTTCGTCGCCCGTGCCTTGCCATCGTCAGTCCAATGTGTCAAGGGGCTGATGCGCTGGAAGGCGTACTCTGAGTAGGCTTCGCCATGACCACCGTCGTACTTCGACAATGCTTTCTCGAAAGGTAAGTGGAGCTAGGCAGCCTTAGCTTAGTGACATGTCCCGCCCCGTATATGTATGTACTCCCACGGTTAATCGGCGCAGTCACAAGATAAGGTTGTGTCTGTGGCGTGGTTGACGAGGCCCCTTTCGGCCCCCAGAAAAGCTGGGTATGACCGATGGAGTTTAGTCGCACCCTAAAAATATGAGTGCCAACACCTTCTGGAACGTCGCGTGATGGACGGATGCGTGTAAGTGGTATCCAAATGGGTGGAATTGCTCTATAAAAAATGTTCGCTAGAACGCTGATTCAATGCAAAGTAGGCTGTTCAAACTCCTCGAATACCCAACACCCTGACTCGCAAAACCTAGGACTTATACAATCGAGACCGTCCTAGACAATACCCCCATGCCTGCAAGGCGCTTCTGATATACTCGAGCGAGCGCACCAATCAGATGGCCTCGTGGAAGATGTTCTGCAACATTGGTCGTCCATCGAGTATGCCTCTCCTCCCGGCGTTAAACACCTTGGCAGGTGTTTTCCTTCCCGTCTTCAACTTCTCCGGGCTGCCAGTCGGCGTCTTCTGGCTTCGTTTCTGTGGCCTCGTGTTCATTTGTCCGCCACTCGTGGTGATGTCGCCCAACGCCTTCCGCTTCTTAGTCGGGCTCGGTGTTGGACTCTTACCCAGCGCCGCGAAGCGTGAGGGTGGCATCGAAAGTGTTTTGCCAGTGAGTTGTGTGAAGCCTTCGTTAAAGGCGTGGCCGTCGATCATGTCCTGCGTGATGTCGAGTACCCAGTCTTTCTCGCGGCAGAGCGCGACAATGTCTCGCAGTAAGTCGTTTCCTGAAAGCGTTTTTTCGCTACCAAGAACGATGAGCTTGCTGCGCGCTCGGGTCAGTGCAACGTTAACCCGACGGCGGTCCCTGAGCAAGTCGCCCACCACGCCGTTGTCGTTGCTTCGCACGCAGGAGACGAGCACGACCTCCTTGTCACGGCCTTGAAACTTGTCCGCTGTGTGGAGCTCGATAGCTGCAATGTTGGCTCCAGTAGCCGATGCTGCAAGTTCGGAGCATTGCGTCTGTGTGTGTGCGGAAGAGAGCGACCCGCGTAGTAATGCGAGTTGACTGCGGTAGAGCGCAATGACTCCGATCTCGGAAGCAGAAACACCGAGCGAGAGGAGAGATAGGGTGAGTTGCGTGACAAGACGCGCTTCGAGGGTATTGTTGACGCGTGGACCAGCTTGTGTTTCGAGCTGCGTTGAGATGCAATCGGTGTTGATGAAGACCACGGGAGCACTTGGAGAAATACTTCGTTTGAGCCAGCAGCCTGGAGAGTTGGGCCCGACGCAAGCAGAATCTCCAGCAGATCGCAAAGGCTGTGATCTGTTGTGATGAGCCGATAGGCCGGAGGGGTTCGGCAAAGTAAGCTGGCGAGAGGCTACAGCAGGTGTCCCGCACTTGAGTCGTTCGGAGTAGATGAAAGTGTTCGACAAAAGCATGACATCGGCACACATTCGGTACTGGTGCTCGAGACTAATAACAGCCTCAGGATGCGCCTCGCATAACATCTTGAACAGAGATACATCTAAGCCACCTTCGGATGCCTGCTTGTTCTGGACAAGAGGAGGAAGCTGGTAATGATCTCCAACCAGGATGAACTTCTGTGACATGCGGATGGGTCCTAAGCAAACAGGGAGCGTGATCTGAGACGCTTCATCGACGATACAGTAATCAAAAATTCGTCGGTTAAACAACGGGTGGTTGACAGACAAGCAAGTCGTAGCTACGACCGGTGGCTCCATCCAGGACTTCTCAAGCTCCTCCAAACTATCTTTAGTCTCAGCGGCTAACGTAGCGAACTGGCGAACTTCGGAGTGGATTTTGGCGGTTGCCCCGATGCGCAAGACACCGATGTTGTCGTTCCGGATCTTCAGTAGAATGTTGTCGACTGCGGTATGAGTATACGAGGTAAGAAGCACGCTCTTGCCCCTAGCGACAAGGGTGCGGATAATGTGTGCGATAGTAGTCGTCTTTCCAGTTCCAGGCATCCCTAAAACAAGAGCGTAGTCCTTGGCTGACATAACCTTAGAAACTGCCGCTTTCTGATCAGGGTTCATCGACATCTGCGACGACTCTGGAAGGGAAGCGTCCGGTGCAACTGTAAAGATAGGCGCGCGATCCCCAACAATGAGTGAACGGAGGTCCCGTGCTTTATAGATGTTGTCATCCATGATTTGGATCAGATTGTTGCGAGCTGCCGCCATGCCGTTACTGAATTCGTCCTTATCCAAACGATACAGAACGGGCTCTTCGTCCTCTTGATACTCTGCTACTGTTTCGCCTTCTTTCGATACTTCCATGATGCCGGCGAACGACTGGTTATCTTGCGAATGAAAGCCGGGAAGCCTAATGCGGGAATTGTGCAAGCGGCGGTCAACAGCCACAGTAATGCGGTGCTTCCGTACATTGGTGACATAGCCGTTGGCCAGCGCAAAGTGCCCTTGCTCATCGGAGACGACAACAGGCTCACCAATGATGAGCTGAGACTCTGTAAAGGAAAAGCCAGGCTTCGGCTGTTGTTTCGTGAAAGTGTAGTAATAGCGATTGATCTTCTGGCCGTTCTTCTCTTCATAGCCTGATCCGGGTTCAATTATAACGTTCGAGAAACACCTTCCAAGCTTCTCTCGCTCGGTGCTGAGCATCGTCCAGAGCTCTCGTCGGAACTTCATCATATCGGATTCTTCCTTGGTGAGCAAATCATCCCATTTCCTCATGAATGCTTGGTCTGAGGGTGTTAGATCCTTCACGAGCTCATCGTAGCGCTCTTTCGCTTTCTTATTGAACCGTTCCCCTTGACCTTCCTCCACTAGCTTGTGGTAGAGGAAACATGCTTCTTGAGCATAGCAGTTGCCGCATTTGTGGTCCTCTTTCAAGATATCTGGTAACTCGATACGATCTCGTACGTAACAAGCCAACTCGTTGCGCTTGATGATCATGTGGATGATGTCATTCCGAATCGTGGGAATGCGACTAGTATCTGAGGTCTCAAGGTAGTATAGAATGCCATATGCAACGTTGACGTCTGTACGTTCAAAGGTTAGTAAAATATAGTACGTTAGAGAGGGCAACTTACCATAACGATCAGACAACAACAAGTTATACAAAGCTGTCTGTGCGACGTGCGCAGCATTCGAAGAGTTCTTGCCAGTCTTCACTTCAAAAGGGACCATAAGAGTGCGTTCGCCTTGGTCGTCCTGCATGGTGACTTGTACCGTGGCATCAATATTGCCTTTCAGGCCGTACATCGGTGACCAGACATGTTCTTCAACGTCGAGAAGTTTGTTGATGCTCATGGTAGACTGCCGTCCGTTTCGTTCTCGTACGATGGCATCTGGTCTAGGTTTGGCGCGGACAAAGATCTTAGCCCAGGATTGTAGTTCCGGTAACTTGCTGCTGATGTGTTCTTTGACCTCTTCACAGTTGGAGTTGATCTCAAGGATCGTCTCGAACTTGCTGGGGATAAGTTTATCGATGGTCTCCAAGAGGAAGTCCGTGTCCCACTTGTTGGCTTTCAAAGCTTCCTGGAACAGCTCGTGAAGCAGTGTGCCATACAGCATGGGGGCATTGGCTCTACTAGTCGCCTTTACTCGGTCTTGTAGAACAGCTCGTCGTAGACAACCAAAAGAGTCGGCGACAACGGTGGCTGATATCAAATGATCAGGGTGAAGGATGAGCATGTTGTGCTGGTCGTCGATGATACATTGCCCTGTCTTGGAGAACTGTCCGATGACGTGCACGAAGGAACCAGGGGTACACGGCGTGTCGTGCCAGGCTTGCCGAAGAGTTATGGCCTTGAACAATTTTGTCTTTTCGTCCTCAACTAAAAGAACCTATGGTTAATTAGCTTCCCTGATCAAAACAAACGGAAAAGTAGACAACCGCACCTTCTCGGGCATTTGATAGCCCTTTTCAGTCTTGTAGTGGCCTTCATCTACACGCTTTATTAGGTAGCGCTGGATAGCTCTAGTGTCCTGTGCACTCTTCAAGATTCAGCATTCATTCATTAATATGTTCGTGGTCTACATACATTCGTCGCGGGTGCTTGTGATGCTGCCACCTCGGCTACCGCAAACTCGTCAACGTCTATATCATCGCCAAAATCATCGTCATCGTCGTCATCAACCAGGTTGATGACTGGGGGCGCAGGTGCAAGCGAAGCCTCACTCCCTAATTGCCTGTTCTCTGTTGCGTTCACACCGGACGCCTGCTGCTCTGGTGTCCGCTCAGCCCTAGCATCGTAAAGCGATGCTACATGCTCAAGATCTTCTGCAAACATGTCCTCGTCCAATCCAAACTCATCATCGCTATCTGTTGGCTCCAATACAGGAGGGCCAGAATGCTCACGAGGAGCTGCTTGCGAGGGTATTTGTACCTGTTCAGGTGGATGAAGAATCTGTGCCTGCTGTGCGGTTGCAGTCTGGCCCGAGATCTCAAGGACATCCGCCATATCATCATCGAAGTCAACATCTCCGAATTCGTCGGAAGAACCCGAGGTTCTATGAGACCCAAACTCATCTTCCTCGTCTTCAGCTTTCGTCGCAGCAACAGCATCCTCAACAAGGGTGTCGGATGTTTCTTCATCTTCGAAGTCTGCCCGTCCGAGACGTCGCAAGGGTGAATCCGCTGGTATTTCCAAGCGCTCGGCGGCCGGCAGGGGCGAAGAGCTGGATGGAGCCTGTGATCCCATTCTCTGAACCGGCTTCGCCATCGAGTCGCGCATCTTTTCAAGCATTTCTGCCAGGTTGGTCTTGCCCCTCGGTGGCCCTTGAAAGTTTCCATCGGAGCTTGGTTGGTCCGCTGGATCCTCAGCGTGTTCCTTGAAAACACCAATTGATGCTTGCGTCCGTCTCCTTTTCTTGGTAGATGCTGGGAACTCAACACCGCAGCTGGCCCACCGACGAAGACCACTCACGCTCCCGGCGTTCGCAGAGGATCGCGGCGAGGCTTCGCTAATGAGATGCGCGAATGCGATGTTCTTGTGTCCGCTCGGCGTTCCCTTGTTGTTCGTGTACTGATTCCACAATTCGGTGGCGGGATTGGCCTGAGGGGTGGTGAGCTGTCTCGCGTCCTGATGTTGTACCTGATGATCTTCTGGGGAGGGCGCCGCCGGCGAGGAGCTTCGTGCACGTTTCCGCTTGCGTGGAAGAGGCGTATTTATCTGCTGCGAACCACGCCAGCACAGCTGTTCTTCTGGCGACACAACGGCCTTGACGACATGTCGACTGGAATCGTCAACGTTACCAACGAGCTCGGCAAGCGGGAGCCTAGTCCCAGGTGTCGATGGAGGTGGACATGATTTTGTGTTCGCCTTTGCCGGTCTCGGCGTTCGTGCCGCTTGCTCAGCGGCTTCTGTGGCTGTGGTTTGGTGTGAATCGACACGCTGTTTCGCAGCGGCAGCCCTGGGCTCCTTCCGCGCAGCCGTATTTTCTTTTTCCGAGTCGATGCGTGCCATGGTTTGAGGGGCAGGCGCCCCCTCGATGAATTGGAACTTCTTGAGCTTCGTCCGAGTCTGGCTCGAGGGCATGATAGATGGTCCAGTGGCGACTTGGCGGGGTGCAGCCGTACTATGCTGGTCGTTGGTAGGGTTGCGTGGCCGGCCCGGCCATTGGTTAAAATGCTAGATTTATCAGTACGAAGAAAGATTGACTTGTGTATGTAACATCTTCGATACCTTTGGCCGTGGTTTCTGGTCAAAGAAGGACTTTTGACGCGTTGCCATGAGGCGGACGCGTTGGGTGGTGGGTGGAGAAGCGGAAGCGCGTCGTCCAAAGCCAATCAAGAAGGGACTCGGCTGGGCCGGTCACGTGTCGTCCAACGCGCCCGCGGGGGCACTTGCCGAATCGAATAACGCACAGATTTATCGACTCGAAGCGGCTATTACGTCCAATGGAGAAGTAAGATTTTCGCAGATCGCCGAATGATAGCGCCGATGACGGGCAAGCATTGAACTTGCTTTTAGGTGAACCCCATTTCTGCCGCGTTATCGATTGGAGCTAGAATCCCACGAAGCTCGCTCGGACCAGTGCGTGTTTCCCCAGGTCTCGTGCGGTCGGTGAGACTCAGGCTCCTACACCACACCTCTCCACTCTCCCTTTCCCTTCCCCTCCCTCCTATATCGCTAGCAAAATGGCGGACGCACCGAAACCGCTCCCGTTCGTCTACCAATTCGCGGCTGGTGAGTCTCAATGGCGGAAATATCCTGGGACCTGCAGCTAATCGACGTGCAGGTGCCGTGGCCGGTGTTTCTGAAGTGAGTGCTTTCTGTCGATGGTATATTAGAACCTGCTGAAATAACATGCGCGTATAGATCTTGGTCATGTAAGTTCGTGGACCTCGGCATTGGAATGCGCTCTGACGGAATAGGTACCCGCTTGATGTCGTTAAGACCCGAGTGTAAGCGTATTGCGATCGATCGAGCTCCAGACACACCCTAAACTCGCACAGGCAGCTGCAGACCGGAAAAGCCACGGGTGAGGAGGGTTACAATGGAATGGTGGATTGTTTCCGCAAGATCATCAGGAATGAAGGGTGCGGTTCAGCACATTAGTCGGGGCATTCATCAAAGCTGACACTGTACAGCTTCTCCAGATTATACCGTGGTATCAGCGCGCCTATTCTCATGGAGGCGCCGAAGAGAGCCACCAAATTTGCAGCCAACGACTCCTGGGGGACCTTTTACCGCAACCTCTTCGGGCAGGAGAAGATGACCCAATCCCTCTCTGTGCTCACCGGTGCAACTGCTGGAGCCACTGAGTCCTTCGTCGTCGTTCCCTTCGAGCTTATCAAGATCCGTCTCCAGGACAAGGCGCAGGCGCACAAGTACAACGGGATGATAGACTGCTTCACGAAGACCGTAAAGAACGAAGGCCCGCTCACCCTTTACCAGGGTCTCGAGTCGACGATGTGGCGCCACATCCTCTGGAACGCCGGATACTTCGGCTGCATCTTCCAAGTCCGCGAACTTCTCCCGGCGGCCACTACCAAGCAGGGCCAAGTCACAAACGATCTCATCTCTGGTGCCGTTGGTGGAACTGTCGGTACCATCCTCAACACTCCCATGGACGTCGTCAAGTCGCGCATTCAGAACTCAACCAAGGTCGTAGGAACCGTACCAAAATACAACTGGGCATGGCCCGCCCTCGGCACTGTCATGAAGGAAGAAGGCTTCAGCGCTTTGTACAAGGGCTTCTTGCCCAAGGTGCTCAGATTGGGCCCAGGTGGCGGTATCCTCTTGGTCGTGTTCACTGGTGTCATGGATTTCTTCCGCGGGATGCGTGGAGACATCTAACATCCGCGTGACCGGTAGATGGACGGGCGTAGGGCAGTTCGTGGCATGAAGATGTAAAGGCTACAGCGGACAGTTGACCAAGATACCTTTTTTTAGCGTCTCAAGCTGACGGCATGGCATATAGAGTGTACATTGCGTCTCCTCGACTTGTAGAACAGACAACTTCGGCATCATAGCCACTCACTCTTCATCACGATCACATCCAGTTGCGCAAAATAAGTCGTTCTGAATGTACGAACAAGCATGCAGTGGTACCATGACGAGCTAGTAAGCAAACGGACAGGCAGGCTGCAGTTGCAAGTTCACCTCCAAACAACAGATGGATTCCACCAGCTCAAACGGAATCCGGCTTATACGCCGGCATTCCCTCCTTCTTTCCCCAATTAAACACCTTCCCATCCATATCCGGCCCAAGCAGCAACCACACCAGACTGGCGACCCACGTCCCCGCCGTATCCTTCACCAAGTTATCCCTCCGCGCACTCCCCATACTACTCATGCGCATCAGATCGCCCAACCAGCTCGTTGCACTCGAGTAATTCCCCGCCTCCAACCCCTTGATTGCCGCCGTCGCAGCCTCCAGCTCCGTTTGCTTCGGATCCGTCTCCTCGAGCTTCTTCGTGACGTCCGGCTTCGTGCGATTCTCGTTCAGCTCGCCAGGTGAGAGGATGGTCGCGGGCGCGATCATGTTGACTGCGATGTCGAAAGGTGCAGGTGTGAAGCCCGATACGGCATTATTGGAGCGGCGCGCGCCGTTGTAGAGGATGACTTCCTGGCGGAGGCCGTCGCAGAGGGTTTTCAGCGCCGCTTTGGCGGGCGAGTACCCGCCATAGCCGATGATGTTTATGAAGCCGAGGACGGAGGATGTCACGATGAAGTGACGTGTAGGCTCGGCAGGTGCGGTGGGCTTGTATGGCGTGGACGGGTACAACCACGCTTTGAGCGTCTGCTGCGCCAGGTAGCACGCCGCCCAGTAGTTGATGTCCATTTGCTGGCGCAGGGTGTCGGTTTTCTGATCGAGGAAGAGGCCGGGAGTGGAGGAGCCGGCGTTGGCCCAGACGATGTCAGGCGCTTTGCCGTTGTTCCAGGTGGTGGCTTCAGCGAGAAGGCGGGCGTTTTCGGCTTCGGAGGTGCAGTCGGCGGAGATGTAGTGGAAGCGCTGGGTGGAGGGGCTCTTTGCGGCGGCTTTTGCGTAGGCGGTTGCGGCCTGGAGGTTTTCCACGTTGCGAGCGACGAGGATGACGGATGCGCCGCGTTGGCTGAGCAGTTTTGCGAGTTCTTTGCCCATGCCATAGGAGGCTCCAGTGAGGAGGACCGTCTGTATGTATTGTGAGCTTCAATGGTGCTTGGATGTACTTGAATTTGACTTACCCGTCCCTCCACTGGGAATTTGTTCCCCCACGAGAAGAAGCCCATGATGCTCAAGCTTAGGTATCCGAGCAAGATAAGACAAGCTATGGTTAGCCACGATAGTACGGTCTCCATAAGACTTAGAGGGAGGGGAGCTTTCAAGGAGCGACTGGGGTGAGGAGCAGCGGCGCGGATACTCCGCGTGCTCACAACTTTGGTCGGAAGGATGGGAAGTCGAATCTATGCCTAGTTCTGCTAAGCCTGTGTAAGCTCGCAAGTCTATTAGGGTAAAGGAATCATCAACCGTCAGCAAAGGTCCAGAGCAGTCTACGATGCACGCGCGACCAACTTCTCCCAGGGACCAGATGGTAGTCCCAGAGCGTTGGCGGAAGTCAGCAAACTACTTTAGCGCGGAGCTTGACCGTGGTAGTGGCCCCACGCGCGCCAAGATTCTGGCAGTAAATTTTGGAAAGTTGCGCTCAACTGCAACATCGAACAGCTCCACCGCGTCGCAAACATGGGCAAGAAAAGAAAAGCTGGAGGCCGCTATGGTGAGTCCAAGGAACCGAAGGAGGAAAACTCAAAGCTTGCGATAAGCACGTACGAGGACGTCGCCGATTCAGAGGACGAATTCCACATCAATCGCGATAAGATATTACTGGATGATGGGCCCGCTGCGAAGAAGCTGCGCAAGTGGAGGGAAGAGGGTAAGTGATTAAACACTTGCAATGCAAGTTCTGGTACTGACTCTATGGTCAGACGAGTTTCTGCAACCTGAAGACGAGGAGGTTCTCGACTACGACGAGGATGATGATGAGGACGACATCGAGGAGGAGCGATTCGACGAGGATGCTGAGGTAGACGAAAATGATGCGCGCAAACCTGAGGCCGAAGACGACGAAGATATGGAGGGCTGGGGCCCGTCAAAGAGAGACTACTACAATGCGGACGCAATCGAAACAGAGCAGGATGCGCTTGACGAAGAAGCGGAGGCTCTGCGGATACAAAGGAAGCAATTACAGTCAATGACGGAGGCAGATTTTGGCTTCGACGAGGACGAGTGGGCGCGTCAGGACGGCGATGCAGGCGCAGATTCGGGCAAAGTGGTTACGGAAGTGTTGCCACAACTCCGGATCACAGCTGACATGTCTGAGGAAGAGAGACTAAAGATTCTACGTTCACGATACCCTGAGTTTGAACCGATTTCGCAAGAATACCTCCGGTTACAGCCAGTGCACGACGAGCTGGCTGCCGCTGCCAACGCCGCTGCACGTCTCATCAAAGCTCATACCTCAAAATCTGGAAAGTGGAGCGCAACATCTCTACCCGTTCCGATGACGATCACCAAGTACCGAGCTTGTGCAGCGTACCTAGCGGCTATGTCGATGTACTTTGCAGTCCTGGGATCGACAGCACAGGAAGGTAATTCCATCATGATTGCATTAGACCCCGCCGAACTCCACGAACATCCCGTCATGGAAAGCCTACTCAAGACTCGAACTCTTTGGGAAAGAGTGGAGAGTTTGCCAGTTGGAGACCCTATGGTAGAGGCGGCACTCGCCGATGAGTTGTCAGTAATCGACGAAGCATCAGCTGTTGAGACCGGCAACGATCTAGATGTAGCAGTGAAGGAGAAGAAGCCGAAGAAGAGCAAAGCTCAACGCGCAGCCGACCTAGCACAAGCGAGGTCCGAGGCACGCCGGGCAGAGAAGCTGCGTCAAACCGAAGAGGAGCTTGCATCTCTCGCTTCGCTTACTGGATCCAAAGCACTCAAGGCTTCTCGCAAGAAGAAGGCCGAGCAGCCAAAGATCAACCTTCTCAATGCAGAAGACTCCGACTTTGGCGAGGAGACAGAGCTTACGGCACACGAACTTGCACAGAAGGCTGCCAAGAAAAAGAGCTTGCGATTCTACACCTCGCAAATCACACAGAAGGCGAACAAGCGCGATGCTGCAGGTAAAGACCAGGGTGGCGATGCCGACGTTCCTCACCGCGAGCGCTTGAAGGATCGCCAGGCCCGCCTGCAAGCGGAAGCTGAGAAGAAGGGCCAAAACAGGGCGGGTCCAGGTGCTGCTCTTGGTGAAGGCGGCGACAGCTCCGACGAGGGCGATGCCGAGCCACCGCGTCCTGAAGACTTCGAAGATGAGGAAGGCTATTATGATATGGTGGCAGCAAAGAGCAACGCGAAGCAGCAGCAAAAGGCCGATCGCGCTGCAGCATATGCCAAAGCCGCCGCAGAAGGAGCTCAAGTCATTGAACAGGAAATCATCGGCGAAGATGGGAAGCGAGCAATCACATGGGCAATCGAAAAGAACCGTGGCCTAACTCCCCACCGGAAGAAGCAGAGTAAGTCCCTCTACCTTCTGATCGGTACCAGGGTGATCGGGTCTAACATGATACAGATCGCAATCCGCGTGTCAAGAAGAAGATCCGCTACGAAGCCAAGAAGAAGGCGCTCAAGTCCCAAAAACCAGTCTTCGACGCCGGAAAGAAAGCCAAGGGCGGTGCTTCCTACCAGGGAGAACTTACTGGTATCAAAAAGGGATTGGTTAGGAGTAGAAAGCTGTAGGAATAATGTGATATGCCGTTGCACAGTCGGAACGATTGGACTCGGTCCGAGTTCACCTAACAAAGACTCCATTTCGTGATGCTGACACGAGCAGCGCGTGGCGACGTCTTCGTCGCCCCAATCAACACACCGGCTCTCATGTGCGTCAGTATCAGCCTCTTCCCTCGATCGCTGAAGTATCCGCCTTCTTCGTGGCTTGCTTTCATTGGAGCGTGGCCTGGTAAAATGCGAGTTGATCATGACGGAATTCCCCAACAGAGAGAATGTCTCACGGCACAAGAATATCGATGATGGCTCACAATGCAATGCATCTTCATATAAATGGGGCAAATGCCAGTCTTCGGACGGATACTCCTGAACGAAGGACACATGGAAGTGGGCCAGAGCCTCTTTGAGTTTCTGCAAATATACCGCTCAGAGCTTTGCTCCGAACCGAGTCTTGGGTAATACCTGTGGATAGACGCGATTTGCATCTACCAGTAGGATATTCGGGAAAAAGAGCATCAAATTAAGCAGATGGGCAACATATAGAAGTGTGATCAGAATATATTCATATGGCTTGGAGCACAAGTCAGCACAACAATAGATGCTGGAGTAGAAGAGCTGATACGTAGTAGTCTGCTCGAAGTTAATGACAATCAGCTTACGCCTAAGCCTGTAAAGTAGGAGTATAAAAGTGCCTTTATCATTAGCTGAGGACTAATAGTACTAGTTAGACCTTCCTGAGCCAAATAGATTAGGACCTTTCGTATACTAACGACGAAGACATGACGGTACATGCCCCGTGACTAGATACGAGCCTCTGCGACGCCCTAGGACGACTTATGACTGCACAACTCGACGCAATTAAGGACATGGCACGAATCAATTGTGTAGTAAAAGGATGGCTCGGTTTGCTGTGATACGAGACTGAAGATGAGTAGCAAGAAGAAACCTATGATACCATAAGTACCTAGGTACTGTGGGATTAGTGGTGCCAAGACCCTACCCTGCATCACAGCGTCACCACTTTCTACGCCGTACACGCTTCTTCTCCGACCCACCCCGCGATTCCACTCCATTCCCAACCCGAACGATCGCGCGCCAACAGCGGCCTCGACGTCCCAGTCCCTTCTGAAGAAATTTAAGCTTCACGCCCAGCCACCGCACATATCCATACCGCCTCAGCGCGAGCAGCTCAGCCCCTCCGTCCACGGCCGAGCTCCAACATGGCCATCCTAGGCACAGCACTCAATGCCGTCGGCCTCATCTTCTTGACACACGCGTATGCCACCACTTTACTCCCTCATTGCCATGCGTAATGTCCCATGGTCACCGCGCAACCGCCCTCACCACCACCCACCCTTGCCTGAAACTCAACGCGCCTCAAGCATGCCCGGCCCTGCAGCCTCCACTTCATCGTTATCAGCTTGACTGAGAATGCCTGACTAACAGCACCACACAGCGTCTACTCCTCCCACGAGCACACGGCTACCTTCGCGCACACGCCGCTGCCCCTCGACATCACCATCGAGCTCCTCGTTTCGATCCTTGTGCTCTCCGCGGGTATTGTCGTTTCGTCGCCGCAGCTTAAGCCGATACAGTGGGCGAAGTGGGGCGGAAAGATTGCGCGTGAGGGGCAGCAGAGCGAGGGAAAGTGGACGAAGGAGGGCGAGGAGATCTTGAGCGAGGGCGACGGCTTTGCGTTTTTGGGACTGGATAATGGGATTGGGGGGGATGGGGAGGGCCGGAGGGGTTTCTGGGATGTGAGCGGGAAGAGGAAGGAGTACGCGGAGTGGGTTAAGACGGGTGGGAAGAAATAGATGTGCGGAGAGAAGAGCAGTGGGAATGAGCGAGTGGTGAGTTAATTCTTTTCCACAGCGGATACAGGAGGCAACGTGCTAATTCGAATCAGTTTTGATACCCTCGAGATGGCGAACCTTTAAAATGCAATGAATTTGTACGATGGATATCTTTCTGCCATTCTGGTATCCCCAACGCCATGCGCCGACATATGCTTTGCTAAAACGCCAGAGAATCCCCAAACCCACCTCCCGGTCATCAATCTACATCTTCTGCTGTCTCGCTTTCAATCTGTACTACAGCTCACGCACTCCCAGCCATCGACCCCTCCAAGCTCTTCGAACCGCATCCATGCACCCGACACGCATGACAATCCACACCCCCGCCCCTAACAAACGCCTCCATTCCCGCCATCTCGTCCCGCCTCTCGCTCCCCTCCCGTCGTACATCGATGCCGGCAACCCACCACACGCCCGCCCCCACAATCTGCATCACCGTCCCGACCTCCTCCACACTCCGCGGCGCATATATCAGCACGAACTCCTTGGGCACAAAACGTCGGCACCACCCGCCCCGCGCGAGCGGATGCCGCTCGCCCCAGCCGCGCTCCAGCACGATCTTCGCATCTGCAGGGTGCAGCGTCATGTGCAGACTGCCGTCGGAGGGGTGTGCATGGCACACTTCGCCGCCGCACGTCCTTGTAATAGGCGTGCTTGCAAAGATGCCGGAGCTGTGCTTCTCGAAGCAGCTCGTCCGTTCGAGCAGACAATTCGCGGGGTCCGCGATCAGCGCGCGCATCGCGGCGACCAGCGCAGTGTAGATCTCGCAGGTGGACTTTTGTGTTTGTTGGCGCTGGGGTGCAATGCCGCGGACGACGGGGCGCCTGCCCGGGCGGGTAGGCAGGGAGGTTGCGGAAAGGTAGCCGCGCTGGGGCCGGAAGTGTGGGGGGATGTGCGCCGGGCGGAGGGGGTCGCGCAGGCAGAGGATGGAGAGGAGTTTGATTTTGGCGTAGCCGAGCGGAGTGGCTGGTGTGCCTGGAGAGCGTCAGTGTGGTGTCAGGAGCAAGGAACGGATGTTGGTGGATGGCATGGTACGCACCGCCTGGGCCGAGGGAGAGAAACGCCTTGTAGTCTGCGTGGATGTAGACGAGCGTCAGGAAGGGCAGCAAAAAGGTTAGGGCCGCAGCGAGGAGGTGGAAAGCCGGTGACTCGAACGGTGGGTGCGGCAGCACGAGCTTCTCTGCGTGGGTCTGGGGCTCCATGGCGGTTGAACAAAGAATCCCGGTGGTGGTGGGTGTGTTATGTTGGTGGCCGTCGATATCCAATTCAGCAAGCAGTGTGGGGAATCAAGCCTCGCTGCACTGGAAAGAACTTCTCGATTCGATGTCTGCGCTGGCACGAGGTATGTTAGGTGCTTGTTACGTACGCTTTTCCCCCGCAGAAGGGGAGCACAGGAATGTGCAGCCAACGAACGGCGCGGCGTCAAGCCCAACGAACTCTCGTGCCCTCTCGTCGGCGCTCAGGTACGGCGGCTCCACAAACGTTATAGGATATGACGCAGCTTGGTTACCCCAGGTTTCCCTCCGTGGAGGACTCACTCAAAGAATGAAATGCAAAGCACTTTCACGTTTGCTCTCAAATACCTTGCCTACGTAGCTATGGATTCTCTAGTATGTCTAGCAAGGCAGACCACACTTCGACCTCGTTTACCCCTTCCCAGCCATGCTCACGCCACAACCTGACCGCTGGAGATCCCTCAGCTGCTCGCGCACCACGTGAGCCCCCAAAGCGGGTAGCCGTTACAAATGTGGGGTTCGCTTGCGGACGGGACGCGCGCTAATTGGCCAATGCAGACTATCGTGGACGGTCCTGTGACGACGCGCAACGTTGGGCGGACGTCACAGGGAACACAGCGAATGCGCGGTAAAGCCCTCAAACCTTTGGGTACATCGCCGATTGGCCTTGCGTCAAGAGCGAACAAGGTCGCATGAGGCTCTGCATGAGCGGCGCTCGGCTTACTGGCGTAGCTATTGGATCCATTCCTGTTCTGGCGTTCTGCCCAGGAATGGTGCAAGCAGTTGTCTCTTTGAAGATGCAAGTGAAGACAGCCTACCTCTGCACAAGCTGTGCTCTTGCCAACGTACACCTCCGCAGTGCTTGTCCCATCCAAGGCGGTACTTTCAACACTGTCGGCCCTACTGTGGTACATCGTGTAGCAGTGGTCTGACGATATCTTCTGGTACGCCGCTGCCCACGCGTACGCCTGAGCATCAAACCCCGCAGCTTTGGTCTTGGGTATCGTATGCCCATGACAGAAACGCTCTGTTCACTTTGCATCCCTTTGATTTGACACTGCTGGTCTCGCGACTCAGGGGTTTTATAGTTTACTTACACACCTCTCGTATGCACCTTCGAACCTGCTTAGATTGACAACGCATCAGACGATACTGGACCTGGATGCTGCTGTACGAGTCAGACTATTCAGCGATATAGAGTGGATAGGTGTTCGGAGCAGAGCGTACATACGCGGATGCGGGACAGCATCCCAAAGGTCTTGATACTCTTGCCTTGATATGACTGGTGGACGTCTTCTTTGACGACGTATCCAGTGGGGGTCAAATGAGTCAGGACACGCCGAAAGAGACAACGCTTCGTGGTTCTGGGAACACATCCATAAAACCGTATACACGTGGCGTGCTTTGAACATGATAACCGTTGCCCCACTCCGAATATCTGGGCCATTTGCCGCAGTTGGGGCGGGTCTATTTGCGGTACCTGCACGGGTGGCCGAGCAAGGTGAGAAGGGGGGCCAGTGGCGAGTAGTATCAAGTATATGGAATCGAGCATTAAGTATAATTTACTAGAATCCCTTGCCCTCAGCGTAGATCAAGCCCTTAGCTTTCCACGTACACAAACATGCCCAGCCGAAGCCAGCCATTTTCCACAGCACACAACCCCCGCCGAGCAAAAGCAGCCTCCAACTCCAGTAAAGCAAGTGGTATATCGCCGCAAAAGTATTCAACGTCCATCCCGGTCGGAGCGGAATCATCTACGCACGGTGAGCCCACTCCGCCAGCTGATGCGACGAGTCCACTGACTCCTGATTCTTCTCATGCATGCCCATGGCCGAGGCGTGCTGCTCAAGCGAGTGCGTCGAGAGGCCCTCGTCAACGTCGTCCGCGGTCGCGACTTCGCGCGTGAGCTCAACGTAGTCGTACTATCCTCTCAATTAGCAAATCACCCTTCTTACATAAGTGGCAACGGGAGCAGGGAAGACGTACAGCGAACTCTCCTATTTCAACGTCGTCGAGACCGAGGATCTCGTCTTCGTCGCTCACGCGGAGCTTGAAGATGGGGAGGAATTTGCCGAGGAAGTCGAGCGCGCCGAGGATGAGGCACGTGCCGGCGAAGCTGTAGCAGCCACCACTGACGGAGTCGGCGAGCTGGTAGCCGAGCTGGATGTAGTGGCGGTTGAGCCAGCCGCCGGGGATGACGGTGACGCCGTCAAGATGCGCGATGTAGTCCCTGCCAATACGTTAGCCACACGCAATCCAATGGGCCTTGAAAGTGAGACTTACGCTGCGAAGAATGCGGTCAGTATGTTGCCGACGAAGCCACCAACCGCGTGGACAGCAAAGATGTCCAGCGCATCGTCGCAGCGGAGGAAGTACTTGAGCTTCGTGGCATAGTTGCAGGCGACGCCGCCGCAGACACCGAAGATGACAGCGGCCCAGGCTGGCACGAAGCCCGATCCGGGTGTTATACAGACCAGGCCGGCGATGACGCCCGAGCAGAACCCAACGGTGGACCACTTTCTCTCAAGGCGGTAGTCGACGAGGCACCAGGTAATACCACCGACGCAGGCAGCAAGGTGGGTCACGACAGCTGCCATGACAGCGCGCATGTTGGCGGACAGGGCTGAGCCGGCGTTGAAGCCAAACCAGCCGACCCAGAGGAATACCGTGCCGATCACAATGTGCGTAACATTGTGTGGTCGGTAGTTCAGCTCTTGCGTTCCGTGGCCACGACGCTTGCCGAGCATGTAGGAGTAGGCGAGGGCAGCGGTGCCGGAGGCAATATGGACGGGTGTCCCACCAGCGAAATCCAGCCCACCTTGCAAGAAGGTCCAGCCCTTGGGGTTCCAGGTCCAGCAAGCGATGGGGTCGTAGATGAGGGTCGTCCAGATGAACATGTATATTATACATGGGAGCATTCTTCCTCGCTCGGCCACAGCGCCGACGGCGAGAGCGACCCTGTCGTGACTTAGTATACTCGAGTAAACAAGGAACAGATCACACGTACGTGATGGCAGCGAACATGCCTTGGTAGACGCAGAACAGCAGATCGGGAATCCGTGCGCTGCCCACCGAAGGGTAGCCGAGCACGTTCCTCAGACCAATGTTGTCAAGATTTCCGATGAACTTGCCCGCGCCATGCGAGAAAGCGAGCGAATAACCCCAGAGGAACCATTGGAAGGAAACGACTGCCGTAGCCATGACTGACCTGGATGCGAATTCGTGGTCAGCACAGTGCAATTTGATGGTCGCTGGGAGATTGCCTACAGCCATAGCAGCGACAACGCCGACTTCCTACGTGCCAGACCCGAGTAGAAGAAACCGACGCCAGGAATCATGAGAAGCACCAGCGCGGTGGAGGTGAGCATCCATGCGATGTCGCCCGCCTATAAGGATCAGTACCACCGCACCCGATCGCTGCAAGTGCGGGAGCTTACGTTGTAGAACACATTGAGGTTGTCTATCCGACTGTCTCCTCCGGCAGGGCTAGTAAAGTTCTCAAAAGTCACAAGTTGGAGCGTCGGATCACCGCCGCTCGTCGAAGGCGCGCTCATGTTGTCGAGGGCCCCGGTTCCGGAGCGTGGGCCAGACTACCTTCGTACAAGTGCACCACAGTGGGGTCGTGCGGACGGCTGCTTGCAAGGCAGCTGCACGTCTCCGCGAGTACGTGCAAAGAGCAAGAAGTAAGGAGTGGACAGAGAATGGCAGGCGGCCAATGCTCCCGTGGTGCGGCTCGCAGACGTTAAAGTCAGAATCCGCGGTGAAGGCGGGAGTCGCGATTCGCTCCGAGACCGTTTGCGCGACGAACGAACGGGCGGCGGGTCTCGAGTAGCGCACGCAGGATATTATAGTGCAGCAGCGCCGTGCGGTGACTGCGGAGATGTATACAGCGTAGGAGCACGGCCGCGGTAGAGGGGAGATATAATAGAGTACAGGCGGCGGACATTGGCCATGCGTCTGTGGCAGCCCGGGCCCGCCTGGGTCTCTCCAAGCATGAACATGCGTCCAGGATCACGAGCAAGCCACACAGTGGGGTGAAGATACGAGCTGGACCCTAGCCAATACGGCGACGTCTCGCCAGCGCGGCAGCGCGCGGGAGCCAACCAAGCCGGTGGGATGGCCCTGCAGTGGGTCTCTACATGTCGAGTGAAGATGAAGACTGCCCTCGTCGCCCATGAGCTGGATCGCATCACGTCGCATTCGGGTTGCTGGCGACACGAGCCTCCAGAACCACGGATGCGTCTCCACCGAGCACATGGGAACCTGCGGGCGGCGGTGGTGGTGGAAAGCGAATTCGTTTTCTTATCAGTACCCTTGCCACCACAGCCGCCTAACCCACGCCTTGGCCCTGGCACCAATCACCCCGGATCAGCCTAGCGTAGCCTGCGCATCTTGGGGATGTGGTCCACCTTGGATGTACATAGGTACTCCACGGGTCCACTTCGATGGAGAAGAAGAAACGTGCCAATGCAAAACACCACACCGTCGTCTTCGACGCCCAATGTCGCGTGCTCACCTCGATACCTGGGCCAAGAGTTCTCGGGGCGACTGTCAGACCACCCGAGACGCCGTCGGCGATGCGATATCAGACCCATATCAGCGGTAGGACACCCGCGCGCATCCCCCGGGTCGTCTTATCTGCCCCCTACAGCCCTGGACAGTTTGGTTTCGTTTCTGTCCCAGGCACTGCTTTGGTCGAACCACCCTGACATTTCCCCCGCCACCCTGTCCATTGCTTTTTATGGCTCGTTCGATACTCATCATGTCCTGTGCCAGCCTGGCCAAGCTCGCGCAATCTCCATGCTGACGAAATATATCGCGTCTCTTGTATATTGGCTCCGTCTTCGCCGCCGCACCGCTGCTGTTGCATTAGGAGACGACAGAGATAAGAGCGCATGCGGTATCATTGGCAAACTTAAAACTCCGCGAAACGCCTGTCCGGGCAGAAGCACTGGCTTCGTCCGAGATGCAGTGGGTTCAGAGTCCGTCTTAGCGCGTGTGCAAGTTGCCTTCTTTGGCCTATTGCAATACAAGATGTATACCGATATGCACTGGTGGTCAGCCTAGGTTGTGTGGATGCGCCCGAGGTAGAGTTTCCGAAGGCAGCCTCGAGGCAATGCGAAAATGCGGTTCTCGGGCTACCGTACACTTCGACGGGCGTTCAATGAAGCAGCAAAGGTAGCCAGCTCATTGGGAGGAGCCCAGGTCGTTGCTTGCCCGCACTCCTGCAGTGAGGCACACTCGCTTGGGCACACTCGATTCTCTTTTGGCTCAACGTAGCACCTGCGTAGCATTGAACCTTCCACGAGCACGGGCAGTGTTCCTCGGAGGCCTGTGTTAGCGGGAGGGAAGCCTGGTGGCTTCGCAATGTCTTTGAGGCGTTCCAAGGCTCTCCGTGGAGCTTCCATTCGCAGTCAAGCGAACCGTTGCGAGCCAGCACGGGATCCTCCACAGTCTGGAACACGGACCGCGTACATGCAGCGGCGCTAGTTGATCTGTGGAATCCCGGGGTTTTGGGTGAACGTCCCTTAGAAATGGAGGATCTTGCTGGCTCGCTCCATCCACAAGATGGATGATTTCTAAGTCTTATTTCTGCCCTTTACTAGACTATGATCATCCTAAGAGGGCAACCGCCGTTTAGATTTCACGTTGAGCTTCGAGGGATACCAGTAAACCCTTGCCCCCTGCCTAGACTCGCATGCATAGGGCCGAAAGATTGTCAATATACCCAATCTTGGAGTCCGCGTACGTGCATCCTGAGTGCTTCTTTCAGGCGGTGAGACACCCCTTTTCACAGGCATTCGAGAACGCTTCTGTCTGACGCAGCCTCGTCGTTACTCCATCGGTTGACCACCGCGCTTGAAGCCTTGAACCGGGTTTGCAACGGCCATTGCGATCTTGCTGAAGCAGACATGAAATTGAACCGTGCCGGCTACGAGTCATTCTCCTGTCGGGCCGGTATGTTGAGAATTCCTCCTAGCAACGGGGTTTCGAGGGAGATGGCGCGGGCATGTGCAAGAGCGATGTATTTATATAAATATACTCCGGAGCTGGCACCATGGATTACACCGAACGAGGTCAAAGGCTGATATTGGACCAGTGGTTGAAATTCAACGAGCCCGAGAACGCAAGGAGGGGCAAGTAATCGTAGATACACGACGCTAGGAGGTGACAGTCAGATCAGAAAGCAGGACTCTTGCTTGCGGTCTGCTGGGGGAGATGAACGTTTCTGCGAATAGGATCTTGTTCGAGAACAAACCTTATGTCTCTTCGGAAATTTGCTTTTTCCATCGTGATGACTATTGGAAGCGACACATCGACTTGTGCATCTGCACACTTTTAGGCTGTGTGGTCCGACCGCGTGAACGTCATACGCAGGTTATCGGCCAGAGAATACAATCTTGAATGGCAGCTTTCCGACCTGTGTAAACTGAAAAGTGCCCGCATGACAGACTGTACATCCGAGTGTGCTTCGGTCTGTGGATGTGGCATTGTTGAACTAGCAGGAGCTTCCGGCATAAGCGGCGCGCATTAGCCTTCACATGGAAACCCCGCCCATCGAGCATTTCCTCACTTTTACAACTCACTTCCTTACTTACCTCGGCTGGTTCCAAAATCAGGCTTTGTGATGCAGATAAGGTGCATATACGTCAGACAGCGGGCTAAGTTTGGCCACGAAATGTCGATTTCCAGAATATCGGTCAAGGGGTATCCACAAATTCCAGACCTGCACTACTCCAATCCCATCATTAGATCCAACTCTACCAAACATAGCTTCACACCACATTCGATTCACCATCGCACTATGTGCACTATATCCCCCCTCCAAATACCCCCAACAACCCAACAATCAAGACAAGAAGCCCCATCTTCCCCCCTCCGTTCCCTAACCTCACCGCCGCACCATCGAGATCATGGTTATATTGCGCCCGCGAATGCACCCACCACCACGGAATTCCAAACGTATCCGTCAAACAGTCCGAGACGTTTTTCACATTCCGACCATCCGGACCGTCTGTGACATTGCAATACCGGAAGCACGCGTCCGGGCCGTAGAAGTCAGAGGGGTGGTCTGCGCCGCAGCACTGCGCCATTGCGCGCGTGTAGTTGGGGTATGCATCTGCTATGGCAACCCAGGAGCCGTTCTCGGGAAGTGAAGTCGTGTTGATGTTGCCTTTGCTGTAGTGGCATTCTGGGCGGGGAGAGGTGGTGTTGCCGTTGGTATTGTTCATCTTGGCAGATGGTAAGTACGAGTTTGATTTCGCAAGCTCTATGCTGAATAACCACGGAGGAATCTTGCTTGATAGGCAGCGGTGCTGCTTGGTTCTCTGATACTCTTATACATGGTGCCTGTCGTGGAGGCGTACCTGCATCGCAAGGCTGGTGTGTACGACAATGACGTATAGCCTGTTCGTATTGGGGCCATGGCGGGTTGCCTCATCCTCAATCCGGGGTAAATGTTTGGTCTTGGCCAACGTAGAATCCCAATTCGGCAGAGTCTCTCCAGGCAAACGAGAACGTTCGTCTGCCAAGAGGGGGCGGAATCCTATTCCATGCTTTCAATGCGTTCTCAGACTGCAACTCCTATAAATCAAGTTCAAAGTCAAGATTAAGAGAAGCGTTGCTAAGACTTACAGAAAACGCTATACTGCGCTTTACAACAAAGAGTACCGCTGCACCAGGGATTTGCTTCACGGGACCAGAACGCATTTCACGGCCACACAACGCCGTCATTTAACAACTTCCCGTGCATCACACGAAACCAACCAGCACAACCAAACCACCACATATCTCAACACAATGCCAGGCAACTGCTCTGGCTCCAACAACTTTTCCTCCATCCCCGCGTACCGCCCCACGCCCGAAGCTTACGTCGCAATCCCCAACGCCTACAACTGGTCCTCCCTCCTACAGTCCTGCTGCGGGTCCGACTCTCTAGTAGCTCGTTGGGGCGAACCCGGTGACGAAGACAGGTGCTATCTGTACTGCAACGTCACTGTGACGGAGAACCACAGTGCCAACTCTGTCCGGCAGTGTGTGCGCAACGCGATACTGAAGCAGGATCAGTTTGTGAGAGTGACGAAGAGTACTGAGGAGAAGTCGGGAGCAGTGGGGAGGTTAGAGTGGAGGGGAGGGTTGGTGGGGTGGGTGGTGCTGGGGGTTTGGGTTGTTGGGGCGGTTTGTGGAGTGTTGTAGGGTAGACTGGGTGGGAGTGACGATTTCTGGCGAAGCGGTGGGATTCGTAGGACGTGGCTTTGAGACATGTGGAGGGCTGCGTGGAGATTAGTTAGCGTTCCCGTGTATAATGAGGCTCTTCTTATGCACATCCGTGCAGGACCTGTTTGAGTGTAAACGCGAGGAAGTCGCGGTAGGAGGAAGCACTATAAGCGCAACACAGCTCCGTGTCTGCAGGTCTTGGCTGCTCTTTTGCAGCCGGAATACGGCATAATAACTGGCCCTTTGCTTGTCTGAGAGCTGTCCTGGATTCGAAGCATTAGCAACAAGTGAGCAGGCCGCGTGTGTTCTCCTGCGGATCGAGGACAAGAACAGGCCTGGCTGGTTACAGACGGAACGAGACATCTGACGACAGGAAACGATGCATCTCGATGGTGTTCATAGTCGTCGATCCAGACACATCGTCTCCGCCACAGGGTGGCGAGTGCGGCGGGCACATGCGGCTTCCGTCCGGGGCGGGCTCTTAAGCTCGGCCATATACTTTTCGGCCACATATACTTCTCGGCCACCCCACCACAACGCGTCACGCAGTTTTGAATTGCGCCCTTCTCAACAACAACAATTATATTTGCCACTCAGTACACATAGAGCTAAGAGTAAGTGCTGCTGCTGCTGCCGCTGCCTTTTGAGCTTCTTTCTCTGGCGAAGTGCTTGCCTGTTCAGCCTGAAGAGCTGCTGCGCGATCAATCGCAACTTTAATACTCTCAATGTTGCTAAAGCGCTCATTTGGATTCACCTGAACTCGCTTCCTTACACGAGTATTCCTAGTAGTATCTAGTTGATATTTAAGTCGTTGATTTTCAGCCTCAAGCTAGGCTGCCCTTGTGTTCGCTTCTGCAATAACCTTGCCTGCCTTGCTAAGCACGAGCCGGGTGCTTCGTAAGAGAGATTCTGACAACAACAGCTGTTGCTGAGCCTTGTATAACGCCTGTGAACTCCGAGGTGTGTTGAATGTTGACTCTAGGGTGGCAGCTAAGCCCTGGCTAGTAGGTGGAGTAAGTGGCCGGCTATTTACTTGAGATGAGAGCAGTACAACAGCTGGATTGTATGGGCAGAGGCTAGCAGCCCTCTAGCCAGCTCGGATAACTCGCTCTAAGAGCCCTTCTTCTCTAGCTTTGTTATATGATACAACAAAGCGCTCCTTCTTGACTGGTGCTGCGTCATCAAGCGCTGAGAGAGCTCAGATCTCATTACGATAGCGTGACTTGAGTACAGAGAAAGGAGCAAGATCTAGAGGCTATAGCAAGTGGGAGGCATGGGCTAGGAGGTAGAGGAGATGTATCTTATTGACCTTGCAGAGCCACATAAAGTCAATAGGTATATGGGAGCCATGGCCGTTAAGAATGAAGAGTCGATAGCCGCCACTAGATGGTGAAGTATTCGGTATAAAAATGCGCTGTAACCATTCATAGCCAATTGAGTTTGACGTCTATCCATTCTCAGAGGTTATATAGAGCTAGTCTAGTGCGCCTTATACTGGGAACTATATTAATTGTAGATGCTTGCCCTTAAAGATAACTAGGCATTAAAGCTTAATGCCAGTGGCTGAGATAGTCTTAATAATCGATACCCACTCGCGATCCTCTAGAGATTTGATATAAGCCTTCTTCTTTATAGCACTTGCGAGCACCTAGGCGTTCGTATATACCCCTAGTGCGCACCCAGTCTCGTCTATATTCTATATATCTTCGTACTGTATGCCTAGCTCTATTCTTGTCTGCTCAAATAGCTCAAGAAAGGCTCAAATAGTATCGTAACTAGCTGCTGTAGTTCTCGCGCTCTCAATCGTTCGGCCGACTATAGATGCGACGCGTGGGTTGCGGGCAATGAAATGGGGTATCCATAGTTGCCCAAGAGGCTCGGTGTCGCCGTTCATGCGGAGGAGCCGAGTGGCCATTTCTCGTACGCGTGGGTGGGAGGGAGGTTGAGCGCGTGAGTCCTCATCAAGTATCCAATCTACTAGAAAGGCCTCTTGTTCTGGAGTCAATCGCTGCTGCTGTTGATGAGCTATCGCGTGTGGTTGGCGGCCGTTGATGCGCTCTTGGAGCGATGATCGCGGAACTCCATACGCCTTAGCAGCCTGTCGCTGGCTTTTAAAAACACCTGCATTGAGATCGCGGATAGCATTATCATAGGCAGCCTCTCGGGGATCCATTTTGAGTATGTGGCGTTGACAGTACAGAGCGTAAAAAGCAGAGTAGCGCGTTGTGGTGGGGTGGCCGAGAAGTATATGTGGCCGAAAAGTATATGGCCGAGCTTATTTGGACCAAGATTGCGACGCGGAAGGCACGGGCAAAAAGCCCAGGGCCAGGTGCTAGTCTGCAAGACTTCTCACACGCGCGAACAGAGAATTCCAGCATCCCCTCCCTGCCCGCCTTGCGAGCGAAGAAAGGTCTTGGGCTCTTTGTTCCCAGAACCCGGGCACCGCCACAGATCGCGTTCGGCTAAAGACAAGCTCTCGTCGGCCTTACCAGAACAGGCGAAGAGCAGCGCCCGGCGCGCGACAGATCTTCCCCTAGAGGGCGTCAACACCATCATGAGCCACGAGGCTGCTTCGCGGGTCCGCTTTGCCAACGACAACGCACTGTTGCCCGACAACACGCCCGTCGACATGAGCAAGCCGGTCGTGGTCAACGCCCCGCTGGCCCTCGACTCGTCCGGCTCCTCTGGCGACGAGGGCGCGCAGCAGAACCTGGGCTCGCTCCACGAAGAAGGCCAGTTCGAGTTCGCACCGCCCGTCGCCACCCCGCTCGACGATGTGCCCCCGCTCGCAGGCTCCCAGGGCTACGGATGGGCGACCTCGAGTCGCCGTGGCATCATGACCCCCGGCGAGCACCCGCAGCCTCTCCAGACCAACGGCGCCACCAAGGCGACCCGCCCGTCCGCCACGAGGACACCCAGCAATGCCTACACGCCCTCGCATGCCCGCAGACCTCAGCAGTTCTCGCTCAACACCACGACCAGCCACCGTACCCGCACCTCGTCAGCGAACCGCACCCGCCGCAACCCCAACGCCGAGTACCGCGCCCAGGAAAAGGCATATGTGCAGCGCATCCGGCAGGAGAACGAGCAGGAGGAGTTCTTCGACGTGCGCACCCCTAGCCTGGGTTACAGCACAGACACAGACTCGGACGAAGAGTCGCCTTCCACCGCCGACTACGCCGACAATGATCCCTACGACCAGGAGACGCTGTTGTACTACGGCAACGAGGACATGCAGCCCTCCGTGGAGGAACTCAAGATCCCCGCCAACCGCGAGCGCCTGGAGTGGCATTCGATGCTCGCCAACGTGCTGACGGGTGATGTGGTCAAGCAGGAGAAGAAGAGGCTGATTGGAAGCACCGAGCAGCAGGCCGACAGCACGCTAAAGGCTGAGATATGGATGGGTGTACGTGCCAAGGTCTGTGGACGAACGTTGCCCGCACAGAGACGGCTCGTCGATGACAAGAGATCCAACATTCGGAACGACCTGGAGAGCATCATCACCTTCGAGGTCCAGGGTGCTGCAGAGGCTGGTCAGACGCCCGCTGCACAGGTTGACGAGGTGATGAAGAAGATTGAGCTCGTCGAAAGTCTCTATCCTACGCGCCAGACCTTGGAACAGGCCTACCCTCGAGCAGCGTCCCAGGCGTACAAAGACGCATGCGACGCCGTCTTTGCATGGAACAACACTACCGAGCTCATCAACATCGAGATGTCTATTCTGAAGAAGTGGGTGGGCAATGACGAGCTAGACTTCTCAAAACCACGAGCGCGGAACCCAAACGATCACCATCTGACTGATGAATCCTCTTTCATCGACCGCATTCTCAAGGAAGATGGTCTCAAGTCTCTGCAGGGAGATGCAAGTCTTCTTGTTGCGCTGGAGAGGGTCATTCACAAAGCCAAGGGTACCCTCATTGCTAATGCTGAGGGCTTTGCCGAGCGACATCTTCCGCCGTACATCGAGGAATTGCTTACGTTGATCAACTTCCCGTCTCGCCTCCTTCAGGAGATTATTCGTGTTCGGCTATCATACGCAAAGAAAATCAAGGATCCCTCGCAGCAAGGTGTCATGTTGGCTGAGCAGATGATATCGCAATTTCAGATCTTGCTGACCCTCGCTGGTAAGATCAAGGACAGCTATCTCATAATATCGCGACCCGAACCTGGATGGGATCTGCCCCCATGCATCGAAGAAAACTTCGATAACGTGGTTTTGGAAGCCCTGAAATTCTACTTCAGGATGCTGAACTCCAAGCTGTCCGCTAACAAAAACACTTTCAAAGAGGCGGAAATTCTCGAGCAAGAGTGGGACTTCTCCAACAAGCTAGGCAGACAGCTCGAGGGCGGCGATGTGGAGACAGCAGAGCAGTTCAGTTCCCTGACCTCCAAGTCTCTGACCCGCTTGACAGCGCATTTTGAAAGAGAACTGCAACGCAGGCCGGAAGAGGTCACCGGTGCTGAAATGGAGAAACGTTATAAGCAGATCCTAGATTCCGTCCGTGTTCGTCAGCGAAAGCTGTTCCGATTCTCCAGGATACTGACTCAGCGCTTTGAGAATTGTACCGAGTACAACATAAATCATATCGATCTAGACCAGGAACAATTGAACGACCTCTATGAGTCTCTCACAATGACTGGTCATTTTCTTGTAGAAACTTCCGGTGGTGGCAATACTGGCGTCTGTATCATCGCCTCGCCCGCATTGCTGGACCGACCAAAGGATATTCAATCGCTTCTCACCACCTGTTACCATGCTGAAGAGAACCCGGAAGACCCATCGAATCCATACGTACTGATTATTCGACCCGAAGAACCACTCTACTGGATGGGCAACAAGATGAGCGCCAACATACGGGAGCCTCATCTTGACGTGAAACCGGGCAGACTCCGGCTGGTTGCGGATGGATCACAGCAACGTCTGGCTAACGCTAACGCATCCTTCCTCCAGTCCATCGCACTGGACCTCAATACCTTGATTGACCAGAGAGCCAACCTGCCACGCGTCAATCAGGAACTGCAGAAGATAAAGAAGACTGCATACAAGCTGTCCAACACTATCATGGACAGTGTTGAGATTGTCCGAAAGCAGACGGCTGGCCTTGACTGCCAGGACTTGATCCAGACATGTTTCGCTTTTGCAACCGAATTCGGTCAACGTTCCCTGCTGTACATGGATTACAATCGACGGGCCATGAACAACATCAAACTGACGAGATTGGCCCTTGACTGGGTTAGCTTCATATGCGATGACTGTATAGCTTCAGACCGCAAAACCTTCCGTTGGGCTGTCGTTGCCCTCGAATTCGCCATGATGATGACCAGGGGGCAAAATATACTCTCCATCAGTGATGAAGAATATTCTAAACTACGCCTCAAGGTTGCTGGATGTATGTCGGTCCTCATCTCACATTTCGATATCATGGGCGCCAGATCGACCATTGCTGCTCAAGCAGAGAAACAGCGACAGAACGCCCTCGCTGGCAAGTCTCTATGGGATCCAAAGAGCATGAAGGACGACGAGGAATCAATAAGATTGACCCAAGACCGGTGGACGCAAATGCTGGAAGAAATCGATGCGATTCGTAAAGAAAAGGAAGCCGAACGCCAGGCTCTAGGAAGGGTCTTGGAGGATTCGAACGAGGCTGACCGAGCACTCACGTTCCTCTCTTCGTCGGCCACCAATGTCACTCTGCGATGGCAACAAGGGCAGTTTGTTGGTGGTGGTACATTCGGATCGGTCTATGCTGCCATGAACCTTGATTCGGGACATTTGATGGCTGTGAAAGAGATTCGTCTACAGGATCCTCAGCTCATTCCGACTATTGTTGCCCAGATCAGAGATGAGATGGGTGTGCTACAAGTTTTGGACCATCCGAACATTGTCTCGTACTACGGTATCGAGCCGCATCGCGACAAGGTCTACATCTTCATGGAGTACTGTTCTGGTGGCTCACTGTCCGGCTTGCTGGAACACGGGAGAATTGAAGATGAGACGGTTATCCAGGTCTATGCTCTGCAGATGTTGGAAGGCCTTGCGTATCTCCACGACGCTAGTGTCGTGCACCGCGACATCAAGCCTGAAAGTAAGTCATGATGGTTCCACATAAAGATTCTAAAACTGACTTAGACAGACATTCTGCTGGACCACAATGGTGTCATCAAGTTTGTTGATTTCGGTGCCGCCAAAGTCATCGCGAGACAAGGCCGGACTCTCGCTGCTGATACCCGACAAGGGCGACAAAGATCGATGACCGGAACGCCCATGTACATGTCACCAGAAGTGATTCGGGGTACCAACCTCGGCCGTCACGGAGCAGTCGATATTTGGTCACTCGGCTGTGTTGTCTTGGAAATGGCCACCGGACGTCGACCGTGGGCGAACATGGACAACGAATGGGCCATTATGTATCATATTGCCCAAGGCGACCCACCTCAACTGCCTACCACCGACTTGCTCAGCGAAGCAGGCATCGACTTCTTGAAGCGTTGCTTCGAACGCGACCCTTCGCAACGTGCCTCTGCCGTAGAGCTGCTGCAGCACGATTGGATTATGAGTCTGCGCGCGCAGCTGTCGCTCGAGCCACAGACGCCTAGCAGCGAATCGAGTTCTGGTCCAGGTAGTGCTACCACTACGCGGCAGAATTCTGGCCTCTATTCATAGTCACAACGCACTTCACTTGCCTCCAGCCGTCGGGTGCTGACTTGCTCTTTTTCCATCTAGGATTCCGTTGTTTTCCTTCCTTCAGCCCTTTCTCTCCACCTCACCCCGAGGGACCTTGCTGTACTCGCCGTTCTCTTTCCGTCTCCGATCCCTAAGATTGATCTTGTCCTTATCTCTAGATACTTGTTGACGCGGTGTGCTCCTGCCGGGCTCGACCGGAGCATAGTAACGCGTTGATGTGATTGCATTGGGATGAGCGACGTAGCGCCTTGCATTAGCGATGGAGTTTTTTGGCTTTACTTTGATCAATGGCGATTGGTCCGTATGACCACATTGTAGTATCTAATTTTCCGTGCCTCGTCTTCACAGGCAGGTGAATAGCAACAATTCGGCTCCCTTGTTGGGTGGCCTGTACATGCCCAAACATTGCTTCTGCTCTTTGACCCAATGGAAATGACTCTTGCCATTCGAGCATGTGCGCCATTCCTGCGATCCATGTTCACGTCAGCGATGTACTGTATTCGCTAGGATGCGCGAGTCATCGTACACAGATGGACGCGGAGGTCCGATCACGTGTACGCCCGTCACCGGCGCAAGTTTTGCCGAGCTTTTTGACGCATACAACCTTTTCCTGAGTCAACCCCGCCAATGCCCCACCATCCTGCACACTGCCAAACTACTCTGCGTCGTGCCGGCACGCTCGTATTCTCGCTTCCTCGAACACGGATTCGTTTTACACCCGTCACCACCTATAACCCGCTGCTGCCTTTTCTTTGGCCTGCGCATACGAGCCTCGCGCGTAATCATTCCACGACCACAAGCCGCCGCTCACGCGACTCGCAACACGACGAGATGGGGAAAGAGGGGAAGGGCAACTTCCAGCTGAAGACGCCAAAGGGCACGCGCGATTGTACGGTTGCTGCTCCAAGCATTGCGGGCATGGAAGCTGATTGAATGGCAGGGTCGGGCACCGACGTTGTTTTGCGCGAGCAGATCTTCACGACCATTAGCAATGTCTTTAAGTACGTCGCGCCCCAAGTCTTGTTTGAAGAACATGTGCTAACCCATTACACAGGCGCCACGGTGGTGTTACCATAGATACGTACGCAACGCCTTGGTCGCGCCGCCTCACGCTTCAACACACTGACTGAACCAGGCCCGTATTTGAGCTGAAAGACACGCTCACAGGCAAATATGGCGAAGACAGCAAGCTCATCTATGACCTCGCAGACCAAGGCGGCGAGATCTGTTCCCTGCGCTACGATCTTACCGTCCCGTTCGCACGATTCTGCGCACAGAATGCCGTCCAGAACATCAAACGATACCACATCGCGAAGGTCTACCGGAGAGATCAGCCGGCCATGACAAAGGGGCGCATGCGGGAGTTCTACCAGTGCGACTTCGACATTGCAGGCCAGTTCGACCCTATGCTGCCGGATGCGGAGATCCTGAGAATCGTCAAGGAGGTATTTGAGGAGCTGCCGGAATGGAAGGGCAAGTTCACCATCAAGATAAATCACAGAAAAATTCTGGACGGTATCTTCCAGATATGCGGTGTTCCCGAGGACAAGATCCGCACGATAAGTAGCGCCGTGGACAAGTTGGACAAGGTAGGCGTTTCTACCCCTGGGCAACGCGAGATTGAATACTAACATGCGCAGTCTCCCTGGGAAGAAGTCCGAAGAGAAATGGTTGAGGACAAAGGCCTCGCTCCCGAAGTCGCCGACAAGATCTGGACTTACGCACAGCTCAAGGGCGGGAAGGACGTTGTCGAGAAGCTCCAAGCCATGCCCGAAGTCGTCGCGAACGAATCCGCAAAACAGGGCCTGGAGAACATGGCCCTGCTTTGCGACTACCTCGAGATCTTCGAGGTCATGCCCGCCCTCTCCGTCGACATGTCCCTCGCCCGCGGCCTCGACTACTACACTGGCGTCATCTACGAAGTCGTGACCGAGGGCTCCGCGCCCTCCGCCTCCGCCAAAGACGTTGCCAAGAAAGAAGAGAAGCAGAAAAAGCAAAAGAAATCCACCGATCCAGACGAAGACCGCTCCAACGACCCTACCATCGGCGTCGGCTCCGTCGCCGCAGGCGGCCGCTACGACGAGCTGGTCGGCATGTTCAGCGGCAAGCCGATCCCCTGCGTGGGCATTTCGTTTGGCGTCGATCGCATCTTCAGCATTACCAAGGCGCGGCTTGATAAGAATCGCGAGGCGACCGCCTTGCGCCCCACCGAGGTTGACGTCTTCATCATGGCGTTCGGTGGCGGCAAGGACTTCACCGGCATGTTGCCCGAGCGCATGGCCGTCGCCAAGGAGCTCTGGGATGCCGGCATTAAGGCCGAATATCTCTGGAAGGCGAAGCCGAAGTTGCAGAACCAGTTCAAGGCCGCTGAGAATGGAAAGGTGCCCTGGGCCATCATTCTAGGCGACGACGAGCTCAAGGCCGGCAAGATCAAGATCAAGGAGATGGGGTTGCCGGATGGGCATCCCGAGAAGGATGGCGTTGTTGTGGAGAAGAACAGGCTTGTGGAGGAAATTCAGAGCAGGTTGGCGGGAAAGGCGAGTTTGCCCGTAAGGAGTGCGTAGATGAGCGTTTTGGTTCTGACTGTGTGAAGAGGAGACGAGCGTGGTTTGAGGGCCGGTCGGCATTTCACTGGGCTGGTGCTGTAGGCGTCGTGGGCGTGCCGCTGCTGTGGTGGGGCAGGAAGGCTTGGTCGAGGAGATAGCATGTGTAAGATTCAGAGATATCCTATAGACAAAAAGCCGCATGCAAATTTTTACACTGGGTGGCAGTATATGTGCTACTGGCTGTGGTGATGTGCTTATAATGGAGGTCCTCTTTAGCGGGTATGGCGCACATTTGTAAGCATACATAAAGCATACATAATTCCGGCTCTGCGCGCAAGACGTGGTAATTCCATGCTTCCAGGGTCAGATGTTAGGCAATATGAATCCGAGTAGTCATTTGAACAATCTTAGGCTGAATGGTTTGGGTTGAATGATAGATTATGATGTCCCAACGTTGGGATGATTCCAAAGTTATCGAGACGGCGATACGACGACAAAGAACGCCACGAATGGGATGCTTGAGTGAAGAGGGCAGTGGAGAGTCGTAGATGGTTTCTCTTTCGACTTTACTTTGCGTGGTCATTTCATGGAATTAGTGACCAGCGAGAGCTCTTTTGAGATACTCAACTCTTGTCTGGTGGAAATCGAGTGACTGGTGGGTATGTTGGATGGAGAGGCTAGTTAAGCTTAATGTGGGAACGAGGGTCTGTTTGAGTGTAAGGTTGATGTCTACGATGAATACAACTTTACCGATTTGATCAAGGCCTGATGTGACCTTGATGTTGAACGTTAGCTCAGAAGTATAGAGGTGAGTGTCATGTCGGGCACAAATATAATATGAACCCTAGAGTGCGGAAGAAGCTTACTGTGAATCGTTAAATTAAGCAATGGGTTGAGTACTCTGTGATCTTCCTGGGCATCCGCTTAGGACACTTTTTTCGCGTCCTGCAAGCTATGTGAAATCATGCTGAAAGAGGCTACCTATGGTAGTTCACTTCTACGTAGATTTGTAGATTACCCAATCATGTACACAGGATCAAAGATGAAAGTTGGTCGGCTACGCATACGCGGCTGTTTATACATTTTATATTGCTCTAGGAGTAATCAGGGCCGGAAATAACTCTGTGGAATGAAGTCTTGATTCTGAGCAGTCTAGGACTAACACATCGCATATCACTGCCTCATGGAACCCATTATCCTCGTGAAAGCGATCAACCAACATCCGCGCGATTGTTGTACCAGAATAACTCAGGCCAACACCTTCGTTGGGTGGTTTTGAATCGCCGGCGAGATGAGGTCGGCCCGATGACTCGACTCGGAGGCTTAGGAATCCTACAAGCGAATAAGAAGGCTCGATTCCGACTAAGCCTACAGACTAAAACGATGATCAAAAGGCTCAAGCTCGTATTTTGTGCCACGCTGAAACTAGCCCCCAAGATTGTGGATACTCGATGGAAGGGCGGTGACCACCAAAAATGTTCAATTTCAAGAAAGGCGAAGCGAATTTTGAGCCGTTGGATGTGAGTATGTTGAGAGGATGTCATCGTAGCTAAAAATAAAGACCCAAACCCAGGCGCCTGGAAGCGCGCTCCGTGAGGGAACAACAAACATCACCACTGACTTGACAGAGCCTCAACCTTCTAGACCTCCCCTATTGGTCCTCAGGAAACGCGCGAGACATTGTTTTTCTGATCACAGACACTGTGTCTTCTGACAGGCGCCTGCACACCCACAGTGGCTGCGTCTTGAGGCTCCCGTACGACGATTCGCGTTTCCATCGTCTACGAACCAGGGCTGCACTAGCGGAATTCTCCGCCTGAACAAAGCATGCACTGCGAGCGCACAGGGCACAGCCCCTAGGTGCACATGTGGCGAAGTCCTACTGCTGAGCACGACACGAACACCTAAGGCTCCATCGCGAAGTGCTGTGCTCTGATGGCGATTTTGAAACCTGCGGATAGACAAGCCTCAAAACCTTAGAACGTAAGAGCGCAGCATTGAACTTGGGCGAAACTCCCCTAAAGCTTGGACTCCCGTCCTCGCCAATCCAGCCGTACCAAAGTAGTGATGGCGTGGATGGCGATAAAGAGTGGCTGACATCTCATTTCGTTCTGCCTCATTCACCATCTATACGGGGGCTGATATAATTAGGGATACCCAAAACAGCGAACGCAGCACTTGTGGCTCTCCATTCGAACCAACACGACAAGCTTGCTGCTATTCAACTACAGGCGGCGTTCATTACAAGCGGGATACGTTGTCCCGCTAGGCCGCCTGTGCCACCACCTCTCACAGATTACCGTAAGACTTCGTTAATGCGATACCATATTTCTCCACTCGCTTGGGTTTAACATCTGCGCGAGTGCGGCGTGCGGTCTCGGCTCGTTCCTTTGGGTTGGGAAGCACAGGCATATCCCCACACGCTGAGGCTGAGCTGGTCAAACTGACATGAAGTTGGACGCCTACGAGTTAAGTGGACCCATCCTACAACAGTATGCGGTCCATGCGCAGTTGGTCTCATCTACTGCACAAGTATAACTATACAGCAACATCCAGCTCCTTTGGCTCGGGGGTTTCTTTCTGACCGAGCCTTGCCTCGCATCATCAAAGCACATCACCACATCCCGCTTGGGAGGCACATTCAGCTGGAGTGGCGTTATCGAATCTCGTCTTTGCACAATTGACTGCGACTACCCCGTGCATACGGCGCGAACAACTTCCCGTGCGGCACATATTCCGAGAACGGGAACACTGAAGGCATATCGGCATACAACACGAGGACTCTGCAACCTCTGACCACGCAGCCAGACTTCAAGTCGACATGGCGCCCCTCCCAGCAGATGATCAGAAACAGAATATCGACCAGACTGCCACAAACGAAGGTGGCAGGTCATGGACCACGGCCACTATAGTCGTAGGAGCAGTCTTCCTCTTTCTCGCCCTCACCTTTATTGCTACTATTATCGCCTTCATGCTTCACAAACGCAAACTCCGCAAGCAGCTCCCAGCCGAGCACCGTCCAAGATCCTACCACCCTTTTCGCACAGAAACTACCGACAAATCCAGTCTCCTCGACAATGCACAAACACCCGACGAAGAACGCTCGATTATGTTCAGCCGCGAACGCAGCAGCGTCTCTGTCTACGTCGACGTCGAACCCGAATCCGAACCCGCCAACAGACGCGTAAGCGCCCAGAGCATGGAGACCATCAGTTTGATACCACTGCATATTGCTCCACCGGAGCGACACGAGTCTCTGACAGGAGCGATCAGCAATGGGAGCGGTGTGAGTGCGTCGAGCAGCAGGTACTCACGGGGAAGCATCAGTTTGAGCCCGATACAACAGGAGGACGGGGATCTGGGAACGAGACCGGTGAGGCCAAGAAGCACAAGCACAAGTAGCGTGAGGTACTATGGGAAGAAGGAGGGCTCACCAGACAGCACGACGTGGAAGACGTCGAACTCGCCGCAAACCAGCGTCGCGGCACAACAGTTACCGGAGATACCTAGGATCGTGCACACGCTTTCTGATTAGCCGTCAAACCCTAATTTCTGAAATTTCGTCGTTTCAACACGGTATAGCGTGTGTTGGGTGGGTCACTCCCTATCCCTCCTTCCAACGCGATCGCCCAAATCGTTCTCTACTGCCATCAGCTTGGTTGTCTACTTAGCGCATTATATACATATACCCCTCGTTCGCTCCTATCCGTAGTCGAGCCTGAATCAAATCAAACCAACGTTTTTAAAATTGTCCTACGTTCCTCAATCGTCGTGATACCTCCCTCGCTCACTGGCACCACCACCACGAATCCGCACAGCACCGCACCTCCCCCTCACCAAAGTCATGGTATACACGCACCGCCGCGTTTAAGATGGGCAATATCCACCACCTCTCACTCCAGCGACCTGAAATATAGCGACAGTGCCACAACGCCGCAGCCAGCCGTGCGGGAAATGAAGTTCTATCCGGGAAGTGCGGCCTTCTTACCAGATGTCGACACCAAGTGTTCCGCCTCTCTCAGCCTCGCGCAACCGCCGTAACCTGTGACGCGATTCTGCAAAAATAGTATGCAGGAGCCTGCATTACACCACCTTTTCTTCACCTGACCCACCTTTAACTTACCAAGAGACTGTCGACAAGGTTTCCGGGAGGGTGTCTCGAGACCGCGCGTCCTGCGAAACCTGGATCCACCGTCGTCCGAGAAAGTCGTTCGAGAAACTGTGAGGTGTGTGGCGCAAGGCCACACCATTGCAGTGCCGAAGCGATGCAGAAGATACAAGCACAGCCACATCAGCGTGCGTGATAGGTTGTTGCTGCATTGCATACACGAGTCTTCCAGGCACAAGGTGTACAGTTCGTGTGATCTTGAGCTGCAACAGAAACCACATAGTCGCAGAATCTTGCCGGAAAAGCCACTGCAAGATGCGCCAATGTGGGGCGAGTGTTATAGATATCTTTACATATCGATTGTGCAGCCAAATGCAGCAATGATATCACTCAATCATCGAAAAAGATGAACAATCAAGAAAAAGCAAATGTTGATTTGATGATTTCAGATTGTAAAAATACGACAAGAGAAGTACAGCGAAAAGGTTCTATCAGATATGTCTAATTAAAGCAGTTTTCTCTACCTCTCTCCGGCAGGTGCAACTCGGGCTATGAACATTTGTCGGAAGGATAAGAATGCAAATGCGTATGCTAGCCGCACGCAAGAATCAGAAAAAAAACGGCATAAAATCATATACGCGTCCTGAACAAGCAAGCAATGCGGCGCTACAAATGCTGACACTGTGGCACAATCCATCAAGCAAAGCTAGAGTAAATAGACGGAAAGGAGGACTCAGTTAGGAATTAACATTGCAATTAGTAAGAGGGAGGAGCAGGGACCGGTTTCCGTGGAATGGAAAGCCGCTTCGAAGCAGGCGACGACGCAGAGCTGCCAGTGGGTGCCCGCGATGAAGAAGAAGAAGAACTCCCGGGACGAAACGAGGGCAAAGCATTGGACAATCCCTCCATCGTTAACTGCCGACTATTGTGGAGATGGTCAACCTTCTTCTCTTCCTTTAACTCTTGATCCACCGGCGCCGGATGATGCAGGAACTCGATAGGGACGACCGGGCCACCATAGTTTGACAGATCCTCTAGCTCAGGTGGGTGCAAAATCGTGGTCTCTCTCCGCTCGTACCCTTCTGATGTCATGTACGTCTTGTCGGAAAGTATCTTCAGCTCTCGACGCGGCAGTGCGCTCCGAACGGCGTGCGATGTGGGTTTATCCTTGTCACCTCGGACAAGAGCCCATCGTTGCTTCGCACCAGTGCACTCCGGAAGCTGATCAGCCGACACTTCGACCAGTTCATTGTTTGTGTTGTAGAAAAAGTGCCGAGCAGGTAGTATCTCGGTTTGATAGACGGGTTGGATGTAGCGATAGATGTCGTGGTTATGGATCTCGCGATAGATGCGCTCCTCGGTCACTTTGTGCTGGTGCGGTTTCACAACTTCCTGAGTAACAGCTATTCGCATGTTAGCCAGTTAACGCATCTAAAATGAGATGAGCGTCACCTGGAGCCCACTGGACGTCCCGATCCGTATCTTCCGTGTCGTTCAAATCGACCACTCCATCCAAAGCGGCCTTCAGATCATAACGACCTGTGCCTGCCAAAATAGCTTCACAAATGTCCATAGTGCCATCTCTTTCCTTCGTTCCACGCTTTCCATTGGAGGTATCGTCGTCGTCACTCGCGCGCCAGTCGCGGTTTGATGAGTGATGAGACTCATCGCGGGCAATTCGCGTCGGCCAATTCTTTCGGTCATATGGTCGAGCATTAGGATCCTCAACATGAGGTAGGATTCTATCAACGAGACCACCTTCAGTAGCAACCCCAGTCCCGAGCGAATACTTCGGCAGACCAGAAAAGTTGAGCGAACCCAGGACAGATCTAGCAGGAGACGAGGGCACAGACCCCAAGGATTTGATAGAGGCTGCGATAGATTGTCTGCGTGCTGCTGGGCGTTAGCAAATTCGGAATATGCAAGGGCGAAACAGCAGCTCGAATCCCAGGAGTAAGCCTGGGTAGCAGCCACCCAGCACTCAAGCTATCACGTACCATTATGATCCTGCGCGAACTGGTTGCCTGCGTTCTGGCACCCAAGGGAGCTATGCCGCGAAGAATTGGACCCATAGTGCTCTATGTTTCTGTCGGCTATGTCTTCAGCGTGCCTCATCTCACTGTTGCCGGTTCTCAGTCTGCTGTCGCTACCAAGGCTGAAGAATTCCGCATCAGTGCTGCTTTTGCTGGCCTTGCTGGTGACACTGCCAGGAGAAATGGACCCCATGTATGCTCGACAATCGTCTCCAATTGTATCGTCTCCCCTTTCTGAGAGACTTGAAGATCGCGCCGCATAGCCGGTCGTGCCTACGGAATAATCTCCGTTGACACTAGCAGGATGGTGACCGGATGGCCGGCTATCTGGGTACGTAGGACTCCGATGACTGGATGGAACGCTTGGATGGGCGGGGGAACAAGGGTCTCGGGAAAGATCTAAACTTGACGCCCGCTCTTGTTTCCAGTGTTCGTCGAGCAGTTGCGCAGGTCCAAGACGTATTTCTGGGTGAGAGGAAGTCGCTTCGGGCACTGAACCCTTGTTGCGGTCGGAATGTTTGAAGAGAGACTTTGAGCCTTTCATGAGTGATATGAAGAGTGGGGGCGCACGGGAGGTTATAGGTGATCGGTGGGATAGGAAAAGGGATTAGGTGGGTGTTGTCTCCTGAGCCGGAGGTAGGCAACAGAACCAGAGCCCTGTTGTTTACTCCTTCCTGCAGTCACGACGCATGCTACGGGAAGGGAGTATGCTAGGACTACAGGCCCGTCTGGAAGGCGCGATTGGCAATGCTCAGTGGCAAGGGTCACAAAATATGTGTCCCGCTGACGTACTTCGGAGAAGGTGTTGAGTGCCATCCGAAAAACGAGGGTCCGCGGAGCCCTAAGTCTAGTCTTCTGTTTGTGGCAAAACGTCGAGATGCTCCTTCTCCAAATGTCGTGAAGATCCCATTGCCCTGCTACAATCTCGCTTCTTTTTACGATCTCTGGCACAAGGCTTTTCCACATCGGCCGCTCCATAACACGTCACCCGCAGCGGGTCAGAGCATCCGTTCTGTGGTCACTCAGGCTCCTTTTTTGGTCTGCATACGGTAGGTGTGTTCGGCGCCAAAGCTTTGCAAGTCGACACTAGGTACACTGTTCCCTAGCAGGAACAGTGTTCTCGTGAGAGCTAAACTGTAGCATCTCAAATACTGGAGTGGCTCAACGCTTCTGGTGGCTCGGTAACAGCCGGAGGCTCTTTATGACGTACACTCAACCAAGCCAGCACTTGACGTGCCAGCAAATACGCATTGGTGAAATCCACCGCGGCGGATGAGACGCACGTCACGGTCATCGTGTCCAGTGATAGTTCGGAGGCTGACGATTCAGGACGTGCGGCAGTCCCGCCTGCCGTGTACTAGGGTCCGCGTCAAGCACATCGCCGTCCGCGATTCTGGAACTGTTAGGCTTGGTATGGATAGAGAGATGATTCGCTCCGTGTGTCGGGGGTGGAGCGAGATCTGATCCGCCCCCGATGATTTGCATGCGGCGGCTCGCTTAGCGCATGGCATCTAACTCTATTAAGCTCGTCCATTACAATATCCTCGTGCACATCACAATGCGCTTTTCGATCGCTCCTGTACACGACCAATCAAAAGCAGGACTCGGTTGACGATCAGTTGCATGGAACGTTTTCAAAAGATTGGTAACTGCTGTGCTTCACTTTTTTGTACAACGGAAATCCACCACGGCCGTTTTGAGGAGCCGGATCACTGCGATTCCACTACGAGACTGACCCACCAACATCCATATGGTCCAGCTGGCGTGCGAAGATGGGGTCATTGTAGGTTTGACGAGAGTGGGGAATGTATCTGTGGTTTCCCTGACGTACATCCGCTTCAGCCACGAACTGTAGGCGCAGGTTCCAGACGCCAGGCGCTTCAAGCCCCGCAACAACAATGCTTCTCACCCAATCGCCCATTTGTTTTTGTCCATCTTGGCCGATTACGGTATTTCACTGTCCGCTGGTGTACCTGTAGTGCGGATACTTGAGCGTACACTGGAGTCTGAGCTCTTAACAATTACGTCGTTGCGGGCTTGCATCATAAGGCCGATAAGCAGGATCTGCTTTGTTCGAGTATACGAATATATAACTGTTACATTGGAGCTTGCTCACATCCCATCATTACATCTTCCACTCAGCACTTCATCAGATACACTGTTCACACCATCTTTTGACACCCAACACATTACTTTACAACACCACCAACTACAATCACAATGGACAAGGCTAAGGCAGCAGTCAGCGATTTCATGAGCAAGGCTGGTCACCATGACACCACTGTTCACGAGACCGTCGCTCCGGCCGTAGTGGAGGAGGTTGTCAAGCCTCATGTACATGAAGAAGTCAACACAGCCATCGACAAGGAGGTCCACCAGGATCACTACCACCGCACTGTCCAGCCAATCAAGGACCGCGAGGTTCTCCCTGAGAAGCACACCGCACAACTTGGGGCAGTTCAGCACCGAGAGTTCGATCACCGTGATCACGACCACACCAAGCGCAACCTTGCTGCTGAGCAGGCTCAGTTCAAGGATCAGCGCGTTGTTACGGAGACTAGTCACAGCCAGAGTGCTAACGCTGCCATTGGAGGCGAGCATGTCCACCACGTGAGGTCGCACCCGCTTTCGTCTTGTTACCATGTGACTAACACTAATACAGCACATCCACGAGACTATCCAACCAGTAGTCCATAAGGAGACTATCCAGCCCAGCGTTGTGCATACTACTGTTCCCATTCACGAGGTTCACCACAACGCTGCCACCATCCATGAGTCATCTGAGCTTCCCGCCATGACTATGTCCGAATTTAAGCAAAAGGGAGGTGTTCTCAGCGGCCGTGATGAGCGTTACGACGGCTTCGAGGGCGAGCCCAAGCACATTGGCGGCACCCTTAAGCACATGATGGAGGGAAAAACAAGTAAGCGCGACTCCCACCAGGACCACGAGGTTCGCGAGAGTGCCATGCATGGTGACTTCGACCCCCTTGACGGCGGCAAGCACAACACTGCTGCCGGTCGCCTCGGAGGCGCTGGTACCGGTGTCGGTGCCGCCGGTGTCGGTGCCGGTAGTCTTGCAAGCGGCCGTGACTACCAGTCTCAGTCCCAGACCGGCAACATCCGTGGCGTCGAGGAGCATCACATACGCAAGAGTGATGGCCTTTACACCGGTGACAAGCTCGGACGGGAAACCAGCTCCGTGTCTAGTACCAGCCACTCCACTGGTACTCAGCCAAAGAAGGCTTCCCTCTTGGATAAGCTCAACCCCTTGAAGGATGCTGATGGCGATGGCAAGAAGGGTCTTATGAAATAAGATAGCTGCTTTCACGACCCAGTAACGATATTATGTAATAGTACTAGTATGTCACCCTTAAAAAGTGTGATTTAAATATTCAGGTAACAATTATTGTCCGCACCACACCGCTCCAAGTCAACATGTTTAAAGTCCACGTTCTTTTTATTTCGTTCAATTGATCTGCAGCCTTTGCCAGATATCATCAAAGACAGTGTACACATGTTCTATACCCTATCCCGAGGTCGACAACCGTAATCAGCACGTGATCCCCCAGCATCTACAAACTGGAACTAGGAATTCTCCGACCGCTCGATGGTTTCCAAATACATCTATCCGCTCTTTGGTGTGGAAAAAAAAATCGAGACCCCATCACCTGGCCTCGCTGACCAGAAAATAACGTCATCGCACCCACCGCATAGCACCGCGCACATCCGCGCACCTCCCACGCACGCGTTCCCCACCCCCTAACCGCCAGCCATGCCGGGATCGTCCCTTTGGCTCCTCCCGCCGCGCGGACACCCCCTTGAGGCCGCACTGTCTAAGCTGATCGCGCAGACAGCCGCGCAATTTGGGTCCCCACATACCTTCCTCCCGCATGTCACGCTCACCTCGGATATAGCTGCGGATGTGGTGAGTAATCATTATAAATTGCCTTCCGGGGCTGATTTTTCTCGTGTTTGCGTTGGATGGGGTGCAGTTGAACCCAATTGAGTGTATTGTTGGCGTGGCCGCGTGGAGGGGTACTATATGGTACCTAGCTACCGAGCCCTGCAATCCGCGCAACGCAAGACAAAACATCCCAAGCCTTTGTATCTCTTAAGCAAACCCCACCATCCCTCATACTAACCACCCATCTACAGTACGCACCCAACCCCAAAGCCTGGCTCGACGCCCTCCTACTCCCCCCTGCCTCCCAAACCCACGTCTCCCTCGGCCCCCTCGCCAGCGTAAGCAAATTGCCTCGTACATAGCCCCAAACCCAACACGCACTGACGTCGCACCCACTCAGGACCCCGTCTACGTCCGAAAACTCTACTCCCGCGTGTCTAAGCCTGGTGTTGCCCTCCTAACCCACGCCACTCGCTTTGTTGTCCAGCCCAACCCCTGGGATTTAGAGAATTGGCTAGAGGAGAAGTGGGTCCCGCATTTGAGTCTGCTGTATCATGACTGTCCCGTAGTGGAGAAGGAGAAGTTAAGAGAAGTGGAGGCGTGGGTTGGGGTAGAGGGTGTGAAGTTGCATGAAGGGAGAGGTGGGGAGGGAGAGGGAGAGGGAGAGATGGGTGGATGGACAGGGGGTAGGGTAGTGCTAGTCGATACGAGTAGGCCGATTGGGGAGTGGGTGCCTATCGCGGAGCGCGTGTTATGAGGGGTAAGAGGTGAGAAGTGATCGAGATAAATTCGGGTGTGTGTGGATGGATATGTGGGGAGGCTGTGCCTCGCGGATGCGTATTGCGATGCAGAGAATCGAGCGTGAGCGAGGAACTTGGCACATCACGGTAGGAAGCGGTGAGCATGAATGTGGCTGGAGTTGACACAACGTATTCGATGATGTGGTAACTATGTTATGGGCAAGCAACTAAGCGACGAATTCGATGTCCACGTGCGTTCGCCAACTCTGGTGGGCGCCGCTGTTTATATGCATTCCAACATGCTCTGCCAAACGCCATGCTATGCATTATTCCAGTTTAAACAAACAAATTGAGATGATGTCCTCCGCTGTACTGGCTTCATGCTGCACGTTTTCACCTAATGTTGATGTTTTCCTTCGCATGCCAGACGTCCGGCAACGTCTTCACCGAGCCTGCAGCTGCGTGAAGGCCTGGACGTTCCTCCTTGACTCCAGCGCGCGGTTCCGGGACGCGGTTAGGAAGATCAAATGTAGCGCGTCGCAGGACTGCTTTCGCTGCTACGCCGTACGTAGCGAGGAATTTCCTCACGTTATCTCGGAGGAGGCCTTGCAGAGTCATGAAGTGGGCCGGGTACAGGGCCTCGGCTGGCGTGTTGCAGATGAGTACTACCGCGCGCCAGTATTCCGAGATGGGGATGGCGGGAGGCTTTTGTGCAAACTTTCGATGGGTGAGAGCGGCGTAGCCTGCCCCGACTCCGGTCATTCGCTGGAGGTATGCGTTATGTTCTGCATCATCGTTGGGGTGGACCTTGTCGAGCCCCAAGCCAGCGCGGTTGGTTGTCGTGTTGCCCCGGATGCCGAATAGCATAGGGCAGATACGGTGTAACTTGGCGAGGAGAGTGTCGGTCATGGTGACGGTTCCCATACACATGTACTTTGTGTCCAGGTACAAACTTGCGGCGATGAGAGAAAGCTGAGTAATGATTCTACCGTCTTCCTTGGGTGCTTCGTGGGCCCATTGTTTAACCAGGTATTTCTCGAACATTACCCACAAGTATAGGAGCAGTTGCGGATACTGTGCGTCAGCATCATTGGTGATCTGGTGCGAGATCAAGTAGGGGCGAATGTCAATCATAGGGCCGCCTGCACTAATGGCTTTATCGAAGCACTCCTCTCGTATCGATTTGATGGTCTTCTTGCTGTCCGCGACGTCGACCGTTATCTGTCCCATCCGCTTGTTCAGATTGCGTCGTACATCACCGATAAGGCTCTTCAGTGGATCTGTTGGAGCCTTGTGCGCGGCTAGGAACTGTTTCCGAAATTCCTTCATTGAGCGATGAAGTGTAAGGTACTTCTTGTGGACTTCGACGATGTCGGCTGAGGGCGCCGACGGTGCCAACGGTGCTGATGCGGGGACCGGTGCTGCTACTGCTGGTGCGGAAGGGGTTGGCAAAGCTTGGACAGGCTGAGGCTTTGCAACTGGAGGTGGCGGCACGGCAGCGGCCTCCCGTGCTCTTCGCTCATCCTCTTCCTTTTCCCGTTTTGCTGCTTCTTCTTGTTCTTTATGTGCCCTAGCCTTCTCCGCGGCTTCTTGTAGTCTCCTCTGCTTCTCCGCGGCTTCTCTCGCAGCCTGTTCTTCACGAAGTTTTGCTTCCAACTGCCGCTGCTGAGCCTCGGCTTGCTCTCTCATCTTTTGCTCCTTCAGACGCTGGATCTCTTTCTCCTGGACAGCTGCCTTGCGCAACCGTTCGTTTTCCTCCTCGAGCTTGATTCGCTCCATCTCACGGGTTGCCTCCTCCATGACTCTCTGATGCTCTCGGGCAGCCCTTGCAAGCTGTTCCTCGTGAAGCCTGGCACGCTCGGCTGCATCTTGATCAAGTTTCTTGTGGAATTCCCGGTCGGAGTGGCTGAGAATGTTGGTGAACTCGAGCTGTAGCTTTCGCGTAGGGCTCTCGTAAGAGTCTGAGAGAAGACTTCCTCTAGATGAACGGAGCCCATTGCGTTGGGGTGATTGCCGTACGGGCGATTGTCGCGAGGGTGAGCTTCCGACCCAGCTGGACGAAAAGGAGTTTCTGGTGTTCATGCTGGTGGACGACGCGCCCGATGCGGCGGGCATTGCAAAGGTGTCGGTGGTTTGGTATCAAGGGCTGCGCGTAACTGCTAAAAGACGTGGTTGGTTCGCGCGCGTCGAATGCTGAGGGTTTTTCCGAGGCCGACGCCAAGAGCACACACGTGACTACCCCGGATGGATCCATGGATTGTGTATGTCCTTGGACCCACTCATTCACCCATCGACACAATACAAGGGACCCGATGCTGATGGTGTGTATTGTCGACGCAGGTAATGGACGTAAGAAATGCGCGCAATGGATTGCGCCATTCCAAGCTCGAAGGCGCATCGCCAGAGAAGTGGTTGCAGAGCAGCTCGAGACGAGATGGGCAAGCTTCAACACTTGGGACGGCACGGCTGCGCTAACGTGTATCTACCGATGGCTTCCGCAGTGCAACCGCCCCCTGTCGCGCAGAGGGCAGCTCTAAGAGCGAGCTCGTGGGAACTTAAAAACACGGCTACGCGAGGATTTGATACGACGGGCGCATTGATGGACGACGCACGATGGCCCATGGAGTCGCGTAGTGCAGTGTTTGTAAGTGCTGTGGTTAGCCTTATCCGAAGGATATCAGCGTGGGACAAGCTCGTGCGCCCTGCAGAGGTGTGGCACAGCACAGGCGGCTTGCTGCGCTGGGTGCAACCCCAGTCGCCATCAGCGGCCCCCGATGCTGATCTCACGATGCAGGACTCCAGGCTTAGAGGATTGAGAAGCAAACGTGTCCATGCCGATGCGCACCCGCAGCAGTGCTGCCGCGTGTTTGCGGATTAGCCTGGGGCTCGCTTCTGAAGGCTCCAATAACGCCTAGCATGGGCGTGAAACACTGCAAAGAGCGTTTGAAGCACTTCAGCACACGACCTCAAACCTAGCACGACGCGCATCGAGCCTCTGCAGTCTATAAGCAGCGGCGAGGCGTCGAAGACGAGGCCGCAGCACTTCTTTCGCGCGCGTAGCACAGAGTGACGTACGCTGGACAGTGGGTCGTTGGGTCGTTTGCGGACAAGCTGAGACTAGCCGATCCCTTCCCTTAGAGCTGGGGCGCACCCATCCAGCTCGCTCGCACGCTGACGTCTCCCGCTCCTCCATCTACAAAGTCGTTCCCTGGCAAGCCCGCCTGTCTTGGTCGCTCTGGTCGCTCCTGCCCTCCCTCCTTCGCGCACTCCCTCCTGCCCTTTGGAATCTCACAGCCCTTCCCAGGGAAAGAAACACGCAGTCCGCTACTAGGGACAGAACACTCTCTACGACCGCCCCTGTAAGACTGCCGTCACGCACCAGACTCTGCAACATTTGAAGCCTGCCGCTCGCAACATTTGAAGCATCGATCCATCCAACATCATCTTGCCTGTACCGTACCCTCGCCACCCCTCGCACGCAGTGTAAGTGCTCCCCGCCTGACCCCAGCACGCCGCCGCCCAGAGCCTGCGAGCCTACCATGGGCCCCCCGCTCTGTTTGCTTCACCTCCGCCTGCGCATGACAACAGCCCGCTGCGACGCCGCGTCAAACCCTCCAATCCGCATGCCACTGCTGACACAGCCCAGATCTTCTGTCGATAAACTTTTCGGTCGTCTTGACTTGCCGCTATCTCATCGAGTCGACCGCCACTCCCGTGCATAGCACTTAAACAACCCTGCAGGCACAGGCTGTGATAACCTCACACTCGGTCCGCAACATGGATCAACAGGGCCAACCCGGGCCCTTGAATCCCAATGGCCGTCGCCTGCACATCGCTCATCGACGTAGCCCGTCTGAGCTGACTCCGCTGATGAGTGCGCCTATCCCTCTCCCCATACCATCCGCACCCTGCTAACCGTGCCCGCAGTGGAACAACTTGCCATCGCTCAGCAGATTGAAGTCTTACAGCAGCAGCAACAACAAATTGCTGCAACCCACCAACAGTATGTTAACATGGGCATGATTCAGCCCCAGCAACATCTACCCGGCAACTTCCAGATGCAGGGACAGATGTCCAACGTATCCCCCAACCCGAACCAGTTCCAGTTTGCCCAGCAGGTGCCCCAGCAGCACCTTGCCGTTCCGATGAACCCCCCCTCGCAACCATCGTCGCACCGTCGCAACCAGTCGGCCTTGCCCAACGTAATGGGTGGCCCCCCGCCTGCGCCCTCGTCGGGCGCCTCTGGCTTCGGCGAGTACGGTGGACAGCCTGGGAACCAAGGCAGAGAGAACGTCAACCCGCGTGGTCGAGGTGGCGGTGGTGCCGGTTCAGGTCATACTCGTCGACACTCCCTTGCCCTGCCCGAAGCCAAGAAGGCGGCCGAATTGGCAGAACAGAAGAGGAAAACTTCTGGCTTCCAGTTCCCTATTCCTGGTTCCGCTGGCGGCTCCAGCAACCGTGACGCAAGTCCGAGTGGAAACACACCGACTGATCAGTCCGCGGGTCGCGGCGGACGTGGCGGACATGGTCGCAGCCAGAGCATGGCTGTTGGTCGTGGCGGTGGGAGCGCAGGCCGAGGGGGACCAGCCTTTTCATTCCCTGCTGCCCCGGCCGGCGATAACACCACTGGTGCTCAGACTGGCCAGTCTGACTTCCAACGCCGTGGCAGCCAAGGCCACGGTCGAAGCCAGTCTCGCAACTTTGAGGGCAACTGGAGGCAACCTCAGCCGCAAGCTCAACAACAGCAACAACCAGACCAGAACAACCAAGCTCAGAACATGGGCAATTTCAACATGAACCAGACAGCAAACGCCGCTCCTTTCCAGCCCGGCCACCGCACCCGTGGCTCAGTCAATCAGTCTGTTGGCTCTCTGGGCAACTTCCAATACCCAGGCCAGCCCCAGCTTATGCAGCTACCTCAGGGACAGGTGCTACTTCCCCAGCAGATGCTCGGCGGACAGGGTTTGAATCCGCTTCAGATTGCCCATCTGCAGGCACTCCAGGCCGCCCAGATGAACGGCGGAGGCTTCGGAGGCATGCCTGGCCAGCACGGCCAGCCGCAGATGATGCAACAACAACAGCAGCAGCGCAAGACGCTCTTCACTCCTTACCTACCTCAGGCAACCCTACCCGCCCTTCTTAGTGACGGGCAGCTTGTTGCCGGTATCTTGCGGGTCAACAAGAAGAACCGCAGCGATGCATACGTTACCACTACAGATCTAGATGCCGACATCTTCATTTGCGGTAGCAAAGACAGGAACCGAGCACTCGAGGGTGATTTGGTTGCTGTTGAACTTCTCGACGTGGACGAGGTGTGGGGACAGAAGCGTGAAAAGGAAGAGAAGAAGAAGAGAAAGGATAACGCAGATCCGCGTGGCAGCAACATTGCCGTAAACGACGCCACCACCCAGCCTGAAACTAGCGGCGAGGGCGGAATCCGGCGCCGAGGTAGCTTGCGCCAACGCCCTACGCAGAAGAAGAATGATGATGTCGAAGTCGAAGGCCAGAGTCTTCTGTTGATGGAGGAGGAAGAGATCAACGACGAACAAAAGCCTTTGTACGCTGGGCACATTGTTGCCGTCATTGAGCGCGTTGCCGGCCAGATGTTCTCTGGGTAAGTACAAGTACTGCACATGATTAGCGGACATTGCTGATGTGTTTTCAGTACTTTGGGTCTTTTGCGTCCCAGTAGCCAGGCCACGAAGGAGAAGCAGGAAGCTGAGCGTGCGGCTCGTGAGGGTAGTAACTCTCGTCCTCAGGATAATCGCCAGCAGGATAAGCCGAAGATTGTCTGGTTCAAGCCTACCGACAAGCGTGTGCCCTTGATCGCTATCCCGACTGAACAAGCTCCCCGCGACTTTGTCGAGAAGCATCAAGACTACGCAAACCGTATCTTTGTGGCCTGCATTAAGCGATGGCCGATCACCTCCCTGCATCCTTTCGGAACGCTCGTCGAGCAGTTGGGTGAGATGGGTGACCTTAAGGTGGAAACCGATGCTCTCCTGCGAGACAACAACTTTGGCCCCGATGACTTCTCCGATGCAGTCATCAAGAACGTCGGATTCGAAGAGTGGTCTGTCGCCAATGACGGCGACGTTGCGTTGGAAAATCGCCGGGACTTCCGCAGCGAACAGACCTTCACTATCGACCCTAACGGTTCAAAGGAGCTAGACGACGCTATTCACTTCAAGTATCTGGACGATGGCCGCGTTGAGATTGGTTTCCACGTTGCCGACGTAGCTCACTTTATCAAAGCGAACTCTCTCGTCGACCGCGAAGCAAAGAAACGCGGCACGGCCGTATACCTTATGAACCGTACTGTCAACATGCTGCCGCCGCGTTTGTCTCAGGAGATTTGCTGCCTCAGCCCTGGCGAAGAGCGCTACACTGTGAGCGTGGTGTTCAAGGTCGACCCGAACTCTGGCAAAGTTTTTGAGGACGAGACCTGGATCGGCAAGTCCATCATCAAGAGTTCCGGCAAGTTGTCTTACGATGAGGTTGATGCTGTTATTAACGGTAATGCTTCCGACATCTCAGAGGGTCGTGCCAAGGACATCAAGATGCTCCACCACATCACTCAGAAGTTCCGGGAGGCTCGCTTCGGCGATCGTAGTACCGATATCCCGTCCCTCCGTTTGATGCACCAACTTGACGATGAGAACGTCCCGGTCGAAGCCAATATCTTCGATTCATCCCCTTCGCATGAGTGCATTGAGGAGCTGAGCCACATGACCAACGCTTTCGTCGCGAAGCAAATCGCTGCAAGTCTTCCGGAGAAGGCTCTGCTGCGTCGCCAGGCCCCTCCCAACCCTCGCCGTCTCCAGACTATCTCCGAGCGTATGAACGCCATCGGTTACACCATCGATACCACTAGCAGTGGCAGTGTACAGAACAGCCTGTTCCAGATCGACGATGTCGACATCCGCAAGGGACTGGAGACCCTGGTCATTAAGTCGATGATCCGTGCCAAGTACATCGTGGCAGGAAAGCAAACCGAGGACCAGCGCTCTCACTACGCGCTGAACCTTCCCTTGTACACCCACTTCACCAACCCCTCTCGACGATATGCCGATATCATCGTCCACCGCCAACTGGAGGCTGCTCTGTCTAATGGCGCCATCGAGTTCACCGAGGACATTGAAGTGCTTGCGAAGACCGCCGAGATGTGCAACACCAAGAAGGACTCAGCCCATGCTGCTCAAGAGCAGAGTGTGCATATCGAGGCCTGCCGTAGCATGGACAAGACACGGCAAGACTTGGGCGGTGACCTCATCAGCGAAGGTATCGTCCTTTGTGTTTACGAGTCGGCCTTTGACGTCCTTATTCCTGAATTCGGATTCGAGAAGCGTGTGCATTGCGATCAGCTGCCACTGAAGAAGGCGGAATTCGACAAGAACAAGCGTCTCCTTGAGCTTTACTGGGAGAAGGGTGTTCCCTCGTCTGCGTATATTCCCGAAGACGAGAGGCCGAAGCACGGCTCGGGTCGTGCTGCGCAGGCCGCCGCCGCCGCTCGCGATGCTGAAGTCGCCAAGCAGCGCGCCAAAGAGCAGGAGGAAGCCCAGCGCAGGCAAATGGACACTGGAGCGCGGGACGACGATGCACTATTCGACGATGACGATGATGATGACTCCAGTGATCTTACCGGTGCCATGGCTGGTGTCTCACTGAACACCGGAGCAGACCGCCCTACGCAGAGCATGCCTCCTTCGCCAACCAGGAATGGTCTGCAGTCCAGCCGCTACGCTCCGCATCGCGTCAAGTCCGACTCCAAGCTTGCCCAGAGCGCCAGCGAGTCCCCTGAGGCCAAGCTTACCAACAAGGAGAAGTATCTGAGCTGGTTTACCCTTCGCGAGGAGAACGGAGACTACATCCAGGATGTGCGGGAGATGACTCGAGTGCCAATCATCCTTAAGACGGATCTGTCCAAGAGCCCTCCGTAAGTATATGCAGTTGAACGCATCTCAAACAACGCTAACCGTGTACCAGATGCTTGACCATCCGTTCTTTAAACCCCTACGCGCTGTAAGAGCCTGGTTTTCCAGGCTTTCTCCCCTTGTTCGCTCGATCCGCAGTTACTATCCTCCACCCACAACCGAGGCTCGGCATCCGCGGATGGTTCATGACCGTTCCGTCTCGGTGATTCTATGCGCCGCGTTGTTTCTGGACCCCATGTTCCCATTTCTTATCCCATTGATCCTTTGCCAATGCTCTTAGTTCCGGAGTATTTGTGTAGACAGAAATTGCATGGCACAGATATATTAGCGCAAGTGGAGTGGGACAGCCGGACATATATGTATTCTTTAGTGGGTAGTGGTCAAAAGCAGTGAGTTTGAACATCTTAGTAAAGTAACAAGCTTCGCACGCGGAGAGAGGAAGCGAGTGTTAATGTATGGTCGAGGTGCGGTAGTAGCCTTGAGTTGAGTCAATATATTGCCGTTATTCATGTTTAAACGGCTGGCGGTGCTGCTACTACATCATCTTTCCCGCGTTAAGCCTCCTCGCCCCGCACAGCCCTCTCTCTCTCTCGGGACCAGTGAATGCTGATCCGTTCGCATGATGAGTTGACGACTGGCTCAGCTCGGCTGGGGGTATTCTTAGCTGGTTGTTTGGATTGGCGACGATTGTGTGAAACAGCTCAATGGATGGCACTTGTTCCGCTGGATCTGAAGTCTTCCTGCACGGAAGCGCAATAGTGTGTTTACCCGCTTGGCATTGTAAAACAGTCTTGCCGGTATCCGGAGTTTCCAGGCCTTAGGCGGGTCTTAGTGCGGTTCGGTCGACAAATCTGTGACCTGTTGTAAACCTTGGCCAGCTCCTTCCCCTGTGACAGGTATCTGGTCGCATGGTAATTACAGGGCCTCAGGCAGAACCGGTGGGTCGCTGCATGTGGTGCCTGATCAACCGTCGAGCCGTTTAGCGGCTGAAGGTGGATGAACCTTAGCTAGACCACCTTCTTGCCCGTGAACCTCAAAACCACACGCGACTTCACGACCGCATGCGACGACCCACCTACCCAACGTCGCAGTTGGTGTCGAGAGAGTTATTGAAACATTGTTCGAGCTTCGGTGCCTTGATACTGGCCGGACAAGATGAAGCGTTCTCTGTGGCGCGTAACCGGCAAGCGCGTGGTGACCGACGCGTGAAGCCATTCGGAAGCACCCAAACCCGTCAGCTACGTGTGCTATGCGGCCGGATTAAGAGCCCGGAATGCTGTGGCTTGACCGGTAGCGCCTCCTCCGAGCAAGAACTTGAGCGCTGTTGCGACCTGTGTTGTTTCGGGTGAGGCCTAAGCGTCGCAGCACCCCGGATGTGCTACACTTCGCGTAGCCAACACCAAGACCCCTCGCAACAACGCGAACTCCATCAGCGCCTGCCCTGGCGTTCCCAGGGTGCTCCTCGCAGCTACCAGTGGTCCATTACCCGTGCCAAAAAGCTTGAATGGCTACAGATCCGGCAAGTGGACCAAGCGCGGGCGGGATCGTTGCAGTCCGTCAACTTGCCACGAGCCTGCTTCCGTCCTCCGAATTTGCTCTGCCGTCTCAGATGCAGTCGACGAGCCGCAGGAGGGCTATAAGGTCCATTGGCGCCCACCTTGTTTCTACAATCGTTTTCTGTTAGATATCAACTAGCGGAGGCCTTTCCATCCAGTAACCTTCTCTGTACCTAATACCTCCTCACATTCCTTCACATTCACTTCTCCGTCCCTGGTTGGACTTTAAGGAAATTTTATAATTAATCAAAGCGAGTCTTTGCTGGTTCCTCTTTACGACTACAACTTTAACACCACCGAAAACCAACAGCAACACTTAATCCGACACGATGCCTAGCGTACGATCAATCATCGGCGGCCTCATGGCCTTGGCTCCCCTTGCGGCTGCCGCCCCGGCTGGAATCATCGCCCGTCAAGCGGCCTCTTCGTCGACGACATCTTCCGCCGCCGCCGCTACCTCGTCTGCTGCTGCTGCAGCACCGCCCGCAGCAGCCCCGGCAGCAGGTGGAGGCTTGACCGATGTTGACATCCTTCAATTGTGAGTTAGACTTACATGTCCGTTATCCGTATATACTAACAATATCAGTGCCCTTACCGCCGAGCATCTCGAGTCCACCTTCTACTCGCAAGGATTCGCCAAGTTCCCCATGAGCGACTTCACCGCCCTTGGCCTTACCGATGCGCAGATCAAGTCTCTCAAGGGTGTAGGACAGACCGAAGCCACGCACGTTACGACCCTCCAGGCCGCTATTGCGGGCGCCGGAGCCAAGCCCGTCGAGCCCTGCCAATACAACTTTGATGCCGCGCTCAAGGACGCAAAGACCATGGTCGCGACCGCGCGTGTCCTCGAGGCTGTCGGTGTCTCCGCCTACCTTGGTGCTGCTCCTCTCGTCAACTCCTCTGATGTCCTCACGGCCGCCGCCACCATCGTCACCGTCGAGGCCCGCCACCAAGCTTTTATCCGCTCTGCCTCCGGCGCCGAACCCGTCCCCGCCGCCTTCGACACCCCGCTCGGCCCCCGCGCCGTCTTCACTCTCGCCGCCCAGTTCATCTCCTCCTGCCCCCAGGGCTCGAACCTCAACATCCAGGCCTTCCCCAGCATCGCACTTCAGAACCCTGAGCAGGCCGCCGTTGGATCAAACCTCAAGCTCGCCGATGCCGCGAACCCGGCTGGTGCCCAGTTCTGCGCGTTCGTCGCTCCGTAAGTATTCCTTGATCTCCTCCAAACTGAGAGGATATAGGCTAACACGAATGCAGTGGCGGAAACCAGTTCTCCCAGATCACCAATGGCAACTGCGTGGTCCCGCAGAACCTCTCCGGTGAGGTCTACATGATGATCACCAAGTCGCAGTCCGTGGCCGACGCTGAGGTGCTCGCCGGCCCCTCTGTCATCCAGCCCTCATAGACGCCTTCACTCCGTCTAGCATGGCGCACTCCCGCGTCCTCCGCCGGCAACACTGCATGGGAAGCACATACATGACTACCATTCCTACTATTTCTCATGAGTAGTGCTGCGGAGGGCGGGCGTGACGGAGGAAGGAACACAAACCAGGGGTTTGAGCGATGGGGAAAGACTTGAAATGGAGGTGCGTTGTCAAGATCGAAGCATGAGCATGATCAAACATCTTCTTCACTACAGTCGTTGCGAAATACAAGCGTTGATATCAAGAAATGGTTTTTAGTGTGTTGTACGTACGTTCTCCTTATGATTTTTGTATTGAGGATTAGATGTGGATGACTCCTCGAGTCGCGAAGCAGATACCCCAGAGTCTTTTTGTTATTCTCTTTATTTTCTTTGAATGGAGGGCCCGATACTCTTGAGGAGGTAATAGGGCAGTGCAGAGAGGGACGGCTCGACGTTGACGATGAAATGCATGACTGTACGGCCTGAGGCCTTCACTTAGCTGAATTCAACAATAAAAAAAAATTATGATAACATCCGCTTGCTATTGCTACGCTCAAATCTCAGATCGAGAGGAGAGGCTTGAGCCCAAAATTACTGGATCAGTGTCGCGTTGCGGGCGTGACTGCAAGTGTTTCGCACGCGCGTCGGCTCGAAGGGGGAAACCTTGCGAGAACACTACCTCTGGCAAGCGTGGGAATGAGGTAAGCGCTCCGGAATTCTGCCATTGTTGGGGTACAGTGCGCGTGGCTCGTCGCATGTCGGTCCGAGGCCTGACAGAAGAGGAAGACTTGGCAACAGCTCGAACTAGTCCGGTAAATCAATGGGTGGTAGGTGTGCGGTGTGACTGGCGTGGAGAAGGGTATCGTGTTGCTGAGCAATGAATGCAGGCGCATATTGTCAGATTTAGTCCGCCGCCCTTTTCTCTCAGAGGCTTCAGTGTTTATAGAACCACAGGAAAGTCTGGAGCACACGTGAAGTCATTGGTTCTGGTGGTTCTGGAGCTTGTTGCCGACTTCCCGAAGGCGGGGATAGGCTCGTGGGGCATGAACTAGTCCTGATGCGGTGCCAGGTCCCTGGTCGATGGATCAACAAATGAACCAACTAATATGGTTTGCCATGGCATTTGCAGCGTTCTTCACCACACTTTTGTCTGCGGCTATACGAAGCTGCGAACTGTGAGTCAAAGACTTGCGTGCGTCAGCGATCGTTGAGAAGGTATATAACGCGGTGAGGAGGACAGACCTGAAAACATTACGAACCACATTGAAGAGCGAGAATAAGCATTAAGAAGAGCTAGTTGGGACAATCGAGAGCGAGGACTTCCAGCAGCCGTCGTCCATCTGCTTTCCCACGGAGCTCAGCATCCACTGGTGTGACTACACTTCCAACACGCATAACACCACCGCCACAATGACCCTCCACCAAAACGGCAGCTCCTCAACCTCCGTCATGGAGCCTCCCGCCGTCGAGCTCAATGACCTCTCGCACTATATCTCCACTCACAACGCAGCGAAGCTCCCACACGCCAAACCATCCAGCATCAAAGCCGGCAAGACGCTCCAGGAGCAGGATCCCATCGAGAGGCTACCATCCCCGACGACGCAGGCAGATGCCAAGCTCGAGCAGTGGAATGCGCCGCGGGGCAATATGTGGAGGACGCTGGCGGCGTTCTGGAGCTTTGTGGTTATGGGGGCTAATGATGCGGCGTATGGTGCTTTGATTCCTTATGTAAGGATGTTGTGGCTTCGATGTGTGGTGGCGAGGCTGACAGCGTGTGTAGCTTCAGGAGTACTACGACCTTACTTTTGTCGTCATCTCGTTGATCTTTTTGTCGCCTTTTGTTGGTAGGTATTGTGATTGGAGTCCACCGAGAGTTGGCTGATGATGTTCAGGGTACACTGCATCGGCGCTGCTCAATAACGCTATTCATCTCAAGTTTGGCCAAAGAGGAGTGGCTTTCCTTTCGCCAGGGTGCCATCTCATCGCCTATGTCATCATTGCCGTGCATCCTCCGTACCCTGTTCTGGTCGTCGTCTTTACGCTAGCAGGCTTTGGGAACGGTTTGGCTGATGCAGCGTGGAATGCATGTAAGTCGATCCTCAATTCGAACTCTACTTTAGCAAGCAGAGGCTGACGCCTGAACAGGGATCGGAAACATGGCGAATGCCAATGAAGTTCTGGGTTTCCTGCATGGCTTCTATGGTGTCGGCGCCGTGCTCTCGCCGCTTATCGCCACCACGATGATTACCAAGGGTCAGCGATTGCCATGGTATATGTTTTACTATGTCATGGTAAGCCTTCATATCGTCTCTTAACCTAAAGCATGGGATGTTAAAACCTGCACAGATCGGATTGGCTGTTGTTGAACTTGGTACTTCGCTTGCAGCTTTCTGGACTGAGACTGGCGCCGTATTCCGCCAGAATAATGAGCGCACCTCCGACAGTAAGGACAGTCGCATGAAGGAAGCACTGATTCGCATGCCCCATGCACGAATCACATGGATCTGCGCCATATTCCTCCTCGGTTACGTTGGCATCGAAGTCGCCCTCGGTGGCTGGATTGTCAAGTTCATGCTGGAAGTGCGGAGCGGAAAGGACTTCGCGAGCGGCATGGTGGCAACAGGGTACTGGATGGGAATCACTGTTGGGAGGTTCATCTTGGGCTTCGTCACGCCGCGGATAGGCGAGAAGTTAGCTATCGCTGTAAGTGCTATATCTAGTATTCGGTGCAAAGGAAAACCCTTCACCATCAAAAAGGTCGGTCGGTCCGCAAATACTGACGCACATCCCCAGATCTACCTTCCCCTGACCATGGCTCTCGAACTCATCTTTTGGCTCGTCCCGCAGTTCTACGTCTCCGCCGTCGCCGTCGCCTTGCAGGGCTTTCTGATGGGGCCGCTGTTCCCCGCCGTGATAGTCGTCGCCACGAAGCTGCTCCCTAAGCACCTGCACGTCAGTGCGATCGGGTTTGCTGCTGCTTTTGGTGGTTCTGGTGCTGCCGTGTTTCCCTTCGCTGTGGGAGCGATCGCTCAGGCGAAGGGTGTCAAGGTGTTGCAGCCGATTGTTCTGGCGCTGCTTGGGGCCATTCTAGGGCTTTGGCTGTGCTTACCGAGGATTAGGAGGAAGGAGGAGTGATAGATGTGCTATGGTGGACCGCGCGTGTAGATTGGGGAAGTGGACATAAATGTGAGGCGTTCATGAGTGCATACTGCGGTGGGCTCGGGAGAAATCATAGGCTTCCTAGTGTAGAATGCACAACCCCATTGCTGTGTCCACTCGCATGTACCTGCGCCGGGATGAGTACGAGCTCGCATTGCCCCACTAGTTGTCTCGTCCGTACCAAGGCATAAAGGTGAGACTGCTCGGCCTTCGTATTTTCTTCCACCATATCAATAGAGCCAAGATAGCCGGTACGTGACGGTTCATCGGCTTCCTGTCCACCAAAGCGAAGCGGCTTCTTCCTCAACCCTCGTCCAATCACGTTTTTCTCTGCACGATGTTGCCATGATTGCGGGAATTGCAAGCTAGCCTCTCGTCCCAGCATGCCGCTATGCGGAAAACGTCTCGAAGGTTCTCACGTGCGATACCATCAATTGCGCTTCAGCACATAATGTCCGTTCCAAAGACCCGTACAACGACCTTTGTGCCACTGCTCTTGACAGCACGGCCACGTATCATAAGTGGAGCTTCAGCTCGCGAAGGCTTGCTCGGGCTGTGGAAGGACTCAGCGACGCGCCTCAAGATTTTTGTTAAGGGGCCTTGCTGTGCGTTTACTCCGCATCGAGTGGTAAGAAGATCGAACGGAAGAGATGATCCAAAGAAGAGTTGGAGAAGATTCAGGAGCTCGCTCGCCATGTCTCAATTGTAGCGACAAGAAGGAACTGGAAGAATTTGGAGGCTGAATTTCCTGGACGAACATACGAAGCTATCCGGAAGCGAAACTTGAGATACTGACATGATGTTGTTGCGCACCCTCGTCCGCATAGACGCTTCTCGCCTGAAGAAGATCGGTCGCTTACTGAAGCCAGACGCGCTGGTGGGACGTGGTCATATATTAAGAGATCGTTCTCCGATCGGACTCTGGACAGTCTAGAAGCACGGTGGGCGGAGTTCTTATCCAAGGGCGATGAGGAACCAAATCAGCGCAGATGGATCGCAGAGGAATCCACCCAATTGTTTCTAGTGTGCCACGACTTAGGTCTGCACTATGATGAGATAGCGACAAGACTCGGACGATCAATTGCAAATGTGAAGCAATATCATTTGAAGTGCATTCCACCCGAGAAGCGCATGAAGCGGGGAGTTAGAGTTGTCGTTGGACTCAACTAGAAATAGAGACCTTCGAAGAGATGGGCAAAGCCCTTGGCCGCAGCAAAAATGCCATTAAGTGCTAGTATAGTAAAAAGAATAAATCTCCCACGCAAGCCTGGTAAAAGAATGACCTGGAGGTCAGAGAATGAGCTCTCTCGACTCGGAGCAGCTTTCAAAGAAGGCATGACGCTGGACCAGATCGAGTCCAAGTTCCCTCATGAAGTAAGGATGCTGTATGAGTTATCTTAAATCGTTGTGGCCTATGTTTCCAGTTGAGAGGTCTTGAATGGACAAAGAAAGTGGACGGTGTCATTGCAGCAGGATTACCTATGGACGGGATGGTACATCAACTCCCTGGTAAAACTCCTGCTGCTATCAGGTTACGGGCGAATTACCTAGCGATAAAAGATGCCCACCGCAATGTATCGCCAACACGCGCGCTCGGACACCGGCTGAACATGGTGCTCATTTATGTCGCATCATTTGACCAAGATGACGCAAGCACCATCTTTTGTTCAATAATTGTGGCGATCGTCATCACAGGCTGTAGGTTTTGCCTCGCGCGCGGGCTTCAGCCGTGGAGTTGAGAATCCAATTAGCCCTCTCAGAGCGCGCTGCTTGCCACTCGTTGGGGGATGTTACGCTCTTTCCTCTTTCGGTATCGGGGCACAGCCTTGCCACAAACAAGACGATACAAGGCAGATCGGAAGGGAGAGATAGCTTGATTTCACGTATGTGCGTCGTGAGAAATCAATTATCAGTGATCATGATCGGATAGACACCGAAATACACACCTTTGTTTCAACCGCCCAAGCTCCGGATCTCCATGCAACCCGACAGCCCAGTTAGCGTCATGTCCCACGGGCGAGCAAGGATAACGTGCCGCGAGCCGAGAATACCTGCATCTGCGGCATCTCTGGCAGTTCGAAAAGCAATGCTTGGGTTTGGGATGTTTTGTCAATCGACACTCAACCGCAGCAGCGGGCAGAACCCATCACGCCAGTCCGTGGAAGTTTCAATCGAGGACAAGAATGCCAGCGCGACAAGCAACGCAAGCAAAGAGAAGCCAACCCCGGCGCCCAGCGACTGCCAAGTAATGGCATCTCGGCGGATCACCTCGATGCTCGGCCATTGGAGTTTCCTTGTGGCCAAGATGCTCAAGAGGAAGAGTGGCTGTCTGAGGATGGATGGCATCTGGACGAGGTTCGGTGTAGCCGAGGACGAGGCGTAGCGTTACACCTACGATATACCGCGCCCGTGGGTTGTATGTGCGAGCAACGCCGCGCGAGATATTTTCTGGAGAAGCAGAACCGGCCGGCAACGAGTGGGCGTGCCGACCAGGATGCAAAACCTTCGCCAGTGGAGATAAGCGCATGTGGACATGCGGGGTACGTACCGCAACACCATCGATTTTCCGTGATCGCAAGACACGCGCAGCACGGTGTGACGTTACGTCCCTGGCGACGACACCAAGCCCTGTACAGACGAAGCATGGCGAACAGGGGAAAGCTCCGGTGTTCGCAAGCGGAATCAAGGTTTCTGCAGACCGCAGCTCCCAGCAGCGCGGGATGCGGGCGACGGCCAAGGGCCTGGGCTTAAAACTACAGCGAGGCTCCACCGATTGTAGAGAGATCCTCGGCCTATTACCGCACGCTAGCAACCCCCAGTCTGCTTTATCAACCGTACATGCGAGGTTTTTTCTTTCCTCAAGCTCCTGGGCGTTGCGACACAAGCCTCGCGATCCTCCTCTCACGCAGCACTACCCTTGCGCCTTTCGTCAGCCGAACACGACATATATCGCCGGTCGAGCGCAGCACATGCACTTCGTCGCACGGTTCTTTTGCCTTCTTCTCAAAGACCTTCGCTAGGGATATCTAGTGTTGGTGTTGCAATTGAACGTAATGGCTTCAACTGGTGTCGACTATGTAGGCCCTCACGACTACGAGAAAGCTGGGAAGATCGACCCTGAGAACAATGGCTTGCCTGGTTACCGCCGCGAATCCATTGTCTCCGTGAAGACGGTCCGCGATTCGACCCATCGCAAGCTCAAGCCCCGCCATATTCAGGTGAGAATACCTCGCCCTGTTGAAACTATGGCTTAGACGTCGAATAGCTCATTGGTATTGGTGGAACGATTGGCACCGCGCTCTATGTGCAGATTGGCAGAGGGTTGATGAACGGCGGTCCTGGGAGCTTGTTCCTCGCTTTCTCGATATGGTATGCTTCTACAACCTCTAATTGCAAGAGTCATCGTGTACATGGCAATTGTACGGGGAAAAATTCACGGCGACTGACTTTTTGCTCCAGGTGCACATTTATCCTGGCCGTTACCCTATGTGAGCTCTCCCAAACGCAACATGCCCAACGCAATACTACGCGAGCCTTCTCAATTTGCCCAACGCGTCATATGTTGTTCAAACTAATGTCCCCGCTTAGGCATGGCTGAAATGGTGTCCTACTTGCCTATCTCTTCGCCCTTCATTCGATTCGCTGGGCGCTATGTAGACGAAGCCTTTGGCTTCGCTGCAGGCTGGAACTTCTTCATCTTTGAAGCAGCATTGGTGCCGTTCGAGATTGTAGCATGCAACCTGATCATCCATTTCTGGAGTGATATTGTGCCTACGGGGGCTATCATTGCCATCATCCTATTTCTTTATGGGTATGTGCGCTTGTTTGGAGTGGCACGATAAGTCCGATTTTGACTCGTGAACAGCTTGATCAATCTGATGGCCGTCAAGTGGTATGGCGAAACCGAGTTTTGGGCAGCTTTGGGGAAAGGTAAGCATACACAAACCCCAGTTGGAGCACACATTGACGATATATAGTCCTTCTCATCATTGGCCTCATCATCTTCACCTTCATCTCTATGCTCGGCGGCAACCCCATCAAAGACCGCTACGGCTTTCGCTACTGGAAGAATCCCGGTTCCTTCGCCGAACTCTATCGTGAAGGCAACCTCGGCCGCTTCCTAGGCTTCCTGCAGTGCCTCATCCAAGCCTCGTTCACAATTGCCGGCCCAGATTACGTGTCCATGGCAGCCGGTGAGGCCGAAAACCCACGCAAGATCATGCCCCGAGCGTACAAAGCCGTCTTCTACCGCCTCACCGCGTTCTTCGTCCTCGGCAGTCTCTGCGTGGGCATCAACGTGCCGTACAACGACCCAGAGCTCAAAGCTGCATTCAAGGATGGCAAGCCCGGCGCAGCAGCAAGTCCATACGTCGTCGCCATGAACCGTCTCCGCATCGAGGGCCTTCCGCACATCGTCAACGCGATGGTTCTCGGCGCTGCTTTCTCTGCCGGAAACTCCTACGTCTACTGCGCGTCGCGGTCGCTCTATGGGCTCGCGCTCGAGGGCAAGGCGCCCAAGTTCATGACCAAGTGCACGAAGAACGGTGTGCCGTTTTACTGCGTTGCTGTGGTGCTGGTCTTCGCGTGTCTGGCGTTCCTCAACCTGGGCAATAACTCGGCAGTCGTGCTGGACTGGTTCGTCGCGCTCGTCACAGCGTCGCAGCTCATCAACTTCAGCGTAATGTGCTTCACGTTCCTTGCATTCTATAAGGCGTGCCACGTGCAGGGGCTGGATCGGAATACGCTCCCGTTCAAGGCGCCGCTTATGCCGTTTGCGGCGTACTACGGTCTTGTGGGCACGTTTATCATGGCATTTGTGGGTGGGTATACCGTGTTCATTGACGATAACTGGAATGTGCCAGATTTCTTATTTGCGTACGTTTTGCCTCCCCTTCCAATTCAAATGTGGTCCTACCCGTGGGCCCATGCTAATGTTTGGTCATAGCTACATGATGATCTTCATCTTCCCCGTCTTGTACATTGGCTGGAAGCTCATTCACAAGACCAAGTACAAGAAAGCGCATGAAGTCGACCTGCAGGAAGATCTTGAGGAAATCGAGGAGTACACACGGAACTATGTGGAGGTCCAGGATCAGAACAAGTTCAACCAGTGGATGGATAAGATCTTTGGCTAAGAAGGTGGTCGGTAGAAATGTAGGGGATCATTCTAAGCCTTGCAATGATGGATGTATGAGATTATACAAATAAGAGCATCATGCGGGCCGTCAGCAGATAGGCTGGCTCATGGGCAGTTAGAATGGTGAACGAAATACTGCTCGCTCCGAGCGAAGAGAAAGAGAAGACACTGTCTTTTTCGAAAGCGAGTCTATGTGAACTACCAATGCCAAAATTATCTGACGCTGCTTGATATCCGTACAGAGTCTGTTTGACGCGGGCACTGCCACAGTGAAGCAGTAGCGAAAAGCAGTAATTTCGAACGAACTGAATTAGAGTCAGACTTCAGGCTATAAGTCTACTGGTGCTTTTCTGGGTTTGGGATAGTGCAGACCAGGTTCCTTGATTGAATTATCAGCTAGGGCCTTGGATATTGACGGCTACGTGAGCCACCAGCCCTCCGGCCGGTCGTATACAGACGCTCAATCCTGGTAAATCCGCGCGCGTAGCGGACAGGATTTGATAGCAAACAACAAAAAGACACCGCAAACTGTCTCTGCAACAATGTGGGCTGTAGGGCCCTCCTGCTCCGGCAGTGACTATGGTGCACTATGGCCTCTGAAAGACCCACACGCGCAAGATTCTGCGAAAACGAAAACATGCAACAGCGAAGATTCAGATCTGGTCACCCACGATATTACTGACTCGCCAGTACACTACTTATATATGGCTGAGCGGACGGGAAGTCCAGTTCTCTATACATCGCCTACTACTTATTTACGCTAAATGTACCGTTTCCGGCCTACGGTTCACAGCATCCTACACCCCGGCTGCTGACAACTGTGTATGGAGAACCCATGATAGCGACAACGTAGTCCGACAAGGCGGTGATTAAAAGATGAATCGTTACTAGTTAGCGCTTTTGTAGCGCATTCACACTTAGTGGCCTGAGCCTTTAGGCGTGGGTTCTATCCAAGAAAGGAAACTCTCACAAGCTGGTCCCTTAATTATTAGGTCCAATTGAAATTAAGAGAAGATATGCTGCTGTTTAGACTACTAGTACTATCAGTTGCATACACCAGCTTGTCGCCTCTTCCGTCGCTCACCTTCCTCGCCCGTCTGCCTGTACGGGTTTGCTGGCCCGTCCGTGTCTCTCAGCCGATGTGGAGACCGAAACAATCTTAGAGTATTGAAACCACGCCACTGTTGCCTCATCCTCGGCAGCTTCGTATATCGCCATTACGAAGCAGTTAGCCCCTGCATGGTGCATTTGATTTGGCCCCATTTTGACACGATAAGACCTGGGAACAAGGTTGCGACAGGGGATGATGTTTGAAATTGCTGCCCCGTGGCTTGCTACGCCGCAACCCTACATAGTCGCTACGCGGCATCGAATCCTCGTTGTCGCAACATGGAGTATGATTTATCGGTCCAGAGGATAAATAGTGCTTTCGATGATTGAATATAAATTGAGCAGAGTTGTTTGGCAGCTCTATTTCTACACACTCTCCTAGCTGTCTGTCTTGCCCTCTATATCACGTGCAATTCTCTCACTCTTATTTCCGGATCACTGTTCTACCTTCGTTTGCTCGCAGTCTTCGTCAATTTGACTCATACCACAATTATCCTTACGCGAAGGCCTCGTAACAGTTACTGCTAGCGTGATTCGCAACATGCCACTTCAAGATGCTCTTGTGAGATGCTGCTCAAGCCCAGATCCTCGTATTGACGCGGAGGACAACGAGAATTTCATTTGCTTGAATTGCAGCGAAAGGCACGATTCAGAAGAAATCTTTGCGGCTATGCGGTTGCAGACGGAATCCGGGAAGAAGTCTCGAGAGTCTGTCACAGAACATTGGCATACAGAAGACGTCAAGGATGAGAGCGCCACAGCCGGCGCACAGGAGGCCAACGACACGGAGGCACAACCGAAGAAGGTCAATTTCGATATCCCCGACGTGCTACCCCCTCGTGACGACCTATCTCGAAATGAGCGCTGTGCAGATCTGCGCAAGTTCATCGACTATTTACAGGGTATCAATTCGCAGAACCCCCATACTTGCATCCTGGACGACGATTTTGGACCTTGCGATTACCCCATCGCCCGAAGGTATCGTAAAGATCATCCGGGAAAGTCCAAAGACGCAGCCGAAGTCTTGATCAGGGACGCAGACCTCGTCCTCAAAGACGACTTCATCAAGGTGGTCCGTACCTATTTCTGTGGAACTCATGACTTCAGCATGAAGTCAGGCCGAAAAGCTTTTAGAAACCATTTCTTGAAGCTTTGGGAAGAGACTTCGGACAAGTTTCAGTTGCGCGCCGAGGTTTGGGACGCTCTTCGAAAATGTGAAAGGAACATCTATCCATATGGGCCCTCGACTCCTCAGCAAGAACGACCACATATGAACAGAGCAGCCAATAGCGTTCCCAAAGAGGTCCCTAGACCTTCTGAGACTATGACACCGAGCCTCGACTCCACCGTTGAATCTCCCACTCGCCCATGGACTGCCCAAGGGAATCTTAATCAGGACTCGAAGCTTTCCCGATTCAATCCCGACTTAACGCCTTCCAAGCTAGCTCGGCCAACAACCAGGTCACCTATGGGGATCGCCGCCAAATCAAAGACAGACCCGAGCGACATCAACTCTGGTGACAATCCGAAACGCACACTCAAGCCCAATGAAATGGAATTACTCGACCCTGCTTCGTCTTCACGGATGCAGCCTTTCAGTCAGTCAAAAACAACATTCAGCGGGAGTGCTTCTGGACTGGCTGCAAATCCTTCGTTGAGTCGTGAAACTTTGTTCAAACCTCATACGGGTCCAGAGTCTTCACTTGTAGACAAGAAAATGCTGTGGCATGACCTACCCGATCCTTTCCAGGACAAGAAGCCCACATCGGAAGCCCGACAGTCATCCTTATCAAACGAAAAGGTGACAGGTTCAAGCAAAATGCCCGAATCAACTTACATCAAACCCAGAATAGAGTCTTCCCTGGAGGGCACTGACCCTTCAATTCAAGACCGCCCCAAATCGGAACCCCGACGATCGCCTTTATTTGATCTGGAGGCACCCGGAACGAGTAAAGCTCCCATTTGGTGGCCAAAAACCGATGAAGATCTTATCCCTCGGCTGCCCCCGAGTGAGAAGAGTCCAGAGGAGACGTTCATGCCATTCAGAGGGAAATCGATATTTGACAAACTTGGTGAAGCTCGCAATAATGCGAACAACGATGGCTTACGTATCCAAAAAAACAGCACAGTAATACCAAAGCTGACTCCTCCACCGAGAGAGTCCCGAGAAACAGCTTCACGAAGTATAACGCCCGATGTTCAAATCCAGCTGCGGGGAGCCCGGACTGATTCTTGTGAAATGCCAGTAAAACCAAATTCGGACCCAAATTCATCGACACCAAAGCTGTTTACGCCGGTTCGAAATCTGCAAGACATGTCAAACCGAACTGCAGTATCCCGCGTTGATGCTTACACCAGCCAAACACCGACCGTCTCTCGGGAGCACTCAACAGAACGAGCATCAATCCTAAATGCCCCAAACGAAGGCACACTTCTTGAAAATCTGTCTAACGAACTGGAGGACCTGGAAATCGCATCTCCGTTCCTGGAAACGCCGTTATTTCAGGAAGATTCTCGCTCAAGGAGCAGCTCACCATCGCCGCAAGGCGCCGTCCAGTCGTCCTGCGTCTTTCCACCACGTAATGCAACGTCCACGGCGAGAAATATAAAGAAAATCCTCAAGAAAGAAATCACAGGATCCATCTATGTGCTTGAAGCTCCCGAATTCTTCTTAAACCATTTCGGGCCTTCTCGCGATAGGGAGGAGATATGGTGCAAAATCGGCATTGCAGCGGACGTAGACGAGCGTGTGAAAGAAATACGTTCTACGTGTGGCATCAGTGACCTTAAGGAAGTTTACTCAACAGAACCTAATATCCGTTACGATGTGCTCAAAGTGATCGAGGCGATATGCCACGCACAGTTGAATAATTCCAGGAGGTATTTGGACTGTAGGAGATACGGCGTGTCGCCTAAATGTGTTACGAGGCATAAGGAGTGGTTTGCAGTCCCCAATAAAGAGGCTATCAGAACCGTGAGAATGTGGAAGGCTTTCTTGGATCACAACCCCTACGGACACGACGGGGTGCTAGACGAGAGATGGAGCAAAAGTTTGAAGAAAGATTATCCTTTACTGGAGCATGATGGGAACCTGAACCAAGACGATTTACTGCACCAGAGCTTGGAGGCATGGATTGAAAAGACAGGTGCGGATCAGGGGTAAAACATCATATTAAGTACACTTCGCATTCAACACAGAAACCTGCCATGCACTTAGGAAAAATTCAGAGTATATCATAACCAGGCCTCCATGGCCTGAAACTTTGGAAACTTTGATTCATCACAATAAGCCTGAATAGACACATAATGCAGTTATCTACCACTGAACAGGGGTGCCTGGCTGCTGTAACTTCTAGTGCTTCAGACATAAAGGTTAAATGCACAACTACGATGTTGTAATTTGGCTACATATGTATTAAAGCCCAGTGATACGTAAAGATACGTCTAAAGTATGTTAGCTAAGTGGCTGGAAGACTGTCAAAAAGAATAGCTGAGAACTGCCACGCTAGAATGATCTTGTGGTTTTGCGTGGTAGAATGGTCCTACCACAGGAAGAGTGGCTATGCATCACTTTTGTCACTTGGTTCTTCTACGCGTTGGACATCATGGCAATACCAAATTCTACGTACCCTATTTGAGTAATATAAAACTTGCATTTATCAGAGAGGAAAATACGACGGAACCTCAGAATCCTCTGATTCCATAGTTCTGTCTTTGAAGTTGCAGGCGCTAATATGATGGATCAGGCAGCCCACATAGCGGTAACCCGTGCTCAGTTTACCATTCACGGGCTCTAGACAGATGGCAGGGTGGGGCAGGGATTAGTTTTCAGTGTCTTATGGTCCTTTGTGAATGACAAGGTCACATGTACCATCTATATCTCTATATATCAGAGCCAGTAGCAATTGAATGCTTGTGCCAAACGGCAATATCCAAGACCAGGGTATCAACCAGCCGACTCGGAAATTCCAAACGCCAATATTGACACCACGATCAGAATAGAAAAGTCGGGATGTCGTCGTACTTCTGCCTCTTCTTTTCCTCCCGATCCTTGTCGGCCTTACGTTTGGCTAGCTGATCGGCTGTGTCCTTGGCCAGGTGGATCCGCTTCGGCGGGTTGAGGTCCTCGTCGTCCAGGATCGTCGTAGCGCCCTTTGAGGGCGCGGAAGTAACGTTGTGTGCTCGTTTCGTGATTAGCGTGGGGAGAGAACTAATAGGTGATGACGATTGTTGGTGCGTCGAAGTTCTAATTGCTTTCTTGGGCGACGACGCTCGGTTTGGTGTTCGTGAGGGAGAACGCGCTGGAATCAATGGTTTCGGACTGGCATTGAGCTCATCCCAATCGTCCCAAACATTTCGGCGCTGTACGCGAGCTGGTTTGCTCGGCGTCTTCGATGCGGGCTTCACGAAGACTTCTGGTCGCTTAGCTGGGACATTTTTTACTGTATCCTTCGGTAGGATGGTGGATAGTTTCATTGTTGGCGGTCGCTCTGGCATGTCAAGGTCGTCGCTATCAGAGGCGGTCTCGTTGGCTGGCGCTCTGGCTCTGCTCAGGGGTCTTGCCGGTAGGAGTGATGGTGCGGTCCTGTCCGGAACCGCTCGTTGTGGCTCTTCGTCGCCTTCGCTCTCACTGTCGTGTGTTGAGACAATCTCCCTGAGCGCCTTCTTCTGCATCTGTGCTTGTTCTTGAGCCTTGCGCTTGAAGTACGCATCAACTGACGGCTTTGCGTTCGGAACAACGGCCCTCGCAGCAGTCTCTTTCCTCAACTCTTCCATCTTCGTTTTCAGTGTCTCGTACTCTGCAAGGTGAAGGTGCTGCGTAAACAACTTAGCTGTTTGCAACAGTTCATCTTCCACCATCATCCATTCGTCGTCGCGGAGGTCGAACTTATCGACGCCCGCAAGCATATATCTATATCGATTAGATTTGGGTGACTCTGGATAGGCTGAGGGCTTACTCCGTTGTTGGCGGCGGAAGGTCTGCAGCGATTGGCGGGGGTGAAGATGAGGGCAAACGAGCATCACGGTTCGATTCACTACCTTTACGCGTCGTATTCGCAAACTTGTAGGATGAACCCGGAAAATCATTGTCCGAGTCTACATCTGAGTCCTTATCAGTCTTCATCCAGATGTGCATGAAGAAGGAGAAGGCCCACTTGCTCGTTCTTCGCCTTTTCGGGAGCTTTCCAGTACAGTCCCATCGAAGAAATCATCGTCAATGCCGGATTGAATAGTTCGCTTTGCTCGAGGTGGCTTCACGGTGGGGTTTTTGCCACTATCTTTGATAGCCCAGGGAAGTTGGCGGCGAGGAGGCATTATGTGAATATCCCGCGATGTTACCGAGTGGTATAGAGATATGCGCGAGGTCGCGAGTGATTTAACGGCCCCATGCCGAGAACATTTTTTGTTCTTGCAGAACCACGTATTGCCCAGAATGGTGTCGCGGATGACGCGCTTTCGCGTGTGCACGCGGCGTGTAATGGCGTGATCACGTGTGAACGTCTGGCCGCTGAAAGTGGTAAGCGGCTCGCTTGTCCACAAGCCCAGCGAACAGAGTGTGTCGTGCGCCCTTCGGAAAGAAGGCAGCATTCACCTCGCGAGAACGACCACGTTTCATTTCCATATGCTTCGGTTATGTTCCATTTTGTTTACGCTGTAGATTCCATGGCAACCACCGGGCGCCCCCGGGTTAAGATTCGCGCGTCACTGCTACAGCGCGAGCGAAACACCACGCTGTGCACCACACCCTAAACCGTCTTGAGGTGCAACTTGCATGCGATTGTCATCCGCGAATACTCCCGCCCACCGTCAACAGTAAAGTCCAAGGTTTTACTGGGGTTTACTTCGCTCGCGCCCCTCTGGGGTTCGTGTACGCTGCTGCTTCCGTCGGCACCTTAAGGTGCCCCACCCGCCCCTCACAGAGGCTTCTGAAAACCGTCATCAAAGGGTTCAATCAAGGGGACCTTACACGCATCGGCTAAAGTGAAGCTGTGTGTACGCTGTCATTGCATCAAGCCGCGGGCCTATTCAGGTCCTGCCGTCAAGTCTTGGGAACTACTAGCTAAGTCGAAAGAGACTAACCCCCACAAAGACGCTCATCTACCGCCATCATTATGTCAATGTTTCGGAAGCCAGGGGACAGTTCGTCTTCCAGTGAAGATGAGAGCTCGAACACGCGTGGAGAGGAGACCTCCAACATCCGCGAAGATTCGGACAACCTACTCTCAAAGATCAACACACTGGATTCCACATCATCACTGCCCCGTTCTTTGCCAGCAACAGGACCACCTTCACTGAGCCGCCCTGGAATCTCACGGACCAACACCGGGGACAACATTCGAGACCTTCTCCTGCACTCGTTGCTCGAAGACAAAGCGCTCACTGACGCCGCAGAGCACTTGGGCAAGAGTAAAACTGATCCGGACGTGTTGGCACTTGCACAGCAAACATACCAAGGTCTAGCTCGCCAGATCTCCAGTCAAGTTGACAGTAGCTATGCCGGCGACGATATGCGCATGCAACGTCTCGCAGCCAAAGAGGGTATCAGTCGAGCCACGCATCTGCAGATGACGAGCCTTACTGCCGCTGCTACCGCTACCGGAACTGCTGCAGCTGCAGGCTTATCTCAAGCTTTGGTCACTCGGCCTTCCTTCTTTGGTATACCAGCTCAGAGCGCCCCAATGCTGGCACGTGAGATGGATACACTTAATGATATGTACCGTCAGCTTCCGTCGTCTGTTCAGGGCCACACTGCCCTGCACAACAACCGATATGCTCGTGAGTACGAGGAGATTGAGATGGTCGGCAAAGGCGGTTACGGCAAGGTCTTCAAGACCAAGCATAAGCTGGATAACGCCTACTATGCAGTGAAGCGCATCTGCATTACCTCCCATAGATTACAGAAGATTCGAGAGCGCGGAGATGAGGAACTCCACTCCATTCTTGAGGAGGTCCGCTCCCTTGCTCAGTTCGACCACAACAACATTGTCCGATATCATGGTGCCTGGATGGAATTCACCGCCAACGTACCCGACATCCCGGAGTCACCAACCGCTGGTGTGTCTCGCCCGAATCGCCTGATAGAGCACGCTTCTGAGCCTTCCTTCAGCGAGAACGTCGCAGACCCACTATATGACAGCTTCGGTGACTTGGATATTGACGATCCCTTTGAGCGTAGAACGCTGGAGGCGGCGGGCCTTATCCACTTTGGAGATAGCGACACGAACGAGCCAACTGACGAGTCCCCGCGACGCTTTACGAAGAAACAAAAGGGCAAGGGCAATGCGCGCCGCGGAAGCCAGGCTACCATCGCGACCATTTCGTCAACAAAGTCGCGCTTGAGTGCTGTCCAGGATGTCGATGAAGAGGACGAGGGGGGCATTGAGACAATTCCCCGGGAGCATGAACCGACATTCGAAGAGTCCGAGAGCATGGTAACAGACAGCGATGCGCCAAACCAGCTCATCTCTACACGCAATCAGGGCCCCGTCTTGACCTTGAACATCCAGATGTCACTCTACGACACCAACTTGGCTGCTTTCCTATCCACCGAACAAGGATCCCCGAGCCACTGCTTTCACCCTTGCATATCCCTCGAAATCCTCCATGAGATCATCAAGGGAGTGGAGTACTTGCATGAACGTGGAGTTGTGCATAGAGATCTAAAGCCAGCCAATGTCTTCCTGTCGCTCTCAACAGGTCGCACCCAACCTGCGGGCTCTGTTGACCTTGCCAGCTGCTCATCTTGCTCAGAGCATGACCATCCTCAATACGTCACGCCAAAGATTGGCGACTTTGGCTTGGTAGCAGCATTGGGCGAATCGGTGACCAGAGCGGTGGGCACAGAGTTCTACCGGCCTGTTGTCCAAGGCAAGATAGACGAGAAGCTGGATGTGTTCTCTCTTGGTGTTCTAACCTTTGAGATGCTAGAGCATTTCGGCACAAGAATGGAAAGGGTGGAGGCGCTGACCAAGTTGCGTCGTGGTGAGTTTGTAGAGGGATTTGGTGACCCTTGCGGAGACATGAAAGAATTGGTGAAGAAGATGATTGCGGGGATGTTGGCAGAGAATGGTGAAGAGCGACTTACTTGTGCTCGCACCCGTGCCAAAATTGTGAGAATTGTTGGTGGATTGCGGGTTTGAGTTTGGAGAAGATACCCCTCTACGATGAACAGTCATCTTTCGTGCTTTGGCATGCTTTGACTATGCACAAATGACGTTTCATGAACAAACTCTTTCAAAATCGCTTGATGGCTGATCCTGGAGGGTAATCTGAGGTGCTACAAGTGACGCTAATTCTGAATTATACAGATTCTTTTAAATCTGTCTAACGGCGCATCCTGGAGTAACTTGAGCTACTTTTATTTCTCAGAACTTGACCTGATGCGGTGTCGCGGGTGCTTGCACAAAGTTTACGGGGGTGTGGAGATTCGGCTCACCGAGCGCCGCTATGTCGGGTCGTAGCGGCTTCGAGTTGGCGTTGGCGTCATGCATACCGTTCCGACATCTTTTTGACGTCTGCCTTCAAAAGCTCAATACCGCCTCTTCTACTACCCAACACCATGCACAGCACATTTCCTCTTCCTTCCTCATAATTTCTTAACATCGTGACGGCGCGGAAATGTCCAATGGCTCGAGTTCGCGCTCCTCATCGTCCTGTAAGTTCGGTACAGCCGTCTGAGCTTCGTGCAGCATTACAAAAGCTTCGATGCTATTCGTTGCAAATGCGTACATGCGACTAACATATCACAGTTCATTTCTTTGCGGGCATGACCTCGGGCATCTTCTCCGCCGTCCTCCTCCAACCCGCCGACCTACTCAAAACCCGCGTGCAGCAGTCACACCAAAACACACTACTTGCGACGATCAAATTGATAGCCAGCGGGCCGAATCCAATTCAGCAGTTCTGGAGAGGCACATTACCAAGCACACTGCGCACAGGATGCGGCTCTGCGATATACTTTTCCGGCTTGAACGCGCTACGGCGGCGGGTCAGTGAGGCAAACATACTAGCCAGTGACCGCGCGAAGACGGACGGCCACTCAAGCACACTGCCTAAGCTGAGCAACACGGCGAATCTGGCGACAGGCGCGGTGGCGCGGACATGGGCTGGCTTTCTGATGATGCCCATCACGATACTAAAGGTGCGCTACGAGAGCAACCTGTACGCATACTCGTCGCTGCTCTCTGCATCGAGAGACATATTCAGGACCGAGGGCTTTCGCGGCTTCTTCGCAGGGTTCGGCGCAACGGCAGTCCGCGACGCGCCGTATGCGGGGCTGTACGTGCTTTTCTACGAGCAATCGAAGAGGCGGCTTTCGCGTCTCGCTACGACTATCGAAGAAACGGCGAGCACTTCGACTGCGAGCCTCTCGACCAGCACATCGGCTGGCATAAACTTCCTTTCCGGGGTCATGGCCGCCGGTCTGGGGACTACGTTTACCAACCCATTCGATGCTATCAAGACGAGGATACAGCTGATGCCAAACCGATATGCAAACACAATACAAGCGGGGAAGAAGATGCTGAGAGAGGACGGTATACGCAGCTTCTTTGACGGGCTGGGAATACGGATCGCGCGGAAGGCTATCAGTTCTGCGCTTGCGTGGACGGTCTACGAGGAGCTAATTCGGAGGGCGGAGGGGAGGTGGAGAGAGGGTATCGAAGAGAAGGTGTAAGAGTACTGTATGAGTATGTGTGCCATGTGGAGGTGGAAAAATCAATGATTCTGGGCTGGCTATCTGCATCAGGCTCTCTGCTCAATGCGCGAGTATCACATTTGCCGCATGTAGGAGTGAAGTGGAAGCTCGTTGCTTCATTTGTGCGATGGTTTTCCTCTGGCAATGCTGTGCATTGATAATGTGAAGCAAGAAAGCCATCAGAGGCGTTGTCAGCATCAAGAATGCCCTACGGCGCGAGCAAGCCACTACTGTCAGGCACACCCTCGCGCACTTGCTTGGTTCGCAGCCTGACGAACCGCCGCCACCAGCCTGATTCAAACAATCGATGGTCACCTTGGGTTCAAACTCGTTCAAGATACACCCTGGGAGAACACTTGAAAATAAAACCGAGCACCAATCAGCTGTGGTTTGGACGCCGAGTCTCGCCATGATGTATTCCGGCTTCGTCAGCCGATGTCGTCGCTGAGTTGGCAGAGTGCATCGGGGAACCTTGCAACGACTGCAAGACGGCACACTAGGGAGGGAAAACAGGCGTTGAGTGATGCCCAGTGCCGGGGGCCTCTGCTCGTGTTTGTCACAGTGCTGCTACACCAGCCCGAGGTCCGGCGCGCGGTGTGGGCCGAAGCTGCGATGCAGCGCCCTGGGGCAGTGCGCTCGACGGTGAGCTTTTGCAGCGCAGGGCGATTCTTTTTGGTCACAGGTTCGCGCGCAGGCAGTGGCTGCAGGCGGGCTCTCGGTCGGTGGCAGGCTTCAGCCGCGCCAGTTGGGCTCTCCAAGTGCCCTGCTCTGCTCACGCTATGACGTACGATGCCTGCCCGCACTCATCCCACTACCCAGCCCTCACCCTCTGCTAATATCCACGCCACCCCGCCAACCGCCGTCCCGAGCCCAGCACCAAGCCTTCAGGACAGTCATCAGCCTCCCGGGTCTTCTTAGATAAACCCGCCCTCCCTGCGCGCCGCTGCAACGACACACACTCCCCTCCACCTTGTTCCGTACGTTGCCGGCACCTTTTATTCTTCGTTGCGACAGCCCGACACGCGCCCGCGCTACTGTAGCCCAGGCCACCACTGCTAGATTACTCCTCTGTAGTCGGTACGCTACCGCCCCGTGCCGTCCCTACTCTGTCCATACTTACCATGCCCAGACGCGCGAACCCATATCCCTAGGCCCTGCTTTGCTGTTAGAACTTGTGCCACTGCCCGTCTCTGCTTTTCCTGGAGGCTGAACTCGCGCCATGTCCGAGTATAGCTACGACGACCGTCCACGGCGTCGCGACCGCGTGCGCGAGCGCGAGCCCGAGTACGTCACCGAGACGACGTACATCGAGCGCGGTGGCCGTGGAGAGGGAGTGCGCGACTTGGTCTACCGACCCCGCCGCGAAGACAGCATCGAAGAGGTCGCCCGCGACTTCCCTCCCCCAGGCGCCGAGTACAGGCGCACCAAGTACCGCGAGACTTATGAGCCACGCCGCACCCGCTCCGCCCACCGGGACTACGACTACGACGACTACTCCCGCGACGGCCGTGACGGCCGCAGCAGGCGGGCGCGCGACTATGACGACTACTCCGAGTACAGCGAGCGGCCCAAACCCCAGCGACGCAAGTCCATCGTCGACAATGTCAAGGAGTTCGCCGAGTCCGCAGGTCTGGGAGGTGTCATTGGCGCAGTGACTGGCCGCAGCCGTTCCCGCTCACGACACCGGAAAGACCGCGGCTACGAGAGCGACCGTGATCGCTACGATGACCGGTACTCGGAAGACCGCCGAAGCAGCCGCTACGGCTCGCGCAGCCCAAGCCGCCATGGCAAATCTCAGGCCAAGTGGGAGCAGGCTGCCAAAGCCGCCATTGTAGCTGGTGCCGTGGAGGCCTTCCGCAGCCGAAAGCAACCCGGTCCCTGGACCGGCGAGAAGGGCCAGCGCATCGCTACTGCTGCCCTCGGTGCCGCTGGTATCGACAGTCTCGTCGACAAAGATCCGGACAAGCACAGCAAAAGACACGTCGCCGAATCAGCTCTCGGCGGTCTCGTTGCGGCCCGCGTTGCGAATGGCTCCCGCTCCAAGTCTCGCGGACGCGGAGGTTCTCGGTCTCCTTCACGCTCCCGCTCCCGCTCCCGCTCCAGGTCAATTTTCGGCCGCTCCCGTTCCCGTGGACGCTCGCGTTCTGGATCTCGCGAACGTGGTGGGGACAACACACTCGGAAAAGTAGTTGGAGGCGGAGCAGTTCTAGCAGCAGGCAAGGCTCTCTACGACCGCGTGCGCTCCAAGTCACGCTCCAGGCGTGAGCGCTCGCCTTCGTACGACAGTGCCGACGAATATGAACCACCATCCCGGAACCGCCGCTCCCGCGGCGGATACGACCGGGGCCGTAGTATGGACGGTGCCTATTCCGATGCTCCCAGAGCTAATCCAGATCGCAGACTAGCGGCAGCCACTGGGGGAGGAGCAGTCGTCGCGGGCGGCTCTCAACGAGGGAGGAGAGATAGCAGCTCTAGCTCCACATCGACGACGGACATGGAGCAGAAGCGCAAGAAACTAAGAGGTAAGGAACTCCTTACTGCCGGTCTTGCAACTGTCGCCACCATCCACGCCGCGCACGGCGTTTACTCGTCCATGGTCGCCTCTGAAAAACGGCGCAAGCTGGTTGCCGAGGGCGAGATAACGGCCGAGGAGGCGCGCAAGCGCAAGTCCAAGAACATGCTGCAGGACGCAGCGGCCGTGGGTATTGCGGCCATGGGCATCAAATCTGCCTTCTCCGAGTGGAAGGAGATGAACGAGCAGCGGCACAGCGTGCATGAGCTTGAGGCGCGGCGACGCAAGAGGAGGAAGATGCGCGAGCGCAAGGAGCGAGAGGCCCGGCAGAATGCACTCTCTGGTCAAGGCGTGGCTAATCCGTATGCCTACCCTGTAGCTGCTGCCCCGTACGGCCCGGCCTACGTCGATGCGAATCCCTACGGGAGCCTACCGCCGCCGCCGGTGGGCGGTGCGCCGAGTGCGCGGTATTAGATGGTCAATGGTTCCTTTCTTGTTTCTTTTGGCGGGCATAGTTGGCTTGGACGAGCGGTATGGATATACCTGAGCCAGATGGCCTTTTTCGGTTTTGGATAGTTCTGTGGTTTTCTTCATGTGCGCCTCCTTTCACTCTTTTGTTTGGGTATGATCAACGGCCGCGAGGAGGGTGAGGGAATGGGTATACCATGGCTATGAACGAATGAATGCATTACTGGATTCTTTTACGTAGCGGTACGGCAAGCATAGCTACTCACGAATGTCACGACTCACGATGTAGAACTGCTCTTCTTTCCTTTGCTGTGCGGTGTTGTGATGGGAACGAAGTGAAGACGTTTGAGACAAGGTTACATCACATTCCGACACGTTATCTGTGGTTGTACAGCGCAAACGGCGGGAATTTTCCGAGGACGACCTAGCTCGCTGTTAGCCATGAAACGTTTTGGCTTGTATAAGGGATCAAGTTTCAATTTGCATAATTTCGTGAGCCAAAAAGAGAGGAAAAGAGGGTATTCGCTCAAGGCGGTCTGATTGTACGTGGTATTTTTTTCCTGTCAAGGCTGTCCATCACATTGGCCGACACTGCAATCTTTAGCCCAGGCGAGGAGTCCTCCAGCCAATTGAACGACTGGCCAGGGGGAGCGGATAGTAAGCAGACGAGGAGGGCCCGGAAGGAGTGAACTGAGATTGGGAGCGCGGGTATGTGCCGGAGCAAGGATCATCGCTGTGCAAGGTATATCTGGGGGCCAATGCGCCGTGAACCATCGGCCAGCACTGCAATCGTCAGCCTGGGCGAATTATTCGTTTATGGCGAGGCTAGGGATCAGGCTGTGGTTCGCATGCGGCTGTGACTGACCGGTAGGGTATAAAACGACCACCACCGCGGCTCGACACTGTAATCTTCAGCCCGGGGGAAAGGTCGTCAGGTTTCCACATCGTAAGTAGAGTCATTGTTTTAGCTGCTGCTATTGTAGATGACTAAGTTAGATCACGATACTGCAGTCTTCAGCCTGGATTAGGTATCTCATGCAGAAATAGATATGTGCATAGTCATACTTGCGACTTACGTAAGGAATACCGGTGAAGAAGAACTCCGTAGGCTCTATTCACACAACACTGCGATATTTAGCCCCGGTGAGGTCTTCGTGTAACGTCTATCCCGTAAGATCAGGAAAATCCACCGTGGAGAAAATTAAGCGAGGTACCTCAGCTTGAAGTGTTCACATTTGGAGGTTGAGTGCCATAATAATTAATTCGCTACTGCCTATCGCGCACTATAGCTCCTACTCTCTAGAGAAAACACTTTACGTACAAAAATTACGTGCGCGCGGCTAAGTTCTGGCGCAAAATGTATCTTAGCTTTTTATTAAGCACATTAACACGCGCTGCTCAAATTGCATTTAATAAGTTGACAGCCCTTACCTACACTAAGAAATTTCGTCGGGTCAGTCTTTGAAGCCTAAGCATTTAATAGCTAATCTTACTATGTACATGGCAGCGTTGTAGCGGGCAGATCTAGGCCTAGTCACAATGGTGGGTGGTACTTCGGTGAGGCGATTCCCGAACCGAGTCATTACAAACCAGCTACGTAATCAGAGGTTATTGTAACTTAACGTGTCAGATTAGTAAGCTGGCCACCCTACCAGAATCGATGCAGCTTCCTACGCGATGGCTAAACAACGCGATTGTAAAATTTTCTATAGATAAATTCATATGATAGCTACGATCCTTAGGTACACTGAGTCCTTCTGTGGCTTTGCTCATAACAGTTACTGCATGTTGGTGGTGCTCGTAGTTATCCTACACGGTCCTCCTGCTCTACCTGCTAGAGTGCCCGAGTGCCTCCTCTTTGCCTTGCAGCGCCCGACTGTACATGGCCTCTGCCTCCGCCAGCTTGCC